CTAAAAATAGATATCCTTATTTAAAGAGATTATTACTAAACTTCAGATTTTAGTAGTTATAGGTAGGGTTTATATCTTTATATATTATATAACTATTTATATAACCTCTTATAAGGAGCCTTCTTATTAGTAGGCTCCTCTGCAAAGGTAGCTTTAATATAATACATAATAGACCTTTGCAATCCTTACAAAATAGCTACACCCCTAGCAGGCTATTAGGGCTAGTACTCTACACCTCTCTCTACTATTATCTTTATTAGCTACTATAAGAGGAATGGTACTAACTCTAGACTAATTATAACTACAGATCTTCCCTATAAAAGGTCTTTACAGCCTTAAGCTAAGCTATACTAAAGCTTTATTAGCTTAGTAGTTATCCAGATATAGATTAGTAAGATTACCCTTAGGGGCTACCTTAGCTAGTTTAGCATAATACCTACTATAGAATGTGCCTGCAGCCTAGGATAGTAGGATATTTAGTATATACTAATAGCCTACCGCTATTATATAGTGCTTTAGCTCTATATAATATAATAGTACTTATAGAAGACTAACTATACCTACCTGCTTAGCAAACCTAGTCTGGTATAATATGCTACCTAGTTTATGATTAACTCATGGCTCCTGGGCTAGTTCCAGGGCTTACTAGATATAGTCTAGGCTAATGCAGGGGGTAGTGACCCCCAGCCTGTGTAGCTATGAAAGGCTATTACAGAGCTTACCTTTAACCAAGATAGGGAATATGCTGGGGGCCCTATGGGGTTGCCTAGCTCAGGGCTGCACTAGAGATGACCATGGTTAATGTACTAAGATTCAGTGTATATAGTAGTAGCTAGCCCAGCTACCCATAGGGACCTGCCACCACTCGGCTGATAGGCTGACAGATGCGTGAATGAATAATTGAATTGAATTGAATAATTTATATAAAAGCCTAAGTAAAGGGTCTAGCCCTTAAACCCTAGGATAGCTATATAATATTTATTACTAGATATTAGCTTTTTATAGACCTAAATTAATAAAGCTAAGTACTAAATAGTTATTTTAATATTATATTTAATAATAGAGCCTTTCGTATCCTTAGATTAATTAATTACTTATATTAGATTTATTAACTTAATAATCACTATACTAGGTTATATTAATTTATTCTAAGAAGTAACTATATTAATTAATATTTAAAAAAAATATTAAAAAAGGATAACTTATATTATATAGTCTTCTCTAATATACCCTCTTAATAAGGGATAGATAATATAAATATAATAATATATAAGGATTAATAGTATATCTTAGAATAAAGAATAAGAAGTAATTAGTACTTAATAAATAAAGAAAAGATAATATATAGAATAATTAGTTATAATAAAAAGTAATATATAAAAGTAAAGAAAATAATAATATAAATAAAGAAAGAAAGAAGTAAGACGGGGTTAATAAAAATAAAAATAAAAGAAAAACTTATAATCATCTATCTTAGGTAAAGATTATATATTAAATCCCTATACTAAAATAGGTTCTTTATTTAGAAATATTAAAACTTACTTACTAATCTCTTAGGTAATAACTATCTTAATCTTTATTTAATAAATCTATATAAAAGGGCCTATAACTATAAGCTAATAGTATAGATTTATCTAAAATAGAAACTATAAGATTATTATATTTAGTCTTATAGATAATACTTAGATTATATAGATTATAGAGAAGGATATAATCCTAATAGTAGTTTAAGTCTAAATAACTACTAAACTAAGACTAAAAGATTCTTAAGATAAGGATAAATAGTATTTAACCTATCTAAATACTATTTATATATCCCTACCTATATATAGAATACTTTGTATCCCTAGATTAATATATTATATTCCCTCTTTCTATCTCATAACTAGATAGATAGATAGTACTAAATATTATAAGTAGTAGTAAGGGACTAAAGGGGAAGAACATAGGTAGGTAACTCCCCTAATATTAATTACTAACTTTAACTACTACTCTACCATGGCATATTACATAAATAATATAAAAAGATTATAGTATATAGTAAGTAAAAGTAGGTATTAAAATAGGTAAGATAAATAATAGAATACTAATTAATACATATAATCCTATATATAAAAAAAAGTAATATACTATAAAAACTATAGAGTAGATATAAGAGTATTAAATATAGAGAATTAGAGATTATACTAAATATAAAGAGAAGAGCTCTATATAATTACAGAACATTAGAAAGATTAATAAAATAGATAGTATAGATAGCATAGTAGAATAATAGTTAGTATATAATCTCATATATAAAAAAAGATAATATATTATAAAAACTATAGAGTAGATATAAGAGTATTAGATATAGAGAATATATTAAATATAAGAAGAAGAGATCTATATAGTAAAGAAAGATTAAAAAGATTAGCAGAGTATAATAAAGATAGTTAAAATTATAAACATAAAATATTATATATAAAATGGATTAATATACTATAAAACCCCTAGATAGGATAAAGAATAATTAATAGATATACAGAGGTATGGTGCAAAAGTATCCAGCACACTAGTAAGCTTAGCTGTAAAACTATGGGAAGTTCAACTCCATAGTAATTTATATGGCAGCCTACTTTGATAGATTCTACTATAGAGATAAGATAGAAAGTTCAACTCTAAAGCTATTCAGACCCATAAAAATAGTATTTCTTATAAGATTTCAGGTAGTGAGAGATTACTAAGATCTTATCTTCTAGAGAGCTTTCTCTTTAACTAATAGTCTTTCTAGTTATAATTATCTTTATCTATATACCCCTCCTTATATTTATTACCCCCTTCTAGCTTAATAATAGACTTAATATAATAGATAAGATACTTAATCCACTATTAAATATACTCCTGCAGGAGCTTATTCCATATCTTAATCTAGGCCTCCTTTCCTATCTTCTTATTATGGGGGGCTTCTTAAGAAGTTATATATTATTTAAGCTAGGGTTAGGCTAGCTTAATAATATTTAGATTAGGTAAATTCCCTAGCTAGTTAAGCATCTTCTAGATATTATAAAGATTATAGATAGTCTGCTAAAAATAGTAATAGTGAGCTAGAGCTAAATCTTTAAGAATAATTATATTAGATCTTTTAGATGTATATTCTTTAGTAAAAGGTATTAGCTTAGGGATAAGGACTTCCTAGATAGATATTAGATTTAAGAGATTAGTACTTCTTCCTTAATAAAAGATATATAAAGAAGAATACTTATCTTATAATATCTATACTAGTTAATCCCTCCCTTTAAATCCTATATAAGTAAACTATTCTTCTTATTCTACTTCTACTTAGGTAGATAACTAGGTATCTTACTATTCTAAAGCTTTAGATATACTAGAGCTATATTAATCTCTTATTCTACCTTTTATATAGGCTTAAGCTACTAATTTAAAGCTTTAATCTCCTATTAAGTAAGCCTCTTATCTTAAGTAGTCTCTAAAGCCTAGATATAAAGATGATCCTTCTTATTATAAAAGAATACTTTCTATACTATAAAATTACTACTTCTTTTCTAATACTACTATATAACTATAGAATTATCTCTCTCCTAGCTTATATATTATACTCTTAGAGCTCTATACTATTAACTAAGTAAGACTAAGGTTTCATCTATAAATATTATATTCTTCTAATCTTTAAGGGTCTAATCTTTATAAATAAGATAAAAGAGGAGTCTTTTCTACTTTATCTTATTAGTAAGACCTAATTTAATAGTTATTTTAACTACCTTTAAGCTATGCTACTTAAGGATATATAAAATAGAAGAATAAGAGATACTAGCTTTAAATATAAGTATTTTAGATAATTTTTTATGCCTATTTTAATCCTTTCTTACTAATTTAAGGATAGCTTTCTTAGAAGCTTTAGTAATCTCCTTAGGGCAGCCTGTATACTTCCTATCTTCTATATATTTAGGGAAGATGCATAGATTAATCTATAGATTATAGCTATGATCCTTAGCTTTTTTAACCTAGGTTTAAATCATCTAGTAAGGGAGCTAAAGAGTCACCTTAACTGCCTTAATATTAACTCTAATAGATATCAAAGTAAGGGCTTAAATATATATACTAATTAGGTGAGTGACATGCATCTTAGGCTTCTGTTTTAGTGGCTTCAGGGGCGAAAGGCAGAGAGATAGGCAGGTAGGTAGGCAGGCAGGTAGGCAGGCAGGTAGGCAGGTAGGTAGGCAGGCAGGCAGGCAGGCAGGCAGGCAGGCTAGTAGTAAGATAGCCTAAGTTCTGTGGTGAATCCATCTTTTAAGATAAAAAGGGAAGAAAAAGGGGTTCTGAATAGCTTTAAATTTCTTTTTCTAATAGTAGAAAAACTAGATGAAATTAGGAGAACTAGAGAAGATAGTGGCCTAATAGTTCTCCCTAGTAATTTTAGTGTATAAGCTATGTAGAATTCTTACGCCAAGTTTACTAGCATGCCGGATACTTTTGCACCACACCTCCGTAGATAGTAGTCTAAACCTAAAGGGAAGAGCATTATATAGTGAAAGAAGATCAGCAGAAAGGATAATAAGATAAAGGTAAAGATAGGGTTAAAGTTAATAATAGTAAGATAGGTAGACAGATAGATAGAGATACAGAGGCAGATTTAATAGGGTATAGGAGCCTATGTATAGCACCTAGAACAGTAGGTAGTGAAGCCAGCTGCAGTGGCAGAACAGACCTTAAAGTATGAATAACATCAAAGCAGCCAAGTATATATATAATATAAGACTTGCTCCTAGGCATTGTATTACCACAGTAAAAGTTGACAGCCTACTTAACTCTTTCCAGCCTGTGTGGTCACGCTCGAAGAATGGTACATTCCTTAACTGATGGCCTGTGGCTCTTCAAATATGCTTGAGTGACTGTTGACCTCGTCCGCGAGCCTGAGGTATTGGACCAATACTGTTATTTCTTGTTAGATATGGTCTTGCCTGTGCAAAAATCTAATATCCTTAACCCTGAAGGAAGAGACATCACCACCCGAAGGTCTCAGCGTGCCACCAGACAATTCTCCCTTTCGATACCCATGCACCAACATGCGCCCTAAGCTCCCTGCCCATTCCCGCTGGCCCGCAGAATAAAATAGCGACCCGCTCATCCGGTTCACGGCCTCGAAAGAGATCGTCGACAATCTTTCCAAAGTCAGGTCGACCGGGTTGCATAGATTTCCAACCCGGACGTCTCAATGGCTGCAGCTCTTGCATTTCAATACTATCATCTGTTGACGGCTCAGTGGCTTGCATCTGATAAGACCGGGTCAAATGCAACTTGATATTCTCATCATGAGCAAGCGACTGGCCGTCTCCCAAGTCCATGACCCACGCAGCTTCGTCAATGGCCTTCATCGACCAAACGAACGATACCCTATCGGGCCCCTTCCCCTCCGCCTCGAACTGTCCACGAAGTTGGCGATAAATCGGTAGAACGAAAGTCGCGCCAACTCCACCCGCCACCAGCAGAACCCGATCATACTCAACTGCCAGATTCGGAAATCGTCGAGCACATCCCAGCGGCCCAAAGAGCGTAAGCAGACTCGGCTTTTCCGCCGAGGCGGCGAGGGCGTCCAGCGCTCGCGACGTAAAGCCGTCCTGGACGCGCGCGACCAGCGTGATCTCATTGTTTTCAGAAACATCCGCCACGCTGAACGGATTGCGCATGAATAGGCTCATTGCCAGCGACGACTGGATCTTCTGCACTGTTTGCGGGTGGATGGATAGGAAGACGTGCTGCCCTGGAGCGGCTCGGAACCGCTGTATCTTGGATGTGGGGATGGGAATCTGCACTTGGACGAGGCTGGTGCGCGGGATGTGGGAGACCGTGGCATGTGCGGTGATCGTGTCCAGCTGGGTGATTCGAGAGAAGGCGGAGATGAAGAGAGTTTCGATGATGTACCACCGCATGGGACGCGCGTGGAAGAATAGGAAGAATGGGATCACCGTTGCGGCCACGGAGTGTGTGATGGTGAATACACGGTAACTTCGATGGCGGACGATGTCGAGGCTGGTGCTGATCAGGGCGAGAAGGAGGGTAAATGCGACGACGCCGAGGATGATTCTCGTCGAGGTGAGGCGCTCCCATAGGATTTCGGATTGGATGAAGTAGTTCAGATACAATGACACATGCAGCAGTAGACAAGTAAATATCAGTCTCCCGGATATTCGATGCCAGGGTAAAAGTTCCTCATGGGAGGTGTTGAAAATGAGAGTGAGGGGGTTGAAGGGAGACTTGACTGCCAGCATAAAATGCGTAGGCAGTTGCGCCACGGGGATGATCCCAAAACGTTTTGTCAAGTGCACATAGTCTAGCTGGTGTAAGCTGAGATCGTAGATTGTATACAAGGGAAGATTCCAAATACCCTGTCCTGTTCTGTGAACGCAGAGAAATAACGCCCACATCACCCAGATTGAACCAACAACCCAGTGTACCCGGATGCCCCAGCCAGGCGCTACTTCATCCCCTAGCCACCATCTGAACAATCTCCATCGTTTCAAAAGCGACGCAGGCTGTGGACCTGACTCTGATGTATCTGTCACACTTCTATATTTACCTTTCGCTTGCCTTGTGGCCCGCTGATACACCCATCTCCCCAGCCTGTATCCCCAAAACCCCAATATCGGCACCAGCACAGACAGCTGAGAATACAGTCCATACTGACCCAACAGGACTCGGCGCGCCTGCTTCTCGTCTGGGCTGAGATGCACGATGTGATACGGCCACCCCATCTCGACAATCGAAACTCCCCCTTGAGCGGTGTCGGCGTCAAGTTGTCCTGCATCCAGTAGAGATCCGGAATGACCCGTTTATCTCGCTTGTTCCTGGCGCTAAAGTCGGTCCATTATATCACCGCTGAATGTTGATTGGCTGGAATTTGTATCCTGGTTTCCACCCAGTATTGGATTCGTTGAATCCATCAGAAATCTCCTGTGAAGCTGAGACATTCTAAGGGTAGTCGGAATTCTGATAACAATCTATACATTTGAAGCCTTCATAAAATAAAATAAAAAAACGTCCTCATAATAAAGCAGTCAATTCCAAGTACAAACTCATCCAGAAGAATATAATCTCGACCAAACCATAATAAAATCATACAAATGTCACTATCAATACCCTCCGCTACCATCCTGCCATCTTCCACCCTATCTCCACTGTCCGGCATTCTCCACTCCCTTCGCAATTCGCTTCGCACCATCCTCAACCCCGGTCCCTGCGCTCCCCAGCGCATCTCCAACCGGCTTGCCCGCGCTCCCCGTTGCACTTGTGATGGTATCGCCGATACCCCGGGTTGCGGCCCCAGTGACGCCACCAACGGTGCGGGACACCCCGCCCACAGTGTTACCGAGTGTGGAGGTGACGAATTTCGCAGCGCCGGTGACGCCGGTGTCTTGCGAGGAGGAAAATTGGTTGTTTGGCATGCTGGAGGTTTCTGAACGGCAGATTTTAGAAGAGGAATATACTTTGAAGTCTAATGAGACAGTGGATATTTTAGAGATAGATGTTGTTTGAAGGATAGAGATGTAATGCGGCAGAGAGAGAGAGAGAGAGATGTTGATCAGTTGAGGCTATATATGGCAGATGAATATAAATGACGTCATCATGGTTTGATGATCATCCAGAAGGGGGTAAATGATGAATGTGGCTATGTTGATAGGAAGAAAAATATATTTATATTCCTGACAGTATAATATGAAAAGCTAGAAATATATATATAGTTGTGGTTGATGGCTATATCCATGTTGATGTAGCAGAGAGTGTCATTAGAGATAATCTAGATGATGGGTGGAATGGGGTAAACCTGGTGTCTTTTAGTTTGATTGTGGCTTTTTATGAGATCCCGATTCCAAGACTCGGGAGGATAGTCTTCAATTGCATTTTGTCGTATCAGCTTGCCATGTGCGCGATCAATCCATGTACATGACTCGAACTGGTGTTGATGGTGCTGTCATGAAGCAATCTCGGGGTATCAACTCCGCTGTCCACTGCAGTCAACCCAGGGAACACCAAGGGGCCAAGACGTTGGAACTTTATGGACTCTGGCAGTGCTCGCAGAGTGAAATCGACCACGCTCCAGCAGATGCGTATGTGATTGGCTAAGTAAGTGCTCCCCGGGGTAGTTGGCGGATGTCTTGGCACATGGACGCCAAGATTGTGCGCCAGTCCGGGTGTTGACTGAGTGGGCTGCAATCCGACCATGCGACAGGAACGTGGTTGGAACTGCAAGGGAAGCGAGGAAATGTGCGCTGGGCATCTAGTTAGCTCGTGAGCCCGTTTGAGGCCTTATGGTTACTTGATATGCCCGCTGATATAGCTATATAAACTGGAGCAGCCTCAGGGGCATAGATGATCTGTGAGAGGAAACAAGTCCAATTCGAATCACCCTCGCAACGACAAGATGGTTCTCCATCAGTTTGATTATCTGTTTGCCATTGGCACCATCTTCGCCTTCCTTGATGCATGGAACATCGGTGCCAACGATGTCGCCAACTCCTGGGCGACATCCGTCTCGTCTCGCTCGTTGAAGTACTGGCAGGCCATGGTGTTGGCTTCGATCATGGAGTTCGGTGGAAGGTATGTCTTCTCGACCTGTTTGTTGGGCTGCAATGATGCTAACATTCTGATGCTAGTATTGGTGTTGGTGCCCGTGTCGCAGATACCATCCGGACAAAAATCGTCGATGTTAAGCAGTTCAGCGATAACCCGGCCCTTCTTATGCTGGGTATGGTCTGCGCTATCACTGCCTCCTCCATTTATCTCACCGTCGCTACTCGTCTCGGTTTACCGGTCTCAACCACACACTCGATCATGGGTGGTGTCATTGGTATGGGTATCGCCGCTCTTGGTGCCGACGGCATCAAATGGTGGGGAGGAGACATCAACTCGGGTGTTGTCCAGATTTTTCTCGCCTGGATCATTGCGCCTGCTCTGTCCGGTATCTTTGGTGCTATTGCTCATCGTCTGGAAAGGCGGATCTAGCAGGATCACGCTGAATGATGCCGAGACTGCCGGTGTGATCGTCGGCGTCGGCGCCGCCGTCGCTCTGGTGATCGCCGCCTTTTTCCTTCCCTGGTTGCATCGCAAAGTCATCAAGGGTGACTGGGAGCTGCAGTGGTGGCACGTCTTCCAGGGCCCTCTGGTCCTGCGCCGCGGCGAGGTTCCTCCCGCCCCTGCAGGCCACCAGAACATCCAAAACTTCTACGAAGGCCACAAGACGCTGGAGGAGCTGGAGCGCGAGCGTGCAGATCCCCACAGAGCCACACCCTCCGATGAGGAAAGCGAGGCTGGTAAGCGTGGAGCTGAGAAGGAGAATGGCGTCCTCGCTGCCTCGACTGAGGTCAACGAGCAGAAGTCCACTCTCATCGGGCCTCGTCCCGAAGGTGCAGCGCTCCACCCTGCTGTGCTCTTCTGGCAGTTCCGTCGCTTCTTCTTCCGCGGTATTGAACAGGACGTTGTCAGCCTGCAGAAGAAGCGGAATATTTTGACCGGCGACCTGGAGATGGTCCACGCCCACGCCAGGCACTACGACAACAAGGCCGAGTATATGTACTCCTTCCTGCAGATCATGACTGCTGCTACGGCTTCTTTCACCCACGGCGCCAACGACGTTTCTAAGTGAGCTTCATGAACTGAGTTTGCACTATCATCCAAGCTAACGACATGACAGCGCTGTTGGCCCCTATGCCACCATCTACTATGTCTGGTCCACGAATGACCTCAAGTCCAAGAGCCCTGTTCCCTACTGGATTCTGTAAGTGTCCAATCTCCATCCTTCACGCAACCTCTCTAATCATCTCCAGTGCTTTCGGAGGTGCCGCCATTGTCATTGGTCTGTGGACCTACGGCTACAACATCATGCGCAACCTGGGCAACAGAATCACCCTCCACTCCCCATCGCGTGGTTTCTCCATGGAGCTCGGCTCCGCCATCACTATCATCATGGCCACCCGCCTAAGTATGTCTCATTCCCACACCTCAAGCAGACACATCACTAATATCGCCAACAGAGCTCCCCATTTCCACCACCCAGTGTATCTCCGGCGCCACTGTTGGTGTTGGCCTGTGCAATGGCACCTGGCGCACAATCAACTGGCGCATGATCGCCTGGATCTGCTTCGGCTGGTTCATTACCCTCCCCGTCACTGGTATCATCTCCGGATGTCTGATGGGTATCATCATTAATGCTCCTCGCTGGGGCTTGACTTATTAGTTTGTGGGAGAGGGCAGGAGGTGGGGATAGTATAGTATAGTTGGTGAAGTTGTGGCAACCATGCTTTATTTAATGATGATCGACGGTCTTTGATTGATTGACATAGACATTCTAAAAGCACGGTTTTGCTTTACGAGCCAAAGAGTCTTGTCTGGTACTTCATCCCAACCTTAGCGAAGCATGTATCACTTTATCCGTACATTCCTCTACTATAAACCAAATATCAATTCGAGCAAACAACAATTGACTAACACCTTCCACCCATCCCCAGCTCCCAACATCCAATTCACCCCCACAAGCCCTAAGGCATAGCTTCCAAGCCACTCCGCCCCTCCACAAACTCCTCCCCACCCACATCTTGCTTACTGATGCTAATTTCCGGCTCACAATACAACAGAACCAGGTACCGGTGCGGCGCAGACCTACATCGAACTATCAACTTCAGATCCTTACAGTAGAAGGTATATGACATAGTCATCCTTCGGCCCCGACCCCAGATTCTCCGTCACTGCGGGCTGGGTCGTCCCCCTGGCGCCTTGAGATCAGTCACCATCCAGTTATCTCCAGAAGGCACATTTAGGATAGTGGGGAGTGGGCGCGTTGGGGTCAACGAGGAAGAGGGTGTACAATGCGTTTGGGTATGTTTCCTGCTGGGGTTAGTGCGAGGTGTTGGGGGAAGGGGAGGAGGCCTGTGAGAGGCACTAAGTGAGGTGCTAGGTGTGGGATTCGAGGGACATTTTAGTAGTAGATTGCATTGGATTGAACGTTTCTTCTGAGGAGTAACGTGCGATATGTTATAGTTTATGTATCGACTGGCTATCGTGAGGGTAATCGTACTGGTCTCTAAGTGGCGGAAAAATTCAAGGATCTTCCGTCTTGGTAGTCTTGAGCTTATGTGCAGGGTTACTAGGATGGGATAATGAGGCTAAATAGAATAGCACATACGCTTGTAAATTTACTCCTCTAGCTCTAAGTATCCATGTATAAATCTAGACCATACGCTCCAGCTTCCTCAACAGACCATCGGGCTCTGCGGTTCCCCGGGCCGCAATGCCATCTGCGCGCTCCTGGGTGTCCGCGACGGCGTAGATCCGAAGCTCGTCCGCGTTGCCAGAGGGACGGAAATGAGCAACGTCTCCATTCTCGAAGATGAGTCGGACCCCGTCCGTGTAATCGATTCTCGCAATCGCGGTGAACCCAACATCTGGCGAGAAGACAGTCTCGAGTTCAGAACGGATCCGTTCGTCAGGCTGGTCAGCGGATCCAGAGGGGGAAAAGCGCTGGAGAATCCGCATGCTGGTTGAACGTGGGAAATTGCGGATCAACGCGGCGCGGCTAAATCGCCTGGGGAGCGTCGAGAAGAGCTGTGGCAGCGTGATCTGGCGGGACTGCGCCGCGAACAAGGCACAGAGCAGCGGGAGAGCGGCATCTCTTGTTGGGAGCGCGGTCAGCATCTTGCCATTACGCTCAATGTCCGAGCCCGTGAGAAAGCCGCCGTTGGCCTCCCAGCCGCAAACACGCCGGCGGCCTTTCGCGATGGCATCCTGCATTCCCGCGATCACGTACGGACTGCCAATTTTGGTCTTTGGCTCGGTGGCGTCGGCGAGAGAGCCGCGGTCGATGGCATCGTTGGTGCTGATCGGGACGACGACGGCGTCGGCCTGGAGATACTCGGCGACAACCATGCCCAGCAGGTCGCCGCCGAAGAAGCGGAGTCTATCTCCTTCCGGAGCGAGAATAAGTGGCCGGTCGCTGTCGCCGTCGGTGGAGACAACCGCGTCGAATGTCTGGCCCGTGCTGTCGTAGAGCACTTGGATGGTGTTGAGCTGGACTGCGTCGATGGCTTCGGTGTCAATAGGAACAAAGGTCTCACTGCGACCAGCAATGGCCACTTTGGCACCAAGCTTCTGGAGAATTTCGACTGCGACATCGCGACCGACGGCAGAGTGCTGGTAGACAAGAATCCTCTTGCCTTCCAATGATTGACCTTCGAAGAAGTCCAGGTAGCGCTGGACATAGGCATCTTTACCCTCTGGTGCGATCGGGGGAAGTTCGGATGAGCCGTCCCGAAGCATTCCATGTTCATTGAAAAGTGACTCGGCGAAAGGCTGGGAGAGAAGCTCTTCGCGGGTGATTTTGACGAGCTCGTTGATAGGCTGTTCATCCTTCTTCAGGAGCTCTCCTTGGGAAGTATTAAGCTTGTAGCCGTTACGGTCGAACGGAATATGGCTGCCCGTTACCATGATACTCCCCTTGCCATTTCTCAGAGCAAAATAGGTGAGCGCAGGAGTCGGGATGGCGCCGAGGTTGATAGGATGCATTCCTGCATCCTTCGCGGCCTGCACCACAGCTTGGCTGAGGCCACCGCGGTTGTCCTTTACATAGCTCGTGGAGCTCGGACGCAGATCATATGCAAAGTAAAAATCATCACCAACTCGGATACCGCCCTCTGACAGTGGGAGAGACTGGAGATAGCGAAGTTCGGCGCGGACGTTGGTGTAGATCTCCAGCTGGGTTAGATCAACCACCTTGCCACGTCGACCGCTCGTGCCGAACTTGAGGGGCACTGGTTCATAGTTAAGATGAGCGATCAGAGGGTCGCTGAGAGATCCGGCAGCCATTTTAGACCAATCCGACAGCGGAATAAGTGATGAAAGTTGATAATTGTCGAGCAGTGAACAATAAAGTTGTTATTCGGGGGGGGGATGTTTTAAGGAGGGGCAAGCGGGATGAGGCTGCATGCGGCGATTTTTCACGCCAAGGTGGCTTCAACGGTGAGCGTGTTCTAACGTACAACTTATGATCCCTTCGACTTCACTCTCTATCGTACCTATCTTTCGATTAGATTCAGAATACCCAATCAATAATTCCTCGCGAGACCTCCGGGGCAATATCCATCCGCTCGCCTTGGATCATACCAATTCCTCACGCCTCGACTCTCACTATGTATGCCCCTGAGTGGCTGACTAATCCATTTGCCTCCATCAACCCCTGGTGATAGTTCGCTTTGTATGGTCTACGTAGTCCTGATCAGTCCTAGACATTTATATCAGGAGATTTTTAACATCAAAGGCGTTTGTAGCGGACCTGCCATTTACTGTGGGAACTATGTCATGCCATGTGGTCGCACTAGGACAACAGGCGGGTATACCACTACACACAATAGTCCATCCAATCATTCAAGAAATAGTATGATTTCCAGTTCAAGAGCCTGATAACATCAATAGAGACAGGGCCTCATCGGTACAAAGGAACGGCCCTTTAGCAAGCCGAATTAGTCTGCGTGAGCAGAGCAAGCTTCCACGGCAAGGAGTTATAGTTGCCAGTCGCAGCGGGATCCACGCCCTGGTAAAGGTATCGCAGCTTGCAAGGGCTGATGGTCAAAGTCTGGTCGACCTGGTCACGGATCATCTCTCCATGGCTGATGCTCTTTGTCCACACATTCCCGCTGAAAGCGACGTTCTTCGCACCAGCGAAGGGGTTGGACTCGCTAGCCGCCAGAGCAGTCCAGGTACCAGTGAGGCTGGTCGAGGTCCATGACCGGAAGTAGCGGTCACCTCCACTACCAATGGCTTCAACAATCAGCAGGTATTTACCTCCGCCCACGTGGTAGACATTGCTTGCTTCGAACAGGTTGTTGGGGTTGGAATCCTGCATCGCGATGACGGTGTTGGTCATACCGTTGGGGAAGTTGGCGAGCGTGGTCTGCGAGCGATAGAGATGGCCGTTGTCGTCGGAGGAGAAGAGGTGGCAGTTGGCGGAGTCACAGATCACCCACATATCGACCCAGTAGCCGTTGCCGATATTTTCTGTGATGATGCTGGGCTGGCTGCTGTAGAAAGTCTTGGGCGCGCTCCATCCTGCAGGGTTGCTGATGTCCTTGTTGGTAGAGTAGGCAGCATTGCCATTCTGGTACACAAGATACCAGAGGTTCTGTGGCTTGAAGAAGAACACCTGGGGCGCAGCACGGTATCCGCTGCCGATTGGCGATTTATCAAGGTAGAAGAAGGGCGCGTTGTTTGCCTGGTTGAAGTCGGTGAAATTGAAGTAGACCATGTTGTAACCCGCACTAGTGGCAGTGCTAGCAAAGACATGGTACGTGCCATCGACCTCCACAATGGAAGGGTCTTTGAGTGCAGCGATGCCGCGACCATCATTCTTGGGGTCGACAAGTGGGCCGCTGGAGGACCATTTGAAGCTAGAAGGCAGGCTCCCCCCGGTGCCGGACGTGGCGGTACTGGCTGTGGACGTGGCGGTGGTGGTCACTCTCGTCAGGGTCGTGCTTGGCGAGCAGCTTCCAGGGAGACACTGAGAGTACCAAGGATTCTGAATTTGGCAGCATGCGCCTGAGACACACTGAGTAGGCCCGGTCCAGCCGTTTCCACCACCTGTTTGTGATTACGTTAGTAAAATCCCTGTCCAAACCAGCTGGCTGACTTTTACATACATTGACCGTAGAGGGTCTGCTGGGCAGCCGCAGTGAGTGCCAGCTCGAGGAGTATGGCCCCCAACATCTTTGCAGAGAGGATCATTTTGGGTCTTTATGAAATGGTGGTAGGGTTGGATGGAAGAAGAAGAACTGCTTGCTCGAGATAAACGGTATACATGGTGAATCTCCAGACTATTTATACCGGTCAACTTTGACGAGGGTATCCAAAAGGATAGAGTCGACCGGCTAAATAGCTTAATTTAAAAAGAGGCCCACCCATTACCCCCAATCCACGGAAAAATTAGATTGTCGTACGCCGTCTTGGTTCTTGCAGAATGCGGGGGTGAAGAATGCACCTCCGCACGGAGTAAACAACCCCGGATATCTTAATTGACTTAGAGTCTGCCAGCAGACCGGGGCCCCGGCTATATCAATACGATCTTGCAATTCATCCGGAGCCCCCTACTCTCTCGCCGGGATTAGTGGGTTCAAGAGAGCTACATAGATCACATATCACTACTACCCAATGGATTCAGCCACATGATACTGTTCATATATCTCCCACAAAGGCGCAAAGTCAAAACTAACCGAATGTGCCCCACAGAATTTCGACTTCCTAAATTAATTGAATTGCGAAATGAAACTCCAGAGCTCGCCGGGAGTCCACGAAGAGCTTGACCCAGCATCAGTCGCCAACGGCTCATGTGGACCGTCAAAGGCAATCCACCATACAGGATGGTCAGTAGAGCACCCGGAATACACGGTCTTAATATGCTTCCCACTACCCTTGGCAGGCTCTGAGGGATTCTGCGGGGTACACTGGTTATCCTTGACGAAGGTATCCCGGATCTGACGACCAAGACTGATGGAGAGCACGTCGTCAGAGCCCCCATGCTGACCATAGTACCCTACCGGCTTGGTGCCAGGGCTGCACCCGCTGAGGTTGGCACCGGACATGACCGCAACACCTCGGAAGACGTCCGGACGGGCGCACGCGAGCGCATACGACATGGACCCGCCGTAACTCCATCCCATCGAATAGATTTGAGAATCATCGATGCAGAATTCCGTCGTGAGTTTAGCCACGAGCTGGTCGTTGAAGGTAATGTCGTCTCCGTTTTTGTTGGCCCAGCCATTGTCCAGGCCCTGCGGAGCGACGAAAATGGCGCTGTTGCCCGACAGTGGCTGCACGCCGTAGTAGGCGCCGCCGGCGACATTCTGCATCGTTCCGCCGAGCCAGTGGTAGCCGAATATGAGTTTGTAGGGCTTGCTGCGGTCATAGTTCTGGGGCAGGGTGAGGGTGTACTGCCTCTGGATGCCGTTGACAGTCATGGTGTAGGTTCCGCTGTTCATGCTGGGTGTCTTGCCGCATCCCGTAGAGTGGCCGCCTGGGGCAGTTACGGTGGTGGTCGATGCAGTCGTGCTGGTCACCAGAGTTGTAGTAGGAGAGCTCGGCTTGCAGTCCCCTGGCAGACACTGTGAGTACCAGGGGTTCTGAACCTGACAGCATGCTCCTGCTGTACACTCGGTGGGTCCACTCCAGCCATTACCGCCACCTTCATTGTCCTTGTTAGCAGTTAATTGTAGTGCTTTGAGAGAGGCCTAACTTACACTGGCCATAGAGGGATTGTTGGCCCAGAACAGGAAGAGCCAGAGCCAAGAGAACCACTCCCTTCGTGTTTGCAATGGACTTCATAGTGATTATTCTGATCTGGTGTTAAGAGTTGGGGATTCTTTACGTTTTCGATATGGTTAACAGGCCAGAGCTCTCCTCTCTCCAAGAATCCAGCGGTATTTATAACATTTCGAGTACGACGATTTCTACATTCAATCCAGCGACTTGAAACTCGATGCGGCGATGATCACTACAACACGGTCTTCTCGACCCTCAAAATGGCTAAATGCCTGCTCTTCAAAGACAAACTCAACTTTATCCAGAATTACCCCACGATATTCAATGTGACCACTAACGCGTATAGATATATCAAAGATGGAGTCTAGCGAATGGAACGTTGTGTTCGAGATCAACGATCGATTTTTCGAGCACTTTCTGCACAACAATGGCAGGGAGCAGGCTCCATCCCCACATTATCGGCACTGAGAGCATAAAGCAAATTGCCGTTCTTGCAGGAACATGTTTTCGACGGGGTAGATCCTGATAGATTGCGTGAATGTTAACCCATGTTGAACGTTGCCATTCCACCCGGGGATTTGCCTGATTGAGCCCGGATGCGCTCCGTATTGCTTAATCTATTCAAGGGAACGAAGGCTAAACCTTCACTCAAGACACAAGAATCCGGGGGTCTGAGCTGGACGTATGACCAATTGCTTCATACGATTGAAGAGAGGTTTAATCAGTCCCCGGAGACTCCAAGGTTATTCAGTGTCAATTCGGGTGTTGCATCGAGCTGCTCATGCCGAATATATTGTGCTCAGACTGAGTAGTGCGACAACTACTTCGAGCCTCGGCGTATTCACAGGAAGATTAATTAACCTTCTCGCGTCAGTTTTAGAGTGTTCCCATTCTATCGAAAGTCGTTGAGAGCTTCTGGTTGGGTTCAATTTAGCCCTTCAGGGTCGCCTAGTCCATACCTAGCCTTTTTGTTCGCCTCTAGACTGGTTCCAAAGCTACTGAAGTAATCAGCATGATTCTCACATTCATCCGTCATCAACTGGAACCTACTCTTCTGGCCACCCGTGATGTCTCCCCTGATCATTGATCTTATTTCTTGCTTCGCTGTCCCTATTTTCAAAACCAATGCTTCTGGGAGTACTCGAATTTGACCTTCTGCGGGCTTTTACTGAACTTGTTGGTGTACAGTGAGCGCATTTTGTCATTGACCGACAATGTGAAGTACCTACAGCTCTACTGATCTGTGTTGATCATCCGCCGGTTGTTGACGTTCCGAGCTTCTGAAGATCTTTTGAGAGGGTCTATGACCCGGAGAGTGATCGATCGGCATGGTCGATTATCTTCTGCCCTCTGCGATCCCCCGCTACGTGGCACTAGTACTCAGGTGCATCTATCTGCGTTCTGTACGTCTAGGGGATGTAGAACGTCTCCTCACCTCGACTGATGTTGGCACTAAGCTGTGCATTATCACTCGTACATTTGGCACTATTTCACGTCTCTCTCTCTCTCTCTCTCTCTCTCTCTCTCTCTCTACTCGCGGTGCACCTTTTATTGACAAGTGCTCGGGGGATTCATCAAACCCTGCGAGTCGTCTTCAGCAGCGACTGCAGTCTGCTGATGATGCCAGAATCGCTATGACTACGCTGCTTTATGATTGAGAAATCTCAATACTAGCTACAATAAGAGGGGTTCTTGAATGTCAGGCATTAATAAATCACACTGTTACAGCTCTTCAATGTCAAGGAAGGGTACACCGCAGGCAATACAACAGACCAACATATGGCGGTGAGACTCATGACGATTGACTCTGGTGTTACTGATGCCTTTTGTCCGGGATCCTGAACAAAGGACCAAGAGTGGGTTGTACTGGATGGCAGTCAAATCAGGTTTTCGAGCCAAGCGGTCCAGCCCGGAGATGATATCTCAAACTCCTTGCTGTTAATGGAAGAGTGCGCATGCTAATAGCGCACCAGGGGTGGAAAATGGGGTCAACAAGGCATTTGTTTTGGGGATATCTTATAAATACACTCATCTTTCTGGTTGATTGAAACGTTAAACTTTCAAGTCTTTGTTATCTTGCTCATGAACTATTATATGCTTAGCTGAAGTCTACCTTGCATGAGAGGTTCTCTGTCCCGAAGAAAAGCCTCTTTAGGATGATATTCATCTCCAACCCATCTTCCCACCCTTCAGTCGCAGTCACAAACACTCCATGTCTAACCCGCCCAGCCCCTCCCTTGATCAACTTCTTGGAACTCCCCCACCTCCCGGGTTGGGACTGGACAGTATCCAGGCCATGAGGTGGGGGGCCAAACATCCTCCAAAAGACCCGCAGGCCTCATTTGCAGGCAAAGTAGTCATGATCTCCGGCGCCAACTCTGGAATAGGGTATCATGCCGCTGAAAAGTTTGCCAAGCTAGGTGCATCCAAGGTGATCTTGGCTGTCCGAACACCAGCCAAGGGCAACATGGCCAAGGAGCAGATCGAGGCAGCAATGGGATGCAGCGAGAAGTCGAACGGCATCGTTGTCATGCAGTTGGACATGGATGATTTTCAATCTGTCAAGCAATTTGCCACCAAGTTGGAGGAGGAAGTCGCCGTCGACGGACTGGATGTCGCTATTTTGAATGCCGGCATTTTGGCGCCGAACTATACGGCGATTGAATCGACAGGCTGGGAATCGACACTACAAGTCAATGTCCTCTCAACGGCTTTGCTCGCTATTCGCCTCATGCCTCTACTGAAACGGGCCGCCGAGAGAAACGGTCAGCCGTCTCAACTGACGATGACAAGCAGCGCGGGATCTCTTTCAGTAACTCCCGCGGATATACCCACGGATGTGCCGAGCATACTACAGGCCTTAAACGAGCCCGGGTCGTTCGGCTTAAGATCGACATACGTCATCTCAAAACTACTGGTTTTGTACATCATGCGCGGTCTTGTTGACGATTATTCCGAGCCTGTACCTCCCAATGAGTCGATGTGCGGGAATACACACCCGCCGATCTCTGTGGCCGTCAATGTGATCTGTCCTGGATATACAGTCACAAATATTGGCCGAGGGGCTCCCTACTACATAACTGTGATGAACAAGCTGTTGCAGCTGTATGGGGGGAGATCAGCAGAGCAGGGGAGTCGATCATTGGTGAGTGCGGCACTACTGGGGGTACATGGACACGGGAAATTTTGGTCCCATGACACATTTGTTGAGTGAGTATTCTGTCACACTGCAGGAGGATATATCACTGGCTAACCCTGGGTTTACAGCCAAGGATACATGGTCACCAGTGAGGAGGGCCAGAAGCTGCAAGCTCGGATATGGAAGGAAATCCACGGTGTTTGCATGAAAGAACTCGAATGAATTCTCAACATGGAGAAATTGTGGTAGAAAGGCTTTATTTAATGAGCGAAAGTCAGTTTCATACACACAGTTGCCCAAATAATAGGGCAAGATACACGAGCCCTTAATAAAACTAGGGCAATCATTTCGTTTTCCCAGTATTAGGAGCAATGAACCGCCACAAAAGACCGAGAGTCTAGGATTGTCGCTTTCTCCACGCTGCATAAGTACTTAGGCCTCTTAAGGATGCGTGTAGTGATTCTACCTTATCTGTAATTCTAATGCAATGTGGGGGTCCTAAGAATGATTGGACATGTCTAGCACTCTCAATAGTGCATATCTTATCATCTGACGCAGGTATTGGATCATCAACAGCCTAAATTCTCAGCTCCAGCGAGCTGAACTGAAACAAACAATGTCTCTAGTTAATGTGAGCTCGGGGCGAGCAAGATTGGCCTGTTAGCTCAACCCTTTTCTGCTGTTAGTGGATGTACAGTCCGCAGATGCAGTGCTAACGCAGCAACGAATGCTATTTGTCGTATTGTTGTCTCTTTCCCTGTATCGACCCTTACATCCTGCGCCCAATTTTGGGGCCAGAAGCACCATACACCTCTTTTTGGGTCTACGACAGCCCCTCATGCGTCCACTTTGTCATGCACATAAAAGCTGTTGGAGGAGATATAGAAGGCTGAGCGGAGGAATATATCATCACCAGCATCCACCCCACAAGCGATCTATCTAAACCATCAAAGCAATACTAGATTACATCGGTACAGTCTCAAAACTATGGAAGAACATACAGGGGCCTTCAAGCCATTCGACCTGACCTGTTTGGATCATACAGTGGGGCCAGTTTTCATGAACTTTTTCCTATGTTTCCAACCCGCGAACATCGAGGAATCTTTGCTCGCAATTGAAGATGGGGTCGCTCGCCTTGTGAAGAAGCTACCCTTTCTGGCGGGAGAGCTTGTCCATAGATCAACTACGGATGGGAGGGGAAATATAATGCGGATCCAGCCATCCTCGACTCTGATCCACGAAATCCCCATGCTTGACACCAAGCATCATCCTCAGCATATTTTACCGAACACCCCACAGCAAATTGCAACAGATCCAAATCCTGACCAGAGCTTTGCACCTCTAGATAACTCATATGTTCCTCCAGTCTCGCTGTTGCCCCTGGCCCCAGGCCCCAGGCCCGTTGTGCGGTTCCAGACAAACGTTCTGAAGGACGGAATCGTACTGGCCCTGGGATTTCACCACGCCGTGTTTGACGCTACGGGAGCTGGACTATTGATCGAGATGCTAGCCGATTCCTGTCGGGGTGACCATTTTCCAGCCCAAGCCCCGAATATTGAGCATGAAGAGGAGATCAGGTTGAAGCGCTCAGTGGACGAGATAGGTATTCTCGCCAACGAATCGGACCGGGCAGACAAAGTACAAGATCCCAACGGCAGCAAGACGGAGTCAGCTGCACAGGCACCCATGGGAGATTCAACCTGGGTTCCGCCGAAGCTGTCTGTCTATTCCTTCAACCTCTCAGCAGCAAGCCTCGCACATCTCAAGACCGCCTGCAACAAACTACTGCCTGTCGTTCTTAAGGCCCAGAACAGTGCTCTAGAGGATGCCAATGAAGAGAAGCTTTCGCAAGAATTCGTCTCCACCAACGATGTCTTGACCGCACTGCTTGCGACCAGCATCTCTCAAGCTCGCAGCCGTGTAGCTGGAACCGAGCTTGTTCCCGCGGAGTCGAAGCTTGCCATTGCTGTCAACCTACGCGAGAGAGCCTCTGCTCTCCCCCCAAATTATCTGGGAAATTCCTTAACCGTCGCGGAGGCATTTGTCCACTCCCTAGCCGCGGAAGATGGTTTTAATGGCGTCTCAGAAAAGCAGCACCACCCCGACATCGGGAATGCATTCCTTTTAGAGATCGCGAGGGTAGCACTACAGCTTCGGAAGTCGCTTGCTGCAATTGACGACGCATACTTCCGCGAGTTTGTATCGCGCCTGTGGGCTGGTAAGAACTGGAGCCAGGTCGGAGCGAATCTTCCCGATACAATGGTGTCGAGTTGGCGACGTCTCAAAGTTTACCGTCTAGACTTTGGCGCGCGTCTGGGTTGCGTTGTGGAGTTCCAACCCCAGGTTATCTTGTTGGATGGGACATGTGTTATCCAGCCAGAACGTGTGGCTCATGAGAGAGATCTCGCTGCTACGGTTCCGGAGGCTGGGTGGGAAGTTTACGTTACGCTACAATCTGATGCTATGGAACGTTTCCTTCATGATGGGCTGTTTACCTCTCTTTCTCAAGGAGCGATCAGACGGGCTTAAGCTGGTTATCTTACGCAGAGCAAGAATTAGATTCAACGACCTCTCCAACCTTGCTATGAATATGTGTCCCCTCAATAGGGTGCAGCCAATTGAGCTGGAGAGGCCAACGCTTGTCGCTACAGTCATTCTCGTCCTTATATAAGATGACATGAACTACTGGTCCAATAGTCGCGATGACGACGGGCTTAAAGAACGTAGATTACGTCTGAATCATGAATATTGCGCAAGAAGGCTGCAGAAAAGCCTATCTTTTCTATGTGACAGCCGTATGATGAGGAAGCTAGTTGTACCTTCAAGCACTACAACAATCACTTCCAGAATACACATCTGTCGATGGATTTCATGACCAGATCACCGAAATTACTCTGGCCTCCTCTGCATCTATCTGTGTATACCCCATGTTTTCAACAGGCATTGTCCCCATCATGTTATTCTTCTCGCCTTTGTAACCATTTTGTTGGTGGACCTGCATTCAGATCGAGTATGGCTTCCAAGAGTTTCTCAAAGAAGCTGTGATCCCACTCTACTATCAAGGTGCACCGGTCGACGAAGTCGGAAAAGTCGGAATGTACCAGGCTGGTGGGTATCACTCCATACTGATAGGAGATACTCTTCACTCCCGATATCAGATAATCTACAAGCTGAGTTACGGGACCTATTCAACTATCTAGCTCTGCTGAGATAACCAATCTCAAAGATATGTAGCAGTCAAAGTTCCAACGGCGGAATCAGACAGCCGGCAGGTTGATCATCTGGACTATCTCAACTACTCTTCTCCACTTCACCATCCAGTCAGGGATATGATATTACCTATTATGACAGATATACTATCTATGGTTCCGGCCGAATTCGACCAGTTTACAACAGAAGAGCTGTATGAAAAATACGCCTCACCCTCTTTATAGCCGGTTGTTCATCTGGATGATCAACCCTTTGGGCCTGTTGTTCCATCGAGCGCTGTCCCTCCCATCTCGCTTGGAAAGCCCTCGGAGGAATCCCTCCCCCGGCAGGTACCGAAGTGTTTCTCGGCGACTTCAGAAAGTCCTACAGACTATCAACACAGCATCGGCGTCATTCTCTTGCCTCCCGTTCTTTTAAACCTCCCGAGGCGCGATTCGAGCTAGAACGAGGACTTTCCTTCCCGTCTGATATCTGGACTCTCATATATTTCATATGGATACTGCTCGGCGAGCCGCCCCCAGTTTAATGAATACCTTGCTACAGCAGAAGGCATCACGGCGCAGCAGGTTGATGCACGAGGAAAAATACCTTTGAGATGGTGGGAAAATGGGAAGCCATACATGAATGAGTATTTCCATGGTAGTGGAAGACCAAATCGTGGCTGGATCTACTGGAATGGGCTTAGACAACATTGACTCGCAGGAAGCATTGGACGAAATATGAACCGAGTCATGTTTCCGCCCTATATAAACCACCTTTTAACTACTTCTAGCACATACGACCACAGGGTGTGGAGAACAGGGCTTCCCGTCCGCTCAGCCGTACTTAAGCCACACGCCGGCCGGTTAGTAGTTGGGTGGGTGACCACCAGCGAATCCCGGCTGTTGTATGTTTTTAATTTTTATTATACCCATCAAATATGGGACCGTCTCGCCGGGGCACCTCCATATCTCATCACTTGAGAGTCGAGACTATCTTGGTAGTTGCCACAGGAAAGAAGGGCACTTGGAGTCCTTACTGATCCTATCCTTTGTTTTGCATGTGTAATCGACATCTTGCAACTATTCGAACTCATCCCGTTGCATATCGATCGACTTTAATCTAAGTAAGGTTTTTATTGTACCTTCCAATCATGCTTCTGTCTGAAGCTCTATCAGCGTCTTGCCCATCCATCTCGTGTTGGGACTAGCTCACTCCGAGTATACCTTTGAGCACTTTTGAACAGGATTGCCCCCTGTTTCCACATAAGATTAGGCCTTCAAAATTACGACAGCTTCCCCCTGCTGGAGCCTGGATATAGCATCCTCTATTTTCTCTTGTCTCAATCATTTCCAAACAGAACCTCTTCCTATAGCACTCAGAGGTATGTGCCAACTTCAGAACACCGCCCAGGTGTTTCCATGCTCACGTGCAGAGCAAATCACAGATCATATACATGCTGTTATAGGAATCTACCACTGCAATAAAAAGGTGTCTAGACTGTAGTTAAGTAGTAATAGTAGTTCTTTTATAATATGCCTCTCCAGGGTGAAAAGACTTATATTTCTACTCTATTACTAGAATATTATAAATCTTTAGCTTATTTTCAATACTTATTTCTCTCCTGATATAGTTATATCTTCTAACACTAGCTTATACTAAGTTAGCATAGAAGTTGGGGGGACAGGCTCTCAGAGATTTTATGAACATGTAATAGTGGTGAAAGCATAGATGTGAGGCCATCAGGCTAAGTTTGAATTATTGAACAGATGAAGATATCTACAGCTGATGTATATAATCTTTAAGATTTTGTTAGTTTTGTCTGCATAGCTGCATATTAGGGCGGCTGGGCCAGAAATTAATTTGAAGGGGAACAATTAAGAAATATATAATATAGCTATAAAATAGCTCAACATAAGTGTATGTTTTGAATGTATTTATTATTCTATATGTAGCTAATATCACACTGATCTCATAAACTTCTAATAGCATACCTTAATTAAGTTGTTTGTGTCTAGAATGCATTTATGTGCAGCATAGTTCTGTTAAACGGTACACTTTGACTTTCAATCACAACCAAAGCCTATTTGAGACAACATATCAGATAATTAGATTGGCAGTAACACAGTTAATTGGGCCGAAATAACTAAGGGAACCACATTCCCAAAGGCTTCTTTGGCCTTTTGTCGGTGCTTGGCAATCTTTGTGCCTCGGGACGGACGGGCTGTGATGAGTGATGTTGTGCCTGGGGCGATTCAGTAGGCCGATGTGGAGAGTACGCGACTGTCATATGCGGTGACGGCGCATATAGGGAGCTGGCCAATTCGGGATAGCGTTCCTAGCAATTGATTTATGCTGGTGGATGGGAAGTTTGGATGGTGAACGTGTGAGATACTTAGGGATTCTGCGTTTACAGAATGATGCTCCAGGCAGAAAAGCGTTCAGGTCATGTAGATTAGTTTTATTATACAATTAGCCAGCATAGGTTCACTCCTCATACTTCCTATCATCCGATATCCACCACTGACTCGTCGTCTGACGACGATCCCGCCGCAATAACAAGACTCATCTCCTTGAACAGCTCCTCGACCTCAACCTCCCCAGCCTTGGCTGCCAAATCACAAGCCGTCTGCCCGTTATTGTCCTTGAGCTCTGACTCCGCCCCATGACCCAGCAAGAAGTGCACATCCTCCCGGAGGCCTGCTTCCGCCGCTATATGCAGCGCCGTCTGCCCGAACATATCCTTTGCGTGGATGTTCGCCCCGCGGTTGACCAGCAGCCTCATCACATGGTTCTTGGCCCGCACTGCGCGGTGCAGCGCAGTTTTTTTGTAGTCGTCCTGCAGCTCGATATCGGCGCCGTTTTTAAGCAGATATTCTACCATCTTGCGGTGGCCGCGTTCGACAGCCTTGTGCAGTGGGGTCTCGCCGCAGTGGTTCGTCACGTTGATGTCGCAGTCGTGCTCGATAAGAAGAGCCACGAGTCGTCTGTGGCCTCCTGACGCGGCAAGATGGAGCGGTGTGTCGCCGGCTTTATCTTGTGCTTCGGCGTCGGCGCCATGGGCGAGAAACTCGTCGATGAGCTTGCTTTGCTCGTGGAGCACGGCTACATGCAGAGGTGTCGTGCCGTCTTTGGCGACCAAGTTCACCTGTGCGCCTCGTTCGAGAAAGAGGGCTGTCAGATCCAAGTCGCCGTCCTTGGCTGTGAGGTGGAGCGTGGTCTGGCCACTCCCGTCTTTGGAGTTGACATTTGCGCCCTTTTCGAGGAGAAGCTGCAGCAGTTTCATTCCGCGTTTGCTGCGGTCGTGGACCACCAAAGCCAGCAGGAGTGGAAGACCGGACTCCCCGGACGGTGAGTCGATGTCCGCGCCCTTCTTAATCAGGTACTTGACGATGTCAAGATGTCCCTTTCGCCCAGCTTGGTACAACGGCGTCCCGCGCGGACCCTTGCCCTCATCGGAGGCCGGATGGATCTCCATATCCGCGCCGTGGCGAACGAGCAATCGCACGATCGTCGAATGCCCGTTGCGAGCCGCCCACCAGAGCGGCGTTCTCCCGCTCGCGTCCGCAGTATCGAGATTCACCCTCTTGGATCCGATCAGCGACCGGACGACCTCCTCCAGCCCCTTCTCCGCGGCCCAAAGCAGCGGCGTCCGCCCATTGTTATCCTTGACGTCGGGGTCTGCGTTCGCTTTCAACAGCTGCACTACCAGCGCCTGGTTCCCCTGCTCCACCGCCCAGTAGAAAGGCGTTTGTCCGTTTGCGTCAGCGATGTTTGGGTCGATTCCGCTCCGAGCGAGTAACAGAGTGACGATCTCCTCCTTCCCATTCCGCACAGCCACGTATAGCGGCGTCTGGCCATTGCTGTCCGGCGTGTTGGGATCAACGTCCGCGTGGCCCAGCAACCGCCCAATAATCCCCTTATGTTCATTCTTGACCGCCACCCACAGCGGCGTCTGCGCGTCCGCACCGGGAGTATTCACATCCACATCCGCGCGCGCTAGTAGATGCCCGACAATAGCTTCATGCCCATTCTTCACGGCCCAGTATAGCGGCGTCTGGCCCTGCGCGTCAGGGGTATTCGGGTTGACGTCGGCGCGTGCGAGGAGCAGGCTCGTGGCAGCTTCGTGGCCGCCCTTGACAGCCCAGCAGAGCGGTGTCTGGCCGAGTTTCTTGTCTGCTGCATTTGGGTCGACGGCGCCGGTTTCCAGAAGGATCTGGATGACGCTGCCGTGTCCGCCCTCCGCGGCCATCGAGATTCCATTGCGGTTGTCCGGGTCCACGCAGCCGAGGTTCACGCCGGGAGTGCTGAGGAGGAGTTTCACGATCGTGTCGTAGCCCTGGCTGGCGGCGAGGAAGAGGGCGATTTCTAACTTACCCGGGGTGGGCTTTGCGTCGCCGGAGTCATCCGTCATGGTGGCACGGAGTTGCCAGATTCGCGAGGTGACAAATTTTTGACACCCTGTGGTTTTTCAAGGGATGGATCCCGTTGACGGGGAATTTCGCTGCCCTTTGTAGTTGCGCCATTGGGAGATGGTGGCCATGGGTTTTTTCGAGGGGCAGATCCACGACATCATCCTGTGCATCCCTCGACTTCGACCCGCTGCCACGTGGGGGGCTGTTACTGGTCGCCAGGCACGCCTGCAGAATCATCGCGAAGATGAAGTGGTGGCACACTGTGCCTGACTTGGTAAGTTGTCCCACGTTAAGTGCCCTTGTCTGCTGCCGTCGGGTTCAGTGGCGCGTCTGGTGCTTTGGGTGTTTTGGTGCAACTGGGTGGCCTCGCTTGGCTCGGGCTCGTGGGGTTGCATGGCGATCAGTGGGTTAGGCATGATGAGATGGGAATGTGAAGGTTGCAAGTTGGAGTATCCTTGAGAAATAGTTTGAATATCTCAGTCTAAGCCGAAAAACCTCTCGTGTGACCGGACATAGCTCATGTGTTAGGGCATCTCTTGTTAGGAGTGTCGTTCTTTATCACAGCAGAAATACCCCGCATTCTCATGGAGGGGCATTCATTTCTTCATTTCTTGTGGGTTTTCGCTTCACAGCTCAATTCTGCGGCATGTGAGACATCTGGTTACTCTGATGGACCTAGATTCAGTCTAATGAGACCTTGATATCATCAACCAGGGCGAACGACTTCATATGATTGGAATGCCGGACTAATATCAGTGCAAGGACACTCACTCCCCATGGAGATTGAACAACTCATATGTGATATCTCACCAAAAACAAGGAAATGAACTATAACAACAGGCGCAATGCGATCCAAGCACTTTACACTACATCCTTCCTCTCCCACCCCGTCGGCTTCAAATTCTCAATTCCCTTGGTGGGATGCGGCTTCTCCTCGTCCCGATACACAGACACATACGGGTTCGGGTCCTCCTTCCACTCCAGATTCCCAAATGTATGATTCACCTCGCGATGCTTTGCCTCGTCCGCCCGGATGTATAGCAGCAGATCGCGCATACTGCGGTGGCCCTCGGGCATGTTCCAGTACTTGACCGCAATCTCAGGCGCCTGCAGGTTCTCCCACTTGGGCAGCTTGCCGGCTTCGATATCAGCGATTTCGCGCGTGTACGTGATCACGGCCTCTTCCTCGAGGTAGCCGACGAAGCGGTGGCAGATGACTGGGTTCACCAGATAGGCGATGAAGAAGGCGTTGAAGAAGACGCCCTGGGCGCCGAGGACGAGGAGGCGGAGGAAGAGGCCTGGCTCGGCCATTTGGAGGAAGGTGAGGAGGTGCATGCGCTCGTTGTAGGATTCTTCCAGGAGGGTTTCGATCCTGGGGTCGATCAGTATTTGCCATCTGAGGGATCAGAGGGATGAAGCTCCTTACCAGCCGTTATCTCGCTTCATCCGTCGCAGACTGCGGAGATGACGCAACATCCCGCCCACCATCCCGGGGACACCGGCGATGCTCTCGAGGAAGATGTTCCGGATAAGGTACTTCTCCTCCGTCATGGCGTACTTCTGCTGCGCCGTTGCCGGGTCCTTCTTATGCAGCGCGACCGCCTGGTCGTGTCGGTAGCCCGAGACAAGGTCGAAGCCGGACCGGAGCATCCGGATCGTGGCTAGGGCCACTCTATCACTGAACGTACGTGTCTCTCGATGAGCGATGCCGACTTTCTTCATATCCTCCTCGGTGTAGCTAGACAATTGTGAGGATGCATACTTTTTTTCTAGTGAGTGGGATATGGCTTACATCGGATGGGGCCATGCCGGCGGCGTGATTCGGATTTTCTTCGTCTGAGTTTCTGGAAAGAAGAGGCGGATCTGCTTCGTTGAGGTTGTTGTAAATGGGCGGATGGAGAGACTCCGCAGGTGAGTGGTGATGGCCGGGTAGGAGTTGATGGCGCATCGGGCAATCAGAGGAGAAGGCATGACGGCTGGATGAGTTCGTGGAAGAAAAGTTGGGACTTTCCAAGGGAAGAAAGGAAATATGGCCCGAAGGGAAATACTATATGCTTCATCGTCTGTGGTGACGGATAATCATGAGGTTATACTATACGTCATGACGTCGACGACCTGGTGGTATTTCATTCTGGCGGAGGCTACGTCCGCTTTCGACCTTAGGAGGGATGGGCCATCTCGTATCCAAGAAGTGATATAGGGATGGGATGGGATTTATTCGACCTGTTCTGCATTTTAGTCCACATTCCAGACCAGGAGTCAGCATGGAAGTGGCATGCCGCAGGTGAACCCTAAACGACTCTGATAGCGACCAGTCCGAATTTAACAGGCCAGGAACGCAGCCAATCGGTCCGAAGTGCCCATGTTGGTCTTTCTTCTTAGAGTCCTTCGCGAATCGCCATTGGATGTCGACAGTGGTTAGATATATTCTGCTTGGGGCCGAGGATAAGCACTAACAAAGACTCATAACACTAAAACAACCATGCCAGCCATATATGTCATATATTTAATGGCTCAAGCCCCTGAATTCCTGAATCATCATATCTACAACATTAACAAACACCTCCTAGGCCTGTAAATATGACTGTCAAACCACAGAAACCCACCTGCGCCCTCGAACCCATCCATCTAGACAACCCCAATCATTTCGCCAAACTTCAAACCCAACGCCAACTCTGCGGCTGGGATCACGAGATCACCACACTAAAAAAATGGGCAACCAAACAACGCGAAGGCCTCAAGAGTCTCTTCTGGATTGCCATCCCTGACCCTTCCATCACCAACATCAATAGTACAATCTACGTCGGCCACATCGCCCTCGACGCCTACGCCGACCCACCGGACCCGGACCTCGCGCGCGCAGACAAATCCATCCTCACAGTCCACTCCTTCTTCATCATGCCGGAGTACCGGGCGCTACGGTTAGGCCGGCGCGCCATGGCTCTTGTGGAGGAGATGGCCGTTGAGGAACCGCGGTGCCGGTTGATCACGCTCACGGCGCTGAGTAAACGGTACATGTACGAGGAGGGGCCTGAGGGGCGCGGCATATGGGCGCGGATTGGGATGGACCAGCCGGCGTTTAGTATCCAGGAGTGGTATGAGAAAGGGGGCTATGTGGCTTGGAAGGAGGGCCCGTTGTATGAGGCGAGCACGGTGGATGGCGGGGTGGTGGTGCTGTGGGAGGCGTTTATGAGGAAGGAGGTGCGGGTGGAAGGTTGTGCTGAGCGGAAATTGATGAAATAGATATACATTATATCTAATCTATGGTCAAACTATGGGAACGGGGTGGTTATTTCTTTCCCTTTACCGATACCCACTTCATCGCCAGCACGCCCAGGATCCCGAAACAAGACAGCGCAACGCCCACGTAGAAAGTCTGATTCAACGCCTTGTTGTACGCGAAAATGACTGAGTCGTACAGGTGACTAGGGACCAGGTGCTTGATCTCTGTCGCGCCACCGTCCAGGATAACGCGCGGGTCCGCGTCAGGGACAAACTTGACGAGGTTCGCCCTGAGCTGGTTGGTGAACACGTTCTGCGCGACGGACACCATCACCGCGGACGTCAGGTTCTCCGTGAAGATGACGATCGCCGTGCCGATGGGGATGTCCGCGATTGGTAGCACGCACTGGGGCGCCGCAAAGGCCGTCTGCAGGCCGCAGCCGACACCCGCGCCGAAGATGAACTGGTACCCGATCCAGGCTGCGGAGCTGGAGGCGGCGTTGAGGGTGGTTAGGAGGCCGCAGCCGACGGCCATGAGGATGACGGTGAGGTAGGCGAATGGCACGTAGTAGCCGATCATGGAGGTGAGGGCGCCGCCGGCGAGGGAGAAGGCGACGTAACTCAGCACCATGGGGAGGTTCATAACGCCAGACCGCATCGGACTGGCACCTTTGATGGCTTGGAGCCAGATGGGAATCTACCGATGGATGAGTCAGTTTGGTTTCAGAGAGACGCGACAAGTCATAGGAAACATACGTAGTAGAGCATTGTGAAGAATGAAGCCGTGACGCATGATCCAAACAAGGAAGAACCCCAGATATTGCGATTGCTGAAGATTCGCCCAGGCACGGTTGCGAGATCTCCGCTGAAGAACTGAATAGTGCCGAAGGTGATGAAAAAGATACCAGCAAGAACCAGGAGGGCAATGATGCGCCCGCTATTCCACTCGTACTTGGTACCGCCCCACTGCAGAGCAAGCAGCAGACAGATAATTCCAGCAAGAAGGAAGAGAGTTCCAGGAAGATCCATCTGCTTGAGCTTTTCCTTCATATCGACCTTGGCTTGCTCACCACCACCAGTAAACGAAGCGATGCAAAAAGTGATGATGAGGGCAGGGAAGACACCAAGCGGGAGGTTGATGTAAAAGCACCATCTCCAGGTAAGATGCGGGTTATCGGTGAAGGCACCGCCCAGGAGAGGACCGACGATGGCTGCGAGTCCGTACATGGCGCCTGTCAGACCGACCAATGTGGGCCGTTGGCGCGGAGGCACAGAGTAGGCAATCAGCAAGAAAGAGCCATTACCTAAACCACCACCGCCAATGCCGGCAATGGCACGGCCGACGATGAGTGCTGTCGATGACGGAGCGACAGCACAGATTAACGAGCCTAGCTCGAAGAGGAATAAGGCCGCCAAATAGATCCATTTGACGATATAGAAGGTGAAAAGTTTCCCCCACATCAATTGAAAGGCGCAGTTGGTGAGAAGATAGGCGCTCGCATACCACCCTACATCGTCAAGAGCGTGGAAGCGATCAGTGATCTTGGGAATGGCGCTGGAGATGATGGTGTTGTCGAGGCCGACAAGGAACATGGCGAGGTTCAAGCTGATGACGATTGCGATCAATTTGAATCTTTCGGGATATTGAGGTTCGTCTTTGGCTATGGCTTCATTGGAAAGGGCCTCGGTATCAGTGGTCATGGTGCACGTCTCCTTGTCTGGAGGAAATGCCTCCAGCGGTAGGTGGTGGTCTTGCTTGAGATCCGCCATGAGTTGCGAGGATCCAGATATACGAGCCTGTTTTCCCGAACGGAAGCCAGCATACTCGAGACGAACATCAAGAGGAATATAGCAGTTATATATGTTACGATTTTGATGCTGCTGTTACTTTGATTCCCTTTGATAGTGCCAGATCGAGCCATTGGCCAATCAAAGGGGATTGTCTGGGTGCCAAGACATGACTCATGCTAACTCATGATGAGAGTTTGGTTCAGAATGAGCCTAAACTGGGGGCTATCCAATAGAGATACAAGCAGAAAGCCACGGTGGAGCAGTCAATCTAATTAGTCTTTCCTCCATTCCTTCTATTTTTCCCTTTTGGACATTTTTCTGGCTATGCGCTTGAGTATTTAAATATCACCCATCTTGGTGGCAGTATCGTCTTAGTCATAGTCTCACTGAGGAGGTCGTTTTTCACGGAAATAGTGTAGAGCATCATCAGAAAATGCTAGTGGCATGGTTCCTTCAAGGATTCCAAGATGGAATGCGGCCACTACTCCATTTACGCTTGCTGGTTTCTGGATTTCGAGCGTCAAGTCGCGATGATAATTACCCATGTGTTCATCTATCGCTTCAAAGATAATGCAATACGATCCCACGAGATCGTCCAGCTTCAGCGGACCAGGCGGAAGGCGATAGCTTTTCATATAATCCCAATGAGGCTGTAACGCTTCGTGCCAGAGCTTTCGCCTTACTGTGCGCCTGCTGGTATCTTCTTTAGCCTTTCCTCGGTCCCTATCATCGTCACGTTCTTTCTTGATAGACATGACTTTGGTAATGCCCCAGCCAACGGTGATTTGCAAATTGTTGAATGCACCTACAGCCTTGATGATGGGTAGCTACGGTATGGACCCTACAACATTTCCGAGGCGTGGCAGATGCTCCAAGGAGTAGTCCTGAACTGGTTCGGTGGTTTTCTTCGGGTCAGGCTCACCATTCACGCCGTCAAGGAAATATTTTGTCATGAAACGGTCAAAGTCAAAATTAGCCTCAGCTGTGGGGATGTGCAACGTAGCACCAGGTGCAAAACAAGTTGCAAAGGCAGCGTCGAGTCCGTGCGAATGATTTTTGCGGAAGAGCAGTCTCAACTCCCCCAGGACTGAGGGACAGGAACCCTAGAGTCCTGCCCTAGTCTTAGTGTGGCCGTACAGACACAGCACCCCTGGCTAGCGATATATCTATATAGCTGGACCGCATCTTTATTAGTATGCTTTACCTCGTCGCGACACTTGAAAAGCTGATGATCGTTCAACCCGAAGTTACTGTCATCTAAAGGTATATAGGCAAACGCGTCCGGGGAGATACACACCGTATGTTGAAGTCAACATTACCCATCCGACCATGCCTGTCGCAGAGGCACAACTGAGTATGAAGTCATTTGGCCATTGTATCAACGCACTGCGAAAATTTGTGAAGTAGTATTATCAACAGGGTTCCCATGAAATGTCGGCTCTGTTTTAGCAGCTCCAAAAGCATTTTACTGTTTTCTACTCTGTCTCATAGGGGACCAGAGGCTCTACCATAGAACAGAGCGTAATGACCCTAAAGCCTATCTCCCCTGCCAAATGAAAGTGCATTCTGTTCACCTCATCTTATCTGATTCAGAGGTGATGCAGGGTGTTGGGAACACATGCATTGTAACCATGTCAGAAATTCATAGGCAGGGTCTAGCTAAACCACAATTATGGATTAATTGATTTCACAGGGTCCTTTGTTGCTGACACAGTGACACTGTCCATTGTTGGTCATTGGTGTCTCAGCTGCTATAATGATAATGCTTGATGTTAGCTGTTGAAAAACTAACAATACTAACAATATTAACAATAGAAGTAGATGATGATCACTGGGATTTGTGTTGTATTAAGCCTTGGTGAGTCTGCCTTGGTGCACTGCCCATCGGGGCATCAATGTACTATAGGCACTCTAAAAGATCTAATTACCTTGACCTGGGGTTCAGACACGAGTATTTTCAGTCAAACTAGCAACAGAATTGTACATGAAAAATTTCTCCTAGCGATGCGGTCGTCAATAGTCACGAGTTTTCCTTTTCTGATATTTTCCTCCCTCTTGATCTCTCTAGGTCTAGCTAATCTGAATGGCAAAACCCCTGCCCTTGAAAGCCATGCACTGTTGCACTAGATTCGGTAGCACTTGCTGACGCAGGAGCTGCCTTCAGTAGTATAATGCTCTCTTCGCACTCCTTGCTGCTACATTAAGCCTTTCAAATGTAGTATTGTAGTATGGCGTATATCTCAGTTTCTGACCTCTACTTTATATAATTTGGCTTTACCTTTGGAGACCTGGAAGGTATTCCAGCACAAATTGGATCCATCATAATAACCTACTTGTAATTGATCTTCTCAAAAAAACTAGTAAAATGTAACAACCCCTAGAAGATCACATACATACAGAGTGCACATTTTCTCTCTTCCCTCTCTTCTCTTGCCACGGAGTACCTGTAGTCTCTAGGCACTTCTACGCATCAGAGTATATAGGGACAAAGAAACCAAACAAGACTCAATCACGTCCAAGAATCCAAGCAATAGCAGGCTTGCCCCCCTGGTCCTCCAGTGAGATTTCTGCCTTTTGAGGCTCCAGCTTGTTCAACTCTGACGGGCCGTTATGGTCAGTCAGCATGTAGTACTTGGACTTGCCACTACTCGAGGCGGCAAGGGCCTCGAATGGCTCCCCATCTGAGGCTTTGACAGTGAAACTAGCCTTGTTGTCGCCAACTCCTTGCTGCACCTTTGGAATAATTTTACTAGCAGCAGGGTTGTCCACATCTGTGCCGACGATGACCTTAAGATCACTCAGTTTGACATCAATGCCATAGTCGGCCTTGCCTTCCGCAACGGCCTTTTTCCACAACTGGAAGATCCACTCTGACATGGGCAGTCTGTCCTTGAGCTGGAAGCCAGGTGTGTAGAGGTTTTCATTTTCGCGGAACAGCCGCTTGGCGAGGATAGCTTGGTGCTTCACCGAGACAAAGACATCGGCCACGGTGGGTAGGTTCGGTTCTGGTTCGAGCTTGCCCCAGACTTCATACCGGGTCCAGGAGGTATCTTTGTCGAGGATGTTACCCAGGTCGATCCCGACATTCTCCTTCATCCACTCTGAGATCTTCTGGTCAACAATAGGCATTGTCTTCTTGGTGGCCATCAACTTATACTTTTTCTCGACCGTGGCAAAGTTATGGCTATCAGTCTTAGGATGCCTGTTATTCTCACGGAGGTTGTTGATGAGGATTCGGCCTTTCTCAGGGTAATTGACATTGAAGATTGTATAGGCTTGGTCACAGGTACCAGTTCTCTTGCAGGGCTGCTGCACAGGGGGCTTCGGTTTCGGCTTGGGAACAGGAACAGGAACAGGCTCAATCTGAGGAGTGCGTGGAGGAGGTTTGCCAATGGGTGCCTCTGGGACGACTGGCTTAGGTATCACGGGCTTGGGAATGGGGAACCCAGGGATCTCGATTCTGGGAAGAAGCGAGCCTGCGGATAATTCCTGCCGAGCGACTACAAGGGTTCGTCAGTCGCTTCCTGGCTTCACAGCTTATGCGGTGCACGTACTGGCTCTGGCAGATGCCTTGAAGGGGATTCCCACGGAGGCTGCCAGGAGAAGCGTATGCTTCAGATTCAGACGCATCTTGAACGTCCTTCGTGGGTGCGGTAGACAGATGCAAGAAGTAAGAGTTGAAAACAATGAGTCCGTTGTTGCTTGTTTCTCAGTTTAAGCTCTGCAATGAAGACAAGCAATCACAGAGGTAGTATAACCCCTTTATATGTTTTCCCAGGCAAGCCCTTCTGTCGACACCTGGTCTTTTGTCATTATCACTGGCTGCCCTGATAATTCGAACCCTTGGTCTCCCGCCCCCCAACAAAGCAGTACCCATGAGTGTTGGTGGATAAAAATTTCTTCATATTCAAATGTTGGCAACAGTGGTGGTACCAAGAGTTGGATCTATGACAAGGTGTATTTCCTTGTTAGTATTATAAGAGGACGATGTTGTTGTGTTCCACTTTCCCAACCCTGATATTGCGTTTCACCTTTCTGCCCCCAACAGGGGATGTGGGATGAAGTTGGTGCTGCTTGTCTCTGAAAACTGGAGTCTACATTGTATACTGGCATCACCCCCACTCCAAACTTCATGATCCAACAAGGTGATAATTGTCCCAATGCACTGCATTGGATTCCCTTGTGAAGAGGAGAGGTCAGTGAGGGTATATAAGGACTACTGCGACTCACCCATTTCACCATCTCAAACCCCAGCAATACTCGAAAAGCAGCAATATCAATAGTATCTCTTTGAATTCATTCAATCTTTAAAACTTTTTTACTACCACGCATCGTGAACGCCATCATCAACACTGGTGTCCTTATAGGGACATTCCGGCAGCTCGGCGAGATGCTCAAGGGCCATGCTGACCCTGACAAGCAAATCACCATCTCTTTGATTACCGGAATGGCACCTAACGGTGGAGGCAGTGTCCCTCACGTTGCCGTCTGGGACCGAGAGGGTAACCGCGTGGGGCAGTACAAGGGCGACGAAGATGGCCACATCGATGATGCCTCAACCAAGACCATCATCATCTCCCCAACCCAGAATGGCGGCCATATGGCACGCCCTGAGTACCTCCTCATCGTCATGCAGGAGACCGATGCAATTTGCCTGTCCGGAGTCATCGCCATGGGCAATTCTGCCCAGTGGACCTGGACCGGGGATTTGGGCTACACCTGCGGCGCGCAGTGGTACCCCAGCAAGCAGTCCCTGGGCACATCCAACGCGCCCGTCAAGTGCGTCTGGATTGACAAAAACCATACAAATGGCATCGTGGCTAAGGGACTGAGTCTGCACATGCCCGACTTCTCCGGCGACGAGGGACTCGTCAATCAGTACAAGCAGGACCAGCGCCGGCTGTGCCAGAACACCGCACGGATGACCTTCCAGCCTGAACCCGTCCTCCCTGACTCACTCATCAAATTCTTCGACCCCCCAATCGAGTACGATGCCCAGGGGACGCCCAAGAACCCCAACCAGGGCATCGACCGGAAAACACGGGCGTATCCCGACGGAACAAACATGCACATTCATGATACCCGACGCAGCGTCCGGGTGCATCCCAGGGACATGCCCAGCAACAACAGTACGGCTGTCAATGTCCAGGGCGTGAAGAACAATATGCCGAACCTACTAATTGTGAGCAGCATCAACGGCCACAGCGCCAAGGAGGTCTGCCAGGATCCAAACTCGCTGGGCCCAGACTTTGTCCATACCGGGGAGAAACTCTTTTGCGACATGGAGACTGCGAAGATGTGGCCTCTGTGCGAGGGAAACGTCACGGAAGGTTGCTTCGATCTGGAAACGAAGACCATGGAGAATTTTGCTCCGGGGAGCTTTGCTGCGCGAAGTGTGGGTGGATACCATAATTTTCCAGTGAAGAGCTACCAGGGCTTTGAGGAGTGGAAGTGATTACCTGTCTTCTTGTTATATTTTAATGTACTTCTCATGTTGATTGTGCTGCTTCAATGTTGTGTTTATGACAGATTTGTTTCCCAGTCAAGCAACATAGAATCATTGAATTAGCAGGTTCACTATAAACTGGAAGAAATGTAGATATATTAGGGCTAAAGCGTCGACTCTTGTCATTATACCATCCTACCATATAGAGCGTTTAATTATCTAATATAGCCTCAGAGATTTTGTACTCAACACACAGATTACGAATAAATAGAATGTATTAAGCTGCGAACAAAATACACAATTAGATGACACAGGAAAGAGAAACAGAGATAATGACCATATAGATTTGACAAAACCGTTCTAGTCCATGAGAGTGAGGTTATAATCGCCCCCGGACGATGCACAGCAGTTTCCACTGCTGTTTACGCTGGAAGAATGGCGGCGATTCATAGAAGCTGTGAAGTTGATCAGATCACGCGATGTGACGGGATTTGTTGAATCAATGCTTATCTTGGTACTGCAACTCCTCTGAGTTATAGTTCTGGAACGAGGCTGGCTTGTTGCTGGTTGTCTCTACTAATTTCTTACACGCACTCCGTAGACCAGGATCATTCTGGGGCATCAGTCCTTGCGCAGTATTATTCACCGAGGCTGTTAGATTTCGACTGTCAGATCTCGAACACAATCTCGGAAGGTTCCTGGGTGCGTCGACCTTCCAGTTTGGCGTTGGAATAGGGAAGCTCGGAGGCACCATGGTAGAAGATACTGAAGGCGCGAAAGGACACATTTTGAATAGAGCCTGTATCCGGGCCAAGGTCAAAGTAGCAACCCCGTTCGATGTGGATGGGTTTATTCTGTTCCATGGCGTCCGAGATGCCCTGGATATGGACGCCCAACGTCCATGAAAGTTGAGTAGAGCAATTGTTGACCAAGGGTGAAGTGAAGAAAGCAGTTCCAGATGCCGAAGAGCTGTTATCTGCCGCTGAGCAGTATACTAATTCAGATGAAGCTTTCTCACATTGAATACTAGGTATACTATCCAATTACGAGCCAGACCATTTCCATATAGCAGCAGCACTCAACCGACCGCAGCAGAAAAACTCTCATGGCATGGAGGAGGAGAGGGTGGATCGCGAGGAAAGTCCCCTTGCTGGAAGCGATTTCCAATGATGCTTTGCAAGGGATCAACCTCGTCTGCTCCAATCGTTCTCAAGGCCTCCACAAGAGCATCTTGGCGCCAGCACATTGCCATCACAATGGGAGGCGGATATCTCCTCCGGGTGTAAATGGCGTCGTCGTTCAGTGGCGCGCCGTGGTCAAATAATGCCTTGAGAAATTCGAAATTGCCATGCCGGCACGCCAGCGCCACGAGGTCCGCCAAATCCTCACTGTAGTCGCCGTCGTCGTCGAGACCTGGCAGTAGACTCAGAAGGAGATGTCCGTCATCAAGGATCGTTCTCGCGAGCTTCGCCGCTTCTGGTTGGAAACTCAGGATAAACATTACTCTAATCCACATAGCCATACCTAGGCGGAGGCCAGCGTCAACAAGAACCTGCATCGCGCCGTAGTGGCCGCCCCATGCTACTGCGAGCATTGCCTCACCACCAGGAGAGCCATGAAATCGTCTGTTGCCATGCTCCTCGATGCTCGCCCCCCTCTCCAGTAGGAGACGCATTACTTCCACCTGGCCTTTCCAGCCGGCATATGCCAGCGGCCGTGGTTGGTAAAGATTCTCGGTGAAGTTGAGCCCCTCATTGACGTCGGCTCCGTTGTCAAGTAAAAGACAGATGATGTCAATGAGCCCTAATCTGCAAGCCTCTCGAAGGCCCTCCGTCATAAGATAGCGCGATTCAGACAGTGGTGCGGTGTAATGATCCAGCAGCATTGCCAGAACATCTGCCTGATTCAAGCTCATCGCCTTGGTGATTGCGTGCTGATATGCCAGGCCAGAGGTCCTGAGACCGAACTCGGGCAGGAGGAGGAGCTGGAGCATATTCGGACTCCAGTGTTCAACCGCGACTACCACCGGGGAGTGCCAGCTTTCATCATCTGTCCCTTCTGGGTGCACCTTGGCGCCCCGCCGCAGAAGCATCTCCACAGTCTTCGGATCGAGAGACTTGATCGCTGCGTCGATAAGTCGATCTTCGAACAGCCCCGACTCGACATCCTGGCGGATGCGGCGCGTATCCTGTGATAGCTGGTTGACAAGTTCAAGATCCCCATTATACGTCGCTGCAAACAGAAATTCATACAGCGGATCGAAATGAATAGGGCCACTCTGGGCCGCGAAAACAATGTCGCTTAAATCGTGCTTTGCGTGTGATACAAGCAGCTTCATGTATTGATAACGCCGCTCGTCTCTCTCACTACCCTCGGTCGAGCCCCGCGCAAGACGATCCACCCAGTGGTTCATCAGGGATATGATATCTGTCCCTGCAGAGTTTTTATCATCTCGTCGCTGATGAAGAAAGTAGGACACCAGAAAATCTTTGTGTAGGCGGCTGTTTTGCGTCCAGGAATCTGCCTTCGGAATTCTGTTCCTGGCGTGTGCAAGCAGGATTTCATGGTTGAACGCCCCTAGAGGTTCAGCATTCCAGCCACGTAATGCTTATTAGGGGTGATATAGACTCACGGTTTACTAGACGAAGTTGGATCGATTTGTGTCCCAATTGGATAACAGTATAATCGAGAATCTCTTGGTAGATCTCCAAGGGGAGGTCAAACAACAACATATCGACTTCGGATGTGCAATACAGTAGATTGTGTGATGAGAACCATGGCGAGGAGCAATGTATACTTATATAAGATCGAAAGAAAGACAGTATATCTGGCCATAGAGCGACAGGTACACAGCCACAAATAAGTTCGGCCTGATGATGCTTTGTTTAGTTGGAGGGGAAAGAGATGTAAAGTTGGCTGTGTGGAACAAGGCTGTTACATGCATCATCCAACACAGCCCACAAGACTGACATTAGCGGTAGGGTATAAGTGTGATGATGATGGACACATTTGCTTGTTCCTTTAGGAATAGGCTATTACTATTTACTTCTATTCTGATCTAGGTATTAATATCAGCCTTACTGCATTTTGCTCAATAATACCAGCTCCTTCACCAGAGAAGTAAAGCAAGATGAGAACAACAAGACAGAAGATCTCGAGAACAAACCCATCCTATCTATTTGGCCATATTGTTCAAACTATTTTACTTGCTGGACGAGGACTCATTCACAAGTTCTTGGCAACATTCACCAGATTTTGTACGCCTATTTGTACATCGCTTTCGGCCGGTGTAGGCACACGGTCGAATAGCGCTTGGAATTGGAGATAGAGCGGAGTACTCCCAGAGGCAGTACTTGGTGTGATGGTTACTCTTTGGGCAGCAAAAGGACACTGGGCCGCTGGCTGCTGGAATCCCAGTGGGGGCATTGGCGGCACGGTCATCTGCTGGATGCCGCTCGCCATCGTAGCATCCACCTGCTGCCCTGGAGGACTCAATTGCCATTTTTCTAACAGAATGCACCACTGAGCCCGCTGGACGCTCAATGTAAGAACATAGCGAACAGCGCCGCGGGAGTTTTCGAACCACTACTTCGCATCCGCATGGAGCTTGGTCCGTGACTCAGAAACTGCTATCTCAATAACGAGAGTCGGCCAGCTAGGGGGCTGCCCTCTAGACCTTGCCCTTGTTACCAGCCACTGTGGGACTAAAGGTCGTCCTCTGAGCCCATTCGAAGTCCCAATCTGGAGCCCCTGCACGGACTGTGCCATAAGTGATTGCTAGGGCTAGACGCCGGGTAATGGCATTGTGTGTATATGATGGAACAATCTTTATGAATCCCGTTGTTCCTTCAAACATAAACCGAAATTCGACGCCATCCAGCGCATTCTTGTCCTCGTCCAACAGGACGAGCGTTGGCTTGGGCAGGTTAAGGATCAGGATGAATTGATTTCCACTATCCTCGTGCTGGTTGAGACAGTCCAGGACATTGTGCGCATCTGGTATGAGCGAATCCATGCTCGTAAAAGGGTGTGTGATGTAGTTCTTAAGCCCCGACATGATGCCTGAGGGCTCGGCCGGGCTGGATTGCGCCGGCGCACTCATGATGGGATATGCCAGATCCTTGGAATCACTAAAGCCAGAAGCTATGTGGGTTTTGGTGCTCTAATCTGTGAATGTAGAATCATAATGCAAATGGACCGCCGCTGTGATGAAGGAGCTAAAGATATGTACCTAATAACATTGTGGAGGAAGGAACTAGGGACACACACATGCTGCTCTATGACATTGGTATCGCTTACCTGATATAGAGTCATATACCTGTAAAAGGCTGTCAATAATGGGATAATGAAGTTTCTATCAATATTTGCATTTGACATGATGCATGACGCAAAGAATACATAAGAGATTCGAAAAAGGTTTCAGCTACCAAACCTATTATGGGCCTGGAAAATTTGAGACCTATTTTTGCTCGCTATTGATATAGACTTAAAATGAAGATCAGTCGAAGGTACAAGTATCATAGTCTTGGAGATGCAACAGCCCGTAGTGGTGAAATGTATACGGAGTATATATACACTCAACACGGGCCTTCTTTGTGGCTCCTTACGGTCGAAAATATTCGGATACTGGGTGATTTGCATGGCACTAGGAGGATCTGAGTATTTTATCGATTTCCAAATGTCCTCACTAGTCTCAACATGGTTAACGCCCTGAATAGCCTCGTACTTGACATCCAACCGGGAGGCGCAAACAGAAAGCAAAGCGGGGGATGAAAGCCATAGCAGATAGCCTGAAGCGCCGCCACGCCAACAGCTTCGTATTCGCAGGATGCTTCCCTTTCGGGATGATTTCCAGCAATCCTATACAAGATCCCGCTTCGGCAGCTTCAGCCCGAACCTACGGAGTAGTAGCTACAGCATAGACTCACAATCATGGTTGGAGTCCCACGTAGCAGCGGCTGTCAAATCTGCGTGCAGCGGCGGGTAAAGGTATGCGAATATCTTCAGCATCTCATCCCATCGATCTGGCCACGTTGGCTTCATCCCCAACGCCAGAAAGACAATGCTAACAGCCAAAAGTGCGACCTAACCACCCCCGAATGCCAACGCTGCCAGCGCCGAGGCCAGAAGTGTCCCGGCTACACGAAACGATGGAAATTCTACGACCAGACAACCTCCCAAGCCCGAGCCCACAAGCCCACACACCGCCGGGCTCCACAGGCCCCAGACGTCCTGCATGGCGCACCTCCACCCGCCGGATCCCGTTCCGCGCCCCTACCCATCCCAGGCCTGGCCCTGGTCCGCCGATGCAGCAGCATGGACGAACGTGTGGAGCCGAACCTGGCGGCCTCGGCGCTAGATCTGCAGCAGCAGGAGGTGTTCTGCCAGTTCCTGCTGCGGAGCTTCCCCGCGCAGTTCGCGTCGTGTGGGGGCCGGGTCGAGGTTAATTGGATGGATTACGCGCGGCGACCGATCGCGATGACGACCAGTGGGCCACAGGCGCTGGTCTGGGCGTTCCGTAGCATCACGACCTTCTACGTGGGCAGGATGAACGCGGACACGGACAAGATCACGTGCAGCCGGCACATGTACAGCCGGGCGCTGGGGTATCTCGCCGGCCTGATCCTGCATCCGCGGTACGCGCGGCACGACGAGACGCTCGCGGCGGCGATCCTGCTGACGATCTACGAGATGCTGGACGCGACGGGCGAGGCGTCGTGGCTGTCGCATTCGCGGGGGGTGTCGACGCTGATCCGGCTGCGGGGGCCGGCTGCGCATCGCGCGGGGTTCGGGCTGACGCTGCTGAAGTCGTGCCGGTCGTTTCTGGTCGCGGATGCGTTTCTGCGCGGCGACGCGTGCTTTCTGGGCTATGACGAGTGGCGCGCGCTGATGGAGGAGATCGCCGATGCGGAGAGCCTGGGTCTGGTCAAGAGCGAGCTGGGCCTGCTGGTGGACCGGGCGTTTATTGAGATTGCGGCGTGTCCTGGTCGACTGGCGGATACGCGTGCGCTGCTGGCGCAGGGGAGCGTGGTGGCGCCATCGTCGCGCAACGCGCTGATCCGGACGATTGTCTCGAGTCGGAATCTTCTGTCCCACCTCCGCTGCAAGCTGGAACTCGGCGCGGTCAAGCAGAAGAATGACGAGAGCTTTACGGGGCCGATTCCGTGGAACTTTGTCGACCCGTTCGCGCAGTCGTCGCTGCATGGGATCCGCTCGGGTATTGCACTGCTCAGCCAGCTGCTTGTTCTCATTGATGCGGATGCCCAGCGGCGACGCGGCGGGGGGCATGTTTTGCAGTTGGACTATGCGGTCGCGAGCGCGTCCAATCCGTGGGCGGCGCTGGAACGAGAGTCGGTGTCGTGGCATGTTCAGTTCGATCCGGAGTTTGTGACGTTGAATATCGCTCCGGATACACACGATGACTGGATGGACCGGGTGGCCATGTCTATGGGAATGCTGGGATTGCGGCTGTAGCAGTATCAGTCCTACGAAGCGCGGACCATGTACGCATGAGTTATGGGAATGGTGGACAGCGAAAGCGATCCTCTCTAACAATGCCGTCGTGGCATTCTGAGCGACGCGCGATCTTCATCAAGTTGGCAGATATACATGGTACAGTAGCCCCTGGCAAACACAGGATATGTCATCATAAGAACACTGCAGTCAAGGCAGAAACTCCCAGCACGAATACCCCAGGCTGGATAGCCGTCAGAATTGTCCCTGCACCAGTCTGAATTGGCACAGCATTTGATCCGCTGACCGTAGAGGATCCCGATCCTGCAGGGCCAGATGGACTGAAAGAAGTGTGGACTGCATGGTGCAGGTAGTTAGGGAGCGACGGAAATAAAGAATGGACGGACTACTTTCTATGCTGGTGCGGACGACCGGCCATACAGATTACAGTCCCTTTGGCCTGGCTGTTTGGCCTAGGCTTGAGAGATTGCCCCTCGAGATTGCTTCAATTTTAATGAGAAATTTGAGTTTAGCATGCTGGTTCTCGGGATTTATCATGCCTGTGGACCTGGCAGACGGTAATCCGCCAGGATCGACACATCCCGAATCCATATTGAAGCTTGTCACGCCAAGCACGGGACATTGTCTTGTAATATCGCGTAGAATAGACGAAGTCAGGGACCCCTGGGTTGTCAAACAGACAGCAGGCCAAAAATAACCTGAATATATTGCACCGTGGGACAAGTTGTGCCCAGGAACCCAAGCTTGCTGGGCGGTGTTAGGTATGCCTCTTCCCCGAAGACTCTCCGGAGGAATGCTACTCCAGTGCACCCGAACAGTGTGATGCGAGTGCTGTTCATGGTCCTTGAGTGTCTGACCTGCTGCGTGAAACGGAGAAGAGGGGCAGAGCCGAGCGAGAAGGCCGTGAGATGGCTGCCATGGTTGCTGTTATCGCCACAAATGGGAGATAAGACACCCTGTCGTATGTGATTCAGGTGAAAGATAAGAAAGACTCTACTTAGCCTACAGGAATATCTCATGGAAGATGGCGTCGGTTAGGGTTGTGATGCTCCACCCACAGGGATGGCAGCAAGTTCTGAACATTGGTCTACTGCAGATCACCACATTAATAATAGTAGGACTTGGGTATTGGCTAGTCTGATTTCCATTTTTTTCAGCCAAATGATGTCAAAGTGGACCTCAACAAAGGGGGGGTCCTTCATTTTCTACGGTGATTGCTGGATGACCGCTGCAATCTCCACCCGCGCCGCCATAAAACCCACAATGAAATACACAGCAAGCAGAACGGGTGGATAGCGTCCGTTAATTATCGGTTTCCCTGGCGGGAAGAAAGAATTGCGCAACGTGTCTGTCATCCGGGCGCCTCCGTTCCAGGTCCGAGGTTGCGCTGGGTTCGGTTCCCTTCACGCAGTGCCGGGTTTTGGTTCTTGGTTCTTGGTTTTTGGGACTGGACTTTTAAAATTTCCTCTGTCGGCCGCTTGATTGTTTGTTGATGTCTTTGGCGACACTCTGTATCTAGGAAAAAAAGGACATGGACGAGCGATCTCCCAGACGCCCGCGGGCGAGAGTATGTCCCTCCATCAACAATCAAGCTCCCTACAACGTCGAACTAACCGACCATCCCAGTCAGAAGCCACCCGCCGGCTCGCCGAAACCACCGAAGCACCCGCCTCCCCAACACAAAGCATCCCAACCACCGCGCCAGGACGATGGGACGGCATCTCGCCCACGACCGCCGCCTCGGCCGTCGACGATGCCGGCCCGGCACGCACCAGCACCGGCATCCGACGCCGCAGCACAGCCGCCTCGCGCCGCAGCGGCGTCCCCAGCCTAACGTCGCGCACGACGCTCGCCCAACGCACGCAGGGCAACTTCACGCTCGCGGGGCCCGAGGAGACGCCGCAGATGCGGCTGGCGCACGAACCCTTCGTGCACCCGGGCTACGCGGAGCTCAACCCGTCGTACGAGCAGCCGGCCAATGCCAAGCCGGTGTGGAGTTTGGCGAAGCCGCTGCCGCGCGTGGTGCGGCCGGGCATGGTCCCGACGAAGGAGGAGCTGCTGCAGGCGCGCGCGAACGCACAGCTCCCCGCGGAGAACTCGCAGAAGTTGGGCCTCGATGTGGATCCGAATGATCTGGAGCTGGGCCAGATTGAGCCGAGGGCGGATCCGAGGAAGATTGCGGCGCAGGTGGAGGATGCGCGCGTGCAGCGGGAGAATAACTTTCTGAACCGGATCCTGACGGGCGAGGGGGCGCCGACACGGAGACTGTCGAGGGCGTCGTCGGTGAGGCCGAGGCGGTCGTCGGTGCTTGAGGCGCCGGAGCCGGGCGAGGTCCCCGTCGAGACACCCGTTACGCCAGGGAAGCAGTCGGTCCCGGAGGTGAGCGATGAGCCTCTGCAGCCGGTGCTGGAGCATCCGGACGAGCACAAGATCGAGACCCAGCAGCAAGACAGCCAACACCCCGCAGAGGAGGAAGAAGAAGAAGAAGAAGAAGAAGAAGACCACGGAATCACCGAGTTCCCTCCGCTCGACTCGGCCGCTTACCCGGAGGACCTGCACCCGCTGGTCCAGGAGTTGGTCGAGGACGAGATCCACAACAACCACACCACCTGGTCCGTGATCCGCACGCACCACCGCGAAGCGCTGGCCGAGGCGCTCGCCGTCTTCGTGCAGCTCACCGTCGGCATCTCCGTCGACCTCTCCGTCACACTCGCCGACGCGGGCAACCCCAACACCACCGGCTGGTGCTGGGGCTTCGCCGCCATGATGGGCATCTACATCTCCGGTGGCGTGTCCGGCGCGCATATGAACCCCACGATCACGCTCATGCTCTGGTTCTACCGCGGCTTCCCCAAGCGCAAGATCCCCAGCTACTTCGCCGCGCAGTTCCTCGGCGCCTTCGTCGCCGCGCTCGCCGTCTACGGCCTCTACCACCGCTCCATCGCCGTCTACCTCGCCTCCCACGCCGACATCAACGTGATCAACAGCTTCGTCACTTCCCAGCGCATGTCCTGGATCGACCCCGCCACCGCCTTCTTCAACGAGTTCCTCGGCACCCTCTGCCTCACCGTGACCGTGCTCGCGCTCGGCGACGACCAGAACGCGCCCCCGGGCGCCGGCATGAACTCGCTCATCATCGGGTTCGTCGTCGCGTGTCTGAGCATGACCTTCTCGTACCAGACGGGCGCGGCGTTCAACCCGAGCCGCGACTTTGGGCCGCGTCTGGCGCTGTTGGCGGTCGGGTACGGGTCGGAGCTGTTTACCAATCCGTACTGGTTCTACGGGCCGTGGGCGGGCTCGCTGACGGGGGCGTTTGTCGGGGCGTTCCTGTACGACGCGATGATCTTCACGGGCGGCGAGTCGCCGGTGAACTATCCGTGGGAGCGCACGCAGCGGGCGATGCGCAAGAGCCGGAAGAAGTGGAAGCGAAGGCTGCGGTTTGCGAAGCGGAAGAAGATGGCGCAGTAGTTGAGATGAAGTATAGATTGTACAATTCTTTGGATATAGACGATACCCCATGCAATACTACAGACAGGCAACATGCCCATAGCCCTGTTTCCATTTTACATCCAGGATCCGCCAGAACTCTCTCTCTCCTAAACCCTCCGCTCACCCTCACCCCCTTCCTTGGGCACCTCCGTATCCCTGTCGTCTGAATCCCACATCGACTCGCGCATAAACGGACTCCGCCGCCGAATATCCGGCCCCTTCAGCACCAGCACCACGGGCACAATCGACAGCACCGCACCAATACATCCCAGCAGCGTACCCGCCCATCCAAACCCCAGATTCCCAAACAGCTGCGGCGACGCCAGCGGCAGGAACGCGCCGAACGTGTTACGGCCCAGCGATGCCGCCGACAGCGCCGACGCCGCGTACCGCTCGTACGCGTCCGTCAGGTAGTTCACCACCGCCATGTAGATGGAGTAGATGCCCACGCCCGTCACGGTGATGCCGATCGCCGGCACGATCCAGTGCACGTGGGGCTGGCTCGCCCAGCCGTACCAGAACAGTCCGCCCGCGAACAGCAGACTGCCCGGGATGGAGGTGTAGAGGCGTGCTTCGGGGATGGGTCGTCCCGGGCGTTCGGGGTTGCGCGATGCAGAGCGCAGGTAGAGCCAGTCCTGCAGCGGGTTGACGACGGTGCCGATGACGGCGCCGACGGAGATGGCGAGCTGCACGAGGCCCGTGGCCATGATGCCCCAGCCGTAGTTGGTGGAGAAGGTCTGGACGACGCTGGAGAAGAAGAGGAAGAGAATGCCCCAGGCGAAGGAGATCCAGAGCGTGAAGAAGATGACGACGGGCTCGGTGGTCAGCATGCGGGTTGGGCGTTCGAAGGAGATCCTCAGCAGGCGCAGGGTGCTGGGGGCGTTGATCTCACAGGCGGCGTAGACGGGGCGCCCGGTTTCCTTGCGGATCTTGCGCGCGCGGTTCTTGAGAATCACGTCCGGGCGGGTCTCCTTGAGAATGAACCAGAAGATAGGAATCAGGGCCGCGTTGTAGATGATCTGGATGTAGAAGATCCTGTACTGTGTGAGGTGGTGGCCGCGCGAAACGGGAAGAAGGGTGAAGGCGCAGGATATTCTTACCATCTCCACGGATCAGTCTTGTGAATCTGCACGATCGAAGACCCGATAAACGGCCCCAAGGCAATACCAACCACGCTCGTGAAGCCGAACAGCGACATGGGCAGACTGCGCGCCTTCTCCCCGTACCACACGTCGCTGATACTCCCGCCGACAATGTTGATGGACACGGACGACGCACCACCGCCAAAGAACCGCGTCACCACCAGCGTCGCAAAGTTCTGCGCGAACGCCGAGCCAAACATCGTCGCCACCAGAATGATATACGCCACAAAGTATCCCGGCATGCGACCGGAGGATTCGGTGAGCGGCACGAAGATCAGCGGCCAGAACGCGGCGCCCATGTTCCAGGAGGTCGTCGCCCAGAAGAGGTTGGGGAACGGTGAGTTCTGTACGTGGAAACGCTCGGCCATCCATTGATTTCCAGAGCCGTACGTACCGGCTGGAAGACCGGTGAGGATGGAACTAGTCGTGGGTTAGTTGTGTCTGTGCTGTGACTTTGAGCGAGGTGTCCTACATGAAGCAGATGGTCACCGTGAGCAGCCATTTGTACTTGTTGCTCCAATTGAATCTGATCCGTCAGTTTCCTTCATTCAACCATCGGGGATCGTAGAAGGCTCAGAACATACGGATTTTCCGGATCGTCGGGCCCATTCCAGCCATGGATCTCAATATCAGATCGGTTGCTGATCTCGCCGGTGATGTCGCCAATGCCGAAGTATTCTTTGACTCTGCTTCCACTCAGCCCTTGCACGTTTTCTCTCCCTCCCCATCAGAATAACTTACTTGCCTACCAGACTCCTCTTCGGTTTTGGGCGTGCAGCACCCATTGCGTCATTGACTGGCGCTGCAGCACCGTTGTGAGTCTCCGGATCCGCCATAGTTCGTCTTCTTCGTCCGCCAGAGCCTGACCAATGCCTCAATGTTGAAATGGAATAAAGAATTGAATAGTATAGTTCCAAGCGGGATAGGAGTATGAAAAGAAATAGAATCCAAAGCACACACAAAAAAAAAAAAAAAAACCCCTGGAGAAAAGAACGACGAGCATTTCCAAACCTGTTCAGTCAACCCGTCACTGACTTTCGGCATGCCGAAACCCTTTCCGCTCCACTAATCTAATAATATCTATAATTGGCTCTGCAGCGCTTTCCATACGTCACTACCGGCTGTGGATGGAGCTGATGACGGCGAATTTTCTGCTACCATACTCTGTTCATGTTCGGTGAGGGTTTTGCAGCACCCAACCCTCGAGGATATTTCGTGTGAACTGCGAACTGTGAAGGGTGAACCTGTTGCTCGCTCGTCTGTGTGGATTTTCCGTCTCCGGCCAACTGTGGAATGTCGTCAGCCACTCTGAGCGAGGCCAAGCTTTGATTCTCCATAGAGGCATGGAAATGGCACTGGTAAGTGGTGACGATGGTGATCCAATCCTTTTCTTTTCGTTTTTTGTTTCTTTTGTTTTGTTTTGCCGAATGTTGGTGTTTGGTCGTATTCTCTCGTATTTGGCTTTCACCACAATATTAGTCTTACACATTATATATATATACAGTTCAATAGAAATATCCTAACCCCGTATCAACATCACACATTCTCTCTTACAAGAGGAAAATCATAGACAGTACAGCGACCCCGGCGGAGAGGGCAGAGAATCCCCCAATCTGAGAAGCTCCTCCAGTAAAGAGAGCGCCGGGGGCAGTCACTGTCCCAGAAGGCGCCCCCTGCCAAGAGACGGTGTTCATGGTCGTAGCGTGCGTGGCCCCCATGCTGGAGCCCGAGGATGTGGCTCCGACGTGCAAGGTGCTGAGAGATGGAGCCTGCGGGACCGTGTAGTTGCCTGTTGATCCGTGGCCAGGAACAAGAGGCTGGGCGATGATAAGGGTGGAGGCTGGCGCGGCATGCACGGAAGAAGCCTCAGACCCAGCGACCGAGGGGGAATCAGTCACGGCGACCAAGAATGTCGTCGTGTAAGCAGCGACGGTCTTGGTCGTGGTGTAGGTGCTCTTCTCGCTGGCGGGGCAGTTGTGGACGGACGGCGGGCAGGCGGTGATAACGTCGATCTCTGTGACGTAGACCGTGGACGTAGTCATATGGGCAGGTGGCAGCGCGGTTTCGGCGGCCTGCTCGGAGGGGACAATTGCTGTGTGTGTGACACCGGGTTGAGGAATCGCTGTTGGCGCGCCGGTAGCGTGAGTACCTGATGAAGTAGCCTCCGGACAAACGGTTGTGGTATATATGAGAGTCTCCGTGGTCAAGTATGTCGTCTGCTGGTGAGCAGGGCAGTTGGTGACCGTGGCGGCACAAGAGGTAATTGTGTGAACCTGGGTCGTCGTGACCGTGTAGATTGTAGTGGAAGGGGAGTTTCCAGCCGACCCATGCGAGGAGGATGCTTTTGAGGACGATTCATTGACTGATCCAGTGTTGGGAAGGGCAGCGGATGCGCCGGTAGCAGACTGTGTTCCCGATGCGCCCGGACCAGAAGGAGAGTTGCCCGAGGAGGGGACTGAGCCTGAAGGAACGGACGGGTTTGTCGAGGGAGGCTGAGGCAAGTGAACAGAGGTGGAAATAGAAGATGGTGGGTTGCCAGATGGCGAGGCAGTAGACGAGGGGTCAGAAGGTCCTGAAGGAGAAGTGGAAGAGGAGGGAACAGAGGAGGGAACAGAGGAGGGAACAGAGGAGGGAACAGAGGAGGGAACAGAGGAGGGGACAGAAGAGGGGACAGAAGAGGGGACAGAAGAGGGGACAGAAGAGGGGACAGAAGATGGGACAGACGACCCAGAAGGAATCACTGAAGGAATCACTGAAGGAATCACTGAAGGAATGACTGAAGGAGAGACGGGAGAAACCGTAGACAAAGTCGATGTACGGATCAACGGAATCGAGGAAGACTGCACAGGAGGCGAAGCCACCGGGCTGGATGTGCTGGTCGACGTCGTATCAGACGAATGGATCAGCGGCGTCGATGAAGACGGCGGTGAGGGCGTCGTCACTTGCACAGACGGGGTCGAAGAAGGCGTCGGGATTACAGACGGGCTGACCGAAGGGCTCAACGGCGTCGAAGCCACGAGTTGTGGAGACGGCGTCAGGGATGGAGAGGCAATAGGGCTCGGAGTCACTGTATAGACAGACTCCCACGTCGAAGTACCCGTCCCGGTCTCTGTGACCAGCCAGGTCGAGACACAAGGACTGGCAGTGGGCGCATAACGAAGAGCAGCTTGATACGGTCCGCCAGGTGTAATGGTCACATCGCCCGCATACAAATAACACATGCCGCTCGATTGATCATAGGAGGTCGCACTGCAGGTGGAGCGGACAGCGCAGGCGGAGATACAGGCCCGAAGAGAACGCGCCAATCCAGTTAGGACGATGGAGCCGCCGGTAATGGTCGCTGAGCAGGTCTCCTGCCACACTGCCCCATAGCTATTAGAGTATCCATTGCCGCAGGTGATGTCCAGCGACGAGGCGACCGTGCAGCCAGCCACGGCGGACGACGAAGTGACGACGGTGGAGGTCGGGAAGGTGGTTGTGAATGTACGGGTGATTTCCAATGCACTAGACAACGGAGTCAAGACTGCCAGAGCAGGCAGAAGAAGCTGTTGTGTCCACCGGCCCATGTTGTTGAGAGCTGAAAACGAGTGTATAACAACAAAGCGAGGATATTGAAAAGACTGAACGCAAGCACTACCACGGGAGGACAAGGAAAAAGCAAGCTGGACAGGGCAGGATCCGGGATTGATATTTATTTCTCCTACGATTCGCGAATATCCGCCATGTGTTTCGTTGTACCTGCAGGATGGCAATATTTACCGACGGACTCGTTTGTTGAATGGTGCAGAGGGCGTTTTTAGGACGAGATGCATCAATAGTGCAGTCAAGAAGCTCCACATGGCGCTCCATCAAGGGTGATTTCTCGGCTATTGCAACCCAGATCTCTGGGAAAGTGGATTTGGGGACAGCAAAGACTTTCATGGGCAATTAGAGCAGGTCAATAGATCAAGGAAGAAGGCTTGTTGACAGCCAGCCTTGAACCATGTCCGATCCTCCGGTCATCTTCCGGATAGATATTTAGCGATCCGAGTCGGGGAAGCCGAGAGGAATGAAAGGTGTGGCGTCCATGTACAGGTGACAAGCATCCTTTCTGATGAGAACTGCGACAGTCGAAAGTCCGCAACTGTCCAGGATTCCGATCACGTCCTCCCTGACAGTGTTTCAGTTGCGCTTTACGAATCGATAGACCTCGACCAGGACTGTTGGCAGGCATTCGCTAGCATTGCTGTTGGTTCCCACGCGGTAGCAGCCAATCGTTAGGACACCGGTCAGGTTCAAAGTGTCGAGCATCCTCTGAGCGACCTCTTCCTACACCGGGTAAACAGGGTTAGAGGATAAACATAACTGTTATGGGTGCATCTATGTCTACCGGGATGGTACAGATGAATTGCTGACGCCGGTTCTACCATCACCGATATCGACTTTTGCCATCGAGCTGATACCACAGTTTCCAGGTCATGGAAACCGGAGTGTATATGCAAGATGTATGTTAAGGTATAGTAAAGATTAGAGCATGAAGCAAATGCCAATCATTAGGGCATCGTACAACTTTGAACAATCTGAAGAATTTCAAAGCACGCGAGATACCATCTGGATTATTCAATATGATATAAAAGGGGCATCAGTAGGACCTAGCTGCTGAGCTCATATGTAGCAAGGTCCATTATCAGGGAGGCACAATCAGCTGCAGAGATGCGGAAATACCATCCTTTAAGGTCAAGTAGAAGGCAGCAGTTACTCACAGAGCGGTCGTCATCACTGGTGCCTGTGTTCAATCACTGCTCGGATCTGGGGCCCAGCACTTCAACAACAATGTCATAAGATATGCGCGAATATCTCCTGCAGCATTGATCCAACTTTCTGCCAGCTTATTAGCGAATCAAGGCAGTTAAACACAGTTCCTGATCTGGATCGAAAACAGACCGCCGACCACAGAATCTCACTTCGTAGACACCCACACTGTTTCGAAGAGCGACATTTATGACCCCAGTTTCAAGGCCCCTGTATGAATCCGTTAGAGCTTCGGTGTTGGGGTCGGGGGGCAGTGTCAAGAAGGTCATAGAAGGTGAGTTCCGTAGATTCGCCGCCAGGTCGATGAGTCCATATGGCCCCAGAACTGGGTTTCCGTCGGTGCAGAGACCGTTTGGCCGCCTACTGCGTGTTTCAGACGTGTGATCCGGGTGCGATACGGGGTAGAAACGCGAGGCATAACTGATCTCTGTGGATGTGATTGAGCCGCTTAGTGGACTGCCCATTGCAGCAGAAGCTTCCATCCTGGGAACATAGAATATCAACATATAAATTTAAAGAACTTTACTATCCTAGAAGCTCAGCTTTACTGCTGTACTTAAGAGTTATGTTGTGATCTTCTTTTCCCTAGGCTAAGCTGATGTAGTGGAAGGTTCCATCTACTTTATTCTTGATTCTCTGAGTGAATAGCATATTTTGTTCGGAAGTGAGCCTTCCTTTACTGCGAAGGTATGTTCATACATTGTCTCTTGTCTTTGTCAAGACTAACCTCGGAAAGCGGACAAGTCGAACGGACCGGACCAGGCAACTCGAGATATCCGAAGCATTGGCGATTCGTGCTTCACGCGGTCCGCTTCCCAGTGATACCCTCACTCGTTTTGGCGATAGTCGGCGGAGGTATGGATCTAACCGCCTATAAGGACGTCGGGATGGTCGTCTTCATGATGAAATTTGCTTTCGTCATCGGCCTGGTCTGCTGGATGTCGATCGCCTTTCGCGCACATATTCCCACGATCAGCCATCGCGGTGTCTTGATGGACCTTGCCTCTTTGCTGTTTCTCGCGGTCAGAGTCGTGTATTTTGTGTTCGGGGGGTATGACTCTGGGGGATTCAATCCTACCACGGGTAGCACAGATGTTAGAGTAGGTATGGGTCTGTTGATGGAGATCATTTCCACAGTGCTTCTATTGACAGCGTGCTGTGATGGGGCCATTTCAACCCGCAGTCACCAGCATGGAGAAGCTTGAAAGTGATCAAAATATGTGATCATCAATATACAACCCAACCAACAGGTGTCAGTTAGGGCGAAGTCGGGCTACTTGCTGAATCAAGGATTGGCTCGAAGGTCTGGGGCCGCATCGCCGCATAGCGCTGTGACATGTCCATCAATCGATCTTTGATCCACAGTCGCGTCGCAGGATCTGCAACCTCGAATGCCACAAGCAGAGAGAATCCCATTCTATAGGGGCCGAGCAGGCCCGCGCTGAGGTACTCCACAGACTTGCAGATCTGATCTCGGAAAAAGACAATCATGGCTTCGTGGTTTCCAGGGTAGCCAAGGGTTCGGAACGCTTCGTGAATGATCGCCATGTATGCGTAGGAAGAGCAAAACAGAGACGCGATGTTGACATCGGTGTAATGGAGAACAACCGGGTATCGCGTGTCGTTTGTCGACGATAGCCTATCATGCGGATGTGGTGCGACACGCGAGTACTGTTCGTACCAGGCCTGTAACTTGGTCTGCATCTCGAGGAATCTGGTGAGGGTTTCCGACATCTTCCTCCATGTCATCGGACTCGTAGGGTCTGCTCCCTTGATCTCATACAAGGCGTGAACAAGGCTCGGCGCGCCAGTGAACAACGCGATGAAGTCTTCCAGGAGAATTTCGAGCTCCTCCGTATCGAAGGAGTTGATGCGTTGTTTCATGACAGCATGCCATCTTTCCGACGCCAAAAAGCACTTTTCACCCGAGAAGAGAGAGTGCATGATCTATCATAAGTATTCGTGGCATCTACACGGAGATGGTATGAACGCAACTTACGATCAAGCCTCGTGCAGCCTTTAGCAGGGTGTTATTGAATGGATCCTCGTAGCAGCTTGGCCCTCGCATCTCTGCGAGCTGGCTCACAGCCTTTGCATGCTTCATCCATATATCAGCCTCGTTATTGTTGGCAAACAGCTTTCAAAGTCAGCTCATCCGATTTCCTCTTTTCTGTCGGCAAGCGAGCGTACCTCATATATGCACAATAGTAGCACGGCGCAAAAGCTGTCCGAGGATAAACTCTCTTCACGGCTGTTTAGGGACGCTCGTAGTCTTCCGAGACTCTGGACGTAAGCAGAGCGGGAATACCGAGCTATTTGCTCGTTGTCCGTCAACTTGGACAAATGGTGCGCTGTAAAGCAGTGGATCGTCGCATCCAGCGTCTTGTTTCTTCCATACGCTGCTGGAAGAAAACCGAGCCAGCGGGAGACGATATGGGTCGAGTTCGTCGAGGACGGCTGTGAGAGATCATCCACCAGCACCGAAAGACTCTGAAGGACATTCAAGTGCGGAGAAGCAAGTGTCAACGGCTGCATGTTTGAAATCAACGCTCCTGCACCGCTCGATGGCATGGGAGTGTGGATAGATTCAGGATCCTCTTTTCCACATACGGCCTCATCAATCCGTGGACAACGGCGAGAGCGATAAGGCTTGCCAGATACAAACTTGAATTGCCTCGTATATCCAGGGCACGATGTGCCATATTTCTCACATTTGGCGCATCCCGGACGTCTTTCGTCACACTAGGTAGCACGGATCAGTGAGGTGTTTGCATCAAAAGCGCGTCCGCGTACCTTGACTCGACGCTTCACACAGAGTAAGCAGCCAGTACTTCTACTTGCCATTGAGGAAAGCAATGATTTAGAGACTTGTGGGATATGAAGAGATGGAAGAGGATGAATACGAGCACACCAGAGAAGAGAGCGACTAGAGCAAGCTGCAGCGACCAAGATAGCAGTGTCACGCTTTCCAAGGATAGAGTATCGATGGGCCTGCGCTGTAGAACTATTATTTAAGGAAGATAATTACAAGAAAGATGGCTTAAATATTCATGGTGAAACGCTTTCGGTCAATTACAGTTCAGTGTTCTCTAATCCATGTTGGTGAGGCACATCAAGCAACAATATATTTCAACTTCAGGGATACTTACTTGAAGCACAAACACCAACTAAACCCAGCAAAGAATCACTAACAGATCAATCCAAGTTAACCAGCTGGAAATTTAACTCACCCACTCGCAGCATTTCATCCGAAGGGCGCCGGGGCGCCTCGAAGCCTGGCACGATGAAAGGAGGAGGCAGTCTTCTCTTCTTCCGAAGAATGGCTCGCAAGTCCAGGATAGGCTGCCATGGCAGGACATCATTCTGCCGGTAGTGGTTGTACACCTTGGTCCAGCAAGTCTGGTACTTTGGTCTCAGATCATGGTAATTATAGCCGTCCATTAAACCTTCGAGCATGCGCTTCCACTCGATATCCCAATAGTGGGGATGCCGCCAGTCCCGGCACAACAGCAGAAGCAGAGCCTTGACGAGGGCACTCGGCTGTAGAATGGCGACGGGGTATTTATCGTTCCAGGAAACGGACCAGCCGTGGGAGATCGTCAACACCTTGTCATCGGGCGAGATGTGTTTCACCTTGAGATCGTCCATCCACCAGACCAGCTCCGACTTCTTGTGCAGACAGATGATCGTCCACCAGGGGACGGACTGCTCCCCTTCGTCGGGCATGTGGATGTGGATATGGGGGACCTGGCGATGGCGGTACTTCATCTGGGGGCATTCCGTACTCGTGCATCGTTCCCATCCATCGCGCGCTGTCAAGAGGTCAGCAGCTTTCTCGATCTTCTCATCGGGGATAATGAATTCAACGTCCTAAAGTGGGTGTTAGTATAGGAGGATCGATTTGGAGAGGGAGGGCTTACCGGATCCTTCGTCCATTCACCGACCAGACCCAGGGCCAGTCTGCCCCAGAGAAGGTTAGGGATGTTGTGGTTGTCGAAGTGCTGGGATATTTTCGCAGCGCAGCTCGCACCGATGGAGCTGATCTCCTCGTAGCTCAGTTCCTGACTGTTCGGGTTGTATGCGACGTACGACATGGTAGGATCACAGACTGGTAATCTCGTGAGGGCTGGATATCTGATCGATTGGATGTTGGTGATGATTCCAGCACATTTCGACACGACTTCATCCTGAATATATATATAACATACCGTTGCTTTCAACATCATCTTGGTCTTGGACTTGGAGCTCGAGATCAATGTTATGTAGAAGAAGATGTTTCGTTTCATTGTTGCTGCATGATGCTACATAAAGACCTCGTTGAACTTCTGCTCTCGATGGAGCGACACATTGTTCCATATGTTCAAAGCGACTTGGAATACCTTCGGACAGCCACGGCTCCGTCTAGTCCTCTCAAACCACTCCGATAGCGCATCTATCAAACCTCCATGTTGGACTCATTCCTTTGTCACCAGTGGTGGAAATTCTTTGTCACTTCAATGCGCAACCACTCTTTGACAGCGTTCTTTGATGGTCATTGTCTGCCCTACGAACCACGAACAATTCTTTGAATGGAGCCCTTTTGGAAAGTGACAGAGAGAAGATCCGCGCCGGCTCCACATGTCCTGGCTTGTTGCTTGTCTGAGATGGCAGACCGTGGCGTCCCCCGTTGAAAGAGAAGCCGGTGCAAGACTTGGCAGGATGCAGCCCAGTGCTTCGCGTTGCACAAGTCTAGAAGCCCCCAAAGGCCGAAAACTCAGTGATCACTTGCTAAACTCCGACGAAAATAATGCCTCGGCGACAGAAGCTCCGTAGATTCCAGCACGGCGCCTAGCTGCATCGGTCGGAGAATCGGATAATCGCGTTCCAGCCGGTAGATCTTCTCTTGCGTGAGAAGATAGGAACGCGATCCCGGAGCTTCACGGAGGGGCGAGACACCATGAATGAAACTAGCCGTGATGATGTGGCGAACAAGGCTCGGGTTGACCCGAGATGACTTGCAACGGGACAGCCACATATGTATGGTCATGGATGAGCAAGCCAACAGTCTTCCTCACCTAATCAGCGACTACTTTCGGTCGAGAGCGGAGTGATTGGCAGAGGCATTGATCTCTGCAGAGACTTGCCTCGGCGGGAAGTCGGTCCTGGCTATGTCTGTGGATCGGCTGGGAGAACCATCAATCAGACGGATTGGCATAGCCCGGGGACGATTGACTAGGATTATTTCCTCCCCCCTATCCTTCTAGAGGCTAGAATGCCCTGAGAATCCCCACAAATCTTCATCATATTGAGTAATTTTCAGATGAACCTGTTAGGTCGGGGGTGTTTGATCCCCCGACAGCCCGAGTAGCCTGCGTACTCTGAGACAGTTGGGGGGGATTTGCGTACTCTGTACGTAGTAGTCTGTACTTTGACCCGACCAAAATAATGATGGGATCGATCATTTCTCTCTAAGCGAAGAGTCAAGTGAAACTAGTATCCCCCTTGAATAAATGATGATGGGTCAAGGGCTGATAAGCATGAACTAATACTCGGCCGTAAATAAGTGCTGACAGGTACGCCGACAATGGCTTCAATGGAATTGTCGCTGGGGAGGGGGGTTTTTAGACGACCGTCTCCGATCTAAGGTCGTTTCAGGAAAAAGAAGCCAGTTCGGAGAACTCAGACGACGTCATCAGTGGCCTCGTATCTGTCTAATAGAGTTCGAGAGGAGACGGTCAAGCCGTCAATCAGACGCGGTGTTGGGCGACAGAGTGCATGAATAGTACATGCACCGGTCCTTTTTGGTTTCGTTTCTTTTCTTCCTGTCAATGAACTTGTCAATCCAGGCCCTAGACAGCTGAATTGATCATCCTGTTTATCAGGTACACCGTACACGTGGTCAAGGTAGGACCAAGGAAACAATCAGCCAGACAAATCTCCCACTAGCCAGAGCTTGGCTAGGTTATCTTCCCTGCCAAGGGAGCTCTTCGAAAGTCTTCACAAGAACGTGGACCTTCGCCGAATGATCCCCGCGGACTTTGGTCCTTTGGTCAGGTATATCCATCGTTAGCCCGAACCAGCACCTATTAAGGCCTGTTTAGCAGAGCCCAATGATTAATTTATCGCTAGTGTTTGGCTCCACTCTTGCATGCCACTGCACAGACCCCGGCAGTAGTCAGTAGTATGGATGTTGTCCAATCCTGGGGCTATGGTGGATGGCGATCACTTCTAGGTGCCCGTTTCCCAAGACGAAGGGGGAGAGAGAAAAAAAAAAAGAGAAAATACTGGAGGAATTCAGGAATATTTGAGAGAACGCGCTCGTCTAATCGGTCTGGATTTGTCAGAGAGCAAACAGGGACTGAAGACTGAATAGTAATCCTGCTGAGAATACTAATCGAGTTAAACTACGCAGGCTGAAATCCGATTCAGCCCGAATCCGGATGAAGAGATCCTCCCAAGTCCCAACATGTTGCAGATGACCAAAAAATCTCCGGATCTTAGATCATCCGTTCTGCAGGAATAGCATGATGAGAGTAATCTACATTGGATCTGGCTTGGTTCGTTGGAAAACACCAGTCGAAATCCCACCACGCGCCGCCTTTCCTTTCGTCCACCACCACTCGCTTTCCCCAATAGAGCCTGCAATACTGTCTTCTTGGTAGTCTAGTATAGTCTGTGTGCTTCATTTGGTCTTCCATCGGTATGTCGTCCCTCGTCGTCCCTCGTAACTGTTATGATCAACGCAATCCTCACCAGTCACCACACCCCCCCCCTTAATTAACCCTACTAACAGTAAGTACGAAGGAGCTAACATCCTGCATGCAGCTGATTCAGCACAGCCCCCCCTGTTATACTGCCTAATTTGCGATATTATTTCTATCGCTTATCGGCTTCACGCCAGCTGGGATCCAGATCCTCCTGCGTGATCCTGCGACAGCCAGGCAAAGGCGCTGGTGGATGGCCTGACGGATAGGATCAGCAGGAGCACTATGGCCGCTTTCGTATAAAATGAACCCCCGTCAAAGCCATGTTTTCTTGGCTCTGTACGTGAGATCAGGCAGTTGCCTTCCAGCCATGGGCTCCATGAGTAGTAACCGGGAATTGGAGTCGTGTCTGATCGAGCATTGAAGTGCGTCATGTCAGCTTCGTTCGATTGCCGAGATCAGCTTATCTATTGACTTAGAGGGGATTCCTGTTCCTGCTTCCAATTCCAAATCAATCTCCTTCTGTTCTGTCTTTCTGTTCTTCGTCTCTCTGTCTCCCACTTGTGTGACCTTAGTCTCGACCTTTTTTTTTTTTGGCCAAACAAAAGACCGAAATCGGTCGTACTACGACAATCCCATTCATTCACCATGACGACGACAAAGACACCGTCGACGACAGTGTCCTCGTCCACGAGCAAACCAAACCCTTCCCCAGCGCCCACACAGTCCAACCCCGCGCCGAAAAAGGGCAAGGACAAGAAGATTTTCAGTTGTCACTCCTGCCGCCGGCGCAAGCTCAAATGTGACCGATTCGATCCCTGCGGTGCGTGCCAGGCCCGAGGGGAGGGCCATCTATGTACTTGGGAAGAAGGACAGCGACCCGAGCGGAGCCACCGAGAAAGTCTGGAGCAGCTGCCCAAGTTGATCCTCAAGTTGACGGAGGAGGTCAAGCAGCTCAAAACATCCAATTCCGCGTTGATTGAGAATATCCGAGGCAAGGGGGACAGCCTGCCGGAGAGTCTGGGCCTCACCCCAGGGGACTCGCGCCCCTCGTCGCATGCGGCGACCAACTCAATATGTACCGGTTGGGGTATGTGATGGATCCGCCTTCAACAGGATACCGTTAACACAGGGGTAGATTCGCCGTGTCGAGCGGCCGAGCATAAGCAGTGGACGCCGTTACGGATAGTGGCGCTGCTCCCGGAGAGTGCGCTAGTATGGGGGTTGATTTCGCATTATGTGAGTGCTCGAGTCGAACGAAGCGGAAGGGAAACAAAACAGATTACTGAGACGCGCGCGCGATCCAGATCTACGCATCGGCATCGCTTACTGGCTTTGTCGATGTGCCGCAACTCATTAATGATGTGGAAGAGGTCGAGCAGTTTCGACAAGCCGCGGACTATACCGGCTCCCCCGGCTTCCTGGATCAACTTCACCTCAAAGTAGCCCTGATCCTGGCGTGTGCGAGCCTGGCAGCGGTAGACCTGGACCCGCAAAAGGCGCAGGAACTGGGTCTGGGAGGAACCGACATCGACGCGCTGGTCCGAGATCTCGGGAGAAAGTCCAGAACCCTCATCACCCCGGTGGATGTAGACTCGTTCACAGCCCCCAACCTCAAGTCGCCATCCGCCCCAGCAGCACAGTCCAGCTCGGAGCCTCCTGACTTCCTCCAACAGGCCAACTCCCCTCCGACTCCACCCACCGACACCCCTCTCCGCGTGGTGTCAATCAAAATCCTCCTTCTACTCGCGGCGCGCTCCTTCGCCGCCCCCTCCGAATACCTCAAACTCCACCTGGACGTCATCTCCGCGGCCGTCGACGCCTCGCTCGACGGCCCCTGCGACGAAGACACGTCGCTCGCCGAGCGCGAATGGCGCTGGCAGCTGTGGTCCTTCCTCTGCGTCCTCGACTGGACCTCGCCCGGCATCTACCACAACAGCAGCTACTTCATCCGCCCGGAGATGCACCGCGACGCGCCGTCCAAGGTCCCCGGCCTCACCGACGACGGGGCCTACCCGCCCACCATCGAACGCGAGCACTGGGACCGCCTCGGCCAAACACGACACTACCTCGAGTACGCGCTGGCGCTCGCGCACCTCTCCCGCCGCGCCGAGGACTGCATCATCCGCCCGGGCCCCATCTCCCCGGCCCAAGCCGCCGAGCTCTGCGCCGAGCTCGACGCCCTCGACAGCAAACTCAGCTTCTACCAACTCCTCACCACCAGCCCCGCGGCGCCCGACACCGCCGGCGCCGGCGCCAGCGCCACCGACCTCCCCACCCACAGCGCCGAGCACCGCGGGTCGCTGGCGCGCGCGCCGCTCGTCCAGAACATCCACCTCAGTCTGGAGCTGGGCCTCATCCGTTTCAAGCTCTTCCGCCACGAGGCCTTCCACCTCATGCACGAGGCGAGCAGCTCGGGCCCGCTGCGCATGATGTGCATGGACGCGTGCATGGACGCGTGCATCCTCGTGCTCTCGCAGTGTCGCAGCATCGGCAACGGCGACATGGTGGCCGACCGCGTCAGCCGGATTATGGACTACGCGGCGGAGGAGAAGCGGCCGTGCACGGGGAGTCTGCGACGGGTGCTGCAGCCGGCGTCGTCGGCGGCGCTGGTCGGCCAGGTGTTGCTGCATGCGGCGCAGGCTGGTGGGTGGGGGATGGGGGGTGCCGGGTCCCGGCCGGCGTCGAGAGCCGGGGCGGGAGGCGAGATGGCGTATCAGGCGGGCGGGCGGATGAATCAGGAGAAGGTGCGGCTGCTGCAATGGCATATCAATCTAGTGGTGTCGTTACTGGAGGCGTTGCAAGGGACGAATGCGTTGGCGAGGTACAAGGTTGGGTTGCATCGGCAGTGCATGTAGATGGTTGGCTTTTTTGGGGGGAAAAAGAAGAACGTGATGTTTTTTTTTTCTTTTTCTATGGAGAAAAGCCGTGCTATCACTATCACTATTCCTATCACACAGGAATTGGCAAGTAATCAGTCAGACAAGAGAAAGAATCATGCATGTATCTAGTCGCAAATGAATCATGAAGAGTATAATCGGGAAGAATGAGATGACCGCAGAATGCTCAAAAGAACCAGCAAAAAAAAAAAAAAAAAAAAAAGAGAACAATGATGAAAAGCTATTTGACAAAAGATAAGCAACCAAGACACAAATCAAATTCTATCCAATTTTATACAGCCACCTCCTGGGCAGCCCGAGCCGCAGGCTTCGCATCCGAGGCACGCACCAGCGCCTTGACCTCGTCGACAGCCAGAGGGGGGTTCCAGGTGACAGCGGCCTCCTCGGCCGTGCGGACCTTACCACAGCTGTAGCACTTGAGCCAGTCCGGGCGGCAGACGAGCCAGGCGCCGCAGCCCTTGCACTGGCGCGAGAAGACATCCTTCCAGTTCTTCTCCTCGTTGTAGTTGAGGAAGAGATCGTAGTAGCGGAGCAGGCCGTCCCAGCGGAAGTTGAAGCGGTTGGAGTCGACGGCGACCCGCTTGATGGCGTTGGAGAACTCGATGACCTCGCGGACGGTGGCGTCGGGCACCGACTCCTCCAGCGGGATCGGGGCGATCAGCTCGATGGCCTTGCGCGCCACCGCGTCGTACTCGGGCACCATCGCTCCCCAGGCCCAGTTGATCGAGTGCGGCACGTAGGTGTCGTAGTTCAGGTTGTAGTCCTGACGGATCAGCTGCCAGCCGGGAATGCCGATCCCGGCGAAGAACTGCCACAGGCAGGACACCTGGGGGCCGAGGCGGGGGTCGCGGAAGCAGACGTAGTTGAAGCGGTTCATCTGGTTGAGCGCGGGGATGAGGCGCTTGGCGAAGTCGTCGTAGGGGGCGAGGGTCTTGCGGATGGCGAGCTCGGCGGCATCGCGGTCGGCGGCCTGCTTGGCCTCCTCGAGGGCCTTGTGGGTGAGCTCGGCGGCGTATGTCGAGGTGGACATGGCGGCCGTGATGCCGGGGGAGTGCAGCGGGTTGGTGAAGCCGCAGGCGTCGCCGACGGCGAGCCAGCCGGGTCCGGACACGACGGGCGACTGGTAGGTGAGCGACTTCCGGATGTACCAGGTGGTGCCGGGGCCGTAGAGGTCCTCGATGAGCTCGAAGTTGGTCATGAACTCCTTGATGAGGTCGTACTTCTGGACGAAGTAGTTGAACTTGCGCTCCGCCTCGCGGGTACCGTAGGCGGACATGTCCTCGGGGTACTTGACGTCGTTGCGGACGGCGAACCCGATGCTGGTGGTCCAGCGGAACTTGAGGTCGAACATCTTGGCCAGCTCCTCGGAGCTGGGGATCTGGTCACCGGGAACGCCGGCCTCGGCGCAGTCCAGCAGGTATGTGATCATGTCCATGAGGTTGGCGGTCTCAGAGCCCTCCCACGATGGCAGACGGATCACCCAGGCCCAGCCCTCGGGGAAGCACAAGTGGTTGGTGTGGTCGCCCTCGTAGAAGCGCATGGGGATCTTGCTCTCGTCCTGGGGCGCAGTGAAGTAACCCCAGAAAGCATCGTAGTTCCAGCCCTCGAAGCGCTGCAGCGAAGCCTTCTTGGACGCCAGCTGGCGGAAGCGACCGGTGGCATCCACCAGGAGCGACGAGTCAATCGTCGTGGCGGGCTTGCCGTCGAACTTGCCGGGGTTGATGGCGATCTTGTTACCCTTCACACCACCCTGGATGGTGCTCGCGTTGAAGTCGACCTGGCGACCGTGGAAGACGTTGACACCGTTGCGCTGAGCCAGCAGCGTGAAAAGGAGCTCACTGATGGGCCGCTCGACCTGGTACCCGCTCAGGAAGAGACCGGGAGTGCCGTTGCTGCAGAAATCGGTGTATTGACCCTGGTTCTCGCGGTCGAGGAAGTAGAAGCACAGGCCGTCCTTGAGGCCGAACAGACGCAGCAGATACTCGCCGGTGAGGCCGTGCATCTTGCACCATAACGAGAACAGGGGGAGTGTGCTCTCGCCGATCTTGTACCCGGGCTTGGTGCCCTTCTCGATCAGGGAGATCTTGAGGTTGTCAGGCTTGGACTTGGCGGCATGGATGGCGTAGATGAGACCGTGAATACCACCGCCGGCCACGACGACATCCGACTCCTCGGGGATGTCACTGCCAGCAGGGTTGTTCGAGTTGAGGATCTGCGCATCGTTGAAGTTGTTGGCGGCGGCGCGCTCGTTGAATGTGTGCTTGGGGGTGGGAGTGGTGACAGTCATCTTGAGGATTATTGAGGGTATTTTCGTCGAGTCTGGAAAGTTCGGTAGAGAGATTGAATGGTGGGAAGGAGATGATGATGTTTGAATGAGGACCAGGGTGAAGTTATTCGCATTTTTATAGATCCCTTGACTGAAGCAATTGAGACTCGCTCTCCGATCCAACCACCTCAACAGATCCACGGCTTTGAATTCGACCTTTGATCCTATCTCTGCACTGTCGTATGAGCTGGGGAGTATTGGTTTGGTGGATGCCAAAAGATGTCCGCATATACGCGGATCCCGCTGTGAATCCCGCGGAGAGGCAATATCATTGGATGTACAATCTGACTGCTGCTGATTATTGGCCAATCTGGACTCGAATCATGCTCGATCTATATCCCTGGAGTCCGTAATACTCGACCGTCTTTCTCTTGATCGACCGAGTACAGCTGGTGTAGTACAGTCGCTTCATCCATGTTCCATTCGTTCAGCTGCGTGTACGGAGTACAATAATAAGCATTAAGATGCTTGAGATAGAAATGCACAGGATTCCCATGGAGCTCGTTTGAGTGCGCAAGAATCGAAAGGATATAGATTGTTCTCTTTCCAGATCAGCATATCTTCGTCAGCAAGCAGTTATTCTGAATCGATCTTCACCAAAAATGGCCACTATGCCCAAAGTCATCAGTCGCGGTGCCGAACCGTATGTCCATTCTCAATAAAAAAAAAAAAAAAAAAGCTTTTTCCCCAACGCTCGCTAACAGAGGCAGGCACTTGCACACTCGCCCTCACATCCTTTCCGACAGCATCGTTCCTGTCCCCTCGGCTCCACTCAAGGACAGTAATGTGGCCGCCTACGAGCCCCTAGTCTCCCCCGCCCTGCTGATTCACGAGTTCCCTCTGACCCCTGCCTCGCGCCGCACCATCGAGTCAACCCGACAGGGGGCAGCGCGCATCATCCAGCGCGATGGTGACGACCGGCTCGTGGTTATCGTGGGGCCGTGCTCCATCCACGATGCGGATGTGGCGCGCGAGTACGCCCAGCGTCTGCAGGCCGCGATCCAGGAACATGGCTGGGACCGGGATCTGCTGATCGTCATGCGCGCGTACCTAGAGAAGCCGCGGACGACAGTGGGCTGGAAGGGGTTCCTGTACGATCCGAACATTGACTCGTCGAACCAGGTGAACCGGGGACTGAAGGTGGGGAGTTTCTACGACCTGGGGGGGGGGAATGTATTACAGTACTGACTACGGTCCAGGTCGCTCGGCAGCTCCTGCTCGATATCACCGCGCTGGGTCTCCCTGTTGCCTGCGAGGTCCTTGACACCATCTCTCCCCAGTTCGTGGCGGATCTGTACTCGTGGGGTGCGGTGGGCGCGCGCACGACCGAGTCGCAGGTGCATCGGCAGCTGGTCTCGGGGCTGTCGTTCCCTATCGGATTTAAGAACGGATCCTCGGGGAATATCAACATTGCGCTAGATGGAATGCAGAGTGCTGCCTCTCCTCATTCGTTCTTGGGTATTGTTGGGTGCTATCCGACTGTCGACGTATCGTACTGATGTTTGCCAGGTGTCACCGAGCAGGGTCTGGCTGCCATCGTGCACACCAAGGGCAACCCCAATCTGCATGTCATTCATCGCGGAGGCGACAGCGGCCCCAATTTCGACGAGGCCGCGGTAGCGTCCACTGTCAAGGCGTACCCGAAGAACCGCAAACCTAGCATCATGATCGATGCGTCGCACGGCAACAGCCAGAAGGACTACCGCAACCAGCCCAAGGTGATTGCCGCGGTTGCGGACCAGATCCGGGCTGGCGAGCAGGCCATTACGGGTGTTATGATCGAGAGCAATATCAACGAAGGCAAGCAGGCCGCACCAAACTCGGAAGAAGAGGTCTCGCAGCTCAAGTATGGTGTGTCGATTACGGATGGATGTGTCAACTTTGAGACGACGGTGCAGATGCTGGAGACCCTCAGCCAGGTAAATCCCTCACTTTCCTCCGTGGACATTCTCAAAGCATGCTAATTTGGTGAAATAATATAGGCTGTCAAGGAGCGACGAGCTGCAGCGTGCCAGTCATGCGAGAATCAGCCAACCTGCAATGAAGACTCGCGCCGGGAAAAGTGGTAGACTGCAGTTATTCTTGTCTTGTTTAGATATCACCGTTAGACTCCGTAGTTACAATTCGATTATTCTATTATTCCTGTGATATTGCTTCATCCAATTCTCCTCATCTACTCCGTAGCAGTCCTTCCTTTCTATCTTCAAAATTAAATTCAATCGAGAATGATCAAAACCGTCGGAACTACGAGATGAAGGCATCCTCCCTACGTCTTCTCCATGCACTTGATGCTACTGATAATAGTCGCAACGAAGGACTGATTGATCCCTGTAAAAGCACCAATTAACTGTCTTTACTATTCCTCCATGGAGCTTTCGGATTTCGAACTGCGCTACGCTGGACTCTCGGACATTCGGATCTTCGGGGCTTCACGCCAACCATTCGGAGTCTTGCCAGGTCTTAGACGGTGATCGAAAGCGCTAAGCTTTGCTTCCCGTGTTGGATGATGTCTACGAGGTCTATGATTGGAGACTGGATGGATATGCCTCCTGATCCGTGTCGGAACTATCCATCGCACGGAGATCTCATCTCGGAATCCAGCTTGATGCTCAGGCTCCGGCCCATATCAATCAGCCAGGATATACTTCATGTATAGCACTTCAAGAATACAACTCCAGGGTATAAAGAGACCACCTCAAGAAGCCCCATCGTCTCCCTCCATCAACACCATCCCTCATCCATCTACATGAGCTTCTCTGCCTCTTTCCTCAGAACCGCACTGCGATCCAGACCCGTCTCTGCTATCCCACGAGTCCAACACCGCAGCTTCTCCTCTTCATTCATCGCCATGGCTCCCTTCACCCTCTACACCCACGCTGGTTCGTCTTGCTCCCGCTGCCAGAAATGGCGCAACCCGGACTCTTAGGCTAATGCTTGGCAGGCCCCGGCCCCAACCCCGTCAAGGTTGCCATGGCCCTGGAGCACCTCGGTCTCCAGTACGACTGTGTCCCCCTCAGCTTCGGTGAGGGCAAGGGCACCGTCAAGGACCCCGAGTACACCTCCAAGGTGAACCCCAACGGCCGTGTCCCTGGCCTCGTCGACCACAACAACAGCAACTTCAGCGTGTTCGAGAGCGCGGCCATCCTGCGCTACCTGGCCGAGAAGGTACCGTTAGCACCTACCTCAGTATACTCACACCCATCCACTGACCACAACCACAGTACGACCCCAGCGGCAAGCTCGGTGGCACCACCCCCGAGGAGCATGCCGCCGTCAACCAGTGGCTCGCTTGGCAGGTGTCCGGCCTGGGTCCCTACCAGGGCCAGCTGGTCTGGTTCCTGGCCTTCCACGAGGGCGCCCACGGCGAGAAGCCCAACCCCAGCGTGATCGCGCGGTACCAGGCTGAGGTCGAGCGCCTGCGCGCCGTGCTCGAGAAGCACCTCGCGACCGCGCAGAATGGGTTCGTCGCCCTGGGCCGTCTGACCATTGCGGACTTTGCCATTCTGCCCTGGCTCAAGCTCTCCGGGCTGGCGGGACCCGCGCTCAAGCCTTTTGAGGAGTACCCGTCTATTGATGCTTACATGAAGAAGCTGGATGCGTTGCCCGAAGTCCAGGCTGCGTATAAGAAGGCTGTGCCTCCCATGCCCTAGATGGGTTCTTGGTGGTGGCGATATGGTTGTACATAGGATTATTAGAAAATGAAATTTTGGATTGATAGTTTAACAGGATTGTTCGTGTTACTAGTGTTAGGCCACGAGGACAGGTTTCTCCAGTTCTTGCTTCCCTTACCTCAGCTGCATAACTTGTAGGTAATCTGACTCACCTCTCTGCCACGCTCGTATATAAACGAGAGGTGGCACTGTCAGCTTGCAGATCGCGCGTACTTAGGCTTTTCCTCGCTGTCCACCCCCCTGACTACGCAAGAGATCCTCCACTTTCGCCTTCACCTTCACTTCGTGCACTCCCATGTCTACTCCAGCTGAATGAAGTCCCGTAAAAAAAATCACAGCCGTGGCGACTATCGCCCCCCCCTTATCCGGCACGAACACCCGTCTCCCCGTCCTACACGTTCTCGGCCGTGACAGATCTATTCCTAGGCACGCTCGAGCTCGAATCACAATGCTCAAAGCGCGCTCTATATGGAGTAACAGACATTGCGACGTCGCTAATGACTAGGCAACCCTGTGCTGATACCTCTAGAGCAGCCCAAATACCACGACTGGAAGAGCCTGATGGTTCAGCTCAGCTACCTCGACGGAGACCGCGGACGACGAGGCCGGTTGTCTGGCCAATCCGGGTAGGTGTAATGTAATTTAGGCCCTAGGTGTAGGTTTGTGCGTCCTGTTGGTCTCGACTGGGCAGTTTGGCCGTCGTCCGTCAGTAGAAGTCGATATCAGCATAGGACAGGGTGCCGGCTTTCAACACGTGTAGTACCTGCTGTACCTTGTTTATGCGAGATAGTCGCACGCTCCTGCACGCTGTAGGGGGCTGGCGAGGCAAATCCATCCGCGGAGAACGGTCACCGTGGGGGTACGGAGGCACTGCTCCTGCTCTGTAAGCTCGAGGCGATGAGTACATAGGAGAGAACATGAAGCGGTTCTGATGGGCTGTAATATAGACACCAAGACTGCGATAAGCAAGAGGCCTCGATATCCGAGCTGCTATCTACCTGGTTATCCTTCTTATTGAATATATTTATTGCGGTTGTTGGTCGTGGTAGCTTTTCCTTCCCCCTTTCCCCCCTTCAAGTCCCATCCCCCCCCCATATCAATTAGCAACACCATTAAAAGATGTTGTCCAACACCATCACCATCGTGCCCAGCATGGACGCGCGGGTTGTCGAGCCCTTGCAGGCCTTCAGCCCGTCTCGAGTCTCATTACCCACATCTCTCCCCTTGGACACACTGGCATTCGCCCGCAAGACCGCCGCACACGAAGCCCTCGTCGAGCGCATCGCCGAGATCATCGCCTCATATCGCATCTCCGGACCCGACGACCGGTATGAAGACGTATACAAGCCCAAGCTGCTGGAGACGCTGCGCGTCTTTGTGACCCGCCAGGAACCCATCAACCTCGTCGTCCCCGCGTACCCGTTCAAGAGCCCCAACCGCGAAGAGAAGGTGCTCGGCCCGGACGTCGACGTCGGCGAGCGCATGTCCCTCGAGCACTTCAACTCGATCGGCGCGCGCATCCAGCAGATCTACCCGCCCGGCGGGCACGTCACGATCGTCAGCGACGGGTGCTGCTACAACGACCTCCTCGGCGTCTCGGACGAGGAAGTCTTCCGGTACGCGGAGGGCCTGCACCGCATCACGGAGAAGCTGCAGCTGCGCCACCTGCGCTTCTCCGACCCCTTCGAGCTGATCGAGGGCCCGGAGCACGTCCCCACCACCGAGGCGGAGTATGCGCAGCGCATCGGCGCCGTCAAGGACCTGCTCTTCAACTCCTACCTGCCCTCCGGGTACGACTTCGACGCGGACCTGAAGAAGGACCCCAACGCGCTCCTCACGTACCGCGGGTACATCAAGTTCCTGATCTCCGACCTCGCCACGTTTTTCAAGGAGCGCAAGATGAGCAAGTCCGCCGTCAAGAAGCACTGCTCGGCCGTCGCGCGCGGCATGATCGAGCGCGGCAAGGCGTTCGCCGCCCTCGTCGGCATCGCCTCCCCGCTGCACGTCCGTCTCTCCATCCACGCCAGCGACAACACCCGCAAGCTCTCCGTCGCCCTGCTCCCGCACAAGCGCTACAGCAACTTCCCCGTCACCCCCTGGCACACCACCCCCTACCTCGACGCCGACAACGCCTCGCTCACCCTCAGCCGCAAGCCCGCCGCCGGCGACGGCACCGAAACCACGTACACGCTCTGCCACGACGAGCTGGGGCTGGCGTTCCTGCGCGCCGACGTCCCCATGTACCGCGTCATCGACGCGGCGCACATCCAGCTCGAGCCGCTGTACCCCTTCGGGCTGCGCATCCGGGTGCCCCGCGACACGCCCATCAGCCGGTTCCGCCTGGCGAACGTGGCGGAGCTGGCGCGCGTGCACTCGCCCATCGTCTTCGAGGGGCTGGACCCGCTGCAGTACACGAGCGAGATCGCGGACGACTTCCAGCGCGTCGCGGGCGGCGCGCTGTCGCTGAGTCTGCTGCACGAGGGGATCGTCCCGGCGGGCGAGGCGGCCTCGTATTTCGTGCAGGTGGGCGGCGGCGGCGCGGAGGACGGCGGCGCGGTCATGCCGTTCGTGGAGGCCGCCGCGGCGCTGGACGATGTGCGGTATCGCGTGCTGCACCAGTGGCGGGACGGGCATGCGGTGGTGGCTGATCATCGGGTTGCGCTGCCGGTGCATTTGAGCCCGTCGAGTCTGAGGGTGTTGAGGGCTGGGATTTAGCTCCGCATGGGATTAACGACTTGCGTTTTTTTTTTTGATGGTGTTTTGTTTTTCCTCTTTCACTTGGCTATTCTATATAGATTTGGTTCTTATTGGTTTTTTGTTTGCTTGTGTTTAATTGGTATATAGCTTGGCTACTTGGACTTGGACTTGGTGTACAGAAAGAAGACATCTTACAGACTGAATGAACTTCCTCCACAATTTCTCCAAGTGTTTCTCTCTCCCTCTCTCTCTCTCCGTAATGTACTCCGTCAAGAGCAAGATTCCTCCATTCCGCAGTTCAGGCCTGTCAGACTGCCGCCTGGTAGATATATGAATATGAGTATGCCATATTCCCCGGACCATAGCCCCGTCCGCCTCCCCCAAACTCCGCGGCGCCAGCCCTACCCTCCGCCCGGAGACTACTACTACTACAAGCCTATAACCCCGGGAGTGCTGCACGCAGATCCTGTGCCAAACGGATTCCGGCCAGAAGAGGCCAGGGAAGAAGGCTAGGGGGGGCAAGGATGGCACTCCTGGGCTAATGCGTCTGCCTCTGCTGGTGCGCTCAAACTAGCCCAGAACAAGCACAACAGACTGACCGATCGACGTGCTTTCTGACCAGAGAGCAGGAAGAAAATTAAGAATATTGAGACATAACAAATAGATTCATAATCATGACAGTCTAACCCCGTAAGCAAGATGCAAAGCTATGTACACCGATGTTTCCTGTATGCAAAATACTTGAAGAGGAAGGAAAGAAAAACAAATTAAAAACAAAAAAAACAAAAAAAAAAAAAAAAAACCCCGCAAGACGCTGATCAACAGGCCCCGCCGCCATGATACACCTTCTGCTTCTTCCCCGTGTGGTCGACCGCCACATCCGCCGGAAACCCCTCTAGGCTCCGTTTACCCGGACAGGCGGCCGGCTCCTCCACGCTGAAGGCGAAGGCGTGCTGCTCGTCCAGCCACGTCAGCAGGCCTGCATCCAGCTCCGCCGGATCGAACGGCGGCACGCCGTCGGTGAAGTTGACGGGGAAGGGCGGGTAGTCTGCGAATTGGCGCTGCAGGGCGTCCATGTCGGTGTCCATGACTCCTCCGGCGAGCGGCGAGGGGAAGGGCGTCGCGGTGCATATTGAGGAGACCGCGGACGGGGTGGTGGTTGGGTTGAGGAAAGCGGATGGCGGCAGGCCCGTGGTGGTCTCGGGGAGGTAGGACTGGGCCTGCATCTGCAGCGATGATTCGGGATATGTGTTGGAGCCGGCGTGGAAGGGGTGTGTGGTGTGCAGGGGCTCATCGGTCATGTCCTGGCGCTGGCCGCGCTCGTTGAACCAGGCCACCCAGCTCGAGTCCATGTACCGGGGCCCTGTGCCGCTGCCGCTGTGCTTGTGGGCGTGGTGGTGCTGAGCGCGGGCATCCTGAGCGTCTGCGGCGGAGAGCAGCGCGAAGTAGCTTGTTGCGCTGCTGCGGGAGCGCAGCCGGCCGCTGTCACTGAGGTTGGAGGAGTTGATGGGCAGAGAGGAGGTGGAAGAGCACGACGAGACGGTTCCTGAGAGGGAAGTTGGGTTGTTGCGCCGGGTTAAAGCCAGCCACTGCACCCATCTAGAGTCGGGATCCCGTCCCATCGGCGTGCTCGATCCACTTCTGGAGCACTGCATGTTTCGGCGATTCTGAGGAGTGAATTTTTTTTTCCCCCTTGTTTTTCCTCTCCCCCTCTTTTTTTTTTTCTTTCTTCTTCTTGAAATTGAGACCGAAAGAGCCCACGTGGAGAGCGAGGGGGATGGATGGATGGATGGATGTATGCCAAGGGACCTCACAGTCTCCGAAAAAAGTAAAAGATCCGCAGGAGACAAGTCCAAAGACGACACAAACGGTGTGACAAGGCCGATTTATAGGTCGGGGCGAGAGATATATTACCAGGCAGCGAGCAACGAACAACGAGAGAGCTGCACGAGTCAAAACACCCAAGAGGAGCCTTTATTTTTTTTTCCCCTTTTCTTTTCTCGTTCTTTTCTTTCTTGCTTTCTTGTCCAAGAACCAACAGAAAGACAGAGAGAGAGAGTGTGTGTGTGTGTGTGAGAGAGAGAGAGAGAGGCACTGCTGCTGACTATAGCTGCGGATCTCTGAATCGTTCTTGCATGCTTGGCTCGTCAGCCCCGGCGACGGATCAGTCTTTATACCAAAGTCAGTTTGCAGCTTGGCGATGGTCTCATAGCCAACCCAGGCTCATCTATCCAGCGCTCACTCATCATGCACGGGCTTCGTTCGCTACGATCAGTGAGAGCTAGGCAGGAGCGATAGCGGCCAATGCAACCGTACCGACTAGTAAGTAGCAACCTATCTAGCCACACCCTCATTTGCAGGTGTGTTTCTTCACGCTCGATACCAGACGTGAAGGAATGGATGGGTGGGCAACGAGTGGCGTCTGGAGACGGACCACAGGCACTAGGCAGCCCGGAAGGCGTTGGTGAACGAGGTCTGCAGAATCCTGCAGAGGCCAGACCACTGATGAGAGAACGGTTGATCAGCACGCCAATCAGCAGGGGGGAGGGAAGGAACATGCATTATCAGAGCGGCGCTAGACTGGCTGGTCAAGGGCTGCAGAGGGTTGCATTCGATCGGCAGTCGGACGAAAGCTGAGGACGAATCTTCTCGTCAGGATTGACATGATTAATGATACCTTCAAGAACGGTGTCTGATCACCCTGTCCCTCCTATTCTGACTGCTGTTCCCACGTGTGCAGATGCCATCTGGTGTACTGCGCTGACAGAAACGTGGCATCTACCAGGGAGGACGACCCTTGTCGCTCGGGATTTAGTCGGTAGTTACAGCTCTAGTTAGTTAGTTACGACATTCAGATACGATGGTATAATCTGGGAGAATACTATACGATGATGCTGGGGTGCGGCGTGAGGATCACCTCGTATTGCGCGATAAATATATATATTATATATAGATATCTCTCTCTCTGAGGTCAATCCTTTCTGGGACAGACCAGACAGACCAGATATCGACCAACGATGAGGAATACAATGGAACTCCGAAAGAAGACTCAAGACTCATGCTAAATCCTTCACACTCTTCTTCAGAGTCTAGAGAGATAGTTACCTAGTTCCTTGATGTTATGCACGCTCGTACAGCCCACTAAAATGGTGAAACTTCCACCTCATCGTACCATTAGCCAATTCGGGTCTAATTTCACAATCAAGCGTCCAAGCGTCCAAGCGTCCTGTTCCTTGTTTTAAAATCAAAAAAAAAAAAAAAAAACAAACCAAACCAAATTCAAATTCCGATCCCATCCTGATCCGCATCTCCTCCCCCCCGTCAGCCCCGTCAGCCCCGTCCGCCCCCGTCCTCCCCATCCGCCTCCGACCCAAAACTCCATGGAGTTTCGGCCTCACGCGCTTGTTCCACCACGGCGATTGCGACGTTTCGGTGTCTTCTGCCCTTTGTGCCATCGCGAAATCGCTGAGATTCGGTCTGACGAAGATCCTCCAGAATCCACCTCCTCGGAATCCAATCGTCGCGGTAAAAAGTACAAATACCAAGAGTCCAAGACCTCCCAAGAGTCCAGGACCCTCAGATCTGACGTGAGATACACACCCCAGCCAGCCCTAACTCGCCAGCAATATCCATCACTTGGACCAAAAAAGAAAAAAAAAAAAAAAAAGCAAAGAAATCCACCCAACCAACACTAAACTATATTCTTCTGCGGCTGAGAAGGTAGTCAGCCTCTAATCTCGAAAGAGTCTCATCATTCGTTTCGTCACCATGCCCACCACCCACCGCATCCTCTCACTCGTCTACAACGAGTTCGAGGCTCTTGACCTTTTCGGTCCACTTGGCGCCATCGTCCCCCGCAGTGACTACTACACCCTCGAGCTCGTCAACCTTCACAATCTCGACGGTCCACGCGGTCTCGAAACCTCCATCAAGAATGGCATCGGCATCCTGCCCACCATGTCGCTGACCGAGGCCCTGGCCGACGACCAGCACGTCGATACCCTCTTCATCCCTGGCGGCTTCGGTATGCTGCCCCTGGTCTGGGACCCGATTCTGCTGCAGCGCATCGGCCAGCTGGTCGACCGCGCCTCAAACGTCTTCACCGTCTGCACGGGCTCGATTCTGCTGGCTGCAACGGGTCGCCTGAATGGCCGCCAGGCCACCACGAATAAGCGTCTCTATGATGAGCTGACCCCCAAACGTAGGTTCATCCCCTCCTCTGTTCCTGCAAGGCCCCCCCCCCCCGGGAAACCTTGCGTTTTGTGCTGGAGGTAAAATTAACCGGTTGGTGTTTGGCTCAGATCCCGCCGTCCAATGGCAGAAGCGCGCCCGTTGGGTCCAGGATGGAAAGTTTTTGACTTCGTCGGGAATCACGGCGGGCATCGACGCGGGCTTCGCCTTCCTTGCCAACACTTATGTGGCGCCGGAAGACCGTCAGGCGCATCCAGAGCGCCAGAAGGCTAGCGAGGTGGGCGATGCCTCGCCCATCCCCGGCTTCAACAAGGAAAAGGCCCTCAAGTATACTCATTTCACCGCGTTTGGCCTGGAGTACCGCTGGCACTCGGACCCGGCCGATGATCCATTTGTGGATTTGCCTACCACCAACGGCCACGCTTGACCAAGTCGTTTCAATCGCGCCATTTCATAGGGTCCGTATCAATGAATAAAGGGATTTCTAAAAAAAAATATAAAAAAAAAAAATATAAAAAAAAAAAAACAATTCATGTTTTGTATTGCCATAGTACAACCATAAGCAACCGGCCAGGCGTGCCCATAGAGGTATCAAAACAAAAGATCAAACAGTGTAAGACTTTAGCACGACCAGGCCCTCACCCGGCGAGTCATTCCCTCTTTATCTATCTCCTCCTGCGCAAACGCGAGTAAGGTCTCAAGTGCCAAGTTGCACCGGCCCTAGAGCGAAGGCAGAGTCCCATCCCCCAAGGCATAATAAAACTTGGCAGCAACGTATGCGTCAGCGCTAGACGGTGTTGTTGCAGAATCACTCCCACCAGCCAGCCCAAGCGATTCGCCTTCCAGGGATGAGGGGGACGTATGGGTCATGCGTGTGCCTGCCGTGCTACTGTAGGCATCACCAAAGTGAGGGGTCCCTCGGCTATGCATTGACTGCGTGGCGCCAGACGGAGACGGAAACGATCGCAGACCAACCAGGCCATGCAAATCGCCAGGCGTTCCGAACACGCCGTCTTTGCTAAGAAATTCGGGCGGCGGTGGAGGGAAATCCAAGAATTGCCAGAAATTAGGGCTGAGGTCGTTGGACAGAATGGGCAACACGTCCAAGTCTGGAAACCCTTCCGAGACGTTGGAGAAAGGCATCGACATATCAACAGGCGAGAATGGATCGACGGTTGTTGGCTCCCTTTCCAAAGGAAGAGCAGTGGTCTCGCTCCTCCCGTCTAATGTGCGCAGGATGCTGCCAACCTTGATTTTGAGGGAATCCTTCGCCGTGCCGTTGGACCCACCCACTGGAGCCTGGCTCCCTGTTGTGTTGGCCAACTGACCGTCCCGGGGGTCATCGGACTCCTCTTCCTCGAGCTTCATCAAGGCTTCGAGGGCAACAACGCTTCGCTGTGCGGTGCCTTTGACTTGATCCAGATGGAGATCGTGGAGACTCGACCCTTCAGTGATGCTCTTTGTCCGAAGCAGCTCGATCGCCTCTCGAACTTTGTCTCGCGTCATCAGTCGACTCAGCTGGGCGCTGGAACAATCTGCATCCTTCGAGTTCAATGTAAACAGTAGATCGATGAGCAAAACCACTGCCGCGTTGAACAGCTGGATTTCGCTAGTAGATAGAGAACCGCACACCGCGCATCGCGCTTGTATTTGTGCTTGTGTACCGATGATATTCTGGGCCAGTAGCTGGCAGGACGCGCGGCCGACCGGAGAGGCGAGATTGGCCCGGTGCAGTCGGAGAAGTAAACTCCACAGTTGCTGGTGCAGCATCCATCGCTGCACAGGGATCGCAGCCATGGGGCCAGTGGCCGTGAGGCCGACCGTACTTCCCAATCGAAAGTACGACGGAAGGCCCGCAACATACTTCTCATACTTGCTGGTCAGATGTTTACGCATCTTGGCTGCTTCAGTGGTGGGATCTGGATGTTGCGATTGGGAAACGGGAATACCCAAGTCAATGGATTCTCGCACGATGCTCGCCAGCTCCAGCGCATGAACAGTGTACGAAAGCATGGTGAACTCGGTTCGAGGTCGCTCAGCAATGTCGCCGTTGACACTGACCCTCCAGGTTGACAGACAGAGATCATCGTCATTGATATGCAGCGGCATCCGAGTGTTGAATTGGGAGGGATGAACCGTATAGTAGCCGAGGGCCTGGCCACGCGACCAGTCTCGCATGACAAGTGCCCACCTGTCTCCAGTCAGAACTTGAGCGTAGTGAGGTATGTTGCGATGTCAACGTACCAGATTCGCACTCCGACTTCGGTGCGGACATGCAGCGGCGGATCCGTTGATGCTGCAGACCCATTATGCAATGAACCGTTGCGCGATGCAGAGGCATCCAATCTGACGTCACCTAGCCGATGTAAACCGAGCTTTCGAGCTCCAGAGATTGCAGTGACCAGCACAGCATCGAGCGCCAGTGAGCCTTCCTGGCCATCTAGCAGGATCATAACAGCAGCCTGTAGGCTGATAATCGAGCCGCAGAAGAGAGAAGCCCCTCCCTGAAGACAGCGCAGGGCGAGGGATCTCCAGGTTTTAATATGTGCATCGGATGCCCGAAGCTCCTCCACGCGCAGAGTCAGGGGAGTCGGAGTCCAGCCCAGCAGCGACGGCGTTGGATGAAAAGAGAGGCCCAATACAAGCTGCGAGCACCCACAAGGATGTCAGTGATACACAAAAACTCATATCGGATCTGACGGATACGAACCGCGAGAAGATAACGAGCCAATGCATCCATGGAAACAGTACTTGACAGCGCCATGACCCGTGCGTCTGGGGAAGCAAGACTCAAACAGCTACGAAATTGCTCTGCCTGTTTCATAAAGGACGGAACGTGGGTGACATTTCCCAAGGGGCCCTGACAACGAGTAACAAAGACTTCGTAGAGGAGGGAAATCACGTCCAGCTCCGGCATATCATTGACGATCTCCTGTATCAATGTCATCTTTTCGCCCTGTCGCTGCGGATCGTTGTTCAGCCAATATCGATTCGGGCAGTCAGGCGCCACGGACGACAGCGTCGGTCCCAGCACCATGGAGGGAAAGGTAGTGGGACGAGGGATGCCATCGACAAAGTGTTCCAAGATTTGTGCTGTCTCTTCTGCGTCCGTCTCTCCATCCTGGGTCGGCGATGAATTTCTGATAAGATAAGCACGAGTCAGTCGACTTTTCGCACACGAGGACGATGAACTGGTTATATGTCCCACTCACCCCTTGGAGTTGTTCTTGCTACTATGATCCGTTTTGGTCCGTTTGGCCCGCGGTTGACGTTCATCTTTGGTGCAGAGATGGCCGATATTACGCTTAACGCATTCCATCTACCAGAACAGAGAGAAAAGAGACAGGTCAGCTTCAGCGCGGAGGCAAATCCGTGATCGGAGAGCGGCAAAAGGGCCAACCAACACAAGGTTCCTTCCGGTCGCATTTTAGCTTCGAGGCCCGGCATCGCGAGCAGGACAGCGTAAACTTGCGTACAACGGCGTCCGACCCCGAGGGAGCCTTGCTGCTTGAATCAACCATTGCTGGGATCCGGATGGGAAAAGAACATGGTTTAACGCAGGGACAAAGTGTGGTGAAGGGAGACTATCTTCTGTAATCTGACTGCAAAAGACCGGCTTACGCGCCGACCGAGCCTTTTTGGACTCTGGTAGGCAGATTGCCCCACTAGCATAAGGTCGATTTTGATTTCTGGGTATCTATTCGTTGCTGACGGGTGGCCACTAGCTCGCTGCACGGACTAGCAAGAAGAGGCTAGTGGTGGAAGGAAGTACAGGGAAGAGTGACTCTGTTGATGATGATGATGATGATGATGATGATAGATACTCGACAGACACTTGTGACTTGACAATCTTGATAGAGTCTCGTCGTCGGATGATGCTCAGAACTTCATTCAACCTTCAGACTTTCCGGTGGAGAGTCACGCGGGGCAAGTGGGTCAGGTGATCCGCCCATGAGCTTGGTTCCGATTCGAAGTTAGAAGTTAGAAAGAACAGGCTGAACAGCAGAGCTTAAGCCTTAAGTTCCTTTGTTCTTTAGAACCTGAGAAGAGCCCCTGGGGAGGGCGAATCCATGATGCTTAAAGAATGACCGTAAAAATTTTCTCCTACATTCACAGATATAGTAACAATATTATTAATGGAAAGGTGTGAAGAATAGTACGATGGAAGCAGGAGTTGATGTTCAGTACTCAGGTTGGCGGGCCTCAGAAGTCAGAACAGCCGAAAACAACGGGCTGACCAATCACCGCCCTCGCTCCCAGTACCGGCTCATATACTCTCACGTGATTGTGGTGTTCGCCCATTGTCTAAGGCATCACCCCTGCCTCAGGATCCCCATCTTTGCCAATAAAAAAAAAAGGACAGTACGGAGTAACATTGCCTGATGAAGGGTTTGATCGATCAATCGAGAGTGGCGAAAACATCAGCCACCGAGCAGTTTTGCATCATTCGAGGCCAGTACCGTGTTGACGAGGTCATCGCATTGGCCTGTAGTTAAAATATATGTTTCAGAGAGATGCGAGTCTGGCAGCTTGATCACCGCTCCCACTTGCAGCTTCGTGTCCTCTCTCCACGCTGGTCAACGCACTGATCCCCTGAATGATGTACGATGGCCAGATGCCTTCCTCCTGGCAGTCTCTCTCAGTCGTTACGCCGGTCAGGACCAGGAGTGAATCAATGTTGCCGTCCTTGGCAAACAGGATATCCGTGTGGAGGTTGTCCCCCACGAAGATGGAGCGCTTTTCGTCGATCTGATACAGCGACTTGACCATGTCCAGCATGGGTGCATGAGGTTTACCGACGATGATGGGCTCTCGTTTTGTCGCAGCGATCAACGGGGTGGCGAGAGAGCCGGATCCTAGTCAGAAACAACAACCGTCAGGGTATTCAATCTTGGATGGTTCGTAGAGCGACAGAGAAGCATACCCGGCCATGGTTCTCCTAGAGCAGGAACCACTTTATCATCGTTTGTCAGGAGGAAATGGCATCCTCCTCCCTGTTCGCCTGCGAGAACCGGGCCCTGAGCTCCCTCCCGGGTCAGGTGCTTGAATGCCTTGCAGAGCTTGGCGTAGTTCATGTGCATATCAAACCCGCATAAAACCGCGCCCACACTGGGATCGATAGCGCCCTCACTCTGTAGAGGGGAGTAGTCGTTGGCTGGAAGGAACTGATTGTCCTCGGGCGATGTCCCTCCACAGTGCAGGATACCGACGGCGTCGAGTTCGGCCTCGATGCCTTCCATCCCCATCACGTACACTTTGCGATCCGCAGGAAACTTCAGCACATCTTTGAGATATCCAGCTGCTGCAAAGGCGCTCGATACAATCTCATCCTGTTGACTTGGGTTAATGACAAAATGGGGAGGCGTCCCTGTCGGGGTGCATCCTCCTTACCTCGCTGGCGCTGATCCCCAATCGATCAAACTTCTTCTTCAGCATCTTCCGACTCCGGCTGGCATTGTTGGTGACAAACAAGACTCTCTTTCCCTGTCGTCGCAACAAGTCCACTGCCTCACCAGCTCCTGCGATCTTGTCGTCTCCCGACCAGATCACCCCGTCACAGTCGAACAGCCATGTGTCATACCGATTCAAGATCTCAGCATAGTCGTCGGACGACGATAGCTTACGTGAAGACGCCATCGAAACAAGACCTGTAAGATCCTGGAGAGTAGGCTGTGAAATATCATTTACGCATTGACGCCTACAAATAGTGTATAGTACCACATGCTTGGTGACGCGCTTTGCGTACACCGAGCCCACATTGGTGGCCCTCCGCGGAGCTATCCCCCAACGGCAAAAATATACATCTGAGAAACAAGGTAATGTTAATAACAATTGTCTTACTGTACTTGCACGGCAGTGAACAACTCACACTCTCATCTCCTAGGCACCAAGTCTGCCTCGTTGGACGCTCTGTCGCGTGCTGCGACAGCCCCGATGGACAGCTCCGTCGGAATCCGCGTGTCGCTGCCTTCACCACACTCGCTCGACTCAGCATTCTCACGGACGGATCAGAGAATCCAGATCTCTCCTCCATGTGCAGAACCAGGTTCTCTGATTCCCGCGGCGGAAGAGAATTGCCTTATGTCCTTGCATGGAGCGTCTGGATACAAATATGAAGTGCACCTCTCAACATGAGGACAACTGCAACAAGAGCAGGATCTTCCTCAGGATCCAGTTTGAAACATCTGTTGTATTTTCACCTGTGATCTATCAGAATAACCACACAAAATGCCTTTCGCTGGAGAGCTTCCCTCGGCGATAGAGACTCAGGTCTCCAAGATCCTCGCCCTGATTGCCGCCTACCGTCACCGTTCCCCCAACGTCCCCGATCGCTTTGCCCAGTTCGTCCCAGAGCTCGAGAAACAGCTCGCCGACACAGTTTCCAAGAAGGAGCCTGTTCGCTTCGTTCTTCCCGCCTTCCCCTTCAAGGCTCCCGTTGAGGGCAACAAGCGCAAGACTCTGGGATCCTTGCCGGACAAGGCTGAGGAGATTGCCCTGAAGACCCTCGATGGATTCGCTGACTCCATTGCGGAGATCTATGAGGCTGGCGCCACTGTAGTCCTTGTTTCGGATGCTTCCGTCTACGGAGGTAGGGACGGTCAACCTTCCGTACAAAAGTTACGTTGCTAACATGTGATCAGACCTTCTGAACGTTGCCGACGCGGAGGCCTTCACTTACCACCAAGAACTGCAAAAGCTCGCCTCGTCCCTCGGACTCGAGCACCTTGAATTTGTCCGCCCCGGAGCCCTTGCTGGCATTGCTCCCAAAGATGCCCACACTCTGGAGGAGTACTCTGACCATGTAAACAAGACACGCAACCTCCTTGATGGTCCTCTGGCCCAGGACGTCAACCCAAGCGAGGATGAGAACGTCCAGGCTACAAGCAAGCACTACGATACAGCTCTCCCCACCACTGACGATCCTGAAGCATTCAAGACTGCTATGCTTAAGCGCGGAAAGGTAGGTCATACATATCCCCCCAACTTCCCAACGGCCGGCGACTCACAACTGATCATCCCAGGCCTACGCCAAGCTCATTGCCTCCTCTTCCGAAACGACCATCCGTCTGTCCATCCACGAGTCCAACAATGTTGGCAAGATTACTCTCGATCTCTTCCCCCCTTCGACCAACCCCGACTTCATCACCCCATGGCACGGTGCCGTGGCTGTCCTCGCGGATGCCAGCGTGCGCATTGTCGATGCTTCCACCGTCGACATGACCAAGTTCGAGGTCATCACCAACGCCGAGGGCCGCCCGTGGCTGCTCCGGGAGAAATCCGAGCTGTTCAACTGGTTTGGCATGGAGCTGGACTTTGAGCCGCTCTTCCCCTGCGGCATGGTCGTGCGCCCGCGCAACGGCTACGGGCCCTACAAGTTCGAGGACGTCAACATGAAGCAGGTGCGACGGCTCGCACTGTCCACGGCCCCCTTGCTCCTCCGCGGCTTCACCATGGAGATCGAGAAGGAGGTCTTCCGCCAAAAGGCGCGCGAGCTCGGCGAGATCCAGATGTGGCCGTTCGGTGACATCCTCGAGGTGCGCGAGAACGCCGACTTCAACATGAACAACGTGCTCACGCGCGAGGCCATGCCCTTCCACTACGACGGCGTCTTCAAGACCATCCAGGACGAGAAGACCGGCGAGTGGATCTCCACTCCGCCCCTGTTCCAGATGTTCCGCAACCGCGCCGCCTCGCAGCAAAAGGGTGGCCTCACCCTCTTCTCCTCGTCGCGGAACCTCATCCCCCTCCTCGGCCCGGACAGCATCCCCCTTGACGAGCTCCGCAAGCTCAAGTGGAAGACTTTCACCGTCGTCAACGAGGCCTTCGGCGGCCACGAGCTGCTCCTGCCCTTCATCGCCTCGCATCCAGAGACCGGCGCCGATACCTTCCGCTTCCACGAGCCCTGGCCCGAGAGCAAGTGCATCTCCGGCAGCAGTGAGCCGACCATCGTCCAGGTGGTGGGCTGGCCCGCCGCAGAGAGCGATGCTCTGTGCGCCAAGCTGACCGACCTCCTGTACGACCGCCGGGTTGCTTACCGCCACCAGTGGACTGCAGGTGACTTCATCTTCAACGACAACGCCACGACGCACCACACCCGGACGGCATTCGAGAATGGCCACCGGGAGCACTGGCGTGTGCACGTCAGCTAGACGCATTTCCTCCCGACTTTTCTTTTTTTTTTTTTTTCTCTCTCTGTCAGCGATCATTTCCTGTATTTTTGTTAGTCAAGTAGAAAGAATGCATTTTGCTCTGGTTACCCATTCTATCCCTTCCAATCTTTCGAAATCCATGCACTATCTAGTTCAGAACCATATTTTCATGCTACCTCTTGCTCTAGACCTAACCTAAAAGCAAATCCAATATGGCGATGCCCATTTCGCGCCTGCCTTCCTACGTAGTATGCAGATGATCGAACAAGTATCCTTAACTTCACTGCAATTGCCCCATCCAGATCACCCTCTGACGCTAAACCACCATCTCGCCCAAACCTCTCTTCCCAATCCTTCACGAAGTAGTCCGTATAACACCTCTCGCCCCACCCTCCCCCATAATCCCTCTGCAGAAAAAAAAAAATAAAAATAAAGAAAAACAATAAAAAAGCCCTCAAACCCACTCATTCAAACTCAAACACCGTATGACCTTTATTCCTCATGGCTCATCCAGAGCTCTATTCCGGCCTTGGCATCAGCCCCAAGCCCTGAGCCCGCAATCCGGAGCCAACCGCTCAATTTCCCCCTCAGCGAATGACTAGACTAATACCTCAGAGAGAGAAGCAAGTTGGGCCGAGAATGGCTGCAGCGGCTAGAGAACCAGCATGTTTTAGTGCTTACTACTTTCTGCAGCCTAGGGCTGGGCTGCCGGGACCGGGGGCCGCTGAAAAGTGGACGGGAAAATGTGAAATTGTGAAACTCCATGGACTCCGTGGGTGGCGAGCCGCTTGAGCCAGTGCTGATCCTTTGCAGGGATCAGCGGCCTGGGCCAGGGGTAAGTAAGTGAGCTAGGAAGTTGTGAGTAGCCCGGTGCTGAGTGTTCGAGTGGGTGTAGCATAGCCGGTAAGAGGTGCTACGGCGAGACAACGGATTGGGATCAATTTACTACAATTTTATGATAGGCCTACCAAAGCTACAGGTAATTTGGTTTCATGACGGTTGGGGAAAGTTCAATCTATTATTGTATCGTAGCGGAGCAGGTAAAGCTCCTGAGAGGGAAGGTATCTTTTTAGAACAGTGTAAAAATGCAACGCAGGCTATAGGCAGCTCATGCAGGCCCTACGCACTCGTCTTGGCCGACTCTTCGATCGTGCCCTCGGTGCTTCCAGCCTCTTTCTCCCCCGCGCCGTCGAATCGGTGATCGCGCACGAAGAACACGACGATGAAGAACCCGACGGCGGCAAAGGCGATACCAAGCCAGAGCGCGCCGCGGTACCCGCGCACCACGTCGCGGCCGTCGTCGTTGACATGGCCCTCGACGGTGGCGGCGATGCCGAGCCCGATGGAGATGGAGTACTGGACGACGGTGGAGATGAAGGAGCCGGCGACGCCCTGCTCCTCTGGGGTGACGGCGTTGGAGATGATGATGCCAGAGGAGGCGAAGGAGAGGTCGGGGCCGCCGACGACGAGCAGGCAGGCGGGGAAGATGAAGGCCCAGTAGACGGGAGAGTAGTTGACGAAGCTGATGAGCAGGTTGCCGATGAAGAAGGAGAACATGGAGACGCCGAAGATGTACTGGGCGCGGACCTTGGCGATGAAGATGCCGACGGAGGCGGTGGCGAAGAAACCACCGATGACGAGCGGGACCATCTGCGCGACCGCGACGAGCGGCTTCTCGTGATGGATCGTGAGGATGTAGATGGTCGTGTAGTAGAGGAAGATGCCGAAGGACATCCAGCCGAAGGACATGGCGGTGACGACGGGCGTAAAGCCCTTGCGCGACCAGAGCGTGTTGGGGAGGACGGGGTTCTGCACGCGCGACTGCGACAGGGCAAAGGCGACGATCAGGACGACGCCGACGATGAGCAGGGCGTAGGTGTAGGGCTCCTGCCAGCCGACGACGGAGGCCTGGTTCCATGCAAAGGAGAACAAAATCAGGCCCGAGACACCAAGAACGCTGCCGATGTAGTCGAAGTGCTTGAGGCTGAGGCCGGGGATGGGTGAGCCGACGCTGTGAGGGATAATCACGAAGCTCGCGGCACCGAGTACCAGACATCCAATGGCCCAGAACCAGAAGCCCCAGCGCCAGGTGACGTTCTCCGCGAAGGCGGCGCCGATGAGACCACCAAAGATGTATCCGGACGGCGCGCAGAAGCCGAGGAAGGCGAAGGCGATGTTCTTCTTCTGCGAGAAGGGAGGGAAAGCTCGCGCCAGCAGGGCGAACGAGTTGGGGACCAGCGCACCGTTGCCGATGCCCGTCATTCCGCGCGCGATGTCAAACAGCACAACGTCCTTGGCAAAGCCACTGACCAGCGACCACAGCGCCATCCAGAGCCATCCGAAGATGAAGACGTACTTATGGCCGAAGTGGTCACCCAGTCGGCCAGTAACCAGAACGAAGACACCACCGCACAGCGAGTAGGCGGCCAAAAACCACGACATTTGTCCATTGCTGGTCGCATTCAGCGCCCGGCCAATCTCCTGAACGGAGAAGGCTGCATTTCCCAGGCCTCCGACGGAAAAGAGCTGCGACAGGCCGATGATGAGAATAAAGATGGCTTCTTGGAAGGTCGACGAGAACGCAGCGGGAGGGGCTGCAGCGTCTGGCTCGCCTGCACCGCCAGGACCGGACATGGTATCGGCTGGTCGTTCAAATTCCTCCTTGCTCAGAGGTCTTTCTCGGTCGTTGCCAATAGAGGTTGCGTCTGTGGAAGACATGGTTGTGATGGGGAGGGTGGTCTGTCCGAAGCTGCCAGGATGACCGGAATCTCGAGAAGGCTGTCAGACCAAGTCGAGATGGATGATTAGTGACAGGCAAGAGAGAAGGAAAAGAAGGGCAAGTGAGACCATCTCGACATATTCCTTTATAAAGGAGATTTTTTTTTTTTCTTTTCCCTGAATCATGCATTGTGTTGGTTGTCTGTGCTTTCCCTGCAGAATCGAAAGTCCGCGGATTTTGAAGCCAAAGTCCGGCGATCAACAGAACGTGCCGACTGGCGGATATTCACCATTTTCTACAGCCTCCAGCCAATCTGGTGCACCCGCTCGTGCGTTAGTTACTCTCACCCTAGTCCTGGAAGTCAGCTTGGGCTTTCGGTATCGGAATCTTGGTTCTTCTGTGCTGCTGGCTGAAACTCCGGCCGTGCAGAAAAGGATAAGGCTGAGGCTGACCTCGACTGCCTTGGCGTCCTTCCATCTGATTATTATTTTCGAGAAACTTGATCTTTTCCCATGTGAGGTTCAAACCTGATATCAGTGGCCGTATCCTCCGAATTATTCCATGGGGTTTGTGTCGATTCGGGGAGACCGTGAGACTCCTTCGATCCCTTACCACAGAGGCCCTGTGCGGGTATTGTATGCAGAGATAATCCTTATGCACAGTCCAGAGTTTGAGACTCCTTTTGTTACCATGTGAATGGCTCATCTCAGCTGTCTAGTTCCTTTTCGGAGTGCTGAATTTATCATAACAGACCACCCCCCCCCCAAAGTCTCCATCATCCCATTCAGCGCTCCTCTTTGCTCCACGATTGTGACCTCGAATTTCATCTCCAACGTATATTTCTAGCTTCGATGTGTAATCGGCATGGTTGAATTAGCGCCACGTCCCACCTGCACGGCAAATATATGGTTATTCCTGCCGCAATCAGAGAAGACTAGCCTGAAGCTCGCCCGAGCCGGCTCACCATCCTGTTTTCCGTCCCTAGTATAAGCTAGTGGAGTATCTGGTCTAGTATCTACCCATTGGCACATGGAATACTGGATCATTCCCAATGGTAATCAATCCATAGCGTTTATTACGACGTTTGCTGACAGTCTCAGTGACCCTGTAGTTTCCAGCCAACGCGGTATTATATGCTGAGGGATCATCACTGGCCTCATAGCCACTCAACAGCAATTGGCGTCAACAAGGAGTATTCTGAACTATCACACAGTTGGATCACTCTTCACCTTGCAGCACTGTTTCCTGCTGGGGCTAGTATCTCAACCACATACACAACAGGAGACTTGCCTTGCCCAACCATGGCCACGCTCACCAGGTTATCGTAGGGTGTGCTACTGAGACGCATGTTCCACAATGGCTCCTCCCACTGCCGGCCCAACAAGGGCTGTGAAAATGATGCCATTACCTGCTTCTGCATTCCTAGTGGCATCATGTTGTCCAAGGATCTCTGGCATGACATTAATTCCACCACCGCCGAGACCTGGATGACTGGGCCGCCACAAGCATCTCTGTATTAGATACTCCGCAGAGACTACTTCCCATGGCGAAGAGGACCGGGGAGAAGACCATCAGCCTTCTGCAGTGAAAAATACTTGCAGTTTAGCTGTATAAAGGCTGAACTGCTGTTTGATTAATGAAGTACCTGTTGATCGCCCAGACATATAGCAACTGTGAGTCTAGAACTTGAGAGACGATAGGTAAAGCAATGGGAAGAATAGTTATGTCAAAAGCACTCAGTGGAATCCCATATCTAGACCAGGAGGATGTTCCATAGCCACTGCCCATAGCTCTTTTTGACAGGCTTCTGCTTGTCTGAGATGGGTTGGGGCTTGTTGCTGCTCATTTTTGCTGTAGTATTCTCAACTATAGCCATGATTGTTAAAGGTAAATTAGTGAATAGAGTCGATTAACTGAGTTCTTGACATAGGGTAGTGAGAGCCAGGCTTTAATTAAGTACTCATGTATTGGAAAGGAGGTTATTCTGCTCCTTCTCCCTTCTCCTGCGTGTTTGCGCTGATCAAGTGGGCGATTGACCTGAATATGCCGATTCGGTGGTTTGCCACAAGAGATCAGGATTAAGGTGAGAAATAAACATATATATGGCCTTCATTCACTCAACTCTCCTCCTCAGTTCCCCCCTTTCCCACTGATATCTGTCCAAAGTTTTCAACCCGAGAAGAAATGGGCCAGCCATATGATCTAATTGTGTATGGCGCCACCAGCTACCTAGGATCGCTGGTCGTGCAGTACCTGTAGGCGCATAGTCTGTTAACCCTCTGATGGGCTGTCGCTAGCCGCAGTAAGGAGAAGTTGGTGACCCTTGTGGACTCTAGGGATGAAATCATCGCAAGTTGCCCTAAGTCACGGTGGTCACTTTCAGTACCAACGATCTAGGGCGCATGGCACCACAAACTCGTCTCATGCCGAATACAGTCGGCGTATGTCCCTTACTGCCTCGATCTCTTCCTCCCTGCCGCACTTTTAGACAAGGCGCTGACATCATAGCCTTTTTCTAAATATGGCACACCCGTTGTTGTAGCCTGCATAGAGAATTCTACTGGTTACGTGGATTCAACAGGCGAGCGCGTATGGACACAGCAGCGGGCAGTCCAGTGGCCTGTCTTCTTTATACTTCACTATACCTGGACTGGTTACAGCAGGGAGACTATTGCAACCATCCTCGCCGGCCTGGAGATGTACTCCGTTCAATGACTACATCCCAGGCGCTGGCGCGCATCGGCCTTATCCCCCTCCAGTCCTCCCTGTCCGACAGGATCACATTCTAGATGACCTCACCTTCAACCCGTCTGTGGTGGCTGATCAAGCTGTCATGCACATGTGGTCGCTTCTGCAGTGATATACAGACTAGATATAGTGATATAGTGAATGATTCAGCTTTCAGGGCTATACCACTACACAGAGATGGCTGCAGGCATGATCCATATTCATAGTTATATCTGTTGCTAGTTCCTGTATCTTCCTATTTCCACCTCTCTAGTAGCTACTTTGATAGCTCTCACTATAACTAGGGATAGGGCCGCAGGTGAGACCTAAGGATAATCATTTTGTAGAATGGAAGGCTATAGTAGCAGTAGTTAGAAAAGATATAAGCAGCCCTAATGCCATGGGTATTATGTGCATAAATATGTATATAGTGTCTGCGCAACTTATATTAGTAAAGCAGCCTCAATACTGTTGGAGGTCTTAAGAGGAAATAAGGACAGCTCAATGATAAAGAGGTTCGGAGGGGGGATTCTCACCCCAGCATCATTAGGGATGCAGTACATGGAGCAGCTGAAAAATGCTGGATTGGAGTGGAAAGTCCTTGAATCCTAAAGAAAAGACAAGTGATAGAAGTGTGGCATATACATCTCTCGTTCAGGGAGTGTTACCTACTGCGTTCAGAAGCATGGTTTGAGGGAGAAGAGTATGTATGGCCAGAAAGATACAAAAATATACAGCAGTCAGGATGTGCTAGCGGCCACCCAGTAATCACATCATATCATGCTCTGAAAACAAAGGCACCCACTCCCTTTCATACAATAGGCTCAAAATACTTCAGAAATTCCGCATCTTTCTTGAGGAACTCACTCTCCTCAATCGTCGCCGTAATAAGAACCTCAAAGATCTTCGTTTCCCCCCGCGAAAAATTCGGCAGGATCATGCAAGATCCCAGCATAGTATCGTGCGGTCTGCATGCAACAGGGACCGCACCGGCCCCAATATCGTACTTTTGCGCGCTTCCCGAGTACCAAGTATTCATGAAAAAGTCCATATTCGTGAAGTCTGCATTCGAGCCGAGTGTCTCCGTGTGGGCGAGAGACGCAATGAGAGAGGTCATATGGCCAATCGTGGACAAGTTGACGGACTTGACCGACTCCCGAATCAGAGTGGCAGCAGCAGCGAGACCGCGGTCCCCATCGGATACCACGGCCTCGGCAGCCAGAGGACCAGCCTGGGATCCGATGACGGCGTTACCGAAGTATTTGTTCGAGGTCTTCTTTTCGGGGTCTCGGGACCGGACATCGATGGGGTGGACGAAGCGGGATGGCGAGGTCGTTTTCTCCGGGTGGATTTGGAGGCGCGCACGCGTCAGCGACTTCCAGACCAGTGCCGAGATGCAGTCGTACGAGCTAATGTAGTCGACCTTGGTCAGGTGCGGGGCGCATTGTGCTTTGAGTTGCTGGATGGCTGGCTCGGAGATCTTGTAGATGCTTGATCGGGATGGTGGCGGCGGTGGTGGCGGTTTGAATTGGCTCTTCTCCATCACGTAGAATATTGGGAGTTTTCCCAGACGGTCCTGCCTTGTAATGGCCGGGTCAGGCGCTGGCGTGTTGTATGGCGCTCTATTGAGATCCGGTGTGTAGGCGGGCATCTCCAGCCCTTCCTGACGTGCCTTGCTGCTTTGACAGACAAGGGACAGGAACGTATCGATAGACACCCAGTCCCCGGCTGCGTGGTTCACTCGCAGACCCAGAACCAGGCCACCCTCGATGATGCTGACTTGCAGGAGACAGGCCGGTCTCTGAGCCGTTGGCTCGTCGGGTAGGAACTGGGCAAAGTCCGCGTCGTTGGGAGAGAATGAGCCCTGAGCCAGGCTAGAGAAGGGCTGGTGCTCCATGGAGCCATACCGGCGGATGCCAACTTCTAGCTCGCTCCCCACAGGTACCTCGATGTAGGGCTTGACGCCATCAAACTGGACATTCCCGGCCATGAAGGGCAACTGACGGATTGCGTTCTTCACCCCTTCCGTCACAGAAGAAATCAGTTTGTCGATATCCACGGTGGGCTGGAGCTCATAGAATACGACGACCTTTACAGTCTTCATGATTCCCATTTTGTCCAAATCGGACAGCTCATATTTTATGGTCTTTGCCATGGCTGCGCTGATTGTTGACCACGATGAAGAGAGTACGAATTCAACTTGGAGGTGGTTATTCATAGGATGAGACGAATTCGAAGCGGGCAAACTCTGGCTTATAATTCTTCTTGTCGCGGGAACCTTTTGTGGTCTAGTTTCGGCCCCTGAAAGCATCGTCGAATCGGGAGCCCGACTACCATCTTGTCTTGAAAAAAAAGATCAAAACATACAACCGCATGTAGATGTCAGTTCTTGCCCACCTCAGCGCCTAGAACATTCAACTGCCTGAATGGAGATAATGTCATGAGCACAGGATCTTGGGCAGTGTCGATTGGACTACCAGACACTTTGCTGGTTGGTTACAGCGGGCTTTTCCTGACACACCCTTATCCCTACCTCTGTTTCGTGATCGCAAGTAGAACCAGTTTCATGGGTTCCAAGTTGTGAAGTCATTTGGTATATTGAGTGTATACTGATCTTACGATAACAAGATAAACTATATAAAAAGTGAAGTCGAGGCCGTAGCAGTTGACGCTTCAGACAGTTTTCTTTCGCCTTTATCCCACTCTATGCTTTGATTCTTCTCTGCTCTATGTGTGTTCAAATCAAGAGCAGTTTTTATCCATCTATCTAATATCTTCACGAGGGTTTTCATGTATCCTGCGATGGTGCCAATGACCTCGGATCCATACACACCGGTAGTGGCTGGAAAAGGAACCCATGCCTACGAGCAACCTCACGAGCTGGCGTCATAACTCCAGCATTTACCACGAGCCTTGCAAGAAAAGTAAAGCCTAAGTCGCCGCATTAAGCAGAATGCTTCGTCGTTCTTGCCGTACTCATAACGCCATGTTCGAGGATCTGCCTTTCAAGAGGATCTTCCTTGCTCCGTCGCCCTCCCCCTTGATGTCACCCGGGTAGTCTGATTACTCTTCGCTGGAATCCACCCCCTGCCTTGGTCAATCTAGATGGCTACTCGATCGACTATGCGTCTCGGAATAGGCCACATGGATGCACATGTTCGAGATGTGACTGTGAGTGATTGAAGTGTGTTGACTGTGCCGCAAAACCAGGATCACCACTTCATTCGCGGAACAATATAATCGAGCAAATCTGGATTTCATCTAGCTGAATTAGTGGTTAGTCCCTCTTATCGAGTGGGTAAAATAAAAGACGCATCACCTAGGTAGATGCTTTTTAGCGATGGACAGGCTGACGGCCGGGGTAAGGATCACTACTTAAAGACCACATTCAAATCTGGCATGCATGGTAACACCAGACATATGATAGGATGGCAATCTGGTCAGAGTGTTTTTGGTTCTATAAAGATCAGAGGAGTACCCTCCAAACTAATATGGTCACCAGAATTTTCACATCTCTCTGTTGATACACAACCCATAATCATATGAGAACCCCAGCGTATTTTGGCACAGACTCCTGGAAAACCGTGTTTATTATAGCCCATCTTGATCTCGGGCACTGGAAGATCATACAATGAGAAGCAACATCATTGGCGTTATATCCCTTCTCATCGCCAACACTTTCTCGATGGCTACAACCAGATACACTGTGCCGATTCCCCCCGGAATCCCTATCCTCGAAACTCGCAAACAACTCAACAGCATGGCAGATCAATTTCCAATGGGAACCCTGGATGATAGAAACGGGGGCTACTACTTGCTAGACCATGACGGCGCCGTGTTAGCCGTTACCTCAGATTCTCTCTGTGAGGAATTGGATGCATCCATGGAACAAGCGAGGAGATATTACGAGGATAGCCCGGACAATGAGGTTGATATTGCTCCTAGGGGGGATAATGCGGCGGATTCGGCTGGGGGGTTTGTCAATTATTGTTCTCATCCACGCTGTCATACCCACGCTTTGTGTCGCACTTATAGTGATTGTTATGTTTGTTCGTCGACCAAGCATTGGTGTTTCTGATGTGAGATGTCCCTTCCCATAGCACTCAAGATGTGTGGATCTGAATGGTATGCAGAAAGAAAATGACGATCTGGGTCAAAAACCAAGGCATTTGTATAACATTAGAAACCAACTACATTTGATATACAAAAGCAAGAGTCCATAAAAAAAAGACCTGGCCTACTGATCATCTCCTCCCTTGGCCACACTGATCACCATCTTACCCAGCCCGCCTTGATTGCTGTATACAACCTGACATGCCTTTCGGACCTCCGAAATATCTCCCATCTCCACAATATTACCAACCACTGGCTTCAGTTTACCTTCCTCAATGAACCCCCTCAACGAGTCCAAATCTTCGCCGCTCGTTTCCAGGAACATGTACGAATAGCTGACCCCATACCGGCGGGCCCGGAACCTGCGGATGGAGTCCGTGATATTCAGGAACACTCGTGGCACTAGTGGGACGATAGGGCGATGAGGCAGTCGCATCACGGAGGAATCCTGCAGCTGGGTTCCCGATGGTGACGTCGCGATGGATATAATGCAGCTACTCCCAGGTCGCATCAGGCAGAGGTAGTCCATAGCGAGGCCGGTTGTGTCGAACAGAAAATCAACCGAGCCATGCGGAATGACCGATTTGGGATCCATCGTTTTGTAGTCGATAATTTCATCGACTGTCCCTTGCCCGAGAAGTTCCGGGACTTTGGGGACCTTTGATGTCGAGACAGTGGTGATCACCTTCCCTGCTTTGAAAACATTCTTGGCCAGTTGGCAGGCAAATAGGCCCGTGCCACCCACTACCATCCCGTCGTGTTAGTAGAGCACTTTGTATCTAGGTAATTTTTGAGATGGCATACAGCCTGCTGGCACGAAAACAGTCTTCCCCGCAAGATCGCCATCATACTTCTTCAAGGCCTGGAATGCGGTCGTGGCGGCCAGTGGCATAGAAGCAGCCTCTTCGAATGACAGGGAGGGTGGCTTCCGAGCGATGAAGTTCTCTGGGCATACAGCATATTCACTCCATGATCCTGGAATGGTACAGGTTCAGCAAGGGACTACATGACCGCATTCTGGATTCAGTACCTCGATGGGACTCTGGCAATCGGACATAAACAGCATCGCCGACCTTGAACCGGGTGACAGCTTGCCCGATCTCTGTGACTGTCCCAGCGGTATCGTAGCCAATCTTGTATGGGAAACTAGACCATCGTTGTCAATTGGGCCAATCCATCCCTGCCGAGAGGATTGAACGTACGAATCTTGCAGGGCAATCTTGAAAATTCCTTCTGCCTTTTTCAGATCCACGGGATTGACACTCGCGGCGTGGACCTTGACAAGAACATCTTTTGAGTCTGTTATCTCCGGGCGTAGAAATTCAAGGAGCTGGTAGTCGGATGGTTTGGCGTAGGAGGTGATTCCAACAGACAACATCGTGTTAGGCATGGACGGCATACCGAGTAATTAATGGTGAACAACGAGATGAAAGCAGGTTTCAAGTAGAGTTGGAGAAAGAAGTGTCCATAACCTTAACCCTCTCTAGTGGCAATTCAATAGATATGTCCGCTAGTTCCATCCGTTCATATTCTATCTTTCCAACTTTATTCTACTCAATGTCCCGCCGGATAGTCTCAATGTCCGAATAATCACTCCGCTCACGCCTCCATACTCTGTACCAAGGGTTAAAGAATTCTTTGCGGTAGTAGAGCCAAAGGAGACAAAGCCATCAAACTGAGAATAGAGGCAAGAAGCCACGAACAGAGTCAACTAGATCCCAAGCCTTGATACCAAACCCTCGGCAAGATACTCATCTGGAAGTACAAATGCTTGCGCCGCATTTCGAGGTTGGCTTCGACCCATCGAAAAGTCACTAACACACGCGCGAAGCCTCTCGGAGTTGCGGATTTCGGAGTCCGCTAGAGACGCTGAGACTGGCCGAGTATATACACATTCCGATGACTTGGGTTGTGTTTTGCTGCGCCAAGGTGTCTCATACGAGGCTGAAAACGATGCCAATTCACAATCCATGCCAGTTCAGCTACGTCGCTCCAAAAAATGCCGATTCTGTCCACCTGTTCTAAGACCCGTATGGGCATGGGAATCCAATCAATCCAATTTACGGGCTTCGGAGGTTATCCTAGACAGAGGTTCGTTGAATGAAAAACACCCCTAGACTCAGATAGACCCGGCTGGACGAGCTCTTTGCATAGAGATAAAAGACGAGATATGGTTAAGGCCACAACAAGCAAGTCTAACCCACAGTGAATTTTTTTGATATACTATAATAATGCCTTGGCTCGCAAGGATATATCAAATGCGTGTTGAAGGGCCATATATGTTTCTATTACAAGCACTCCGTCTTCAAATCCTTCACTTGCATAGCAATATCATGCACCGTGACTATATCAAAATCGACAATCAACCCCAGTTGATCTGAGCAATAGCAGCCTCCAGACCGGTCAGTCGAGAAACATCGATACCCAGGTCCTCCTTGCGCAGAGGGGTCACTCCCGGCTTCTTCCACGAAGCCTCTCGAAGTTCTTCCCAGAATTTCAACATCGCCCCCATCTCCAAGCCCCAGTCAGGGAACAGCTTGTTGTAAGCCTCCACTGTGCTGGGAACATAAACGGTCGATTTCCCGGTGACCTTGCTCCAGCGTTCCAGGAGTGCTTGGTTGGTGAGTGTCTCAACCTCGGCCAAGACATACTTTCCACCACGGGTGAGCTGCGGCTGCCTGAAGATCGCTTCGACAAAGATGCCCACGTTCTTGCGATGGTCTCCGATGGTGGTGATTGGTGTTTCGCCCACCGCCGGCTGCACCCAGGCGTACTGGCCACTGGTCTGGAGCAGGCTTGGCGTGCAGAGCGGGAAGGTCAGGTTCGACGCATAGTAGGTGACCCAGAGGAAGGTGGTCTTGGCTGCCAGGTCGGGCAAGTCCTTGAGGATGTACTCATCCACGGTAGCCTTTGATTCGAAGTGAGGATTGTGGTATTTGCCCTGCGACAAGGCAGCTGATGACGGGAGAGTTGACCAGATATAGTGGTGAAGACCACTGGTGGCAGCGGCGGCTTCGGCCAGATTCTTCGCTTGGACCAACTCACGCTTTTCCGCCTCTGCCGGGCCATACTTCATGAATGTTTCGAAGAAATTAGTGACACCAAAGATGGCATATGCCCCCTGAGGACGACGTTCGTTAGTCAATGGGATATCTGGAGAGGGGACCGCGGTGTTTAATTTCTAACCTTGAACGCCTCGACGAGGCTTGCCTTGTCATCCAGGTTTCCTCGGACGACCTCGACGCCTCTCGCAGCCAATTGCTGTGCATTCTCAGAGCTTGGATCGCGAACGATAGCCCGCAATTGATATCTTCCAGTCTCAAGGAGAGCGTCAACGACCGAGCCGCCCTGTCCACCGGTAGCTCCAACCACTGCGACGAGTTGCTTGTCAGATGCCATGACGATTGCGAGAAGATTGGTAACGTAGTGATGGGAATAAGTATCAAGTGTAAAAGTTCTGATGAGAATGATCTTTTGACTGTCGAGGTGCAGATTGAAGCAATTTATAGCTTTGAAGCGTTGGGCTGCCCTCGTTTCCTCAAGGAATACACCACTGTCACATCGCCCAATGGCATAGATCGGTCTTGATAATCATCCTTTGAGTATGAATTTTTCGTGGCTTATTCAAATGCGGCCATATGCTTATAACTAAGGTGTGCTGTTCGTTCATTCCCCGAATAGCAATCGGGGGACTGTTCTGGTATTGCCCGAAATGGTAGATGACATGGATGGATTCTTGCCGCTGATTTGCAGACGTGGAGGACACTAACAAATGTCGAAATTCCGCGGAAACTTACTCCCTAGAATGATCGATGATAAATCAACCTGAGCTATAACTATCCGTAACTACCGGAGTATACCTACTGCTATTTGTCATGATGCTCCATACTAGCAGCAGCAACCAATCCAATCCTTGCCTGTCATTCAACGCCTTTGTATACATTCTGGACCTCCAATTAGAAGACCGTCTACCCTAAGCCACACCAAGAATATTGGCTCATCTAGTCACAATGGCCTTCCTGACGAGCTTAGTAGGTTGTGCGGGATCTGTCTTTGTAGAGACGACACTTGATGAGCAGAGTAAGCTGGGGACACTGGTCGTCGCTGAACCTTCTCGTCTTCAAGATATAAAAGAAGTCTCAATTCCAGGGGGAAATCATCAGGATGTACTCGTCACTACCTCCCAATCCATTTTAAAAATCTTTCAGTATGCGTGTCTCTCTCGAGCTTTCGCTCTTCTCCTTTTTACTTCCCGCAGTCGTGGCCAGCAAGCCACGCTGCACCGAGTTCAAGCTCCCAATCCACGTATCCCTTTCCCTGCCCCAGTTTAAGGTGCCTCGGTTTGACAGCAGTTATGAATCAACCGCATTCCTCGCTGCTTCGGTTTCGCGCACCGCGAATCTGAGCGCCCTCGTCGCGGGACAATCACAAATCGATCGAAGCTTTGGGATTTATTTCCGCTACTGTGAGCCGGAGAAGAGCAAGCATCGTACCGACATTCTGCAGATTCTCTCCCATGGTATAGGATTTGATAAATCGTTCGTCTGCCCTAGCCGGGTCCAATCTCTGTGCACGGCAGATACCCTAACATGCGCATAGTTATTGGAGCTTTGACGGCGAGGAATATGACTACATTGCCTCGGCAACTGCAGCCGGATATGCAACGCTGTCCTACGACCGACTCGGAGTCGGCCAGTCCGAGCAGGCTGATCCGTACTTTGAGATTCAAGTGTCGACGCAGGTCGCCATCCTCGCTCAAGTGACCGAGCTCGTTCGGAATGGACAACTGTGGCGTCGGGTGCCCGTACCAAAGAAAGTGGTGCACGTCGGCCACAGCTTCGGCTCCTTGATCACCAACGGACTGGTTGCAGCGCAGCCTCATCTGTCGGATGGTATCGTGCTGACTGGGTTCAGCCATAATACTTCCTACACGCCTCTTTTTGAAACATGTCTGGGCTTTGAACTGGCACGCTCGAACAATCCACGCCGATTTCGCCAGCATGACTCTGGCTACTTGACATGGGGCAACGAATATGCCAACCAGTGCGCCTTCTACACGTATCCGTTTTTTGAGCCAACTGTCCTCCAGCAGGCCGAGGCCAGCAAGGCTCCATTCGCAATCTCGGAACTTCTCTCGTTTGCGAGCGTCTCTTTGGCGGCGCCGAATTTCACGAATCCTGTGCTGGTGAGTTCCTTCACAGACTTGATGGCTGGACGGCATGCTGACTGCACCCCTCAACTAGATGCTCTCTGGCCAGTTCGATCTCCCATTCTGCGGCGGAGAATGTCAGGGGGTGCTGAATGGACCAGCTTCTGTGTCCCCTTTCGTCTTTCCGAACGCCCACCCGTTTGTTTCCTATGTTCATCCGAACGCGGGCCATTCCTTGAATCTGCACCATAACGCTTCGGCTGCATATGGGGTAATTACCAGCTTCCTCCAGCAGCAAGGTCTCTGAATAGCAAGGTTGGTTGGTGCGATCGTCTGGGAATTCAACAGTCTGTGTACGTGATGCCGTCTGTAATATAGGCTATGTTTTTGTTCTAGTGTTATGTATTTTAGTGTGTAGTCGAGTAGTGTTATTCTATGCTTCTATAGTTATAGATAGCATTCTCATTTCTTCTATTAGGCCTATGGTGGCCTCCCTATACGCCTTTCTTATGTGTTGATTCATGTTGAAAGCTCGCAAGAGACTTGAAACAATCATATGAAGAGGAATGGCAATCCAATGGTGAGAGGTAGGAATCTACAAGAAGTTATAGCCATCTCCATCAGCTCCATCACGGTTCTTCCGTCGTTTCTCAATAGGATCCTCTAGGGAAAAAGGCGAAGGGGCTACCATAGCCTCGTCACAGCCCATAGTGGCTGCGAACTCGAGGCCTAAGGTCATCTAGATCTAAGAGAGGGCTCTTCGCGATGTAAGGACACGGAAGGATTTACTTGAGCTCGTTTTCCCATGAAGTAGTAAGATTGCATTCAAAAGGATAAAGCAAAGAGATATCAGGTAAGTCTATCATAATGCCAGATGAGCGCGTGCCCACTCCTCCGCTGTCGAGGCATGGATCCCAACCCGACGATTCCACGTCTCCGACAGATCCCAAGCAACCCCACGACCCTCCCCAAAGACAACCTGATACTTGAACAAGCCGTTATCCGGATCTTTTGAAAGATCGCTTCTCGCAGCTTCCACCGTTCTTACCCTGCGAGCGAACTTGCGACCTGTGATCCTCTCAACCAAGTCCGCCAGCTGCCCGTACGTCAGAGTATCCCCAGCCACATAGATCGGCCTATTACCAAAGACCGACTCGGTCTTCGGGCCAAGGACAGCTTCCGCGGTAATTCTACCAATATCCTCCGGTGCTGTTACTGAGACCCTGGTATCCAGCCCCCCAAGGGCAAGAATAGCGTCGTTCCCGAAATCAACAACACCAAACGCAGGCTCGAACAGGAAGCTCGTGAACATGCCCGTGGATATGATCACCCATTTGGTCTGTTGCTGGCCGCGCAGAAGATCCCGCACGTCAAGTTGCTCGTCAAACAAATCCTGTGCGGATCCACGGCCAATGGCATCGTAGTCAACCCCGAACTGCCAGGGCACGTACCGGGGGACGTCAGCGGCGAGAACAGCACGCGCGAGCTTGAGCTGGATGCCAGGCCCAGCTGCAAAACCGGTACAACTGATGATTGTGTCGTAGTCGTGGAAGATCTCTGAGAGACGCTCTTCGGAATCACGGGCGATGTCCCCGGGGATGAAGTCGACGTTCAGGTTGCGTAGGCCTTTCAGCTGAGTGCTTTTCTCAGGATGGGTGGATGCGATGCTGGAGGGCCGTAGAAGGACTGCAATGGTTGCGCCATTTCGATGGGGGTGCTGGGCCAGGGAGAGCAGGACTTGGTAGCCCAGCTCGCCGGCGCCGATGACCAGGATTTTCTCAATAGCAGACATGTCCTAGGTATGCGTAGACTAGGGGAAGCGCTGTCTAGGCTGTTCTACAGAGAGTTCCGTAGCATCTGTCGTATTTATAGTACAGTTATCACCCAATGTCAGCTTCGGGCTTAGGGGGATTGCATCTATTTGATGACACATCCACTAGGATATTTTATCATTTTATGATTGTTACTTGTGGCCTGGTTCGGTTGCCACCAGCCAGAATGCCTAGCTAGTATAACCCAGGACGCCATCCCCGGGGCCGACGTCAACTTCGAGCAGAACTTGAGCCAATATTGGTTTGAATTAGTAAAGCAGAATGATTCCCTCGGCGACTTTGGCCGGGAATTCATCCGTCCGCCGATCAATATCTCGCGCAACAACACATACTGGAAATTCGCTACAGTCTGATAAAAGACAGACTACAAACTGTACGCAAAGGATATCCCGGAAAGGAAAAGGCATCATAAGCTCGTAATTTTTAGGTCGATTTCGTCCCATATTGCTCGTCCCGCATTGTCAGACGCACAATCAAGCCACGCAAAGGACGTTAAAAGCTCATATAATTCCTGCCACGAGCTGCCGTCTGAGAGTAGATGCCTTGGGGAGATTGCTCGTTGAGGAGTTGGGCGATCTCTCTGAGCGCTGGCCTCGCTGGACTGAGACGCGCCGTCCAGCGCTTCCTTCGCACAATGGCAGAGGACAAGATTTGAGCCAGCATGGTGTTGTTTGAACTGACTCCTTGTCGGCTCGGCCCAGTCTCCGCGGAGTCTATTTCGCTTCTCCCGGTATCGTTGACGCATCAGGTGTGAACGGATGAGCGGGGCGCTTAGCTTCCCATCTCGTATGGTAGATCCATTAATAAAGGTGAAGGGGGCAGGCGATAGCTGTCTTTCCCGACTGTTTGGGCTCATCATTTTTCCCCCCTGGGTCGATTGCCGAGAGCCTCGAGGTAGCAAACCCTTAAGGCGTGGCTTCTCTTTCCTTTTTATAAGTTCGTGGTTCAACGCAACGTGTTTCCGAGAGCTTTGGTAAGCGAAGCTACAGCACGCAATGACCCGGTGATGTTCGGTTGAATAGAGTCCCGATTTATGGATCTGAAAAAGACGGAATCTACAACTTTGATAGATGAGCGAAGGAATTCCAAATAAATCCTTGGGCACATCGATCATATTGCATGTTGTATGGATCCGTCATCCCCACTACTTTCTTATTTCAGACTGTAGCTACTAGCTACTAGCTAACGCTGCATCTTTGGACCAGGCTGAGTTGATCAAGTTCCGCCCCTCAAAGCTATTTCGTCCTAAGGTTTGTCTAGATCAAATCATAGCGTCATTACCCCTCAGTTCTCTCCTTATCAGCGCTGCTTTCAGGGTCTGAGCCACGAGGTTCAGGGAGATCGCTGCATTGAACACGGAGCCTCATCAATCCAGCAGTCTCTACAGCCCAGTTGGATCTTGCATATATTCATGAGATATCCAAGGCTTGGAGAAATGCATCAATGCCGTAAGCTGTAGCGGGTTCTATGTACACCTATCTTTGAGAATAAACACCTGCCTAAACAGAGCTATGGTGATATAACCAGCCAACTCCCTCAGAGGGATTCAGCTAGTTGCCATATAGGTCCCGCTAGGAGGGGAAAAACACACACACACACACACACACACCATATTCCTCTTTCGATCTTGACAGGGCATGGGCTGCCCAAACTGCATCTGCACTATTCTAGAACAGTCTAGCTCAAGGGGATTGTTATGTCCGCGGGTCAGCCGGGAACAAAACACCGAAAGTGTAGGATTTGCGCAGGAACAAACGGAATGTCTCATAAGGCATGTCACTCTATCTGTTGTGCACCTTTTCCTCCATATTTGGCTAGTACAGACGATTCCCTGTAGCATGTGGCCAGGATGCTAATCAGACGGTGACTCGGTGAGTCATGGAATCCAGAACCAACCCGCGATGTACTTCGGATGCAGGTCAAATTTAATTAAGTTATTGTCCTGTTGGTTTCCATACAGAAAAACGGTCTGTCCAGACTCCAGAATACATCTTGACAAGGACGGAACCCAATCATCGATTTGTTCTGTCTGTCTTTGCAATCATTAGCTAATATACAGAGTTTCGGCTTAATCTCCATAGTGTGTACCCTCGGCTTCCTGACACTAGAGTTCGTTGGCTGCTTCCTGGTGAGCCGCACGGTCTACGAGAGATAAGAATAGATATTAAGACAATAATTCGCGTTTCATTGTGTGAAGGGAGTTCTCCTACTCTCAGAGGGCCGGTCTAGACGTTCCTTGCTGAAAGCCGCATCCTTTCCTCCGCCATACGAGGTTGGGGGGGGCCAAGTCAGGGCTTCACCTATATAATGTCTTGTATTCCTTGTATTCCCCCTGTAGTCCGATTCCTACAAAGGTACGGCTGGGCTACTTTCGGATCACCACAAACATGCGTTCAATCCGGCTGATATTGCAGCCACTACCTGGGCCATCACCATAGCAAAAGCGTCAACGATGCATTTTCGGGTGCCTTCCAGGCTTCGAAGCGCCAGGAAGAAGAAATGAGAAATTTAGTCAAGATCAATTTAAACCATTGTATATCTTCACTCCAGGACGGGCCTTGCAAATGCTGAGAATATCCGGGGAATACCTCGGGAGTCGGAATGCCAATCTGCGGGATGATCTTGATCATTGAAACTCTTAATGAACCCATGTCCACTCGTACCTCAACGATCAGATGCGATCGGTAAGAGAAGGCCATTCAACTTTCCGCCCCGTGGCCCCGGCATCGAGGGCAAGGCATAACAGGCCATATCTCCCCGGAACCCCAGATGAAACGACTGCCACCAAGTCGGTTATATAGAAGCTCTAGTAATCTATTGGAATAAAGACTGTTAATCTCAATCCCCAAAGGTCGCTTATAGTCTTTTTCAACTTGTTTGCAGCCTAGGGCTTCGCCAAGGATGCCTAAAGCCATCACCCGCCCATCTACCAGAGCTTTTCATGGCTAAATGCCCTATAGGGAGGCTTGACAGAGGCGACTAGGGGAGAGCCTAGAGATTTCTATCCAAGGGGGGCACTAGCTATGTTAATTCTAAGTAAGAGTAAAATGGGAAAAACCTCATGCTCATCTCAGATGGCCACTGCTCCAAGTCACAGGCGACATCAAATCCTCAACACGTATCAAGCTGTCCTTGACAGCAGAGTTCGAGCATCTGCAACCCATGCGGAGCATAACAGTAGCACGAAGCGTTAAGAGCAAGTACCGGAGGATCTTCCTTCTCCAGTTCGCAAAAACGCTTTGGCTATTCATGCAAGGTCCCTCATTATCGGAGGCGTATGTGGCATACTGACCTATGAAATACAAGCAATAAAAGTACCTTCAGATTCTCTTCAGACGGCATGGGTTGCAATCTTAATCCCATTCTTATAGATTTGATTACTTGAGCCTCTGGCAGGTAGCGTCAACTCGCAGTCTGAGGTACCGGCGTACCAATCACTGCCTGCACGAGATATGGGTGATCTTCCGGCTATAAGAAAGCTTTCAGTTCGACAGACATTAGCACGAGTGGCAAGCAAGCTGTATAGTTATAGCAGCGAGTAGGCTTTGAGTCTAGAGACGTCCGGAATCTCGAGGTTCCAGTATGAGTCCAGTAGTGCCGCTTCGACGTCGAGTAGACGAGTGCCCCATTTCATGCAGAGTCCAATCTGGAAGTTCTGTTGTCCTCAATATAAGCAATGGAGGGAAAGGGCTAAAACCCGAGATGCGGAGTAGATGACACAGTGAACAGGCATTTGCTAGACAAAGATGGCCACTAAGAACATTATATCGTTAATTCGTGTAGATCTTATAGATAGTAATTGGGATGATGTTCTGCTTGCGCATAAAATGGACTGGATGTTCATGGCGTGATCCTAAAGTGACTGACGCCATCTCAGCATCCTCCCACTTGACATGGGGAAAGATAACAACATCCTAGCATGGACTGTATGTTGCATCTGTCTCGGATAAGCTCCGGCTGTGCTTTGTAAGGGATGTCCAAGGTGTGATATTGCTACATTTCTCGACATATGGCATCTTCAGCATTGGGAGAAGCATAGCCGAGTCATACCAAGTAGAATGATATATAAAGTCACACTTTTCCCAGTCAGGGGATCCCCCAGGACCATACCACCTACGAAGAACACAAAATGCCCTCGTTCATCAGCCTCACCTTCCCCACTCCCTCGTCGGAGCTTCATCCCATCCCCAATGCGGGGATTGACACGGACTTCCTCATCCGCTACGCCCGCACCCTAGATGACTACGGCTTCACCCACACCCTTGTCCCCTACGACTCCTCATCGTTCGACCCCTTCACCATTGGTGCGACCATCGCATCCGTTACCAAGAACCTCAAGGTCATCATCGCCCTACGCCCGAACACCGTTCCCCCAACTGTCGCTGCCAAGGCACTCGCCACACTGGACCAGCTCAGTCACGGCCGAGTCGTGGTACATTTGATCGCAGGCGGCAGCGACGCTGAACAGGCGCGCGAGGGCGACTTTCTGTCGAAGGAAAAGAGATACGCAAGACTGGAGGATTACATTCTCATCCTCAGACGAGCATGGGAATCAGCCGACCCATTCGACTGGGATAGCGAGTTCTTCCGGTTCAAAGAGTTTACGAACCGTGTTCGACCAGTCCAGAAGACCATCCCCGTCTCGGTTGGTGGGTCGTCGGATGAGGCATATCGCATCGGCGGAAAGCTGGCCGATATCTTCGGCCTGTGGGGAGAGCCTCTGAAGGAGACAAAGGAGCAGATCGACCGCATCTATGCGGAAGCCGACAAGGCTGGAAGGGATCCAACCGACCGGCCCAAGATCTGGGTATCGCTCCGACCGATCGTCGCAGAGACGGACGAGCTAGCATGGGCCAAGGCGCATCGGACCCTAGATGCCTTGAAGGCGAACGCCGCCGGAAAGAAGTTCGAGGCGCCACAGAATGCTGGTTCGCAGCGCTTGCTGGACATCGCGACGCGAGGCGAGGTGCAGGATCGGGCGCTGTGGTATCCTACTGTGACGGCGACGAATGCGCGCGGTGCCTCGACGGCGCTGGTTGGGTCGATTGAAACGGTTGCGCAGTCGCTGGCAGACTACGTCAAACTGGGTGCCGAGTTCATTTCCATTCGAGGATACGACAACTATAACGATGCGGTGGATTATGGGAGGTATATCTTGCCGAGAATCAAGGAGATATTGGCCGAGGATGCTCAGCCCTAGACGGACTGTTATTTGTGCATTATCTCCTGATATATAGCGCTTCTCGTGTAGTAAATATCATGTTGTTCATGTTGGTGTGACACCTGAAGGAAGGCAAATTGATCGGCTTGCTGTCAAAGTCCAGTCCTCTTTTGGTCTCCCAGAGGCCATCCAGAAATAGTGATGGCTGTATTCTACGTTACAATACCATACACATTTCTGCGCCAAGCTTAACCTTATCAGGGGAGATTAGCAGATCCCCGCTCGTAATTTTCGGTATCCAGCAAAAAAGGGCGAAAAAAAAACTTCATCTGACAATTCTCCCCTCCATCACCAGCTGTTCTCGCATCGTACTTGTTGATCATAACAAACACTAGACATCATGGGTAACGTGAGTTCAAACCGGTCTGATCTCAGAGACATCTGTTCTTGACTCTCTGAACATGAGCTGACTGGCATCGTGATGTGTCAATAGGGAGCCAAAGCCGCCTCGAAGCGTGAGCGCAATGCCAAAGATGCCAAAGGTTCGGCCAAGTCACAGCTGAAAGTTGTATGTATCTCATCTCCAGAATCAATAGAATAGGCTGTCATACTTATCTAGTACAGAACGAAGCTGCCAAGGACATCATGTGCAATGTCTGCAGACAGACCTTCCTGCGCACGACTCGTGCTCCTGCCCTGACGGAGCATGCCTCGAATAAGCACAGCAAGACTCTGCAGGACTGTTTTCCCAACTTTGTGGAGACTCCTAAGAAATAGACAGGACGTCTTGCGCTTTGGTCATCGTTTCTGTTTGTTCTTTTTTTCTTTCTTTTTTCTTCTTTTTTTGCGGGGAAGATAAGATATGCATTTGATCATTGAGCTGTGGAGTTTCCTTTTTGAGTTGTCGATCTGTTCATAGTCATACATCCCCCTACTTACATACCTCTATATCTTTTTTTTCTTTGCTCTTCTAGTAACCCATATGGAAAATAGTCTGGGTTCTTGGTAATTATCCATTTCTCGCGCAAATGCACAGTTTAAGAGGTGATCAAACAAGATATTTGCCTGGACATACTCATTTGGCACCCCAATATGATCGCGCAGCCTTCAGCCTCGGAATCAACTCTGTACAGTATCAAACTGCAGTTCCTTCAGGGGCATAAGTGCGACGGTCAGGGTGAGTTGGTCGATCTACTCTTCGCTTATCTTCGTGGCTAGTACTCTAACGTTTCGTGTGAGGGTCCTTTATCAGACAAAGAACATCACTGGGGCCATTTGCCAGTTGTAGATATCGACAGCCAGTAAGAAGTATACTTGAGCCTATGGCTGTTTGCTCCTTTACCAGGATGTGGCTTCATCCTCGGATATTGCCTCTTTCACTGACCTGAGGCATAGTCCAATGGATGATCATGGACGGTTGTGACATAGCTTGGGGATGTGATGTTAGTCCTAGGAGGAAAAAAAGGCGCAAGGGAAGAATGATCTCCAAACCAGTAGTCAGACAGAGCAGTATAGTCTCTAAGCTCAACACAACGGTCTTATCTCCTCTCGAGTGTTATCAAGCGTGTCTGTTCTCCAGTGCTTGGACTTTAGCCAAGTTTTCTGATAGCTCGCTTCACTCACCTTTAACCATCGGACTCTAACAGCTAACTTCCCCTTCCAGAGATGATGGAGACGAATAAAAGAGGTGTCGGACACAACTCATTAAGAGGGAAAACAGCGGCTAGGAAAACCATGTGGCAGGTTACAGAATAAGGCCTGCAGCAGCACACACTTCAATTCAAAGATCCAAGAGCCCCTCCTTTCGAGATGGATCTTAACAGTCAAGTCCCGTCAGTCCACAGTCTCTGGCTTCTAATGAGATATGGATGCTCGTCGCATACTATCTGCCTCGGATGCCCAACCAACCCAGTTGGAAACCCTGGATCACGTATCGTGGCTTGAACAGGATCTTCAAGAATGCAATTGAGGACTTTTTATGTCCAATACTGGCTAGAGGAATCAACCATCTTTTTCGATTGTCAGTGACCCACTACGTCATCCGATGACATCCTATATCCTATCACAGGGGTGTTTGCTGTCACTCGCTATGCAGGCTCTGATAATCGTTTTGCTGTGTACGAGGATCCGTATCTCAACAGGTCAGAGCCTAAGAAAGGTCATTTACTAGATGAACTAAAAGCTCAATGGTCAAAGTTCACGGAGATTGGTTACAATCCCTATGTTGTTATTCGGATGGAGAAAGGCTTCACTGATTTGCTTCCGATGGACCTCTAGTTCCAGTTTTCCTTGCTAGGGTCCTTTTCACCTTCGATTGGAGAGAATATCTTTCTGCCTTGCTGGACGAGCTGCGGTGTATAGATGAGTTCGAGGAACGCCATGGGGTAAGTTCTATTTCTTCCAAACTCGCTGACTCTGATTCTGACAAATGGCAGTATAAATCACAAGTCCAACTTGCCCGGGAATTGACCCTGAAAGTCATTCATGCCGACATTACTCCAGTGCAAAGGACACAGCTATTGGTACAAGCTGCGGGCACGAGGGAGCGCAGGCTCCACTAGGGCCTTGAATAGGGACATCTGTCAGACATTTCGTACCGTCATGAGGTTCTTGGATCGCGATTTGCACAGCTCGATGAGCATGTGGCGTAGGAACTGCTTCGAATAGCATATGAGGTCTATCTTTACGACGCCGACGTAGAGTGGTCATAGCGGTATGACAATGATGTTGCTGTTACAATGTCTGGGACTGTTTCGATAAATCCGGAGCAGACCTATAACGTTTGATTCGCTTGAGATTGCGGCCTAGCAGTCCCCGGGTAAATTGGTCACTGTGAGCCTCTCTTCAACTGCTTGAAGATAATGGAGTGATGTCTCTGCGGTATCAGGTTCCCACTATACGGGCAAGCAGTACCACAGGGTGTTTCGCCACTTTCACGCAAGAAAATCGAAGCCTTTCCTCGGACGACCATCGACAGTGATGGTAGACTGGGTCTCACTGTTGCCGAGGTGTCAAGAGGCTGTCACTGCCTGGCTTTGATTGGCCATTGAAGCCCTTCTCCAATTGTACACCTCATGCAACAATGACTGAAGACTCCGATCCAACGGACCAATCATCAGGCCATATCACCGATCTAGTTCGGTTACACCTCATGCTTCCATCTATGAGTGTGATGTCCAAGGAAAGAATGATTGATATTGACCGTTTGATAGCGGGTCGAGCTGCCTTAAGTCGATCACAATGTGGGGTTGTCCAAAAGGTATAAATTGCCAACCTTGCTCTGGCCCCGTGGACAACGATCAAGTTCCCATTCCATCACCTTCACCTACAAAGCACCATGCAATCGAAAGAAACCATCCAGGCAGTCCAAAGCTACTATGGGGGACTAGCAGAGCGTAGTTCAACGGAGAACGCCGAGGACTATCAGGCTACTGTCGCGAAAGCGTTCGGTTACGACCCTGAGGATCTGAAGTCACTTCCCGAAAATGCCAACCTGGGAGTCAGTTGCGGTAATCCTTTGGCGATGGCAAGTTTGAGAGAGGTATACACGGCCCAGATCAACCGTTCCACACCTACTGATCATACTGTAGGGCGAAACCGTGGTTGATCTTGGAAGTGGCGGTGGAATCGATGTCATTCTAGCTGCTCGCAAAGTCGGTCCCAAGGGAAAGGCCATCGGCGTTGATATGACTGAGGTACGGATTGTCCTCTTTCTAATTTTCCATTAAGAAACGGGCAGCTTACTCTCAACCCACCAGAAAATGCTCACGCTTGCCCGTGAGAATGTCGAGAAAGCGGGCATCTCGAACGCTTCATTCGTCGAAGGTTTCATCACTGCCATCCCCCTCGAGGACTCGACGGCCGATTGCATCATCAGCAATTGCGTCGTGAATCTTGTACCAAATGAGCAGAAAAGCCTTGTCTTTCATGAGATGTTCCGCCTCCTGAAACCCGGGGGTCGGGTTGCCATCAGTGACATCCTCGCTCGGAAGAAGCTTCCATCCGATGTCACAAATAATCTGGCGCTGTATGTTGGCTGCATTGCAGGCGCCAGTCAAGTGGAGGAATATCATTCCTATCTGAAGGAAGCTGGGTTCAATGGTATGTCTACGCTACCCACGTCCAACACGGTAGACCGTGCTGATACCTTGCGCAGATATCATGATCGTGGACACAAAGTCGGACCTCAACATCTACAAAGAAATGAGTCAGGGGGAGAAAGTTGCCTGCTGTAGTGCGTCGTGCTCTGGCACCCAATCTAATAACGACATCGGCAAATATGATTTCAATGAATGGACTGGTAAGTGCTTCTTTCAAGATCCACAATCACCCTGGCTAAAGGTGTCCCTAGGTTCTTTTCAGATATTCGCCGTCAAGCCTACTTAGGTGACATGGTTAGCGCCGCGCATCGTATTGCTGTCTTTCTTCTTTTATTTGGGACTGTGGTAGCCGAGATCAAGCTGGAAAGGAGCAATGATACCTGCTAATCTGAAATCGCCTGCCTTGGTTAATCAAGGAGAGATAAAGACAGCAAGAAAAGCATTTTCTATTCCAGTGACTGACAGAAGAGATAAACATCTATCAAGCTTTGTTTCATGTTGTATTCTGTGAGGAGTAAATCTATCCGAAGCCACGTTTGGATAAGCTTTGTGGTGTCAAGAGCAGCTGGTACCTCAGCGGTGACGCTGCGGCCCTATTTGTATTGTGTCTGCAAGCAGATACTTAATTGAACATCTAGCGTTCGCGGAGTCCCTTCTCGTCCTGGAATTGCGTGGTGAATTGCATAGAAGCATCATGAAGGGGTAGATTATGGCCAACAGTCTCTCGGCATAACAGGCGTTCAGTCAATCTCACGAGGCCTCGGTACACCTTTTAAGTAGATTGTCGGACTCTACCTGGAAGTCTATCCCGTCAAGACGTCCAATGGTGCGCACATGACTTTCCTGTTGGTCATCATGCATCCGAGCTGTATGGGACGTGGCCCTCTGCCCGTTCATGAGCGCCAGCGAGTCGCAGGGTCATAGCAGTCGTTTGGAAATGCTTGCGCCGACAATGGATGCTGCTCAATATGCTGCTCAATGTTGCTTATGATCTTTTAAACGTCCATAGGAGCAGAGGTATCCGCCTCACTCGCTCTCGTCGCCGTCTTCAGCGAGACTTGTCACCTGTGTGCTAGGCCCAATATCGCTCTCGCGCTGTGTATTCGTCATCCGCCTATTGTTTTGCACTGATCGGTTGTTCATGGAAGTGATGGCTCTCTCGCCAACGAACTTTTCACCAGACCAAGGAGCCTTACACACGGGGCATTGCTCTGCTTGCCGCATACGGAAGAAATTGCGAGTACACATGTCGTGGAGTCGACCCAGGCAGTCACGATTCTCGCAGCGTTGGCCCTGTCCATCCCGCTAATGTCAGAAATCAGCTCAATGGGGAAATCGCTGTCGTCAACTCACCACTGTGATGATATCCCTGCACGCCGCGCAGAACTTGATTTTATCCACCCGTGCACCCTCGTCATTCTCGTTGTAGGTTGCAACCAGCCAACCCCGCAACTCCATCAGCCCTCGCGGGCTCAAGCTGTAGTTTCCCTTCCGGCTTTTCTCAAACCAGCCATCTTCTACCAACTGCTTCAGGACCATCTCGGCCTGCGACATGGTCAACGACTGCGCTGCTCCTCCTTGCGTCTGCTGTGTGGCAGCGCCAGACACCCGACGGGTCGAATCCGTCGAAGCTTTGGCTAGCTGAATAGCTTGTATCCCACTCACTACCATGGCTTCGGATCGTCGGGTGTTGTTCGTATCGAATATCGCGTCAAGGATCCGCTTGATGAAGGCGATCTCGTCTGCCGTGTAGGTGGTGGCTAACTGCATGACCGGATCGCTGGTGGTGTTCACAAGAGCGTACACCCGTTCTGATGGCGTGGACTCATTCTCTTGCTGGTCCAGCCGCAGCTGGGGCAGCGTACTTCTGATTTCCAGGTCGAAGGGAGAAATCGCGGTGTTGGCTGCATTGATATAAGAGTGAAGATCTTCCTCGGTCACATCGTCCGCGGAGACAGGTTGGCCTTCTATTCGATTTATAAAAGTTTTAGCGGGTCTCTCTTGGATACCAGAACGTATCACTTTTGACGATCTAGACTTCATACCATGCGCTGAGAAGATAGCTGCCAGAACGGGTTTCGCTTCAGCAAATGTCATAGTCGAACGAGCCATGAACGCCTGCAAAAAGGCGCGATTGCTATCACTGTAGTCATTTCCTGCAACACCGTCTGCCATGATCTTCAGATAGTCTTAATCTACTTCAGAGCTGCGGTGTCGATGGAGATGAATCTTACAGCGCTTTTCTGCGGGGAAAACCATCTGCGACGCGATCCACGCGATCCGCGTTATCAGGTGCCAAGACTGGCACCATTTTTATAAATGCAAGCTTCTTCATCAACTGAGGTATGGTTGGACTGGATAGACCCCTACTACAAGAGTTGACTAGCCTATTGTGTCCATTGTAAAGGAGTGGAAATAAAAATTAGAATCATGGTTTCAATAACAAAGTAAGCTAGCTTTGATATCACAACAAGCGAACAAGAAGTTACAGATGACAGATGTCATTAATCTCCCCAACGCCGGATATGTAAACGAAATAATACACGAGAAATTCCCCCTAGCATCAGAATCTCCGCCGTGTCGGCTCTGGGCTAGGACTCCGGCTAACACTCCTAGCATCCCTGCCCCGTTCCTTGAGCCATTTCTTCGTGCTCAGGCGCAGCTCACGGTCAAGCTCGGCACTGGGATCTTTGCGATGGATGAAATTGCAGAATCCGCCTCGTACACAGCCTTCCCCGCTATTTAACCGACAGCATGCTTCTCGGAAATCCGTCACTGGTGACAGTTCGCAATATATCGGTCGCGCGGCATACCAGCGCGAGTTGAGCGCATCACACGCCGCCTGTGCATCTTCTTCATATTTGAATCGCGCGTAGACATTGCCGATGAGGTCTATCATGAGCAACCCGGGTTAGTCTCAATTTGAATTGAAGAAAAGGGAAGCCACCAAGCAAAGGCACACTTACGATCATTGTTGTTGTCGCAGACAACCAACTCCTCCAGCTCGCCGTACTTGCACATCTCGCACCAGACATCCTCGTAGAATGCGTCGAAGTGGTTTTGCAGCTGGCTCGGGTTCATCTTGCTCTTCGGATCGTAGGCAGGGTTTTGGTACATGTTTGGCATGAGGATTGTTTGGGAATATGACGGCTTGACATGCTTGCGAGAGCATCTATCGCCGTGTCTGCAGGCGCCAATCTTGTAGTAGAAGGAGCAATTGACTTTGTCCTGCTCTGTACCGAAAATGGAGGCGAGATAATTGGCCATGATGCTCAGGTAGGGGTGCGACGACCTCGGCTCGCTTGGACTAGGAAAGGCGAAAGGTGCGGATTGAGAACTATCGAGTAGCGATAGATAATGAGGTCCTGAGGCAGGTGGTGGGAGGAGAAATAGCAACTAGAGGACTTTTGCGCAGGGAGTGAATCTATCTTGCTGCTCTTCACATAGCTTGAAGTTTCTGGAGAGCTCGATCGCGTGGCGGAGATGCTGACTAACTGCGCCGATAGTTAAGCCTGAGGCTACAACCTTTGGCTAGCGGAACAAGGATAACTCCGAGAGCATAATGAGTCAGCTATGCAAGCTTAGTATAAAATAGCATCTTCTTAAGCTACGTCTTGTAAACATATCATCAATCCGATCATTAGAATTCGACGTTGAGATGCAGGGTATCCTACAAGTAGATTAAACTAATATTTGCTATTTTCATCCCTTCCATTTGACTTAGAGTTTGGCCTTCGTACTATCGCCTACTGCCAGGCCACTGATATCAACCTCAGGCCTGAGTCCCTCAACCATTTGCGCAACCACCCTTCCTGTGCCTGGAGCCAGTGAGATACCCCAGGGACCATGACCTGTAGCAACAAACACACCTCCTCTCGCTCTACCAGCTGCCTTTTTGTTTTGAGTGCCTGTCTTAAACCCGCCTAGCAAGTCGTCCTCGACTTTAGCGACAAAAGGAACTCCGCGAGCGGAGACAGGACGGAAACATAGACCTTCACGTACGATCTCCAAGTCATTTGTGTTGATAACTTCCTCCGTGGATTCGGCACTGCCATCGACCAGCTTTCCCATCAGGCGAATCGCCACCTGCCTCAATCTTTCCATCTCCTTCTGCTCCATGAGCTTATGCGAGTCCTCTGCCTGGCTCGGAAGAGGAATCTGTGTGCTATTCAAGCCGGCAATGTAGATCTCCCCACCTTCGCGAGAAAAGATTTCGGGGCTGAATCCGCTTGAGGCAGGATGGGTGGTAAACACAGCATGGCTTCGGCCGCCGTATCCCTTGGCCTCGTGCTCAAGAGTGTATCTTGGGGAACGAACCACAAGAGAGTAGCCTGCAAGCGGGGTGATGGGAACCGAAACACTAGATGAAGGGAAAAGGTCGCAGAACACTTGAGGAGTCCAGGGTCCGGCACAAATGATAAGATTAGTGCACGGGAGTGTGGACTCGGTTCGAGTGGTCAAATCAATGATCCGGACACCGGTGATTGTGTTACTGGCTCCATCTGTGACGAGAGAAACGGCTTTCGCCGGATGATGCAAATTGACACCCCTAGACAGGGCTGTCTCCATGAAAAATTTGGATAATCTCAAGGGGTCCCTAGACGGAGTTAGTCTCAAGAATCTGCCAAAGCATCAGCAACGGTTTACTAACGCTTGCGCAACGGTGTCGTCTTCGCTGATCTTCTCAAAGACTCCCTTCTTCTGCTTCGTCATCCAGCCTGGCGCTTCGTGATAGATTGGGCTTTTGGATCCAGCAGCTGTCTCTGCTCGACTTGTGCCTGCACGCAGCCAATCATCTCCGCGCGCACCTCCTTTTTTCTTCCCATCAGAGACATCCAGACTCAACGCGGTGCCTTTCATGTACCCCCATTTCTTGTCTCCGCCATGTTCAGCAGCTAGAGACTCATGAAGGTCGAAAGAAAGAGCTGCTAGAGGAGCAAGAGCCGGCGCGAACCAGTCCTTGGCTAGAAACCCGGCCGCATACCCGGATGCGGCACTGAACAACTGCGATGAGGCTTCGACAACGTGGATTTCGTCTGATGGTTGGTTCTGAGAGAGATAGTAGGCAATCGAAGAGCCGATGATGCCTCCTCCAAGAATCACAGAAGACATATTCCTTTTTCTTTTTTTCTTTTGAGGCCCTGGAATCGTTAGGGAGACAGTGGAAGCAATTACGGACCTAGATCTCGGTTAGACCTCTCGGCAATTTTCCAACCTTTCCAACTCACAATGACACTCAATCTTCGCCTCTGGAGCTACTATCGAGGAATTCGTGACAGGCTCCGTCAAGTCTTATAAGCGATTTAATCCAATTTAGCGGGGAAATCAGGAAGTGGGTTCGATAGCATTGGCATTTCGTGTAATAGGCCTTGACAAGGTGGACCTACGCCCTGCAATTGATCAACACGCAAGTTTTAGGTTCTACCAGCCTGCGATAGCATTGTTGCTGTCTCCAGTGGTTTCCCTATCTGATGAGACTAGTTGGAGCCCTTGAATCCGATATTGTGGGATCTCCTTCTCTCCGAACGGCTCGAATGTCCCATATCGGTTATGCGGTCCCACAATGAACTTTCCCGCGGCATTCTGAATTCATCAGTCTCGACATAATAGACTTTGAGTCCAGGGTCCTCTCGGATCTGTGCTAATATATGCCAATGCCCAGTTATACATCTAGTGTGCAAATCAGGGCTCTTTGTGCACTTGCAGTCTCATATGATTATATGAGACTATGTTTCCTATAGAGCAGGAAGAGCTCGAAGCATGAAAAAATAGATTAGCGTAATACAATAGTAAGATAGTTCTCGTCAAGAACAAAGCATGATTGAACTTTGAGGTACTTATCTGCTTTGAATCAATGTTGAATGCTTAATCTCTAGATTTGTTGAGACGAGGGAATTGGGGATTCCGTTCCTCTATCAAAGTTGACCCCACGTTCCCCTCACTGCAGAAATTACATCACCCTGCTGTTGTTCTCTGCACCATCCAAGCAACCTGATAAGACCTGTCTTCCTGACAACAAAAAAAATTTCAATTCGATTCGCCATATTGCAGTTTTATTTGTCTTCTTCCTTCCATCAACAAACCAATCATGTCAAGCAAAACCATCATTGTCACTGGGGCTTCAAGAGGTGACTCCAATCCCCTCGACCTGGGAGCAGCTCTGACGAGAGAACACCGAGACTGACTTGCTCTTTTCGCACGACTAACAGGCATCGGACTCGCAATCGCAAAGTACCTCCTTACTGCCCCTCAGTCGCATAATGTCGTCGTGATAGCCCGCAGCGTTGAGCCTCTTCAGAAGCTCAAGGAGCAGTACAATAAGCAAGTCGAGGTGCTCAATGGCGATTTGGCAGATTTTTCTCTTGGCCAGAAGGCAGTCGACCTCGCCATTAAGTCCTTCGGCCGTCTCGATGGCATGGTCCTCAACCACGGAATCCTCGGACAGGTCGGCAAGGTTGCCGAAGCAGACGTCGAACAGTGGAAGCAAGGATTTGACGTGAACTTTTTCAGCTTGGTTGCTTTTGTAAGCTTTCCTACTTCTTTGGTTTGGAGCAATTAACCTGGTCTTTACGATAGGTCAAAGCTGGTCTGCCAGCCCTACGCGAGTCCAAGGGAAAGATTGTCCTGACTTCGTCGGGAGCGTCGGTGTCCGCCTACAGAGGTTGGGGTCTATATGGAGCAACAAAAGCCGCCATGAACCATCTGGCTTTGACTCTGGGCGAAGAGGAACCCGAAGTGACAACTGTGTCGATCAGACCCGGCATGGTTGACACTGAGATGCAACGGGCGCTGAGAGAAGACCATGCTACGACATTGGAGCCCCAAATGCACTCCAAGTTCACCACTGTCCACAAAGAGGGCAAGCTTCTGAAGCCCGAACAGCCCGGACATGTGATGGCTAAACTTGTGCTGGACGCCCCAGCTTCGCTAAGTGGAAAGTTTATTTCGTAAGTTGCCTTCATTACTGATGCTATATATTCTTACTAACGGCAACAAGGTGGAATGATCAAGCTCTGGAAGCTTTCCAAGCATAGACACTTATCTAGAAGATTCATCTATATGTGATCGTCAGTATATACCGCGACCCATGAAGCAATAGACAGAAACAGCAAGATGTTATACATATAATCAGCCGAAAGATGAAAAGCAGGTACATTTTATAAGCATTAGGTGCAACACACCTTCATACTTAGCATGGAATGTAGGGTGTTCATCATATGAATGGGGAAGGGGAAAATCAGAACAATATTGGCTTACCTAGGGCTCGAATGCATTTAAAGAGTTGTTGCTGACTCCAAGTGCTCGTCTCTCTCACTACACAGATATGACCGGCATGACTGGACAAATACCAGAAATGGATTTGTCTCCGAGTCTCATAAAACTCTTCAGGCCAGTGTGAATCCAGATATGTCTAGAGAATACTTCAAGCTATTAGCAATTGAACCACGAATGGGTTGAATGAAAGATTGAGTGAATCAAAGGAGTAATCAGATAGTCCGTTTGGCTAGGACAGTGTTCGTCACCATAGAATGGTATGATAGGGGCGACAACAAGGTTCATCATGCTAGATTGGGGGTTTTTCATTGTTCATGACTGACATACCTTTGATAATTAGTTCTGCTTGCACTTGATGGTTAGCATGGCATGGCAAAGAGGATCTTGATCATCATCAAAGATCTCAAATGTTTTGACTCGCTTGTGATTTGTGTGAAGAAAATAGGAAGCTGTGAAAGAAGACCGAGAGAACAAAAAAAAAAATCGTGAAGATAAAGGGTGAGAGCGGTGGGATTCTGCCTTTGTTCTGCCAGTCCCGTGTCGAGTCTCTCTCCACGCGTAGTAGTGGGCTTTCCCGTCGACTATTTATCAAGGCTAATGTCCATCTGCCCCACGCGGAAGTGTAACAAGACATAACTTTTGCAATAATAACTGCTTTGCGACTTATGAGCGCTGCCAATTTCTGAACATTTTCGTATATAATCCACCATGTCTGATAGAGAGTTCGGCTGTAAGTTCAGTCCTATACTATCGTCTTGGCGCACTGACTGACGTTGTGATCGATTGACAGCAAACGACGACCTGTCGCTTCCCAAAGGTACGTATGCGGGAATCGTACTGGACCTGATTTTTGTCGCGCATTTTTCCCTATCAACGCTTGATACTGTCCGCAAGCTTCATGTGTGACCTCGCGTTTGCGACCCTGCTTTACGGCCCATACATCCTCGAAGTACGTGACTAACTCTTATCCCCCCCTCATAGCAACGGTCCAGAAGATCATCACTGAGATCCTACCACCTTCCTCCGGCCAAACGTTCTCCAAGGATGCGCGAGATCTGCTCATGGAATGCTGTGTCGAATTCATCACATTGATTTCTTCCGAGGCCAATGACATCAGCGAGAAAGAAGCGAAGAAGACAATCGCTTGTGAACATGTGGAGCGGGCTCTGCGTGATCTTGGATTCGGCGATTACATCCCCGATGTGCTTGCGGTTGCAGAGGAACACAAAGAACAGCTGAAGGTCAATTATTCCAGGAGTGCGCGCCAGACGGAAGTGCTGACATCTGCATATTTTGTAGTCCCGAGAAAAGAAGCAAAGTAAGATGGAGCAGAGCGGGCTGACCGAGGAAGAACTCCTGCGGCAGCAGCAGGAGCTATTTCGCTCGGCCACGGAGAAGTATAATGCTGCTCCAGAATGAGCTTTGCGAAATGAGGTCGAGCAACGCTTTCTGCTGTCAGTCTTTTCCTATTCTGCTTTTTGGGAGTTGCTTCTGCATCCTCCTATCTACGTCCACATGAACTTGGGAAGAAAAAATGGTCTGGAGTTTCGGGTTGTCATTCGGGTTATGATTTGGGAACGGTCAGCGGGTTTGTGAATTTATGTGCATCTTCGTTCTGTATTGATGAGATTATGCCAATCAACCTAGTGATTTTTTTTTCTGGCGCCATTGAGTTTCTTCCATCAAAGGATCTCTGCGCCGGTTGTATCTGTTGTAGATCGGTTAGAATTGAGGTTATGGGTCAATTTCTCGAGGGCTTCGGATCGGAGCACATACTGCGCGACTCTCAATGCTGCATTTATGTAACAGAGACGAGATTAGAATTTATATTAAAAGGGTAGTGATACATTTCGTAGGTTGCGGCTTCTATGGGAGTATACTCAAGGTATATCCCATTCCGTTGCAAGTCACCTACGATGATCTCCACTGAGAAGCGTTTGGAAGCAGACAAACGCGGCTCAATTGAAGGAAGAGCTTATCCCAAGAACCATATACCGTTCTGTAAATACATTTTTTTGAATGTAGATCCATGTACTCTGTAAAGCTGATAGATAAATGCACAGATATGGCTGTCCAAGCTCTGGATCATGTCTCCATATCTAGACATTAATGGCGCCTAACCTAATCAGGCTTACCGCCCAGCGACCAACGCGCAAAAGGTCGCAGCAGGTCCATCACCGCGGTCGGCCTCACTGCGACAGATTCCCCCCAAAGTCCTTGAGTTGTTGCATCACGCTGGACTGCCCAGGATGCCGCCTTTCAAAGATGAACACATTCTGGTAAGTCTCAACTTCATGCATCTCGCGCAAAGCACCCACACTTATAGCCACGCCCCATCAATTCACTGACCATCGCGTTCTAGATAATTGCGCCAGGCTCTCAGGTGACCCTGGCGCAGCTGGGCCTTCCGGAATCCTTTACTCCCGCGCGATTTCGCTTTCCCACGCGTATGTTTCCTGGCGAAAAGAAGGGCGAGTACGAACCATATAAAATTCAGGAGAGACGGCGCGATGTCAAAGCGAACAATGGCGCTGACGCGCCCAAGGAGGACGTGGAAATGAAGGATGCGGAACCCTCGGTGCCAGAAGGTACACCAAAGCCTGAGACGGCTGAGAAGCCCGAGAAGCCCGACGACGCGGAGACTGGAGAGAAACCTCAGGCTGGCTCGGGACAGGAGGGTAACAGGGAGACTGCACAGGAGACCGCACAAGAACCCGCACAGGATATCGTCTATGAAGAGGACGTCACGTCCGATGAAGGCGCCGTCTATCCCATCGAGAACGGACGCATTGTCGACTGGCCGTGCTTCTTCGCCCTTCTGACGCATGTTCACAACACCCTCAGTCCGCCTTTCCACACACCAATCATGCTCATTTCTGAGCCCGTCTGGTCTGCCCGTGATCGCGAGGCCATCACCCAGTTTGTCTTTGAAAAGTTCAAGACACCTGCTTTCTGCCTCATGGATTCGGCACTGGCAATCTGCTATGGTTACGGAACATCCACCGCTACGGTCATCGATGTCGGCAAGGACAAGGTCGACGTTACAGCCGTAACAGATTTCATGGTCAACGAGCATGGAAGAGGTGTTGCCCTAGAAGGGTGTGGTGGAGACTATATGACAGATAGGCTTTGGGAGCTACTACGTTCCAAGGGCTTTACGAGGGAGATGTGCGAGCAGCTGAAGAGGAGCAATATCACAGAAATCCTACCACCTGGCGTGCCTCTGCCTGGCACAGCGGCAACTGCACAACAAGGGGCCAACCCAGCCCCGTCGACCTCAATCAGTGCCCAGGAAAGTGCTGCTCCCAATGGATCCGTTCCTCGTGGGCCAGGCGAGAACATCCAGACTGGACCGGAAGGAACGAACGCAGAGGGTGAGGAAGACGAAGGGGTACTGGATGTCGCTGCCATTGTCAGCGGAAATACAAGCGAGTTTCTCGCGAAGCGCGACAAAGAGAGAGCCGAGAAGGCTTCCAAGAAAAGCGCAGCAGATCAGGCTGCGAAACCTGTCCGGCTTCCAAATTCTAAGAAAGAGAAGGCTTCCTTCCAATTCGAAGAATTCGTGCGCTTAGACTCGGAAAAGGAGAAGGTGGATGGTCCCAGGCGATTTATTCGTCACAAACGGGACATTGAAGTCGGTATCGAACGCTTCCTGTCTGCGACTCCTAAGGAACAAGTTGGGGAGCGCCTGTCCAGTGGTATTCTGGAAGATATCGCGACTCAGATTCATCATACCATTCTTGCTGTGCCTGACGCAGCCAAGAGAAGTGAACTTTGGGATTCATTGATCGTTGTGGGCAATGGCAGTAAGATCAAGGGTATGTGGCGTCAATCCTAATACTATCACTGCCCCCATGTACTGACAGCTTGCCCTAGGCTTCACCCAAGCTCTGCTTGGAGCAATCACGCAGAAGTTCATCCTCTCGCCATCGGGCACCATGTTCACATCCGAAATCCCTTCAAATTTCTCTACTCCACTGCCAACCGGAGGCACCAACACACCCGCTCCTTCTGGACAGCCCGGTCCCATGCACCACCCCGCAGGCCACGGTGTCAATCCTCTGCTCGTTGCTGCGACTCACTCGGGCAATCCAGCAGTGGGTAACATGCCCCCAGGGACACCGTCGCTCGACCCGAGTTCCCTACACCACCGTTCCACTGGTCATTCGCAGACGCCAACTTCTGTAAAAACCCTGAGACCTCCGGAATATTTCCCAGAGTGGAAGGAACAAAGCAACAGCAACGCGCCAGGTGCCAGCGGTGCTGGAGCATTGGGCATGGGCAACGGTACTGCTGGCAGGCCCAGCGGTGCGTCAACTGGTGGTCACGGCATGGAGGAGGCAGTTTTTCTCGGGGCTCAGGTCGCATCCAAAGTCATCTTTGTCCTTGATCAAGGCTTGAGCAAGGGCTTCATGAGCCGTGTGGAATACAATGAGAACGGGCCGTCGGCGATTCATGAATACGCGATGTGATCACATTGAAATATTCTCTGATACTGTCCCAACATAATCAAGGAGTCAAGCAACGAAATTCTCCGGTTTTATCGCTGCAGTTTTCCACGATGGACTTTGGAATCGTTGCACTCTTACATGTACTGTGATATTTGCTATTTTCATGCCTACCTCCACGATTGTATTTTAAAGATGGGCGTCACTTCTAGAAAAGCAACTGTTCCAGGAAGCAGGTAGGATAGGTGGAGTCGGGTCCTCGTTTATTATAGCGTTTCATGTCTTAGATTTAACAACAGAGATATTGTGTCTTTGAGCCATAGAGGTGGACTTACTGCCATCACTCCAACTTACAACTTCCCTTCCATTTACGCAGTGCATTGGTCACGTGGCTTTGATAACAAGCACAAGCCACACCTGATCCAGGCTGACCGCCTTCCTCGCCACATCTTATCTTCGACCATCTTTCTTGTTCTGAACTGGCTCCCACATCCCGTCGATCTTGAATCGACCACCCATCGCATTCATTCCATATAAGACAAGTCAAACCATCAAGCGCATCTTGGATTTTCTCGTTTTCTGCATCCTAGATCGTCAAGATGCCTCGCGCCGAGGCTGGAAGCACCAAGGCGATCAGCAACAAGCTCAAATCTGTATGTTCGCCCATTGCATTCCTACAATGGAGGAGAAATGGAGAGTACTAACTGGGCCCAAGAAAGGACTAGGTAGATTGCGGTGGTATTGTCAGGCTTGCGAGCGCCAGATGCGCGATGAGAACGGCTTCAAATGGTGAGTTGCGTCTTGCAATCTTGAGAAATAGTATGGCGCAAGTGTACTAACAGTCTGTCCTTCCAGCCACGTACAGAGCGAAAGCCACGTGCGACAGATGCTGCTCATCGGTGAAGATCCAAAGAAACATATCGAGGATTTCAGTAAGGAGTTCATGAAGAATTTTGTGGATCTTCTCAGGACTACACATGGAGAGAAGAAAGTCCATATCAATCAGTTCTATCAACAAGTTATCGCTGATAAAGAGGTATGTCGCTTGGAGAGAAAGGCTTAGATCGTTGGTGGGTTACTGACGTTTTGGATAGCACATACACATGAACGCCACCAAATGGAAGAGTCTTACACAGTTTGCGGCGCATCTCGGCCGGGAAGGTATCTGCCGCGTTGAAGAAACCGAGAAGGGGTTGTTTGTTTCGTACATCGACCGGAGCCCGGAGACAATGCGACGCCGGGAAGCGATCCTCAAGAAAGAACGACAGGATAGGGGAGATGAGGAGCGAGAACAACAGCAGATTCAGGAACAGATCGAGCGGGCTCAGCGCAACGCGGAAAAGCAGGAGGAGATTGATCATGAAGCTCGGGTTCTACAGCGGAAGGAGGGAGAGAAAGTGAAGCTCAACATTGGCTTTGGGTCGAAGGCAGCCGGCGAGCCGAAGGCCGCAGAGTCGAGAACACAGTCGCCCGAGGAGAAAAACAAGGATTCTGCTTCATTGACGCCAGATACCACTGCAGCTGCATCTTCTGCGACTTCCATCGAAACCGTGCCACAGGCGGCTCCGAAAATCTCCATGTCATTCAACACTAGCAAAACCAAGAATGTTTTTGCATCTGCGGCGAAGAAAAACCCTCTGGCTGGGAAAAAGGGCTCAGTGCTCGAGCAACCCAAGAAGATGACCGAGCAAGAGAGAATCATGAAGGAGGAGTTGGAAGCGATGGAACGGAAGCGTTTGCGTGGAGGCTCGGGCTTTCCAAATGCCAAGCGACCTAAGATCTCCTAAGTCCTCCAGGCCATCACCACGCCCGCCTTCCAAATTCTCAACCCTCCGAAACCCGCAACTCCTACTATGGGCATCACTCCCTGTCTGGTGTCGACCCTAGCATCTGGGCGATGGAAGTCGCAAATGGTGCGCATGGCCCCTGCAGTATATAGGTGGTAAGCAGGGATCAGGTTGCCAAAGACTATATGACCGTTCCATGCATTCGAGCATACATTCTTCCTGCTCGTATCAGCCAATGCTCGGCAGTTTCGGCCCTTTACCGTCATTACCAATACGTCTATGAATGAATTTCAGACGCCGGTTCCACGCCTTTAATATCTTCCACATTTACTCGGTTATGGGATATTGACCTCTGGCAGGTTCATGGTGGTGGAGACTGTACTAAACTCGGCCATTGCAGTCGGTGCGCATCGGCGCGCATTGTTGCATGGATGGAAATGCTATTCTGCAGCAACGGCTATTGATTTGCGGTTTTACGCAGTGAGCAATTGCGTTGTTCTGATCATGGTCAGCCTTGGGATTACAGGTAGTGTTAGAACTAGCAAGCTGGATAGAGCATCTGTATAAAATCCAGGAATAACTAGGTTGAGAAATCTGAGTTTGTTATGACGTTGAACTTTAAAATATCTTTGGTTATGACTGGATATTGAGATATGTGTGTTAGCATTGGGTGTTGATAGTTAGCAATAGATTGGATATGTTGATGTATATATATATTTGAGGTGCATGCACCCTCAAAGTACACATTGGTTGTTGATTACCGAATAATGGTCTTAAATACAGTAGTTCAACTATAAAAATAGCATCGCAAAGACAGTATCCAGAAGCAGAGTCTATTGAGCATTATCCTCGAATATACTTCAGTCCAACTTTCATGTACAGTCATCTCAATTCGCAGCAAGCAGCACATTCAGAATCGGAGTGACTGATGAAATAAGTGAAATCGATGATTGGCTTCCGTACTAAGCTCGTTAGTCTGTGTTTATTCTGGGAAGGGTTTATGTAAGCAATACAAGTCATGTTTTACATCGAAGGCCCGGGTGGTCTAGTGGTATGATTCTCGCTTAGGGATTAACCCAAGCATATCTGCGAGAGGTCCCGCGTTCGATCCGCGGCTCGGGCCAACCTTCTTTTTTGTCTTTTTCTTTTTTTATCTCTCCACGTATTAATTATATCCATCCATCATCATCTATTATTTTTCATGTATGATAGACGATGATGGATGGAATTAAGACTGGACTGGGATTTTTTCCGCTTTTTTATCCAGTGCATAGATAGATATAAGCAGGAAAGCCAAGCCTGACATAACTAAGTGTTCCGTGCTTAATTTAGACCGCCAGCGATCTCCTCCATGCCTACGAATAGTCAACTATCTTTCGGGGAAGGAACATGCCCGGTCATTGTTAGGGCAATCCCCAATGTCGCTGCTCGTCTGCGTCAGTTGATGACCATCATTGAAACAATCCCGCGCTCTCGAGTGAGCTTTCCGACACTGTTACCTGGATCTTTGAGCAGATTGGGAAGGCCAGATTCCCGAACACGGATCAGTTTGATATCAAGTCGATGCTTGTGGGTGCGTCTATGGCTGTTATGACTGTGCCGTTGGATGGCATTCTTGATGGCTGTGTTGCGGAGGGACTCCGGGGAGCGGATGCGCTGGAGATGGCTGCGCAAAACTTGTTGGGAATGGCCAGTCTATTGAGGGAGGGGGCGTACCCTGCGATTCCGAGAGAGAGTATTTCGTCTCCCTGGGGATGCACGCTTCAAGGTATCTTGACGGTGGAGAGCGAGGGAGTCAGGACAGCGTGTGCGCAGGCCATGATAAATGGCACAAAACACCTGAAAGGGACGCCTGAATAGACCGATACAGGCCTGGATGGAATTTGATCGGGGTATAGACACATATATGAACTGCACCGTTGATGAGTGTATGTATGTCAGTCATATTTTCTAAAGAAGCAAAGCGGGACCCCAGACCGAGACTTATTGGAGGGTCGTCCGAGCACCCCTGCACAGGCAGTCAGAACGAAATCATGAGATCTGACCTAGTCAATCATGCCTGATGCAAATGTAGATAGATACCAACCCAATCGGAGCTTAGACCGTCTTATATTGCATCCCCGCAAGGCAGTTGGCGAGCAGAACCCCTCACGAATGCGGAGAGCGTCGAGGACGAGATGGAGGATAAATAGCAGGGGCAGCAGACATGCCTGTAGTAGAGGAAGTATGAGACTATCCAAAATGGCAGTGAAGTGTGTTGTGCCAAAAACACCACGGCTTCAGTGGTTTTCCACAGCCAAATACTCGCCCTTCTCGGTAGCGACATCGACCTCTACGTCGCCCCCACGCACTCACAATGCTGTTCTTCCCCAGCCGTCTCCTCCGTCAAAGAAAGCTCCTCTCGCTGTTCTACCAACGGGCACCCTTCTTCGTTCTCTTCTATTCACGTCAATCATGTCCTCGCCGTTGCTGGACCCCTGCCTATCCATCATGAAATCCGTGGTAAACTCCAAGTCTCCCATCCTCAGCCCATCAAAGAACCCGGTCATAAACTACATCCTTCGAAAGACAATCTACAACCACTTCTGCGCAGGCACAAACGAGACCGAAGTTCGGAAGACCGTCCAGGACACGAAGGCTCTAGGATTCAAGGGCGTCATCCTGGGATACGCCAGAGAATCCATCGCAAAAACAGACGGGGATAGCCACACCCAATTCCGAGTCGTGAAGTCCCAGCGAGTCAAGGAAGACCAAGCCGTGGAGGAATGGAAACAGGGGAACCTCCGGACACTGTCCATGATTGGCGCTGGAGACTTCCTGGGAATAAAGTAATCACTTTAACCCAACCCAAGGCCATGAACTACCTCCCACCAGAAGAAAATGAAGAAGGAGCTAACATCAGACAACTTCAGATTCACCGGCGCTGGTCCTGCCGCCGTTGAAGCCCTCTCCCGCGGCGACCCCCTCCCACCTTCCTCCATCCAGCAAGCCATAACAGAGATCTGCGCCGCCACAGCATCACAGGCCTCCCGCCTCTGGATTGACGCAGAGCAGCAGATCTTCCAGCCAGCCATCGATGCCTGGACGATCAACCTCATGCGCAGGTTCAACCGCAACGGCACCATCGTTGTCTACAATACCATCCAGGCGTACCTGAAATCCTCAACAGACAACGTCCAGCGGCATCTCCGACTCGCGCAGAACGAAGGCTGGACGCTGGGCATCAAGCTCGTGCGCGGCGCCTACATCGCGCATGACATCCGGGCCCAGATCCACGATAGCAAAGCCGCCACAGACCGGAACTACGACCACATCGTCGAAAGTCTTCTGACGAGGCGGTTCCCGCTTGGAGATGGAGATAGAGATGGGAATGGAGAAGACGCAGTCTCCTTCCAGAGACCCCATTTCCCCGATGTGCGGTTATTCGTCGCCTCGCACAACGCGGGAAGCGTGTGGAAGGCGTCCCTGCTGTACACACAAAGGATGCACAGTGGTCTACCCACGATCCCGGTTGAGGTTGGCCAGCTGCAGGGTATGGCGGACGAAGTGAGCTGCGAGCTACTTGGCGAGAAGCGCGTTGGTGATCTGAAGGACAAGGGAAGATGCTCGCAGACCGTGCCTGCCACACCGGGGGTGTTCAAGTGTCTCGCGTGGGGCACCACGGAGGAGTGTCTCCATTTCCTGCTGCGGAGGGCAGTGGAAAATAAATCCGCGATGGAGCGGACGAGGGATACGGCCGTCGCGATGCGGAGGGAGGCGTGGAGGAGATTTGGCTGGTAGGGTAGATAGAGAGCGTGCGGCAGGGCTGCACTATGCGGGTTGTATTGCGCATGCTTTCCTTATGTGTCGGCTAATCATGTGGTGACAACGCAGTCGAGAATGGGATCGTGCGCGCCGCTGATCTTTGCCAGGGAGTGAGATGCGGGGAAGTGTGTTTGGGGGGGGGGGGACTACAGTGGTAGATATTCCGTCAATTGTAGCTTGTCGTTTGCTTGACGGCTGTTTTGTATTGGCTTGAAATTCCAACGCTGGAACTATTTACAACGCGGGGAAATCTATTTCGGAAGCTGTGCCTGAATCTCCGGAGGAATATTGTCCTTGCCAATAAACCGAATCCACCGTCCAGTATCCTCAAACTCATCCTTTACCCTCTCAACCACCCGGTTGTTTGCCGTGATCTGGCCAGCCAGACCGACGACACCAACATCCTCAGCGTATGCAGCCCAGAGTTTCAGCAGCTCGCTGAAGACCTCGGGCTTCTCCTGACTGAGGTCCCTCGTCTCGCCTGGGTCTTCAATGATATCAAACAGCTCCCACCGCTGCGGACCCCGCGGGAAGGGGACGTAGGTGATCTTGTACCGCCCCTTGCGCAGCGCACCGCTCCCCGCGATTTCCCACCCGGTGACATGCTCATCACCGTGGATGGATGACGGGGCCGGAGACGTGTCCGCATCAGCAGCGGTGATGGCGTCCAGGAACGGTTTCCAGCTGACGCCGCGCACCCGCTCGATCGTCCGTCCCTTGTACGTCGTGCCGGGGTGTTGCAGCCCCGCATACTCCAAGATCGTGGGGACGATGTCCATCACCGTGCAGAAGGCGTCGATAACCCGGCCACCCTCGTGCAGGGCATCTGGCTTGCCGGCCGGCTTAACCACCAGCGGTACGCGGCAGCCGCCCTCTGTGGAGAACATCTTGTAGAGCCGGGATGGGGCCGTGGCTGCCTGAGCCCAGCGGCTGCCGTACCAGACATACGAGTTCGGCCTGCCGATGTTCTCCAGCGAGTTGTCGTAGTATTTGTCTAGATGCGAGGTGATGCCGCTGCCGCCAAGCGGCGACGCCTCGTAGCTGGCGCCTTCGGCGCCATTGTCCGACATGAAACAGATGATGGTGTTGTCATATTCGCCCGACTGGCGCAGGTGCTCGAGAACGCGGCCGATGTTCTCGTCCATCAGCTCCACCATGGCGGCATACACCTCCATGGCGCGGGCGGACTTGGCTCGCTCTTCGTCTGTCATGTTCTCCCACTCGAGGGAGTCGCCGGGCCCCGTCACGACCTCGTGGGGCACAATGTCAGGGTCGACTAAGCCCAGCGCCTTGAGCTTCTCAAGCCGCTTGAGCCTCAGCACTGCTGGGCCATCGTCGTATCTCCCACGGTACTTGTCCACGTAGGACTTGGGCGCCTGCAAAGGCCAGTGAGGAGCCGTAAACGGCAGATAGGCAAAGAACGGCTTCTCGCGCTCAGACTCTGGACGTTCGGAGAGAAACTCGATCAACTTGGATGCATAGGTATTGGAAGAGTAAAAATTCTCTGGCAGCTTCTTCGCATACTCGGTGTCTTCCATATGCAATGCCGTGACGGTTGACTGGAAGAACGGGTGCACGTCCCCAACAATGTCATCATACTGGGGTTCAAAGGCTGACGGGAGTCAGCAACTTACACTCAGGTTCGACTGGCTTGGGAGTTTCTGATGACCTACCGTAATGGTTTGAAGCACCAGAAAGCATAGCAAAGGACCGTGCAAAGCCCCGAGCATGCGGCGAGTACTCCCGCTTCAGGCCCAAGTGCCACTTGCCCGACATCAGGGTATAGTAACCCCCATCTCGCAGCAACTCCGGCAACGCCACCACCCGCTCGTTCAGGTATCCTTCATGCCCAGGGGCTCCTTGATGGGCGCGCGATCTGCTAATGTACTCCGGCAATTGGCCCAGGCCAGTCAGATGGTGGTCCGTCCCGGTCATGAGCATGGACCGCGTGGGAGCACATGCCGCAGCAACATGGAAGGAATTGAACCGCAAGCCCCCCGGAGCACCAGCCAAAGAGTCGATGTTGGGCGTACTGATCTCGGATCCGAAGCAACCACAGTCGCTGAACCCGAGGTCATCGGCAACGATGACAAGGAAGTTAGGTCGGGACGCCATTGTCGAGCAGAAACGCTGCAGGAGATATGTACAAAGAATAGGGAATTGGCCTGAATCATGCAATGGTGAGAAGGGGAATAGCAATGCCTTTTATACCCTATACCGTAGTTCAACGATTGCGTTGCCCGTCCATCGGAAGACAAAGAGACTCCACATCGGCTATCGCTTGGGATTACCTGCGAAGTACCAGCATCCAATCACAGCGCCCAGGGACCTTGGTTGTTGACTTATCTCACAATTAAGTTCAGATATTGCACCATCGTCCAGCAATATCGCCAATTGCAGTATCTGACATCTTCCATGTTTTGTACAATGACATCTGCTGAGTATCGGTTGAAGTGTGTTGTGTTTGCCGGATCTGTTCTTCTATTCTTTTCTGTTTCATGGGCTGTGCCATGAGTCAGCAGGAGTCAGCAAATAGCAGGTTCCGAGGAAGCAATTGCCATGATCAATCATGTTGACGGCTGATTCAATCGACGAGTATCCCCGACTGCACTGACAGTCGGATGGTTACCTATCACACAGTGGTTATACAGCTCTCCAAGCTTCTGCCTCTGGTGACGCATGTTTGTGATCAAACGAGTTGAAAGCGATCTCGCGAGCTCGATTCTCTTTCTATCTGCTAACCGAGGCTGCATGGCATTATCACTTACAAACACTCCTGTTGCTCAAGCCGACGCAACACGCCATGTCGCCTCCTTTCTTTCGATGCGCAACCTGACTCCATACGCAATCGAGCGAGAGCAGAGACCCGGAGGATAATCTGGCATGATGATGATGATGCTGACTGGATCTCTAAAAGCAAGACTGGTAAGCTTCCGGTCAAGATCGTGATACAAGAGTAAGAGAAACCCTACGGTCAATTTCCGACTGAGATGCTGATGGATGCGGATTGGCGAGATGTTAAAGCCAGTCGAGATGGGAAACGGTAGAGTATGATGCAGCTGACCAAAGTCAGAGATTCTACGCACAACGAATCAACTGCATCAGGTGACAACAACAGATGTCGCAGCCTGAGGCTACTGAGGCTCCCACGTCATCCAAATCTACAAACATTTCCAGCAACAGCAGCAGGAGTAAGCAAAATAACACGATAGCATTAAAGCAAGGCTACATAAGGACTAGCTAGCATCAACTCATGGTCGTCATTAAGAGGAGGTATAATACAGCAACAAGCAGCCATAAGTCATCAATCCCAGCACGCTCTTTAAGCAGTGAAACGTCTCGCGCGGCGGTCATCCAGGCTACCCGAGAGCGCAGCGGCACTTCTCACATCCAGCCTCCTCTTACCATTGTCGTGGCCGGATGACTCCTTCTCCTGACCGAGAATAGCCCACTCGGCAACGGTGGCACCGGCGTCACCGTCGCCCTGGCTACCGGAGATGAGGAGCGTAGCGTAGCGGGCTGCGTGCACGGTGCTGGATAGCTGGACATCAGTCGTGTTACCCGTTGGCATGGCCACCTTGTTGAGGTCGGAGCTCTCCGCATTGTAGGGCTGGGATAGTTCGATGTTCGTTAGCGTGGTGATGACTGTGTATTGAGGGTTGCCGTGGGAGGAAGACAGCGCAGTAACTGGATCCTCGAGCGTCTCATCGTGAAAGATGACGGTCGCGTTGACGGGGGGAGCCTGCCACCAGTCGAAGTGGAAGCCAGAGACCACGGAGTTGACCTCGGCGTCGGGCAGTGTCACGGTAAGCGCGCTTGTGTTGGTGGTCGCGGGCTGCCACTTTGTCGAGGTTGCGCCGTCAACGGCGGCGATGGGGAACTGGCCAGGGGCGTAGTCGTCGGGGGAATACACCGGGCGGCACTGGATGATGTTGCCGGGAATGGTGTTGTTGAGTCCAATCTGCCTGTTGCGGACAGTCAAAGGACCGGAGGGTGGGAGGTGGTAGGCCGTCGCGTTGGTGTCGTATCCAACAAGGACGGGGATAGATACGTTGGCAAAGCGAGGGTCAGCAGTGTCGAGAGGGGCAATCTTGGTGGCCCGACTGATGGTTGTATGGGTCCGGTTCGAGCTTGCTGAGATGGGCCATCCGTGCCAATAGAACGTACGGTAGGCGACGTTGGGGATCTGTGGAGGCAGGTTGGGGTCGATATGAATAGCATCATCCGGAAGCAGTCTCAGACCGAGATATCCGAAGAGGACCACTTGATTGGCACCGCCGTGTCCCGTCAAGAAAGGATAGGCTGGATGGGTACCGCCATTGATGCTAGCATCATCGATCGTCTGCTCTGAAAGCTGGAAAAAGGGCGCTCTCATGTATGGGTCATAAGAGTTTTGATGGTAAGTGTAAGCGGAGCAGCCAGAGGGCGAGACATCGTTGGCGGTAATAGCAAAGATAGCCCATGTCATGGCAGGTCCGTCAGGAGACTGCTTGTTGGCATACTGTAAGATAATGCGATTAGTCAAGAGCCACAAAGTAAAACAAAAGAAAAAAAAAAACCTAGATACTTACAAAGTCGAGATCGTTCAACGAGTACTCGGAAGTGTAGTTGTTGTCGTAAACCAAAGGATACGTGACGAGAACCACATCAGCCTGCTTCACAACCGTAGTGCCATTCATAGTGGTGTACTCTAGTGTCACGTCGTTCTCGCGGATGACAAGGACGTTCTCTGCAATCTTACTCCAGGTCTCATTCTGTTCATGACCGAATTGCTTGCGGAATGTATTGGCATAGCCCAGTGTCTCCGAGATGAGAGGCATGGTGAAGCCACCGGCGTCAATGTGATTGGCATATTCATCCTTTGCGACCTGTTAGCATGCCATATAGTTCAAGATCAAAGAGGCTCAACGTACCGGATCAGTCATGTTGGTCAACGTCCACGAGGATCCATTGCGCTCAACAAGGTTCGAGTACAGGGTCGCGATGGAGTCATAGATGGGGAAATGTTGCTCGCGGAAGACCTTGGTATCGCCGCTTGTAATCCACTGATACATCAGCGAAAGCCCGATATCACCATTCAAGTGATACTGGTAGTCCCAACAAGGACCGGTACCGGTACAGTTGCCGAACCGGCCACTTGTCCACGGATAGATAGCCGCCGACGGCGAGAAGGAGGTTTGGTTCTTCGAGCCCGTGAAAGCAGTGTTGACATTCTCGAGTGCCTGTTGATACTGCACGACTCGGAAATTGGTTATCCGCTGCGCAGCCTCAGGATGAGAGGCCACCAGACCCGGTTGCATCCAGACGTCGGCATCCCAGAAGACCTGGCCCGCATACGAGTCCGAAGTCAATCCGCCCACAGAGATACTGTCGACATTGACCGGAGCATCGGAGACCGCTGTGGTAGCATTTTTGCCGACGGTGTTCTGCAGAAGGTAGTACGTGTTGGCGACGGCGATAACCTGCGAATTGACTATGTGCTCGTCGTCTGGAAGTTTTCCAGTCACTGGATCAACAAAGCTATCCACCGAGCCATCGAGGAGGATATCTGCCCATTCAGCGACATGTGACTGCAGCGATTCCATGTAACCAGCCCCCAATGCTGCAGACACAGCCTGTTTGGCTGTCTTTTGTGGGTCGGGGAATGCATCAGAGGAAGCAGCACCGACAAACTTGGTGATGCGGACAGTTTCGTTAGCACGGAAGTTAACGCGGACAGCCTGCGCAACCGACGACTCGTTGGTGTGGATATACGGCTTGTCAGCGACAAGAGTGTGAGAGGCCAGATCCACGTTCTTGGAGGCAGTCAGGTTGGCGTAGACATAGGCCGTCACGTTCGCGATTCCCCAGGGCCGCACAGCCGAGAAGATAGCGCCATCGTCCTCACCCGACTCCACAAAATCCGTACGAACAGCCGAGTATCCATCGATGACATTGACGACCGTCGCTTGCGACTCCTGGGAGGGCGTAATCTCCATGTCGACCACGGCTTGATTGATATGCAGCTTGTTGGCAAACAGGCGGTATGTGATGTTGAACGAGCCCTTGTCATCCGTTGGAGTCCATGTGTAGGACCAAGACAACACGCCAGACTTAAAGTCATAAGCAGACTGGAAGCCAGAGATGGTCTCGTTGTCAACGGCAGCATCCAGGTAAGTATCATCCCCGAGATCGAGAACCAACCCGCTCCAGTGCGGAACCCCACTGATGACACTCTCGCCTCCATACTGGTTCAGCCAGGGGAAGTTCGAGCCATTAGTAGTGGGCTGAAAGTCGAAGAAGCCGGCAATGGTCGCAAAGCTCTGTCTTCTGGAAAACAGGGGCCAGCCGTTAATCACATCACCGGACACCGGGGTGTCCAGCTCAAAGAATGGGCCAACGCTGGCGACATTAATGCCCAGGTAGCCATTGGCCACCGAGCCACGGGACTGATAGTGTCCCTGGTCTAGTGTCGTCGTCGCAAGAACCCAGTTGTCATTGTCCCAGGTGACGCCGGGGAATCTCGTTTCGTAAATGTTCGATGAATTGGTGTCGGTCGGTGGTGTGTGGCCGTGGCCAGCATGTCTCTTCAAGCTTCTTGTAACACGAGCGTGATTATTAGTCTGAAAAGCGAGAGTGGCTGGAAGACATGCGAGAAGCGACGCCCACGTCGCCAAATTCTGTTGTCTGTGTTAGCTTTGCTTTCCGTGTCTTTCGTTAGCTATTTTGAAAGCGAAAGCGTGCACGCATACCGTGGAAAGCATCCTGCAATGCAAATGGCAGTCACAGCGTATAACAGAGTTCCAGAATGATTCGAAAGAGATCTTCCCGTGGGAAGGACGGAAGGATGGAAGGACGCTCTATCGAGGTTAAATACTTCCAGAAAGAGAGGAAAGGCTCCCGCCCGCCACCAAGATAGTCTAGAGGGAAGAGTATGGCTGTTTTTCTTCCCCAGTGCTTCCCCACATTCGTTTCCAGAACCAGCAGGACAAGATGTCGATCCTCACGTTTTGATGGATACCCCGGACGGAGCTGCCGTGTGCACGCTGACAGTCGACGTCAGTAGTAGGCAGAAGGGGTGCGTCGTAATTCCACCGCGGCTGCGCTAGGAAGGCTCGGATGACGCCGAGTTATGTTCTTCTGAATCATGCTCACAAGTCTGGTCAGGCTTGGCTGGGAGAGTTGTAGAGAGTGACTAGGGAGTAACTAGAGAGGAGCCTACTCTGGGACCAGTGAATTGCCTCATTTGGGTTCACTTTCACTATACGAATGTCTCACATGATCACATCTCTATCTACTTCACCTCACCCCAACAAGTAAACCACGGCACTCTACAAGGCCAACCCATGTCCGAGGATGCGAGGGCATGAGTATTTATTGCAGTGTCAATTTTTACTGTTTTTAAGTTTGACATAGAAAAAACAAGTGACAAAGAGTTGGATGTGTGGGATAGAAAGACTAACAGCAAGCACTGTAGGTATACTGTTGTACCATAATATAGGTAGAAGAGTATACCTAGATCGATACCTTACCTAGATAGAAATATCAAAACGACGTGTTATTTGTTGAAATTCCCTGTCCAAAAACCATTTCTACATAAATAGGTTTAGGTTGCCATATTCTTGATGCCACCATTGGGTACTACCTACGTACTTCTTCGAATCCTGTAATGATTTCTAACATAGATACACCAGCCATGGTATCTAATACCCACGCTAACAAGTCTTCGAATGACGTTGAAATCTGAATTGACTTGATCTCCTTTTTTTTTATTTATTTCCAAAGCCCAAGTAGTCAGGACTTGTCCAGCTCGTTCAGTTAACATGCATAAGAATTGGGGTTTGCGGGGGGAGCGGCAAGCCACAGCATACTCCCCGTTCCTTGGGTCGAGCAACTTGACTGGGTACTCGGACTGGAGGGATTGCAGATGATTAGTGAGAACTGGTAAGCCGCAGTTTTCCAGCCAGGTCACTCGTCAATGGCTTTTCTTGTCGCAGATGCTTCCATTGGATGGTCGTAACCGAAAGAAGCCGCTTGCATCATTCCCCCGTGGAAGCCGAAGAGAGTTTCGGACTAACACGCCTCAGCCAAACCATCATATCCATACCAGACCACCCGATACTACGTATGTACAGCAAGACGAGTGAATATGGATATGCATATGAGATAGTACTTAAATTAGTACATAGTATAGTATAGACAGAGAAGAAGAACAGCAACTCGTTAACCACCAAGCAAAGATCCAGGTCCAGGTCAAATTTCAACTGGCCCGCTCAAACTCCATAAGCCCAAGTTCGTGTCAACCTCTCAATGATCCACTGCAAACCGGTCCACGAACTTGAAGGTGCTCAGTCCGTCCTTGATGTGCTCCACAAACCCATCGTCTGCCGACTGGGCCACAACCACACCGTCCCGAGACGTGGTGATTCCGGCGTTGCGGAGAGCAGCTGTGCCGCTCCCCAGCGCTCCGACCGTCTTGCCAAAACGGAATCCATCGATGAGGATCTGCAGCGGTCGACCGGTGGGATACAGCGAGGTTGTACCCGCCGTTGTGTTGGCCGATCCTCCAGTGAAGGAGGATAGGCTGAAGAGAGTCTCCGCACCAGCGGCGATGATGATGGCGTCGAACTGGATGGCATCGGAGGTGGAATAAGTCTGGTCGACGCCGTCGGCCAGACGCTCTGCAACCACCACCACATCGACGCCAGCCTTGGAGAGACTGGCACGGAGGGCGGAAGCCGCATCGAGGGATGACGCGTGCTGAACCGAAGCGAAGAAACCGACCTTCAAGCCATCCAGCTTCTTCAACTTGCCACCGAAAGTACCGACATTGGCGGTCTTATTGTTATGGTAAAACTTCGGGTCGGGTTCGGGCTCGTTGACGCCAATCGCACGGGCAACACGTCGCGCAAGATCGTTGTCGACGCGATTGAGCTGAATCACAACGTTGTTCTTCACGATCGGCGACTTGACGTTCGCGTTCTCGAAGCGAATTGCATCGATGATAAACTGCTGCTCGGCGGGGATAAGCGAGTTGTAGAAGAGACGAGGCTGCGACCAGACATCTTCGAAGGTTGGGCTGACTGCGCGGATAAGCTTGCCGCTGACTTTGCGCTCGGGCGCTGTGAAAAAGCCCTTGCCGACCGTCTGGTTGGCCTGTTTGGGAGACTCGTTGGTAGGAGTCTTGGGCGAGTAGGCGTGGGGGTTCAGAGGAATGAACATTTGACCTGCAACGAAGGAGCAACATTAGCGACACGACGGACTCTTGGCGGTGGAGGAGGAGATGAAACTCACCAGCACCATCTCGGTTGTTGTTGTGGACGGGAACACGAGGCTGGTTGATGGGAAGCTGTTCAAAGTTGGGGCCACCGTGACGGTTCAGCTGGGTGTCCAGGTAGGAAAAGATACGACCTTGGAGGAGGGGGTCCTCGGTGAAGTCCACGCCGCGAACAATGTGGCCGGGTTGGAACTATCAGTTGTCAGCCTCATCATTCATTCTTTTGGCCAGCGTTTGATCACATACCATGACTTGCTCAGTCTCAGCGAAATAGTTGCGAGGGTTACGGTTGAGCTGCATCTTGCCCAGCTTGGTGATGGGTACGAGTTCCTCCGGCACAATCTTGGTTGGGTCGAGCAGATCAAATCCAAACCGCAGTTGATCCTCCTCGTCCATGATTTGCACACCAAGCTATCAGTCATGTTAGTCTCTCGATCGTTAACTTTTCTCTCACCGTTTAACCGAGGAAAGAACTTACCTCCCATTCGGGATAGCGACCAGCTTCAATGGCTTCAAACAAATCCTGACGCATGTAGTCGGGGTTCTTGCCTGACGTTTGCTGGGCTTCTTCCCAGACCATGCTGGCTCTTCCTTGCAGTGAAGTCCAGTGGAACTTGACCAGCTTGGTGGCACCATCGTCGGTCACAAACCGGAAGGTATGCACACCGAAGCCGTCGACGTGTCGGAACGAACGAGGGATTCCATGACCGGACATGGCCCAGAACAGCGTGTGCAGCGCGCTGGGTTGCTGGCTGAAGAAATCCCAGGCCGAGTCATGAGCGGTAGCAGCCTGGGGGATTTCATTGTCGCCTCGAGGCTTGACGGCGTGAATCAGATCGGGAAAGAGAATGGCGTCCTGGATGAAAAACACAGGAATGTTATTTCCAACAATATCTATGAACACTCAGTCAGTATTTTGTTTCCTTTTTGCTTATGCGAACGCATGGCGAGCGTACCAAAGTTGCCCTCATCGGTATAGAAACGAGTCGCAAAGCCGTGGACATCACGAGACAGGTCCGAACTACCCCTGCTTCCAGCAACGGTGGAGAAGCGAACGAAGACAGGAGTCTCCTTTCCTTCCTTGCCCAGGAAGGAGGCCGCCGTGATGTTGGAGAAGTCACCGTACGAGGTGAAGACTCCGTGGGCACCAGTGCCACGGGCATGAACCGCACGCTCAGGAACCTGCATTCAAGTCAATCCATTGCGGGTTCGAGAAACAAGGTTAACTATCTGTCCGACACGTACCCGCTCATGATCGAAACGTTGGATCTTTTGACGGAAGATAAAATCCTCCAGCAGCGTGGGACCCCGATCCCCGGCAGTCAGACTGTTTTGGTCCTCAATTGGGCCGCCTACGTCAGTGGTCATGAAGGCATCAGTGTCGTTGAGATAGAACTGGGACAAGAATTCCTCGGTATCAGCCGCGGCATCTCCCTTGGATAATCCATCGCGACGGCTGAGCTCGCCGGTCATGTACGGGCACATTGCATTGGCAACGCCAATGAGGCCCGGAAGGTAGGTGAGACGCATTTTTGGTGGACCCTGAATGGACACGGGTACTATACCAAAGGGATTCTGGAACGGCTAATGCGAGAGGATTCCGGTTTGACAGAATGAAAAGGAGAAAAGATAGCTGTGTTTATATGGTCGAAATCGACAGGACAGCCCTTGTGTGGTCCAAATTCAACAGGGCAGGGGGGGGGGGGTTTGCGGATCACCACATGGGACAGCAATCACCACCAGCACGAAACACTAAGCAAGGAAGCAGACGAATTGATGAGCGATGATTTGATATTATGCAAGCAGCACGGTCTAGGCACTGGGGTGATCTATGTGATACAGTGATACACATTACACTGTGATAGGAAACGATGCATAAGTACGGGGATTGGCGATGATCCTTGGACTTTGACGGGTTGAAAGCGCATCCTGGAGTGTCGCACAATTTCACCCAAGATCCGATTTAGTCAATTGAGCACCAAAGAGGCAGCTCTTTTCATTGGAAGGACCGGATTGTCCGGTAGACGTGCTGCAGGAGATCCATTCTTGGCAGGAATGGTTTATCTCGCTTGGTGCAAATCCCTACCTAGTCTTCGAGGATTACTCGGTATCTAGATTAGTTAGTATGTATGTATGTATGTATGTATGTATCCATGAGGGTGTTTTTTTTTCTCTCTCCTCTGGGCAACTCGGGGTTGTGTTCTCCTTCCCTCATCAACTCCAGACTCCGATGAGTGATCACTCAAGGTCGAGGCCATAATGCTTGGTAATCCTGGGATCCTTTGACATCGGCCGAAGATGAAGCGACCAGGTCGACCATCTCCACTCGGTCCATGGTCTTCATTTGTTCTCATGTTGAGGCCTCCAGCTTGGCAGACTTCACACAAGGGAAATCCAGGGCGCCGATCGCTCAAACATGAACGAACATTCCGTGATTCTGTTTATGTATGGAGTACGGCCTACTGCGTAGACTTCTAGTCTACCCAATCTCCATCCCTTGAAGCTCAGACCGCTCTATGACGTTGTTGCGCCAGATGATTCCTTACTGATCTCTCTCTCTCTCTCTCTCTCTCTCTCTCTCTTTGCCAATTGTCTTTGATCAACCCCATTCCAATCTTATCGGGTTTTAATCTACCCAATTTCACAATACTACGCAAACTCGGGGTCTTTCTGACATGCCGCTTGCTGATTTTGAATAGAGATTATCGACCTAGGCTCGTTTCTCAACCTCTTTCCTCGATCAATCCCCCGTTGGACCGGATGACCAGGAACAGCATGCATATGCGGACAATTCCGTGCGTAGGTAAGGCGATCTCTATGGCGGTCTATTTATAACCATCGTCCTGATTACTGACCTGATCCATCGGAACAGCACGTATAGCCGACCGTATAATATCTCCAAGACTCCAAAGAAGTACGGAGTCCGGGAGTAGGTACGGAGTACAACAGGAGGCATTACTCCCTGCCAATCAGGACCACTCAGTTGGTGTCTGATTGATCTACGGAGTACTCAGGTAATACTAGTTATTCAACGACTACTACTAGGAAAGACTAAGAATGGTGTTAATGCACATGAACTGCATTGTCACAAATGACAAAGCTCAGTCTGCAGGGCAGATTGGTGGAGACTGGCCACTCTCTGGCTAGTGTTGGAGTCTAATGCTGCTTTCTGTAGCTCCCCAGCTGTAGAGGTGGTACAAAGTCCATAGCTTCACGAGCTAATTTCTTATGCAAGACCAGAAAAAAGGATCTACTACTATGTAAGTCCGGTACTTCTAGACCTCTAGTCTCTGATCGGAGTCACCTCAAGGCTGCCTGAATTTCCCCAGGGCCATTCGGAATTTTGGACGAGGTTTACGGAGTAATAATCTCACATTCCCATCCCTTGCTTACCACATTTGGACTGACCATCATGGTCATCCTAATATCCAGCAATTTTCCCATAACCGTCTACAAATTACATACATCGCATCGCATCTCACAAACCCAATTTCACGAATTGTTACTTATGTACCCTGAGCAGTCCGAATAACCCCAGTTTCCGTCAATTGCCAAGAATCCCGGCAGCGTGGCTAATGCACCGCCGTCTGGCCTCAGCCAGAGCTGTCATACTCGTATTTAAAAGACAAACCGCCAGTTAGTGGCGCCGATAGCCAAATCCAGAATCACTAGAAGCGACCGCCCTTAACTACCTTACCCAGCTCTACCTATCGATATGATATTGAACCAGAGCTATAGTAATTTGTACGACAGTCAGCCACAGGGCCAGCCATTGTCTGATTTAGGCGATACCCCCGACAACTAGACCGGGTGCACAAATCGCGCAAGCTCATGCCCCTCCAACCCAAAAACCAATATGTAGACTCCCTATCGTTCAAAATGGTCACCGGTCTTGGCTGGGCCCAGGATCAAGGGCTCCGTACCCCGTTCAGCAAGAGCAGAAGATATCGATCGTAAGCCTCAGGCGTAAGATGATAAGGCATGGACGGCATACCCCCTGTACCCCGAAGTTCAGGATTTTAATAGTGATTTGTGTGCATCTCGACGGCCCGACTTCGAGCGGGTTATCTCTACTCGCTCCTCCTTCCCAGTACTCTCCGTATTCTGTAAATACCGAATGTTTCCCCTCTATTGGATGGTTATTTGTTGGATTCCAGCGTGGCGATGTGATATGTCCCGTCTTGCCCCTGCAGAAGGATCTACAGGAATCACTATGATCAATGCTCCTATTTATACACATCACACTCGGCCAATTGCAAGCTCAAACTGATCGAAGCGATGGCTCATGATATGATGGCAATAGTGTCGCTAATATTGGGGATCAAATTGGGACCCGATAAGTTCTACATACCACTCCCGAGGATCTGGACTAGGGATGCCTTGTTACGATGGCTTCTGCGTTTCAAGGAGTGGTACGCAGCATTTCTTCCCCAGAACAGATTGTACAGAGAAAACGGATCAGGGTCTCCTGGGAAGTGCCATGTCATAGATTTTCGACATGCAAGGAAGAGGATGGACCCTGGTATTAGACTGCTTTCTATGTGGAGAGTATGATGTCCAAAGAGACTCTCCAAAAGCCCATACCCAAGGGGCCACGCTAATCAGGCCGTTTAGAAGTATGCACACAAATACCATTCTGTCCTGGAGAACAATATCTGTTCCGTCAGGCTAAGTCATCACCTGATCGAGTATCGGAGGCGTTATTGATCTCAGGGATACCCAAGCAATCACTGGGATCGACCTAATTGCCCCGAAACGCCACCGTAGAAAAGCATATGGATTGACTACATCCCAGCCCATGCGAAAGAGTATGAGGCTCCAGAGACATGTACCTGCTTCATGATAGAGCCCATTTTGACTGCTTTTCCGTGATCGCGCAGCCGAGGCCAACCGTCTTCACGCAACTGACGAGTTCCATCAGAATGGAGGCCTTGGCGGCAAAAGACAAAAACAAACGCTCTTCAACGGTCAATAACCTCCCTGGAATTTGAAGTCCATCCCAAAGACACTCCCCATGTCAAGACTGTGTAGCACACTTGCTGGGGGAGTAATCATATCTCACAAGCAGATTTCTGCGAGTACAAGCAGCTCGAATCCTGTGCATAACTTCCCTGTGTCTTCTGCTAAATGAGTCGGATCGCGATCGTTTGCCGAAACCGGGGACTCTACTATGCTATGACAGGGAAACGAGCTAGAAAGGTGTTTGGTTCAAGAAGCCAACCTGCATCATATATACGTCTCGCAGATTCTATACGAGACTAGTGGATGCATTCATCGACTTGTTTCACCCAAGGCATCGTTTCAAGCATCCTAGGGTAATATATCAAGAAATCATAGCCAAGGGGAACTACTCACCCAATGATTCGAGTCGATATTCAGCCAGGGGATCAAACCAAACCATTCACCGAGCACATTGCTAGCGCCCACGGCCAAGCCATCAGGAAACTGGGGGTTTTCAGGTGATAACATGACCCTGGGTGGAAAGTAAGTCATTCTCGGGCCACTAACAGGCAGATGGGATGGACTCACTGCAAATAATGCAGCATGGGTATGATTTGGCACAGACTGGACTTCGCTTTTGGAGTGCCTGGAACCGTGTAATTGTAGCATTGAACACTGCTCGGTACGAGGATGCATCCAGATCAGACAATTTAAGCAAACAGGATGCCAGCGCCGCGACCCCGTCAAACGCACAGAAGCCCGTCGTGTGGTGCACATACCAGCGATAATGTCGCGTGCGCGGGAGCTCAACGAGGTGGCGGTGGATTTCGAGCAAGGCTGTCCCGGTGGAGGAGATGCATTTCAAGTTGCGACATGAGTCTAGGCGGCTCGGGGAAGTGAGGCCAGCAAATTACGCTGTGCAGAAGAAGGTACAGCTAGTGAGAGTACTGCTGCAAGGTGTACCAGTGGGCATAGCTGGATATTTCGAACACACTGGGTTGTCGTTCTATGAGGAAACTGGTGTCCCATTTCGCCTGTTTCTGGGCTATCAGGGAGTCGAACGACATGAGACGATCCTCGTCCTCCTTGGAGTCACTCGACAGATAGTCGCAGATGCGGCTGGAGAGTTTAAAAATATAAAGCTTCAACAAGATGACTGGCATCTGAGTTGGCTGATGAGAAGGTCCACAGATCATATCATCATGAGCATCGGAATTATTAGCGTCTGAGGGCGTTATTGGTTCCATTTCCAATAGAGCCATTACATTGCCATCGCGGAAAGAGACTTGCTTGAATCATGTGAAGCATTAAAATGGCTTCCCAGCAGTGGCATTGGTTCAATTTCAACAGAGTTCGCAAATTGACTTTTACTGCATGGCCTACTTTGTCGGCTGGGAGCGGCTTCTCCCACAAGAGGTAAAGACATCCTGGCCTGACTTAGCCCAACTCCGACATTCATCAAGCTGGTTACGCTGATGGATACCGAGCGTGCTGGATGTAAAATTCTGGAGCGTGGTCAAAATTGAATATCAAAATCACGCCGGGAGGCTCTGTAGCAGACTGGCAGTATTTACTCCAAACGACATGTGGCTCTCTCGTCCATGGTCTATCGCTCAATGGGGGTTCAATATACACTGACTATGCTGGGTGAGACAAGTGACCTGATGGCAGCCAGACCTTTTTTCGTTACGCCTATGGACCAGACATCAGGAGATTGAGTAAAGATTCTATCAGAAAAAGACAGATATTGCAGAGTGCTGAATTTCATCTGCCTCTCGAAATTCGATCGGGGTCCTGGTGTATCTGTGTGGATGTAGATACATTCAAGGATCATTTTTCTTTAGATCTGGTTAAATAATGGAGATATTTCCTATCATGCAATAAATACTACTAGAAAGAAGACAGCAGAATTACCGGATTAATCATGATATCGACGTGGGTAAGTCTGTTAGAGTTACATGTCTAGTAGCAGGGCCGCCACAGAAGCCTCCGGTTCTTATCTTGCTGAGAGCGCTGTGCCATACATATTCCTCATTACGATCATATTCAAGTTCGCAAAGCATGATAACGGAAGAGGGAAGTATTACATCAAGAGTTTGCTTGAAAATAATCTTGACGGAAGATATTCGCAGCAAGAATGGCTAGGAGTGCAAAACGTGCACCTTGACGGATAGGTCCTGCAAGGAACCAAAGGAGCTCGCTTGACCAAGTCTTTGGGATTTGAGAAGTGGGACAGGGAATGGCGAAAGTGCCGGAGAGATGTTTCCCCTGGGACGAAAAAGTATGGGCCTATGGAGATTGGCGAGATGGGATTGAATTGATTGGCAGTGCAAGGTGCAGCTGAAAAGGATCAACTGAGACAGAGTCACAGAGGCCATGATCAGTGAGAGCGATAGAGTTTAGTTGGTTGACTATCGATCTGGTGGCTTCATCTAGGTTTTCCACCGGAGCAGCCCGTCTTAGATTAGTGTCTGGAGATCGGCACTTGGACTGTCTAAAGAAGCAAAGATCGGAATTGTCGGTTCGTCTTGGCGTTGATAGCGCATCTTGCATCCCGTGGCTTTGGAGGCCATCTCGTATCCAATTGTCCTGAAATTCCCGATTTGGAAGTCAAAGGAGCGATGGGGCAGACGGCGCTGCTCGGTCTATGACAATAACTATGCTTCCATGGCTTAGGGAAAACTCTTCCGCCGTGGCGTTTGCGAGTATGCTATAAAGTGCTTTCAAGCCCAATTTCAACATTAGTGAGTCTTTTCGTCAGTCATCCCCCCGTCCATCATGTTCAAATCCGCACTTTCTCTGGTGTTTCTAGCGGCGTCGTCCCTCGCTGTTGACCCTGCTGCGGTCTACAGCGGCGGATACTCCGGAGGCAGCGTCCAGCTTCGCATTGGCAATGGAGGGGCCGGCCAGAGTGGCTTGATCAAGGGTAACATTGTGCATCTACACCCAATTTCGATACCGAACTAACCCAACCAGCCTTGGCCGATGCCTTCATCCAGTCCAGCGTCAAGAACGGCTCGTCCCCTTTCAAGGTCGCCTGGTACAAGAGCGACACCACCGAATCCATCAACTACCTCAAGGACGACACCATCGATGTCGGCATCACCTACACCCCCGCCGCGGAGGATATCGCCATCAAGCAGGGCGTCGCCAAGCAGCCAGCCTGGTATGCGTGGCGCGACCACTTCATGCTCGTCGGGCCGCGTTCCAACCCAGCCCAGCTCAACAAGGCCGACGACATCAAGACCATGTTCTCCAACATCTACGCCATTGCATCCGCGGGCGATGCGGCCAACGTGACGACCCCCGTGCGCTTCCTGACACGCTACGATAAGTCCGCGACCAACATCAAGGATTCCCAGCTGTGGATCGAGATCGGCCAGGTATGTCCATGCGTTGAGATGGTTGTTGGGGGTGGGGGGATTGCATGGCTAACTGACGATGGATAGGTCCCGTGGGCAACAAAATATTCCACCTGGTACCACCAGTACATCGCGTATCCAATCCAGGCGCTCACTGCGGCAATCTTGCTGGAGGAATACACCATCACGGACCGCGGAACCTATCTCTCCATCGACCAGGAGCTTGCCAACAAGACGGTCATCTATAAGGCGGCCACGGACGATGCGGCGGATCCTCTGCTCAACCCTGCGCACATGCTGGTTGGGAAGAAGGCCAGCAATATGAAAAAGGCCGATGCGTTTGCGCAATGGGTGATCAGTTCGGAGGGTCAGGATGTCATCACGGGCTTCAAGAAGAATGGGCAGCAACTGTACACGGCGGCGCCTGCTAACAAGACTGCGCCGTTCTGAAGTCGTGAGGACTAAGTTTGGGTCGAAGATATGCCACTGAAAGATGAAATGTTCACTTCTTCTATAGATAATTTCTAATGATGATAGATTTATTCGAGAGTACGCGCATCAGAACTATCATACGTCATTGACTACACTGATAGGAGGGTACAAAAACAGAGTCACTGTGAAGTCATTTGCTAGATGAGAGTCACCGAAACCTTCAGCACCCACGTCATGAGATCTCCCATCCGCATCGACCGCCAGGATGAGCTCCTACAGTCTTCCTCCCGAAACCAAATGCTACCAGTACACAGGGACCACAGACTATACCAACACTCTCCGCGACGAACAAGCCCGCTTCAAGGATAACGCAACGAGAACCACAAGCCAGTACATTGTCTTCGACATCGACGAGCGGACCTACGCCCACGATATCTGCGAATCCAACACGAACCGTCTCAGCGAATTAGTAGTCTCCTATAGCCCATTCGAGAGACTCGCGCTGGTCAAGATCACCACCGCAGCTCAGCAACAAGCGCACATGGGGATCGCTTCGAAGATGATCCAGGCGCTGACCGGGATGGACAAAGCTAATCATTCCTTGCATATGATAGGGTCCGCGCAGATTCGAACACCCTCCCGTAGCAAAAGAGCAGACCAGGAGTTCCAGCCGCGGAAGCTCCCGCCGGGCCGTGAGAGGAAGTGGCCGACGCTGGTTGTGGAAGCTGGATATTCTAATTCGAAACCCAAGTTGGAGTCGGATGTGGCCTGGTGGTTTGAAGAGTCGGGCGGAGAAGTCAAGACTGCGTTAGTTATCGCGATTGATAGACCGCGGAGGATGATCATTATCGAGAAATGGGAATCGACAGACCAGACAAAGCCCCCGACTGTTCAACAGCAAGTGATAATATTGAGGAATGAGGTAGAGACTGCAAATATCACTAATGCACCTCTTGTCCTGTCCTATAAGAATCTGTTTCTTAAGCTGCCTGGCGAGTATGAGAGTAATATTGACTTCACGGAGAAAGATCTGCAAAATATAGCAGAGAAGATCTGGCAAGTGGAAGAAATTTGAAGGGTATATATCTTGATTCATAAGGATGTTGCTAGGCCCCTGCACCATGAAGCGTGATTTGATGCAGTCCTGGCACCGAATGACGCATCGGTTTGGCATTCTATCTCTTCCAACCCCCTAAAATATGTCCGGAGGTTGATCCATAGCAGAATGTAGCATTTCACTCGACCCGAGCAATGCAAAGGTCTCAAATCGAAGGCCCTTCGAGAGCTTGCTGGCTGCCATCCCCGGAGATGCCGCGGACCACGCCTGCAACAGAGCTCTCCAGTAACATGCGTCCGCCGCGGGTGTAAGATAGGGATCGCGAAACACCCTGATGCTGTTCTTGGCAATCCTCTGCGCTTTATCTGGATGATCGAGTAGGTCTTGCAACTTGCTTTGCAAGTCCGAGAAATCTCTTTCCACCTCGACGTAATTTTGATGAGGCCCGGACGACGCGAGGAGGTAGTGGTGATGCTGGATATACTGCAGCTTATGGATCACTACAACGGATTGACAGGCCTGCCGGTACTTGAGAGACGCGGAATAGGAGCGACCTGGCGAGCATTAGCATCATGCTTCCTGATTCCACCTTGAATGTTGTCTGACTTTACTTAACTTCGACATGCGCGATGAACCGGTACTTGCAGTGATCTCTATACTCAGGAAATTGGCCTTGTTCTTCCACTCTAGCTCGTTAACGTCCCCCCAGGGCTGAGCACGGGCTGCTTCAAGAAGCGTGCGACGCAGCTTCGGGGCAAAGCTAAGCTTTCCACGCCATACTAGCTTATCGATCTTTTCGTTCCAAGGTATCTCGTTCTGTCGAATATGATCGACGATCCCGTCAAAGGGGCCGATCATATTATCCACATTGCCGTTGTTCCATGACCAGAAGCCGAAGTCCGGCATCAGCCAGACATATTTCTCAGTAGCTTTCCGAGTCAGCACCCACAGTGGATGTCCCAAACCGGCAACGCCCTCGAGCTTATCCTCCACCGAGAAGATGAATTCGGTGTCCGGGATCGCAGCGGGGTCTGGAGCCGATATGAGTGCTCGATGAATGGAACTGAGGATTCCTAGAATCTTGCGTCGATGATCCTCGCCTTTACAAAGGGTTTTGATGATGTATAACTGGCCGCGTCGGATAGCTACCCGAGCCATGGAGTCAACCATGGCTATACCGTCTAGGTGAGACTTGTGTATCCCTCCCCGGGCCATCCAGTACTCCTGTGCACGATGGGGATCCTGGAACAGCCCAGGAAAGAAGGCTTCGCACTGTGTTTTGTTCAGAGCATGGTTCTCGGCATGGAGGCTGCTATCGTAAACTGATACCGGAATGGAAGAGGACACAAGTGATACTGGAGTCGAACATTGCAGGCAGCTGTCGCAATGGAAGACGGTGGATGTTTGGCAGGCGCAATGCCCGGCTAGAATGAGTTGACTGAGCAAAGGATGGATGTTATCCTTGTCAGAATTGACGCCAAGCCATATCGTCCAGACCACTGGGGCACATACGGCTGTAGAAGTGATGAGTGTTATTTGGCTTGTAGGAAGTCTTGGGATACAGGCCATCTCTTAACCAGGTACTTGGACGGTCAAGGAAACTTTCACAGCAACGAGGAGTAGGAGGGATTGCGCACGCCAGTGGAGAGAACGTAGTCATGGTTCCTCCAGCTACTGTGTGGGAAAGGGGAATGAAGATTCAGACGCCTAAAATCACCACCATAGACATCGATTGCTAGACTAAGTGACTGACAGGGACTAACGAGGGAGACTAAAGATCCAATCCTCTCTGCCTGGCGAGTAACATTTCAGACTAGAGAATGAGAGCCATCTAACTGTTGGGATCTTTTTACCAGGCAAATCTGTTACTACGAGCCCTGAGGACAGCAGCACACTTCTCCGAGTCGTGGGCTTTCCATAATTCAATCTGCAAGTTGCACATGAAAAGAGACACATGTATCAATGCTTAGACGGGCTTCTTGCTTCTTGACTACTACTCACTATCTAGATGGTGATTTCTCTCAGACTCAGTTTCTCCCTGCTTGGATAGATTGTCCAATGCACAAGGCTTCGTTGGTAGCCTAAGCCTATGGCGCTACTGTGCTTGTAAGCTAGAAGGGCGCCGGGGGCTTGGCACATGTAGATCTTTTTAATCTTGTTTGCGCCTCTTGTGACCTATCATGGGTAGGATAGCTAGCTATCTGGCTAGAGTAATGGGAGATGATATAAAAAATAAGACAATTGGCCCGGCTCTAGCCAGAGATGTCCACCTTTGTTTCAGGCTACGCCAACAGGTTCTTCGCCTGGATCCCTAGCGAGCCGCATATATACTAGCTATCTAATATGGACGCACTACTATACGTAGTATACATCTCCGTCGGCCTACACTTACAGAGGTTTGCATTAGTAGTCTGTTAGCCCTTCGTCTAGTAGTAGTCACGTCGGTTACGATGGAAGTCCAACAAGACCCACTGATCGGTCTACGGAGTCAGGGATCGAGATTTGTGGTCAAGCGGGTCATATTAATCCTCTTGCCAAAGCGGCCAGGCGGATAGATTAAGCACTTCCTCTTTTCCCCCTTAGCCTTGGGGGCTTAGAGCTGCGGTTGGAGCCGCAGACAATTCAACCTCTTATATAAAAAATTGCCTTATCTACCAGTACGGGCGGCTTACGAGGGTGGAATGCTATTATTATGATCTTTCAATGTGATCAAGTTTCATCCTAACTTTGAACAGACTACTGGGTCAGCAATGACTCGCATAGTCACACTCGGAAAGGTGAAGTCAACTCATAGATAGCATGCCGTCCGAAGGCACATGAATCGGAGCGTCCAAGTCACCCAAGTCGGAGCCGGCACTGATATTCTACTCATGTACAGGTACTCTGTTAGATCTATTAATTCTTCTAACACCACGAGAAGAGGAAACGAATCAGCACACTGATTCTTAATCTCTGAAGCTTACCAGACTTTGTGCTCTGGACTGGGAGATATTCTGTGGCTGAGACTTGACACTCCGTTGTCATAAGAGAAACTTATGGGATGGATGAGCTAAAATTCAGGCCAGCAAGAGGCAGCAGTTTGAATATCGAAATGTACGGCATGATGGATTCGTGCAGTGAACATGTTGCTCCAAGTTCGTCAAAGAGCGTCGGAAGAGCCGTGACACCAGCAGTCGTCTTGAAGAACAGAGATAGTAACTGCAGATTGTTAGTATCATGTTGATGGCTGATTATTACCTACTCTACAGATACTATCGAAGACTAGAGGAATAATAAAATCACAAAAGCATGAATCCGTCATTAGTCCGAAGTCGACCAATGCTCTGTGCAGGGAGAATGTTGCCACCTTAGTTCCTAGCACGGCTACTATCTTCAAGGTAGGCCCAAGGTACATACACTGACCATCCAACGGGTCATAGCAGTGACAGATGTTTCGACGAATAGCGAGTAATTTAAATGCGGGGAGGGAAAGACAAACACCGAATCAACCCAGAAAGAGTGATTCTGGATGGACAATGACGTCCACACTCACCGTTCCTCCATAAATACAGCCCACCTGTACCTGTTCGCATCATAGGAATCAAAAACATCCTACATCCGTCACTCATGCAATATACATCGACTCAAATTTCTTGACAGTTGATACAATTGACAGAACATGTCTGAATACAGCAAACAAAACGATAACCCGCCACCTTCAGGTCGGCGTCGGTCGTCGGTGCTGCCACCAAGCCTGCAGCTCCTTGTAGACCAGGACTCGCAGCTGGATGGAGATGAGCCTGCCGAGTGGGGGAAGATATGGAGTCAAACGTATGCCAGATCGATAGAGTGGCAGTTGCAGGAATGGGGTTCTATCTAACCGTTACCAGTCACAACGCAGTCTCATCGGAGCATTCCACTGACCCTACCCGGTATACTGGGGATAAGCTTCGGAGAGGGTCTTGAATCGGTTGAAATTGAGATACTCCTATTTATAAGCCTCAACGGATGGTTGCTCTGGATGTTCTTGGCCATGCACTTTATGTCATCATGTTGTCGATTAGGATGATACGAAAGAGACTGAGCATATGAACAAATTGGAGTTAATATCTTGTCTTTGCAGGAACTTGAGAATCTATTATTTTTGTACTAACATATCCTTGCTAGTGGTACAATAAACCCTTGTAGCAGCCAGACTGTCTTGAACAATGTATGTCTCAAGGGTTGTTACAGGCTTGTTCATCTCATCCTTGGCAGGCTGGTGCCCATCGTGAAACTCATATTTTTCTGCGTAGATTCTTAGGATGTTGTTGTTGCAGGTAAAAAGGAGAAACCTCACTTCTCCTCGTTGTTTTTAACGGAAGGTGAAATATCCAGAATGAACTCAAAAGACTGCCGAATTCCTCGATCCCTTGAACACATTTTCATCAAGACCGAGTCAGAAGCAAAGAATACAGAGAGAGAAACGCTTGTCTCATATGATCATAAATTAGCTATTTGAATAAGAATAAGAAAGAGCCATGTTTCTGGGAAGATTAGCAAGAGTCAAGACAGGAATAAGGACCCACATCTTAGACCATAGTATATCCTTTGTCGAGTAGATGGTCCGCAGAGATACTCATGCACCAGTCAAGAAAAGGTCCCGACTGGGGAGCATATCGGAAGAACCCTAGCACATTTTGATTGTCATCCCAGATTGCCGAGCCGTGAACGCCATCAACCATAGCTGCGTAAGATCCCTGGCCCATATAGTCCCACTGGCATCTTATCCAGCTTTGCTTTGGCTCAAGCGGGTCATCGCTTGGGATTCGGAGCAGAGAGTGGGCCCCCCGGGTCCCTTCCATGAAGCCCGAAAATGGACTATCCATGAAGATGTTGCCACCAATTCTTGTTGCCGCCGCACGAAGAAAGCCTTCCAGTCTGGAGGGAGGCGCGGGAATTATAGTATTTTCAAAAGGTTCGTTGATAAAATGCACGCCTTGGCCCAACTGCACCAAAGCCACATCTGTATGAGAAATTTGGACAATGACCTCACCAATCGCTCTGCCGGAAGATTGGGGGTGGAAGACTTTCCCTTCGAATGGGCCGGGAAAGCCATGTGCTGCGACTGTCATGTACTGGGACCCAAGATGATCACTGATCAAGATACCAGATGATGTCAAAATCTCCCACCCCTCCTGGGGGTGCGTACCCGAGCTGACTACCACACCAGGCCGGATTGTCTCATATTCTGAGTCGTCAATCTGACTGGCGAAGCATTGCCGCAGTGGTGCCGTAGAAAACGACTTTGGTCGAGCCATATCGGACTCAAAAAGGTAAAAACAGTTACACTGGCCTATTGAACGTGGAACTGCAGCCAAATCCTTTTCTTTGTTGGATTCATTCTCTAGCACGATCACGATGACACGACCCCAGAACTGAATCTCGGTGATAGATATCTGGGACTTTGCAAAGAATTCACGGACCAACTCGAAAACAAGGTCGACGGCGCCCTCATTACCTCTCAAGTCAAGATCGTTAGAAAGTGCAATTCTCGAGCGGCTTCGCTGACGCATGGGGATCATGGGCCCTTGATCATCTGGATCGGCGGTGAGATAACACGGCACGCCCGCAACCTTTTTGGGCCACGGTTTTGCCGGAAGCTCATTAAAATGATATACAAGGACTCGGTCATCAAAGTCAACTCTCTTTGTCCCAGGAAAAACGTCAAATAGAAGCTTGGAATTTTTCTGCTCAAAGAATTTCGCGGGAGCGTCACGAAGGTTGAATGGCAATATGACTTGTCGGGAACTTGGCAGAGTGCTGTGATGCGCTGATGTGGGTTCGGCCTGTGGGTGACCATGCAATTGACTTCGAAAAGGGTATCGAGCTTCTATATTTCTGTTATTATTTGTTATGTTTCGATGATTCCATGCCCATGGAATCGCTTACCTATAATCTCTGCGCAGCCCGCAGGAAAGAGATTCGCTGCCAGACTTGGGGAGAAATCTAGGGGCTGAGGCTGAGTAGACTCGATGGAAAGATATGGAGAGATGATGACAAGTTTCTTCGAAGCTGAAGATTCGGGTGATGGGACGATTTTCCTTTTCTTGTTGGGAGAAGTGTTCTGGTCAGATATTCGTCGGGGCGAGATGAGAATCACCTCGTCTGAGAGTGATGTATCCATTTGAAGCAGAATTCGAGAGTGGCGATTCTAAATATAAAGATCCACAAGATAATTGGCGATGTTTGAAGTTCTGCTGTTGATGATATGTTGATAGAAAAAGCCTCAAAATATCTTGGATACTAACATCAGGCAGATTGGGTGATATCACATGGCTTGCAGCCTAGATGCAGGAACGACTGACGCAAAAGTGACCACTCGAAGTGCAGGTACTGGTACTGCTGTCTACCTGCCTAATAATACTGCCAATTCCTCTATACTTCGGCACCAGGAGATGATGACTCAGTGCGAGACACGTCTGTCAAACTACCATATATCACTCCCAGTTAGGAAGTGATGTCTAGGCACCTTTTTAGCTGAGTATTGGGTATGCATCAACTCCACATCACCTTCAGCCCAAACCAGTTGCCTCTCCTTGCCTCTGCTGCATTACTCTGAGAGAAAGCACAGTAGGCCTATCCAGGGGTCAGTGATCTTTCAATTCTCAGGGATTTTGGTAAGTAGCTCTACCTGATTCTGGCTTCGCATCTATTATTAATTTGAAGTACCTGGAGTCGTGCTTTGGAAGTTTTGCTCATCCTAGCAGCTGCAGAGTTCTTTGGTGTTTCTTCTGCCCTAGAATTCAGTGAAATATATCACAGCGAGAGATTGCTCCTTCGAGAACGCAGCGGCCCCCAGAGGCCCAGTTTCAAGACGAAATGTACCGCTGCTTCTTTGAAGTAGTGGGATATGGGATAGGCATCTCTTCTGAGTGGTCCCGTGCAGGCAATGGTCGGATAGACTTTCGGATTGTTGAGCCCTGCTGGGATCTCGAGCTTCTGCGAGAGGAAGATCACCTAAGCGGTCACTGTGCTAGATTCTGACCTCCAGGCGCATATTTTCACTAAATAGAGCAGAACTATCCACGAAAGTATTGTATGATTCTCTCGAATTCTCTCCCATAGCACGGCAGCTGACAGGTTATCCACAGCTATTCCCAACACCAAACTCTGGCGGATCGTGTTCAGGGACAAGTACTCCTCGGCATATGTTGTTGACGCACCAAATGGGATTATTGTTCCCGAATTCCCGCTTTCGTAGTGCGCCAGTTCGGGGAGATCAGTCTCATGTTGGTATGTTGGTGTCATGGCTGGTGTTGGTCTCTGGGGTCAATTTCTAGTTTCTTATCGTCTCTCCATTATATTATAAAACACGAAATTCGGGTGCTTACCATCTCAAAACTACCTGCAACCCGGATGCAATCACACGACCCTTGTTTACACCTGCCATGTAAGTTTCCCTATAAACCCCCCCGGGCAATGATCATGTGACCGTTATTTATATGTAGTCGCTGAGCCCATAGCCTTTCTACAGCTGTGCCCCCCCTACTATAATACCTCTAAAGGCATAGTCTATGCTTTAGAGACCTTTTATCTTGATTATTATTATAATACTCAGCTACCAAGGTCGACCAGCAACCTAGCTAGGGAGCCAGTGCTCTAGGGAGTGAGCAGACTTGGGAGCCAACCGTCTACAGGGCAAGCAGCCTAGCTAGGGAGCTCTTGTGCTGAGATCAGCGTTGGGTGAAAGATGGCCATATTGCCAAAGCTCGCTCCACAGTCTAATGCCGCAAAACTTTTTCCCGCCTCGCGGGATGCAGTCGTCATGCCCCTGATTGGGATACCTGTGTTTGCGGCGGATGGGCTCGGCGGGATTGAGTATAACTCATGTTCATTCCTCAGAATTATGTGGATGAAGCACTATACTGGATCCATTTCGAGCAGCTACTGCGCTGGTTCATATCTTGATGGTCAATATAAGCCACCTTTTAACTACTTCTAGCACATACGACCACAGGGTGTGGAGAACAGGGCTTCCCGTCCGCTCAGCCGTACTTAGGCCACACGCCGGCCGGTTAGTAGTTGGGTGGGTGACCACCAGCGAATCCCGGCTGTTGTATGTTTTTGATTCTTTTATGTCTATTTATTTCTTTTTGATGGATGATGGAGATAGTGAGTCCTCTTGGAGGTCAACCTTCATCAAGCGGGTGAAACAGAATAGGTCTCTGTGTGATGGTAGTTGACTGGTGGCATGCGTTCGACTACTCACTTTTTGCTTGTAGGGCGGACTAACATCGGATACCTAGTACGACAGCTGTGCACAGCCTCAGGACAAGATTTGAGAAAGGAGAATTTCAAATCCTAGACATCGTAGTAAAATTTCATTCATTTATAAGGGTATGGGTAATATAGGATCCTCAATATTAGGGGTCTTGAGAGACAAGAAGTTGATTGGAGAAGGGCCTCTTCGAGCTTGATACTATGGGAGAGTTTGATCAGGATCAGGAGTGGAGGCTCAGCTCCAGAGATGGACTATTGTTTTATCCACTGACCTCAGCGGCTCTTAGGTTTATGCACGAGCGGATGCTGACATTAAGGGAATACTAAAAATAGAGATTGTATAGTTCTAGGTGCATGGCTGATGCAGACTGACTTTAGATTCCAAGATAGTGCATGTTATGTGTGCATAAATACTATGTTGTGATAGGCAGGGAACAATCTTCCAGCATGACAAATTCTGTTTCACATGGATCCAGGAGAAACGACATCATCAGAATAAGCTTATCGAACGTTCTCGCGTCTAGACCGTTGATATTATTACACATAACAGTCCATATGTCAGCATAGGAAATCAGTGGACGTTGAACCTCGGTATGGCTATACCGATCTCATATAAAGAGATCACCGCACAATAGACACACACACCAACAAACCAAATCAACAGCGGAAAACCAACCACATACACTAGAATGACATCCAAACTCTTTCCCGGAGAGCCAAACAAGGCCATGGTGATCCGGAAGGTCACTCCAGAGATCACCACCTTCAGCGTCCCGTTCTCACGATTCGGACTCTTTAAGTTTGGAGGTAGAGGAACATTAGGTGAGCATACCAATCTCGACCTACTTCAATGTACTAACATCTCTTATCTAGTGAAATTGAGCACGGGATCCCTCGCGATCATTTCCCCGGTGGCGTTGACCCCCGAAGTGCAAGATATAGTAGCCACAGAAGGTGGAAAAGTGAAGTATATCGTGGCGCCCGATATCGAGCATCATCTCCACGTCTCAAGCTGGAGGAACGCCTTCCCCGACGCCAGAATCATTGCGCCAGAGGGTCTGTACGAGAAACGCCAGAAGTCTTCCGATTACACCGACAGTCCTTTCGAGCATGTTTTGACGAGAGCGAAAAAGCATACCGACAGAATCTCGGAGGAGTTCCACGCCGATTTCGAAGTCGAGTACATGGACGGCCACGGCAACCGTGAAATCGTGCTGTTGCATAAACCAACTGGGACATTAATCGAAGCCGATTTGCTCTTCAACATGCCAGCGACTGAACAGTACTCGCGCTCAGAAGAGTCGGCTACTGCTGGGGTTCTGAATAAATTGTTTATGCCGTTGCTCACAGCCACGGCGAATCCCCCAACATGGCATCGCCGATTAGCGTGGTATGCTTTCTCAAAACCGGACCGGGACTCTTTCACGGAGTCGATCAGGCGTATCTACATTTGGAATTTTGATCGAATCATCCCGTGTCATGGGGATGTGATAGAGAAAGGGGGCAAAGAGGTTTTCGCTCGAGTTTTCGACTGGTTTTTGACTGGTAAACAGAAGATCTGATTGCTTTCAGATATCAAATGTACTATAGCAGTTAATGAGCTAATAAGCATGTATTTTTTGTACATCTCTACCGTCTTTCTTCGCAAGGATACTTCGGGCTTTCGGGATATAGGTTGGGGTAGGGAAGGAGGCATTTTAGCGAGCATCTCGATTTCGAATAATCTTGAACTCCAAAAGAAGATATATCACCTGCTACAAAATATCCCAAGAGCCTGAAAGTTTCTTGGGTTCATGTGTAAGCATGTGAGTAGTGGTTTCCTTTGACTTCAAGTCCTCGGCAAATGCAGCCCTTACATGTATATCTTGAATCAACCTCCATCATTCGCAGCTCTAAGAATTCTCGCAGCTCTAAGAATTCTCTTAGCCACCACCCCTGCTCATACCACTCCGTATATAAAGTCCTGTCTTTTGTACTCTCGTAAGGTGACAGTCCCAGCCGCAGAACCCTGTCTCAAAAAGTGCAAACCGGGCTTCGATAACCGACCGATGCAGCACATCAGTTGGATACCGTAGGTGCTGTAGCTCGTGTGAGATGTCTTTTAATCATGCAGTCACTAGGTATAAATGGCTTGACAGCTGGATATAGTTCGTCAGCCTCGCGGATGAGGAGGCTGAGAATCAAGGCTCTGATTATCGGGTAAGCCTCCGTCACATCGGCATGCAACTCAAGTCGTGCGCTTATTCGGCCGATTCAGCCATTTTCAGCCATGACCTTGTTGTTCCTCATATTCGAAAACCTATTGAATAGAGCAAAGATAGCCGAGCAAAATAACCTAGGGGCTTATAGGATGGCATCTCCATGGGCATGAAGAGATCTCTTAATGCTGACTTGGCGCCGCTCTCCTGGATAGCCTCCTGAGGTTCATCACCCCCGATTCTCAATCCTCGATGTGACAGCTACACACGCGGAACATCGCCCAATATGGAATACGTGAAACAGCTCAACTGGTCCCTCCCAGATGCCGTTCCAGGAAGTCCATGAACTACAAGATCCTCCTCCGGCATACCAACCATCGGCCCCGCTGTACCAGGACTCGCCACAAGCTGGCCAGGAAAAGAAAGGATGGCGACTCTGGGACTGGTCCTGGGAGTTCGCAGCGTGTATTCTTGCGCTCTTAGCACTGGGTGCCATCATCGCGGTGCTGCAGATATATGATGGCAAAACACAACCCAACTGGCCGGCTGGAATCAATCTCAACGCCATCATTGCCTTGCTGACGACTCTGATGAAAGCCGCCATGGCCACATATATTGCAGAGGCTCTCTCCCAGCTCAAATGGTCCCGCTTCAGGGATGAAACAAAGCTGAGCGACTTTACAGCCCTCGATGCTGCCAGTCGTGGTGCCTGGGGCTTGGCACAGCTTCTTTTTGGAAGCGCACCTCGGTCAGTACAACTCCCGCTAGGTACCGTTGCAAGCTCACGGAGTCTCCAGACATCTTGCTTCCCTTGGAGCGTTTGTTCTCGTGTTCGCCGCAGCGATCGGAGCCTTCACCCAGCAGGTCATCGACATTAGATCTCGAGGCATTACACAGAGGGGCATAGCATCGATCAAGGTTTGCAACACAAGCACGTATCGCGATTGGGGCGAGGGTCAAGGACCTGGAATGAATCTAGTGCCCTTGGAGACAACCGGCGCCATTTATAATGGTATCATGCAGACCAAGCTCAGCGCTCAATCCTCCGTGACTTGTCCGACAGGCAACTGTACATTCTCGTCTTATCAGGGTTCTCCCGCACATGGAATTGGACCTATATGTTGGACACTGGTGGGCAGGGCCAATCTGTTAGATAAGGAGATGTCTGATTCTAAGAGTTCTATGGCCCCTTAGGGTCAATCTAAAAGGCGGGGTGGTTGGGCAGTAGCTTACCCCCATACTAATTTCGCGGCAGGGGTGCTCCCAGGCGACCCTATACGTCTGACACTATAAGATGTCCCCATCCGCAGCTCTTTAGTAGCTACAATAAAGGCTATAGTTCCAAGTTCCATCACCTAGCTACGCAAAACCCACCCAGCCGTCTTGTGCCCAACACCCATCGAGCACAACACGTCCACTCAACTCGACGCCGCCTCTATCGCCCGTGTCTCCCTACACGACCCCACCCACTTCAGCATCCAGCACTCCCAAACCTTTCACCGCCTGGTGCTCCTGCAGCACTGGAAAATTCCCACTGACTCCAAGGTGCTGGAACTAGGATGCGGGCAGGGGGACTGCACGACTGTCCTTGCCTATGCTGTGGGCGAGCAGGGGAGGGTGGTGGCGGTCGATCCGGCGGAGTTGGATTATGGTGAGTCCTCTCGCTTTACTTACCCTGCTGCCTGTCCTGGCGGTGCAAGCGGAAAGCAGCCGACTGATGGCTCCTGCAGGTGCACCGTATACTCTCGGCCAAGCACAGGATCACATCTCGCAAGGCCCGCTGGGTAGGCGGATTACTTGGGTCCAACAACCCCCCCTGGACTACCTCTCCTCCCTCCCCTCCCCCTCTTCCACCTCCTCGCCACCCGCCAGCGAAAGTAAGGCCTTCGACGCAACAGTGCTCGCCCACTGCCTATGGTACTTCGCCTCCCCCTCGCTCATCCTTTCCACCTTCCATGCCCTCAAGCAGCACAGTAAGCGTCTCCTCCTTGCTGAGTGGTCGTTAGTAGCGACGCACCCCTCTGCCCAGCCTCACGTATTAGCTGCGCTCACCCAGGCAGCGCTGGAGTGCCGTAAACCCAAGAGCAGCGTTTCGAACGTCCGCACGGTGCTGGGGCCAAAGCGGCTTACCGAGCTGGCCCTGGCTGCCGGGTGGCAGCTGGAGAGTGAGACCCGCGTGCAAGGTGGGGAGGGGTTGTTGGACGGACAATGGGAAGTCTCTGCTTGTCTTTCTTCCTCTTTTGAAAAAGGAAGTAGAGGAGCAAGTGAGTGATGAGAGGGAACGGGCGGTGGTTCTTGCATTACGGGATGCGTGTGAGGCGAGCTTGGAGGGTATACAGGGGGGTCGGAAAGGAGTTAGGGCCATGGATATTTGGGTTGCTAATTTTATCTGATTGGGCGAGCCCTCTTCTAAGCCCGATCTCTGACTCTGCTTTACACAATGAATCATCATTATAAGTCTACCGAGCTCACGATAGTATCCTTTGTTTTGATGAATGGGCCTATAGCTTTTTAGTGAAGATTACTTGGACCACTTTGTCATAGGATGTATTACTGATCTCCTGATTTATCTCTATTCTAGGAAACACGGCGGTGATTGCAAAATTTGGGCAGCAAGGTCCATAAGTTCCCCATCCTTGACTATTGACCCCTCCAACTACCGATCTTCTTGCGTCTGCAAATATGGAGCCCCAGATGTGTTACGACGACGTCGCGTGGGAGCAATCCGACGATGTCTCCGACAATTGGTTGCTTCAGTTTCTTGATATCGATGTCAAGAGACCGATTGCGAAATTTATCCTGAAGCATGATTCTGGCGACGATCCCGAGTTTACAATTCTTCGAAAAGGGTCCTTCAATATCACATTACAAATGAAGTACACATACAGCGCGACCAATATCCGCTTCTCACAGCCTGGCGCCATTCTTTTTCCTGAGGAGAAAGTTAAGAACGAAGTTGCTGTGATGCGATACATCTCGGACCAGACATCAATCCCGGTTCCTTTCATTCTTCACTCGGGTACAAGGGAGGAGAGCCCTCTCAACCTGAGCCCTTTCATCATGATGAGCCATATTGAACACACAACAACCATGTATGATGCACTCAACACCCCAGGATGTCCAAATGAAGAGCGGGGAGTCCTTGACCCAAACATCAATGAAGATCACCTTGAAATGCTATACACACAACTAGCAAAGATCCTGCTTCAGCTTTCCAGGCCAGAATTCCCCAAAATAGGGTCCCTCAGCCAGGTGGATGATTTTTCCTGGGAAGTGACTAGCCGGCCGTTATCAATGGATATGAATGAGCTTGTGCGTTTGGGGACACTACCTCGGTCAAAACTTCCACCTCTAGATGCCACTTTCAAGACAGCATCTTCATACATTGAAGCCCTGGCACAGCTCAACATCCAACATTTACTCCATCAAAGGAATGATGCGGTGCAGTCTGCAGATGACTGTCGTCGGAAGTTTGTGGCAAGACAGCTGTTTTACAAGCTTGCCAGGGACAAGAAACTGTCTCTGCCATGTTGTGAGAATGGTCCATTCAAATTCTGGTGTGATGATTTCCGGCCAGCCAATGTTCTTCTTAATGAGGATATGCATATTGCTGGCGTGGTAGATTGGGAGTTCACATATGCAGGACCAGTGGAGTTTTCATACGCGCCACCATGGTGGCTCCTTATCGAGAAGCCCGAGTGCTGGTCTGAAGGTATCGAGGACTGGACCCGAATATTCGATCGCCGCCTCAAGACGTTCCTCGCGGCAATGAGGCATTGTGAAGATATGGCCGTTCAGCACGGCCAGCCCCGGCTCTCGGATCAGATGCAACGGAGCTGGGAGAGCGGAGACTTCTGGGTGGCGTATGCAATTTTGCACAGCTTTGCGTTTGACGCGATCTACTGGCAGAAGATCGACCGGCGGTTTTTTGGGCCTACGGAGACCGACGATCCCAGCGAGGCATGGAAAGAGCGATTGGACCTGCTGGATGAAACCCAAAAGGCTGAGATGGAACGGCTGGTGGCGAGGAAGCTTGAGGAGATGGAAGACAGGGTGTTGGCGTGGGACCCGGATGAGTATACTGAAGCATTTCGGCAGGGGTTGATGAGAACGAGAGAAGAAAATGCAAAGGAGGACCCGGAAGCTCACCGGAAACTGGCCGCAGGGTCTCATGGATGTGGCTCGCGTTAAATACGGGGATGTATGTCCATCCTACCAGGCGAGCCCAACATACACGTATACGCACCGGACTAACATCACTAGACTGTCTTAATTTATTGTCTGATCTCGTCATCTATTCTATATTTCTTTCTCTTCTCAGCCGTAGTCTATCAAGGAGTTGTCGTAAGCTTTTAAGCCTGTTGGATGTCGGATGCCTGAGGTTGTGTTCCCTGCTGGCGACAGTCGGGAAACTAAACGGGTATAGCTCACTTTGACCTCCCCAGGATGAATATAACAACCCAATTGGAACCTTCAAACTCCACCGATCAAACCAACTTATCTCTTGTACAATCTCCAAATCCAGGAGGGACTTCCATACCCCAAATAATGTCCCTTCCCTTGCGATCCCTCGGCCGCGATGGCCCCCAAGTCCCTGCTATCGGTTTCGGTCTCGGCAGTCTTGGTGGATTCTACGGACCAGTTGGCACTCTCGATGAGAAAGTGGCCCTTTTAGAGCACGCACATGCATCTGGACTGCGTTTCTGGGATATGGCCGATGTATACGCTGACAGTGAAGACGTGGTCGGTGAGTGGATCAAACGATCTGGCAAGCGCGGTGACATTTTCCTGGCCACCAAGGGCGCGCTCCTGCGCCAGCCGACTGGGGGACATGCCTTCCGGAGTGATCCTGAGTATATCAAGGAAGCATGCGAAAAGAGCCTTCAGAGACTTGGCGTGGATACTATTGACCTTTACTACTGCCATCGGGTGGATGGGATGACCCCTATTGAGAAGACTATTGAAGCTATGGTGGAGCTGAAGAAGTAGGTCCTTTTTCCCCCTCCGGTGGTTCTACGAGCAACAGACCAGCTAAGTTCTCATCTACAGCCAAGGAAAGATTCGATATCTCGGCCTATCGGAAGTCTCCGTAGCGACGCTGCGTCGAGCGCATGCCGTTCACCCCATCGCCGCCCTGCAGATGGAATACAGCCTCTTCACACTGGATATCGAGTCATCGACCTCGGAGATCCTAAAGACTTGCCGCGAGCTGGGTATTATGGTGGTAGCCTACAGCCCTGTTGGACGCGGCGTTCTGGCGGGCCAGTTCCAGTCTCACGCGGACATCCCCGAGGGTGACCTGCGCCGCATGTTGCCCAAGTATTCGCTGGAGAATTTCCCGCAGATTCTGAAGTTGGTACAAGGGTTGAAAGACGTGGCTGCTATCCATGGCGGCACCCCAGCGCAAGTCGCTCTTGCGTGGCTGCTGGCGCAAGGCCCGGAAATCATTCCCATCCCGAGTACGAAGTCGACGGTCAAGATGGACGAGAACGCGGCTGCTGCGCTGCTGCATTTGAGCGACCAAGAGGTGCAGAAGATTCGGACCCTAGCGGAGCAAGCGGAGATCAAAGGTACTCGGTACCCGGCGCCGTAAGTGTTTTAACTTCTTTTTCGTTGGCACTGATAGTTGACTGGCTGCTTAGAGTGATGGCTTCTCTCTCGACTGATACTCCGCCACTGTAGCATCTGCGAGAAATAAATCGAGGAAGTTCCTGGTATACATCCCAGCTTATAATCAGCGGGTCATCATGAAGAGAAGCAATTTGTGTGCTCCACATAGATACTGCCATGTAAAAGAAAGAAATATGCAAATTAAAGAAATGCATACTGATCCCAGTATGCGTCCGTTCCTCTTCGTCCTTCATACGTAGATTTTGAAAAGCTTTATAGGTCAATGTTGGTGGGCTTGGCCAAGTCTCCCAAAGGAGCTACCGAAAGCAGTAAAAGCAGTAGAAAGAGCAGCGCAGTTTAAGCTCGAATATGTGTTTCGATATAGACACCGAACAGAAGACGGCTGGACACCGTCTTGGGGGTGTATTTTGCGTTTTATCTTTGACTCATGTCCACCGCTAGGGCAACGACCAGAGGTATATCTAGGATAACTTGTGGCCCTTGTGATTATCCTCGCTTGCTATACGCTCTATGCATTCAACCGAGCCTTCCTACTGGTCCTCGGCATATCTGCTGTCCGACTGGTTGAAGCATAACCCATATGTACCAGTGTAATGAATGCTTGGATTTCCTTAAAGTGGACTCTATCTGCGATGGGAAGTCTTTCTTGAGGAATAGTATAATAGTATAGCTCAAACTAAACACTGAAGAATAACACAGACGTGAGAGGTAAAGAGAAAAGAAGTCAATGAACGCAATAGCCAAGAATCAATAGTCAGAGCATCAAACATGGTGAGATCAGCAAAATATCGTTCAAGCTGTACTGGCGAATCCACCTTCTCCAATCACTTGACTACCACCACTTCAACAATTTTCTGATCAATCCCATGAAGAGAGGAATCAAATTTGCAGCTCTGACCTTTGCACTCCGGCCAAGGGCAGCAATGCCCGTAAATACAATACTCATTCTCACAGAAAGACCCTGACCAGCAGGCGCGCGTTCTCGCCAGCTGTTTCAAGGCAAGTAGCTCCAAGCCTGTCTTTCTGGGCCCGTGGGAATGCGAACAGAAATCTCCATAGTCGCAAGTTCCCAGGATATGGTACTCATTACAAAGCTTGCGGCCCTTTATCTGGTTAACCACCTGCTGAGGAACGCTGAGCTTTGGGTCGATTCGCTGGCCCTGGGCGTTCCTGAGAATTCTTAGTTTAACTTCGCTTTGACCTCCATTTGCCAAACTGGTCGTTGGATTTGATGTTTCAGGGCGTTCTGAACCAGTCCGCACCGCTGCTGCGTAGTCTGGCACTGGTCTCCCAGGTGCAGTCGATGAAGACGGGGCCGTTTGAGGACTGAGTTTAGATGTACGGAAGATCCCCTGAAAGACGGTGCTGCCGAGCTTCTCGGCTATTCCCCGGAGCTCCCTCTCGAAAGGCGTACCTTCTAATAGCGTGATCTTGGGGGAGTCAACGTGTGGACTGAGGAGCCGGGCATATCCGTTGTCCCCGGATCCACCAAACAGAATATGGCAACAGTGGACATCTGTAACATCCTGCTCAAATACAGCTAAATGTAGTTTGTCAGTCAGGCTGTCTGCCGTGTATTGTAAATGGATATCACCTTTGAGCTTTGTATCAGCGCATTCTTTCCCTGTTCCGGCGTCTACAAAATCACAGAGACCATCCTCCATGTTGAAGCCTTGCACAAAAGACATGAAATCTGCAGGATTGGAAATAATGGCAGCCTCACGATATGCTTTGCTCAATCCGGCCACGTTGGCATAAACTCGGATCCTCACATCGACTCTCGAGGGTATTTTAGGCTTCTCCATCCGCATGTATTGTAGTGTACTTGTTTTAAGCAATCGAACGGCTTCGTGGCCGCCCTCGTAGCCCTTCTTAACAAGTTTGTCGTCGAACTATGGAAGGAAAGTCAGTCAGTTCAATGTCATTCTCTTCCTAACGCAGAGGTATACCTTACATTCATACAGTCAGCGTCGATGAGCAGCGAGACAAACGATAACTTCTTCTGAATCAGGTTAAGGAATTATCAGTATCAAAGGAGGCGATAGATCTGTGGGAGGTTCGACATACAATTTCATGCTGGTGGCCAGTCAACTCTGCTTCCTTCTCGCTGATTTTCTCCAAGTAGTGGTCTCGGACCATTGTAATATGGTCCATTGCCTTAGACTTATGAGACTCCAACTCATTCTCCACGCTTTGAAGCCGCGCGATGAGGTCCTAATAATGTCGCATGAGCCAGTGCAGATATTTCATAGAACGATTGCATACGAACCTCAATAATCCCATTTTTTTCATTATCGGAGCTCTTACTGTTCTCAAACCGATTTTGGATGCTGTCCAGGAAGTCCATGCTGGCGTTCAATCTAGGCGGCAGTTCGAAGCGATGATGGTTGTTGATGCACAATGCCCCACGGTAGAATACACACAACGAGTAACTTGAGTAGAAACAAATTGATCAAGTTATTAGGAACTAGGTCGCTGGCTCGGATTATAGGTATTTCTGGAAAAGAGAACCGTGGAGCAGCCCAGTCTGTAAACCCAGCCTTGGTGGCGCAGGCTTTGGTCAGTTGAGCGGTAGTAGAATGACAAGAACATGCATTGTGAGCCAATCAGTTCCACAGCCTCGTAGAAACAGGACAACACCAGTGGCAGCCGGATTATTATGGAGGATTTGAGGAAGTGATCTAGCTGTGTTTTGCTAGACTAGAGGCAAGAGTTAGGCAGTGACAGACACTGGGAGAGGAAAGGGGGAGATGTTAGATGATGCCTAATGATTCTGATACTGAGCCACATTAATAACGCCATCAATGGATACCAACAGGTTTGGATTATCCATACCAAGGCAGATCGAGTCAGTAGGTATAGATGCAGGAAACTGGTCTGATCTTCAATCGACCAACATAGCATGCCTATGAGCGGCCCTCCGCCTTACCCTAGGACTATCCACCCCTAACTCTGCCCCGCATTCTGGACAAGCCTCAATGCAGGCGCACTTCCCGATGGTCATGATTCATTGAATGGCAACCAATAACGCTAGCTATCCAAGGCAATGAGAGAATCGAGTCATCGTTCTTCATGGACCGACTGCCCCAGAAGAACAATGTCGATCGTTCTGTCCGGTGAAAGAGGCAGATAGCTCTGGCGCAAGCTGCAGAGGGGACATCCTCCTATTACTTAGCTTCTCACTGAAACTAAGGTAGATATCGACCCGCGATAGATTTGACTATACTCCCCTGCTGCTGGTAGCAGACCTTGGCAAGCACAATGTGGCGTCAGTCCAGATATGAACACATTCTACTAACCCAGCTCAAGTGGCACTTGACAGGAATAACTACTATAAACACATCAAATTCATCATAAAGTCTCACTAGTGGGAGATTTCCAAGAAGCTCGGAATTCTGGCCGACTTATAATCCTGGGGGGTCAAAGAGGAACGCATATATAAAATCTATCTGTTAAACCAAGCCTCTTTATGAGGCTTAGCTCTGCGCTTTCATTTGCCCTGTTCTAAATGACGTGCAGAACAAAGAGTCCGTAGTGGGGGTTTGCTGCTATAAACTGTGATTACCAAGCATGCATAATCTGACTCGTACTCATGCCATATATCTTCTATGTTGAGGCCCATCTACTGCTTGTATCTGTCGCACTTCCAGAGATTTGATTCCATCCTTTTTTGTGATCGTTGTCCTGGTAATTATCAATCTAAGTTTCCAACTTCTATATCTTGATAGTCTCTTCAGCACACAATGACAAAAGAATCCAATACAGCCCTTGTTGCCCGCGTGGTAGACGGTCAAAAGCCACTGCTGTCAAAGGAAAACATTCCTATCCCCAGTCCAGCTCCAAATCAAGTGCTCGTCAGGGTATCACATGTGGCGCAGAATCCGACTGACGGTATATCCTGCACTAGAGGCTATGGCAATGTATTTATGTGTCTGTCCATCCGTCTAACTTCGATCTCTTATAGTGAAATCCTTCGATAGAAAGGCCTTTGGCGATGGAGCCGTTTATGGCTGTGATTTTGTTGGAGAGGTTGTTGAATTAGGCAGCGATGTTACCCGTTACACCAAGGGCGATGTTGTGGCTGCCTTTATTAGGGGAGGTAACTACCCCATCTCTCGGAATAATGACTTGATTCAATGTCCCATACTTTCCATGTCCTCTGCCCAATCGTATAAACTCACTCCTATTTGCATCCAGGAGCAATCAAGGGCTTGGGCGCATATAGCCAGTACTGCGTGGCCGAAGAGAGAATATCCTTCATCGTCTCCACAAGCATCCCACGCCAGTGTGCCAGCACTATTCCCCTGGCAGCTGCTACAGCTTGGCTTGCCTTGTTTTCTAAGAGCTGCCTTGCACTCGACCGCCAGCAGGCCGAGAACACCAGCGTACTAATCTGGGGCGGCGGCTGTGAGTACTATATCAGCACTCCCTCCAAAGGCGAGCCAACACGATCTAACACTTTCCAGCAAGCGTTGGCCTCTACGCCGTGCAACTCGCCGCAATGCACGGATTTGACGTAGTGACGACCTGCAGCCCCAGAAATGCTGCCTTGATCCGCTCATACGGTGCCAAACATGTCTTCGACTACAGCGACGACAAGGTGGCAGCTAAGATCCGTGAAGTGGCACCTTCGCTCAAGCACATCTTCGACACTATTGGAAGTACCACATCGTCCGTAACCGCTTCACTCGCTCTGTGCAAGGAGGGGGGAGACCTCTGCACCGTTCAGCCGGGCAAGGCTAATACCGAGGGTGTGGCTGCCGGCACACGGGTTACCGATGTGCTAGTGTGGATGGCTTTTCTGAAGGATCAGATTCATAATGGCCTCAAGTGGCCGGTATGTTGCGTCTTTCCCTCACCAACATCCCGATTAACGTATCTTGTGGAGCTGGGCTGACTATATGCGTCGGGTGGATGATTTAGGCTTCAAAGGAGAATCATGAGCTTGCCAGCGAGCTCTTTGAAAAGCTACTGGGATGGTTAGAGCAAGGGACCATCCGGCCAAATAGCGTGAAGCTTCTTCATGGCTTGGATGCAGTTGAGGAAGGTTTCCAAGAGTACAGAGACAAGAAGATCTCCGCATACAAGTTGGTTTATGAACTGTGAGCGGAAGGGCTGATGTGTCAACAAGTGCAACAAGCCAGTGAACTCTCGCCGTGTCTCCCAGATTTGATTTGTTCTGCTGACTCGGTCTTACACTATCTGTTGTTTTGGATTGATCCCAATGCACTTGTTATCCCCAGCTTCTTCTCGAGGTAAAAGTGGAATGTATACCTAGGGTTGATATGAATAGATATAATAACCCAGATCTATTTCTTTCGCTCACTGGTTGTTCATATTGAAAGCTAAAGTACTCAAAGTCCATTCAACTCTACAACTAACCAACCAAGACCACAAAAACATATGCACATCATACCAACAAACACTTGAACCACATGCACACAATACCACGCCAACCCTCAGTTCCCACTAAAAACCCACGGCCTGCCAACAAGCTCACCTCACACCGTCCTCCAGATCAAATACAGGGAACCCCCTCCACGAGCCGCATTGATATCCCCACTCATATGGTTATATCCCAGACCTTGAACAGTCGAGAACTCGACTTTCTCAGCCCTGCGAGAGAGCTTGACGTCCACGATGGGACGTCCAGAGCCCTTGAGGGTATGCAGGTAGCGGAAGGCACCTCCGGCGCCCTTGACCATGTCCTGCTTATCCTTGTTCTCATTTTCCTGGACCTGGACCTCGATGTTGGTGATGGCCTGCTCGGGCTTGGTTGCGTGTCCGACGTCGATGTAGATGAATCTGTTTGTGGTCCTAGTCAGTTCTCTTGTGTGTGTGGGAGGCCGTGTGGCTTTTGGGGGTTGCGGGTTTCCTTTGCTTGTACGCACTTGCCGCGGAAACCGGCGTCGATGTCCTGGTTGTTCCCGTCGATGATCTCAATGCAGTTGTATGGGACACCGCGATCGTCGCGGTATTCGACCTGGAGTGTGTGAATTAGTGGATGGGCTGGGAGGTTGATGCTGAGGGAAGAGGACGTACAACGAGGTCACTGACGAAGCAAGACATGGTGCTGAGATGGAGTGGAATTGGTGAAGCTAGTCATGATCAGAAAATGGGGTTCTCAGAAGACAAAGCTGGTAGATGCGAAGCTGATTGTTGTTGTTGTTGCTGTTGCGGATGATGATTTTTTTTTTGTCTTCCGGCTGCGAGAAGCTGTCTGTACTTCAAACATTTGATATGCAATTGTACGATCCAGCTACTCTGTTCGGAGTCGCCGATGCGCAGACTCGCAAAGTGATCATGTTGCTCGTCAAGTTAGCCGTATAGACATATAGGGGCGTGCAATGGCTGCTGACGCCAGCACATTTAGATACGAAGCGTAGATGGTACAAGACGTAGAACATGCTTGGCTTGGTTGGGAGGATTGATGACTGCCTGGACTGAGCGCAGTACAATCCAATGATCAAAAGAACAGCATCAGGATCGCAGTCAGTGGCTCTCGTGTTCCCCTCCTGGCATGTACTCCAGCTGAGGACCGAGGCTCTAGGGCTGAAACTTCGAAAGTACAATCCTGGATGTGAAGTAGGGCTGCAGGAGGAGCCACTCAGACTTTAAGATCGTGTTTACCTGGTATCTTCGACCCTGCGAGAGTCGGTATGTCCCATTTCGTCCTCGGTCTCCGAGGGTAAGTCTCTATACCCGTGTATCTCGAAAGTCGCTGGATCTGGAAGATCAGCTGCACGGTCATTGTCACTCACATGCCTTTAGAGATTAATCTGGCTAGCGCTGTAAAAGTAATAAACTATAAGAGATTAAGTGTAAATAAGAGATCGAAATTCTCGAAAAGGGACTTTTTCCCATAAGCAACTCATATACCATCATCATCTTCTGCCTGGTATTCGACAAGCTACAGAAATTCGTTCCATTCCTGGACAGACGACTACATACGGAGGGTAAAATTTGGATACCGACTTCTCGCATCCCTGGTGGGGTGGTTGTTAAGAAGGACAAGAACCATTGAATAACTTCAATTGGTAATAATAGAATCTATTCCTGAAAAGCTCAAGAACCATCTTCTTATCAAACCGAGGCAACTAGTACGATCTCGAACTGTGATACGAGCTTCAAGACCGATGTGACTCACATCCACCGCTCGAAACCCTAACTCGGCTACATAAATTCGTAACGACCACCTTCACTTCGAGAATCTCATTCATCATCCACAAACAAAGTGAATTGAGCCTCTTACTCTCTGTCTCATCCTCATCAAAATGTCCACCACTGTGACCACCTCTCCCAATGGCAAAAAGCAACTCTACGCCACCTCCTCCCCCTACGAAGACATAATCGGCTACTACCGCGCCGTCCGCCATGGCGCCCACATCTTCGTCGCCGGAACCACAGCCGTTGACCCAACATCTCCAGCCTCGGCCCCCCAGCTCCTCTATCCAGGCGACGCGAAGAACCAGACAATTGTCGCGCTGCGGGAGAGCGTGAAAGCAGTTGAGGCATTGGGTGGTACAGGCGCTGCTAGCGTTGTACGAGTGAAGATGTTTGTTGCGCGCTCGGAGGACTGTATGGCTGTTGGAGAGGGGTTCAGGGAGGTACTGGGGAAGCAGCAGGGGGGTGGGATGGGGGCCGCGGCGACGATGATTGTGGTGCAGAATGGGTTTGTGAATCCGGAGATGTTGGTGGAGGTGGAGGTTGATGCCATTGCAGATGAGTGATGGATTTATGGCTTGTGGAATAGACTAGGATTTTGATATGCAAAAATTAGACTGCGATGGTCTCTTTGACCTGCTTAACGGGCTCGGGTACTGTTTCCTCGAAGGCTGCGATATTTCACCCCGAGTTCCCGGGTCACTGCTTCTCCGTCTAGTTTGTACGTCGGTCCTGGTCTCTTGCCAGCCTCATAGTTTGGAGTGACTGTGTCCTGCGCCCAGTCGACTTCGTCTTGATGATATCGGCCGCCCATTCGTAGCAAAACGGCTCCCCAGATGCAGGGACGTGTCGCTTCCCACCAGCCTCCGGTGTCAATAGCGCCTGCACATGCGCTTCTGCGAGACCTCTCACGTTGATCCAGGCAGATACTCTTGCCACAGGGAGGGGATTTGCACCAGCTGCAATGCTCCACAAAACAGCGTTGGACTCATTCAGCTGCGCAACGCTGGCGACCGGGTGAACGATCGGCCCGAATGTCATCGGAGGACAAAGTGTGACGAGATCGAATGCTTGCCTTCCTTTCTCGAGAAAGTTCCAGGTTCCGAGATATGTAGCACTGAGAAAGAAGCATGAAACTATCCCAATTCCCAACACACCCACCCTCCCGGTGGTCAATGTGGGGGAATTTGGTGGGGGTTGACCCGCGATCGGAAGAGTTCCCGACCGGAGCTGTTCCGAGGTTCCGGAGACAAAGATAAGGGAGAAGCAAAAAGAACAAAATTGAAATGGGTATGATAAAGTGGGATTGGTTCTATCGCGCTATCAAAAATATCCCTGAGTGTCAGAATGTCTTTCTGGCGCATATATAACAATAAATGCTCTAGGTGTTCGTAAAGATATACATCTCGAAAATGGCGTTATGTCGTTTCCACTCTAAGTAATGAGTGGTCATTGCTGTCGTTGGAGGACCTCATCTGTCGTCTGGACCAGGATTTCAAAGGCACGGCGAAGGTACTTCTCTTCAGCTGCTGGGTTGGCACTGACTACTCTGATCGCATACACTCCGGCCACAACAGAAGAGGTGATGAAGATTTCGCCTCTGGAGTTGATGAGCTCGTACACTTCCTTTGTCAGCGAGTTAGATTCCTCGTCAACCTGAGGAACCGACGACCCAACGAGTTTCGGGCCCTTGATCCGGAAAACTGTCAAACAGAACGCGGGTCTGGTGATGATCTCGAACAAATCCGGCCGGCTGCGGATAAGGTCGGCAAAGATGTCGCCAAGTGCAATGGTCTTGCGGATAAACGACTTCATGCCGTTCAGACCGTAGCTGCGCATCACGAACCAGATCTTCAATGCCCGGAATCGCCGGCCAAGAGAGATAGACCAGTTGCGGTAGTCGATAACCTTGCCAGTCTCGGAGTAAGGGTTTCGCAGATAGGCGGGGGTAATATCAAGAGCATCGGTGAGGTCGAACCGATTGCGAATATACAGACAGCTGTAATGCATTAGCGAGTGCCTTTTATTCCCATCAAACGACATGATTTAATACCTTGCATCGAAGTTCACCAGCAACCACTTGTGCATGTTCACGTTGAAACTGTCGACGCCCTCGGCGAAATCCTTCGCGATATACTGCCACTCATCCGCAACGAGCGCGGCACCGGCATAGGCCGCATCAATATGCACCCAGATCCTCTGCCAGTGAGGTTTCTCCTTCAGCACCGCCTTGATCTCCGCGAAGCGATCGAGAGCGCAAGTATTGGTGGTACCCATGCCAAGGGTGATATAGTAAGGAGTTAATCCATCCTTATCGCACTGCTCAAGGACCTCCCGCAGGCGCGGTCCGGTCATCTCCATATTATCCTCCAGACGTGCAGTAACACTGCGATACCGCGTTCCAGCAAGCAGGGCTCCCTTGGCCGTGCTGCTGTGCGCCTGGTTGCTACCTAGCGCCACCAGTCTTGGTCTCAGTTCCATCACACGGTCCTCATATTCCGCACTCCCGTCCGTCAGGCCTTCGGCAAGAACCTGTTCACGTACTCGCCGCTCACGAGCCGCAATCATCACCGTCGCGACCGCATCACTAGCACTGACCTGGATGACACCACCGCCCTTGTTCTCGGAATTGCTGTAGAAGCATTGCGGGAGACCTAAAGCTTGCGCCATCCAGTCCATCACGATTGTCTCCAATTCGGTACAGGCAGGGGAACATAGCCAGTTGAAAGCCGGGGCAGTAAATGCAGCCGAGTACATTTCGCCAAGGATGCTAGGATACGTCACACCGGCGGGGAAAAAGGCCATGAAGTTCGGTGATTGCCAGTGAGTTAGTCCCGGCTTGATTTTTGTTTCGATATCGGCCTGGATCTGAGACCATTGCTCCGGTTCGTCTGGAGGACTCTCGGGGATCAAGGGACGGAGGTAACCGGGTTCAATGGTCGGCAGGACTCGTTGCGAAGGGAGACCGTCAAAGTAGTCGACGACTGTCGGAGGATGTCTGTCAGTGAAATTGCATTGCAGTAGAATCAAGATCTAAAGCGTACTCTCATCAATGGCCGCATGCGCAGCGGCCCTGAACTGTTCGCGATCCATCTTCGTTTCTTGAAGCTGGGGTCGACGTGGAGAGATTCCGAGGATTCCGAATGGTGGACGACTGTCGGGGGAGGTCCAGGGTTCGGTGACAGCGCACTGATCAATGGGTCGAGTGACAAGGGGGGTGGACTATGCTCCCTACTGGATTCTTTGACACCTCAAGTAAGCCTATCTGGGAGCAATGGGGATTTAAAGGAAAGAGGGAAGAGAGCGAAGGCATCCTGCACGTGCCAAGACTCAGAGTGCGGCGGAACTTCCGCGGTGGATACTAGGTACCTAGAGTTGCAGTACCGTATGGCTTTGTAATAGATTACACCGAGGCAGGAATGAGGCATTGAGGCATCGAGGCAGCGCCAACAATAGACAGTAGATGATGAACAAGCACGGAGGCCCTGATCGAGAGTCTCGGATTTGGAACTGTCTTTCACCCTGGGCTACATAAGTTCTCAACCTTCACTGAGATTTCTGTCTCTTGCTATGTTCGAGACATACCAACAATTGCTTGACAAAGACTCCAAATGGGATGATGCATGACAAAGACAATCATAGAATAACTATGTGTTTAGACATCGAGACAAGGCCGTGTTAAACGGCGTATCTACATTATTATCTGTCAAATGCCTCGATTGGCCTGTCAGTGCAGCAATGATTCATCTTCCATTCATCTGTAGAGGATATCCGACTGAAACAGCTGACAGTGAATAAGAGACATTGTGGAATGAGTGCAAGTCTTCACACTCAGACTGGGAATATAAGAAGCCTGTACTCTTCAGCTCATCAATCACTTCTCCCCAACCAACCTCCTTCTTCTCCTCAGCTTTCAACGGAAAACGACCCTTCAACAAGCAACTACTAAGAACACAATGGCAACCATCCAGGAAGTATCGAATGACTCGCCTCAATGCCACAACATCGCTCCTGAGGGTGATCTTCTACTCATCTTCAAATATCATACTCCCCCGGTGCAGATGCGAGTCTCCCAAGAAGTGGTTACTCGCGCGTCCCGATACTTCTGGGAGGGGTTAGCCCAGCCGACGTTGGATAAGTCTTCAGACACCGGAGTACGCGAGGTCATTGCGAATGCGTTTGACCCGGAGGCGATGCTGATTCTCATGAATCTTGCCCATGGAAGAGCCAAGAATTGTCCCAGACGGATGAACATTGAGCTTCTCCATAAGGTGGCTATGCAAGCATGGATATTTGGCATGTTGCCCATTCTGAGGGACCCCTGTCGTCTGTGGGTTAACAATGTCATGATGCTACCTGGCCAGTTCAACTCTATGCAGGTTGCTGTGTGGATGCTGAACATCATGCTGATTCTTAACTTGAAGGTACAGTTCAAGTCTCTTACTCGGCTTCTTGTCACTAACTGTTCCACAAAAAGATTTGTGGTGCCAGGGACGCTTTTGGCTCCGAGAATGTTCGGTAAGGGACCCCATCTTCTTTTCCCCTTCGTTAATATCGCTGAGATTTACCTATCGTGCTCTGAGCATTTCACTAACCATATGACAGATGAGATCCGTGCCAAAAAGGTCGAATTGTGTGAAGTCATGGGAGATGTGATCTTCTATACAATTGCAGGCTTTCTTAAAAAGGAGCACACCATGTGCTCCAAAGAATGTGATGTTCAACTGCTCTATGATCTACAGGGAGTATTGCAGGAAGCTCAGACTGCGGCGACGAAACCATCGAGACTTCCGCCATTGCTGGAGCGGGTCCGTGAGAACAGGATCCTCTGGCATATCGTGAATCCGGTGCCTGGCCGTGACCATGGCATGACTTGGTGCGTTCTCACATTGGAAGAGAGCATCATTGCCATACAGGAGAAGCTCGCTGCGGCAACCGGGTTTGAACTTGCTGACTGGAGACCCGAACCGATTCACCACGACATAAACTGGTCGTCTGAGCAGCCAGAGGAGCCGTATTTGGGCTTGCCTTGGCCTTACACCGGGAAATTTGATCTGGACTGGGACGGACCGGAAGGACCGGAAGGACCCAATGAGTCCGACGAATCCTTCAGTGCCGATGCAGCTCAAGCATTGGCGGCCATGAGCTTGAGCGATCATCTCATGGAATGGTGAAATAAATGTTCTTGGGCATATCGATGCTAGCATGGTGCTGGCAATGCATTTCTGCAGATTTCCATCGCTTTATTCGGCAAATAATCATCCGAATGGGTCATCTGAGACGCCCTTGAGCCAAAAGAAGTCAATCGCTGGTTATAAGAAGTTTAGGGCTTACAGACTGCTATTCGTAGATGTAGTCCTAAGATTTGCAGAAGTTGTTCTTCCATCTTAAAACTCTGCTTCATATCTTAAATGAACTACTTTACTTATCTAATGCTGCCTTCAAATGCCACTAAGAGTACTATAGATATTTAATGATGCCTAGCACCACATATGTAATATAAGAAGTTAAGCCTTTATCTAAGATTTTGCTAAGAAGAGGCTCATATAGGACCAGGTCCTCTTTTTTAATAATTTATGGCACCCAGGAATTCTGTGATTAATATTATATATATATTATCTGCTATATCTAAAGGTTATTTCTAATCAATAAGGCATTCATAGCACTTAATATTATCTAGCTTTCTATAATTTAAGAGATAAACTTTAGAGAGTAAAGGTACTGTAAAGAGAATAAGAATATATAGATAATGACATAGAATTAAGAAAAAGGTAAAACTGTGATTCCTAATACTTATTAATATTTTAAAGATGTACTTAGAGGGAGTCTCATAATATGGAACTAAAGCTTCTATGAGATGTCATTCAAAAAGACAACTACCTTAACGCTTCAATAGGTAATCTGATGGCATCACTAAACTAGGACCAAGCACAAAGTCGATTCATTCTGCTAGCAAACACTTGCAGAAATCAGGCGCTTGTTTTATGGTTGAAGAAAAGGGTGCCCAGCCAGTTCGCCTGCCGTTTTTCTCGTATCTGGGTGCCAGACAAGCATTGCCTTGGTGAGGTTCAAAAACGCGTCCTTCTCCTCTCCCTCAAGGAATGAAGCTGTGTCGCCTAGTTTGCGGTTGGGAATCAGGTCTTCATAGAGGAAGCGACCTAAGATATTTCGTGAGTTTGAGAATGATTCGATCGAGATAGGAAGCCCAGTAATACCTTTTTCGTCAAAGAATGGCCCACAGAAGTACTCCTCTGCGGTCTCGCATACTCTGCCGTCTTCTCGTCTGACAGGTTTCGGCCACGAGTACTCTCGCATATATTGATACCTTTGTATGACCTCTGGAGGAGGTGGACCGAGTAAGGCTATCATTTCGGCGATGTGTAGTTTAGCATCGTAGCGACCTTCTTGATCATGAATATGCCGAAATAGCTCTTTGCCTTCGATCATATCCCACAACTGGTCTGGCATTAGTGGATTCAACAACTCTGGAGAACAACGAAAACGCGCCAGAACACCAAGATTCCAAATATCTGCAGGCATTTGCCATCCATTACCCAGTATCACCTCTGGTGCCCGATAGTGGTCTGGCTGAATAGGCCAAACGCCCCAGTCGTCGTCTTCCTCGAGTCTGGTTGCTAAGCCAAAGTCGACAAGCTGTGGTATACTTCTCAGGCTTTTGAGTGGGCCAAAGTCATTATGGGATTGATACACTGGTCGCCCCACTGAATCAATCTTGAAAGCCATCGGTTTTGCAAGCTGAGAATCCATGAAATCAGCAAGCACGGTTGGATCCTCGAATGAGACCATGATGTTCTCAAGCTTTATATCTAGGCAGCCACTTGGCTCAGTATCACTGACGAGAATAAAAGCCGAAGGTGAGCCTACCTGTATGAACAGTCCTGCACACTTTATGCAGATAATCAAGCCCTGTAAGAAGAGCACGAATGTATGTTTTGATGAGGGGCAGTGGCATCTTTCTGTCGTCAAAGCGCTGCTGATACATCGACAACGGCTCCCTCATAGGCGGATACACAAGACATGGATACGAACCTTCTGGACCTTTAACTTCAAAAGAGTCTAGTGATGTTCGGATAAGTGACCGACCCCGATGTGATGGGTCTGCCGTGGAAATATGCTCTTCAACTTCGCGCTCATGACCAGCGGAGCTCGCATTATTATTAACGATTTTCAGTGCCACGACACTCTCTGGCTCTTTGACATGCCTGTATATTTGTTAGAGCCTCGAAATGGACAGAAATTACTGAAGGCTACCCTTGCAGATCACGCGCGAGCCACACTGTTGAAGACACGCCCCAGCCAACCTTGACCAAGGTTTTGTAACGATCGGCGAGTACCTCTCCAGGCTTCGCAGGGTAGAAGTACCTGGAATCGTATACTGGCGAGATCTCTTCATCCACGAGTATGCCGGGTGGTAAAGGTGGCCCGGGAGAAGGCATGGGAAACGGTTTCTTGCGAAGTAAGGCGGAAAAATGAGGAATGAATGGTTTTATAGTGTTCATTACAGAGTTACTTCCTGTAAGCTGATGGGAGAATGTGATGTGAGTGGATATTAAAGAAGAAGATTAAGAAGAGACACCCAGGCAGTAGATGGACACTAAGAGATTAATGGCTATAAGGGGTTAGTAATAAGGGAACAACAGTACTAAGGGGGTAATAGCATCAAGCTGTGGCAGCAGCAGCAGCATAAGAGGGAATAATAGTAATGATAGTACTAAGCTACCGCAGTAGTAGCAGCAGCAGCGTGGTTAAGGGATATATACTAGTCTATATACCAGTCTAGGCGCCCTGTCCTCCCATGTAAATATATATATATATATATATATCTTTATGGTGGTATAGTCTGAATTGGATGGCCGCCAGCGACATGTAATTACCACTCACTAGGAGCCTCTGGCATGGCCTAGCTTAGTGCTGCATTAGAGTAAGGAACTAATCAATCAACTAATCATAATAGTTAGTTAATAGGAGCTTAATAATTTTTTAATACCGAAATAGATTTTTTATTTTAAGGATATTCTAACTATAGTTTAACTTCATAATATATTAATAATATTTACTCTGTGGAGATAGTGGCAGTAGGTAAATACCAGTAGCCTAGTAGGTGATAGTAAACAATCTGGCATGGCAGCTTTGTAACCATAGTCCGCTGTAGTCAGCTTCCTCAGGTCCCCCCGCACTTGCTTTCTGAAATGTTTCCTTTTTAAAAGGAAGAGAGGTCCATCTTGACATTTACCATCTCCTTCTCATCATTACTTACTCCGAAATATCAAAGGCAGTATCTTGAATATCTCCAGGATGCCCCGAGCCATAGCTTCCGTCGATGGAACTGTCCTCGCCGAGACTGACACCTGGGAAACCGTCGAAGGAAATGTATACGTAGGTCACCCTGTCGACTGATCTTAGCCATCATTCGCAACATGATGACATTGAGATAAATGTACTCCTTTCTAACAGCTTGTAGTTCCCTCCATCAGCCATCAAGAATAAATCTCTCTTCACTTCCACGGACTTGTCCACGCATTGCCCCTGGAAGGGAGATGCTTCGTACTACACAGTGACCATCGGAGGTATTCGGTCTTGCATCGTGTTTTCCGGCATTTGCTGATATGGTTCATGCAGACAAAACTCTCCCAAATGTGGCGTGGTACTATCCCCAGCCGTTTGACGCAGCAAAGAATATCAAGGACTACGTGGCTTTCTGTAAACGCCCCTCCTATGATACCTACTGAGTGATACTAATGAGACGATGACAGACAAGAACAAGGTCAACATCGACGTGGAATAGGGCCATCTGTAATCTGCAAGGGAGCCGTAATATATGCAACTTGCTTGACAGCTGAGATCCACGTTTATTATATACTATGAGCAAACCAAGAGCCACGGCTCTCTTAATTCTCCGGCTTGCCTCCCATCGGCTTTTCACCCCCGGGACTGTCCTCGTCATACTGCTCATCATACACCTCCTCACTCATATCATGCCCCTTGATCGTGATCTTTAGCATCGGTAAGAAAACAAACATCATCCGACACCACTCCGTAGTACTCCGATTCTTGCACGAGTGCGCCGTCCCGCGCTGCACACACACATCGCCCCGCCTCATGCTCCGGCTCTCGCCCGAGTCGAGGATAATCTCCACCTCGCCCTCCACGACAATCGCGTAGTCCACACTCACGGTCCGATGCATCGGGGTCATTTCCCCCGGTCGTAGATCGATTGTGCGCAGCACCGTGCCCAGCGAGGTTGTCAGACCCGGAGAGGTGTGCAGAAACTCATCGTAGATAGCGATGTCGTTTTCGTCGTCGATGGAGACTGGGTTCGTGACGGTTGTGTAGAGGAGGGCGATGTCGCCGTCGTCGCTGATTGGTTTCGAGGGGATGTAGTCGGGGATCTGCGCGTGGGAGAGGAATATGGATTCACCGTCACTACTGTGGGTTGTGATAAAGCGTTTGATGCTGGGGAGGTTGTTTGGCTTCTGGGACATCCTTATCGCTGTATTTTTACTGTATGGGGAAGGGGAAACGATCGTGAATGTGGCTTGAGATGCGTCAAAGGATTCATGATCGGAATGGGTTGGGCCATGGCCGATCACATCATGCATGCATCAACTGCCAGAAAAAAATACCAGGCACCGGAACTCAATTGCGAGTACAGATTCCCATCCGTTATCAGCACTTCTACCACATAACAGAAGCATGTCAAGTGTATGGTAGTGTGGCATTTGTCAACTCGGCCAATAACCCCGTCCAGTCTGGAGTGTGAAAGGACAGGTCGCCGCCGCTGTCGAGCATCTCCGTCCATACATCCTCGAGGTGTCTTTCCGGACGAGCATCATCTCCAAAATCAAATGGCGAGTTTTCAAGGTGATTTTTCAATCCATTTGACTCTGTTGATTCTTCAGGGCGTTCCGGAGGGGCTGGATTGGCACTAGTCATATCTTCCAGACCAGGGGGTGAAGACAAGCCTATCGACTGCTCATCAGAAGACAATTGCTTCCCGGTCTTCCAATGCTTCTGCAATATATCCATCATGGCTTTGATTGCTTGCGTGACCATCGATGATGATTGCTGCGCCTTGCTCAACATGCGGCACGCATCTAGAACCTCTTGCTTTCGCTTATCGGCCAGGAGATCATCCCAGTTGAAGCAAACGTCCATCAAGAGAATGACTGCGGCCATAAAAACATGATGCATCACGGACCAGACAACTGAAGTTGGAGGCATGAACTTCGGGTCATCCTCGTCCATGATTCTTTTGGTCTCTATGACTTTGCGCGCAGACTGGAGGCAGATCACATGTGAGTACGAATATGCTGGGTCTCGAGCCCCGCGAATGAAGTACAGACGGTGCAGGCGACAGAAGCGCGAATGGTAGGCCTGGTGCAGAAGACACCTCTGCCATGCGATCGTCGGTCGGCTCTGATACAGAGATGCAAAGCGCCGTCTGGAAACAGAGTCGAGCCGGAAGAAGTCAGTAAGTTCGTTATATGCTTGGTGGAGTTTGCGATCCAAGTCGAGAATCTTATGGTAGCTAACGTCGACGCTGTGCATGTGTTCATAAGTCGTTGCATCTGTGATCTCGCGGCACACAACTGCGAGTTTCAGGCGTTGAAGAGTATATGACATCTCAGTTGGTGTAGACATAGCAGGTGATGACATACCGGCCGCTTCCTGGAGATTTATATCGTCTATATTGAGTGGTTCTTGGACATTCATCATCTCCGGGTTGACCAGATAGGTCCATTCCTGGGGTCCGCTCAAGAAACCCAACAGCCTGTAAAACGATGATCAGCATGTCATCCTTGACTACTTTATGCTAAAACTTACCAGTCGAGAGATGCAACATCCCACCAAAGTCGCCTTTTCAGTTCAACTTCCACCGCGTCGAATCCATTCACCTCTCGTTCCTCTCGGCAGCGAGGCGAGTCAATACAGTGAAGCATGAGACTCCTTGCCTGACCGACAATGGCCCCGTGCATGAAAAGCGCGTTCGTCGATGGATGGGCATTCGAGTTAGGCAGATTATGGATTATAATGATCGTTGCTTGGAGTCCCTCAAGTGTGGGACATGCGGTGTAGTTGCTCTGAATAAGAGCCGCGCCCGCCAAATAGCCAAATTCATGGCTGCATCTCTCTGCATATGCAGAGCAATGAGGAGAGAATTTGAAATAAACTGAGCTTGCCACAATACTGAACAGGAGGGCTAAGTGACCCAAGTCCGCCGGTAGGCCCCTATCCATGCAGTGGTAAATAGCGTTCATCTGAAGCTCCGCACGCGACGGGATGATAACATGATATAGATAATCAACATAGTCACAATAGTATCGAAAAAGCGATTGTGTTTCCAATTTTGTTGGGAGAAAAGAACAAAGATCAATTGTCTTCGGATTTTCGCTCGAAGGGGTACGATTCAAAAAGAATCGTGGCACATCGCGATGACCCGTGGTACCATCAGTGCTTCTAAGCCCAAAAACAGCCTCACAGTCGATGGAATCCCGCAGACTCCTGGCAAAGGCAGTAGGAACTCGATCAGCCATAACAATCTTCTCCAGCCAGTCCGCTGTCATGACCGAGTCTTTGATGGTCCGAGATGATCGGGAAGCCGCTGTCGGCTGAACCGTCGCGGCCTCAGCTCTTTCTGGATGAAGGCCTGGTTTGTGAATCAATAATGGGCTGTCAACTTTGGTTATGGCTTCAGGAGTTGCTGCGATCTCCTGCGTTCCATCTGACCCTGACGCATAAGTGCATGTCAACTTGCGGGTGACGCAGCTGCCGCAGGGCTTTTGACGGTTGCATTTTAGCTTCCTGCGCCTACACGACTCACAAGACACTGGATCCTGTCTCGCAGGCTTTTTGAGGCTTTCATTTAGCGATCTCGAAGCTGCTTTACGCTTCATATGTGGATTCTGTTCACTGTGGTGCGTTTGTTTGTCTTGGGAGAAATCCAGTGTCGGGCAGGGATGGGGATCTCTCCAGAGGTCACGTGTACAGCTCCCTGACAAAGCTGAAGTGAAACTCGTTCAACAACACGAGGTGGAATTTGTTAAAGATATGAAGACCGTGTGAGTCTAAAACTGCGGACTCTCAAGCTTGTACATAAGGGTGAGGAAATGGTCCAAAAAGGAGTTGTGTGTGTGTCTAAGACGAAAATTCCTCACCGAATCCTTGTCGGAGCTTCCACGGACTCTCCGTGGCATGAATCAAACACCCAACAGTTCTTCCCATTACCTCAATATACAGCACAAAGGAAGCAGAACAATGCGCGGACTCTCCGACTGTAATTATAGTTATGGTTGTTATTCGGAAGCTTTGCTTATTTCCGAAGTGTATAAGACATGATCGTGCCCCTTCATTTCGTTGTTGACATTTCATCACACCGAAAACCAGCGGCATAAACAAGTTGACTATAAGATCGGACACGATTGTTTGCACGCCATTCATCGTGCTCTATCCAGCTTAATATGGAAGCCGAACAGTCCGAGGCCATGACCGACTCAAAGCCCCCGAGCGAGTATACGTTCGTGCTCCTGGAACCCTCGCATAGGAGCATTATCTTGGCCTTCAAGCTAACCCATGTCGCTTCTTCCAGGCCACGAGCGAACCTGACAATTTTAGGGTCATTCATGGGTGCGTTCTGCACCGTCGGTTTTTTGAATTCTTTTGGTGTCTTCCAAGAGTACTACGCGAGAAATCAACTGGCGGACAAGTCGGAGTCGACGATTGCATGGCTGGGAGCACTTAGTATCTTCTTCGTCTTCTCTGTGTCGATGATATCTGGCCAGTTGCTGGATATGCTTGGACCGAAAGTAAGTTTTGCGATGTTACCCTCAATCCCAATGTGTGTATATAGCTGATTTTAGGCCAGCTTCTGTTGTACATGGGCTCTCTCGGGACTGTGTTCTCGCTTATGATGACTTCGCTCTGCAAAGAGTTCTATCAGTTTATTCTGGCTCAGGGTATCCTGCTCGGGATATCACTTGCATTGTTGGTCTGTCCAATGCTTGCACTGGTTGGCCAGTACATCAAGGTCAAACGCGGTGCTGCCATGGGAATAGTAATTGCAGGTTCTTCTCTAGGAGGTGTTGTGTGGCCGATAATCATCAACGAGCTTTTGAAGAAGCCCAACATTCGTTTCGAGTGGACAATGCGCATCGTTGGATTTATAATGATGCCCCTTCTTACCATCTCGTGTGTCTGTTGCCGGCCGCCCAAGTCACAGCAACATCTCATACAGCCGCCATCTAGCCTACAGGACAATGAGAGCGCCGTTCCGCAGCATGAATCGAAGGACACCCCCAAAGCGGATTTTTCTATCTTGAGAGAGCCAGTCATGCAAGTGTCGTGCCTCGCATTCTTCATCATATATTTCGGAATGTTCTCTCCGTTTTTCTTCACCACGTCCTACGCAGTATCGCAGGGCTTCTCCACTGACCTAGCATTCTACACAATCTCAATCATCAACGGAGCATCTTTCTTCGGACGCATCATACCAGGCATCCTTGCGGACCGCTATGGCCGGTTCAACTGCTGCGTTCTTGCAACACTCGTTTCCGGTATCATTGCTCTGTGCTGGACATCAGCAACATCCGTGGCGGGCTTGGTCATCTGGTCTGCGGCGTATGGATTTACCTCAGGAGTACGTTTGCGGAACTATCTTGATCACGAAAGAGTGCTAACATGCAACCAGGCAATTCTCGCCCTTCAACAGGCGTGCGCAGCTCAGATCGCTACCCCGAAGACCTTGGGTCTGGCAATTGGCGCCGTCATGGCATCTACATCTCTGTCGTATGTTCCCTCTTTTTTCTTCTTCTTCTTCATCATCATCATCATCTTGGCTGACTTGCTGCTATAGAGCAATGGCGGGTGTGCCTATCAGTGGTGAGCTAGCGAGCAAGTACGGGTACCTTTCGCTTTCGATCTACTCGGGAGTGAGTCTCTTAGTGGGCGGCTTACTGCTTGCGGTAGCACGTTTCATGCAGAACAGCAGCCTCCGGGCCTCAGTCTGAGGCTGCAGAGCTAGTGCTGCCCGTGTGCCATAGCCCTCGCTCTCCCGGTCCCGCAGTCAGCAAGGGTCCGAGGAATGATGAATTGTATTTTTACGGAGGATTGACTAGATTTAGAAGGTAATCTTGCATTGAAAAGCCCGGGCTTCCAAATCAACGTGGATTCTCGAGTGACATCTGTCGTCTTCTTCCCGTCTTTCATACCCCAGCGTAATCAAACCTGACTCAGTCTCTAATCTATCACGGTATCACCTTCCTCCCCCGCCAGTCGCCAAGAAGCCAAGATGGCCGGTACGCCCTTTGAGAACAAGCAATCCGAACGGTTCCACAGATAAGAAAGAGAGGAGCGAATCCAAGCACTGATCAATAGATCTCCATATTATTTCCTAAACGAGTAGGGTCAAGCGTATATCTGGAGGCTGGAGCCGTCGCGCGTGCCGTTCACTGGTTCCCCGGATATATGAATAGATAAACCGCTTCGAGAAAATGAGAATCCCGGACATTTGATTGATTGATTAGTATGATAAGAATGTCGGGTAGAAGATGTGAACACTATCTATATCCGATTGAATGGCAGAGATAACAGGCAGGATACCCTTGGGAGTGGAGGGTAGCTGCTGGATAGTCGTGAACAGAACTCGTTTGGACGGGATTGTCAATTTACGTAACTGTCTTCACTGTCGAAAGCTTCTTATCGTCCAGGATGGGCGAGATAGTAGAGTGACTAAGGATCTTGATAGAGATCTATCATCGAAGTCGAATCCGAAAATGGGAAGGATATAACGACGAGGATGCACATCGAAATGTAGACACAGACAATCATTCGACCATGATCGTTATGAAAGCCCATACCACCCGTCTACTCATAGCCCTATCCCTCTCCAGCATCGGCTGGGCCGGAGTCGCCAAAAGAGACCCCGAAGCGCTGCGATTGCGAGCTTCATCCACCGTCACCGCAGACTCACTACACAACATCCACGTAGAATTCCTCGACAGCGCCTTCGAGGGCGATATCCAGCTGGTATACGGCGACTGCAGCATAAGCGACGCCAGCCAGCGCCATCATGAGATCGGAACCGTGTTCGTCAAACGCGATGCGCAACCTGAGCGTTTCGTCTGGATCACCCCGTCGGATATCCCCCATCTGCAATGTCTGCACGTCTTCTCCGGCTCCTCGCTCGTCGGCCGGTCTTCACCCATCTCGGTAGCTGCACCAGTCGCCAAACGTGCGTCCATCGCCGACGTTGCTGATGCGATGGGCCCCTGGTTCGACGGCGTCGCGTACATGAAAGCCAAAGAGCCGAACAAGCATGTCGTGGCCAAGGCAAAGGACTCGTCTGTTGCGATTGTGGGCGGAGGCATGTCCGGTCTGATGACGAGTCTGCTGCTCGAGTCTGTCGGGATTCATAACTGGCACATCTACGAGTCGTCTGGAAGAGTCGGGGGACGCATTCGTACAAAGTATCTGAACAATACCCGGCCGGACGAGTATCAGTACCAGGAGATGGGTCCGATGCGGTTCCCTGTGAGCATCAAATACGCGGAGACGAACGAGACGCTCGACATCCAGGACCACAAGATGGTCTTTCAGCTGGCTGATCTGCTCAACGAGATGAATGCCAAAAAGCCGGACCTGCAAGTCAACTTCGTTCCATGGACTCAGCGCAGTCCCAACGTTCCAGCGTCGTCCGGAGGGAATCGTCTCGCCGATGGCCGTATCCCGACTGCTGCTCAGGTCGCAGCCAATTCGACCTTGGTCTACTCAGCCGCTTCATCCAAAGCTACCGCTGCCGAGCAGGCGGAAGAAGCATACTCGAACTGCACGCACATGGATATCAGCGCCATCAAGCAAATGGCGAGCAACATGTTCAAAGCGCACAAAGCCGCCGTGGAGGACGGCATGTTCCACTGGTCTGAAGCCGGGTACCTGCGGTACGCAATGGGCTACGATACCAACATCACCGACTACGTCGCCGGCAGCGACAACTCGCCCATCTGGGGCGAGATGTACGAGAACGTCTACTTCGCAGCCACGGAATGGCGAACAATCGACAAGGGTCTCGAGTCGCTCCCGCGCGCCATTTACCCACATGTCGCAGAGAAGACAACCCTCAACCGCAAAGTCTCCGGCCTATCCTGGAACGCGACATCGGGCAAGATCGCCGTCAACTGGCGCGAGGACCCCTTCCAGATGACCCCCGAGGGCAAAGAGTACGACTACGCTGTCGTCGCCGCCCCCTTCAGCAAGGTCCGCCTGTGGGAGCTGCCGCGCTACTCGTCCCTCCTGAGCCGCGCCATTGCCACGCTCAACTACGACCCCGCCTGCAAGATGGCCCTGCACTACAAGTCGCGGTTCTGGGAGCACCAGCCCAGTCCGATCTTCGGTGGCTGCGGCTCCGTCGACGTCCCCGGCGTCGGGTCCGTCTGCTACCCGTCGTACAACATCAACGGGACCGGCCCGGGTGTAGTACTCGCGTCGTATCTCAGCGGCACGGGCGCGCGGTCGACGGCGGCGCTGAGCGTGGAGGATCACGTTGCGCTTGTGCAGCGGACGATGGTGGAGATCCATGGACCCGTCGCGGAGGAGGAGTTCACGGGTGTCTACGACCGCCAGTGCTGGGAGTTTGACGAGCACCAGGCTGGTGCCTGGGCTGGTCCGCTGGTCGGCCAGCAGGAGCTCTACCTGCCTGCGTACTACCAGACGGAGTTCAAGACGATCTTTGTCGGGGAACACACCAGCTACACGCACGCATGGATCTTTTCGGCATTGGACTCGGCTGTTCGCGGTACGACGCAGTTGCTGCTTGATCTGGGGCTGGTGGATGAGGCGAAGAGTATTGTGAATGAGTGGATGGGTCGCTGGATCTCGGTATAATGGGACGCGGTCTTACTCTGTTTTTGTCAGTTGATTATGACCTGTGTATGGATAATTGCCATCGCACTGGTGCGGCGCAGGAACTTACGTCCCTAATGAAAATATATAATCAGGATATAGAGAATAAATCGTGGAATGTAAGTCATGACTTGAGTTCTCACCGTTGTCTCCTGATGAGGAACCGTAACTCCTCCGAACTTGCCCAGGGCAATTTAAAGCCGACCTTGATGACTGCAGTCCCTTGACTTCGCGAAGAAAAAAAGATACCCAGCTGATTTAAGATGAGCCCAGCGCCGAACATATAAAAAAAGGAGCAAAAAGATGGACTCGCGGGGAATCGAACCCCGGACCACTCCCATGCTAAGGGAGTATTATACCACTAAACCACAAGCCCACTTGTTGAAAGAGGATTGCCAAGTTTTGTATAAGGAAGAATACTGTTCTCATCGCGTCATCTGTCAAATGCCCAAGTCTCGTCTCACTCATTAGGAAACAAATTATCTCGTTCAATATGTATATCTTCTGTGGTATGTGTCGGGATAGATCCTTGCCAAGGCAACTAGCAGAGCAACTAACTGCTATGCGTTGTCTGAGTCTGCTCAGGCAGATCCTCCCGCCCATCCTGCCAGCTCGAACAATTCACACAACGCAGAGCCTTATACATTAGACTCTGTGTTCTTGAAGATGAAGAATAACTTACCTTCTGACTGATATACTTGCGACAGTATTTGCAGCGCACCGTCGGTTTGATGACCCGATCGTGCGAAATCCACATGTACAGATGCCCGACCGCGTACAGCGTCAGACTGACACCAAGAAAGCTGATCACCGTTTCAAGAAAGGCACTGCAATTGCATCAGCTGTGTGTTACCGAGCCAAAATTCGTTTCTGCTAGGATTTCAATTTGATATGTTGATTCTTGTCGTTACATACCCATATGCCAGGACCAAAGCGCCGTCATCTCTCGCCTGCTCGAGGGTATTATACCCCTTTTCCTTGATGTAATGCGGTCCTCGTCGAAGCACAGCGAACTTCTCGTCCAGGTTGCGATTCAAGAATGGCAGAAGCGATACAATAGGGAGGATGATGTCGGAGACGAATGAGGTGACCACTTTGGTGAATGCTTGAGCGATACTGTTCCCTCGCGAATCAGCAGATGGCTATGTTTTTATACATCAGTAGAAGCGAGCCCTACATCAAACCCAGTGCGACTTCAAGGACGTTGTCGCGCACGGCAAAATTCAGAAAACCATCCCACACGCGTTTGACGGAATTCTGGGCGGTTTGGCCGGCGCGCAGAAGAGCTTCGGTGCTATCGTCGAGGCGAGGCATGCTAAATGTGTTGATTGTTGGAAGGATCAAGTGAGGAGAAATGGCTTAGTGGGAGTCGATCAGTATTTATAGCCAGTATATCTACTCCGTGCTATTGGGTTTCATCATCGCCTGTTCATGCGCCTCTGATAGGACTTGGGAGTGCTCCTGCCTGGCCAATCATCATCCATCAATCAATTAAGGTTATCCGGGACCCGTATCCTCTCGTTGCACTTTTCTACCCTTCTTGATGAGATAGACTTGTCGTTGAGGTTTCCTAAAGAAACTGATCATAAGAGCAAGACTGTGTATGATATATCCACCCTTTGGCAAATTTCTTGGGTCTGTGTGATGTGAGTAAATATATGTTACGATTCTTGCTATAACATACCAGTGCTTCCATGAAGTGATACATCGTTTCAGCCTCTTCCTTAAACCATTTATTATGTTGCCTTGATGTAAGAGCCTTGTTAGGTCTGTTCGTTTCTCAACACCTTTGAGTTAAGGAGATCCCTTAGATGCGGTAGCTAGCTGCATGATTTCCTCCGCAATTACCGCATCGCGCTGGCATTTGTTGGCATGCGTTTCCCCATCTTGAAGTTCTCTAGGGCCCCTGAGCCCTGTTGGGTCTCTCTTCAGGTGCAAAGTACTCCCTGTTTCGATTTCCTCTCTTTAGCCGGCTTCCGGTTCTTGACTGCGTTCAGGGCTTTTGGAGCTTCTGGAATTCTTCTTCAAGCTAGTTGGTTCTCCTGAGATGCTGTTCATTCTTGATGGGGTGCGATTTTCTGATGTTCCTCGTCTGCGTAGAAGTGAGAACCATTATTAGCAACGACAATATATATCCTGGGCATGTGGTCAACTCCCAAGAGCATCTAGATATAACGAATATGACCAGTAGTAGTTTCAGAACTTGGCGCTGAGCTTGGGGTGAGGTCTGTCTGCGAAGTTGATGAGACTCCATTTCTTTCTGATTGGTGAGTATGGACGGTACGTGGCAGCAGATAAGCTGGAGTGGGAGTCAGGGCACCAGTGTCATGCCTGTTGTTGTCAGGTTACGATATATGAAGTAGAGCATTATATCTACACTTTGTGACGATGCAAGAAAATACGAAGATACCGCAAAGATTGGTTGGCGTCGCACAAATCGCACAAATCAGCTGGTATTGAAGGCTGTACGCATTCTACGAGAGTTCTGGATTCTATACACGACATACTGCCGTCTCTATCAGGGCTACATTGCCAGTGTTTAGTATATCATCCGTCCTTCACCAAGAAAAAGGCCAGAAACATCAAGTAATTGGTTTTATTGACCCTGAAACGTGTTGGATACAGTAGTGAACTCGAGATTGCCCAAGGTATACCCTGTAGTATCGTATCAGGTAAAACCGTAAAACTACATGACGGTTTTCACCAGGCATGCGATGTTGGTACTTTTGCTGTAGCAACTAAGTAATTAATCTGTAGTTACCTACCTTACCTAGATTAATGGTCGAACGTTGGACTGATAAGAGCGTACCTCATCTTACATTACTAGAGCACGTACAAGTATAGTACGGATATTGAAAATTACGTACGTGTCTGTCCGAGTGTGTACAATAGCTAGAGCAATGCGAGGTAGGTATATCCTTGTTTATCTTTATATAACGAACTCACAATCGAGGGACCACCCAAGGAAATCAGTAGTTTTTTTGTCACTCTCAATTGCTTTACACAAAGACGAGAACTACGGATACGTGGCAAATTGATGGTCAATATGGACTTGGGTAAGTGAAAATGGGTCCATGACTGCATTGTCATCTAATTGCTAAAAGAACATCAAACACTGGACAGCAACAGTAGCCACGACTGTAGCTGGCACAGCAGTGGTAGCCGCCTATTTGGACGCCAAATGGCACATCACCAAAGATGTGCAATATATGTGGAGAGTGAAAGCAGCTGAAAAGGCAGCAGCGCAAGAAGGTCAGTGCCTTCTAGGTTCCAAGTGTGTGAAGCCGAATCTCACATCTATCATAGAGCGAAATGGGCAAATCTGTCCCTTCTATGAGTTCGAGAAGAACGTACAAAAATACCCAGATCATCTCGCGATCTGGTCCCAGACAGGGCAGTATACGTTTAAAGAGCTCTATGAGCACGTCTGCCAATATGCGAACTATTTTCACCAGTTAGGTGTGCAGCGTGGGCAGCTGGTCGCTTTCTACCTGACGAATAGTCCCGAATTCATCATGGCATGGTTCGCGCTTTTGAGCATCGGTAGCGCACCGGCGGCCATTAACTACAATCTCACTGGCGATGCACTCATTCATTGTTTGAAGGTCTGCGGTGTTAATGTCCTCTTGGCGGATGAAGACGTGGAATGCCGGGGCCGAATTGACGCGAGTCGCTCAGCTATCGAAGGCAAGCTGGGGATGAAGATCCTCTCCCTCGATGAGAGTTTAAAATCTCACATTGCGACCTTCCCTAGATCTACACCGCCTGAAGACCTGCGACGAAATCTACCGGGAGATGCACCGTTTGTTCTCCTATTTACATCGGGTACAACGGGAATGCCCAAGGCGTATCCCTTCTCCCAGCGACGATTCCACCCAGACATTAGGATACACCGGTTTCTCAACATCGAGTCCCAGCCGGGGCCAGAGGGAGACTGCTGGTACAACTGCATGCCTCTCTATCATGGGACTGGAGGCTTCATGACAATGGTAGCGCTGTGCAGCGGCACGTCCGTCGCGATCGCAAAGCGGTTTAGCGCGACCAGCTTCTGGAAAGATATCCATGAATCCAAAGCCACCTGGTTTGTTTACGTCGGTGAGGTGGTGCGATATTTGCTCAATCAACCCGCATCCCCTTACGATCGTGACCACAGGCTGCGAGGCATGTACGGTAATGGCCTCCGGCTGGATGTATGGGAGAAATTCCGAGAACGGTTCAATGTCCCAGACATCGTCGAGTTCTTCGGAAGTTCAGAAGGTATGTTTTATAGAGCGAACATGAATCGGGGCCCATATACCAGAGGAGCGGTAGGGCTCGATGGTCTTATCACACGCCGCCGGCTGAATCGCACTTTGGTCCCTATTGTCGTCGACCATGATTCAGGCAGCATCGTTCGCGACCCGAAGACCGGACTGGCTAGGACAGCATCATACGAGGAGGGTGGAGAGATAGTTGTCGGGGTCCCTAGTACGACAGCATGGAAGGGGTACTGGCAGAACGCCAGCGCAACAGATAAGAAGTTCGCTCGCGATATCCTGAAAATAGGCGATGTGTTCTATCGCACAGGCGACGCGTTGCGCCGAACCCCAGATGGCCGGTGGTACTTCATGGACCGACTCGGGGATACGTTTCGGTGGAAGAGCGAGAATGTGTCCACCACTGAAGTGGCGGAAGCGCTCAGTCAGTTCCCAGGAGTGATGGAGGCGAATGTTTATGGGGTGCTGGTTCCCCACCATGAAGGTCGTGCTGGCTGTGCAGCTCTCCAGATGTCAGAGGGGATCGATGTCGACCTGATGGAACTGGCTCGTTTCGCTCGGTCTAAGCTTCCTCGCTATGCTGTGCCTGCTTTCATACGGTTGGTTAGGACTTCCAGCCATATCCATAACTATAAGCAGAACAAGGTTCCGTTGCGCGAGGAAGGAGTCGATCCGCGTAAAAAGGGATCTCTGGTAGAGGATGGTGTACATGATACGCTTTTCTACCTGTCACCAGGCGCCGAGGCATATGTTGAATTTGGCCAGCGGGAATGGGATGATCTGGTGGCCGAGCGAGTGAAATTGTGAGAAGCCTTTGGTCCATGTAAATCCGAAGTCTATATCGACTTCCAATCATGGATTCATGGATTCATGCGTTCAATTGCATTAACCTTCTACGCCAGTTATGCTAGTCTTTAGACGCGCCAGGTTCAACAATATACATAGAATTTACGATAGCCACATCAGTGTCATGTACATGAACATCCAGGAATATCCCTTCTATTATACCAGGACTAGTAGTACGTAGGATGTTATTTAAGGAAGCCAGACGCTTTCGAAAGGTCGGGAATAAATGAACAAAGATAAGCAAGGTTCACCTTCATATATTGTGATTCAGAACGGCTCTCTCATTTCTCCAAGACTTACACACCCTTTCCCTGCCCGTCTTCGCTTCACCTATCAACACCCTTTGCAATCGCTGTGACAATTCCACGACAAAATATATACCGCACCGAAGAGCTACCACCCTATTTACTAAGCCACCTACCGTCTCTTAAATTCCAACATGGGGCCATGCACGATACTGGAGAAAGTGCCCTTAGACTGAAGTTCACTGGTAAGGTTCCGAGGGAACGGCAGACCGGGTTTGCCCTCCCCCACACGGGCCAGCCGTTCATCTTTAGGCAGCTGCATCTCATATAGAAACAGGACCCTAGCTAAGCTGATGTGAAGAAGAGTCGTGGCCAGCGATTTCCCCACACAACCACGAGGACCGATAGAGAACGGAGACCAGGCCTTTCTAGCAGCATCTACTGCAGCAGGGGTAACGCCCGTCTCAGGACTGGCAATCCACCGCTCAGGCCGGTAGGTGAAAGGGTCGGGATAGTAGTCCGCTTGGTGATGGATGCTGTAAATTGCCACACCGACATCTGCGCCGGCAGGAATGGAATGGCCATCGATGGTAGCACCTCCGGAAACGACTTCACGCCACAGTGCTCCACCGTTGACCGGATTCATGCGCAGCGCTTCATCAATGCAAGCGTGTAAGTAGTGGCAGCTGTTCAGCTTTGGTCCACCTACTATCTCTTCCACATCTGTGAACGTGGAGAGAACTTCGGCTACCACCTTGTCATATGCGGCTTTGTTTCGGGCCAGGTAGAAGAATGCGGCGGTCAGGGACGTTGAGGTAGCGTCGGGTCCTGTTAGCAAGGGTCAGTGGGGAGCAAGTACTGTAGTGTGGGTGGCTAGATATACCCGCTCCGAACAAGAGAAGAGCCTCAGAGGTTATCTCAGAGAGTGGGAATGATTCCCCAGTCTTTTCATCCGTGTATTCGCTATAGATACTAAAGATATCTCGCTTTTCCGTTTGCGAGTTGATGCGGTCTCTCATTAGGACTCTAAAGTCATCACGCAAGGCCTGCCGTGCACGCGCCAGTTGAGGAATTAGGTATCCATCAAGGCCGAGCTTTGAGATAGTTGGCGATTGAAAAATAATCCCAATCCATTCGTAGGACTTGTGGACTAGGTGAAGAACATGCCGGTTGGTTTGCTCTGTCAGGGTACGGAAGGAAGTCCCAAAGACAGCTTCACTCACAATGTCGGACATGAGATATAGAGCTGCAAGTATACAAGTGAGTCTATGCCATTTCCACCGATGATGAGTCCAGACTTCATGGAACGCACTTACCATAATCCGACATCTTCTTCGGGCTACTCCAGCCTTGCTTCTCGCTCAGACTGGGGGTAGAAGATGGCTGAATTAGTTCATTACACATGATTCGAATCTGCTGGAGCTGGGATGTTTCCCAGATTTTCAAGGCATTCTTGGAGAAGGCTTGGTTGACAAGCTTTCTCTTCCGACGATGCATCTCCTTGTCCACAGCATTATGGGTACTATAGGCAAACTTGGTCGGGAATTGGTGGTAAGCAGCTGCCTTTCGGATATTTTGTCCGAAGCCATATATGTCTGTTGCACGGTTCAGCATCTGGAATTATCTAATTGCCAACGTAAGTGGAAAAACTTCCTTACCCTTCAATGCAGTACTGGTCCGGAAGAGAAGTCTATTTGGTCCGAAGCGGACAACATCGCCTGTCAAGGAGAAAATAAATGGTGAGTGGTATGAACATTAGAAGCCCTAGTAGCAACTATACATACCATACTTCTCATGGGCCCGCCACATCTCCAGGTGAATTTCACCTGTATATGAGAGATATGCCGCGTACAAAGAAGTGACCTTCGCCAACCATGGTCCAGGATATCTGGCCAGAGGGTGAAAATAGAGACGATAGACCGAAACCACCACCAGCTTTTGATATGGGTTAGACGAAACATGTATCTAAGGAAACCCGAATTGGAATTCTCACATATACCACCCCGAAAAGTGCAGTTGCACCAGCAATAGCAGACGGTGAAAGCGCCATAATTGTTGCCTCGTCCTCTGCAAACTTGGGAGTTCACTGTGGAACAGACAAGCACCCAAGAAAGTTGAGAGTGCTGATATAGGCTAGTTGATCTCACGAATCGAGTAGGTAATCAGGACTCAACCAGGTGGCTGCTTTGTTTTGTCTGATAAGACCCCTCTCGCCAGTGCAGCTCTGACGTGGGGAGTTCAAAAGTACCAATTCCTACGATCAACAGCCGCCCCAGTCTGAGCTGCATGAAGAGTTGGCCACTTCCTGGCCCCGGCGGACGGGATATCCGAGGATGCAGAGATAGGGCATGGAAAACGCGGGCGAAGGGGAGAAACCTACCTGTGCTGCAGAGCGATGTAACCATGGCGGGGATATCTCCGGCCAGTATATGGCTCATTGAGGCAATATCTCTCACTATAAGATTCCCCTCCGCCATTTCTCCTCACGGAGGCGTAATCTCTCTCGCGCTGATCATCTGAGATAGATTAGATTCTATAGCACAGAAGCTATTTTGGACCCGATAGATCTGCATTCACATGCCAAGTCCCGATATAGCACTCCTCAATGTTGGACAACCAGTACCAACTAAGACTAGATTCGCTACACTGCAGCTCGAGATTGTAGAATCTGACACCCTGGTACCCAGAGTCATAGCGCTTGAGATTGATAAAAACGCATTACGGAAAGGGAACGTATTCTCATAACAGGACAGTATACGCGTCTGTATTCTAGGTAGTTGAACTAAGCGCGATGGGTGATCTAGCTGATCTGGAGCGAGGGGAACTGGCAACAGACCTGATGCTGACCAGTGTCCTCCGAATGGACTACTAATCTTCCTCAGAGGGGTCGTCGTAATACAGGTACTTTTTATCTGTTCCTTACTCAGTGAGCTGCACTGGTCAACCTAGGACTGCCGTCTGTGCAGCCCGGTGATAGTAGCTATATAAATTCTGCAAGTTATACTGCCCAAATCTAGCACAGTGCTCAACATATCCTTCACCTGATAATCACTTCGCATATCCTCTATCTCTTAGATATTTCTATTCTTGGCTTCTTTATTCGCTTCAAACATGATTTTCCGCTTCCTGGCATCGTTGGGCGTCGTGCAACAGTCGTCCAGAGAAGAGGAAGTATCATCCTTAGCGACATACAAACAGATCGCAAGTCTCCGAAACACACCAGAAGACGAGCTAGCTCGGCAAATCGAAGCTGCTGCAGAGCGAATTTCCGAGCACGTTGTCAGGACGCCTACAATCCGTCTACCGTGGCTCGATCGCGATGGAAGAGAGGTTTGGGCTAAGCTTGAATGTCATCAGCATTCCGGATCGTTCAAGTATCGTGGTGCTCTAAATGCTTTGATGAAGACCGATTATCAGCGTGTGATTACCGCATCCGCAGGAAACCATGCCCTTGCCACAGCTGCGGCAGGAAAGCAAGTCGGTAAAGAGGTTCAGGTCGTCGCTCCAACCACGGCATCCGAGCTGAAGGTCAATCGCCTGCTTAGCGACGCCAGCGTTAGTTTGCTGGGGAGCGATCTCCATGAGGCTACTATAGCCGCGATGAAAATAGCGAAAGAATCCGGTGATGACCCTGAGAGTAGCCTCAAGTTTCTTTCTCCCTATGCTGACCCTGATGTGGTCGCTGGCGCTGGGACTGCCATAAAGGAGGCTATTGACGACACTGGTGTCGATTTCGACACGGTAGTTGTTCCTCTGGGAGGTGGTGGGCTGGCCGCAGCAACAGCTGCATGGTGCGCAGCTCGCAGGCCTGGCACTCAAGTCGTCTGTACACATCCCGAGATCTTTGGCCGGGACTTTAATGCAGGCAGCGTTTCAGAAAAGTTGGCTCATCCCACCATGCCAACTTATTCCGATGGATTGGGCGTACAACTTGTAGAAGACACGCCATTCGCTGATATCATTGACCGTCGTCTGCGTTCCATTATCCAAGTGTCCGAGTCGGACACTGCTGCGGCCATCGCCTACATTCTCCGACTCCAATCACTGCTGATCGAAGGAGCAGCAGCCACTACAATTGCAGCGTGGCTGACCAACGATCCAATTTTCCAGCAACGGAAGGGCAAAGTGTTACTGCTCCTTACTGGTGCCAATGTCGCTTCCAGCACCGTGGCCAAAGCGCTGGTGGCCGATGTTCATGACCCCAAACGTCGCCAGCAGCTTGGCCTGCGTCACATTCTAAATTCAGTCGAAAGACACGGAGCTGTGTCTGCTGGAAATGGTCAGAAGGCATTAGAAAAAGATCCTCATTCAGGCCATCACACCTTGCAGTCCATGGTAGATGTGTGGTCCGTTTTATTCGAGCGGCTTCAGCAATCGGCAGTCCGCCTGAAGGAGAGATTTGACGAAAAGAGACAACTTTCGAACAGTCTGGGCCTTCAAACGCATGAATGGGGTGTCACGATATTCATCAATCTGTACTCCAAGCTCCTCTCGCTACTTGATGAATGCCGGAATGCTTTATCAACAGGCGATCCGTCCTTGAAAGCATGGGAATTGGAAGAGCGCTATCGCGTTCTTCTCCAATTGCAATCTACCTTGACATCATTGTTTGATCGATGCAGTGCCGCATACGACCAGTCAAGAGCAGATTGGTTCTTTGATCCAGCATCTCAAAATGCGGCTGCTGTAAACTACGATCGCTATGGATCGTCCGATCTCAGAGATATGGAGCGCAATCTGCTGTCAACCCTCCGAGTTAGTTCATCACGCCCAGTGGAGTTACTGCTTGCATCGAGCGGTATGGCTGCCTACCAGATTCTGCAACACTTCCTACTCCAGCATCTGTCGGTGAACGATACCATCGTCCTCCCACCGTACATTTACTTTGAGGCATTGGAGCAGCTACAGGCGCTAACGCACGTTCGCGTTGTTCATGCACCTTCCTTCGATGCTGAGGATATAATCGCTACAGCCGAGAAGCATAACGCACGAGCAGTCTTCGCAGATCCAGTGGCCAATATCGTCTCGCTGGATTGTACCGATCTTCGGGCACTGGCAAAGGCTGTCTCAAATCGACCCGGTTGGGAAGACCGATATCTGGTGGTCGATGGGACAATGGCCTCTGGGGCACTGGAAATTGTGGACTGGTTCCAGAGTCCTTCAGCGCCAACACTGCTATACTATGAGAGCGTGAGCAAGTATCTTCAGCTCGGACTGGATATCCAGATGGGTGGCCTCCTGGTTTACCCAGCGGACCTGGACCATGAAATGCGAACTATCCGTCGTAACACAGGCACAATAATGTACCCGCGCAATGCAGCACTTCTTCCCCCGATTGACTTCGATGTCTTCCAATGTCGCATGCGCTTGCTTACTGAAAATGCCGAACACCTATACAACTTACTGCGCGGAGCCAGCAACTCTATCGCTGAGATCTCCTTCCCGATGAAGTGGCGCGAGATGGGCTGGCGCCATGGAGGGTCTCTCGTCACCATCCGGTTCTACCGAGATGGCATGAACAATAAAGAAGGGTTAGAAGCTTGCATCGACCGCATTCTCCGAGCGGCCGAAGATCTCCATGTTCCGATGGTAAAGGGAGTCAGCTTCGGCTTCTCCTTCGCCCGTATTTCTTCTGCCTCGTCCATGGCTAAGGACTCCGACCCTTTTCTTCGTATTGCCGTTGGGGCGGAGTCAGAACACATCCAGCACCTTGCCACGGCGATCATTCAGGGTGTTGAAGCGTATTGTTTGTCCTTCGACCCAGACTTGTTTTTCAAGCTAGATCCAACTTCAAACGGCGGAGCTGTCAATGGGTCTCTGGCCAAGTAGTGGTATATAGCTGAAATATTCATTTCTCCTCTTTCTCATTTAGGTGTAAATGATGGGATGGGAAAATGCTTACTTCCTCTGGCATGAAATCAAGCAGACTATACAATAGCAGCAGATTCAGCTCGATAGTTCAAGGTATTGTCCTTTCAACCCGTCTTTCCTTCCTACCCTCAGCTGCAATTCAAGCTATTGTCCTTAGAATATCTGATTAAGAGGAAAGGAGCACGCCATAAGTATCAACCCAGAGGACCATCAGCTTTCCACCGCAACACCACCACGTCCATCTCTGGAATATTATGCTCGCCATCAGGTCCAAGGTCGACCTTTTGCGAGGAAAGGTGTATCTTCCCAATGTCCTTGCACCCGTTGCGGACATAGAGGGGCAGACCATGAGAAGACGCATCACCAAAAACAGTTACACCTTCTTTGGAGGCGCGATATCCGCAAAATTGCACCAGTTTGAAACCATACCCCCGATGCTGGTAGGCGGGATGCACTGCCAGGGTCTTGAACTCGAGCTTTCCTTGGCCCTCCTCTAGGTACTGAGCATGTATCTTTGCCGCTTGTCCGTAATAACTATCGATTGCCTTGAGGGAAATAGCTCGATTCGGAGCGATATAGCTGTTCACCGTGGATCGAGACCCAAGGAGGACACGCCAGAACCCTATACGAAAACGAAAAACAATCAGCTTCACCTTCTCAATATTCATTCGACACGAACTTGCCGGGATTCAGAACACATACATTTATAGTACGAGTCTGGATTCCACCGTCTCAGCTCCGCCGACGTCCCGTACCGAACAAATGTCGCAAACGCAACGACCTTGCTACCCCCAATTGGCTCTGTCACCTGTTCATCGTCGTCCTCCAGTTCTGCGACCATAGCTAGATGGCCTGGAGTGACCATAAACCGGGTCATATCCTCGACAAAGTAGGCTTTGAAATCTTCCGGGTATAGCTTGCGATAAGGGAAGAAGTGTTCGTAAATCGGCTCATCCGCGAATGCCATTGACCCGATTTGGGCAATAGCCTGGATGTCGGCTGGGTAGGCAGGTCGGATTTTCATTTTGTGAGGGTTGTTGGATTGGTTTGTTCTTTGATTCAAATGGCTATTCCCTGGCTTCTTTGGGTGATTGGGATGGTATAGCTTTTTAGTAGCAAGAAGTAGCGGCTCCCTCATTCACTGAGCCCAGCCAAAGGATTCACCTTATTCATGAGGGGTTAGACATGCAAGTGTGTTCTCCTCAACAATGACACAGGGCTGCTCCAATTTACCGTGTCGCTATTGTAAGCTTGCCGCAATGCAATATCCATATCGAGTAGGTACACTAGAAATGAATGCCGTACCACATCATTCTGGGACATTACTGATACGACCGTATTTTACACCCGTAATACCATCAGCTGAAACCGTAATGTGACAATACAATACGATCAAAACAGTAATTCTCAAAACTATACTGCTCTATCGAGATCTGCAGTCAGCATACCTTCAGGGTCCGAGGCCGCGAATCTTCTTACCTTGGGTTCTGACCCCGCTGGCTTGGAGAGTACGGAGGGGCCGACGGAGCAGTTGTCTGCATGAGATGCTTGAACAGGCAGGTTCAGCGTGAATTGCGAGCGGCCGAGGGTTGCATTGGTCGGATATCGCACATCTCAACTTATTGTGGCGAGATTGACAAGAATATATTGTACAAAGGTACTACTATACTTCACAAGGTACGGGGTAATGCGCACGGCTTCCCAATCAAGAGTCGGGCATTGATACTTTGGTATTTGCTCCTCATGTAGATAGGCATCTGCAGTTGGATGTGCATCTAGATAGGACATTCAATTTGGGCTATTATTCTGCGTTACTTCACTGCGGTTGTATGGACTAGTTGCTGCCAATTGCCTTGCCATCTAGAAAAAAAAAATGATGACTCCAGCACAAGTGTTCACAGACAGCACTGCATCGCTGCCTCTACGAATCCTCGCGATCAGTTCCATTGCCTGGATTATCTGGAAGGTGCTACTCTACCCCAAAATTTTCAGTCCCCTCAGAAGATTCCCAGGCCCAAAGGTCAGTCATTCCATATCACGCAGGCCTATATACATAGTGTGATAACCATAGATTTCTTTCGTATAGGATAGCCATTTCCTCCACGGGCAGTTATGGAGAATCCTGTCCGAGCCCGTTGGCGTCCCAATGAGAGACTGGATTAATACGATTCCAAATGATGGGATTATCCGTATCACCACTATATTCAACCAGGAACGCCTTATCCTGACAAGTTCTGAGGCGCTATCAGATGCCTTGGTTACTCACAACTATGACTGGGATAAGCCGGAGCAGATGAAGAAAGGACTTGGCCGCATCGTGGGCCAGGGTGTTTTGCTGGCGTCTGGGAATGTGCACAAGGTATGCGCTAGGCCTCAGAAATGAATCAACCCTAGCATGAGACCAGATGGCTAACCAGGCACTCGACTCCAGGCGCAAAGAAAGCACCTCTTACCAGCGTTCTCATTCCGGCACGTCAAGACTCTATACCCTATCTTCTGGGAAAAATCTTGTGAGATGGTTGAAGCCATTACGAAAGCTACCACCAATGCCGACAATACGAACAATAAAACTTCAATCTCAATCACCGACTGGCTTCGTCGCGCCGCTTTAGACATTATTGGTCTTGCGGGCTTCGGACAGGATTTTGATGCTCTGGGCAAGCCACACTCAGAGCTCAACAATATCTACGAAAAGGTGTTTGACCAGCCTCAGAATGAGAACGTCATGAAAGCCATCGAGACGCTTGAGAATATCTTTCCTGTTGCCTGGCTAGGGAGCCTTCCGCTGCAGCACAACCGCGACGTTAAAAAGGCGTCCATGGCCATTCGCCAGGCGGCTCGAAAGGTCATCCGTAGCCAAGAGCAGTTCAAAACCAAGACAGCGTCTAGCATTCTCTCTGGAAATAGTCTTCTCTCAATTGCGTCGCGCTCGGAATACTTCACTGAGGATAATCTCATCGACCAGATCATGACTTTTCTCGCTGCTGGCCATGAAACCGTCTCTACAGCCACTGCGTGGGCATTAGTGGTCTTATGTCGCCAACCCGCTATCCAGGAAAGACTGCGGAAGGAGATCAGATCTCAGCTCCCATCTCCCAGTCAAGGTACATCTACGTTCAACGCTCAGATTCTAGACGCGCTTCCGTATCTCCACGCCGTCTGTAATGAGGTGCTAAGATTCTACCCTCCTGTTCCCCTTACTCGTCGTGTATGCGTCCGAGATACGACCATCCAAGGGGAACGGGTTCCCAAAGGAACAAACATCCTAATTGTTCCTGCTGCGCTGAATGTGTCCAAGAAGCTTTGGGGTGAGGACGCCTTAGAGTTCAACCCCGATCGATGGATGGGCTCGGGAAAGAACAATGGCGGTGCGTCCAGTAACTTTGCCAACATGACGTTTCTCCATGGTCCTCGGTCATGTATTGGAGCATCCTTCGCCAAAGCTGAATTCGCATGCTTATTGGCTTCAATCGTCGGGCGGTTCAATTTCAAGTTTAGCGATCCCGACTATAAGGCGGAGGTTCTGTCTGCTGGCATCACATCAAGGCTAAAACATGAGCTTCTCTTGACGGTCGAGGTGGTAGAAGGATGGTGAGCACTTAGAGGTGTGACTGGGTGCTCGTACCCAAGTTAGATATGGGTCTCGGGGGTGCCAATAGGCTCGAGTATCCTACGGACTTTGCGCTGTTCCAATGATACTTGAATTCTGTGAATAAAATTAGAACTACTGGTCCAAAGCATGGAACCCATGGTCATAACTTATACAGTTATACTCCACATCTATTCGAAACAGTGTACATATGATCCATTTAGCCCTTTTTAACCCCACGTTGAGTTACGATCTCTAAATCATCAAGCCGGCCATACTTTGCAAACCACAGATCCGAGATGTAGTTGCTCCTGGGCAACCAGGACCCCTGATCCGCTGCCTTAGGCATACCCTTGTCCGCCGTTCTGATATACGTTGAACTTAGATCCCATACTCGTCGCGGTTGTAGCTTCAGTCCGTTTGGGACCCGGGGTACAGCTGCCGTTGCATCTTTTGATGACAGGTGTTTGATGAGCCGAGCGCCGAATGTTGCACTCGCATCTACCCCCAATGTCCATGATGCATTCGTGTAACCGATAAAGAAGAACGCATTCGGCACATCCTGTAACATGACACCTCTCCAGAGGTATTTGTCTGCCAAGTCACAGGGTTCTCCGTTGATTTCAAGTTTAACACCGCCTGCCAGTTGTAGTTTAAGACCTGTTGCTGTGATAATTATATCTGCGTCAAGAAACTCGTCGGATTTCAATTTGATTCCCGATGAGGTGACGGCGTCAATACTATCGGTTTTGATGTCGACCTTTCCCGTATGCAGAGCTTGATAGAAGTCTCCATCCGGTGAGACACAGAGGCGTTGATCCCATGGTGTATAGCGAGGGCTGAAATGAGGATCATGGGAAATGTTGGCTGGAAGTTGCTTGATCGTTCGCCAGCGGAGAAGCCGCTGCGAGAGCTGGGGAAGGCTTTGGCAGAAAAGGAAGAACAGTCGATGTGGAATGAACCAGCTCATACGATGGTAGGTCTGCGCGATGGTCCGTGGAAGCAGGTAGTCTATCCAGGTCTTTTCGATCTCGGTATTGGGAACATTGAGAATATAGGTCGGACTGCGCTGGAGCATGGTAACCCGCTCTGCCGTCTCGGCAAGTTTGGGAACGAGAGTTACAGCCGTCGCACCGCTGCCAATGACAACAATCTTCTGATCCGCGTAGTTGACCTCTTTAGGCCAGAACTGAGGATGAATCAAGGTCCCGGTGAACTGGTCTATACCGGGAATATCCGCAGGTAACGGTTGAGTGTAGTCATAGTATCCTGTGCCAAAGGCCACGAAAGTCGCTGTGTACGACTTTTCTACTCCATCATGTTCAACCGTCAAGGTCCATTTCTGCTCTGTATCCGACCATGCCGCTCGGGTGACTCGGTGCTGAAAGGAGATATGTTGATCAAGACCACGTTGTGCAGCAGCCTCCTGGATGTATTTTGCAATTGCTTTCCCCTCGGCGATGGGGCGGCTTTTATTCCATGGATACCATGGGAATCCATAGGTAATGAGGTCGGAGTCGGACCGTATGCCTGGATATTGAAATAGATCCCATGTCCCTCCCATTGCCTCCCGCGCCTCGAGGATAATGTACGAATGGTTTGGCAGTTCGGTTTGCACATGGTACGCCATGTTAATCCCGGAAATCCCAGCGCCGATGATGATAATGTCGTAGTTGAGTTCCATAGCTGCGTCAGTGAATAAACAGTGGTAGAGAGAGACAAATTGGGACCCCACATCAGAGAATGTATATACCAGCTCGCTAGGTCTACCTGTGTATAAATGAAACTAAGTATAACAAACTGCTTGGCCATTTCCTTTCGAACAAATCATAGGTTATGCAGGTCAACTCGAAATGAACTATAGGCACAAAGAGACCAATACCTGCGGGAGACTCTGCCCAAGCTAGGATTAGGGTTACATTCAGTATTGGGTAACGATATCTACAAGTACGTCAGTAAGATTACCAGTACCACGTACAATACTCGGATTTATCCGTATTACAGTATCTGAAGGCGTTCTTTGTCTCCCGTCATGAGTCACCGATCAAACAGGACCTAGCAAGTAGGTCGGTTAATTTAATCAGTTGATTTATTTTATTTTATGCCCATCTCAGCGACCCCTCTATTCCTTTCTTTTTTTTGGTTTAACCGCCAGCTGACCCGTTTGCTCCCTATGGTGGGAGGCCCATGGTTGTTCGTTTTAAAAACCTCCCGTCTCACAAGACATTGCTCAGTGCCCTTGGAGGACCCATTCACAAGATGTCCACCAACGCACCAGCTCCCGGAGCTGGTATAGACCCAGATGCCGACAACAGGGCGGCGCTGAAGGCAAAGCGAGAGGGTAGGTTGAAACACGTTCCGGTCTAATGGAAAAACCTAACCATCCTCTCTCTCGCAGCGGAGAAGGAGCGCCAGAAAGCCGAAAAAGCGAAGAAATTCGCGGAGAAAGAAGCTAAAAAGAAGGCTGCTGCTGCTGCTGCATCAGCAAAGCCCAAAGACACCGCGGGAAGTCACCAGCTGAAGGAGACATTGCCGGAGTATACCGAAGAAACGCCTAAAGGAAAGAAGAAAGGTAACGTATTCGAAACGCCGGAAAGAAATATGCTGATTCCTGTGCGATTTTAGTCCTGAAACCCCTCGACGGACCCTTCCATTCAGCGTATATCCCCAAAGTTGTCGAGTCGGCGTGGAATGATTGGTGGGAGGCGGAGGGTTTTTTCCAGCCTGAATTCGTCGGCGAAGACCAAAAGCCAAAGCCGAAGGGGACCTATGTCATTCCAATTCCTCCTCCTAATGTGACGGGTGCTTTGCATTGCGGTCATGCGCTGGGAACAGCACTGCAGGATTGTTTGATCCGCTGGCATCGGATGAAGGGGTATACCACCCTCTATCTGCCCGGCTGCGATCATGCTAGTATTTCAACCCAGAGCGTGATTGAAAATATGTTGTGGAGGAGAGAGCGAAAGACGAGGCATGACCTTGGACGGGAACAATTCACCAGTAGAGCGTTGGAATGGAAAGAAGAGTACGTTTTTTCCCCCCCAATCGCTCATGCGAATGCGATCTGAAAGCAAGATGATCCTCTGTCCTCTTTCTACTGTCTCGAAACCATCACTTACGCGGAGATGCTGATAATGCGGGGTCCTCATAGATATCATTCCAAGATTAATACCGTTCTCAAGAGACTAGGAGGCTCATTCGACTGGACGCGCGAGGCCTTCACCATGGATGACAATTTATCCGCTGCCGTGACCGAATGCTTCGTTCGTTTACATGAAGAAGGATATATCTATCGATCGAGTCGCCTCGTGAATTGGTGTGTGCATTTCAATACTGCGATATCGAATCTAGAAGTGGATAGCAAGGAGCTGAAAGGACGGACATTACTGGAAGTTCCCGGCTACGAGCGCCCCGTGGAATTTGGAGTTCTCACCTATTTCCGGTATCAGGTGCAGGGAAGCCAGGAAACAATTGAGATTGCTACCACCCGGCCGGAGACCTTGCTAGGCGATACCGCAGTGGCTGTTCATCCGGACGATCCTCGTTATAGCAACCTGGTTGGCAAGAAGATTCAGCATCCTATTGTGGACCGACTACTCCCAATCATCGCAGATTCATACGTGGATCCGGAATTTGGAACTGGAGCAGTGAAGATTACCCCTGCCCATGATGCAAATGATTATGCCATCGGCCAGCGCCACAATCTGCCCTTTGTGAACATTCTCAATGATGACGGAACGATGAATGCTAATGCCGGAAAATACGCGGGGCGGAAACGTTTTGACGTTCGGTACGCCGTGGTGGAGGAATTGAAAGAATTAGGGCTCTTTGTGAAGAAGGAGAGTAACCCGATGAAGGTTCCCCTATGCTCGAAGTCAAAAGATGTGATTGAACCCTTGATGAAGCCACAGTGGTGGATGAGAATGAGCGAGCTAGCCAAGGATGCCCTGAAAGTGGTTCGGGATGGGGATGTCACAATCCAGCCAGAATCAGCAAGGGACAACTATTTCCGATGGCTCGAGAACATTACAGATTGGTGTCTGTCTCGCCAGCTGTGGTGGGGTCACCAAATACCTGCGTACTTCGTCGACATAGAAGGTCAACCAACAGACGAAACAAACGATCAACGCTGGGTTGCTGGTCGAACGGAGGAGGAAGCTCGCCAGAAAGCAGAGGCAAGGTTTCCTAATCAGCGCTTCACACTCCGAAGGGATCCAGATGTCCTGGACACTTGGTTCTCGGCAGGTCTCTGGCCATTCTCAACACTAGGATGGCCGCGGCAAACCCATGATCTTGAGAACCTTTTCCCGACATCGTTGTTGGAGACTGGATGGGATATTCTCTTCTTCTGGGTAGCACGGATGATTATGCTCAGCTTAAAGCTCACTGGGAAAGTGCCTTTCAAAGAAGTCTACTGCCATTCCCTCATCCGTGACTCTGAGGGCCGAAAGATGTCCAAGTCGCTCGGTAATGTAATCGACCCTGTCGACGTCATGGAGGGTATTAGCCTCCAGAAACTGCACGACAAACTGCACCAGGGTAACCTCGATCCTCGGGAGCTGGGTGTGGCCATGAAGTACCAGAAAGCAGCCTTCCCAAACGGCATTCCTGAATGTGGAGCTGATGCCTTGCGATTCTCCCTGATCCAGTATACCACAGGTGGTAAGCATTAACATCCCATTCCATGCTTCGAAGAGTGCTGCAGCTCACACTATATGACAGGCGGCGATATATCTTTCGATGTTAAAGTCATGGCCGGGTACCGAAGATTCTGTAACAAGGTATATCAAGCGGCCAAATTCGTGCTGGGCAAAATAGGAGACCAGTACACACCTCCCTCGACTCTGGATAAGACGGGAGACGAATCGCTGGGCGAGCGGTGGATGCTACACAAACTCAACACCGCCTCACAGAATATCGATCGAGCTCTGAGCGAGAAGGAGTTCTCCCGCGCCGCACAGATTGTCTATCAGTACTGGTATGATAATTTGTGCGACGTGTTCATCGTCAGTTTCTGCCTTACGATATCAATGGTTACCCGGCTAACAGAGAGATACTAGGAACACTCCAAATTCCTGATCCAGCAGGGTTCGGAAAGGGAAGTGCGATCTGCCCTCAATACACTTTACAATGCCTTAGAAGCCGGTCTTCGAATGATTCATCCCTTTATGCCATTTATCAGTGAGGAGCTGTGGCAACGTCTGCCCAGAAGACCCGGCGATTCTACTCCATCCATCGTCATTGCATCATACCCCAAATACAATGAGTCTCTCGCAGATGCCGATTCCGAGGACGCATATGAGACTGTGGTAAGATCAGTCAAGGGAATCCGCTCACTGATGGCTGGGTATGGTATTCAGGACAACGCCAAAGGCAAGCTCAATCCGCCAGACTATCTTTTTTTTTCCCAGTTAATCCTAATACATGGACGTACAGTTTTCATCCACGCGAAAGATGCCCAGTCCTATGAGCTTATTAGTAGCGAAGCCGGGAGCATCAAATCACTGTCCGGAAAGGGTATTGCTACCGTGCATGTCCTTGGACCCAAAGAACAGCCTCCAGAGGGATGTGCTGTTTACGTGAGTTCAACGTCTACAGCGGTGTTTCTGGAAATCAATGGACGCGTCAATATCACCGATGCTGTGGATAAGGCTCGGAAGCAGTTGGAGAGGATTACCGACGTTTTATCACGGCAGCGCCGTACCGTTGAGGCAGAGGGGTGGGCGGAGAAAGCCGAGGAAGCAGTCAAGGCAGGCGAGCTGAAGAAGCTTGGGGACTTGGAAGTCGAGCACCAGAACGTCACTGCGACGATTGAGCAGTTGGAGAAACTCACCATTCGCAATTAGGTATAGAACACCGGAAGGTATTGCATGGTAGTAGAGAGATAGATGGGGTACCTCAAGCCAGGGATGCACTGTAACTAGCCTAAGTGCCACGCAATGTGATTGTCCTCCGTCACTACCTCGGCTTGCCCATCTGACATTCGCTCCTAGTCAAAGGAGACTCAGTAATCTAGCTCAATCAAGGCAACAGATAGTTTCCATTGCCCATGATTGGCCAGATACAGGTAATACGTATCTATATGTACATCTCTAGATAGTACCTACTTATATATACTCCCTCGATAGGAACCGTTTCATCCAACCACCCCTCACCACTCATTCCCTCAGCTTCCCTACGTCCAATTCACCCAAAACCACTACATAAGAGAAGATGCCTCGACAAGAACACCTCACCGACTTCGCTCCCTACCCCTGGTGCCAACAAATCATCTCCTCCCCGGCCTGGCACCCCCTATCCACTCGCTCAACCTCCACAAACCGCCTCTTTACCGAAACCCTCTGGACAGACGTGACCATCCGCGCCCACGCCTCCTTCTACAAGCCCCCAACCGCAACCCCGCCCACCGAAACAGGCGGCGAAGTGCGCCTCCTCGTTTCTCTCGGCGCCGGACTAGACGGCCACCCCGGTTACTGTCACGGTGGCATGCTCGCCCTCATCTTCGACGATACCATTCATGAATTGGTAGAGCTCGAAATGAAGGAGGCGGCTGTTACAGCTACGCTGAATGTGTCGTACCGCAGGCCTGTTGCGACTCCCGCGGTTGTTTTGTGTCGTGTCTGGTCGGAGAAAGAGCCAGTAGGGAGAAAGTGGGTAGTTAGGGCTACTATTGAGAGTGGAGATGGGGGTGTTTTTGCGGAGTGCGAGAGTCTGGTCGTGAGGAAGAGGAAGGAGGCGTTGTGAGGTGTATACGGGTATTTTTTGAAGTCCGGCGGGGGGGGGGCGTATAGCTGATACATGTAAGACTCGGTATCTTACCTGAACTATGGTCATCATGCACATATCACGTACGGGAGACTCCGTCTCATACCCTTGATCATAGGTTTTTTCGGTGCTTCCACAACTGGGTACATCAAGAGCATAGTACCAATTTTCGTACACCTCAAACTGGTAGAAAGCCCTAGAGTCCCATCGATCAGTTCCCCCGCTTCCCCCCAAAATAAACCCAAAATACCACTCCAGAACCCCAAGTCCCGATACCCAACACGGCATACGCCCGGGTCATCAGCGGGTCGACCAAAAAGGGCGTGATTAGCATCGACAACAGAGACCCCAGTGTATATGTAGATAGGAAAAGTGCCATGATAGTTGACTTCATGGAGCCGGGGGCGTGGCTGTACGCGTATTCCAATCCGGTGGCGGACATGAAGATTTCCGAGATTGCTAGGATGATATAGACTGGTGCTTGCCAGGCTATGTGTACATTGTTTGGATCAGGGCATCCTACAGAGCGTGGAGAGGTGTAGCAGGGTGGAGAGTGATAGATGGAGTATTGGAGAATCCCGGCATAGGCCATGCCGAGACCGCAAAGGAAGAACCCAGCGGTGATCCTAATGATCGGGGATAGATCCAATCCAACGCGTCGGATCCGGGGAAGAAGGACTTGGTCTAGAACCGGGATGATCAGCAAGATACTAAGCGGGTTGATGGCAAACATGATATCATTCGGTAAACCATGTGTATTCATATTGGCAGCTTGAGAGATGAAGCTCGTTAGCATCTGGTTATAGGATGCCCAGAAGATAGGGTAGAAGAGGAAGATCCGACTGGCTCGTAGACAGTGGCGAAGTTCGTCAATGAAGGTTTCTGGCCATGGGTGACGGTTCTCAGCGCTCGGTTTGGCTGCGTCTAGGGTCCAGTTGTTTCGGGCGGCGATGTAAAAAGCTTGGAAGGCGTGGAGAGTGGTTGATCCTGTTGTGGGTAGGGAGGAGTATGTATTTTGGGAGAGGGATAATATTGTGATGAGAGTGAAAGTCAGCGCTGGGAGTAGGAAGGCAACGGGGAAGCCTTGTCGGTGTTCAATTGTGGTTGTTAGGATAGAGGAGAGGGAGCCCGCGTTTGTTAGCATGATGAAAATCATAAATATCCTGTTTCGAGGTTATTTCTAGGTCCGCACAAACATGCAGGAGGGATTGCACTGACCTTTGAATAGTCATATCATAATCAACGTAAACATTCTCCCCAGTGTCAAGTTTATGTACACGCTGCTCCGCAGGTTGATATTGCTCTGCGATCAACGAATTCACATTGGGTCGGATACCGCCTGCACCAATACCGATCAATAGCATTGCTGCAAGCAATGCCAGGATAGGAACACTGCTGCTTTCGAAGACAGAAAGAGACGAGCCAAAGAGAATGAACAGCCCTACTGCATATATCCGACTAGCATGTGTGATAGTTGCTTTTCTCCCAAGATATTGATCAGCGATGATGGCGCCAAAGATCGGTGTCACGTAACACCAAACTGTAAATGATAGGTTTATTAAGGTGGCGTATGACTGTCCAAGGCCTGGATATATCGCTACTTAGCCTTCTTGTCTTCCCTCCTGGATATATTTAACATACCCAGACCACCAGGGCGCAGAGGGTCATCCTTTGCATTCTGAAGGTAGTTTTGTAAGGGAGCTGCAAGACCGAAGAAGGCGAATCGATCGCAGACCTCGACCAGCGCTATTGACCACACTGATCGAGGCAGAGAATCTGGGATACGTCGCAGCGGTCTTTCGTTTGCTATCGCTTCGTTGTCGTCCGACAGACGGGGGAGTAGGGCGTCATTTTCGGTTGGAGGGGTTTGAAGTATGGGGTATCCTGCGTGGTCTGGGACTTGGGACATAATGTTATCCGATCGGTTTGATGAGGGATAAGTGAATGTTACGCTTTGAGCAGGAAAGTGCGTAAGAAAGGACATCGAGCATAATCATTGTTGACAAGGCTATGGGGATAAGGTCTAAGTTGCCAGTTGTCCAAAGACCTCGCTCTAGACGACCGACATTTCCGATAACGTACACAGACTGAGCATGAGCAGGCTGACTACTTTCTCTAGCGTCGTAAAACCTCTCACAAAGTACTGCAGTTACTTACATAGTACATTATGCGAAGATCATCACATCTCATCTGTAGATTTGCCTCACTGACCTTTCTGAGTCTTAGTGAATAACAACCCTAAAAACCATGATAAGACACCTCTTGCGACCATGACATGATTGCAAGGGGCTTGCCACAGATACCTTAATGATCATCAGTGGGGGCTGAATCCGCCATTGGATGATGAAAATGGCGCAATGTCAGGGTCAAGATTGACAAGAGGTACATAGTCGTTATTGTATTGTATCGTTGTAATACATGTAAGAGGGGTATTGGTTTGGTAAAACAGATTTACAGGTCAGTACCTATGTACGGAGTAGTACTGGACCGTCGGGGGTTGATGAAACACCGATCATATTTGATGGGTTGACTGCATTGCTTTTATGATTATCACAACGTGAATGGTATTGGGTTGTCCTCGTTCGGATTGACTAAGTTGGCAATGAAAGTCATTGTAGTAAGTTCATATACAATCCGACGAAAATGACTACCCTGACTGACTATCTTCACTAAAGGTCGGAGGCTCGCTGGGTGGCCTGTTCGCAGGCATTGTCGCTAAATCACAGGGCCACTCTGTGCACATTCTCGAGAGACATGCTGCCGCCCGCGTAAGAGGCAGCGGTGCGGGCATCGTGCTCGGAGAGTCGATCCGTGAATTCCTGTCTCGATTTGCGCCAAATAACCAGCTCGAGACCGTTGTCAGCGACGGCCATTTCTTTCTCGATCGCGCCGGAAACATTATCCGTACGGTAGAGAAGCACCAGGAGACCACGAGCTGGGACCAGCTGTATCTGATTGCGCGCGAAGCTTTTGATGGCGGGGAGATAGAGTCGAAATATCTCGAGGGGCATGCCTTTACGAAAGCCGAGGTTCGGATTGGAGATGGCAAAGTCGAAGTCTCTTACACAGATGCAGATGGGATGCTGAAGTTCGAGGATGTGGATCTTCTTCTTGGTGCAGATGGTGCATTCTCTGCTCTCCGGAGGAGTCTGTTGGCGGATGTGGCGCCGAGTTATGCTGGATACGTCGCTTGGAGGGGTATTGTCATGGAAGATCAGATAACTCCGGCTATTTTTGATCTGTGTCTGAACAAGCTGGTTTTCTATAATTCGCCCGGATGTCAAATGGCCGTATACGTTGTACCCGGGGAAGAAGGCAAACGCTATGTGAACTGGGTCTGGTATTGCAACTCGGAAGAGAATTCGCTCCCATCTCCAGAGCTCATGACTGGTAATGATGGATCAGTGCATCGAGTAACGCTGCAAGCTGGACAAGTGCGGCCGGAGGTCTGGCTTAGCCAAAAACAGCTTGCACACAAAGTCCTTCCGCTGCAATTGTCCGAAATTGTTCAGAGCACTTGCAGACCCTTTGTTCAGGCTATTTGGGATGTGATCAGTCCTCAGAACTCCTTCCACGAGGGCAAGGTGATCCTCATCGGAGACGCAGTGGCGGGGTTACGTCCGCATACAGGTGCCGGAACTGAACAAGCTGCCTTCCATAGCCTTGCTCTGGAGAAACTTCTGAATGGATCGGCAAGGCTGGAAGAGTTTGTTCGGTTGGCTATGGAACATTCCCGAAACATCCAGAATGTTGGAGTGCAAATCGGCGAGAGTATTGGACTCGGAGCCGGAAAGGAGGACAACGCTCCTCGTACAGACAAACTAGCGTAGCTCTGCCAATAGCGTGATCGTTGTATATACCATTGTGTCTCTAGACGCTTGAAGAAGATGACGTCCTCCAACGACTCCCTTTGAAGTAAACTATCATTATTAGGACAGCGCAAATGGCCCACAGGCCAGCCCATAATGAGTACAAGCCGCCGTCCCCGATGGCACTCTTATCTTTTGTTAGCACAAGCAGAATACTCTGGAAACTGAACGAACCTGGAGGGGAACTGCAACTTCGGCAAACAAGAAAGCAAGGAGGCCGCGGAAGAAGCTGTTGCATGCCACTGTGACTGTAGTATTCCCCGGGTTGATGTCAAGCAGGTATGACATGGTAGGGGAATAAACCCAGCTTTGATGGAGAGAATTTGTGCATCAGTTTCTGAATTTGCCGAAAATCATAGAAGGAGTAGGGTGGGGGATATACATAGAACATAGACCCCCAAAGAACAGGACGATAGCGATCCCTGAGATGTGTACGGTATATTGCGCCATCCACCCATATGCAAGACAAAATGCTGGCATTAGGATGAGACCTGGTATGGTGGTCGCGAGACGCACCTGGAAGTACCATGGTCAGTCTGGATATGTGATTAAAAAGCACTAATAGTTCTAAATCTCACCTCGAATGGAGCAACTGCAGTGGTATTCAGGGTGCGTGAGCGAGCCAGAAGATAATCTGAATATCGTCCTCCCAGGATACTCCCTGCCATGCTGCCTATTGCTTGGTTAATATCCACGAGACTGGTACAACTTGGCCGACTGACCTAGTCCATAAGCAAGTAGCACCAACCCTATCTTGAGGGCATTAAGATGGTATCTGTCGGAGAGAGTTAGAGTACAGGTGTACGATATACAGTACGTGAACCCATAGTTCAACCCTAAAATTATAGTCAGTCTGTTTCTAGCATGAAGCCCGAAAGGTCCGCTATGGGATACGGCTGCTCTCACCTGTAGCAACTAGTAGGACTACATTGTTACGCTTCTTAATGACCCTCTTTAGTGATTTCATCACCCTGAGGTCAGAAGGATAGACAATTATTTTGTCCCCCGAGCTGGGATGCGTAGCACCTCCCTCGGGTGACGAAAGGTCTATCGCCTGGCTCTGCCGCTTCGCAATCTTTTTCTTTCGTACTGCCAATGCATCTTGATATGTACTACTATGATCTTTCCGGAAAGACTCTTTCATTAAAATGATCACGCTGGCGTAGGTCACACCGATCCAAATGGCGAGAAACCAGAAAGTAGCGCGCCACGACAAGTACGTCGTCAAAATACCACCAATGACCGGGCCTTCTTTCTGTTAGTTCTCGGACCAGTCAGATGGATCCTGTCACAAGCATACCGAGAGATGGTCCAAGCATCGGTGCGGCATAGTAGATGCCGAATTTTGTTCCGCGCTCGTGAACATCGTAGATATCGGTCAACGATCCTGCTCCTACCGAGAACAAGGAGCTATTGCTAAAACACAGAAAGACGGTCAGCGATATGATCACCACGATCGAGGGTAACGATGGAGAACAATCACAAGGAGCACCTACCCCATCGCTTGAATACAGCGCATCCCAATCAACAGTCCGATCGACTTTGCTACCGCAGCGCCTATGTAACCCCCAAGTGCTATTGCGAGAGAAACCATATACACGGGCTGTTCCGCCTATCAGCGTTACTGCCTTCCATGGGGACCTTGGTGTACCATAAGATACCTTTCTGCCGACCAACTCACTAGTGAGACTCCATGGCATTGGGAACATGCCCGACAGCAGGATGAATAAAGAAAGGGTCAATGAGATGTGCCAATCCTGAGCATGGAGTGAAGATTTGATTGCATCAATGGCAGCTGGTGATTATTGTCAGCCAGTCATGGTCAACGTGTACAGCGATCGCTATACATCACTCTACAAGGGCCGCATGGTATACTTACGATTGTAGATATTCGGCGCGAACCCAACGACCAATGAGCCGTTTGCTACTGTCGCCAGGGTTATCCACTTTAGGAAAGTTAGCATTGATACTCAGGTAGTGGTAGAATGTCATTCGAGGCTCTTAGAACCTGGAGGAAAGGCTAGACCCCAGAATACACACCTTTCTCATAGCCGACCATTGCCTAGGATCCTCTCTAGGATCCTCTTGAACTTCGGGTGTCTCATGGACAGTTCTCACGTATCCATCTTCTTTGCAATGGCCTTGGGGCTGGGATTGTTCCTCGATGGAGGGTTCCTGCGGACCATTGATAGGCCCAATATCACCTGGGGGGCTTTCACTGCGAATGGCCATTGGTACGACGGGGTGATCAGATGCGCCAGGTTGTGATTGCCGGGGGGGGAGCGTGGTTATTCAGCTCGATAGTGTTAGTGAGTAGGAACCAGTGGGAGGGAGGCCTTGGGACACGGAAACTTGGTAGACCTTGGGGGTGGAATTGGTTGGTGGCACTTTGCAAGCATGCAGGATGGAAAGAAATTCGTGTCAAGTTTCTGTAGGTTCACGTGAGTCAGCGACATGCCGATCCCTTGATATAATATAGGGTAGTATATCTCTGCATGAGGAGTATTTACGGTGTATGGACAGGTTTTCTGTCCGATACATCAGACAGACAGTTTGAAAAAAACAACAGATACATACAGCCGATCTTACATTTACAATACGAAATGTTCCTGATAAGCGCTCTGTGACAATTCTGAGCTACGTGAGAGACGCTTTCGATCACATCAATTTGATACATTGATACGGGGCAGCCCCTCTGCGGCCCGTAGGTCGCGGAAGGACCCGATTGGGGCTGATCACTAGCAAGCAAGGGGTCTGACTCCAGCCAAACCCCGCGAAGTAAGCACTAATGTAGTGTCACACTATCACACTCTCTCTAGTCAATACTCCTGCAATATCTACGAAAGATAGGCGACGGCAACTTGGCACAGAATAGCCGAGGCCGTGTAAAGTCTCTGCGATGATGAGCATGAGAATGCAAGCGGGGTTGAGGGGAAGTCCCAAAGTAGGCGATAGTCCTGCACGCTTCTAGTGGGATACGCACATCGAGGTTGGTGTGTACCTTCAAGATCAATGTCTAATAGTAGTAAGAATCTAAGTAAGTCGAACAGCAAAAACTCCCTTGGCTCATTTCATCTATCGTACGAAGCCGAACTCTCAATGTCCGCCCCATCGCCACCAAGCGCCATTGATGCAGAAGTCCAAGAGGCTCAGACTTACCTGAAAGGGCTGATTCAGAGGGAACAAGGAGACCATGTACCTGCCTTCTCGTCAATTCCGGTCATCAACCTTGGCCCATTAACGCATGGCTCCCCCGCGGACAAACAGAGAATCGCACGGGAGATCCACGAGGCCTGTACGGTCAGTGGCTTCTTTTATATCAGTAATCACGGAATCAGTGCAGACCAATGTGATGGAGTGTTAAATCAAGCGCAAAGATTTTTCAAGGAACTCGCATTCGAGAAGAAGAAAGAGATTCACTATCAAAACTCAAAATTCTTCCGCGGCTGGCGACCATCGGCCGACATCCTCCAGCGGTCCCATCCCGATAGCGCACAGTGCCTCGGCGTAAAGGGGGTGGGAGACTACAAAGAAGCCTTCAACTGGGCATATCAGTATGATCTGGACCCCACCGGTGGCGATGGGAAGTATGTGGAGCTTGATGGCTCTCGATTAGTCGGGAACCTCTGGCCAAAAGAGGAGGATCTTCCTGGCTTCTTCGACGGGGTGAAAGGATTCTACTCCGAGGCTTTGCAGCTATCTCGTCGGTTGATTCGGCTCTTTGCACTGTCCCTTGCTCTCCCCGAAACCACTTTCGATCACTTGGTCACTCACCCGGGCGGAGTGGCACGCCTGCTGTACTACCCTCCCACGGACGAGGAGGAAAGCTTGGTCGGTATTGGAGCACATTCAGATTTTGAGCTTTTTACGCTTTTACTACAATCGGATATCAATGGACTAGAGGTCCTGTCTCCGGACGGGAAATGGGTGGCCGCAGACCCTTTGCCGGGAACGATTGTGGTCAATGTGGGAGATTTTATGAGTGAGTTGACATCTACTGCGCAAGTGTTCTACAAGAGGTTGCTAATCATCCTTTGCCCATATACAGTGCGAATGACGAATGGTTTGTACAAGAGTACCATCCACCGGGTTGTCAACCGCACCGAGAAGGAGCGATACAGCGTTCCATTCTTCTTCTCTTTCAACTACGATGAGATTGTTGAGACTATCTCGAGTTGCGTTCCGGAAGGAGAGGAGCCCAAGTACAAACCTATCAATGCCGGAAAGTATATCCTGGAACGTCTTCGACTCGCTCTCAAGGATAATGAATGATCAGGACAGGTTCGAAACATGTATAGCTTTATTGTATCGCAGTAGTCTTGATGAGAAATCTACCATCTTTCATCATGAATAAGACAATGCGTTGGATGGTAGAAGTTATGGCTGTTTCTGCCATGTATATATACCTTAAAAGGCTAGATTTAGATTCGTCGCTTGATAAAGTTCAACAGGGCAATGCCTAAAAACAACCTTATTTGAATATTCTTCAAGATATTTCATAACACGTACACTTTAGTCTTTCATGGTGATTTGAAATTCTCATCTGCCCTAGGGATACTTTATTTTTGGGTGGTAAGTGCTTCAAGGGTGACAGAACCACAACTGCGGTCTCCATACTGGCCGTATAATCAAAGCAGAGCACGTTTAAATCATAAAGCAATAGTCCGTCCGCATCAATATCCGGCTAACGTTTACTCCAATCTGCATATCTCTCCCCAACTCCTGGTCGATGATATCTTTATAGATGCGCGGCATCTGCGCCCCCTTCTCGGCCATCCGCGCCAGCAGTTTCAAAATGAGATTCAGATCCAACCGATAAGACTGCTGTTGCGTGAGGCGCCACTGCGCCAGGATAAACCGACAACACATGAAATACGACGACGCTAGCATCGGGTTCGAAACCGCGTCGATCACGAGCCCCGAGATCTGGCGCAGGACAGCCACCACTTTATCCACCGACTTGTAGGAGCAGACGAAGTTCTCCCGCTCCGACGGAAGACGGGCGCTGCCGGGACTCCGGTGCTCGACTTCAGGCATGTAGAAGAGCAGCGTGGAGCAGGTGTGGAGAGTAATCAACAGCCAAACACTCTGGTCCACGTTCTCGGACGGCACCTCAGCCACGTTATGGACACACGCAGGCAAAGACACCCAGAAGCAGGCGAGGGCCGACTGCAGCTCATGGAAGACGGCTAAGCGGTTTTGAATGCCTTGGGCCTCGGTAGGCATCGGGTTGATGCTCTTGTATGTCACGATGCGACCAAGCATGACACTGGCTTTACACACCAGACGCGGCAAAGAGACTCCGATGGGAATGTTGGCTGTCTCCGACGCGAGCGCTGCCAGGTCCCGACTGTAAGGTTCTGGTTCTGGGCGCAACCCGTGTTGCAGCGACCGGTCGTCTAAGGGATAGTTCACACACCATTGTATATCGTCCATCACAAAGTGGCGGCCCATGAGGTAGTTCATGTGTCGGTCAAGAACGAAGAGCGCCCACAGGGTCCCCCGGCATTCCTCCTCTTCCAACGGAGAGAATCGCATAGTTGCTGGGATGCTTGGATTGGGATCATCCAGTTTATTCAGTCCATTCAGACATGCCAGCGAGTATGCTTGCGCCAACAGCACCACGACTTTCGTCATCTCCCCTGAATAGTAGAGCGAAAACACACACCATATGGCGGCTTGTAAGTCACGCAAAAAATTTTCCTGTCATCAGTCAATTCGCAAGAAAAGGAGAGGGGGGAGGGAAACATGACTAAGAATACTCACTCGCAGAAGAGGACTCTGCGCAAGCGAATCAACGGCGATTTGCAAGAACATATCTGCTCGAGTTGAGATCGTCATGTCGCGATGGGCTCTTGCGGCAGTGGCGAGGATGGCCCATTCTAACGGAGTTGACACTACGGGGCCCCCGGGTCCCCGCAGCCGCTCTAGAAAAGTTTCCTTGTGGATACAAGGAAATTTCGGGTGGGACCGCTCAAAGAAGTCGGCTGTGAGCTGAATAATTTCCTCCGGGGATAGCATTGGGCTCGGCGGACGGGTGGATAGATTCTGCGGCGATGGCTGGCTAGGATTCCCCGTCATCGGACTGTCAAGGGACGGTCCGCCATACCCGGACACGCCCTGATTTGTCTCCAAAGGCAGCGGGGAGAGGTCCAGCGGGAAATCGTAGGAGGTGATGGACCAGGAATTGCGACCCGACCAGGAGACCCTCCATGACGGCACCCTGTCCGATACCAATGATGATCAGCTCGATGACCGCCTCGGCGCGGCTGGTCCCTGGATTCCAGCGCGTGATCAGGCCACTGATCAGCACCGTCAGCGCAGAGCCTACCCAGGCGTTGGCCAAAGTGAGGCCATACTTGCTGGTGACCCAGCCGGCGATGGGGTTACCAACGGCCAGACCCAGCATCATGGGCAGCAGGGCGACGCCGGACATGGTGGCCGAGTCGCCATAGACCAGCTGGAAATACTGTGGTACGTAGTACATCATCCCAAGCAGGTTCGCGCCGTAGAAGAACTCGGCGAAGAAGATGGCAACGAGGGCGCGGCTTTGCAGGAACACAGGCGGCATGAGCGGATCCTTGGCCCAGTGCTCCCAGACCATGAAGAGTCCGAGCAGCACCAATCCACCCACAAAGCAACCAATGACGCGGCCATCGTTCCAGGGGAAGTTGTTCCCACCCCAGGAGATGGCCAGCAGGAGACATATCGTACCACCGATGAGCGTAATGCTGCCAAGAATGTCGAAGTTCTTGATGCGCTCCTTGTCCACCTTTGGGGTGGGCAGGCGCAGAAAGAAGAGAGTGATGATCAGACTGATGGGGGAGATGCACAGATTGATGTAGAAGCACCAGCGCCAAGTGACATATCTGTTAGTTCTCGTTTAGCTTCTAGGGATTTTCTTGAAGAAAACAAAAAGATTGGCATTATGAGAGACATACTGAGAGAAAGCTCCACCAAGAAGAGGACCAGCAACATCGGCAATGGCCCAGACCAATCCGGTGAACGAGATATACTTTCCGATATCCCGTAGCGGCACAAGGTTGGTAATGATGACCTTTTCGAGAGTCAGAAGATAGCCCTTTCGGGTGTGTATTGAATGAACTCACATTGACCAATCCATAGATACCACCTCCACCAATACCCTGGATCACACGGGACCAGATCAGCATATTCATGCTCTTGGAGCCACCGCAGAGACCACTTCCCAGGGTGAAAATGAGGGTTCCAACAATGAACATGTTGCGCTGCCCAAAGATGTCGCCTAGCTTGCTGTAGAGGGGCAAGACAAGGGCAAACGTGATGAGGAACCCAGTTCCCAGCCAAGATGAATTATTGTAGGCATTGAATTCAGACGAGATGATGGGGACGGCCGTGGCAACAATGTTGAAATCCAGAGCGGTCAGAAGCATTCCTATATTCAAACTGTTGGCGATTAGTTTCAAGACGGAGCATCACAAGGGAGTTCCCCCAGAGAAAGAGACCGTTACATACCCAAGCATAACAATCCAGAACTGGGAAAGCGGCAGCCCAGCCTTTGCGCCAGGCCGCGTATCCTCCTCCAGGACCACATCCCGGCTGCCATTCCCAGACTTCTCGAGATCGATAGACAGGGTGGTTTGCCCCGAAGCCTCGGAGGCAGTGACCCGTTCCTCTGATCCTGGCTGTGCTGCCATCATAAAGGGTAGTTTCCTGATCGTGAAGCGATACAGCAGGACTTTATCGTCATTGAACCATCAATTCTGGAGAGGATGAAGTCCAAGAGGCGGGAAGTGACCAGGGGAGGCAGCCAAAAAAATAAATAGACGAAGCCAGTCTCGCCATCCCGACCGACTCAGACGTCCTTTGGCTTCAGACATGCTTGACCTGTACCCTAATCTACCTGAAAGATGACTGACATCTCAAGAGTCGAGACCCTGACAAATCGGGGGCGGCGAGACCCACAGAATCCGCCCGATACCCTTGCTAGCGCCCGCCTGGGAGAGAAATGCAATTGAATACATTATACAGCTGTGGGGGGGTTGTTGCTATGTACTCCGTAGCTACCAGTTAGAATGTCTACAGCGGAGGCTAATCGACTAGCGCCATCGATGCTTACTGTGTAATCATTTGCTGGGGGACATTCGCAGTTACGCTGGAGGGCTAGGGGCCTAGGGCTAGTGATGCAAGATGATCTCTAAACCATTTCGTACCTGGGGTAGGCTGAATCTTTTGATATGTTGGATCGGAAGCAATCCGGGGCATCAGTCTCGAGGACTAGCAGGGTGCCTACGAAGAGCAGCTGTTGGCCGAAGAGTCCACTGAGTGGTGCCCACAACAGAGGCCCTAGGGTCGGTCGTATGCCAGTTTACATTGGAACCGCTCCCTGGTGACTTCAGACGGCCATATTTACCTATCACGGACCCAGAACAAGCAGCGACACACCAAGTGTACATCAGGCATGTGGGACTGGATACCAGGCGGACCACATGAGGTGTCCTTTCCTTCGTTTGCCATTCTTGGTTCATATTTACCATATCCCTCATATCCCTCATATCCAACGGATCCAAGTACGTCGTTCATAGCCGCAAAGGCATGTGGCATGTGTATTGTCCTCCAAATAATACCACGGTACAGGAGCAAAAAAGAATCAAAAACATACAACAGCCGGGATTCGCTGGTGGTCACCCACCCAACTACTAACCGGCCGGCGTGTGGCTTAAGTACGGCTGAGCGGACGGGAAGCCCTGTTCTCCACACCCTGTGGTCGTATGTGCTTGAATTCATAAGGAGGTGGTTAATATATGACGGTATTTTCCCAGGGATAACATGTGTTTAGGCCTGGCACCAGTTCTCCGGCGCGAAGAACGCGATGCAAGACTACTACGGATATGTTGAAAGGACCACCCTCAAAGAGAGTCTCTGATAACATCACCGCCCCTCTGGAGGTTGCGGAAAATGATCCAAAACCACCTCCTTCCCATGAACCGAAACGCGAGCCGTAGGATACCCCCTCTCTCCCACATCCACCTGCAGCGTATACTTCCCCGGATACAGCACCAAATCACCATTCGCGGCCGTGCGCGCCATCGCCCCCAGCGTCACTTCAATCTCGACTGACCGTCGCTCACCAGGCTTCACCTGTTGCACCCGGGTATATCCCACCAGCGTCTTGAGCGGATACGGCTCCGGACCCGCATCCTCGGTCTTCACGAACAGCAGCGCCACGTAGTCCGACGTCACTGTCCCTGTGTTCTGCACCTGCACGCGGAACGTATCGAACAAGGCTCGGTCGACATGCGACCCCCCAGGCGCACGGTTCACCAACGCCGCAGTGTTATACGGCCCCAGTCTCCCGCGGTCCCAGCTCACTTCGAATGAGGTATAGTGCAGCCCGAAGCCGAACGGCACCACCGCCTTGTCGTACCACCGGTACGTGCGCCCCGGGTTGTCTCCACCGGCGCGCAGCCCCATCTCCGTCATCGGAACCTGCGCGGTATACGCGGCCGGATACTGGGTGATTGGCAGCCGGCCGGCCGGCGCGGCTTTGCCGGTCAGGATGTCGAAGATGGCGGCCCCTCCTTCCTGGCTTGGATAGCCGGCCCAGAGCAGGGCGTTGACGTGGGGGTTGGTGAGGAGCGGGGTGTCGTCGACCTGCCCGCCGCCGAACTGGATGACGATGAGCGGTTTGTGGAGGTTGGAGAGCTCGGAGATCAGGGAGAGTTGGTTTCCGGGCCAGGTGATGGTGGTGCGGTCCAGGGTCTCCGATTCAATGGTATTGTCGATGCCGCCGGCGTAGAGCACGACGTCGGCGTCTTTGGCGGCCGCGAGCGCGGCCGCGAAGCCGGCGGTGCTGCTGTTGTTGATTGCCGTGCCGGGGGAGTACTGGACTTGGTAGCCGTGCTGGGTGGCGGCCCATTCGAGGGTGCGGATGTACTTGGGTGGGCCCTGGTAGTTGCCCTGCATTTGCTTGGTGGCGTTGGCGTAGGGTCCGATCAGGGCAAGCGTGCCTTTGGCCTTGAGCGGCAGGGTTTGGTCGTTCTTGAGGAGGACGATGCCCTCGACGGCCGCTTTGTGCGCCAGTTGCTCTGCCGCAGGGGTATCGACGTCCTTCCAGCCGATGGAGCCGTACGGTTGCTTCTCTGCGGGATCGAAGTAGCCCAGCTTGACGAGGGAGGAGTACAAGCGGACGAGCGCCCTATCCAGGGTCTGGTTCGTATACAGCCCCTGCTCTGCCGCCTCGCCCAGGTGCTTGGGAAACACAGTCCCACAGTCCAGGTCCGTGCCCGCGTTGAGCGCCACGGCTGCCGCCTCGGCACCCGTCTTCGTGTAGTTATGCCCGATGTAGATGTCGTCGATGGCGCCGCAGTCCGACACAACCCAATGCCCGGGCTGGTCCCAGTCCCAGTGCTCGCGGAGCAGAGTCTGCAGCAGATACGGGTCCGCACAGGTAGGCACGCCGTTCAGCGCATTGTAGCTGCACATGACCGCGTCGACCTGCGCGTCGCGGACGCAGCTCTTGAACGACGGCAGGTAGAACTCCGCCAGGTCCTGCGTGGACACGCGCGCATCGAACTCGTGCCGCGACACCCCGTTCCAGTCCTCCATGTCATACGCCGCGAAGTGCTTGCACGTCGCCGCGATCTGCGGCCGCGCCGGCCCAATCCCGCCCTGCAGCCCGTCGACGAGATGGTACACGTACCGCGAGACATGCAGCGGGTCTTCGCCGGGCGTCTCCTGTCCCCGCCCCCAGCGCGGATCGCGGAAGGGGTTGATGTTCGGCGTCCAGTAATCGAGTCCTGCGCGCCCGGCGTTCCCGAAGGCTCGGCCTTCCGTCCCCACCACCGTGGCGACCTGCTTGACCAGCTCGTCGTCGAACGAGGCGCCGAGGAGGATGGGCTGCGCGAACGACGTCGCGTAGCTGAAGGGCCCGCTGTCCGCGAAGTGCACGCCGGGTGCCCCGGCGACCCCGTGCAGCGCCTCGCTCCACCAGTTGTAGGCGGGGAGGCCTAGGCGCGGCACGCCGGGGGCTTCGTACTGGGTGTTGTTGACTTTTTCCGCGAAGGACATGGCGTCGACGAGGGACTGGGCGCGTGTGGTGACGTCGCGGGAGGTGTCGCAGACGGCGAGTTTGCTTAGGGGGCCGCTGGTGCAGTCTGGGAACTTGTTATCGGCCAGAGCTGTGGAAGCGAGGTAGGTCATGAGGGCTATGGCGTTGCCATAGTGCTGGGGGGTGAGGCCGACCATGGCGACTGTGTTGCAATGGATGCTCTCCTCACCACAGCGAGGGTTTCCAATCGGTTTATATGCTTCTTGGATGGAATATGGAATGCCGGAGGACATTACCATCGAGGATGTTGATGTCACCAGCTCATTCAGCCGGATTGCACTGACGAAGAGCTAATGGAGCAAAACTCCGGCGGACTGCTGCATGGAGCGGACCCTGATGCAACATGAGAATGCACATCGAGCATCACGGCGCAGGGATCAGATTAGCCTGAATATGCGCCGATGCGGGGGATCGTCAGCGATGGCTGTCCCGATGTCAATGCTTCTTCGGTGATTTGCGGGGAGGATCCATGGTGCTTAGGAATCAATAAACATTACTATCTGAGGTCATGACTCGTATCTCTCTATATGGTATGCTACACACAGCTTCAAATGGCATATCGGAACTCCCGGTTCTCAAAGTCGGTCTGGTCCAGGAACTCATGGTTCTTCTCCACCACATATGCATCGCCCAGCGCAGCTCTCTCGGCGTCGCGCTTCTTGTTCTCCCGGATCGACAGCCAGCGGATCAGATACAGATCCAGCGTCACCAGCACATACAGAATGACAATCGAGATCTTGGCCGGCAGATAGCGCGGCCCGTCCTTCTGCTGGAACGTCTGCGGCGAGATGATGTTGCCCACGGTGTACGCGATGGTCTGGATGCACGAGACGGTAATCTTCTTGGTAGATCCGGCCACGTTGGTGCTGGTCAGCGCCAGAATCGTCGTCCAGCCGATCGGAATGCCGCCGGTGAGATAGTATCCCACCAGCGCAGGCGCCTTGTCCGTGGTCGCCATCAGGATCGCGCCCACGATGCTCGGGATGTGGCCCGCGATACACCACAGCAGGCGCTGCTCGGTGCGCATCGCCAGCCACGTCAGACCGACCAGCGCGACGACCTCGTACGCGCCCAGCGGGGTGACGAGCAGCAAGCTCTTGGTCGCCGAGTACCCCATGCCGGTGACGAGGATGTTGCCGAAACTGGTCGCGATCGAGTTCGGGATGTTGGCCCCGAAGACCCAGAACGAGTACAGCCAGGTCTTGGGGTCGCGCAGCGCCTCGAGGAACTGCGCGCGCTTGAACTGCGTGCTGCCGATACCCTGCTCGTTGCTGCGCAGCCGCTCCGCATGCAGCGCCTTCTCCTCGGCGGTCAGGAAGCCCGCGGTGACGGGCGAGTCCGGCAGGATGAAGAAGAAGACCACGCCGACGAGCGTGGTGAACAGGCCCAGGATCAGGAAAATGACCTGCCAGCCCTTGAGCGCCGCGGTCGGGTCCGAGCCCACGTGGATCGCCACCCCGTACGCAATGTATCCGCCGAACATCTGCGCCCAGCCGCACATCGAGAACCACAGCCCGACGCGGAACGCCTGCTCCTCCTTGCGGTACCACTGCGAGGTGAACACGACCCACGCGGGGATGACGGCCGCCTCGGCGCAGCCCAGCAGCGTGCGGCAGACCATCAGCGACGCGAAGGACTTGCACGCCGCCATGCACGACAGGATCACGCCCCAGAGGGTGACGTTGGCGGCGACGTAGCGCGCCAGCGGGAACGCCTGGATCAGCCGCATGGTGGGGAACTGGAAGGCCAGCTGGCCGAAGAAGAAGATACTCGAGACCCAGTTGAACTGGTTGCCGTGCAGGTGGTTTGATTCGCGGATCCCCGTCACACTGGCGTAGCTGATGGCGATCTTGTCGAGGTACTGGCAGAAATAGACGATGCAGATCAGCGGCATCACGTACAGGTCGATCTTGCGGACGAGTCGCCGCGACGCTTCCGGGTCCAGCGCGCCGTTCCCACTCCCACTCTCCGTGTCTCTGGCGGCCAGCAGCTCCAGCGCGGCGTCGCCTTTCGGTTTCGGTTTCTCATGGGTGGCTGTGACGACCGGAGTCTTGCCGTCGTGGACGACGGGCTGAGCTGGAGTGTCGGCCATTTGCGTAGCGTGCTTTTATCCGGCAGGTTTCTAGACAAACCCCCCGTTTTTCTGTTTCCCCTTTTCTTTTCTTCGTTTTTTTTTTTCCCCGATAAACGCAGGGGAAAAAGCACCCGGGGCCGACGCCTTAAATATCCAGCTAGCTCCCACCCTCCCAGTCATTTGCCATGACAGGAGTCAAGCACGCCATCGCGTTAACGCTCTTGGCGGGCTGTTGGAGAGACAGAGATAACAGATCCTCCCATGGATATACGTTTCGTGATCCAATTAGGTTTTATCTCAGATTGGGGCCTGTTGTTGCGCTGGAGAAGACTAGTGTTAAGATATGATGAGACCGTCTCGGTTACACCTCCAGGCGAGAGCGAAGTCTCCACCGCCAGTGGAAAAAATTTGTCAAGAGTCAAGACAGCGAACAAAAGGGCCCCCCCCCGATTATCGGGATAGATACGATGTCTGGTCTCTGGAGTCGCTCTTTAGAGTTCTGGACTATGAGACAAAATGGGTGATTTCGACATCAGGGTCTATCTGTACGCCATTTGTGTGCGTCCGAGCAGAAACAAGCGTTCTGTCCCGGCTCGGCTGAAGGGAAGTAGAAACAGCCGCCAAAGCTTTTCACGGGAATTAACCAGCCTTCCCTCGGGCTTCTACGGATTACATCGATCAATTATACACACCAGTTCACGTCATATCGCCGTCCAGAAGGTCCGCATAGCGACCCAGTGACCGTCCGATGAGATTCACCAGCTCCCAGATATAATCCGCCGTGAACAGCCGCGCCCAGAGACGAGTGACAATCGCGCTCAGCCGGGCATTGTTCCCCAATAACCACTCCCGAGTCACCCCGTGCTGTGTCTCCATCACCATCTCGATGACAAACTCCAGCAGCTTGCTCTCCTGCTCCGTCAGCGCGGGCACCGGGTTCGCCTCCGTCGCCGCCTCGAGCCATTTTGCCAGCAGCACCGCACACTCCAGCGAACACAACGCATACTGGTTCGACCAGGAGACCACCTGCGTGTGGGCGACGTAGTTGATGCCCAGCTTGATGGGCGTGCTGAGCGCATGGGCACAATGGAGCGCCGCCCGCGTCAGCCGGTCCCCGCGCTGCACGCACAGATTCTCCCGGAGCGACCGCGCGATCCGGTCCGGGTTCCAGGTCTGGAGCTGCCGGGCGGCGGTGAAGTCGGCGTTGAGGCGGATGTAGGCGAGACGGAGGAGGGCGGTGGAGGTGAAGGAGAGGGGACCATGCGGGTTGAACGGGTCGATGGAAGATTCCTGGTTGCGCTCCCAGCATTGGCACCAGTGTTCGAGCGCTTGTTCGAGCGAGAGCGTTTCCGTCGTGGAGAGCGAGCGGTTGCGCGCCAGGCGCAGTCGGCGGGCTTTCTGCAGGAGCCAGATGTCCTGGAGGATGGCGTGGATCAGCACATATCCGCCGAGGGAAGAGAAGCTTTCCAGGTGTGCTTTGGCCGCTGGCGCCGGGGCGAACAGCGACGACAGCGCGTCCTGGAGCTTGGGCTCCGGTTGGACTTGGCGTCGTTCCTGCAGCCAGGCGCTGGCCCTCGCAGCCTGCCATTCCTTCTCCGTGCATGGCAGATCCAGACTAAATTCCTCGGCGAGAATCATGGGTGGCAGGTCGAAAACGATGGTGAGGATGTTGAGGAAGCAGAAGACGGTCAGGATGGTCCGCTTCACGCACTCCCGGCGCACCCAGCTCTTCCAGGAGCCGTCCTGCTCCGGTAATTCGTTCAACCCTCCCATCCGCAGCAGCGTCTCCGTGACGCTGCGGATCGAGAGGGACTCTGAGTAAGCCGGGTCGCGCTTGAACCATGACGCGACGGAGTGGAGCAGCAGTAACGCCTGGATGGTTTCGAGTAAGTCCTGGTTTTCGGGAGTCGGGGGATTGGCGAGTCTGAGCTTCTCCGAGTCGTCCTCGGCTGTGGGAAACTGGTACCTCCTCCGAATGTGTTCCAGCGTGACGGTTCGGGCGATGTGGTAGAGACTCGAGCTGGTGTCCGGTTCGCGGCAGTATCGCGCCCCCAATGCGGCCATGGACAGAAAAAGCGGCAGACTCAACCGGTCAATGTCCAGGGTAGGGATGTGGATGAATGGGTAGTGGTCATGGTACCCGGTCAGATAGCCCGTGAGACATCGCGACAAGGCGTGTCGCGACAGGAGGAAGGCGTTCGGGAGAACATTGGAGTAGTCTGCGAGCAACGCAGCGATTCGATTGCGGCATTGTGCGGTGACCGAGATGGTGGCAATCCTGGGCGGCCGTGCCCTTTGATAGGCCGCATCGGACTCTTCGGGTTGAAGAGAGGGCAATTGGGTGCCATGACGGGGGAGCACCGGCCTCGACTGCTTTGCGTTTCCCTCCGTTGCGGCGGTTCCGTCGTAGCCGGCGGTCGGGTCCAACGGCCACCCTGGAAACAGGGGCAGTGGTTGATATGTTGGGGAGTATGGGTGGCTGGGCAGCGGAATACTGTCTAGAAAGGAGGTAAAGTCGTCGCCGTCGTAAGCATTGGCAGCCGCGTACCCTGATAGAGATTCGGCAAAGGCCGTAGTAGTGGTAGAAGTCGTAGCATCTGCTGTGCCCTGGGCGGCAAGCCGTAAATTATGGCCGGCCAGCGTTGTCTGATCCGCGGCTGCCGGCAACACGGAAGTAAAGGACGAGCCTTGGCTGGCCGAGAGTGGATGCTGGGCCGGTCCCTGGGGTTGAGGCCCATGAGGAGTGGACACGGACCGATCCGCGACCGCTGAGGCAAGGATATTTAACCCGTCCAACACATGGTCAGTAGGGACTGATTGCGGAGTTGTGTCGTTGGCATTGTTGGTGTTGACGTTGCTGTTGTCGTTGGATGAAGGACTGTGGGACAGGCGCTGATGTCGAGCCAAGAGATCTCTGAAGTTGATCAGTAGCCATTTTTTTCTTATCCTCTATCTAATTGCAGACGGGGACAGTCCTACTGGCGAGTGAATGACTTGGGACATTGATCGCAAATGTATGGCTTTTCCTTGGTGTCTGCATTGCCCCGTCAGCAAGATTTGGAGAACAGCCGAGGAAATTGGGGGAAGGACAGACGCGACCGATCATGGCGCTGGAGATGCTCTAAACGGGCAAATGCGCGAGAGCATCGCTGACACTGGAAAGATCGAGCCGCTTTGACCATTTTCCATCGTGATGAGCTGGTGGGATCGAGGGAGGTTTCCAATCCCCAACGGCCGGGTGCTGGTCTCTATCCTGTATTCCTCTTTGATTCCTTGATTCCAGGTGAGCAAACGCCAAGAATCAGCAATCAGCAATCTGCGGGACGGGAAACAGAACCGGCATTCACCCCGAGAACGGTGGAAACTGGACTGTGGGCTCGATGGAGCCTGGGATCAGGAGCATCCCACCGTACTCCACCGAGATAAGAGTTTGGACTTTGGAGAGGTAGGGATCAATCAGGGTAGTAGTAGTGTTGCTCTCGTCATACGCGATACTCTCTCGAAAGGGCCCGGGGTTTGACGCCCTTAACCCTACAAGACCAGGTCTGAGTCATTCTCCCCGAGTCCACAGAAGTCCGTCTAACAAATAACTACTACTACTACTACTTCGGAGTTACTCCTCCGTAGTAATCCTAAAGTCCCAATCGGTCTCCAAATTGGAGAAGGTGGAGAAAATCTCCATTTCATTCCATTAATAATAATGCAAGAACGGCTGCATCCCACAGAATCATAGAGGCCCAGAAGAGAGACGAGAGTCAAGTCATCATTTATTTGTCAGTGGCGTTTTACGATGCATCAGACATGCGACATATACCCAAATCAATCTCCTACCCCGTCTACCAGTCGTTCTCTCGCACATGTCGTTGATGCCCAGCTGCAAGGATCGTGTCCGCAGCGCATGCCGAATCTCTCCAACTTTTCTCCAAAGTCGCAAACTAGTTGGCGATCGGCTTGAAAATTCGGATCCTGCTATCAATTCTTATTCAGAGATAATCGATGCGTCATCCGTGGGGGACTCATTTTAACTAAAGTACCGAGTACTTCCCACTCGCATCGCATAGTGCAGGGAACCAGGCGATTTGAACGGAGACTTGAATAACACGGCTACTACCTGAACCATCAGAATCGCTGGTCGCCATGGACAACACGTGTGCAAAAGAACTCCGCGAGCAAGAGTTGGAGGAGCTATATCTCGAGCTGGACACGCCTCTGCCAATTCCCAACATCACCTCACCACCAGGGCCAGGCCAGTCACCTGCCCCCGAATGTCCCGACCTCAAGAAATACACAAATCCGTTCCTATGGCCCAAATGGCGCAAGTCCATCATGACTTGGATCTCGTGTGCGGTGACAGCGCTGGCCGGTTACTCGGCGGGTGAGATTAGTCCGTCGGCAAGCGAGCTAACCAAGGAATGGAATATCAGTCTGGTGGTGTATAACCTGGGGATCACCCTATTCTGCGTTGGATTTGCGCTGGCGCCGATGGTCCTGGCTCCCTTTTCGGAGATTAATGGGAGGAGGCCGATTTTTATTGCCAGTGGGATCATCTTTGTCGGTATGTGTCGTAGACAGAATGTTTATGGTGATTGGAAGCTCACCGGGGGGGGTCTCCTATAGCTTGTATCATTGCCTGTGGAGGCACTCATTCCTTTGGCGGCATGCTGGTCGCCCGGTTCTTCCAGGGCGTGGGTGGATGTACGTTTATACCTTTTCCAATTCGATCGCGTCGCAAGAAACTGACGGAGATATGTAGCTACCTTTTCGACCATGGTGGGAGGTGTGATCAGCGACATCTACCACGCCGAAGACCGCAACACCCCCATGGCGCTCTTCTCCGGCGCTGCCCTTTTCGGCACCGGACTGGCCCCCTTGCTCTCCAGCGTGATTGTGCAGCACACGACATGGCGCTGGGTGTGGTATTCCCACGCCATCGTCTCGGCCGTTTTCGTGGTCATCATCTACTTCTTCTTCCACGAGACCCGAGGGAGCGTGCTGCTCAGCCGAAAGGCCCAAGCGCTCAACGACTACTACGAGAAACTCGAGGCCGCCGGCCATTACGGCGTGATCGTGTCGGGGGAAGAGAAGGCGATGCGGATCCGATGGAAGGTGAAGAGTGATGAGCAGCGGGCGTCGCTGGCTCAGATGATCAGCATCTCGTGCTACCGGCCATTCCGTATGTTGCCACCCTCGGACGATTCTTCTTCACTTCTAGTCTTCTAACGTGGAGGGAGTGTAGATATGCTCATCACGGAGCCGACCGTCTTCTTCTTCTCGCTCTGGGTTTCCTTCAGCTGGGCTGTGCTGTACCTCCAGTTCGGATCTGTTCCGCTGGTCTTCAAGACCAACCACGGCTTCAACATTGAGCAATCCGGCGCCGTCTTCACCGGTATGTCCTTCTCCTCTTGCCTCTCCAGAACAGTCTACTAATGCCGCCAGCGATGTGTGTGGGAGTCATCATCATCACGGTCGTCAGCATCTACCAGGAGAATATCGCGCGCCGCTTCATCACGCTCCCCAAAACCGCCGAGCGGCGTCTCTACTTCGTCTGCATCCAGTCCATTCTCATGCCCGTCGGTCTGTTCTGGTTCGGATGGACCTCGGCTCCCTCCATTCCGTGGATCGTGCCGGCCATGGCTGTTGGCTGTGCCACGATGGGCATCTTCTCGGTGTATCTGGCTGTCTTCAACTATCTGGCTGATACGTACCACCGCTATGCTAGTTCAGCCATCGCCGCGCAATCATGCTGTATGTCCCCCCTGCCTCCATTGGTCGGGGTGTTATGTACTGACTGTGCGCCTAGGCCGGAATCTGCTCGGTGGTGTCTTTCCGTTGGTGACGAATGCCATGTTTACGAACCTGGGCTATCCGGGAGCGTCCAGTTTACTCGGAGGGATTGTAAGTATCTCAGATCGGGATATCGGATATCGCAATGTGCAATCTAACCAGGCGTAGGGAGCACTGCTTTGTCTCGTACCATGGATTCTCTTGCTGTTTGGACCGAAGATCCGGGCCAGAAGCAAATTCGCAAGCGTACGTTTGTCATTCTACCCCGATCTCTCTCTCTCTCTCTCTCTCTTCATCTAACTCTTCTCAGGAACTCGCACACTAGCCGCAGCGATGCAATAGACGTTATATACAAACAAGCACATAATACTATAAAAAGCTTAATCCACATCAATTGATCGCATACATCTCAACCAACCCATTCCCACCCCCATCCATCCCCTAACCAAGGGACCACCTTCCCCCCTCTCCCTGGACTAAACCCCAGCCTCCTTCCTCACCACCCTCCTCGCCTGCACCTCCCTCAACCCCCTCAACAGCCTCCAGAACTGATCCAACTCCGGCTCCCCCATCTGCCGAATCCGCACCTCTTTGTGTTTCCGCGTCCATCCCCTCGCACTCGGCACCATGCGCTCGAACGCCTGCATCGCCACCCCGGGCTTATCCTCCAGCAGCAGGCTCACGTTGCGGTTGGCGGGGCTGATGAACAGCGGGTCCGCCTCGCCGAGGAGCTTGCATTCCTCCTCGAGCACGCGCGACTCGAGCTCGGGGGTCGTGGTCGACGGGTCGTAGGAGGAGAGGTGGTGCGCGACGGCATCGTCGGTGCCGGATTTGGTGTACTCGCTGTGTTCGGGGTGGAGGGATTGGCGGTCTTCGGGGCCTGGGTTGGAGTGGAGAGGACGGCGGGGGGGGAGGGAGCGGGTGAGGGTGTAGAGGGGCTGTTTGGGGGGTTTTGGGGTGTGTGTGAGATATCGTAACATGGTGGTTGATTTTTGGTGTTTGGGGGATATAAATATGTTTTGAGAATGAAGGAGATATCCGCCTGACCGGGAGGTAACTGTTGATATATCCCCGTGGGGAATGGAATCGATGGATCATCATGAGAGAGGATGGAGAGGCGAATTTGCGGATGGGACTGTGTCACTGACATCATCTCGTTGTGCGACAAATAGAATTGCTTGATATTTCTAAATTGAAAGACTGGAGTGGCGGGAGTAAGTTTTGTGATCTCTGGTTCAGTTGGTTATAGTGAGGGTATTGGTGCGAAGACTGGTATATCCGCAAGACGAAACTTAGTAGTTAGTACAGTACCAGACTTGAATGGCAGTAATCCAATGGAACCAATTGGATAAGAAGCCCACACTCAACGATAGATCTATCAGACTACCTATCCCATTATGGTAAAGTACATATACACCATCCAGACACCTCCAGGCAGCTCCAGGCAGCTCCAGGCAGCCGTACCCATCATGAACAAAAGCACCCAATAAGCTGCCTCAGCCCATCCAACAACCATCCACATTTGGCACAGCTGAGATCCTTCAAGTTCCAACTATGGATTCAATTATTATCATAAACACCGCTCCTGCCCTCCTTCTCACCCTTCTCACCCTTCTCACCATGACACTCCAACTCTACCCACCATGACCCCCCCGCTAACCCTCTACCGCGGCTGGCTCTCCCCCGGCCAATATGTCTGGTCCCCCTTCGTCATCAAACTTGAAGCCCGCCTGCGCTTCGCCGGCCTCGCCTACGAGTCCAAAGCCGGCTCAACCCGATCCGGCCCCAAGGGCAAGATCCCGTACATCGAGATCGCCGCCGCAGACGCACACGCGCCCACCGCGCTCAGCGACTCCACGCTCATCATCAAGGAGCTGGTGGCGAGAGGCATGCTCCCGGACCTGAACGCGGGGTTGGCGCCGGCCCAGCAGGCGCACGATCTGGCGCTGCGGGCGCTGATGGAGGAGAAGCTGTGTCTCTACCACGTACGTGTCCTCGTCTCCTTTGCTTTTGCCTGCTTGACTGAGGAGGGGAACACTTGACCTGGTGTTGGTGCTCGGTGTTGATGGGTTAGCTGGCTAGATGAGGGAACGCTGGGTCGATAACTACTACACCATGCGCGACCATATCCTCTCCACCCTCCCTGCCCCCGTGCGCGTGCTCGTCGGCCTCCTCATCTACCGGGGTGTCCGCGCGACGCTGCACGGCCAGGGAACGGGCCGGTTCACCGCGGATGAGATCCGGGTGTTTCGTCGGGAGATCTGGGAGCGCGTGAACGGCTTGCTTGTGGCGGCGAAGGCGGCGTGGCGCGGCGGGGAGCCGTTCTGGGTTCTGGGCGGGGAGGGGCCGAGTGAGGCGGATTTTACGGTGTTTGGGTTTATTGTCTCGGTGTTGGTTTGCGATGCGTATGTGGGATTGATCCCCCGGGAGGTTGTGGGGTGCGGCTGACTTGACTTGCTGATGCTTGGTGGAGGGCGCCGGAGTCGCGGGCGGTGGTTGCGGAGTTTCCGGTCGTGATGGAGTATGCTGAGCGGATTCATGATCGGTTTTTCCCCGATTATGAGAAGTGGGATGTGCTGGCGTCATGAGTTGACTCGGGATGTGTACTTTGGGTTTTGTTGAGATGCTTCTCGATGGTTGGTTCGGAAGGTCTATTGGGGCACAAGTTTACATGCGATGAATATAGGTCAGATCAATATATACAGGAATGTTTATAATAGGACAGAATACCAGCGTCAAGGCCTAATCACCCCCCTATCACCATAAACGCCATCAGACTCACCCAACCCACCGCAAATCCAACAGTCAGGATGCTCGCTCCCGCCTTGTCGCCCGTTGTAACTGTGTGCGTCGTCGGAGTATTCCCAGACTTATCCCCCTGGCCGGCAGTCGGATCACTGGTACTGTTCCCACCGGTGGTCGAGGTCACCGGACCCCCATGCTTGGTAGTGATCAGGTTGACGGACAGGACGTCCGTCACGCTGATCTGCTCTTCCATCCCCGTCTGGCCATCCCAGCTGGACGTGTGCCATCGCACTCCACAGGAGCTGTTGCCGTTGCCCGTGCACGACTGCGCCGCCGCCACCGCCGAGCCCTGGAGCTTGGGGAGAATGGTGCTGTAGGTCGACGGGACCAAGAGAGCAGTGAACGCCAGCCAGGAGCTGACAAGGCCCTTGAACAGGACCTCGTTATTGTTGCAGAGCTCGCTTGGCTCGCACAGGACCTCGGACATGATGTTGCCGCCGTATGCGGTCGGGAAGAACTGGTTCAGCGTGACGTTCAACAAGCCATTGACGGCGGATTCCCATTTCGTGTTGGTCCCGTTAGTCTGGTCCCCTCGTTAGCAAGTTGACATTTTCTGGCCTATGACCCGGTTGATCCATACGTAGTTCCACATGTACGCCGCACCCATCAGGTACGTCCCGTAGTTGTACGACCACTGGTTATTCCCCTGGCTCGTGCAACCGTCCTCGATCGTGGTCGAATCCGCCACATTCCACGTCTTGTTATTCAACAGCGGCGTCGTGCAGCTCCAATCCCACGCCTTCTCCCCCCACTCGTAGTACGTGTGGTTGTTCGTATAGCGCGCCAGCCGTGCCGCCAGCTGGAAAAACCCGCCGTTCGAGATCGCGTTCTTCATCGTATACCCGGCCTGGTACGGCCAGATCTGCCAGCGCAACCCGCCACCGCACGTCGCCGGATCCCACCGCCCGGCCTGCGTGTTGTACACCCCCTGCGCGAGCGAGAGCCAGGAGTAGCCGTTGGCGCGATCGGGGAACTTGGTTTCGGCGGCGAGCATGGCGGCTAGGCCCCAGAACATCTGGTCGTCGTTGCCCTGGGCTGGTCAGCATGTGGGCAGCGAAGCGCGGGGGGTGGGGAGAAGTGCGGACCAAGTAGCTGCTGTAGTTGGAGGGCATGTAGTCACCTGGTCCGGCTTGCCATTCGAGACCCTCGCTCACGGCGCTGTTGTAGGTGCTGTCGCCGGTGAAGTACCAGTACTGCAGCATGGCCATGAACAGGGCACTGCCTTCCCACCATTTTGTCGGGAACGCGCCGGGGATCTGGCCGGATTCGTTGCCATGGTAGTAGCTCATCGCACCGAAGGCGGCGGTGCTGGCGGCGTCTTTGATGGATTCTGGGTGGTTTAGTTTGGGAGGAGAGGAGGAAGATTCCGTGTGAAATACTTACGATCATCGTTGATGTTGATGCTGATGGCCTGGGCGAGAGAGGATAGCAGCAGAGGTATGCAAAGGATATCCCACCCAACGACTCGTAGTGATGGTAAGCGCATGGCTAAAACGGACTGGATAGCATATTCTCAAGGGAAAGGAGTGACTGATAAGGAAAACTAAACAATAAAAGGTGAACCAGCATGGATTACGAGGACATGGCGTGCGGCCGCCATTTCCTGCAGCTACGGAGTAGATATATGAGCCAGGACGCGCAACCCAGGCTTTACAAAGCTTGCATTGAACAGAGGGTGTCTCTTAATTAACATGCTGACTATCGTGAAAGCTAAGCCTTCCAAGGTGACGCCATTCTCACTAATAATATCCCCCCGCCGCGTATGCAGGCAACCTATGCCGCGAAGCCATTGGGGTATTGTGTCCGATGGCCAATGTCTCACTATCTGAAGACGCGCCATGAAGGCCTAATGACCCGTCTGTCTGTCACCATTGGTCATAATTATTAAAAGCAGTAATAGGCCTGCAATGTTGCGTTCAGGTACCCAATGAAATGATGGTGTTGGGGATAATCCTTTGCTAAGCGAGTGTGGGCCTTCGATGGTTTGCTGCTAAAAAAGCTTCAAAAGGCTTGTTGCTTGCTGCCTGTTGGTTCTTACCATGTCTTGAGTTACTAGTTTGATACAGACACCCTTCATACGAGGTATTTCTTCAGATTAAAAGCCGAGATACCCGATCATGTCCTGCCCCTGCCAGATATAAGCGATATAATAGGAAGACTACGAAGACGACTCTGATCCTCGCTTGTGGCTGACTCGCAGCCAAATGACCAGCATACAGCAACTGGATCATTGCATGGATTCTCTCGCTCTATCTCTCTATCTACGGATCGAAGATAAGACGCGCTTTTCTGCAAGGATGACTTCGAACTACGTACGCTCCTCCGCCACCAAGGGAACGGTCGTTTGTCCTTCAGGATTCTGCAATTGATCCTGAATTTGTTAGAAGTATGATCCTAGGGGAGGACGATCCCTGGAACTAGTGAGTGACATGGTTGAAGAGAGGTTTTGTATCGCTCGCATCGTCTCTTATGCGGACCGATCAACGTTGAAAGCACTCCGCGAGACATTTCGCACACTATCAAACTGCAGTACTCCCTTCCTATTCCAGACGCTGCATCTGTTTTCCGACGAAGAGAGCTACAGAGGTGACGCTCGCTTGAAGGAAATGGGCCACGCATGTCTACGTCAACACATGCGAAGAGGATTATATCCGTTGCTATTGTTCAATTCATATGTGTCTGAAATATGCTGGCAGAACGTACGATTCCGGTGACGAGGCAGAAGACGACTTCTCCGAAGAATTTGAAACAGCAATCGAACGGCTCGTGGGCTGTGGGAATGTGCAGACTGCCACTCTGCGGTTCGATAAAAATTGCGGTTCAGGCCGACAGCACTGGCTGCAGGACCATCCACAGACTATCTTCTACCGCAGTCAGGCCCTTGAGACTTTCTTCTCATGGCTGGAAGCACTGGAGGTGGCCCCGCGCGCGTTGGGGATTCATAACCTGCAAGACCTCAATTCCGCCCAGCCAATGCTGTTGGAGAAAATCGCAAAAGTCCTGTAGAATCTGCGATCCCTCCGGCTCAGCATCGTGACCGAGTACCATTCCCCAGCTCCGGAAGTTGATCTTGAGCTCGAGGATCCGCATACATTTTTTTCGCGGCGCTCCTGTGCATCCAGTACAGGGGCTTCCCATCGCCAGCTCGTACAATCGCACCGAGGCCCACCTTCTCGAGGTTAGACCGTCTGGCTGGGCAAGCCAGCACCACTTTTGCCTCGATAGTTGCAAGCTCCTGCCCGACATGGTTACGGGGCCCTCACTCAAATGGCCGCCAGGCGCTGGGTGGGATACAACCAGCCCCAGACCGAGACTCTCCCTTTTTATCCGGTTGCGCCGTAGACATTTGCATCGCAATGGGTGATTGTCTCGCAGTTGTACACCAGTAAACCACGATCATGTCCGCGGAGGGGATTAATATAGCCATAGGGATGATCCTACGAATTACATCAAAGGTCAGGTTCGTACATACTTCGGATAGAATGAACTCTTAACCGGAGCGAGTGTATCGATCCAACGTCTCCAGAAACGGCCATGCCTTCTCCAGGATACACGAAAGCAAGCTCGGCAGATGCTAGTGCGCAGGATCTCACTGGATGGTGGTGTAGATAATTCCCATTCTAGGTTCCGGGGAGTTCTCTGTGGTGGATCTTATGAAGGGAAACATCCGTCGTAATTGAATTCGCACCATCTGGATATATATATATCCACAAGCCCACTTCGCTACTCATAGACATACCTAATGGCATAACCCGAGGGAGCGATAACGCGGTAGAACTTCGGGAATAAGGAGGCTTGAAATTTCAGAACAGCCTTCTTATTGAAATATAGACTACAGAATACAAAGCATATATGTGTACAACTCTGAGTGACAGTGCTGTGTTGACATTCGCAGATTCAAGTTTGTGATGTGATAGACAAAGCTGGTGGAGGTTATACACCAGTGCAAGCCTACTACTATCAAGCAAATTGGCCGGATGGCGCAATGGTAGCGCGTTGGTTTTCGGCACCAAAGGTTGCGCGTTCGAATCGCGTTTCGGTCGCTTATCTTTTTGTTTTTCTCCTACCACAGGTCGATATTTTTTTTTCTTCTCTTTTTCTCATGTGGCATTTGTTTTCTCCAATGGTTACTTGGTATCCTAGTTCATTATCATCGATCGATTCATTATTCATTTCATCAGCTAAATGGTCGCTATGTCATCACTGCCTCACATACAGATCGCTATTAAGCTCGGGATCAAGCCCATCCACAGATGGAAACACCCTCGCAAAGGACAAGCCCGCTTCCAGGAAAGTGTAGAAATCATCGTTCTCGCCGAAACCAAAGCCCGATGGCGCGATATCGCACTGCGACCCTGAGACCGCGTTTCTCTCCATACTTTCCGTCCCGACAGCGTCCGGAGCCGACCTACTGGACGTAGCTTCGCTTATCTTTCCTATCATCTGCTCAGCAAGGGCCGAGTTTTCTCTAAATTGGTGTAGCATGGTCAAATATCGATGGAGCTTTTGTTGGCTGGATGGATTCGATTGATGGGGCGCTGACCGGACAGCGTGGAGATGGAACTCCAGCACGGGAAGGAGAATGGCGATACTGGCCGCAGGAAGGAGACCGGTAAGGTTGAACTTATCCAGATCCTCAAAAACCAAACCGATTCTGTCGAGGATGTGCTCGTTTCCTGGGCTACTGCTGGCTCTTTTCTTGCGACTGCACACCACATACGCAGAGGCTAGATACAGCAAGAGAAGCCATGCGCGATGGACGAGGATGAATCTCTCCAGGTCCGTGGGACTCGATGATGAGGGGGATCGGTAATGAAGGGCGGGGGGTAGCTGCGTGTGCCAACTGCGTAGTTTGCAGGCAAACTCCCCGTCTGCGAGGAAAGATGCTTGGGAGGCCGCTGCGTCGTCGGATACGTCTGCTCGGCGTGGTGGGGCGGAGGTACCCTCTAGCAGCCCGGAGACCTGCTCTAGCTGGCAAAGTGCTGTCCTCTCGATGAACGCCCTCGCGTGGAACTGCTGGTACTGGATATCGCGGAGGAAGTCGTAGTGGCCGACCAAGGCCTGCACGCTGGGCGATATGGCGCCGAACTCGAAGTCCTCCATGCAGGGTTGGGGTATACTGAAATTGGCCGAAGCATTCTGAGTCGTTAATAATGGCAGCAGACTGCTCGATGACAGCCGTACGTGGTTGTGGATCGACCACCACGCCCGTTTCCACAGTCGCTGCTGGCGCGAATTATGTTTCGATGCGGTGGACATCTGATGTAGGCCGGCGGATTTGACCAGGGAGATACACATGCCCAGCCAGTGGGTAAGCTCTTTCTGGTCGCGGTGCGGCTCCGGCCAGGATACGATCAACAGGAGCGATCGAGCGACGGCGAGCCGGTCATCTTCGCACTCAAGATCCAGGAGCACCTGAGGGGTCAACCGAGCTGCCTCTTACGACAAACCCGAGCGGGGAAGCATACCTTGACTTTGCGAAAGAGGCTCTCCCGAAGCGCACTGCGGGATGGGAATCCCTCCGCACGGATATGGGATACGTCAACGAAGGCCGATGCGGCAAACATCACTGCGTGGAATAAGAGCAGACTAATCTGGTAGGAGCTGTTGGCGTCCGCGATAGCTGATAGAACCCCGTGCAGCGCCACGATAGGCATGTGGGGATGTACCCAGAGCAGATAGCTTGTTAGTAGTTCATTGCGGAGTCTGTCGCTGGGTAGATCGAACGCCCCACCGCGTCGCAGATACTCGATATCATCTCGATGCAGTCGGTCCGGAAGGCTGGCCAGATAGTTGGGCAAGTGGACAGCCGGCGGAGCGCCGATGCCGAGCAGCTGGTTGATAATGGAGATGTGGTAGTCAAGAGGGATGGTGGATAAAACGGCCGGGTTGCCGGCCATGCCATTCTTCAGACAGTATTCTCGCTCAGACTCTCGGAGCTGCGAGGCGAATATCTCCTCTGGCGTACCCGTACCTATCAGTATTTCCCACTCAACGGCTTCCACGACGCTTTCACACAACATACCAGGGCAATATGTAAGGGCGGAGGGTCGGCCAGCATTCACACTACGAGCACGCGGACTGCAACCGCAAATCAGCGACAGAATCCCGACCGGCACACCCTTCAGAACACGACTCACGGTTTGCTTCCATGCGCGTCGCAGTCGAGTTTTGCGCGCCGACAGGACGAACACGGGCCCCCGCTGACCCCAATGTAGCACCGCTGGCGCGACTTGACACAGTTCGAACAGGCTCCTGACTCCGCGGTCCTCGTACGTCTGGGGACGGAGTACATGGCGGCAAAATTGTTAGCCCTGGACGCTATTGTCAGGCTAGGCTAGAGGCTTTCGAGCTTTTCTACAAGAGCCGGTAAATCAGGTCATCGAATCGAGGACAGATGTTGTGACTTGTGACTAACTGACTACCCACATGCTGCCGCTCGGTCCTGCCTCGGCACAGGTGGTAACTTCCCGCGGGAGTGAATGCGGATCCATCTGGGACCCAGCACCGAGCATTATTGGTCGATCGGGAGAGTCTTTAAGGCAAACAGGCTTTCATTGTACCGTTCTGATTGGTTCTAGGCACAAGATCGAGCCGGGGCCCTAGGGTTGGGTACCCGCGCTTTCCGCTATCCGCAGTTCGACCCGGGGATAAAACAAGCAAAAAGGGAGAGTTTGGCTCGGAGGAATGGAGGAAATATAATAATCTCTAGTATTATAATTATCATCTCGGGCTATTTAACCAGTAGGAATACACATGATGCGTCTAGATCAAGGCCATAGCCAATGCCGACATGGCGAGAGCAGAAAGGAACGTTCCGCGGCTAACTCCCTGGGACATGCCGCTTCCAGTGAACAGCGGTGCTACAGCATCGGTTGAAGGGGAGCCATACTGAGTCGAAGGCTCGCTAGCTGCGGACTTGGTAGGAACCGATGTCTGAAGGGTAGTCGACCAGATGCCCGAGCTGAGACGAACCCCGCTGCTAGTGGTCTGGTTGGTCCAGGCACTGTGGCCATTAGGAGTGGAGCTAACTTCGGAGCTCGCTCCGCCCACGGCGGTCACGGCGGGGCCAGATGTAGTGATAGTGCTAGAAGTGGAGCTAATCTTAGGGTTCACTGCGTTTACTCCAGTAACGGCGGTTGTAGCGGCCGTGAGAGTGTACACGGTAGTACCGGCGGCAAGGGTCTCGGTTACCATGCTCGTGGTCTTCTCAGAGCCCTGGCAGTGAGTAGAAGCAGACGGGCAAGCGATCACAGCGGACGTGCGGGTGGTCAGAAGGGTCTCGGTGGTCACGGCAGGGTTTGATCCGGACGGATGCTGACCAGCCGGGAACGTGGCTTGTGGCTGCCCAGTCACCGGGCAGACGGTCGTGGACACGAGGATTGTCTCCGTTGTGACGGAAGTTGTTCGAGACGATGCCGGGCAGTTGGTCACGGTGGAGGGACAGGCAGTGATGGTCACAGTGCGCGTGCTCCAGACGGTTGACGTAGTGGATTGCGGCTTGCTTTCACCACTTCCTGGGATCGTTGCTGTTGCCGTGATTACAGGGCCTTGAGGCTGGGAAGCAGCTGCACCAGTGGGAGTCGCGGTGACAGGGCAGATTGTGGTGGAAAGCGCAATGGTCTTAGTGGTAGTATAGGTGGTCTGAGCAGAGGCGGGACAGTTGGCAACGCTGGATGGGCAAGCGGTCACCGTCACGACCTGGGTGGTAAACACCGTCGAAGTGGTGAACTGGGTCGTGCTCGGGGATTCCTGGTTTGGGGTATCGGTTTTTATCGGACCAGCGGTCACAGTCGGAGTTGCATTCTTGGTGGGTCCAGGCGCAGAGCTGGGAGTTGAAATCACACCGTCCTTGGTTGAAGCAGGAGGACTAGGCCCCGAGGAGGGTCCGGCGGAAGGCACTGAGACTGTTGGGGCGATAACCGAAGTGGGAGGAGTAGGCTCCGAGGAGATTCCGGCGGAAGGCACTGAGACTGTTGGGGCGACAGCCGAAGTGGGAGGAATAGGCCCCGAGGAGATTCCGGCGGAAGGCACCGAGACTGTCGGGGCGACAACCGAAGTGGGAGGACCCGAGGAGGGCCCGGTGGAAGGCACTGAGACTGTCGGGGTGATGACCGAAGTGGGAGGAATAGGCTCCGAGGAGGGTCCTGGGGACGGCACTGAGACTGTCGGGGTGATGACCGAAGTGGGAGGACCCGAGGAGGGTCCGGCGGAAGGCACCGAGACTGTCGGGGTGACAACCGAGGTGGGAGGGATAGGCTCCGAGGAGGGTCCGTTGGAAGGCACTGAAACTGTCGGGGTGATGGTCGAAGTGGGAGCGGGAGGAGTCGAGGATGGCCCATCATCACACTCATCGTCCCAATCGCCCCAACCATCATCCGAGCCAGGCGTGGGGGTTGCGGAAGGAGCAGCGGACGATGGCGAGATGACAGGCGACGATGTGACTACCGCCGAGGAAGACGGAATGAACGACGAGGAGGGAGAAGTGGGTACTGAAATAGGAATGGTTGAAAATGAAAGACCGCTGGACGGGGTAATCGACGGGGTAATCGATGGGGTGACCGATGGGGTGAACAAAGGAGTCGATGAAGGAGGGATAGACACCGGGCTAGATGGAACGACTGGCGAGCTGGAAGGAGTCGAAGAAGGAGTGACAGACACCGGGCTAGATGGAACGACTGGCGAGCTGGAAGTTGGGTCGACGGGCTCTGGCACAGAAACAGTCGGGGTCACGGTAGGCGAGGGTGTGAGAGTCGTGCAGGTAGGAGTACCGGTCTTGAAGAACTTCATATTATCGACTTGGACGAATATGTAACTATTACCTCCGCCTATGGTGTTGCATTGGACTCTGGCTCCCAAGAGGTGCGCGGAGACAGTGGGGATGAAAGTGGCTGTCACCGTCGTCCAAGGGGAGTCCCCCCTATTAACAGAGCCTGAGTAGTTGATAATGAAATTTTCCGCTTGCCAAGCGTCGTGGTGGAGTGTCACATAACAGGTTCTAAGAAGGTTGGCCTGGCCTGGTAGAGTCGTCGACCTCCAGTCGACAGAAAAAGTGTAAGGAACTCCTGGTTGGAGGTTGGAGACCGTCTGGGTAACCCAAGTCAATGCACTATTTCTGGGCGACGTCCTATAAAGCATGATGTGAGCATGAGATTCTTTTGGCACAACAGTAGATTGTGGAATTTCTCGGCTTACAGATGCTCCTCACCGTCGGAGCTATCGCCCGCTGTGACCACAGGGGTAGGCCCGACGATAGCCCAGTTTGTCAGACCTTGCTCAAATGATGGGTTGGAGAAGAGATTCGCGCCTGGGTTTGGAGTGCAAGTAACTTGACCCAGAGCTCCAGTGGCCAAAAGGGCCACAGCCCAAGGACGAGGACGCATTGTGATGGAAACGAGCGAACTGGATTAAACGAGTGACAGAAAGCTTTCGAGGAGAAAGAATCCCAAAAGAAACCCCAAACGACTCGCCCCAAAGTCTGACTGCCTGGAATAGTTATATTCGAGAAGAAGGAGGGGGGCGACTTGGTGGATCAGACGTTGCCGTAACCTGATCGGGATAGTTTGACGCTATTCCCGTCCACGATCTGGACTGCTGGGAATAATAGCCGACGGGGTCGCCACATTTTGCTTCCTTTTGTGCCTGGATTCCCACCCGGCCTATCGGGTGGGCCGATGCAATCAATAGCGCGCCACTTTGCCCTGGAAATATCGACGAGAGTCGAGAGTTCAAAATCTGACAAGTGACAACAAGCGAGCTTTGGTCAGGTCAGTGCATTCCAGGCTTTCCCAGCCTGATTGATCCCAATTCCAGACCTCGTGGCCTGTGGACCCGGCGTTCGCCTGCTGAGTTGTCGGTCGATCTATTGGAAAACTAATTGGCCCCGAGATCAGGCACAAAGCCTGATTTCATGTTATTATTCCTGTTGTTGTTATGATTCGCTTGGGCTGGATTTGCTTCACTCAGGTCGTCGTCGACGTGTTTTTATGGGAAGATTGCCCAATCAAATCACTCGGTTATTTCCCCCCCAAAGGCCCAATTGCTTTCCCAATTGTTCACAAGTTTGTTCAGGGCTCCAGATGGGCAGATGCCACTAGTAAATGTTGGCATTGAAAAGCTTGTTCGCCTGATCGATGTGTTTCTGGGTCATTTCTATGCTTCCCGTCGGAGAGCCGTTGGTCCTCTCTGTGCAGTTCTCGGGTCCAATGGCCCATCTCTGCCGACCCGATTGGTGTCAGTACTAAGTATTAACCCTGAGATTGATGCGATCGCAAACTCGACGATACGTGATTCAAGCCCGTCAGCTGTGGAGGTGACTCAGATTTAGACTTATCTCACGTTGGCTGACTTTTCTTTTTTTTTTTTTTTTTGTGTCTTGAGAGATCATCTAACCTTTTCGACAATAATCATTACCAGAGAAAGACCCCACGATGATTGGGAAAAGGCATGGCACGACGAAAATGTTCACTGCTGTGATGGACCTGACTATAGTGCCTACCGAACCGGCCACCCTCAACTCAAAGTTGGACGAATCTCCTGCTCCCAGTCAAAGCTCTCCAGCATGGCCATAAAATCCATATCGTCTGCCATTGGGATCCCGGCGCCCAAGGGGTCCGACAGAGGCGGCCCAGAGACAGGCGATAGGACGCGGTCGAGAACCTGCCGAATGAGCATCTGGCCGCGCAGCGCAATCTCATAATCGCCCTCATGCTGTTGAATGAAAGTGTCGGTATGGGAAATGAAGACGCTGAGTTTCTGGATAATCTCAGAGCGAGGAAATGGTGCGGAAGAGGAGGCTGGTTCCGGCTTCGGTTGTGAGCGGCGCAGGAGCTCGGTCGCGAGGGTGCCGGCGGCTGGGAGGCCGACATAACATAGCTAGACGGAGAATTAGCGGGGGCGAGTGAGACGCTGTAGAGAGTGAGTACTCGGTCCTTACATCGAGAATGGTGAACATGTGCATCTTGAGGGAGCGCATCTGCCGAGAAACCAGCTCGAGGCAACAGCTGACAATCTCGAGGGAGGTGCTGATCAACGAGTCGTGTTTCTTGCCCGTGCGTTTGGCAACAGTCTGGTAGATCAGAAAGTCCTGGTAGAGGAATTCGAGGTGCAATGACCCAAGGTCCGGGTTGTTGGCATCAGCAGTCCAATGTAGAAACGAAGGCAGGTCGGAGCGCCACTGGTGCGCTCTTTTGAGTACAGCTCTGTTGAGCGCAAGCATTAGTCACGAGGTATACGGTTGGAAACTGGAGGAGCCTTACTCGGCTTGTTGGTCCAAGTCATCGATCGGATGGGTAAGAGACAACTCAAGTATCTCCTCTCGAATGAAGCTCGAGAGTAGGACACATCGCCCTCTCGCCCCCTTGGATAGCTTCTCTTCCTTGTTCCAGCCGCGGGCGTCGAGTTTGGCCAAGGCCTGCTGTCGCACACCAGGACTAGCTATCATCTCCTCGTGACTTAGGTCCAATGGATACTGAATGTTGCAATACCGGCGGCATATGCGTGGAGGACGTCCAAGGAAGATAGCCAGATCCTTGTCAATTGCGTATGCGCCGACCAATGCTCTTTTGCGTATCTCAGATAGGAAAAAGGGGATATTGGTGTTGTCTCCCACCTGGTGGAGGCCAAGCGCAAAGATGATGGTCGTTAAGTCTCCAAGTTTCTGCCATGTTCGATAGTCTGATCTGGTCAATTCCTTATTCGAGGAGCAAAGAAGCGATAACCTACCACTAGTGCCAAATGTATGGAAGACAAAACCTGTTTGCTGGAGCGTGGCCCAGCAAAGAGGGTCACCGATTGTCCCAGATTTATCACAAAATTGTAGGCAAATATCGCTTGCTGCCATCGCGATGCGACGGAGTCCCTTTCTATCTTTTCCGGGCATGCCTTCAGTTTGGAAGACGGGGTCGTCATGGGGAATCTGGTAGACGGCATAACCCATCGAGGAAAGCAAGAGGGAGAGCGTATCCCATCGAGCAGCAACCATAGATATGTACTCGGACAGGGTCATGGACGCATGCACCACAATTTCCGTCGCTGTATTCTGGAAGACAAACCTCGCTAGCTCCAGCAGACAGGGATATTTGTCTTCCACCCCTTCCGTCGCATTTCGGTATACTTCGCGAATTGTCTTGAACATCGCCCGGAAGAGCTGGGGCCCAAAGATAACACCTTCCCACACAGCGATCCGCTTCTCCATGATTTCCTCAAACAACGGCAAATGCTCTAGCAGCATCAGCACCTGCGCCCCAAGCTCCATCTGCCCTGAATCAACACTCGCAGCACTCGATCCGGCCCCGTCTTCGCGCGGCTCAAGCTCGACTGCGTGCCGCATGGCGTAGTCCAGCACCCCTGCATACCCCGTAACGGTGTCCGAGTAGCTCGTGAGGCCCAGAAAGCCTGGATTAGCGGAAGGCCGCTTCTCCCAGGCCTGCGACTCGCCGATCGTCAGCGTATGAGACGGAGACGCCGCGACAGACACGTCACCCACAGCCGGAGAGACACTCTGACTGGTGCTCAACTTCTGCCTGGGCTTACGGATTGCTGCTGCCTTGACTTCGCGGAATTTCGTCAGGGGTGCAGGATGGTAGAGACACATGTCCGCGCGACCACGGCGGATGCAGCGATTACAGATCGGAGTGGAATGGTCGCAGCGGAGTTTGGATTTGCGACATGGCTCGCAGGAGGGGAGCTGGCCGTTGCGGCGGGTGGTCGCCATGCTGATTTGGTGGGGAAATTTGATGAACAGGGGATGAGTCGGGGGATATTGTGTGATGTTTGAGAGACGGTGAAGAGAGAGAGAGAGAGAGAAAGTGAAGAGCATCGGAGTTGGTGATGAAGGTCGGACTAGCTCGCTGATAACGAACTCCGCAGGCAGACGTGAAGACGGCGACGGCTTCAACTCCGAAGTCCGATCTGCATTTCAGACAGAGCACAGAAACGTCGATGCCTGCGAACAGTGAATTTGTCTACCTGGGCCTCTCTGATATAAAGATGGCCTGTCTCCGGGGCAGTCAGAATACAAGAGTCTATCCAAGAGTCTATCCAAGAGTCAGAAAGAAAGTGAAACCCAGCAGTCAGTCCTCATCATCATGCCTTTCAAAATCTCAAACCCCTTCAAGTCTTCGAAATGCCAGACCCAACCGCCAGAAAAAACCTCAAAGTCGATGAAAGGTGATTCGGCTTCCGTGCTGAGCGATGCTGCTACGCTTGTCCCGGACAAGAATCAACCGTCGGATGTGTCTCGAGAGTCTGACAGAGGACTTGACTTCAATTCTGTGCGATACGGTAAGGGACTCCTCGAACAACCCCACAACCTTGATGAAGATTCGTATGCTAACAATATTTGAAGCACCGATGGGAATGTTGACTCGCACCTGAGTTGGAAAGATTGTCAGTCAGCAATGGATGGATGGTGCTCGGAGTTCATGGGATGGGTTGGCAGTTATGATTAATGATTTCTCTCTGGATGTGAAGATATACTTGTGTCCAGCAGATGGAGGACATGATAAATAATGATAATAAATTGATTGCGCTTTTTGCACAAATGAGTATTACTTCGGGGCATGAAAGATCTTTCAAGTATTATTGCTGATTTTACTAGTAGAGAGGAAGCATGGTCTATCCGTTGTCGTCGAACAAGTCCCCCCTGAACGGCCGCATATACTCCAGTGAACGATCTTTATAGTAGCATATGAGGGAGAAGCACTCAAGGAAGCTGCTCGTGGCGTCCTTTAATGTTCAACTGTGAAGATTCAGCCACGTTAGTCCAGCCATAGGAGGGTCGCTCGACCTGATGCTTCTACCAACGAAGCCTATGTTAGTTTGATGCACTCAAAGTGGATCCTATACTAGTCACTGCGATGAACACTCCCAAGGTTTCCTCAATCAGGTTGTTGGTAGTGGTACTGCTGCACTGACCGGATGGACTCATGCTAGCATAGTGCTTAGTAGCAGCGACTCGGCGTGGCGCCACAGTGGACGGCATTTTGCAGCTCGGCCGAGGTTGCCTCACAACGCGGGGTTGACGATCTTCATAAGGTGCCAAAATATCTTTGCAGACCTCTTTCATAGTTGCTTTCTATACTATCCCAACTCAAACAAGGACTCAAGAAAACAAGCACAACATGCAGGCAGTCGTATTCAAAGGCCCACTGCAGGTCACTCTGGAAAAGCGTCCCATCCCGCAAATCCAGGACCCAACCGATGCAATTATCAGGGTCCGGTACACGGCGCTGTGTGGCAGGTATCTGGCCCTTATAAATTCCATGAGAATGATCTACATACTAAACACTCCTTCCCAGCGAACTGCATGTCTTCCGCGGCCACCAGCCCTCCAGCACCGACTTCATCATGGGCCACGAATTCACCGGCGAAGTCGTCGAGACCGGCGCGCAGGTCCAGAGATTCAAGCCAGGCGACCGCGTCATCTCCCCCTTTACCGTCAGCTGCGGGGAATGCTTCTACTGCACACAGGGGTGTTCGTCGCGCTGCGCCAAGGGGAAGCTATACGGGTCCGCCGTGCTGGATGGCGCACAGGCGGATTACGTGCGTGTGCCACTGGCCGACGCGACTCTCGTCGGGGCACCGGCGGGCGTGGACGAAAAGAAACTGGTGCTGATGGCGGATATTCTGCCGACGGGGTACTTTGCGGCGAGGAATGCGTTCCGAGGGATGGACGGGACGGATGTGCGCGAGAGTACGGTGGTGCTATTCGGGTGTGGGCCAGTCGGACTGTGTGCGCTTGTTAGCGCGCTGGAGTTCCGTCCGAAGAACCTGATTGCGGTAGATAGTGTTCCCTCCAGGCTTGAGACGGCGCGGAGCTTGGGTGCGGAGGCGTGGAATTTCCAGACCGACGCAGATGGGCTGAGGAAGCGAGTGCTTGAGCTGACGGACGGGCGAGGTGCCGACGTGGCGATCGAGGTGGTCGGGCATAGCAGCGCTCTACGGATGGCGTTTGACCTGTTAAGGCCATGGGGACGGATTTCGAGTGTGGGAGTGCATAACGGGGAGATACCCTGGACCGGGAATGAGGCGTATGGGAAGAATCTGCAGATTCAGATGGGCCGATGCCCCGTTCGAAGTATCTTTGAAGATGCTTTGCAGTTGCTGGTGCAGAAACAGGACTCATTAGAGTGAGTTATTACTTCACGGTGCTCCTTGAGCGCGGCTGATGATATACATTCAGGTTCATGACGGCGGACATTCGCCCACTGTCCCAGGCAATCGCAGCGTAAGTCGTTCGGATCTCTCATTGAATCATGCTGATCGTCTAGGTACGACGACTTTAACCAAATGAAAACGCAAAAGGTGATATTCGAAGCCGGAAAATAAAGGTGGTTGACTAGTTTTGACAGAAATTGCCTGCTGAGGTATTGATGCATAAGAAACGCTATTGCCAGTTCCAACAAGGCCCTTTTCCATGGGGTTATCCAGACCAACAGCAGGGTCATAATTGGGCTGGATTCGACAGCTTGAGCGAAGTCAGTGCTGATTCTCAAAGGAGCTCAAGTGTCTCGCCTTAGCCAACTGTTGCCCGATAGTCTCATAGTCCATCATTAGTGTATGTATGCAGAATATTGCCATTGCGAGACTATGAGAACAACCTATACCCACAGTCCAAGTTCAAGGCTAGGAACCATTCATTTTCGCCATAGCATTCTCTGAGACAATCCTAAACCTGGTATAGTCAGGAGTATATAAATTAAACCCACCTGTATCTATATCAAAAAAGAGGACCAGCAGATCTACAATGAAAGAGACAAACCTCGGCCTCGGCTGCATGAGAAATGCGGGGGAACAAAAGCAGCCACTCCAACGAATGTTCTGCAGATCCGTCGATATCAACCTCAATATCTATCTCGTCGCATCACTCGACCTAATCTTCAAGACCCTCAATCTCAATTCATAATCACAACGAGGAAGAATATCTTAGCCATGGCGGACGTCTCCCCTAACCCAATCCCCTTCTCCGAGCCTCCTTATCTACGGGGTCTCCCATCCCCATACTACACCGCCAGTCATCGCCAGTTCCAAAAAGCCTGCCGCAAGTTCATGTGGGAGCATCTCCTCAGCCATGCAATGGAATGGGAGAAGCAGGGCACCGTCCCGGCACATGTCTTCACGGATTTCTGCAAGCATCACATGCTGCTGCCGAACCTCCCCGCCCCGCTGCCGATAGCATGGCTGAAGAGACTGGGGATCCACGACATCCTCGGGGTCAAAGTCGAGGAGTGGGATTATCTACACACGGGCATCTACTGCGACGAGGTAGGCCAGGTCCCGGAACCAGAATGCACGAAAGCTGACATGGCACAGTTGGGCCGGTCGGGTCTGGCGGGACCCGGGGCGTCGTTGAACGCCGGGTTTGCCTTCGGGATCCCCCCGATCCTCAAGTATGGAAGCGAGGAGCTGCAGGAGCGCGTGCTTCCGGAGCTTCTCACGGGGAAGAAGCGCGCGTGCATTGCCATCACGGAGCCGGAGGCTGGTAGCGATGTTGCGAACATTACAACGACGGCGACCAAAAGCCCCGATGGGAAGTACTACATCATCAACGGGACAAAGAAATGGTATTTATCCTAGAGAAGATCCAGCAGGCTGAGGTCTACTGCAGCAAATTCTAACGCTACCAGGATCACCAACGGCATCTGGTCCGACTACACGACCATGGCCGTCCGCACCGGCGGGCCCGGGGCAGCCGGTCTCTCCGTCATCCTGGTCCCCCTCAAGGGCCACCCGGGCGTAACCATGCGTCGTCTCAAGGTCTCCGGCCAGCTCACCGGCGGCACGACCTACATCGAACTGGATGACGTGCAGGTGCCCGTGGGCAACCTGATCGGGCGCGAAGGCGAGGGCATGCGCATCATCATGACCAACTTCAACCACGAGCGCCTGACGATCGCGGTGGGTGTGACGCGACAGGCACGGGTGGCCCTTGCCTCGGCGGTGCAGTACACGATGAAGCGCGAGGCGTTCGGCAAGACGCTCATGGATCAGCCGGTGGTGCGGCATCGGCTGGCCAAGGCCGGAGCGGAGCTCGAGACGATGTGGGCGTGGGTGGAGCAGATCCTCTACCAGCTGTGCCATCTGAGCAAAGAGGAGGCTGATACGCAGCTGGGAGGGATCACGGCACTGGCCAAGGCGAAGGCGGCCATGGTGTTGAATGAATGCGCGCAGTGTGCGGTGCTGTTGTTTGGGGGCGCTGGGTTCACGGCGAGTGGGCAGGGCGAGTTGGTAGAGGGTAAGTGCTTTTTCCTCCTCCTCCTCCTCCTCCTCAATGACGGTTGTGGAATCTAATGCTTGATCATTAATTTAGCCATCCTGCGTGATGTTCCTGGCGCGCGAATTCCTGGAGGTTCTGAAGATGTTCTCCTTGACCTGGCGGTGCGCCAACTGGTCAAGATCTACCAAGTGGGGGAGAAGAAACTGGCGCAGCAGGCGAAGATGTGAAGGAGGTTCGAACGACTAGAACTGCCTTTTAGAAATTCGGTAGATGGTCGATAATCGCTAGTTGGAGAGCTGGACCTGTGTTTAATGCTTTGAATATCGATGACTCCATCTGTAGCTATCCCAATCCGGGGCAAAAAAGGGGAGGCTGGTGCTGCGTGTCACCGTCGTGGCATGATCCGTACTAATCTCCGAGCGTCTCTCTCACTCTCCAACTGTGAATTTCTCCTGTTTCTACTCTGTAGTATCTCTCTATACCCTTAGAACTTTGGACTTACGAGACCATTCGATGTTAGATTTGCAAACCTCCACCAACGCATCCGTGTTGTTATATTCGACATGCACATGTAGGTGAACAAGGCTGCGGTGCTCATTTTCCACCTCCAAATCGCTGTCGATCCGAGATGTTCCGCCTCTGCCATCTCCTCCTCCTCTTCCTGCTACGCACCGTCCTGTGCGCTACACTCACCTACGACTTCAACATCACCTGGGTGCGGTCCAATCCCGATGGCGCCTACGAGAGACCTACCATTGGCATCAACGGCCAGTGGCCGCTCCCCGCCATCACGGCTCATGTCGGCGACCGCATCGTCGTCAACGTCTGGAACCAGCTGGGCAACCAGTCGACCTCGCTGCATTTCCACGGCCTCTTCATGAAGGGAAGCCCGCATATGGATGGCCCGGAGCAGGTGACCCAATGCGCCATTCCCCCAGGGTCGCAATTCGTGTACAACTTCACCGTAAGGCCGAACCTGCTCACCTCGCTATTCATCTTGTATAACTAGATTCATTGCTTGTAGGTTGAACAACCGGGTACATACTGGTACCATTCACATACCCAGTCCCAGTACCCGGACGGGCTCCGCGGGCCGCTGATCATCCATGACGACGCCTCGCCCTTCCACGACCAGTACGACGAGGAGCTGACGCTGACCATTTCGGACTGGTACCACGACCCCATGGCTGACTTGCTGCCCGGGTATATGAAAAAAGGCAGCCGCATGGCGCGCGAGCCCTTCCCCAACGCGAATCTGCTGAACGACTCGCAGCATGTGCGGATCGATGTGCAGCCGGGTAAGACGTACCTGATCCATCTGATCAACATGGGCGCGTTCATGGGTCAGTACTTCTGGATCGAGGGCCATGAGATGACCATCGTCGAGGTCGACGGAGTGTACACCCGACCGACGGTCGCAGAGAATGTGTACCTGGCGACGGGCCAGCGGTATGCGGTCTTGTTGACGACGAAGGAAGGTCGCGACGCGAACTATCCCATGGTCGCGAGCATGGATCCGGTAGGTTGATCCTTGACGATTGGAAAGGGGGACTTACACTGATACGGCTGTTGGACTGGTGACAGTTGTCGATTTTGGGTCACGGCAAGACAATGAGGTCCGTGACGGGATGGTTAGTGTACGATTCCAACAGTCCCATGCCGCCGCCAGAGCGAGTGGACTGGTACGAGGCCATCGACGATATGTCGCTGGTGCCGTACGACAGCGCGCCCCTGCTGCTTGAGCCCAGCCATCAGATCACGCTGGACATGAACATGCATAGATTACAGGACGGCGTGATGCAGTATGCCTCCCTTCCAGTCAATCAAAGACAAACACACACTGACGGGTGCAGCTGGCTCTTGAACGACATCAGCTACGCGGCCCCGAAAAGGCCAACGCTATACACCGCCATGACCAGCGGCGAGGCCGCACTCGAAGATGTGTCGACGTACGAGCGATCAACGAACCCATTCATCCTAGACGAAGGCGCTGTCGTTGAGATCATCGTCAACAACAAGCACATGGGCCGCCACCCGTTCCATCTCCACGGACACAGCTTCCAAGCCGTTTATCGATCCAATCACTGGGCGGGATCGTTCGCAGAGAGTAATGTGACCGAGGCGGATTTCCTTGCCGTGCCCCTCCGCCGCGATACGTTGACTGTGAACCCGGGCGGGAGCATGGTGATTCGATTCCGAGCCGATAACCCAGGTAAGCCGAGTCGTTCGCTGATAAGAGCCCCTTTCTGAGCGCCTGGCTGATTGGGGTCCATTGCAGGGGTGTGGATCTTCCACTGCCATATGGAATGGCATGCCCACTCGGGACTCATTGCCACTATGATCGAGGCGCCGCTCGCTCTGCAGTCCCTGGGAATTCCCACCGACCATATCGACGCGTGTGCTGCAGGCGGCATATCCCTCAACGGAACCATGCCCATCCAGCCCGTGGCAGATGCCGATGCACATAGTGAGGAAGACAAGCCAGCAGAGGTGACGCCGATGGACGGCCCTAAAGAGTAAGAGAAGACAACCGAACGCTTGACACAAAACACTAACTGTCGACCAGATTGGACGCCGTACAGCTTTCTGTCCTCGGCACCTACTCTGTGCTCCTCATTCTGGTTTCTGTAATCGTTATTTGGTACGTGATCACGAGATCCGACACGCCGAAGACGAAAGGCTACACCCGTGTAACTGGGGATCAGTCAACCGAACCAATTGATCTCCGACGATGTTGATCAAGAAAGTCGGCAAGAAGAGGAGTTTCGATGCTTCCCAGGTGTATGTGGCATATGAATTGTGGTAAAGAGCATCCGAGGAAATCCGACCTCGAGGGCTCAATCCGGGCTTCAAGACCACCGCCGTTCTGCAACCGACCACGTCTCAAGGCCCGGAGCCATTGTGAGCATCCTGCCTGTTGTATAGTCTCCATCATCCTTCATACCATTGTCGAAGACACCCAAGACGACCACCACATCCTCCATTGAAAGGGCGCATCAGCTGGAAACATTGACTCGCTTGAAGGCCCGCATAACAAACCCGCACAAAAGACCCGGCTCACCCGTCAACGTTGAATGCCGCATGCTCGATCCTGTCCCTGCGGGTTAATATCAGAAGGAGAGAAAAGAAAGGAACCAGACTGCACGATGTCATGAGACAGAGTTATCATTTCAGTGTCAATTAACCCAACACAAATGCAAAACAAGCAACCCAGCAGATAAGAAGAGCTTTCAAACCCCCAACCAGGGAAATACCACAAGGGAATCAAGAGAGACCAAAAAACTAAAAATAAAATAAAATAAAGAAAACGACCAGCTCAACATCCGCAACACAAGCATTCGACACAATCAATACAGCACTCGCAGGCCTCCTCGCACAGGAAGCAACAGCACATGGCCATTAAACTAGGACGGGTCAGTCATGGTTGTGTTGGGGGATAGGGGGTTTATCCGGCAGACGCACCAGGCGGTCAGACATCCACGGTCTTTCTTTTCTTCGGGAGGAGGTGGTTGTTGGTATTGCATCTGGGAGGGTCAGTTGGGCTGGTCTTGGTCTGTTGGGATGTATAGCTGAGAAGATCGAGGAGCAGTCATACCGGAGGTGGATATGGCTGGGGGGGTGGGTATTGTCCCTGAGGGGGAGGATAACTATTGAAGATCTGGTCAGTACGGAATTGAATTGGAGAAAAAGAAGGATCATTTCCCAAGAGAGAAGCGACATACTATCCCTGAGGAGGAGGAGGTCCTTGCTGAGGATAAGACATGGCGGATGGTAGGTATACAAATGACGCTGACGGAACCGACGCAACGACTTCACGTTCAGAAATCCAGAGAAAAAAATAAAAATAAAAATAAAATAAGACGAGGAATAGCAGATAGAGAGCAGATAGATATAAGGACTGGATAACTCTAGAGCAAGGGGAGCAGGCAGAAGAAATATTTCTTTCACGCGCACCCCCCGAGCATTGTCCACCGTCCAGTCCTCCAACTGCAGATGCCACGCCCTGGTCGTTCTTGGCCCTGTAGTACAATTCAGGGATCCACCGCAGCGCTCAAATGAACCGGAGAGAAATGAGATTTGTCGATCAAAAACACACACTCTTGCAAGTTGCGGCCTTGCCGCCTACAGCCCTGCGTGTCTCTTCCAGCACGCTGAAGGCTGAAGCATTCCCCCCCTTCTAGGCACCAGGAGAGCCCTGCCGTCAGTCTCACTAGGCGTATCGCTCACATCCATTATCCATACCCCGTTAAACCCTCCCCTCCGTCGGATCACTCTCACTTGCTATGTCTCTGCCAATCTTGCCGGATCTCAAGCGCCAAGGACCATAATCACAGCATTAGCAGAACGCGATTACCCGCCAAGAGGCCCCAAGAGGAAATAGATGGAACTGTTCTTCCCTTTAGGGCTGACACTAGCCACACCGGGTCCATAGCGACAGCCCAATGGGCAATGCGGCAGCGGTAAGGCGCTCTCCACCGCTGTCTCGTCCCCAGTGGAAAGAATTGTGCTGCCTAATGTTGGGGAGTTGGGAATTGTGACCCCTGCTGCATTAGCCACATGCTGTTCGAGTAATAGATGCGAATTGGTGGTTTATCTTGGGGCGGATTTACTCCGAATCCGAATGTGTTTGTGCAGTGCATTGGGCAGGAGATGTTTTGGATGGTTTCATTGGAGCCTTTAGAATCGTACAACTACGGAGTAATTAGATTGGAATACTCCAGGGCAGAAATCGAGGGAGCACTTTTATCAAACCAACTATCAAAATTCAAGAAGTTTAAGCCGAGGACTCGATTTATGAGGCTTCTGTGGCGCTTGAGCATGGAACAGAGCTATGCACGACTTTGACACATCACTCGTTTCAGCAGTTGGAAGGATCCAAGTCGTTAGTCTGTATGGCCCCAATGATACCTACAAGTATTAGTATCTGAGTCTGTGACTATCAATCAATTGTCAATCCTGCAGCATACCTTCAATTACTTCGAATGGACCAATAACAAGACAAAGAGGGATGAAGACTAAAAGGTAAAAATAGACGGACTAGGTGCATGATGACATACATTATTTACATTCTCTCAGGTATCATACTGGCCGATAATAGTTACAAGGCGAGTTTGTGTCGAATTGATTGTCTAGCAATCCTAAGATGATTATTTCAAGTCTCTTCATTATACAACTATTATTATGTCATTTTGGTCACTCAGAGACACACAGTGAGAAAGAATGCTTATTATCACAGATTGCATCTAGTCAAACAGTTGACCTTATCCACCACGTCCCACCCCCGCAACTCACTTAGAAAGCAGGGTTTGCGTTGGTCAGGAGCTGCTCAAAGTAAGCCTGGAACCACTGGCCAGCCTCAGGAGCAGGCTTGAGAGCATCGGTGTAGCCGCAGTGAGCGTCATAGCGGGCGGCAGTGGTGTCAGAGGTACCGTCGCTCTCCGCGCCGGGCTTGACCCAGACGAAGGCATCGAGGAGATCATCGCCGGTCTCAGAGGAAGGACGGATACCGAAGCCAGTGCCGATCACATTGCACCAGTCCCCCTGAGCCTGCTGCTTGGTAGGCTGGACACCATTGCGGCCTGATTCCCCGATCGGTTAGTGAGAGGTCCACCACGCAGAGAAGAGGGGGGGGGGGGGGGGGGAAATGGCCTGTCTCGCTTACCAGTATCCATGATGAAGCGGGCGTCCCAGCCAGCGGCCTTGAGCAAGGGATACAGGGCGTGGATGTAGCGCTTCTCATCGCAGTTCTTGTTGCCCTGGGTGTACGAGGGGCAGGTATCGATGGTCCAGGCGTTGTAGTTGGCGACGTTGACGGCAAGACCACGGAGGGCGGCGGGGGCATCGGCGTCCTTGTAGACCTTGGCGTACATCTCGGCGGCAGGGCCGATGTTGGCGTCCCAGCCGAGCCAGCCACCGTGGCCGGCATCAATGTACATGGCGACGTTGGGAAGGTTGAGCTGCTTCAGAGCGTAGTTGATGCACTCGAGATAGGCATCCTTGGCGCCAGAGCATTTGGCAACGTTGATGTTGGTGATCAGGTTGGCCAAGCTGTCGGGTTCTATGTAATGTCAGACGAGTGTCCTGGAAACTGTAAAGAAACAAGAATTGGACGGCGTACCAATAACCAGGATGGTGTGCACATCAGGGTACTTCAGCAGCTGAGCGCGGATGGCATCGATGTACGCCTTGTACTTGGCAATACCACCGTCGGCGATGGCATACTCGCCGTTACTGGCCAGAGCAGCGCAATCACGGTCAGGCAGATCATAGACAACGAAGATACCGGCAACGGGAGGGTTGGCGCCGGCCTTGTTCTTAGCCCGGATGTTCTCGAGGTAGGTTCCCATGGTGGGCACCTTGGCGGCAACATCACTAACGCTCATCAGATTTTCATCCCTGGTCAAGATATGCGGAGGAATCAGGGACATACAGCCAGACGAAAGAAGGAACATCAGCGACAGCGCTGGCCTTGACGGCAAGGGCGCCAGTCATGGAGGGAATGGCCAGGGTGTGGACCTCGGATGAGTAGTAGGGGTTGGCATATTGCTGGTATCCGCTGAAGGGATTGCCGGAGGGGCTGCCAGTGACGGTAGGGCCGGCCGAAGTCGAGGTCTTAGTGGTGGTGCTGGAAGAACCTCCGCCGGTGCTCGTGGTGGAGCTCGTGGTGGTCGTGGTGGTGCCCTTGGAGGTGGTGGACAGAGTTGTCGCAGTCGTGGCTCCGGGGAGACACTGGGCGTAGTCTGAATCATCATCAGTCTCAATAATCTTGAAATGAGAAGGCAAGTCACAGTGACGGAACATACAAGCATTCTGAGTGCTGCAGACACCGCCAGCGACACAGTCGGTCGCCCCGGACCAACCGGCACCACCACCTAGAAAGAGGTCAGTCCCCGTATACTAGCAAGAGGGGTGATTTTCCTATCCGGAGAAGACATACACTGTCCCCACATCGTCTGCTGGGCCTGCACGGTAGGCAGCAGCAGCGACAGCGCGAGAGAAGGGGCGAAGTTCTTCATCTTGCCGGAGTATGTATATCGACGAGAGACTCGCAAGGGGATGACTGGATGAGGATAGAACAAAGACAATCAACCACAACGAAGCGAGACGAGGCCTTTTATATCTTTCCTCCTTCATACTTTTGACGGCAGCGCTCCCTGGTTTTCCGAAGAGGGAAATGGGCTCCAGAGTCCGGGGAACCAATAGTCACCTGTCGTGAATTGAGGTCATTTCGCCTCAATCCAGAATCCGGAGAAGCAAAGCCGAAGCGCGCATCACTCAATGACCCAGCCGTGCCAGTCTAACTCATCCCAGTGTGGTATTGTGGTGGCCAATATCCCCAAACAGGCAATGGCTTCATCGGCATTTCCAATTCTTCTTCTTCACTTACTTCAACCAGGACTCCTTGTTCATTTCCTGCTGAAACAGTTCCGTTCCTGCTTTTACCCGATGACAGTGCCAATCACGGTTCTTGTGTGCAGCCACAGCAGGGCATCCCGCTGGCTGCCATTTGTGGGGTAGCCAGATTGAACCAAATTAACCATATTAACCTTGTGCTCACCACAGACGCGGAGGAGAGTTTCTGGCAGCCCTTTCGATGCTTAGCTTGATCCCTTCCCCGCTTCTTCAGTGCCGTCAGCCTGTCTAAGTCTCTTGCAGAGCATACAGGGGGTCAGGGATATCTCCAGGTTTCCTAGGGCATAATTGCCGACGACGCGGTTCTGCAGTCGCCGGTTCTACGGCCCGGCTTGCCAGACACTACGCATCCCAGGGGAGTAGGCTGTCTGTATGAAACACCCATGATGTATCTGAATAGCTTCAGCCACGAAAAGATGGATCAAGTCCATAAACTCTGGGATTTGTTGCCGTTGGGTGTGTGTAGCTGGGGGTCGCGGTCCTCAAGCGGCCTCCTCTCATGATGTTAAGTTTGTGCCGGCTCCAGACTTGGTGACAAAACTAGAGAAAACAAAATGCCTCATCTCATCACTTTCTGCAGTGCAACTGCCGACCGTTTTCCGTGCCTGAAGGGCGCTAGCGCAGGGAGGTCCAGTTGGCTTTTATATTAACAATTTAACTCAACCAACAGGCAAAGAACGTATCTCAGCCTCCCGGATCCTGTCTGGATACGGTGTCCATTTCGGGATATGTCTGGATCCTCGTCCTCTCCAAGCGAGATTACTAGAGTCTGGAGGTCATAAGACATCGAGGCCGTTCAATTGGGCATGACTTGGCCGAATGTTACTCTTCACCTCGATATCGGACAAGGACGCTCCACTGGTACTTGTAGAAATGGCAACTGAGGTCTTTTCTCAGGATTGTCTCTATCTATATTTGAGGAGCTCTGTGAGGATATATATATGTTGAACAAGTGTCAGGAGATGAGCATTGACTGGGGAATTCCAACCCCACCAAGATCTCCAGCCAATGCTTTTAATGTTTAGTTTCAGAGTACGTTGATCCTTTGCTTACTAGTAGTAACTCGATTTTGTTATTTCTCCCCGGATCTCCTGGTGATGAGACATATTGTTCAGAAGATCGAGGGAAACTGTCAACTGGCAACCCCTGAATGAACCCTCGGGATATTGATCGGCCAATGACAACGATGAGAATAAATGGATGCATTAACCAAAAGAAAGACCACCTGTGATAGGCTTGTTTCAAATGTCCAATGTCATCCACTTCAGGGGAATTTCCAGAGACAGCGCCTAAAATAGTCTGCCCAATGTCCAAAGTGATAGACAGGAGACAGACCAGACCAGTGTCTCTGTGTCTCAAGGATGAGAACTGCACCAGCCCATAGATTTGGATATTAGAATGAAAAGCAGCATAGATATAAGAGTCTGCAAATCCACTATATTTATATATTTTTATTTATATCTATACTTATAGGGACTCTAATCCACTCTGAGGCTGGATGGCCGGATTGGTCTCGTCTTGCTGACTCATTCTGTTGGATGTTTTCAAACCTCGAACATTGAGTCAAAAGCACAGTTTCAGCGTCGATCGACCATTCTCTTGGTCTATTCCCCTCTCATAAGGCGATCAAATGAGAGAGATCATCAGACTAGATTCAACTGTCTAGAAGCTACTACTGCGTAACTGCTAACCACCGCAGACAAGCTCTGCTGGGGATCCTCACGGCGCCCCACCGGCCGCTCTCCTTTTTATTTCCTCCGGATCCTCGGATTTCTTCCATCAATCATTATTATTTATTTATCTAACGATCGGTCAATCTATTCAATGATATGGACCCGACCGACAAAATGCAACCCGATAGCTACATCGCTCCGGACCTGACCCGTCCGGATCTTCTGGTGCTGCACACGCTGCTGTCCGATGTCCAGACACCACAGTCTCAGCGGTCTCCCGACCCGAAGCCGGCTGATCCGCCGAGCGCCTCTGAAAAGATCCCATCATCGCCCTCCAAGACCGTCACAGACCAGCTAGAAGCCTTCAACAATCCTCAGCATGTAGACTTTGAACCCACCGTGACCATGACGTGGGACACTCCCGTTCTCCAGACCAAACTTCCGTCAATCCTCACCCAATGGCTGCTCCAACCGTATATTCGCCTGGGCCGGCGAGTCGTTCGGGTGGAAACCGACGTCGTGATGTTAACTCACCTTCTCTTGTACTTCGGCACCTCGGTCCCCAGTGCCTTCTATCTCTATCAACACTTTACCTGGCTCCATGGCGTGCTGCATTGGGTCATGCAGTCGTACTATGTCGGCAGCTACACCCTCATGATGCACCAGCACATCCACATGGGCGGCATCCTCGCCCGGCCCTTCTGGCTGTTTGACTCACTGTTTCCGTATATCACCAACCCGCTCATGGGCCACACCTGGAACTCTTATTACTACCATCATGTCAAGCATCATCACGTCGAGGGCAATGGGCCCGGCGATCTCTCTTCGACGGTGCGTTACCAGCGCGATGAACTCTCCGACTTCCTCTGCTACGTGGGCCGGTTTGTCTTCTTTGTATGGTTCGAACTGCCGCGCTATTTCTTCCAGAAGGGCCAGTTTGTCCACGGACTCAAGGCAGGTTTCTGGGAGATCGGCAACTATCTCTTCATCTACGCCATGTATCGCTTTGTGGACCCCCGCGCGACCCTCTTCGTCTTTATCCTACCACTGGCCCTGCTCAGACTGGGATTGATGATCGGGAACTGGGGACAACATGCCTTTGTCGATGAGACAGACCCCAACTCGGACTTCCGGTCGAGTATCACCCTGATTGATGTTCCGGTATGAGCCCTTCTCTGTGAGACTTTCCGATCGAAAATAGTAACAACTACCTAGAGTAACCGGTTCTGCTTCAATGACGGCTACCACACCTCGCACCATCTGAACCCCCGCCGTCACTGGCGGGAGCACCCCGTGGCCTTTCTCAAGCAGAAGGATCGCTACGCCAGCGAGCATGCGCTCGTCTTTCGTAACATTGACTATTTGATGATTACCTACCGTCTCATCCGGAAGGACTATGTGCATCTGGCCCGATGCTTGGTGCCAATGGGAGACCAGATCCCGATGTCGCTGGAAGAGCGCGCGGCCATGCTGCAGACTAAGACGAGGAGATTCACCGAGGAGGAAATTCCGAAGAAATTCGGCCTCAGCGGGTGAAATGCTGAAGTTCCACCAGACGATGCAGCTGTCGTTGGCATGATACCGGCCAGCATTTGTCGAGGTCCCAAAGTGTTCATATAAAATCATGCCCGATAGACTTACATACCGTACTGTATACATTTTTTTGCCGGGGAAAATCTCTCTCTTGGATATCAGAAAAGTCATGATCGACAGACTGGTTAGGAGCATAAGATTGAAGAAATCATTCTGAGATCTAAGAACTATTCCAAGAAGCTGCAAAATATTGTAGGTCCATGAAGTACGGTGGTTGCGCCCTAACGATGTCCTGGGGTATGGAGCTCAACAGGGAAAGTTGGTTTCTTCGTTCGATCAAGGCCCAAGCCAAAGAACCGAGAAGGAGAATACACACCCTGCCTATCAGGGGCCATTCCAGCCCAGTTGGCACTCAAAACAGGGGAACAAGTGTGATTTCAGTGTATTATTTGGCAGACAGGCAAAGATGTATTGGAGCTGATTCCCACCCAGTCAAGAACAAAAGAAGCCTTGTCAACTTCCTCATCCGTTGCTGATATCGCAAAGACGGCCCGACAAGACAGCTACGGAATTGGCTGGACTTTGGAGAAACTTTGGCACATTATCTTATGGGATGGATGCTTCTCAGTATGACCGGACAAACCTGTCGTCCCTTGATGGCTTTTCGAACTAACTCTGCTAGTTGTCCTCATAAGGAGCAGCGCCGCTGTGATGTTTACGGCTGGTGCGGCCCTGACCCGTCCAATCGCCCATCAGTCTACCGTGACAGTATGACACCAGGAAAGTGCTTGGATGTATGCAGTGACCCTCTATCTATCTAACATATCTCCACATCTAGTACTAGTACGGACACAAATGGTAATATGCCTGACTTTCCTCCCTGGAGACATGTCAGGAAGATGAAGCTTATACGCTTACTTCGACAGCACCACGAATGCCGACACCTCTGCCCCTGGCCACGCCATTTCAAGCATTTAAACCCATTAACAGCTATTCGTGGAAGTCTCTATTCGAGATAAAGAGGGGTCGCCAAGAGTCATGATGTTGGAGGTTTATCCAATTTCACCATATCGCGTTCCTGTCACGCCAATGAACCCCGCGGGATGATGCCATTGACACCTGACATTTGACACTTGACAGTGGAATTGAGCCTTTTCGAAAGAATAAGGACAGGAATGATTGATATTCTATGCCTTAAGAAAGAAAATCTCGCTGTCGCAGAGTTTCCTTTGCCAGTTACCAGCTCAATTGCTTCGGACGTACTCCGTCCAAGAGGGTTTCCATCAAACGTCATCATAAGCAACGAGAGAATCTACAAGATCAATGGCATATCTCTTGCGACGACGTTCTGGCTGACAATATGTCACATGAGCCTACTTGGCATTATTTCATTGTCTATTTTTGTCCGATATGACTGGCCATGATACTCTCAGAGAATACCGACTACGGCATGGTGATGGACAAGTGTAGATGGCGATAGTCTACGCGACATCCAGCACAAATGACGTGCCAAAACCATCGCATCAGGCATAAATATACATCAAAATGCCCAGTAGTGATAGAAAGAACTCGATAGTACAATCAAAATGGCTACCGACAAGGCAGTAACCCAGAAACTGGTCGAGGAATCCTCGAGACAGTCCTATACTGAACCACCGCTGAGCGAAACCTCCCTCAAAAAGGGCGCACAGGTGGACTCGCAGCCCTATGAAGAGTCTATAGGCTCCCACGTAAACAACCCCTTTGCCGATCCCGAAGTGGCGGAGCGATATAGACTGCTCTACGAGAAGGCGCAGTACGAATGCCGCCATGTGTTCGATCCCAGCATGACCTGGACGCCAGAGGAGGAGAAGAAGCTGGTGCGCAAGCTGGACTGGCATGTTTGTCTATGGGCGGTATGTTCGATTCCATTGGATATAGGATATGTGCTGATCGCTATAGTGTGTGATGTTCTTTGGACTGCAGGTTGACCGAGGAAACCTCGTGCAAGCCGTCTCGGATAACCTGCTGGATGACCTCAATCTGACCACGAATGGTGAGTGATTACCAGTCGTGATATATGGATGCCATGCTGACACTACTAGACTACAACACGGGCAACACAGTCTTTTATGTCTCTTTCCTCCTCGCTGAATTGCCCTCCCAGCTTATCTCGAAGAAGCTCGGACCGGACCGCTGGATTCCCATCCAGATGACCCTGTGGTCCATTGTCGCGGCGGCGCAGTGCGCTCTGACTGGAAAGAGTTCGTTCCTTGCTACTCGTGCGCTGTTGGGTATTCTAGAGGTATGCAACCTTACTCGACAGCGTGATCGATGCTAATATAATACAACAGGGGGGGTTCATCCCTGACATTGTGCTCTGGCTCTCGTATTTCTATACCGGGCGTGAGCTCCCTACTCGCTTAAGGTAGCACTCTCACCCGTGGATATCAATTTGCCCTACTAACCTCCTCAGTATCTTTTGGACTGCTCTTTCTGTTACGACGATTATCACATCCTTCATGGCATTTGGCCTGCTCCATATGCGCGGCGTACTCGGCTGGGCTGGATGGAGGTAGTTCTTCTGTGACCCCAAGTCTGTAGATCATAACTGACGCGCACATTTCTAGATGGCTCTTCCTCATCGAAGGTCTCATCACGCTCCTTGTCGGCCTCACCTCCTTCTTCAAGATGCCCGCGTCAGCCGTCGACACGAAGAAATGGTTCCGACCCAAGGGCTGGTTCACCGATCGCGAGGTCCGCATCGTGGTGAACCGAGTCCTCCGCGATGATCCCTCAAAGGGTATTATACCCCTTCTCCCTACCTATTTGAATGACCTCCTGAGTGACGAAACACAGGCGACATGCATAACCGCCAACCCATCACCCCGCGCATCCTCTGGAACACCCTCTGCGACTACGACCTCTGGCCCATCTACCTCCTCGGCCTGATCATCTTCACCCCCATCGTTCCCGTCTCCTCATACATCACCCTCACGCTCCGTGGCCTCGGCTTTAGCACTGTACGTCGCGCGCCTCCCTTTACCCCCCCCAAGCACTCACATCCCCCCAGCTAACCGTATACAACAGTTCACAACAAACCTCCTCACCATCCCCGCCAGCGTCGGCCACATCATCATGCTCCTCGCCCTCACCCGCCTCAGCACCTACCTCAACGAACGCACCTTCGTCGCCAGCCTCCAAAGCATCTGGACCCTCCCCTGCGTCATAGCCCTGCGCTTCTGGTCCGGCACGATGACAAGCCCCTGGGGCACCTACGCGGTCGTCACGGTCATGCTGTGCTATCCGTACTGCCACGCGATCCTGGTCGGCTGGACGTCGAAGAATGCGAATAATGTGGCGACGAGGTCGGTGTCGGCGGCGATCTATAACAGTACGTCCACTCTGCCTCGGTCTGTTGGGGGGGAGGGGGGGACGCTGGATTTGGGGAGGGTGCTGACCTTCGGCAGTGTGTGTACAGCTCGGCAGCATTATCGGAAATAATGTGTACAGGACGGATGATAAGCCGGCGTACCGGCGGGGCAACTCGGTGTTGCTGGCGCTGAATTTGCTGGCGGTGGTGTTGTTTGGGGCGACAAAGGCGTACTATGTGCTCCGGAATCGACATCGGGATCGGGTGTGGGCTGGGATGACGGAGGAGGTGAGTGCCATTTATTGTTTCTGTTTCCCGGATGGGAACGGTGGAGGGTGCTAACGAGAGGAACAGGAGCGACAGGACTATGTGCACCACAGCAAGGATACGGGGAGTAAAAGGCTGGATTTCCGATTCGCGCATTAAGCATGATTGTTGGGATGGATAGGAAGGGAGGAAAAGAATAATGAGGAAGAGAGAGAGATTAAAACTTCATTGTTAAGAAGCTAGTTTCATATAAACCAAAACAGATAACACCACATCAACATAAGGTATAAATACGTTCCCGATCCCATTAAACCTACGCAGCAGACTTGCCAGTCACCGTCTCGTGGTACGTGGCCTCGGCCTGAATCTCCTTCTCGACCTGGTGCAGATCGATGTGGGCGACGGCCTGCTCGCCGTCGAAGATGTGAGCAACCTCCTCGAGGGTGTTGCCCTTGGTCTCGGGGTACATGAAGTAGACGAAGATTAGTTCGCAGAAATCCCACAGGGTGTAGAACAGCATGAAGTTCCAGTGGTGGGGCAGGTTCTTCCAGGCGACCATGTTGGTCTGGTTGCTGATGGCGAGGATGGCCTGGACAGTGATGTTCATGATCATCATACCCTTGGCGCGGAGCTTGAAGGGGAGGACCTCGAGGGCGTAGGCGATCAGGAGACCGGAGAAACCGACATCGTACGAGACACCGAAGAGCCAGATGAAGACGAGCTGGGCGTAGCCGGAGCCGGTGTTGGTACTGTTGGAGTTCTCGTAGACGGCGCCGGTGATGGTCCAGCAGATGAACGAGAGGACCATGCCGGAGATGGAGATGAGGAAGAGAGGACGACGGCCGTAACGATCGACCTGCATGGCGGCGGCGACGGTGACGATGATATCCAGGATGGTCTTGCCGGTGCTGAGGCCGAGCTTCTGGTTCTGACTCGTGATACCGGCACCCTCGTAGATCTGGTTCATGTAGTTGGAGAACAGAGCGTTACCGGAGTACTGCGAGATGATACCGAGAGACATGATGATGGCCAGACGCCAGAGGTTGCCCTTGGTGCGGAAGAAGTCGAGGTAGCTGCTGTCGGAACCGGCCTCGTTCTCCAGACGGATGGTCTCCTTGATCTCGCGGTATTCAAACTGCACGACGGTGTTATTGACGTCGCCACCGCCGTGCCACTTGGTGAGAATGTTGAGGGCTTCCTCATTGCGGTCGTTGTTGATCAGATAACGTGGAGACTCGGGGATCCCTGGGGAACAGCGACGTTTAGTCTCCAGAATGGCACAACCGGAGAATGACAGGGAAAAGAAAACTTACACCAGATGCAGCACAGCTGGATAACGGAGGGGATAATCTGCAGCAGAGTGATGGACCGCCACGACCAGTCGTTGGAGACATAAGAGGTACCCCAGCCGATGACGGAGACGACCAGAGCGCCGACGTTCCAGAGACAGTTGTAGATGGTGGTGACGGGGCCACGGTGCTGAGGGTGCACAATCTCCACCAGTAGCAAAGGGGAACACATCTGGGCGAGAGAGTTGCCGAAACCGAGGATGAAACGACCGGCGATATACATGTTGTAACCGTTGGAAGCAGTACCGACCACACCACCGACAACCATGAAGAGACATCCAATGATGATGGCAGTCCGACGACCCCAGCGATCCGCAATGTAGGGACTGCACCATCCATTAGCTCGGTGTCCTCTCGCTTTCGAGCCTCCTTAGCGGGAATACATACGTGATGAAGAAACTGATGATGGAACCGATGTTGAACATGTTGACCAGCAGACCGAGCCAGTTCTCCTGCTCAACCTTGGGGGACAGGAACTTGTTCCAGCTGTCCATCATCTGTGAGGTGTTGACCAGCATACCGTCGTAACCGGTGGTGGCCGAAGCGACCATCAGGCCGGCGGACATTAGGTACAGCTTGCGCAGATGAGGCTCCTTCTTCCAGTTGACCTTCTCGAACTGGGGGGACTCAGTCTGCCCATCGGCCTCTGCGCCCTTGGCGCCCATACCGGCGATCTGAACCATTGTGAGAGAGGTAGAAGGTGGAATGTGATGCACCTCTAGGACGATCTGGGGAGGAGTGATCGAGAGAGAGAGAGAGAGAGAGAGGGACAGATGACGGGGCAGAAGCTGTATATTATAGCTTTGGCCAGCAGTCAATCTGGGGAAGGACTGGAGAAACTTTGGGAGATGGAGCACGCGTTTGGGCTTGACCCGACTTGGTCAAAGCTTGGGACAAAGCCATGCACAGGAAAAGGCCGTGACAGCCCGTAAGACCGTCAGGTAGGACTCAGGACCATGATCCCAGACGCCATCCGAGCGCATGATTGCTCCAATTGAGCCGGAGGAGCTAGTCTGGAGAGAGCAGAGGCGAACAGGATAAAGACAAGCAAGCCAGTCTAGCCAGACGAGGGCTGGGAAAGACAAGCTAGTCTGCAAGCGAAGTGACCACATGGACAAGACAAATTAATCACGGTATTCCAGCGGCCAGAATTCTTGGCTTTTTCTTGTCTTTACTCAGGCCCCGGCTGAACGGGCCGGACTTGTCGTTGACTTCGTTACCGAGTCAGACCTTGGTGATAGCTGGGGGAAATCAAAGATAGCACTCAGTAACTATCTATCGAATAATTTTCAACTTCTATCTAGATAGACAGTGGACAGGTTAGTTCGAACCGAACATGATCGATCCTCTACAGCATTTCCGATTCTTCCCCAGTCCCCAGTCCCCAGACTCCGCAGAATCAACTGCTCACTAGCGACTAGTTAGTCCCTCTCCACCCACGCATTTCATTTCCGGGTAAAAGATCGGATCTTCAGGATAAACTGGACCCCGTCTAAGCCCTAGCCGGGCTAGTCGAACGCCTAGCTCCCCCGCATTCGCAGCTGAGTGGCATGCTGGGCTGGTTTACCCTGCCCTGGGCTTTGCTTTTATCCAGAGCCCGCCATCAGCCGAGGGTATTCCCGTGTGTCTTTTTCTCTTGCCATAGATAGGCTGCTGTTTCCCTGCAGTATTCCGGATTCTGACATGTGGCTACAGCCTCTATGCTGACAATTCCGTATCGAATCTGTTTTCTGCATGGAATTCCTGGTCCAATGAAAATGCGAGTCTGTTTACTGTGTATAAGCGATTCTGAACCTCTGAGATTCAAGTTGATTTTCGTCTCTTTCTTGGGGACAGGCTAATGAATCATCCAATTAGCGCATTGGAATGGTACATGACTCAATGCAGGGAAATACCGCCTGTGTCCAAAAACCACGAAATCTCAGCCCTAGACAGACAGACAGACAGACAGACAGACAGACACGAGGCATCTACATACAGTAGCTAACGCCATTCAAAGCCAGTCGACGCCACTAGACCCTCCTAGCTGATAAATGCCTAATGTACAATAGTATTGCCTCAGTAGCCTGTCTACACTGACTCTGGCATCGTCGTATCATTCGGTGCTCTTCGTCCATAAGCAACGGGCCGCCGTCTAGCTGAAGGCAAATCCCAAGCAACACCATTGCCCTCACGCCATGATATCGAATGATCAGGTATAGATACCGTATCAAACGACTAACAGGTCACTCAAACGGATCAATTATTTCCATATCGGGTACGGGGTAGCAACCCCGGGTTTATTCCAGCGCTCAATTAGGGTTCTCAGCGCACGCCTTTGCGCCTCCACCCGGGGACCCGCGACTGGAGTGCACACTGGGATATTGGCTCATATCCGGGGTGCATGATCGGATGGGTTGACTGGGTTTTCTCGGGCCACAGTCTCCATTCCCCCAGTGTTTCTCTCCAGTCTCCAGGTGTCTGGCCCGAGTCGAGTCACGCCAACAGCCGGGAACCCGTGACAACACTAAAACAAGGGCAGCGAAGCAAAAATCTATCTAGATTTAGGCGAGAGGATGAGTGGATTGCCTTGATTATTAGCCTGTCCAGTCTCTGTAGCCTGTGAGCTGCTGCCAACAGCCGGTTCCATTTCCGTGGGATTTTACCAGTAACTGGCTGGGACATGGTGGCAATCTAGCAGGCCTCAAAGTCGCCAACAGTCAGGAATTCATGATTACTGGTGACTGGATACATTCTACTTAAGACAAAAGAGGCGAAATTGCGTATTTTGAATATCATGCGGTCGAAAGGTGTTACTTTGTGGCAAGTCGCCATGTTTTTGCCGGTTTTTACTGACTCACACGCCAAGATCAAGAGAGCAGCCTCCAATCATAATGAACAGTGAGACATTGACTCGATGCAACATTAGGGGGGGGTGACTATTACTTGCACGGCCGTGATCACAATATGAGTAGCCCAACTTTGCTCTTAGCCCAATGGTAGCGTCTTCCAGTCACACAAGATCCGCACAGGGTTAGCATCGCGATCACGTCCTTCAACCGCACGGTAGAACGACTGGCTGGAACATACTCTCCTAGGATAACAAGCTGAATCATGGCCTTTTCCTCTCCACCTACGGCCCCCATTCCCCCATGTTCGGCCGGGCTGGTTGCTGTTTCTTGCCACTTCTCCCATAGGCAATGCGGGTTTCACTTCTCAACCGCATCCAATGCCTGGGTCCTCACCGCACCACTCAGGTGATTAGCAGAGCAATGGTTTGTTGAGAGCATCGGTGCTTTCGTTCATCGGTACCCCCTGAAAACGCGCCTTGGGCTCAGGCCTGTCGTCCAGACTTGGTTCATCATTTGTGGCGCGCAGGCCGAACCGGAGAAGATGGAAATATAGGAGCTCACCGTATGCAGCCTTGAGTAGCGGGAGAGGGTAAACAAGGGGGCAATCCTGTAAGGATTAGCCATGAGCATTTCGGAAGGCTTTTTTGAAGCCTGTTAGTCAAGGACTGAAGCTAGTTCGCTTGGAAGCCTTCCACACCCTACCAAGTACAACAGAGCTGTAGGAGCGAGCCTAGCACGTCCTGGTAAATGCAGCTCTCAACTGCCAGTCTCCGATAAAATTTGACCCCCCCTAAGTGTAATATCTGGATATTAGTTGTGGCTTGACCACGAACTCTCCAGTGCCTGGTTCATACGAGGCTACCATGGTACAACCCAGTAGCTCTTGATGATTGTTGGTCTCCTGCTCATCCTGTCACATAGACTACAGACGCCAGATTCATTTTGTTCATTCTATTCCCTACCCAAAAATGTAAGCTGGGAACGCCACGTGGCCATGCATTACTCCCACTTCCATCCGGCTTGGTGAGTGTTGATCCTCCTATGGATGTTTGACCCTCGACGGAGGAGCTTACTGAGATGGAATGTCTCGCAGGTCCCGCCAATTCTCTTCGATTCGCACTGATTGTGCGCAGTCTCTCGATTGAATGTTCATCAATTCACCTACCCATAGTACATTCTGTCCCGTGTGGGGTACAGTCCACACATGCACTTCATGAATCCCATCGTTGAATGGTTACTCTAACATCTCGTGCGACGAGAGAGCATCGGGCCATCGCTATCCACCAATCAGTGCCATACCGGGGAGCCGACATCGTACACCCACGCGAGCGTTCACTGTGAGACAAGATATATTTCAACAGGAGGGGGTTAATCTGACCCGGAGGATCGGCGAAAAGCCCTTGATCGACAGCCCAAACCGGACTTTTGAGGAGTTACCCAGCTACTTGCGTGACACGACTATGACTGCCAAAGACTTCAAACAAATACAAATTGATGGCTCCTACGCTCAACGCTACTCCCTCCTCGCAGTAAGTCTGCACATCAACGGCTTCTTCTCCCACAAAACAAACGTCTTCTGGTCCTTCCAGTCGCGGCTCTCCTCGCAGAGCTGCAGATCGAAGTTATAGAGCACCCGCGCTAGAATCACCCGCATCTCGGTATACGCCAGATTCTTCCCGATGCAGTTCCGCGGGCCAACTGAAAAGGGCTGCAGCACGTCGCGCTGGTCGGAGAAGAACGACGACGCCGGGTCGTCCTTGGCTTCTGGCAGCCAGCGGTCGGGGATGAAACTGTCCGGTTGGTGGAAGTTGCGCGAGGACCAGTATGCGCCGGCCTGATGGACGGATACCTTAGTCTGGACGAGTCAGTGGGATGTCGATTTGACGCTTTGATGCTCAGAGAAAAAAAAAAAAAAACACTTACCCGCCCTGGGATCTCGTACCCGGAGATGCGGGTGGGGGTTTCAGTCCATCGCTGGAGACCGCCAGGCACCGGAGGATACAGTCGAAAGGCCTCGCTGATACATGCGAGCATGTACGGCAGCTGAGCCGTGACATTGTTGAACGTGATCTCTGCCTCGGAGGCGAACGTGGTTCGGACCTCCCTAGTGACCCTCTCCATTGCGGCCGGTGTCTGGAGCAGCCAGTACGTGACTCCCGACAGCAGCGTCGCCGTGGTCTCGCTGCCAGCAATAATCAGAATGTTCGCATTCGCCACGAGCTCCTCCTCACTCAGCCCGTCTTTATCACCGCGATGCCGAAGCATCGAGTCCATAAAGTCGCTGCGATCATGGCGCCGCGTCCGCAGCCGTTTCTGCACCGTCCGCTTCGTATGCTCCACCTGGTCCGTGCGCATCTGCAGAAACGACCGCGGCAGGAAACTCAATATCACCCGGAACAACACGGAATACTCATCCATCCCCTTGAGGAACGGGATCACCCGTATAAAGCCAAACACCGCCGCTACCCAGCGGTGATACTCCGAGCTCTCGAGCCCCCCAAACGGCTCCCCGAAGGCCAGGTCACCGATCAGATCGAACGTCGTCAGGGTATACCACTTGACCATGTCTGCTGGCAGTCCAGATGCGGCGACGTCCCTCAGCCGCGCGATCAGTTGGTCCACATACCCGGTGACAATGGGCTCCTGGGCCTGCAGCCCCTTGGCCGAGAAAGCATGTGCGAGCGCCTTGCGGTGACGCGTGTGATCCGCATCGTTCGCGCTGATGATGTCCTGGGTGTTGCTGCCGGAGTTGAGAACTTTGGGAAGCTGCTTGTGGCCGTGGCCGTAGATATCACGCCAGGCGTCTGCGGTGATGAAGGAGACGGAGGTCGGGTCGAACCGGACTGCCGCGCCGTACTTGATGTGCCAGTGGTGCATGTCGAGGTCGAGTCGTCCCCGGATGGCGGAGAGATGCTGGAGGAGGGGGAAGGCGATCCATGATTTGGGGCCGGGGATGTCGCGGAGTGGGTGGAAGTAGATGTTCCTTATAGCTGATGCGAGTATATACCCAAGATACAATGCGAGTGCGGTCCCCAGAGCGAGGAACATCTTGACTATGAGATCGAGGAGCACAGCACGATACTTGGGGTCATGACCGACATCTGGGAAACTTCCCGCTCGCTTTATAACACTTCGAGCAGAGTACAAGACGCTCACGACTCCAGTGACATTAGCACTGAATCAGTGGTGCTGCAGACATTGCTGCACGCTCACGCAGGTGTAACATTATGACGCCTGCACGCATTCCTTTCCCAGGCATGAAACGCTGCGGAGGTTGCGCTGCAGGTTGCACACCATATTGGAGGAGTGCTATCCCTGCAGACCACGGAGAGTCATGCCGAGTCATTAGGACCGGCATTTGCACATTACCATAATGCATGAATTTCCTGCATAGAGCCATAAGGAGTGGAAGACGATGATTCAATGATCTACGGGCTGTTCTGTTATCGACTGCCCCGCTTCAGAGTAGGGTATAAATCCTGCCGTATGCAGAGTCAATGCTTCATTAAATTTATACAGCGCTCGCAGACCCCTCGATGGTGGGAAGCGCCACAGGACATGGAGGGGGCTTGTGACCCTCTAGTGGCATTGCAAGCATGGGTAAATATAAATCTCAATTGCATATTGCCCACTACAGACTAGGGATACCTGCAATCGAGCACATTCTTCAGCATAGAATGAGGAAAGAATCCAGAGACTGGATTAGTGACACTGCTAGATAGTGTAAACAGCAAGTGAATGCCAAGTTCCTCAGTAATCAATCGTTAGTTTTCGAGGGATAGAAGCTCAGTAGCAGGTCATCATCTCATATACCAAACGGATCAGAAGCACTATACAACTATATACTCGTGTGAAGACCATTGCCTAGACTCTCTTACAGACCATCTGCATGTAGGAACACGTGTCTCCTCTTCATAACAACAGTGGACAGGCTAGAAGAGGGGTCGGTCTCAGGCAATATGCTCAGAAGTCGGGACGTCTCCATCCTCGCTCTTGATGACAAACTCTCGCTGATTGGCAAATTCTACCCTTAATTAGAAACACACGACAGATCGGCAAGGGAGGGATGGGGGACACACGATCAACTTTTGTATACTTGAACTTCCTCGCCGGCACGCGATGGTGGAAGAGCAAATCGATCTCTCCAAACGTACGGTCTTTGGTCTCCGGGAGACGAAACCAGCACCAGATGTTGCACAGCAGATTCGTCGCGGCGTAGAAGAGGGCGGTCTTAGCGCCCCAGTTCCATGCTATCGCCGTATAGCGTTAGTTTTATCCGTTTGATATCGAATAGATAGAGAGGGGAAAGCGGAGAACATACACGACGCAGCGATCATGCGAGGTGTCAGCGAATTGTTGAATATCCCCGTGAGATTATACACAAACCGCCCGATCACAATCGTCTTGTAGCGCAGCCGGCCGGACGGTGTTTCTGCCACGATCGGGTAGCAGGCCGGTCCGACCGTGATCATATTGCACAGGGTTGAGATGACGAGCAAGATCCCGATTGCCAGCTGCGCATCTTTGCCGTTGGACCAGCCCAGTCCGCCAATGGTGACCAGGCACACGAACATGAAGGCCATGCCGCTCATGTAGATGGTTGCGCGGCCGAGATGAGGGAAAAGAAGCCAGCAGATAATGCCACCGATGATGTAGCAGGCGGACAGGGAGATGTTCAGATCGAACGCCTGCAGTTCGTTGAACCCAGCGGCTTCGAGGAAAACGACGGAGTAACCGAGGATGGCATTACCGCAGAGGATCTGAGCAGCCCAGACGACGCAGTTCTAAGCCAGACGATTAGGGAAAAAACCATCCAGCGCAGCATGCGGCTGTGGTACTCACAATTTCCGTCCGCCGCAGATTAGTCCCCTTGAAACATTCGAGGAAGTTGGCATTAGCCGTTTCCGACTGTTCCAGTTGCGTTGTGTGCCTGATATATGCCAGAGTGGCGTCGACTTCCCGCTCCCTATCCGGTGTATCCTGTCGCAGGCGCAGCAGGCTCTTTCTCGCTTGGTCAACCTTACCTCGTCGGACGGCATTCCAGGGGGACTCGGGGGCAAAGTATGCGCCGACACATAGAGGAAGCGGCCAGACCCATTGCAGAAGAAAGGGTAGTCGCCAGCCCAGATCACCTTCGATACCGGCTACGGCTCGGACGACGCCAGACGAGAGGAGAATTCCTGCGCCCCAGCACATGCACACATATGCCGTGACATACGGTCGGAGAACGGTGGGGACGACCTCGGACGCGTAGGCCGTCGAAAGAGTCTGCCACGTGTTGAGTATACCTCGTCCCAAATATGGAAACCGAATAGTACCTGGAAGACTCCCCAAGAGATGCCACACATGGCCTCTCCCCAGGCCAGAACGGGCAGGGAGGGTGCAAAGACCGGGATAAAGATCATCACCGCCATCCAGAGCATAAAGAACATCATCGTGGGGCGACAGCCGAAGCGGTCCTGGCTGTAGGCATTGACGAGGAGACCGGCGAGTTGGCCGACTATGGAGGAGTTGGACAGACCCGATTGCCATGCTGCTGGAATCACTTTGGTTCCCGTTTTGGCTGAAAAGACGCCGAATCGCTCGATGAACTGGGATTGGCCGTAGAAGGAGGTGATCTATTGAAAGAGATTAACGTTGTCTCACCAGTGGCGACGAAGATACCCACGATAACCAGATCATATCCCTCCATGATCAAGCTGGTGGACAAGAACATGGCCCAGAAAACCGCCTTTTTGTATTTCAAAAACGCTTGCCGTATCGTTAGACGGCGATCGGCAGCATCGCTCTCCTGCGCATAGTGGATAAGTTCGAGAACTCCAGGGTTGCCGGGGCTGAAGTTTCTGAGATCATTGTCGGTGGGGACAACCGGTTCGTTGCCCATGTTAGATAGATCAGATCGGAAGCACTGTCTTGTAAGCCTCGATGAATATCATGAGTGGGGGAATGTACACCAAAAGCATTGGGGCAACGGGCTCATTTTAAAGATGACGGGCTTCGTTGATTGACGGTCTCCCTCCCGCCGGAAGGAGAGCATACGGAAGAGGGATCAGCATTTGGGATCTAAGTAGCACCTCAATGGAGTATAAGGAAACTGACAAGGAAGTCAATGCGCTGGTGGACCTAGGACTGAGCGATAGAGGAATGGGATAGATCATAGAAGCGACTTCCCCAGATTTCGGGCAAAATTCCGGGGGTGGAGTCCCGATTGATTCGGAGTTTCCACTGCGTCGAGGAAAAGAGTCAAAAGACTGGGTTCCTGTGGAGGGCACCGGCAGATCTCGTATGATTGGATGCTAAGAAGTTGACGGAGGGGATATAGTATAGTAGGTATAGGATAGGATAGGAAAGGATAGTCATCAAGATATGAGCACACGCTGAAGCTTCTGGATAGTGGTATTGTCCGCAAAATAGAGCTATCTCACCGAGTACAGGTCGTATGTACAAATGCAATACGCTCATTTCGTAGCTGCTCTATCATTCCAGGCACAATACTTCGTATACATATCTCAAAGGCTCATTGAGGCATAAACACCGTAACCCTCCACTGAACGGTGTAGTGACCATGCGAAACCCTGGATATAATCCAACAATTGCTTATACATACATTGGTTTAATCCTGTTTTGAACTGACAGCATAATTCGTTTCAGGGGGCTTGAATGCAGGGCCCAGGGATAAGCACGCATTGCATGGTCACATATCAGGATCAGATCGTCCGACGGATATACTATTGAGCCCCAGCATAGCATCCATATTCCCAATTGAGTTATCTACATAAGTCGTAAACTCATGACTCTCGGAAATCAATTGCCTGAAGGGGAATCTTCAGCCAGCGCATTTTTCGCCCCTATTTGCCATAAGCACTACCAGCACAGACGAGCCAGACCAAGAACAGAAAGATGTGGATGGGACTTGAGAATCTAGAACCCAGAGCTTGGCCATTGTTTACTGATCATGCTTATACCACAATGATACTTGAGTGCTGAGGAGAGCGCCAATAGTGAAACAAACGGAGTACAAAAGGCAGGATGTTCACCATTTCGAGGATGCCAATCATTGGCTTTATTCTTGCTGGATTACCTGCACCATGATTCGGATATCTTCTCTTATCGCAGCAAGTGCCCTAGCATTGCCCACTCTCGTCCATGCCTACACCTTGAAGGATGACTATACCGGAAACAACTACCAGGACTTCTTCAACAAGTTCAGCTTTTGGACGGGTCCTGACCCCACCGAGGGTCTTGTCGACTATGTGAATCTCGACTCTGCGTGGGACAACGGCTTGATCGGCAACGGAGGAAACATCTACCTCGGCGTCGACCACACCAACAAAGTGGGCAACGAAGGACGGAAGAGCGTCCGCTTGACAGGCAACATTGCGTATAACCCGGGCATCCTTCTGGTCGCTGACATCACTCACATGGTAAGGGGTTCTACCGCAGTTGGGACGACATAGAGCTCACAAGTATATAGCCCGATGTCTGCGGCACCTGGCCCGCCTTCTGGATGACCGCGGCATCCGACGACTGGCCCCAGAGCGGCGAAATCGACATCATCGAACAGGCGAACAACGCACAGAATAACCAAATGTCGCTTCACGTCAGCAACAAGCAAGGCCAGTGCATCATTAGCACCGACGCCTCGATGACGGCAACGCAAGACCGCTGGGGCGATTGCGCTCAGGAGGCCACCGGCGGCTGCGACGCCAACGATCCCCGGACGAACAGCTTTGGCTCGGGCTTCAACAATAACGGCGGCGGGGTGTATGCCGCTGAATGGACGTCGGAATGGGTGCGGATCTGGTTTTTCCCTCGCAACGAGATTCCTGGTGGCGACACGGGACCGTTGGGGAGCGCGCCTGATCCTGCTACGTGGGGTACGCCGACGACCAGTTTTCAGAGTCGGTATGGAACGGACTGTGATATGTCTTCGCATATCCGGAATCAGCGTGTTATCATCGATACTACTTTTTGCGGTGCGTGGGCGTCTGGTTCGTGGAGGAGCTCTGGGTGTGCAGCGAAGACGGGCTATGATACTTGTGAGAGCTATGTGAAGAATGTCCCGGGGGATTTTGCGAGTGCCTTTTGGACTTTCAAGTTGCTTAAGGTCTTTCATTAAAAGAACCAATCTCATTGTATTCAGGAAGTAAAGCATTGCCGCATATGCTGCTCCTAGACCCCGCATCAAACAAGAAGTTGTCCGTATAACCTTCCGTTTGTATGAGGGTGAGCCATCCTTCCAAGTTCGGACCAAGGCTATGCTACCATACTGGCTAATGGTTTCGTAGAATACACCCATCTCTTCTGCTCTGCGCGAAGCGTTGGTATATCTGCTGCCTTTCTCTTCTTCGGAACCACTATGGGGGACATATCTTCAAAGGCGGACATGTCCATAAACTACACAGTGTCAGTATTGAGGCCATCCTTTGATAGGAATGGAGACCCCCACAGGGTACTTACTAGCTTTCTCCAGTATTCCTTGCCGGTAGGCACTCGTCACGCATGGCAATCGAGAAGAAGTGCATCTTCGCCGGGAGTGACCTGGCCATCAGCGTACCGAGCTCTTTCGTGATTTGTGTGTTCTCATGAAGGATGGATGATGCAGAAGGGAAGAAGGGGCAGGAGGTAGAAGTTATCTACCACCCACCATCTAGTGAATAGGCAATTGATCGTAACACAAGTTAGGTACAAGGTAATCCCCAGTCTAAATATAGCTCATTGTTGCTACCATCAACAATAGGACATGGTTACCTGGGCTGAGTAGTGGCAATCACTTGAGCAAAAACATTGAATACCTGTAGTGCTAGCTGCCTTTCAACCCCTATCGTGACATGTATAGCAGTAGAAGGAGTAACACCGACCATTTTATCCCAGCCCAAGCAGCAAAAAAGAAAAGACATCAAAAACATACAACAGCCGGGATTCGCTGGTGGTCACCCACCCAACTACTAACCGGCCGGCGTGTGGCTTAAGTACGGCTGAGCGGACGGGAAGCCCTGTTCTCCACACCCTATGGTCGTATGTGCTAGAAGTAGTTAAAAGGTGGTTTATATAGCACCGAAAATTGAACTGGACACGTAGTACTATTACGGCGGCAATGATCTCTATCCCGCTTGCCTGACTATTTGAGAGATAACTAGTGAGTCCTCCCAATAGAACCATCCTTACCTATATTTGATGCCATGAAAAGCTTGAGGAAGCTCCCCTTGCAGGTTTCGCAGCGGGCTATATATTAGTTGGGCTTGTTTGTTGAGAGTTGTGTAGATACAGGGGTGCTGTTCCTTTTCGATTCTCTCCTGACAGCCACACTCTTTAACCACCGGGTATCTTGGAGAGTCAGACAGCCACGACCATCGGATTTGGATGGCTGAATAGCTTCTAGGATACGATGGCACAGACGGTGGCTGAGGCCTCATTACTCCCTGTCAAGCTCACGTGACATTCATTCTTGCTTTCCCAGTTTCGACGACCTGCTAATCCACCCGCGATTACACCAACCACTGAATCTGGAAATTTTGCTCCTCCGTCTATTCAAACGGACTGTGCTCTTTCATCTAGGCGGCTGTTTGTTTTTTCTCTTTTCCCGCTCATTTTATGCAGAAAAAGGGTGAGGGTTGTGCCACTCGTCCGGCGCCTTGGCCAACGCCCCATTCTTCACGTATCTGGTTCTCAGGAATGCATTGAATGCACGATCTTCGATGTGTTGACTCAACAGTCTGGAACATGTCCTAGCGCCTAGAAAACGTGTACATGGTCACTACCGCGGGAACTCGCACCAGATCGTCTCTCCATCATCGGGGGGCTAGTGTCCATCCGAGGCGCGATATCCATGTATGCGACTACCGGGCAGCTGAGCGAGCATCAGCAGGGTATATTGTCAACCATCGAGCGCGCGTGCTCCTGTCTTTCCGTGGTTGCATCAATGATCGTGATTGCGACCTTTCTTAGCTCGCGCCAGTTTCGCAAACCGATCAACCGTCTGATCTTCTGGGCCACGTGGGGCAACCTCATGTCAAATGTGGCCACGCTGATCGCCGAGTCCAGCGTACGGACCGGTTCGGCTGCTCTATGCCAGTTCCAGGCATTCGTGATTCAGTGGTTGGTGTCTTTTGCTGTTCGACTTGGTTGGCATGCGCGGCTGATGTCACGACAGGTTCTTGCCAGCAGATTCTTTATGGGCTCTTGCCATGGCCTTCAATGTCTATCTGGTCACCTTTAAAAAATATGACACTCGACGGCTCCGGCAGCTTGAGTGGAAGTATGGGCTCTTTTGTTATGGGCTCCCATTCATCCCGGCATTCATACTTCTATTCATTAAGTCTAAGAAGCGAGGGAAAGTCTATGGTGAATCAGTTGTAAGTGTTCCCCCGACAAGGCTTTGAGAGCCTGCTTATTCAATGTCGTAGATCTGGTGCTGGATTGCCAGCCCCTGGGACTTCCTGCAGGTTGCCACCTTCTATGGGCCGGTTTGGTTCGTTATTCTGTCTATTTTCGCCATCTATATCGGCGTTGGTTTGTCAATGTACCAGCACCAGCGCGCGGTCCAGAAAATAATCACCCCGCCACTTGACCACGAAAGTCACACGCAGCTATCGGGCGACATGGAGCTCGGCGACATAGCCCACACCAGTCCTCTTCCCGGAGGCTCCAGCCACCCGATCGAGCAACCGATGTTACTTCTCCCCTCCCCGCCACATGCCTCTCCCGAGGCTGGAATGGCTCCAATCCGGCCAAGTCCAATGCAGCGTAGTTCTGGCTTGAATCAAACGAGCACGCTCCAGCCGCGTGATGGCGGCTCTTACAACACTTCGATATCCGGGGCATACATGAGATATGCCCTTCTCTTTGCCTTTGCATTGTTCGTGACCTGGGTATGTGCGTCGATTCACTTTCACCACCACAATGACTGAAGTCTTCCTAGGTCCCTCCGTCAGCTAACCGGGTCTATGCGCTGACAAGACATAACGAATATCTGTTTGGGCTGACTTGTGCCTCCAGTTTCTCTCTTCCTCTGCAAGGATTCTGGAATGCCATGATCTACATTACCGTCTCATGGCAAGCGGTGCGAGCCTTGCTCCGGGACTTTGGCAGAGGGCTTAGAAGCGCCTTCAAGCTCAATACCAGCCGTCTCCGAGACGGGTAGGGTCTGTAATGGAATTTGAAGGGTGTTGAATATAGATATATCATATACGAATTATATAAATAATAGAGACGGTCCAGGAAGAACATGAGAATGGATAATCTTTTCATCTTGAATCTATGGTATGTGGAAGAACATACAGTCTCTATGGCCATGCCATTGGAATTCTTATCTCCATAGTCCATACCTATATTAACATTGGATTAAGAGGCTACAAAAAGGGCTTCTCGCCTTGGTCAACTAGTCTGCATCCTACAAAAGCACTCACTAGTCAGAAAGTGCGCTAACTTAGTCTAGGCAACACCGAGACGAGCAACCAGGAATAACTTCACCTTTCACTCTCATCTCTGTCTTCACCTTCAACCATCAAAATCTTCAATCGGCATATGTCAACATCTAATCTGCTTGCAACATGGGATCAAAGAGCCCTGAAGGGCACAACCAAGCTCCTCATGGTACGGTTCCCACTTCCAAACCGGAATAACCATGAGCGCTGACCTCTTCTCTCTCTACAAGGAGCCCCCAACGCGCTCGACAAGCCAGCGAACCCAGCCGTCAAAGCCCAGAATGGCTCCGGATCTGCCGACTTGGATCGCGGAACCATCAGCAACGATGACGATGACGCCGACGATGACGAGAAGGAAACCCAGATAAACGGTTCTTCCAACGCTGGTAGGATCTACCTCTTCCCATCCCGGCCGGCGAAATTTCAGCATCGCCCCACTGACACCCCGTCTACTCCAGAAAAAAAGAAAAAGAAACGTAAGAGATCCAAGAAGAAGGCCAAACCCACCGAGGCCAAGCAAACGAGCCCACCGCGCGTTCCGCTCTCGACTCTCTTCCCCTCCGGATACCCGGTCGGCGAGCTCGTCGCCGACGATCGCACGTCCCGCGTCACCGACGAGGAAACGCGCTACAACTCGCGTCTCTGGGACGATGGCTTCCTCGCGGACTACCGCCAGGCCGCCGAGATCCACCGCCAGGTCCGCCAATATGCGCAGCGCGAGCTGATCAAGCCCGGCGCAACTTTGTCCTCGATTGCGGATGGCATCGAGGATGGGGTGCGCGCGCTGTCTGGCCACCAGGGCCTTGAGACCGGGGATGGGCTGAACGCGGGCATGGGCTTTCCGACCGGGCTGTGTGTGAACCACGTTGCGGCGCACTGGACGCCGAACCCCGGTGCGAAGGAAGTGGTTCTGGAGAAGAGCGATGTGCTCAAGGTGGACTTTGGAGTTCATGTCAACGGTCGCATTGTCGATTCAGCCTTCACGGTTGCCTTTGACCCGGTGTATGATAACTTGCTGGAGGCTGTGAAGGAGGCTACGAATACGGGTATTGCGGTAGGTCTTGAACTTTTATTGATGGGTCGAGTCTGGACTGACGGAGATAGCATGCTGGTATTGACGCCAGAGTGAGTGACATTGGCGCCGCTATCCAAGAAGTGATGGAGAGCTACGAGCTCGAGATTGCGGGAAAGTCGGTCCCTGTCAAAGCGATCCGGAACATCACTGGCCACAACATCCTTCGATACCATATCCACGGCGGCAAACAGGTGCCCTTTATCAAGAACAATAGGCGGGACAAGATGGAGGAGGGAGAGGTATTTGCCATTGAGACGTTCGGAAGTACCGGCAAGGGGTATCTTGACGACGACGTAGGTAACCTGTCGATTCATCTCAATATCCTTTCTCACCCTCAGTAGTTTGGAATCTACGGCTACGGCAGAAATGAACATGTGCCCGCCACTGGCCTGCGTCTTGCCTCTGCAAGGTCTCTGGTCAAGACTATCGACGCCAATTTCGGGAGCCTAGTCTTCTCTCGTCGCTATTTGGAGCGCCTTGGAGTGAAGAGCTATCATCTTGCGGTGAGCTCCACCCCTGTTAAGTGCCTAACAATGCTGATCATTGATAGATGAAAAATTTGATTGACAATGGTATTGTCGAATCTTATGCGCCGCTTGTGGATGTCAAGGGCTCGTACACGGCGCAGTTCGAACATGTAAGATCTCTTGACTTTGGAGCCCTTCCGAAATCTAATCACTTCAATAGACCATCCTCCTCCACAGTGGAGGAAAAGAAGTCATTAGTCGCGGTGACGACTACTAGGTTTCTATCTGAATCGTGGCTCTTCGTTCAGACGCTGTTCGTTTGATGGAAAGTCGCTCCTTTCGTAGTCTATGTTCGTTCTTCCAGTTGACGTGTCTTCAACATCGCTCAACCAGTCACTCTTTATTCAATTATGCCCGATCGTCTATTTGTCGGTGGATGGTCAAGATTGCAAGCCTCTGAAGCGGAATGGAACGATCGCATCACTCAACATGCTGCTTGTGTGCGCCGGGCTGTATCATGTCTGATTGTTTTGCGTATCTCAAGCTTTAGTGCAGCTTAATATGAACTCCACCATTGTCTTTTTACCTGCCATCTTGATGGGTATCTCTGTATGCATTGCCCCAGCGACTTCGAGCCTCTGAACATCCAGGCCAAGCCTTATGCCCTCTTCCTCTAACTCTACAGCCGCGTATGACGGAATGACCTCATCTTTCTCAGCCGAAAGAAGCAGAATGGGTGGTACCCTTCCTGCAGAGTCCGACGCAACCTCTGGTCCCCCGTTGATGCTCGCATCAGTTTTTCCTGGTTGGCGAAGCTGGTCCCGCCAGCGCGCCATCCGCTGCATCGCCACCGCACTGTTCCAGTTATTCCACAGAAACGGCCACAGATAGCGATATGGCAACCACTTCTGCGGATACAAGCTAATCAACATATCCTTGGTGCTGGAAACCGGAGCTTCGAGTATAAGCCCAGTAATCGGAGCAATTACATCTCCCTCACCTCGTCGAGGTGACTCCAGCCCACGACGAGAGAGATACGTCGCTAAAGCCGTACTCGCAATCGCCGACCCCAGACTATGTCCCCAGAGCACCACCTGAAGCTCCATCCCGGGCACACTATACTCCCCCACCGCCCAATCCAGAAACGCCTGCGCATCAAGCTCGATACCAGACTGCGTCGCCCGCCCCGCCGACGTCCAGTACCCGCGGTACGACAACGCAACCGCCACACACTCCACGCCCGCATCCCGGGACGCAGCCGCCATGTCCCGCAAGAGGCCCGACAGAAGCGGCAGCCGCATCGGCGTCGAGCCACCGTTGCCCTGGAAGTAGCAGATAACCACCCTCTTCGTTGGATGGGTGCCTTGTCTCCCCGCAGGCGCAGACACGGGGGCGCGGATCCGCCCCTCGCAGACGGCGAGGGTCGTCCCGTCGAGGCTGCGGATTGGCTTCTGCGTCCATGTGACGGGTCTGCATTCGGATGCGTAGTCGGCGATCTGCTCCGAGCGCGCGAACGGCGGCAGCCATGCGATGTAGAGCAGTTTATTCTGCATGAGCACGATCCAGAAGCATTTCCAGGTCCACAGGCCGAGCAGCAGGGTGGTGAAGATCAGGGGCGGGATGAGGGCGGTGGGGATGGCGGATGTAAGCAAGCCGCGCGATGTAGCACGTCTTGATGGACTGCGGACCTTGTGATCGGTGAGTTTGCGGGTTCTTTGCTTTGAGATTATTGTGTGGATTGGTCGTGAGGCACCATTTTGGCACTTGTGGGATGCGGGAGACGGGCCTAGCAGGCTCTCAAGGGGTGATGTTCTATGTGCGTTGCGCTGGATGCGCTTCAGCCCTGATAATGCCGGCATCAATGTGGCAATTTGGAATTCAACATGGCGATTGTCGATTGCTGTGATGAATGCTGAATCCAGAATGCAGAAAGACTTGCCTGGAGATCATGTGATGAGGATGTCATTTCACGTGATAGGGAGTGTTTATTAGTCATCATCTCCCAGGCAGACAGAAGCAGCATTGGATGTGGATGGAGGAGGTGATCTCAGCCTTCTCAGATTGGGAATCGGCATTAACAAGTTCATAGTTGATAGTTCATACCCAGAGCAGGCCGTATAAGCACCAACCTACGGGCATGCTAGAAGCCTAGAAGCCTAGAACCGGGGCCTGTGGAGCCTGGAACCGCACCCCGGCAGTCAGAGTCGGGATGGGGGTGGGAAGGGCGGAATCTGGGAATCCCCACCATGCCATGCGCCATTAAGTATGGGACAGGGGTCGCCCCCAGATTAAATGAATCGAAGCCTTACTATCCTCATTGCTCAATCTATTTACCCCAGACATTACATTAGTGCGTCCCAGAAATGGCTTCGGCAACCACTAAACCCACCCAACGCGGCATCGTCTCCTACGGCTCCTACAAGACCGGAGGATGGAAACTCAAAGAGATCGTCCTCCGACCGCTCAGGGAGAAGGAGCTCCTCGTCGGGATCGTAGCATCTGGAATCTGCCAGACCGACCTGCACTTCGCCGGCGCAGAGAGCGGGTTCGGCGTCCATTATCCCCGCATCATGGGGCATGAGGGTGAGTTGGATCTACACCATCGATCCCTCCCCTTCGCATGGACCCAAGACTAAACCGCACCCAGGCGCCGGATACGTCCGCGAAATCGGCGCTGGCACGACCATCGCCCAGGTCGGGGACCCGGTCCTGCTCTCCTTCTCCGCCTGCCGGGCCTGCGAGCCCTGCCGGCGCGGCCACCCGGCGCACTGCACGCACTTCAACGAGATCAACTTCGAGGTCGAGCCCGACAGCCTCGTGTACAAGGAGCAGACCTCGCCGACGCAGCAGCCGGACATCTACGGCCGCTTCTTCGGCCAGTCCAGCTTCGCGAGCTGCTCCGTCGTCCGCGAGGACTCCGTCGTGAATGTCCGCGGCATGGTCGACTCCCGCGAGGAGCTGCAGCTGCTGTGTCCGCTGGGCTGTGGGATCCAGACCGGCAGCGGGGCGATCATCAATGCCGCGCAGGCTGGGCCGAGCGACCGCGTCGCGGTGATGGGGCTCGGCGGCGTGGGGCTCAGTGCGGTTATGGGGGCGCGGATTGCAGGCTGCAAGCAGATCATCGGCATCGACCGGCCTGGGTCGCGGTTGGAGTTGGCGAAGGAGCTGGGCGCGACGCATGTGGTGCCGGTGGATACGGCGGCGGACCCGCAGGCTGTGACGGACGCGGTCCTACAGGCGACGGGGGGTCTGGGGGTGAACATCACGCTTGACACGACGGGGGTGCCGAAACTGATTGCGCAGGGGGTGCGCATGACGGCGTTCAAGGGCAAGATTCTACAGGTGGGCACGGCGCCGGAGGATGGGACGCTGACGATTCCGATCCATGAGTTTATGGTCTCGGGGAAGCAGTTCATGGGGGTCGTGGAGGGGGATGTCAAGCCGAGAGAGTATGTGCCCAAGATGGTGCAGTGGGTGAAGGAGGGGCGTCTACCGTTAAAACGAATTGTGAAGTTCTATCCGGCTGGGGACTTTGAGCAGGCTATCAAGGACATGCAGTCGGGAGAGACGATCAAGCCTGTGATTCTGTGGTAATTGATACCGACTGGGAACAAGATACGTTTTTACGAATAGAATCCATGCCACATTCCAATGCATCATGAACATCGCGATGATAGATCTAAGGCTTAAGAGTAACAGTCTTCGTCTGCACAAACTCCTCCAACCCCCAGCCAGCCCCGAACCGACCCCATCCGCTGTGTCCATGGCCGCCGTGAGGCAGAGTCGCTTCATCATGCACCGTCATGGAGTTGATATGCACCGCTCCGGCACTGATCGACTCGGCCAGCTGGAGCGCATTGTAGTGATTCCGTGTGAAGATGGCCGAGGATAGTCCGTATGAGAAATCCTTGATGACCTCTGCAATGCCCTGCTCGCTGTCCACCACAACCATTCCCATCACCGGTCCGAACGACTCGGTGCGGTAGAAGTCCATCTCCCTCGTGAGACCGGTGATGAAGGTGGCAGGGAAGTTGTTGAGATCGGAGGAAGTGGCTGCGCTGTGGACCGAGGCGCCTTTGCTCTGTGCGTCGGCAACAAGTCTGTTGAGTTTGTTCTTGGCCACCTTGGAGATCACCATGTGGTCGTCCTGGATTCCCTTGACAAGAGCGAGGATCTTGCTTTCCAAGTTGGAGCTGATAGCCTTCGACGCAATGACCAAGTCCGTCGACATGCAGATTTGTCCGTTCTATTCATGTTAGCAGCCACTTTTCCCCGTCGAAGCAAGCACTGTACATTCAGAAAAGCACCCAGAACAATCTGCTGCGCCGCGTGGTCGAGATCCGCATCGTCCAGCACCAGCGCATAGTTCTTGCCGCCCAGCTCCAGCAGCACCAGCTTCAGAGCATACGCAGCCTTCGAGCCGATAATGCGTCCGACCTCCGTCGAGCCGGTGAAATTACACTTCTTCACGGCAGGATGGCTGATCATGACCTCGAAGACCTCCGCCGCATCGTCCGGCTTGTGCAGCACAAAATTCACCACCCCAGGCGGGAATCCAGCGTCGCGGAACAGCGACGCAAGCAGGTAATGCGTGCGCGGGCTGAGTTCAGAGCCCTTCATTAACCCAACAACATCAGTCGCTGCTGGATACAACCTGATACACCGAGGGAATCGCATACCTTGAACACGGCCACATTACCCGCCGCGATGGGCGCCACCACAGCCCTTAACCCTAGAGTCACGGGTGCATTCCACGGCGCAATACCTAGAATCACGCCGAGCGGCTCCTTGAAAACCAATCCGTACGAATCGCCCTCGGTTGGCGGGATACTTCCCGTCCGGGCACTGTTGATCAGCGCCGCCGTCTCCTCGATCAAGTCGGCACCGGCCTGGGTGGTGATCTGCGCCCAGAACTGGCCGCAGTGAGTTTCCTCTTCGACAATCTGCTGGATCTCCTCGCGTCTTTGGCGAACGAGCTGGTTCCGTCTCAGTATGGAGGGGGCGGCTATGCGTGGGAATGGACTTACGTCGGCTACTTTGAGTAGGAGTTCTCGTCGCTTTGCGGGCGATGTCTTGCTCCACGATGGGAATGCGCGGGCGCAAGTCTCTACGGCTTGAACCGCAAGGTCTTTCGTCGCGCCTTGGAAGGTTTTTGGGCCGTGGGGAGATTGTGCAGCGATAGTCCCGTGTCGTTCGCCGGAGGGCAGGACGATATCCTCGCCGTGGATGATCAATGGGACTGTGGAGGAAGCCATGGTGGGTATCTGGGTTATATTGCGAGACAGATTCCAGCGATATGCAATATGTGTCTACTAGAGACGATTTTCTAATGTTTATATTCTACTGCTGCTGGATGTCGGAGTAGGGGGGTGGGAGCCATCCGGGAAATAGGGCAATCTTCGGGGATAGCATATCCCCTTCTTCCCCGTACGATCATGCGCCACGTCTTGTCGGCACTGAAGGTATTCAAGCACAGCGAATGGCCTTTCCAGAGAATGATTTCCAAGAGAAGGTCTGGCTGCGACGTCCCAAAGCAGTTACACTCTGGGCCACCCGCCATCCGGCTGGTAAGCTCGGGATATAGGCACGGGAGGCATGGGGTCAAGACGATCAACCCGACCTGGCGATCGGTAGTAAGGGAATTGACTATCGAGGAGCTGTAAACAATACATACCCGTTAGTCCTAACTCCCTCTTACCCCCGGTGGTCGATCCTCCGAATTATCTATTGCGTGCTGAGTGCTGAGTGCTCGGGACGGCATTGCGGATATACATGGATTTCACGGAACAGTTCCGCCGCTTGACAAATCCAGAGTTTGGGCTATTTGAAAGAAACAGACAAAATTGGCGAGAGAAGAGACGAAGAATGGATTTGACTGGATATCAATACGAGTTTGGTGATGTTTGTCGAGTTTGAAGCATAGCATGCTGCATCTCACGGTATATCATTGCAAGTATAAAGAACAGGATATGCCATGATATATAAATCTACAGATATTCTCAACAAAATTTGTAAAGAACTAAATCAATCCAACAATGCCCTCAACAACCCCCCTTACCTCCTGCCCTGTAGTGGCCATCGCCGGTGCAACCGGCCACTTGGGCAAATACGTCCTCTCAGCCTTTCTCTCCGCCCCCTTCCACAGCTACTTCTCGGAGATCATCGTCCTCTCCCGGGACAAGAACCCCACTCTCCCCAAGCAATATGATGACCGTGGCGCAACGCTGACCATCCGCACCTACGACGAGACCAACCTCCCCGCCGCCCTAGACGGCGTCAACATCCTCGTCAACACGATCGGCGCCTCGGGCCACGCCTTCAAGGAGAAGCTCCTGCGCGCCCTCCCCCAGACAGGCGTCCAGGTGTACTTCCCGTCGGAGTTCGGGGTGGATCACTACGTGCACGATTTCCCGCACGGGGAGTGGGGCCAGAAGAAGCGGCACTATGCGCTGGCGCAGGAGCTGGTGCCGCAGGTGAAGGTCTGCCGGGTGTTCTGTGGCTTGTTTCTGGAGGATAGTATCGGGCCGTGGTTTGGGTTTGATACCCGGAATGGGCGGTATGAGAGTGTGGGCTCGTCGAAGATGCCGATCTCGTTTACCGGGTGCGAGGACGTGGGGAGGGCGGTGGCGTCGTTGGCGGCGATGCCGGTGATGGCGATCCCGGAAGTGGTGCATGTGGGTGGTGATTCGAAGAGTATTGCGGATATTGCGAAGATCATGGAAGAGGCAGGGGCGGGTGAGATTGCTGTGACTGAGATCGATCTGGTGGAGTATAAAAGGGAGAAGACGGCGGAGGTCTCGAATAAGCCGGCGGCGTACTTGCGCTTCCTGATGGGGGAGAATAAGATCAATCAAACTCCGTCAGGGCTGGGGAATGATAATGAATTGGTCAACCATGAAGAGAAGACGTGGAAGTGGAAGACGATGAAGGATTTGGCTCAGGCAACGGAAGGACGGCCGTGGAAGGACTTCCCGTGGCCGCCCAAATAGAGATAATTGAAAGGCTCTTCTGCTACTCAATACGATCTAGCGATACACATGCGTCTATTCATCCACAGGTTTCAAATCGGGTGCCTCCCTTTATGCACTTGCAGAGGGAGCAGATCCCGAAGGAATAGCACCAGAAAGCGCTGTACCATTCATCGACCCTCCCTGGCCTCCAAAGCCCGAACTCTCTGTGTTCTGATGACCACCATCCTCCTCATAGTACGCAGCAATACTATAGTCCTCGTTGTCCGTGTAGTCCGCCGAAGCATTGATACCGATCTGGATCCATGCGAACAGGCCGTCCTCCACCCCTTCACCCAAGTACAAGTACTCCGGGAAGGGATCATACTCATCCGACGCCTGGGACGAGTAGCTGCAGTCTCTGCGGTCGGTATCATTATTGGACCGCAGTGTGTGTGGTTCAGAAGATGCTCTAGAACAAGCACGGCTGCTCGTCGCTTTGGGTTGCATACGCGTCATGCTTAATTGGAATAAGATGGATCTTGGTTCCGCGAATATTGTGATCTCGCTCAGTCTGTGAGAGCTATTTTTAGCAGATACTTGGACTCTGGAAGTGGCTGGGGCAATTGGCAGCAGAAACTATGGGAGGCAGCGAGCTGTCCTCGAGAAGATCATATCACAGTACCCTGAAGAGGCTCATGTCCAGAGAACAAGGACAATGCATATGCTCTGTTCTTTTGTATCAATACTGCAAAATTTATCTTTGCGGCATTGATATGTAGTTATACACCACCCACTTCAAATGGCGTCCAGACATCACCTCCTAACTGGTAGTGATATATGTAGTTATTGACATCTCATTTCTGCTCGTTCCCTTTATCACTCCTCGAAGATAGATGAACAGTTTAGGCTAGGGGCTCTCAGGTAAGATACCAGTGTCCGAACACCTTAGAGATCACTGATGAGAAGTCTTTCCAATATGCGAGAGTAAGATCCAGCAAACAGCCATGGTTCATACTTCTCTCTCAATGCCTCTATCTTCAAGTGAGGCTATCAAATCCTGATTCAGTGCTGCCTGCTTCGACGTCCACACGCGCATCATATCAACTGGCCACGTCTCGAGTCGGCTGCGAAGACCCCTACGGAAGCGAGTGCTGTCTGGAAAGATGGCGTTGGGATGTCTACTATAGTCCTGCGATGTGCCCGCCGGGGTACTATGACTGCCCGCTACCAACTTCCAAACAACGCAAGGAGACGACGAATATCTGCTGTTCGGAATGAAGCCCCCACGCTTCCAACGACTGTGAATGAGACAATGGTAACGGGGGATAGGCACTTCAACTGCGTCGGTCAGCCTCTCTGTACCCGGCCCCTTAACAATCGCCAGCTCATCACGCATGTCGACTCGACAGTCTCCGCACAGGTGACGACGTATGCGATCACGAAGACCCCGATCCAAATCCGCTTCCGCGGCGCAGAGTCGACCATCGTCCCTGTCCCGACGGACTCACTGCGTTTGCCGCGGGGGTATCTACTGACCCGCAAGAAGGTCGGGATCGGGATCGGGGTGCCGGCGGCTGTAGCGCTGCTGACGATTCTGTGTTGGTTTTGCTGTTGTCAGGGGCCGCGAACGAGGTAAAAGGCTGCTACGGTGCAGGATAACACTGTCCATCCTGGGTCTTCTTCCGCCGTATCCTGGGGAGGTGACTAAAGCTACAAATTGGGGGGATAATAACCGTTCACGGTGACAGCGGAAGTCCTGGAAGTTTTGATTGAGCACCGCGGTCTTGGATATGGACTCCTTCCGTATCAACTACCATTCGCCCACTCCAGCGCCAGAAACAAATTCTCATGAAACTCCTCCGAAGCAGCCGCCAGCACCGGGGACGGATACGACCAGAAATAATGCGGAAAGCCTGGATACGCATCATACCGGACTGGCACCTGCGCCTCCTCCAACGCCTCCTTCATCAACCGCGCATCATCCCTCAAGGTATCCGTCCCGCACTCCACGATATACACCTTCCGTAGGTCCTTGAGCCGCGGATGTAGCAGCACCGAGAAGTACGTATCCGACGGAGGCGGGCGATACGCCTCGAGGAAACACTCCATCGCCGCCCTCGTGTTGACCGTGGAATTCGCACAATCTTCCCACGCAGTAAACGACGCCTTCTTGTCCGCTGGCACCGCATCCGGATGCACCGTACACGGCACCAGCGCCACAACCCCCTTCACCCTCTCTCCCAGCCCGGCATCGATGAGTTTCAGCGCGACGCCAAAGGCGAGGTTGGCGCCCGCGGACCCGCCCGCCAGTACGACCGAGCCGACGCCGAACTGCGCCAGCGTCCAAAGCGTGGCGCGTACGCAGTCTTCAAGGCCCGTGGGGAACTTGAATTGCGGTGCGAGGCGGTAGCCGATACTCACGATCTTGAGGCGCGTGGCCCTGCACATGCGGCGACAGGCGGCGTCTTCGTGGTCCACGCTGCCCATGATCCAGCCGCCGCCGTGCATGAAGATAGTGATGGGCTCGTGACCGGAGGGGGAGGCTGGGGTGTAGATGCGCACCCAGACGTCTTGGAGGGTGATGTCCTCAGTGGAGACGGTAGTGTCGGGGGGTGGAAGGTTGTACTTCGCGAGGAGTTTTTGGGCGTTGCGTTCCGAGTCACGGAAGAGCCCGTCGACGGTGGAGCTGGGCATGAGAAGAGGGTCGTTGAGTTCGCGGAGGAACTGGAGATGTTAGTATATTTTGTTGGGCATTGGAGTATTATGGAAGTACCTCGTTCCAAGCAGGGGCGTATGGTGAATCCATAGTAGCTTGATAGTGATTGTTTTGTCTTACTCCTCGATAAATCTACAGTCCCTATCCAATATATATCTATAGAGAAGGAGAGGGAGAGGCAAGAGGGAATGTCTACTAATGCATTCAGAATGAATCATGGTGAGTGTCTTATTGGCACACTGTTCTGTCTCCATTCATCATGACTCATGGTGATGATTATTTGACCATGGCTAGTGCTGACAGGAGAAAGCGAGGCGTTGGAATACCCTCGACATTGACCACGAGACTACCAAGGATCAACAATCAATTGTATTGTACTTCTCAGAGCCTAGCCTCAGACTTCTTCCGGGCCACAGCTACCACCCTCGGCATCGACAGCGCGACTCCCTGCGCTGCCTCGCGACAACAATCCAACACCATCTGCTCAACGCCCCTCGCCTCCTCCACCATCTCCTTCTTGTAAAGCGACCCCGTAAACTCGTCCATAGTCATCAGATGCTGCTCACCATTCGCCAGCGTCAACTCCCTGTGATCTTGGAAATGCTCGAGCTGCGCATCCTCGAATCCATTTTGCTCCAGGATCGACGGCAACTGGAGCACCCAGTCGTGGCGGCCGCCCGAGTACACGAACTCCCGCAGCCGGTCAAAGGCCGGCGTGGCCAGGGCGGGGTTGGCCCTGACGATGTGTGTGTCCGGGTAGTTGAGGTCGTCCCACTGGATGTATCCGCCTGGCTTGAGCATGCGGTGCACGTTCTGGATGATGGAGGTGGGATCGCTGTTCTCGACGACGAGGATGAGGAGCCGCAGGTGGATGACGTCGTACTTGCCGACGAGGTGCTCCGGGACGGGGCCGAGGATGTCCAGTGCGGACAGGGTGACGTTATTCGGGAGCCATTGGGAGGGGGGGAACTTGGAGACGAAGAGGTCGAAGCCGTCGAGGGTGGTCTGCGGTGGGAGAGAGCGGGCCAGGTCGGTGAGCCACAACCCTGTGCCACAGGCGAGGTCGGCGATTCTCAGCGGTGACGAGGTCGAGGAGGGGGTGGGAGGAGGGAGGGGGATGGATGGGTGAATGTTGAAGTTCAACGAGTCCTTCCAGAGGTAGAACTGGAGGTTGAGACGGCAGGCGGCGGCGTAGCCCTTGTCGAGCATGTAGCCATTGCCATCAGCCAAATGGAAGCCGGACGAGACGCTGTTGGACATGATCGGGGGGGGGGGGGGAGGGGGCTGAATATTGATCGTGCTGGTGATTTAGACAAGCCTTGGACGGCAGGTCTTCTCTCGCGCTATAAAAGCACACCGACACGCTGTGGGTGCGGCCAAATCTCACCGTAAGATCACATTTGGCGCCAGGCTAGATCCTTCGTGTGCTTCATGCAAGAAGGGAACACATCACATCCCATATCTCGTTCTCGCCCACGTTTCAACGGAATCAGATCAACATAAAATCCCATTCACACACCCGCCAGAAAGCAATGTCTCAACACAGTCACAGCGGAAAAAAACCCATAACACCAACATGGCATCTCTCCACGTCGGCCTGGCCGTCGGCAACGGCACTGGTCCCGAACTCACAGCCATCTTCGAGCGAGTCATCCAGGCGCTCGCCGCCCCCCACAACCTCACCATCACCTTCACACGGTCCCCGCGCCTCTACCACTCCTATTCGTCCCTGCTAGCCATCAACGACAAGGACGCCGTGACAGACGAGACCCTCCTCGACGCCAGCCACTACCGCGCCTGGTGCGAAGATGCGGTCGCCCACGGCGTGCGCGCCATCTTCCGTACCTCCATCAGCGCGCAGGCGCTCTACCTCGTGCGCGAGCAGCTGCAAGCCATCAAAGTCGAGCACTTTAAGCTCTCGCCCACCGCGTCGGTGCTGCTGGTGCGCGACCAGGCGCAGGGCTTCTACTCCGGCACCAACAGCATCAACCCCGCCGGCGACACCGTCTCGCGCACCGCCTTCTTCAGCAAGGATGTCTTCACCAACATCGTCGAGTACGCGCTGCTGCGTGCCCGGCGGCTCTGGCCCACGGGTCCCCTACCCCCCGTGACCATGATCTACAAGTTCCACCTGTTCGACGGGCTGTTCCACTCGTGGGCGCAGGAGTGGCAGGCCCGTCTCGGTGTGCGCGTCCGCTTCGTGCAGGGCGACACGATGAACCGCGATATCCTGGCGTTCGGTGTGACGGGCCACCAGCTCTTTATCTCGGCGAATGAGTACGCGGATATCATGCAGACCGTCCTGCTGGACCGGTTTGGACTGGGCGCCCAGGAGGCGGCGTGTGCGGAGAACGTCTACCTGCACCCGGCGCTGGGGCCGCTGAGCGAGTACCAGACCGCGCATGGCTCGGCGGACGATCTGGCCGGTAAGGGCACGGTGAATCCAGCGGCGACGATCCGGGCGGCGGCGATGATGCTGCAGAACCAGGCGGGGTGTTTAGTCCAGGACAAGGTCGATTGGGCACTGGAGGACGTGTGGAAGAGGGGCATTGCGACGCCAGACAGGGGGGGTCAGGCTACGACGGCGGAGTTCGTGGATGCTTTTCTACAAACCGTCCAGCAGGAGGGGGGAGGTGCGCCCAAGCTGGGCTTGGACGGTCGCAGCCGACGAAGAGCCGTTGTGGTTGTCGACTTGCAGAACGACATGGTCACCCAGTACAAGGACCAGTCGACCATGACCAGAGTGACGGCCAACATTCCTCGAGTGTTGGAGTGGGCTCGCCAGGCGCGTATCGAGGTGATCTTCGTGCGTTTTCTGGGTGATGAGCAGTTCCAACCCGCCAGCTGGCGGCAGCGTAATCAGCTACACGGGCGACGCCCATGGTGCGTGCAAGGCACTTGGGGCGCGGACATATTCGGCAGTGTTGCAGTGCAGGCCGGAGAACGGGTCTTCGATAAGAAGGCCCGATATGATCCATTCTTAGTGCGCGAGTTTGAGCACTACGTGGCCCAACGGGGGTTCGAGGATCTGTTGGTGGTGGGACTGTACGCGGATGTGTGTGTGGATGCCACAGTGCGAGGGGCGTTCCAGCGAGGCTTAACGACGACAATCGTGCGAGGCTGTATGGCTGGGTTGCATTTTTCAGAGAATCAGGTGGCAGCGTATATGCAGCAGGTGTATGGGAGCAATGTGATTGCCATGGAGGAGTTGGCTTGAGACCATGGGTTGATTGGCCGCCACGAGATCGTCGCGTAGGATTCGCCCTCTGCAGGATTTCGCTAGACAGGGGGGTAATCAAGCTGTTCGTACGCATTAACTATCTAGTCGCTATCTAGTCAGTTAAGCCGATTCCTTCGCCGTATCTAGTTGACTAGTCGGACTTACCACGTAAGTCTTGCTCGCATTCCACGCCAGCGAAACACCCAAAATAAAAGCCTAAGAGATAGTCGGAGCGACGGCCGAATCACATCCAGTAGTGCCTTATTAACCGGCCAGGCTCGTATTCTCCAAAATCTTCAGTATCCTCTTAAGGGATGGGAATGAGTCCTGGTTCTTTCTCCCCAGAGCCAGAATCGTACCCTCCTCCCCCCCTCCCCGGTATCGACAGGCCTGACATGGAATCCACGGACAACTCGTCTCACATTGACACCTCTGTCTGGTATCAGCCCGACATCGGCCGTCGATTGAGCCCCTGTATCGAAGAGGTCTACAGCACCTGGAGCGGGATTAGTACCGAGGATCTTCAGGCCCATCTCCACCGCATCGTATGTCTTTTCTGTCCCCCCCGATTTGTTGGTCTCTTGCTCTGTTCAATATCCCAAATTTTTCTGCCTGAAGGATCGCACACATGCAGGCAAGCAAGACACCACCCGTACTATTACTAACATCTAGGCTAAACACTCAGCGCGACCAAGCATGGCCACTAGGCGAATACCCGTGCATCGGTCTCTGGATCTTCCTGCTACCTGGTCTAGCCGCCTTCCCGCAGTTCCCCTTGATCCTGGCTCGTGCCAAGCAGCCTCAATCGGTGATTGTGGATTTGGGCTGCGGGCTGGGCCAGGAACTGCGCCTGTTAGCGGCGCACGGAGCCCCAACGGACGGGATGTGGGCTGTGGATATTGAGGCGGGCCTGTGGAAGTTGGGATTCGAGCTGTTTCGTGATGCGGACCGCATGAAAGCGCGCTTGATTCAGGGTGATTTCTTGCAACTCGAGGACCAGCGGTTGGATGCGCTCTACGGGAAGGCGGATCTGGTCATCGCGTCGCAGTTCCTCCACCTGTTCAGCTGGGACGGGCAGATCGCCGCGACGAAACGGATCGTCGCGCTGTCCAAGCCCGGGACGATCTTCGCGGGGTACCAACAAGGACGGAAGCAGGCGCGAGAATATCTGCGACCCTGGGGGATGATGTTCTATCACAATCTCGAGTCCTTTAGGCGGCTGTGGGATGTGGTGCAGCGCGAAACGGCGACGCAATGGACGCTGGAGGCGAAAGAGGTGGATCTACGTGAATGGGGGATGCAGGACGAAGACGTGCAGTGGATGCCGGCGGATCGCCAGGGAATCAACTTCGTCATTACTCGCGTAGCATGATTTATGTAGATTTTTTTTTGGATTTTTCGTCATGGAACGGGGAGCTGCTGTGGAAGAATCCGAATAAGGGCTCTTACAATCGCCGATCAAAGCTTACAGACGCTCGAATTCACCCTGCAGTGCCTGTATCTCGCGCACCGTCTCGTCGATCCGGTTGATAAACGGCGCACAGTGACTGCATTCCAATTCGCGGACTATCCACGGCCGCTGTGTCGCGCCAATCATGCCATGCTGCGCCTCTTTGGGTACAGCCTTGTCCGCGGTCGTCACGATAAAGGCCACTCGTCCAGTGTAGACCTCGTCAGCCCACGCTGGAGAAGGCTGAGGCGATTTGAACGCGAGCGTAGAATGGGGCTTGATGTGATCGGCGAGATCTTGCAAGAGCGCCTGATCGACATCAGGAGCAAAGTTGCCAACAGGATCTTCGGGCAAGTTCAGATCGGCGGATGGCTGACGTCGTCAGTACTCAGCACTCCGCACTCATGAACGCTTCTACTCTCAATCATCCGGACGGATCAACATGGCATACCTGGTCCAGGAGAATCCAGGGAGGCAGGTTTCCTCCCTGCAGGCCCGCGCAACTCAGGCCCTCAGGCACAAGGAACGCGGCAATGAACACCATTCCCAACACTCCGCCCGATTGACCCCCTTGTGTGCGCTCCGTCTTGCTCAGTCCCTTTGCAGCAGCGGCTCCAGGCATGCCAGCATATGAGTGCATCACCAGGAGGACATCGCGGCCTTCGTCTTCGATCAGGGGGAGGAGGATACGTGAAATAGCCTCGGCATCGGTCTTGCAGTCTGCGGTCACAGGATCAGAGGGCTCGAGAGACGGATAGTCGGCGTAGACGACAGGATAGCCCAGGTCAGTGAGCGCCTTGAGAAAAGGGCCGTAGAAGGCGGGAGTGATCCAAGCACCAGGCACGAAGACAACCGTAGGCAGAGCCATGACTACACTGTGGGTGAAGATATGGTATGATATGAGGTGAGATCCGCTTCGAAAATCGACCGATTCCAGATGAAAACAGAGGCCACTATAAATGTAGAGAGGGTCTCGGACTGCAAACCTGGTGACAGAAACCAGAGCAATCAAGAACTACGCCATCTCATTTCCTCATGGCAGGGATCTTCTCGCACACACCCCACGTCCATCCTGCCGGTCACCGAGTGCGTCGCTTTGACTCCAAAGATTATATTGTCATCGCAGATTAATAACTACAGTGGGGGCCATTTGTGGCCTTCTTTATCCAGAAATTCCCTCCTTTCTTTGTTCTCCTGCTTTAGCACAGCACAACCATGCTCCTGTCCGTTCGTTGTCCACGATAATCTCCATGGATTTTACTCCTCCACCCGATGTCGATCTGTCGGAGAACCGCCAGGCGAATCTCTATGGCGCATATTCGTCCACGTTTGGCCTCGCCGTCGTCGCCGTGGTGCTGCGGGTGCTGTGTCGCACTCGAGTATCCCGAGTCGGGCTGTGGTGGGATGACCATTTAATCATTGTCGCTCTGGTAGGTATATCTCTATCAGATAGAGTTTGGTTTCTGGTTTGACCGGCTCAGGCTATGGCAACAGGCACCTATATCGACATGATGCTCTGGGTCTGGCGAGGCGTAGGGACACACATCTTTCCCCTCGGGATGACTGGGTTCTCGCGATTCTTCGTCAATCTCTTCGTCTGCGAGATCCTCTACACCCTGTCGATCTGCTTCACCAAATACTCCATCCTCATGTTCTACTGGCGCATCTTCAAGACCACCAACATCCGCATCCCGATCTATATCATCGCTGTGCTGGTCACGGGCTGGGGCCTGGGGGTCGTACGTCCGTCGCATCCCTTTTGAAGTCGGCCATACTAATGAGACTTAGATCCTGACTACCGTCTTCCAATGCATCCCCATCCGCGCGTTCTGGGATATCGAGTTGCAGGCCACCGCCAAATGCGGTGTCGTCGTGAACAATTTCTTCATCGGCAACGCCGTCCCCAATATCATCACCGACTGGGCGCTGTTGATCCTGCCCATGCCGTATATCTGGAAGCTGCACCGCAACACAACGCAGAAGATCGCCATATGCAGCGTGTTTATCCTCGGAGGATTGTAAGTATCGCGCGTACCCAAAGCGACGTGGAATGACTGCTCATCATCCCCAGTATCTGCATCATCTCTATCGTGCGTCTCGTCGTCATGTTGAACGCCTACAAAGCCCCGTCGATTGATGTGACATGGGTGTTTATCGGTCCCTCCGCGTGGACGGCCGTTGAGACAAACATTGGCATTGTTTCTGGTGAGTATATCTTCCTTCCTCCATCTATCCCGCTAACCGGGCAGCGTGTCTCCCCTCGTTACGACCCCTACTACTCATCTTCAAGCGAGAGACCAGCACAAGAGAATACGAGTACAACAAGACGTCTCGCCAAGGTCCGCGCTCGTACGGACCCTTGGTGTCTAATGGCAGGCGAACGAAGCGCGGCGCGCTGGAAACTGAATCCGAAGTGCACCTGTCGAGGATTGGGGTGACGACGACGGTGGATGTCGAGGAATCGTATCGTTACTAATGGGTATACGAGACAATGCTGTATAACCGAAGAGAGCTGCTGGCTCTCGCTGTTCCAATTCTCATAGATATTTCAACCTAACGACTTGATGCTTCTTCTACTAGGTTTGGTGAACCTTTCCCGGCGAATTTGTGTCTTAGGGGCTCAGCGCCGCGATTCACATATCATATTCATAGCAGTAAGTAACTTCATTCTATAAAGCTTGATTGATGTGTGCTGATGATCAAGCCTAGTCACAGCTTCCTCTACAGCTGCCAATCTGAAACAGCCATCCGAGTGGCAAGAGCCGGCAACTCTTGCTTTTTCTTAGTTCTTAATAATCATCATGCTCCTCTTGCGCCTTTCGCCGTCGCTCCTCCTTAGCCTTTTTCCGCTCGGACTCCATCTGGGCCTTGTAGTCAGGATCGGTGGCTTGGACCTGCATACCAAGCGTCAGTCAGCATGAAACATGACGAACCAGACGAGCACCTACCAAATCCTTCACATGCTTAGCCCGGACTTCACGCGGCTGAGTGAGCGACTCCAGCGCCCCATTGCTATACTCCAACCGATCTTTGAGTACTTGGGCGCCTTCTGCGGCGCCCTCCTCGATGGCCTGATTTTGCTCCGCCGGGAGAGCCGGCACCGTAACGCGGCCCAAGAGCTGGCTGAAGGCTTCAATTCGCTTGTTATAACCCGCAGCATACAGGTCTCCTTGCTATTGGACACAAATTCAGGGTCAGTCCAGCCGGTTAACTAGCAGCAAGCGGCGAAGGATGGCCGTACCTCCTTGACAATAGCCCTGATGCTCTTCTGAGCTCCCTCGGCGTACTCCTTGAGCTCCAACTTCTTCTGGCCGAGTAGGTTCTCGGTTCCCTTTTCGGTCGAAAGAAGGCCCATCTTCTTCACCACTACAATGCCGCGCTCGATATCGGAGTCATGCACCTTACAGTACATGCTCGAGATATCCTTGTACAGATCGAAGTGGGCCGCCACGTTGAGGGAATATTGGAAAATCCGCTAAAAGCCAGTCAGCATCCTGCCCGTCCACACATGGATCAATCAATAGTCAAGCATACCATCAACACGTGCTCCTTGTACATCTTTCCGGCGTCTCGCGTGAGCCGAGCGTTCTCCACGTGCTTGGTGAATGGCTTCACGCGCGTGCTCACCGCAACAGAGATCATCGTCGCCACCGTGCTGAAAAATCGGATCAGTCTCTTCATGTTGTCCTCGAGCTGGATGAGGAAGCGAATGCAATCCTGTAGCACGCCGCGCACGACCTCCAGCGTGATCTTCTTCTCGCCCAGCTCGTGGATCTCCCGGCGCAGAGTCGCCAGCTTGTCCTGGAGCTCCAGCGCCTTGTCACCCATCTGCCGGGCCACTTCCTGCGTCGACAGCATGGTCTTCTGGGCCGTCTCCACGGCAATCCGCGCCGCTTCGATGGTGGACTTGTTGATATCGGTCTTGCCGGCCAGCTCTTCCTCTTCGTCTTCGTCGGGGGCCGTGATGGGCGTGGGACTCGGGGAGCTGCCGGACGCGTTGGCCTGCGATCGCAGCTTTCTCGTCTTGGTGAGCAAGGTTTCGACCTTCTTTTCCCAGCCCTTGACAGTCGAAGAGCCCTTCTTGGGCAGTTCCGCAGCCTTGGTCTTGTTTGCGCCGGCCTTCTCGATCGCATCGGCTACATCGATGGCCTCCTTGAGAATCTGCAGCAGAGCCTTGCCAGCCTTGGTCGAGCGCTCGTCGGGATCCTTACGGATGGAGGCCCGGGTTTCTGTCAAGAGATTCAAGACGATCGCCAGATTCAACTTGCCAGACTTGCCTTTTTTGGTCGCGCTCTTCGTCTCCTTGTCATCTTTGCCCTTTTTCGTGTCCTTACCGTCCTTGTCTTTCTTGCTGCTCTTGCCACTATCGCTGCTCACAACCAAGTCCCAGTCAACTCCATCCTTGCCCCGGACAATCCCGTCCAGTCCAGTCAGTGCCCGAAGGACCAGTGGGCAGTTGGCCAGCGCCATGTCTTCAAAATCGTCGTCATCGATGACCTGCTTCTTCTTTCTCCCCTTGGATGAACCGCTGCTCTTTCCCGACGAGCTATCGTCGTCCTTGGAGAAGACTGACATGGGCGAGAGCTTCGCAGCGACGGCTTTACCGACGATCTTGACCAGGGAGCTCAGGGCTTCGGCTGCCATAACGGCCAGCTGCTGCTTGAGAAGGTCATCGCTGGATTGTCATTTCGTCAGTAGAAAATCCACCCGGTATCGCGACCGCAACATACCCTGTTGGCCATTTATCCAGTAAATCCTTGTACTTGGTCTCATACTCCGTCAGCTTGCCCTCCACCTTGTCCACCTTCCCCTTGTATTCCTCGTAGTATCTCTTCCGCTCCTCCTCCTCCAGCTTCTTCGAGGATTCCTCCGCCGTGGTAGTGTTGAACTTGACCTCCGTCACACTCGACTCGTTCACGCACGCCTCGTGCAGCTCCTTGACGAACTCCAGCCACTCCACGAACTGGGCGTGCATCTCGACCGCCTCCGTCTGGCATTCAGTCGATGCCTCCAGCAGCGCTTCCATTTCGACGGTGACGGAACCGCTGTCGAACTCGGGCTCCTTCAGCTCGAGGAAGATTTCTTTCACCTGCGCCGGGCGGTCAGTACGGTTCGGAATTCCACACGTTAAAGCGAAGAGCAGAGACATTTCCCTTGACGGCCGTGCATCGTTCGCGGATGCGCGCCATCTTCTCCCTTGCCACGCGGAATGCCGTATCGCCGCGATTGACGACCTCGACCAGCGTTGGAGCTAGGTACTTGTACCTAGCAATTGTCAGCACAACTTCTGCCACCCACCGATCAGCCGGCAGGAACTACTCGCCCTTTGAGATAGGTAAACCCCTTGGCAGGCTTGCTGAGCTCGGTCGTCTGAGCAATGGAGGTGGATGCGACGAGGCAGCATGAGCCCAGCAACTCAAGACATACTGGGGCTACCGCCAGCATGGATGCCCAGTCATTGTCGACCCAGGTCTTGACCTTGACGTCTGCGGAGGTCAGGTTCGATACTACTGCCATGCAGAGTGGGTTGCTACCCACCGAGAACGTATTCTGCGACATTGGGGGTCTTCTGCGACGCCTTGAAGAGGGCGCGGGCAGATCGTTCGTCCGTGTCAGTCATTATTCTGAGTGTTATGTATGTAAAAGGGAGTCTGTCAAGTACTGTTGATCTGACCTATACACAGACGAGGGCCCAGGAGTCGCATTTATACCGCGCTCGATGATGCGGACACGCTGTCTTACCCGCACCAGATCTATTATTCCACCCTCATGTCACCAGAAGCAACGGAGACACCAGCATTAGCAACGACGTCCTTGGAAACCACTCCCATTCTCCAATTGAAAGTGTCCAGCTTCAATTTCCCAGGACAGTGGCTGGCTGACGAAAGTGATCGGCGCAGACTATCGGAATGGCACATCAGTAGTAGCCCCAGATCGCCGCCAGATCCACACGATGATAGATCATCCTGCAGAACTCCTCGCACAGACACCCAATCGTCGCTTCTGCTCACATTTTCCCCAACTTTTGGCTCTTCCTCTCCATCGTTCCAGTGGTCGATTAGAGTGTCAGATGGGAACTCCTCAGCTCAGCCGCTGCTGGATCTTGCAGATGCGTCGACGTGGTCCGTGAACCTTTCCGAATAGAGGAAGTCTAGATGACATGAGTTTCAGCTCCACAGGGCCGTGGCTTGGTAGTTAGAGTTGAGGAGCTGGATGCAGCTGAGGACGATCAGGCGGGGTGGATTGAATGGTGGATTTCCGGGTGAAGATGAAGGCATTTCTGCTCTGATGGTAGAAGGAAGGGGGGGGGTTTCCCTGAAAAAAATGGACTGGTCCTTCTCGATGGGCATAAATAGGGACTGCAAGAAAGCGACCATCGGTATCCTCCTCTTCACCATTTTTTCGTTCTGCTACAAACTGCCATGTCTTCTGCTACATTCCGGCGCCAGTTGTCGGCAGCACGTCTTCAGCAGACCGCACTGCGGCCACGAGCAACCCGTTTACAGTTATTTAGTTATGGTTCAAGAGAATATTCTTCTGCTAGGGTACTGAATTGCCCTCTAGCTCCCTCCTCCCGTCTACGCTGGTCCTGGTCTATCAGCCACCCGACCCTTGAGGCATGGGGGATTCCGAATCGCAGCATCGCAAAGCGCACATATGCTCTGCGGTCTGGTGATACTAACATCAACAGCCAGGATGATGTCAAAGAAGCGATCAAGAGCGCCCAGAAGGCCTCCTCGGAGACCCGGAGTCTTCTGTCAACCGCCCAATCCAGGCTTGAATCCTCGAAGAGTGATCTGTCCACACTTCCCAACAAGCCATACGAGAACCTGGCAGCGTTTACAAAACACTTGGTCCAAGTTGCGAATGGGGCCGAGAAGCCCAACTTCTCGGCGCTGGCCCAAAACACAGCCGATGCGTTCAGCAGCGCCCTGGCCACGACGGGGAGACTGATCGATACGCTCGGCAAGATGCAGGCATCCGTCTGTCCACTCCCCAGACCCTGTAGGAACGCCGTACGCTGCTAACGCAAATAGTTGACCAACCAAGGGGCATCACTCTCCTCGCACAACAAGCGCCTCGAATCCGCCAAACGCTTCCTCGCGACCGAAAAGTCCAACCAGGAACGACGCAGAAACGATGCCACCAACCAAAGGGACAGCGCCCAGAGCCGCATCAACCAAACCACAGACAAGATCAACGAGCTCCGCCGCAAGATCGACAACCCCTGGAGCGACTGGAAGTACAAGCAAGCCATGGAATGGGTCGGCGCCGGCATCCGCGACCCGCGGTTCCGCGAGATCTACGGCTCCGACCACCAGGCGCAGGCGCTGCTGAAGGCCTGGACGGATGAGTGGAAGTCCAACGAGGTGCAGAAGAAGGTGTATGAGCGCGACCGCAGCAACGCACAGGGGAACTACGATGACGCGGCGCAGCGCATGCGCGAGGCGGACGAGCAGATCCGGGAGGTGAATCGCTTCGCGACGCAGATCGCGCAGGAAGTCTCGCGCACGGATGCAGTACGCATCGACTTGGATAACACGACGTCGGCGCTGGTGCGGGCGCGTAGCTCCCTGTCCCAGATCCATCCCGCGCTGGCGGATATGACGGCCATCGCGCGAGAGTCGTTCAAGCCCCGCTACCACAGGACGTTTGCGCGGTCGGTCATGCGTGTTTTGTTGGCAACACCGAATCTACCAGCGTTTAACCGCGGCCTGGGGCCGGTGGCTGAGTTATTGAAGCAGCTGCCAGCAAAGGTGCTGGATGGAGAGGCGGATCCGGATGACTATGGCACTCCGGAGCCTCCATTGCGAGGACTCTTTCAGGAGGTTCAGAACCGTTTGAGGTTGAAGTAGCGGTACGGCATCAATTTTTGTTTTTTTTTCTTTTGTGAGAACAATTCAGTAAGACTTGAGCAGGCTTGAAAACGTCTGCCATGGTACATGCCCCATCTACATATATTCATGTAGACAGACTCCAACTGGTGACGAGTGCTTCAAGTAGCGTGCCAGCTCGCGAAGAATCAAGTGGACCTCATATGGATGGAGTCATCCTTGGAAAATGTCATGAGCTGGCAGATATCTAGCAGACTAGCAGTAGTGTCAAACATTGGGAGTTAAAAAAAATATCCGAAATCCTGATACCAGACTGTCCTGCTAGAGCTACGTATAGGTCAATAGCCAATACTATTATTCCAAGCCTATCTCAACATTATTATCTCAAGCATCAAATCAGAACATCCCCTTGGAGAGAGAGACAAACAGAACCAGGTGGGGAAGAATAACAGTGGTGAGCGGTCTGGGCCTCTCTTTTCTGTGGCCATCGTCCAATGTCGAAACTCTCTCTATCTATTATTTCCATGGAAGGAAACTGGGAAGAAATACGAGATCCCATTATGCGTGCTCACTGCTCAGCTCAAACGTGGCCAATCCACTACCCCGGAAAGAAGATCAGATGACTCTCCAAGTCCAAGCAGAAGCCGACGGCTCTCACCGTCTTATATATCGGCTTTCGAAGATGCCAATAACAGTCGAGACGCGGAGTCTGTCTGGCTTGAGTTTGAGTCTTGAGTCTTCAAGACATCCCACGTCGCCCGTGGGGGCAGCATCTCTCTCTCTCTCTTTTGCGGGGAGCGTGGGGGTTGCCAAATCGCGGGGGAAATCCTGAGTCCGGGGATTGATTGATGGATTGATCGATTGATTGATTTCCCTGTCGGTAATGTTTCGGTCGGGGAGATCGTCTTATTCCTTGGTCCTTCCTACTACTGTTTTCCCCGTCGGCAGAGTGCCCTTTCGGTTGGCTCGTTGGTCTTCCCGGTTATGCTCGGATCGCGTCAATGGCTGGGGAGAAAAAAAAAACTCTACCAACGAGAGGCGTCCACCGTCCACCGTCCACCCTGTCTCAGACCCTTGAACCATGATGCAAATGCGTGGGGGTGGACCGGTTCGTGATGATCTTCGAGTATAAATACATTCTGATGTCCTCTGGGATTCCGGGGGTGGGTTATTATTCTTCAGTCTTCTGAGATAGCAGCAAAAATGACATCCAAACCCACCTCCGTCCACGATGAAGACTACGACATGGCCAAACCCACCGGCCTCGATGCCATCCACAGCGTGCGCATTCCGCTGACGGAAGAGGACAGCAACCGCATCCGTCGCAAGACTGATAAAGTCATCCTCATCGTGCTCATGTGGGTGTACTTCCTTCAGATCCTCGACAAGACCGTACTGGGCTACGGCGCCACCTACGGTCTGAAGGATGACACCCACCTCACGGGGAACCAATACTCCCTGGTCGGATCGATTGCCCCCATTGCCCAGCTGGCCTGGCAGCCCTTTTCCTCCTTTCTCATTGTCAAGGTGCCGCATCGGATTCTGATGCCGGCGCTCGTGCTGGGATGGGGTATCGCGCAGACCTGTATGGCCGCCTGCACCAGTTTCAGCGGGCTGATGGCCACGCGGTTCTTCCTGGGTCTGTTCGAGGCCGGCTGTTTGCCGCTTTTCAGCATCATTACCAGTCAGTGGTATCGGCGTGCCGAGCAGCCCATTCGCGTGGCGGCGTGGTACAGCACCAACGGGCTGGCGAACATCTTCGCGGCGGCTCTCTCTTACGGCTTGGGACATATCGATTCGCATGTGCTGAAGGAATGGCAGATGTAGGTTCTTTTTTTTTTTCCCCAATCGCTCCGAACGGGCTATAACAACAAGCATAGCACTAACTGGATTAACTGCTACTAGTATCTTCCTCTTCGTTGGCCTCCTCACCGTCATCTCCGCCCCGGTCGTCTACTGGCGTCTCGACAACGACATCGCCTCCGCGCGCTTCCTCACCGAACAAGAGAAACTGCAGGCAATGGAACGCCTGCGCGCCAACCAAACCGGTACCGGCAACCGCGAGTTCAAGATGCGCCACGTCTGGGAATCCGGCCTCGAGCCCAAAACCTACCTGTGGATTGCCATGGCGATGCTCCTCAACATCGGCGCCAGCGTCACCAACGTCTTCGGCCCTCTCATTCTCCAGGGCCTCGGCTTCAACAAATTCACCACCACCCTGCTCAACATGCCCTTCGGTGCGCTGCAGTTCATCGTGATCCTGATGGGCAGCTACCTCGCCCAGAAGGCACGGCTCAAGGGCGCTGTGCTGGCCGGGTTCATGCTCCCCGTCATTGCCGGGTTGGCATTGCTCTATGCGCTGCCGCGCAACAACTCGGTGCAGGGCCCGCTGATGGCGGGATACTACCTCCTCTCCTTCCTGTTTGCAGGAAACCCGCTGGTCGTCTGCTGGATGGTCGGGAACACGGCCGGCATGACGAAGAAGTCGATCGTCATGAGTCTGTATAACGCGGCCAGCTCGGCCGGAAACATCGTCGGACCGCTGCTGTTCAGCGCCACCGATGCGCCGGCGTATCGCCCCGGTCTGCAGGCGTGTCTGGGCATTTTTGTCGCTCTGGTAGCGGTGGTGTTCCTGCAGTGGGCGGATCTGTTCGTGCTGAACAAGTTGCAGGAGAAGAAGCGGGTGCAGAACGGGAAGCCGGCCAAGATGGTAGATCGCTCGATGCAGGACCAGTACCAGCAGGAAGACGAGGAGGGCTTGGAGCAGGAGATGGGCAGTAATGGGCTGCTGGATCTGACGGATCGCGAGAATGACGAGTTTGTCTATATTTATTAAGATGATGAGATGACTGATGATATCCTGTTTGTTTTTTATTCCGGTTTTTTTTTTTTTCTTTGGCTAGCCAACTGGACTGCCAATAATGCACTTATTCTCCTCCCATCCGCCCCCGTTAGATCTTTAGCTCTAAACTTAACACCGTGTCTCCATCAACCTCCAACCTGAAGCTATAACGGGGCACCATGTATCAGAGCAAACTCCAACAGGACTTGGATGTTTTATCTCCTGGTATTCATCCAGGTTTGAGCTTTCTAGACCTGCCATATGCGCTCCGACGGGAGATCTACCTGCTGGCTGGCATTGTGCGGACATGTCCAGTCTACTTGACTCCAAGGGCTCAAGACTGTAACGATGATTCCGAAATCGAGCAAAACAGATTGTATGTCTGCCCGGCTGCGAGGAGTTTCTCTCTTTCTTGCGATTGCTATCCCGAAACGATGGAGGATTCCAGTCGCTGCCACTACCGACCCATTCCTTCCCAACTGTTTCTAGTGTCAAAGCGGATCAGCCAGGAGGTGTCATCTATATTCTACAGTGAGAACCAGTTTTGGCTGTTGTATTCTGGGTCAAACAGCTTCAGCGTGCTGCACAAACTCCGCCCAGGAACGATTGCCATGATCCGATACATGCGTGTTGTCCTGCATGCGATGGCGAAAGAGCTCGGCCACTACTCCATCCACGGTCATCACCCAACCCAGTTGGAGCTCATCCCGCTGAGTCCAACGTCACAGCCTCACTATCAAGATCTCACCAGGGACTGGGGTCTCGCCTGTGAGCGCCTCGCGTCGTGCATCGAGAAGTCCCGTCTCGAGATGTGCCTGGTCTGCGATACAGAAAGCACCGCAGTCGCAGAGGATGTTCTAGCACCACTGAGCTCTCTGCCTACTCTGGCCGGCATGTCCATCCGTCTCTCTGTTCCCTGGAACTGCGACCCCGAAACCATCGATCGAGGCATCTACACCGAGCTCCACAACCTCGCCAAAGATACATCGCGGCGCCTCACAGCCCGCTCCCACAACACCCATCGCAAGACCTTCCGCTTCGATCTCGTCCCAGGCGAGCTCCAGCGACGCATCCTCGAATCCACAGACCTCGTCGCCCCATCCCACATCTGCTGGAACTCCGAGCAGGGATTCGTCCTCCAGCCAGATTACCGGCCTGGAACCTGCCGTCTCTGCGACGGCGTCCGCGCCGCGTGCTGCTCGACGTTTCCCGCCGGAGGCACCTGGACGGTCCAGTGCCCGTGCTGGCGGTTCCCGTCCGCCCTGTTCCTGGTCAACCGCGAGTTCAACGCCGAGGCGCATCGGATCTTCTGGTCGCGGAACAAATTCGTCTTCTCATCCTTCGCTGAGCCGATGCCTGTCGCCGGGCCGTTTCCGTTCTGCCCCATCGACACGGTGTTCCCGTCGCTCGTCCCGCCGCGCGCATTCAAGCATCTGCGGTATCTGCAGTTTATGTTCACTGGACACCACTCCTGGGATCGGTGGCGGGAGACGGTTGCGATGCTGATGCGTCTTGGCGATCTGTCGCAGCTCACGCTGGCTATTGATATGACTGAAGCCCGGGAACCGGCGCTGGGGACCTCCAATGTGCGCACCGAGGAGTATTACGCGTCGCTCTGGAATAAGCTCTCGCAGTTGGCCGGGCCGTTCGAGCCGGGTCATGGGCTGGGGACTCTCTTCCTGTACGATCCGTGGCCGCATGGCTGGACTGAGAAGGAATTGGCGCTGAAGAAGCGGTGGGCACAGGAGCTCGTGACGATGATCATGGGGCCCGATTATGATGGCCGGTCGAGGGATGTAGAGGCGTTGTGGATGCGATGGAGTCGTCCAGTTTGGATCTGAGACTTTCTGTTTGGTCTTCTGAGACGTGTGCTAGCTTGATATGTCTCTTGAGCAGTTGGTCTTAGGGCATGTCTCGAAGGGTTCTTTGAGTATCAGATATGATACATCGTGCTGCTTTACTCTCTCCATGACCCTCAACAACGTCTTTGTGTGGTCTCCGTCAGGGTAGAGGCGTTCTTCAAAACTTCTCGTTTCGTGTCTCCCACACTGAGACAATGTTGAATAGTCTATGAAGGGTTATGGTGCGTGTTTTCCCCAGTCTATCCCTCGTGGTGAATTTGATATTTGCTACTGAATTCTGTTGACTCTCTCGCGTTTGCTTTCTAGCTCAATGCATATTATTGGCAGGATCAAGTTTAAACCAGCCCGTAGAACAACGTCACCATTGTACTCAATGCATCTACGTGTCAGTTTAAATGAAAATGCAGGGGTTATCAACGCAAGGGACGGTCCCTCCTGTATATATGACCCGAGAACCCCCTCCCCCTCCTTTAGAAGTGAGATGGCGTTGGCACTGCTCGCAACCCCCTCCCATAACCCTATAATTCCGCATACTCCAACTCGCCATGATAGTGATTATTGTCGGAGGAGGAATCGCCGGCCTAGCCGCCTCAATCGGCCTCCGTCGCGCCGGCCACCAGGTCAAGGTACAGCACACACACAAACACACACACACACACACACACACAACAGCCCCTCCTCCCAAGCTCTCACTAACAGCCCAGGTCTTCGAAAAATCTTCCTTCCTCCGCGAAGTCGGCGCCGCCATCCACATCTGCCCCAATGCCTCCCGCATCCTGCTATCCTGGGGCCTGGACGCCGACCGCGCCCGCATGGTGACCGCAAAGCGCCTGCTCGTGGCCCAGGGGCCGTCCCTCACCCCACTTGTCGAGATGGACTGTGCGTCTGTGCCGCAGAGATACGCCGCGCCGTGGTTCCTCGCGCACCGGGTCGATCTGCACTCGGAACTACGCCGACTGGCCTCCGCTGAGGACGGCCTTGGGGATCCCGTGGAGATTGTGCTCAGCGCCGAGGTCGTGGGGTATGATGCGCAGGGCGCGGGGGTGGTCTTCGCGAATGGGTCGACGGAGCATGCTGAGCTGGTGATTGCGGCGGATGGCGTGCATACGACTGCGATCCGCGAGGTGATCGGGCATGCGCCGCCGGCTGTCTCAACGGGGGCTGCTGCGTTTCGGTTCTTGATTCCGACGGAGGAGCTGCGACGGGATCCGGAGATTGCACCGCTGCTAGAGGATGGGTTGATGCGGGTCATGGTTGTGGAGGGCGTGAGGCGGTTTATCTGGTATCCTTGTGCGAAGTAGGTTCTCTGTTTCATCCTGGTCCCCCGGGGGTGTGTGCCGATGCTGAGTGGGCGGTGCTTTATAGCAACACGCTTGAGAACTTTGTGGGCATACACCCGGACGAGAGCACGAATGGTCATGAGAAAGAAGGTCTGCTGCTGCATTTCCCCGTCTTCTCGATTCCCCTGTCTCTACCTGCGGTACTAAAGTCAATGCTACGCAGACTGGGACCGCGCAGCTGATGTCGACGACGTTCTCGCGCAGTATCATGACTTTCATCCCAGCATCCTCGCCATTATCAGGTACACCCACCTTCACCTTACAGAGCTCAACGAAACTAATGCCGATTAGAAAAGCCACCAGCATCAAGCGCTGGCCTCTTCTCTACCGTGACCCCATCCCAACCTGGTCCCGCGGCCGCCTCCTTCTAATTGGCGACGCAGCTCACCCCATGCTCCCTCGTACGTCCCTCCTCCTCCTCTTTCTCTTTCTACGTCAAGAGTCTTGACTGATCTCATGTAGACCAAGGCCAAGGCGGCGCCCAAGCCATCGAAGATGCCGGCGCGCTCAGCGAGATCTTCACAGCTCTCCCGGACGTCTCTGGGGGCGACGAGATCCGCCGCCGTCTGGAAGTCTTCGAGAAGGTGCGTGTTAACCGCGCGTCGCGGATGCAGGTCTTCTCCAACGCGGGACAGGACGAGGCGTGGAAGATCCGCGAGGCGGCGCGGCAGTATATGCCGGAGGGAATGGAAGTGCCGACCTCGTCGCCGGAGTTTATGGAGCATAATTTTGGGTATGATGTGGTGGGGGAGAGCCGGCGGGAGTTGGGGGTGTATCTGGATGGGAGGAAGAAGCATCAGTGAGGTTATAAGGGCCGATGGGACTCTACGTTGGCTGTGATGGAATCAAGCTGGTTGGGGAACGGTTTCAAGTGGTTCACTCTATAGTAATGTGGTATCTCACGGTAGAGACCAACTACCAGGTCTCCTTGATCAAGTCGGCGCACCGCTCGCCAATGCCATACGCCGGCATCTGAGTATGTCCTCCATGCAGAGTCGGCATGACACTGCAGTCCGCGACTCTCAGGCCAGCCACGCCCTTGACACGCAGCTCGTTGTCCAGCACCGCCATCGGGTTATCGTCCTTGCCCATCGCACAGGTCCCGGACGCATGGTAGCCTATCGTCATTAGCGGCATTCTCTTTCACCAAGCTTTGGCATAAGAAAGTCACTTACAAGTCGTCGCATGCTCCTTGACATACGGGATCCACTCCTCGCGCGTCGTGTACTTGTGGTGCGAGAGATTCGGCGGCCACGATCCCTTGACGATATCCTTCGTCCCCGCGCCATTCATGACGATCTCGTTTCCGAACCGGCATGCCTCGCTCAGCACCAGCATGTCCATCGGATCGGCCAGATAGTTGCAGTCGACGACGGGGTTCTCCAGCGGATCCGCAGACTGCAGCGTCACCGTACCGCGAGACTTAGGCGCGAACAGCTCCGCAATCATGGAGAACGCGTGCTTGTGGCCGATGGGAAATTGGTTGTACTGCTTCGGCCCGCCGTAGCATTCCGTTGTGAAGAACTCGATGTTGGGCTGGCGCGGGGTCAGGCCCATGGGGTCGCGGCCGGGCTCGCGGGGGGCGTCGCGCCACAGCGGCTCGTCCTTGAGGCGGTCGTCGATGCGGGCGAAGGCGAAGCTGCCGAAGGGGAAGGTGGAGAGGAAGCCGGTCTTGTGGTCTTTCCATTGCTGGTAGGTTTTGGCGAGGTTGTCGTCGTGGTAGACGTTGAAGTCCGTCGTGAGGCCTTCCTTTTCGGTCTCGTAGAACATGAAGACGATCTGTGCGGTTAGAATTAGGGGGGGCCTGTGCTTCTTCCAGACGCGGGTGATGGAGAGCATACCAGATGATCCATGAGGTTCTTGCCGACGCCGGGGAGGTCGACCTGGCAGGGGATGCCGTGCTTCGCCAGCTCATCGCGCGCGCCGATTCCAGAGCGCATGAGGATGGCGGGACTGCAGTATGCGCCGCTGGAGACCACGATCTCCTTGCGCGCGTGGAAAGTGCGCGAGGTGCCGTCCGCCAGCTTGGTTATAACGCTTGTGGCGCGCAATCCCTCGCCCGATTGTTCGAGCACGATGCGGTCGACGGTGGTGTCTGTCTGGATGGTGATGTTGTTGCGGTGAAATTCCTTTGTGATAAAGTCCGCCGCCGTCGTGCGGATGCCCTTGTACACTGTCCGAGGCGCATGGCCACATCCATGGGGGATAACTCCCGTGCTGAACATGTCGTGGTGGAGGGGAAGGCCCTGCGAGACAAACGAGTCCATCAAGAGGTTGGCAATCGGAGCAAGATCGTGAGGTTCGGTGTGCAGAGGACCAGAGTATCCGTGGCTCTCCTCGTCGGCCTTGAACCAGGGCTTGGTATGGAAGGTTTCTGCCTGTGGATAGATAGGGTCGTAGTTGGTTAGCATATGGACATGGGATACAGAGTCGCCGTCTGTTGCAATCACCTTTCTCATGGCAGCGAAGAACTCCTCGCCACTCCATCCCTCTAATCCCCAATCATCGTAATCCTGTTTGGCACCCCGTAAGCACAGAGTGCCGTTGCATCCACTTGATCCGCCGAGAAATCGACCGCGACTCAGTTTGACCTGACGGTTGTCGACGCCGTTCATCGGAGGGGTGACGATGTTCCAGTCCGTCTCGGAGTCGAAATTATTTGACCAGCTACTGTCATCAGCGGGTGGTTAAAGAAGTAGACGATGGTTTTTCACCACATACCCTCCTGCCATGTGTACATTTTCCAGATCGCGGTTATGCTGGCCGGCTTCAATAACGAGGATCTTGACATCGGGGTTCTCGGCGAGACGACCTGCGACCACACATCCTGAAGTGCCTCCTCTGTAGATAATCTAATGAGTGACTGCGGTTGCGACGGTGTATACTAAAACAAACACTCACCCGCAGACAATGTAGTCGTAGACGTCCTGTGAATCCATGAGTGGGCCCCCTGATGCTGTCACTGGTGGTTTTTCTTCCAGTTAACCCAAGTCGAGCAGAGTAGTAATTGAGCGACAAGGTACAGGCATATCCGGCTGCAAGCAGCCCCTTAATAGGAGGGGCACACCGACAGAGAGTCCCTTCGCATGAGGGGCAAGTGGTGGAGGTCGACACTGGATCCCCTCCAGGCTATACAATTGCAGTACGAGTTTACGGGACAATTAGCTAGTGTCACCTCGCGGCCGCAATAATTGCCTGATTTCGATCGCAGGAAGAGCAAAGAACACCTAATGCACGAGCGGACTAGCGGCGTTGACGGAGGGGAAGACCAGCGAATGTCTTGGAGGACGCTCAGTGCAACCGTTATTGTCCAAGATCGAACTTGATTCACCCCCTAGACGCAAACGAGGATATTCATTCACTGGTCACGAACCGTTCCGTCTGTCCTCACTCGAACAGCGAAAGGTACGTCCAGAGAGTCTATCCAACTACTTGCAGGGGGTGTTATTGGCGAATGCCACATTCCTGGCTAGACAAGGAGCGCCATGACTCCCAGGAGTCGTGTTAACATGCATAATGATATATTTCATTCTAAAAAATGCCTCCATTACCTTTTAGTCAGCGGTTTCATATCCATGGGGGAATAGCCCGTCCTTAGCGGGGATGGACCGGCGATCTTGTCCATGAGATGCTGGGAATGGGATAGCCATTATTAGCTCGCCAGGACCCAGTCTGTCACGCCAGCCCCTCTATGGGATTGACAGCGATCATCATTTTGAATCTTTGCGTGGCATTCAATCCCAAGAAAGTTAACCATTGTAAAAACAGGGTGCTGACTGCTGCCTGCTGAGTGCTGTCCGTCTGTCTCCCGGCACTTCTCAAGAGTCAAGAGCCCTGTTAGAGCAGATCCGCTCCTATAGACCTATCTGGACTTCTCTTCCACGACTCTCATCGCTCTTTCACTCGTTCTGGTAAGCGGTCCAATGCATCATCCCGGGTTTAAGCTCGTCGAATAGGCCAAACCGGGCTATCTCTCTCCGCTAAGTGTCCACTTTCCGCGGCCCTAGCGCGCTCTCGCCTCCCTTTGGCTACAGAATACTGTGACTACTGACTACTGTCTACTCAGCTGTGTCAGCGTAGTACTCCGTAAGCAGTTTAAATTAGCTGAAGACTAGCAGTAGCTGTTGACAAGGGTCGATGAGGCTATGCGAATTCGAAGCAACTAGATACTCCGTAGTTATCTAGTGTCTAGATAGTCTATCATCCTAGGGTGCCTCTGGATAATTTCAACTAAGGTTCTCCTGATTGCTCAAGACCATGAGCAATCTCAAATAACTTTAACTCTTTTACTTCTTTGGGGGAGAAGGAAATTTGTTCCACGACTTTGTTCCCGCAATGTCCTCGGCAGTTGGGCGCCTTGGATGGATGACTCTAACTCTCTAAGCCGAGATAAACTCAATCTTTCGTCCTCCCAAGCAGTCATGACTGAAAAAAGGATTAGTGGGAATCCGTCCAGACGCGAAGGATTCAGGCCTCCACCCAAGTGAAAAGCCTCGTATCTCTCGCCTGGGGGGGTTCCACCATCCCGTCCATCATGGCCATTGGTCACGCTCAGGCCATCCTCCCATGTTCCGTGCACCAAAAGAGCGTCCCTGACATAATTCCATTCATCCGGGCGTATCACTTGTCCTAACAATGAATTGCTTTCGGAGAGGGATCTAGATGTTGTGAACGGCTTCCGAGTGTCAGTCGAGGTGCTAAGCTTCTATTATCCCAGCCCTATCCCTGTCAAGGTAAATAGATAGTGTATTCGGGCAGGCTCACTTTGGTTTGGACCATATCGGTTTACCGCCAGTCCGCCACAACCCCCTAGTGGTTCATAAGTTCAGGAGACTGTACTCCGTACTCCGTAGAGCCATGGAGCCACGGGGCGCGGAGTACAAAAGTGTACCTCCCCGAGGAGATGCAGATCATTAGAAGATAACTTTGCCGGACTCGCCTCATACCCGCTTTTGCGAGAGGCGAACTGAAAGTTTATCCATCCTTGCCTGCCCTGAGTAGTTGGTTGGTTCGGGCCTGGCTGGCAGAAGCTGATCTAGATTCTGAGGTTGAGAGGCCCCCCAGGCTCTGGTCTCATCGTGCATAGTTGCAAAGTCAATTCTTTTTCCCTGTCTCCTGGCGTCTGTATTTTATTGTTCTTCTTCTGCAATAATACTCCGTAGTAGTTAGCTGCGAGCTGCATGAACTTGTTCCTATCCCGTCCGCCCAGACAGAGATATAGGTTCCGAATTACCAAATCATAGCTTATATTAGTTCCGAGTGGGCCGCTGGTTCTATGCCTGGCGTGTGTGGCATCGTGCAGGGGGTGTCTTTCTTTCAAGATAGACCATTCAAGACATCGGGGATCGTACGATCCGTTTGATCTTCCTTACAGATACCCTAAAACACCTTGACTCCATAAACTTGTCTGCCATAATGGGCCAAGCAACGCCCTTTCAGACAGAAGCTTGGACGGAGTATGGCCTGGGAGTTGTCATCATTCTTGGTCGGATCTTTGCGCGATGGAAGATCGTAGGGATCAAGAACTGGCAGGGAGATGATTGGTTTTCCATTGTATCCTTGATGTTTTGGACGGTCAGTCTGTGCTCGGCTCGGAAATCATTCTTCCTGGCAGCGGTTACTGACAGAACTGCAGGCGGAACTCGCCATGTTGGAAGTCATCGGTAAGTAGCTTATGGTCTGTTCGCAACAGTGTCATACCTGATGACTGACCGGGGACCAGGCCAACATGGAACCAACATCGGGCTGAGCGATGAACAGCGACTTGCCTTGACCCCCAAAGAGATCGAGAACCTCGTCATCGGCTCCAAGTCGCTACTGGCTGGCTGGACATGCTATGTCACGCTGATCTGGTCGCTGAAGGCGTGCATGTTATTCTTCTACAACCGCTTGACGTAAGCCACTGCCTCGGAACGTCAAAAGGAACAGACTAACTCTGCTAGACTCGGTCTCGTGCAGCAGAAGCTCGTCAAGCTTAATGCTGTGATGTGTCTGTGCACATATATCGCCGTCATCCTCACCATCTTCCTTCACTGTCGCCCACTGCATAAGCACTGGCAGGTCACTCCGGACCCCGGGGGTAGGTCTTCACAATCCAAGATCGCTGCGACAGGAGCTGATCCTTCTCCAGCAAACTGCACGGCAGACTATGTCAACTACATCGTCATCGCCGTCACCAACGTCCTGTATGTCCTTTTTTTTTTTTTTTTGGCTGCCAGGATCCCACATCAACTAACCCAGCCAGAACGGACGCCATTCTCGTCACCATCCCCGTCCCTCTGCTCGCCAAAGTCCGACTCACGCTCCGCCGGTACGCTCCCCTCCCTTGCATAACGACCAGCACAGCCCTAACCAGCGCAGAAAACTCATCATCGGCGTACTCCTCTGCGGCGGCATCTTTGTCATGTGCGCCACCCTCTTGCGCTGTATCCTCTCCCTGCAGAGCATCGACAGCATCAACACCAGCACCATCTGGGCCATCCGTGAAACCGTCCGTCCTTTCTTCTCCCCTCCCCCAAATCCCACCGAAATAACTACCTGAACTAATCAACGAACCCAGTTCGTCGCCATCATCGCCGTCAACGCCCCCTGTATCAAACCCCTCTTCAGCTCGTCTGTCTGGCTCGGTTCCTCCCGAGACCCCTCCAGCAAAAATGCCCAGCGCTACGGCGCCGGCGGCAGCTACTCCCTCTCCATCTTTGGCAAATCCAAACCCAACCCCCTCGAGTCCAACGCGAGCAAGCTCGGCGATCAGGGCAGCGACGAGTTCATCCTGCGCGAGAACGGTGCGAGCACGTATGTCCACGACGTGCGTGCGGGTCGGGGCCGACAGACGGATGAGGAGGCGGGTAAGTTCGCCGACGGCGGCATCCAGGTGACCACCATGTATGAGGTGAAACGGGGGGCGCCGTCGGGGCAGTGGTGATAGAGTGTGGACTTGGAGTAAGATTCGTGGATTGGATTCATGTCAAACTTGGGTCATTTGGGTGGTTTTTCAGCGTTGTTTTGTAAAAGATAGAGGATATCGAGATTGATACCGGATTTCATTTGTATATATTTGGAATGATATGGGTGTTTTACTATGCTCTAGGGTCGGGATGGATGGAGGTGCAGCAGACTACTCGAGTAACATCCTCAAAATATATATAATGTTATGTTCGTTTGGGACATATTATAACCACACATCGACATGATCCCAACACACCACAGGTGAACAAATAAAGAGAAACCAGAATGCAAAATAAAGAATGAAGGCCGCGACAGAGCGTGCCAAAAAGTCAGCTAACTCATCCAGGATGAGAGGATGAGTTGGAAATAAAAAGAAGGACTAAGCGTGGATCGAACACGCGACCTTAAGATTTGCAATCTCACGCTCTACCACTGAGCTACCAGTCCTATTGGTTGAGAGTGGTAAGTATTTGTAGTATTATATCCCTGACATGCAGTTCTTTCGAAACAAAATAATCAGAATCAGTGACGCAATCACCTCCAACGTTTCTGCCATATCAGGCAGCAACTCATAGAGCAAGTTGCAAGCAAAAAGAAAAAAAGAAGAAAGGACTAAGCGTGGATCGAACACGCGACATTGAGATTTGCAATCTCACGCTCTACCACTGAGCTACCAGTCCTGGTTGTGATTGGGTGGCGATATCCTGCCATGCTGACCTCGTCCCACCTACCATGTCGTTCAACGTTCGCTTAGCCTCGGACCGCAACCGAAAAGATTTGCAATGTCCCCGGCCTCAGGCACGACAAGGAATTCAGCAGGGAAATATTACCGTCAGAAGACTGATATGCAGGCAGATAGAAGATTATGGATGAGAGACTTCTCTTTCTTTTCAATCGAATTGCAGTAGACAGTGTAGACACTCAACTCAGCCCGTCAACTCCGGCATCCTGCAGCTTGGCGATGCATGGTGGTGATCTTCCAGCGTAGTCAGACTGTCCAGTATAGATCTTCGTCAACGCAACTTAAGCTATATCATTTACACTCCTCACTACGTAGCTAAGAAGTATATCATCAGAAGACACACTGCTCTCCAACTGATTTACCTAGCTAACTAACTACTACTATTTATGTGCTTTCAGGTTGCCTGTCAAACTGCATGTTTCGGTTTACATAATAGTTTGCCTCTTCCGGTGGATGCACCCGTCAATTTCTGACGTTGATAACTACGTATAACTACCCTGGGAATAATCCTGCACATTTTCTCCACTGTCATGAGACATAGAAAAAAAAGTGATGACACAGCCTGAGGGGCAGAGATTTCACCTTGACTGTTGACTGTTGACTGTTGACTGTTGCCATTCACTGCATTTAAACCCCCGAATCTAGGTGGTCACGGTCACATAACCTACACACATACTTACACTGGCCAAGCATGGCCCCCCCGGACGATGTGAGCCCTGCGCCAAAGGGCATCGAGGTCTCGAGCGCAGAAAAACACCACACAGTCACCGATAATATCCGTTTTCGAGCCAACAATGTGAACGCGCTGCGCGGCCACCTGAGCGATGAGGAGAGCAACGAGGAGGTCCAGACCTCGCCGCCGGATCTGCAACGGCAGTTGAAGGATCGACATCTGCAGATGATCGCGATCGGTCAGTACATATACGCTTCAGTCTTGGGGATATCGCCCATGGAGAGGGTTTTCTGACGAAAAAAAAATAAACAAAATGCAGGAGGAACCATTGGCACAGGTCTGTTTATCAGCAGCGGCACGGCGATCGCACATGCAGGGCCGGTGGGCGCCCTCATCGCCTATATGTTTGTCGGATCGATCGTGTATTCCGTCATGACTTCGCTGGGAGAAGTCGCGACGTATATCCCCACCGCGGGCGCTTTTACCTCCTATGCCGCGCGGCTGGTTGACCCGAGTCTGGGTTTCGCGATGGGCTGGGTGTATTGGTTCAACTGGGCATCGACATACGCGGTGGAGTTGACGGCAACGGGCATGATTATTAAGTACTGGGACGAGCACTTGTCGATCGCCATCTTCATCGGTGTGTTCTGGGTGTTTATCACGCTGATCAACTTCCTTCCGGTTGGGTTCTATGGCGAGCTCGAGTTCTGGTTCTCCGCCATCAAGGTGCTCACCGTGCTGGGCTTCATGATCTTCGCCATCTGCGTGGATGCCGGCGTCGGCAAGCAGGGCTACCTGGGCTTCCACACCTGGAAGGAACCCGGCGCGTTCGCACCCTATCTCATCGAGTCCAACGACTCGCTCGCCAAATTCGTGGGCTTCTGGGCCGTTCTCATCCAGGCCGGCTTCTCCTACCAGGGCACGGAGCTCGTTGGCGTCGCGGCCGGCGAGACTGAGAACCCCGAGAAGACGGTCCCCTCCGCCATCCGCAAGACCTTCTTCCGCATCCTCATCTTCTTCGTGCTCACCATCTTCTTCATTGGCCTCCTCGTCCCCTCCGATAACCCCAACCTGGTCACGGACACCTCCAACGCCTCCGCCTCCCCCATGGTCATTGCAGCCAACCTGGCCGGTGTGCAGGTCCTCCCGGGCCTCATCAACGCCGTCCTCCTCACCGTTGTCCTGTCCGCTGCCAACTCCAACGTCTACTCCGGTAGCCGTGTGCTGCTCGGCCTCGCGCGCGAGGGCTTCGCGCCCCGCTGGTTTGGCAAGGTCACGCACCGCGGCGTGCCCTACATCAGCGTCGCGTTCACCGCCGCCTTCGGCCTGCTCGGTTTCATGAACGTCTCCGAGTCCGGCGGCCGCGTCTTCAACTGGCTCGTCAACATCTCCGGCGTCGCCGGCTTCATCTGCTGGACGTCCATCAACGCATGCCACATCGCGTTCATGCGCGTGCTGGCCGCCCGCAACATCTCCCGCGACGCCCTGCCCTACAAGGCCATCTGGCAGCCCTGGCTGGCGTACTATGGCTTGTTCTTCAACGTGCTTATCATCTTCACGCAGGGCTTCACAGCGTGGATCCCCGTGTTCGATGTCTCGGATTTCTTCGTCGCGTATATCTGCCCCATCCTCTTTGTAGTGTTGTATCTGGGGCATAAGTTTACGTTCCGCACGAAGTTTGTGAACCCGCTCGAGGCCGATCTGGATACTAGTCGCGTGGAGACTAAGAGTACCTCATGGGAGACATCGACGCCCAAGAGAGGCTGGTTCGAGAGGGTCAGGGGAAGGTTTATCGGATAGTTGGTTGGAGTCTTCTCGAGCCGTGTATATAGAATAGAGATCACATTTGGTTCTTGTCATTGGAAAACGCCTATGTGCTTTCTATCTTCAACTACTCGCCCCCGCCGCCTCTCCCCCTTCACCCATCATAATAATAATAATACCCAGCCCTCATCCGCAACTGTATAGTATACTACATCCAACACCCGGCCCCCCTCCACAATCCCACAGCAATCAATCCTTCCAGCACACAGCACACAGCACACAGCACACAGCACACAGCACACAGCACACAGCACACACCCCCGCCCTACACCCACTTCATCAGCCTCGCAAACGACGCAAACCCCCCCAGTAGAGCCGTGACCCCCGTAAACACCACCAACACCCCATACTCCGTGCCATACGCCCCCAGCGCCGTGCCCTTCCACACGCCCATCTTCAAGAACGCCTCGCTCAGCGGCCCGCTCACCACATTGCCCACGCCGCGCCCGGTCTCCAGAAAGGCAAACACCATGCTCACATGCGCCGAGCGCTCGCTCTTCTGCACCTCGTGCGTCAGCGCCGACCACGACGACGAGTACCCGCCCGCGAAGAAGCCGTACACGATGCAGAAGACGTACAGCAGCGCCAGGTGCGTCGCGAACCCCCACAGCAGGAAGACGGAGACCACGGCGCCCGTCGACGACACCAGGATGCATTTCGTCACGTGGTGCCGGTCCGCCATGTAGCCCGTGAACACGCAGCCGAAGACGGTCATCAGGTTGAACAGCGTCACCGTCAGGGAGGCGAGGAAGTCGGACGTGCCGAGCGAGCGCGCGTACGAGGTCAGGAAGATCGACGGGATCCAGAACCCGAGCGCTTGCATCGTGTTGCCGAGTTGGTAGATCAGGTAGACCCGGTTCCAGAGGAAGCGCAGGCTGAGCTGGTTGAGGTTGGAGTGCCGCAGTGGGGTGCGCGGCTTGTGGAAGGCCATGAAGGGCGCCGCGAGGATGAAGAGCGTGACGGAGCAGGCGCGCAGTGTCGTTTGCCAGCCGTATCGGTTCAGGAGGGCTTGGAGGATGAGGGGGAAGATGATGCCTGTGAGCCCGGAGCCGCTCTGGTCAAGGGGTTCTTTTTTTAGCATTGTGTGACGGGGAGAGGTCTCGAGGTGCGGGTGGGGGGGGGGTATACCCAAACTATGCCAAAGGCAAGGCCTTTCTTCTTGACGAACCAGTCCGACATGAACAAAATTGATGGCGTGTAGGCCAAACAGCCCCCGATGCCGTAGGCCACGCCCTGCGACATGACCAGATGCGTGACGTTTTGGGAGAATGAACCCAGCCCCAGCGCCAGACTCATCAGAACAAACCCTGCGGTGGAGAACCAGCGCCGAGCGCGGGGAAAAGCGAACATGACGGCGATGATGATGGGGGTGGGCAGGTACGCCATGCCCTATTGTTCAGATATTAGCCGGCATCAACGCCTTTCGGGCCACATAGATCTGACCATCGCACAAGTACCGATTGCAGCAATCTCGTTCGATTTGGAGAAGGGCTCATGGGTCCGGTAGTAAGTCTCAAAGACGCCGAAAGATTGAGCGAATCCTGCCGTATGGTGAGCTTCGCTGTCATCCTTCTGAAGTAACTTGGTCACGTACCCCATACAATCCCTTCCACCATGAAACACGCCACCAGGAACAGCCATGCCTGGTATCCCCCGTCGACCGGGGGTAGTAGGGATTCGTCAAACTCGTCAAGCTGGGACGAGGACTCGTCGGAGGTGGTCGGCGTATGCGAGAGCGTCTCTTTGCAGAGCGCCGGGGGAAACGATTCTAGCTCCTTGGTCGCCATGGTGAACAAAGCAGTATGATTCGAAAAACCAGAGCAGCACAATCACGAAGCGACTACCCTATCTCTCTCCTTCAGTAACAGCGAAGCGAAGACGAACGATGAAATACTCGACAAGGGGATCCTCCGGGGTCCGTATATCATCAAGTGAGCCGTGTCCATGACCGCGCTGAGCCAGGACAGGAAGATGTGCACGTTAAGGAAAAAGAGATAAAAAAGAATAGAACACCCTCCTCCGGTATCATTCATCCCTTCTGGTATTGTCACTCGCAGCAAGCCCGCGGACCTTATGATAATGCTGGTATGCAGGATGCTCCACAGGGAATGAAACAAGTATAGATCGTTGTCGATCGGGTCAAGGCGCCGGGCCATCGGTATGCACTCTTGCCCCGTTTGGGCCTTCACGGAGAATTTCAATCACCCCCGACCTAGGTTCGTGGCTCGAGTGAAGGCATGGCTTGGGAGGGGGGAAAACCTCCGTATCTGCCCTGCCCTGACTGGCTATTGGGAGCAGAAAACGGCTACGACGAGGCAGGGAGGCGACGGTTGTGACAGGGTTGACCTTCTCACGTACCTATCCTGCCGGAGGAAAATTCCGGCTTATCGAGCAAGGAGGCCCGATGCGTCTGCTCAGACAGGCATGTCGGAGTATGTCGAGAGGAAGTGATGCTCGGCCTCGACGTTTGAATCAGACATGAAAAAGTGTAACCACATCTACCTGGATGTGAAACAGCTGAAACGATGCAAGATGCCATGACGCAGCCTATGTCCTTCCTGCCAATATCTCGGGAGATCCTCCGGAGATTTTCCTCCTTCAACTGGCCAGAGCGTCGATCGTATGCTCGGCGAGACGAACACCCACCCCCAGCTTGAGCCAGCAGACTTGAAACCCACAGTGTCCAGGATCCCAAAATAGTACTGCGATTCCTCGGTTATCGGCAAAGCTACACATTCATCAGTCACGAGAAGTATAAGCTCCTCAGAATGTGGGGAACTGGGGGGAGGACGAGGAGTTCTCCCAGTCTCCATCCCGATAGCTGTTCGATACTCCCAACAAGGAGAGAGAACCAGCTGGAGCAGAACGCGCGTTGCTTCTTGCCCCGTGATTCATTAGGTAATAGGTATCTTCTCTTCAATCCGTTCTATGGCGTAGTAGATTGCTCACTGATCTGATAGAGACGGGGATAACCTTCTGACATGATTTACTCTGTACGAAAGAGTGAGATAGCTCCTGTAACCACACGATCAATTAACCCGAGCATATCATAATGTAAAGTCTATTCATCCTTCCATATCATCAGCTACCCTCGAGTCTTCTTGCTCTTATCTTCGATGATGCCCGTGTTCACCAACATTCCATCCCAGCGAGGGATGGTCATTGAGGAATGCTCGCCTCCCAACCCCTACCCGGTTATAACGTCGAATCTCCATCCGAACTTCCCGGTATACCAGACCTCCGCTGCTCTTCACTTCCGAGTTAATCTTATCTTTTTGCCAAACTTTGAATCTCTGCACCCAGCATGATCCGACTCTTTCTCTTGGTGGTCATGCTTGTGCTGGCCGCATGTGCCGCCTCGCAGGAGATATGCGTCGCGATGTGTGAACCTATCAAGCCGGACTGTCCTCAAAATCAGGTGGGTTCTTTTATCCTCTTGGGATGGATTTGCATTGGCTGACACTGGCTTAGGTAGCATCTGGGCAAGAGGTGAGTGGCCCTCTGGCCTGCAGTGGCAGATCTAACCATGCTGTTTGACGTAGGGCTGCTGGGGATGTTGTAAATCGATCTGATTTGAGAGTTCTGCTCAAGGCTTTCAAGACGTATAGAGTACCAGGTCAGCATAATAATATCTGTTGAGCTCAAAGATGCCGTTTGGTTGCTTCAACAATGTACAATCCGGGCAGTCATCCAAAGATGGTCCAATATCAAGGCTCTTCAACCTCAGTAAAATGTGCCCACCGAGACTGCCTATCTCTGGCTGCATACCGGCACACAATTCCCTCTCCTTCTCACCCCCCACTCCCATTAATGCTTCCAAATTATCCTCAACCACTGGAAGTACACCACACAGACCCAGTTAGCACATCCCTATACGGCCCCGTCTCCTCGAACCCCAGCACCTCAATTGTGTTCATGGTGGCCTGTCCACAAGCGCAGTCATTGCCTATCGTTTAATAAAGACTGTATATCAGCCACCTTGCTTTAACATCAAATACATACGACCGTAGGGCGTGAAGAACCGGGCTCCCCGTTCGGTCAGCTGTACTTAAGCCAGTATTAAGAACACAGCGAGAAGATTCTTCTTTTAGAGGCGCCTGGCCTTCTTTTGTATGGGATGATATATTTTGATGTGATGCACGTTAATGTATTGCATGACGGGGTGTTTGAGGCCATCGGGTCAATGCTATCTACCATGGGAAAGCGGGCGGGGACGTGAGATCTCCTCGAAAGCAAGGCTATTTGAAAGAGGCCAAAATGATGAAGGAGTCGAAAGAGGGCAGGAAGGCGTAGAACGAGGATGGAAAAGCGATGTACCTGTTTAGCGCAGATGTTTATAGTATGACATCCCTAAGCCCTACTTCTACCTCACCGAGGTAGATGGTCAAGTTCAGTGCCACCACAAATCTCATCAATGGTAACAAGGTGCCTGTCGTCTTTATAAATAGCCTATTTCTTGCTGTTCTACATGACCTTTTGTTGACGTGATATTTTCGGACTAGGGACGGGACTCCTAGCTCTAGAAGATGTAGCCCCCCAAGTCGTGGTTGAGCGCGTGGATCAGTCTGAAACCTGGTTTGATTCTCCATTACTCTGAAATGTTAGCAGCGTGACCCTTTGAAAGAGTTGATTCTGCCATTTTCAGAGTGGGGAGCTGATAAATCGTTGGGTAGCTGGTTGGCTTGTGATGGTGTATTCACAATGAGGACTGCAGTATCGGAGCAGCATATTGATGGAACTACCTGGATAGCGTCTCTCTGCTGGTTGTCATGTGTCCGGGCAGCTGATGGTCGATCCATCTCGAATACATTAATTTCGATTGGATTTGTTGATATGTCGATATGACCATTCGGAAGAGTTTCACCATGGGAATAACATAGATGGCTAAGGATGTCTGTTCTCTGGAGAACCATCTATCTAATGATCTGGAATTGAGAGATAGACACAGAATCCAGATCTACCCAAGTCATATGTATGTACAACTTTAATATGGCTATTGACCGTGTCTCATCGACTAAGCCTAAGCAAGCAAGGGCAGCGTGGCCATCACGGATGATCTTATAGGCTTGTATCCGTTGACCCCACGTCTTGCAGTTAGATTTCCAGTCTGCAGACCTGCAGACCTGCAGATCAGCTCGGAATACTTAGCACTTACTCTCTTTGCTCCCTTCTCTTCTCCAACTTCTTCCTCACTACTCCATCAGGGTCATCTTGACCGCGCCTCAGCTTCACATGCCACCCAAAATGGCCGAGTCCCACCCCACATTCCATCCGGACAAACATCCCAGCGATGAGACGGAGCATCTGCTGCCTCATGATCCCCCAGAGGAGATAAATACTACCTGGACGGCGCGCAGACGGTCGCATTCCTGGTGGACCATCGTCGCCGTCACTCTCCTGGTTTTGACCATGACTGTCCTCTCGCTAGCCATTTTCTTCACGCTGGGGCTGGGGGTTGGAGCCGCTCCCCGTCGCCCGCATGGCAAGACCTCCAGTCCCATCAAGAATGTCGTGGTGCTGGTGCAGGAGAACCTGTCGTTTGACAACTACGCTGGCGGTTTGACGTACAACCCCAATATCGATGGGTTGGTTCATCGCGAGTACTGCAATCCCGCCAACATCTCCGACCCGCACTCGGCCATGGTGTGCGCCCAACCCATAGCGAAGAATGTCGCGGCGGATGACCCAGACCACAGCATCACGGGCGGAAACCAGCAGGTGTACAGCACGTATCATCCCGACTACGAGGCCAACTCCCCCGGCATGCAGGGCTTCATCGCCGAGCAGATCGCCGCCTACGGGATCATGGGGGACCTGTCCCGGGCCGCCGAGGTGATCAACTACTACACCCCAGAGCACGTCCCCGTCTTCAACGCCATGGCGCAGAACTTTGTGCTTTTCGACCGCTGGTTCGCCGCGGTCCCCGGACCCACGAACCCCAACCGGGCCTATCTCACCTCGGGCACGTCGCACGGCCATGGCACCAACGACGGCGACTTCTTGACCTCGTCGCTGCCCCAGCGCTCCATCTTCGAGCAGCTGTCGGCGAACGGCATCAGCTGGATCAACTACTCCAACACGACCGACTTCCTGCCCGATGCGCTCTTCTACAGCTGGACGGCCAAGTCCGGCCTGGGCGAGACCAACGTTCGCCCCGTTGACCAGTTCTACCGGGATGCCCAGGCCGGCGCCCTGCCGCAGTTCACCTGGATCAACCCAGAATGCTGCTCGTACATGTCCTTCCACCCGCCGTCCCCGATCAACATGGGCGAGGGATGGATCAAGAGCGTCTACGAGGCCCTGCGCAGCTCCCCGCAGTGGAACGAAACGCTCTTCGTCCTCACCTTCGACGAGCACGGTGGGTTCGCGGACCACGTCTCGCCGCCGGAAAATGTGCCTCCCGGCGATGACTTGACCTACACGGAGACGGCGCGCGACGGCAAGGCGTCCACGTTCGCCTTTGACCGGTTGGGGATCCGGGTCCCGACAGTCCTGATGTCCCCGTGGGTCGGCAAGGGTGTGGTACAGAACAAACCGAGCGGCCAGCCGGGCGAGTTCACCCATACTTCGATCCTGAAGTACGTTGCCGACCTGTGGGGGTTGGAGTACCTGTCGCCGCGTGTAGAATGGTCCGCCAGTTTTGAGGATCTCATCACTGACACGTTCCGCGATGACACGCCTGAGCGGCTGCCTGAGCCAGCTGATTTCTAGAGATGATATGTCTATCTATATCTATCTATATATATATATATATATATACCCTAGCATAGATATGCGATGACAGGAAATGAGGACATGAATCAATGCAATTATCAGGTTACTTTCAATCATGTTTCAGATTCACCCTCAGACTCTTTTTGGAATCGACTGGTCGAAGCTTACTTGCCTTGACGAGGCTAACACGCTGGCATGCTTCATGCAATGCAGCGCAGCGCTTGGGGAGCATCGACCACCGCCAACCAAATCAGATGCACATTCACCGTTTCAGCCCTTGCTGTGCCGCAATCCCACCTGGGCAATTCTACACATAAATACCCCGTCCCCTACCATCCCATCTCCCGATTCCCCAATCCGCCATCCAAGTATATCACACACTGCAACCAAATGGACATCATTACCGCCATCCTCTCCTGCCTCACAGGGGACTCCGAACCCAACCGCCCCCACGCAGCCTCCAACCCTTCCGTCGCCTCCGACATCCTCACCATCCTCCTCACCTCCCCCGACCAGCCCGCCGTCCAAAAGCAACTCAACGAGCTCATCCACCCCGCAAACTGGACCGAGTCTCTCGCCCGCGCCATCCTCCACGGCCTCGAAGACGCCATCCGCACCGGAAAACAGGTCGGCGGCGCCGCGGCCGACGCGCTGCAGCGCGCAACCAGCGCGGCCTACGAGTTCGCAAAAGAGCACCCTGTCTACACAACGATCCTGGCACTCGGGGTGCTGGTGATCCTGGCGCCGTGGGTGATCGAGGTGCTGGGGTTTGGGGAGCTCGGGCCTGTGGAGGGCTCATTTGCGGCGTGGTGGCAGAGTCTGTATGGGGATGTGCCGGCTGGGGCGGTGTTTGGCTATTTTCAGCGGTTGGGCATGCTTTGGAAGCGCTGGGGTAAAGGTCTGGGGGTTTAAGATGCAGATGGGCAGTCTAGTCTACATGGGCGGATTGTATGAGATGAGGCTTAAGCTTGACGAGGCCGGCGCCCTGGGCGTGCTGCTTTCAATCCTGCATCAACCACCATCAAGTAAATAGATCAGATGAACAATTGACAGTGATTCGATCTCCGGGTGAGCGAGAGTGAGTGCGCTATACACATGGTGGGAAATCACCCCTGGAAAACGGCGGAACTGATTGTGGCGCGAGCAGGCAGCTACTTCCTCCCTATGGTTCAACTATCCCTGTTTGTCAGGTCCGAGTCAATTTATTCTGTAGAAACATTGGTCATTTCGGTTTAGCATGAGATAATAAAAAACCAGTCTGGACGAGTTTGCAGATACAAATAGGTCACGTCCTCCGCAAGAGAGACTTTCCAGCATTTTGCAGTCCAAGACAACGAACACCCTAAGCTGCAGTATTTGCCATTATGAAGGGTGCAATGCTGGCGAGTTTCTCTTGGGTCTCGATCAGTTCGCGTTGCGGGCTCGACTGTGCGAGGATCCCAGCCCCAGCTTGGATCCATTGCTTTTCTGAACACTGGTATACAGTCCGTAGAACTAGCGCCGCCTCCAGAGTTTCCGATCCCTCGATCAACAGTACAGCACCAGAATAGAGCTCTCTTGGCTGGTTCTCCAGACGCTGAATCGCTTCAATGGCTGCATCCTTTGGGATACCCGAGGCTGTGATAGATGGGAACAGGGTATCAAACGCGTGCCAAATATCTTTGTCGGACGCCAGCATTCCTGCAACTCGAGATCCTAGGTGCTGAACAGAGCCACGCTCCCTCACGGACATAAGATCCTCGACAATGACGGTATCAGGTGCGCATAATTGCTTCAGTTCTTGAACAGCTTCTCTGACTGATATCACATGTTCAACAATCTCCTTCGGATCGTTCAGCAACTCTTGTCGCAGTTGTGCGATTTCTTTCTCGGTTCCTTGCCGCGATCGAGTTCCTGCCAGGGGCTCGGTGGTGACCTTTCCGTTCTTCACTGACAACACAAGCTCTGGGCTGAATCCTGTCGCCTTCTTGTCGCCATGACTCAAGCAAAAGGTCCGGGCGGGGGTATTCCCACGGCGGCCGTGCAGAAGAGTCGCCGGGAAATCCACCTTGTCCGTGAAACCGACAGCCCGAGATGAAATGACTTTTGTGTATAGACCCTGCGCAATCTCGGTCTGGGCTCTTTGCACCCGAGCAATGTAGGAGTCCGTGTCGGTTTGCGTGTCCACATCGATCAAATTCTCCAAGCTCTCAATGTTCACGCGGGCGGCATCATGCTTGATGAATTCATAGAGACTCCTCACTTCCTCTTCATGAAGCCCTGTCACAGTCACAGAGTCTTCATGGAAGACGATTTCGGTGCGTGGCACCATCAGGCTGAGCAGCGGCCACTGGCCACGGTTGAATGTTTGACCCCGGATATGCGCTGCGTAGTTGAAGCCGACCTGTCCATATATCCTGCTACCGAATTCGAGACTTGCATCCACGAACTCTCGTGCAATATCACTGATCGAAGAGTCGTCAAGGGCACGGGGTCTTTCTGTTGATCCTGTAGTGACAGTCACGGTCTTTCCCTGCGAGTCGACCAGCAACGATGATTCTGCGCCCAGACCAACGTACCAGTGTTCTTCGCGCTCATATGCATAGTAGTCGTTAGCCTCGTGCTTCGCAAGCACGGCAGTCACCACGTTGAGTGTGTCGAGCTTGCAGGTAAAGGTAATAGATGTACGATTGGAGGGCATATTGAGGGTTGATTTTGTCGTTCCAAATCACAATCAGTCAAACGGTATCCAGGAATCTAAGACTCTATCCAGACTGATTTATAGTTGAGTTTCCAGCAGCCTCGAGCAGGGAGCTTGGTCCGTTAATATGTACTCTTTTGAGTCCCTCGAAGGGAGCACGTCGACCGACATACAAGATTACCAACCGAACGTTAGCGGTGGTGATCTTCTTGCCAGCCATTCGCCTCATCTCATCTGCAGATATGATCGGTATGATCTGAGAGTCCCCAACGTCATAGGTCATGTTTTATCTTCAAGAAGAATGCATCCGTATCTCACTTGTATGAAGTCACGCAAATGCTGCTTGCGGTGTCGATCACAGGATCCAGCAAAACTGACCCTTTGTATCCAAAAGATTTGACTTAATACCAGTCAAAGTTGATCCTTGCGAATGTTCCATTCACTTTAAAACAGTATCGTCTCCTGTTGTTTTTCAAAGGGGGTGAAGTGAAGAGCTCAGGTCCACGGCTTTTGTTTCTGGTTGGCTCAATCGATTGGCTGGCCACCACCCCCTCGCCTCCTTCGACCTGCATCAGAATTCCCAAGCATCTGTTGTAGAGATTATATATGGGATATGAACTCTATCTAGAGATCCCTGTGACTAATGACATGAAGATCGCAGCGCTAGGCACGGGGACTAGGTAAGTTACTCTAACGTGGAGTGTGGGACTTGAGCGAATGATCTCCCTCATAACTTGTGATGTCTTGGTATTTGGATATTTAAATGTTGCTCAGCAGCTCCCACTATCTGTTTAGCTACATAGCTTTAACATCTTAGATGTCTAGGATCCATCCAGCCCCTGAGCTGTGGCCTAGGAATGTCTCACTGGGGCTGTTAGACTCTCTTACTGACCCGCCTGCATTGCTGCATGGCCAGGATGATGTGGGCAAGCAATCTATGGCAGAGCGACTCATTAGTACTGATTTGTTATGTGCAATGACTGTTAAGTATGATAATCCACCCTGTATCTTAGCTCGCGTCTTGCTATAATGGGACTAACTATGTCTGTCACAGAACCCGGAGGATATATTCAATGGGAGGAGGCCGACTTGGTACACCAGCATATCAAAGGCGCGCGAGCGGAAGCTTTTGAGCAAAGTATCAACGGCTTATTCGAGTGATACAATCACTAACCCCAGTGTAAGGTATTGCAGATCTCACGGCCGTGTCAGCTGCCTTCCCAGGCCTGGACGCCAGCTCAGACAATTAATCATCCTGTCGTGAGAACAGCTTCGCTGGCAGCCTGGTCAGCTGTGCATTAAGCCAGAAGTTTCAGACCAGTCACATCCTCGCAAGCCTTGACCACCTTCTCCTGCAAGTTGACGTCTTCTGATACTGGCAACGGACGTGCAAGCTTTCTCTTCGGCTCAAAGTACTTTCCCGTCAGTCGCTGGTCGTAATCCCCCTCGGCCAACATCACATAAGTTTCCACCCCATCCTCCAGTTTATCAGTGGCACCTTGGCCACCGAGCTTGGTGGCTACCCATCCCGGATGAACTGAGACCACAGAGGCATCCGGAAACCTTCTGGCCACAGCATTGGCAAGAAGCAGAACATGCAACTTCGAGTCGCAGTACGCCGCGAAATCCCGGAAGCTTGCTTCGCCGCGCTTAAGCCAGAAGATATCCCCGAGGCTAGTGTCGGCCTGGCGATGCAACGTCGACGAGATGTATATCAGCCGCTTGGGACGCTGCAACAAGCAGGTCAGGATATACGGGGCCACGACGTTGACAAACACCATGGCCGGAATACCGGGTTTCGTCTTGCGGAACGGCCCGGACAGCATGCCGGCGTTGAGAATAACGGCATCAAATTGGCCGATCGCGTTGGCTTCCTCGGCAAGCCGGCGAGTCTCAGCCACATCGGTGAAATCGGCGATCAGCACTCCAGCAGCGCCGGGACAGGCGACTCTTGCATCAGCTGCGCGTTTCTCGTTGCGGCCGTGCAGGTAGACGGTGTGGCCGCGCTTCACTAGTTGGCGTGCGGCCTCGAGTCCTAGGCCATCGGCGGAGCCGGTGATGAGAATACGGACCATTTTGGGTAATTGTTGGGTAGCTGATGTTCAGTATCCAACAAGACTCAAGGTTTGAGGATCTTGCCGATGATGCTAGTGTTGACTTGCCTTATATGGGGCCGGCTGGACTATATACCCGCCGACTCCTAAATTAGTCCGTAATAAAGGATCATTGAGAAGCCCACTTAATCCACTCTATGGGCGTTTATCGACGTCAGATTCGTCGACAACCTTAGACATCTCTAGCTGACGGCTTCGGTGCTGTAAGTCCGATTGTGGAGTTTTTGATATCTGTTTGCTGGAACCAGAATATACTCCATTATTACTTAATCCTCGCAGACCGACCGGAGACTCTCGAGACTAAACTCTGACTCGCGCCCCTGAGCCTCCAGGGCCAGATATCCAGGGGCATTCCGGTCAATTTCCCTTGTCCAGATCTCTTGACTCCCCCAGTCTGCCCATTCGAATTCCCGTCGTCGCTTTGTCGCTTCCAGGAGGTCCAGCAGAGCTTCATCTGGATGGCCCGGAAATCGGCCTGCTCCAGGAACATAGAGGACAGGCTGTAGTCCAGAACCGGGAGTGAGGGAGACAGCAGTGCGGGCAACTGGGGGTTTGGAGGATTGTGCGATCCTGCGCCACGAAAAGGATGGCGTGACAAATTCTCCCCAACTTCTTGAGTGCTCAAATAGCAGAAGATTAGGATCTTGAGAAGATGGACGTAGTTTGTACGGTGCCCTTCTCGGTCCACGGGAGCTGTGCAAATAAATCGGTGTGAGACGGTGCTGATCCAGGAGGGTGGCGGGACATCGCATCCTCCGCGGCTGAGATCGCGCGGAGAACAGCGCGCGGAGAACATAATCCTAGGCTAGATGAGTCTGTTCCTTGAGGATCGGAAGTGAAAGAAGCAATACGGACATCACGAAAGCTCTGGTCCGCAGCGGCCCATCGTTCCATAAGAGCTCGTCGGGTATGCAGTTCTTGGTCTAGGTCCGGGGCGGGCACCCACGATCCCTATAGAAAGAGACTCGGGGATCAATCAATGCATTAATAATCGCGTGGAATATGTTCTCTCTACTTACTTTGAAGAATAGAAGCCATCCCTTTGCTTCCGCCAGTAAGTCACTCCGCGTTGTGGTCTCCCCCGCGTGGGGATCAAGCCGGACTGTCGCTGAATTCCAGGCCATTATGCGAAGATCAAGAAATCAAGCGCTGCAGTCTGTATGTCAAGACCTCATGAATGAGCGCAAACTAAGATTCTGTACAAATGCTATGACCAGGAACCGCTTACCCAGACTTGGTTAAGTTGGTTATGCTGCGAGCTTGCAAGGCCGAGCAGAGAATTAGTGTAATTATATTGACAAATTGTGGGCCATGCACAATGTTTACTCCAGTAGTAAAAAATAGCTGCCCCTAGGGCCCTCAGCCCATGCCTTAGGTACACTTAACTAACTACTTTGCCAGCGTCCTATGTTCTTCCTTTGGTTCGTTCCCTCAGGGTTTATATCATGTTACAGGGGATAACATCTATAGGGAAACCCTTTATGATTATGCATACCCTACTCAGTTATATTTATACCCATGTTATGGAAAAACATGGCTTCCCATCCACTTAGCTGTACTGATTACTGCGAGCGTGACAAGTCTCAGATACTAGGTCATAAGTAAGCACGCCCTTATTAGATTTATAGTATGTATCTCAGTTGAACAGCTGCAGAAAGTTACATTCTACAAGAACTCAAGTACCTCAAGTCATGTGGACCTTCGCCGACTGATTCTGAAAAGAAATCTACATGTCCTATGGGGTCCGAAACCAAGAATGATCATTCGAAACTTCTATACACCTCGAAAATATACAGGCACTCTCCTACACCCTCTCTGACAGCTAATTAGATTCTATATGGTGCAATCGATCCGACACGCTTGTTTCGAGAGAAAAAAGGCTCCTGCATATCTCACTTTAAGCCGTGGCGTAAGGGAACATGGCAGCATTCTTCTGCATGCGATTAAGGGGACTCGTATTCGGCCCCGGCCGTTACTTCCATCACATCTCATGCTTCCTCTTCATCATAAGAGAGATTAACCACGATATGGTGCCCCACGCACGATTCGATGACCCGCCGCGCGCGCTCGTGTTCGAATTGCAATTTGGTGCGTAGACTTTCGGCCTCGGCTGCGGACATTGGCCAATCCTTGACTTGATCCATCACAGGCCACACCAACTCCAGGGGTAAGCGTTGATCGAGCCTAGCTGCCTGTCGGGCTGCAGCGGCCCACCAGTCATTTTGCTGTGGAGGAACATTCTGTGTTGAGCAGATACCATAATGTGGGTCGACGAGTCGAAGCTTGATCAGGGTCAGATTCCCCGGCTGGCTGGGGTCCACTAAGCGAAAGGACTCTTGCTTCGATCGATAGGTATTGGGCCAGCTGAGAAGACGGCCCTCTGTGAGTGGAACCGATCTGAAAGCATGTAGTGCGCGAGGGGGTTTCTCCTCGTACCACTCCCAGCAATCTATATCGAGGACCGTGGCGAGCGCCTGGGGCACCGGACACTCAAGCTCCGTGGCGTGGACTTTATCCTCGTGCTCGAACGCCAGGCGGACTGTGGTGAGATTCTTGCACTCCACCACATACAGACTGGTGGCCGCAATCCGGTCGTTGCGGAGCCCCTCGGTGTGGAAATCACTCTCGCCGGTATAGATAGGATTTTCTGGGGTTAGTTCGATGCGGGCAATTTCCACTACAACCTGGAGACCCTTCTCTCGAAATTGCTTCTCCAACCGCACGGGTTTGTGGTCATGGTGCAGCGGATCCGGGTATTTGCTGATCCGCTGCGCGTGCATTGCACGTCCCGTACATTCACCCTGCTTCCACTGCTTATACGAGAACGAGACACCGGGCTCAGGGTGATCGAACCAGGCTCGACGAGTGCGTTTGAATCGAGCGATTAAATGCACGTGGTTGGGAATGTCCCATTCCTCGGGAGTGAGCAGATCCATCAAATTGACCGGCTTGTGGGGCAAAGACTCCGCCTGCTTCCATTTCGGTGGCTCAGGACCTTCAACGTACTCACGAGCTGTGTTGCGCAGTGTCTCCCACTCGTTGGAGGTGTCACATTGTATCTGCCAGCAGGGCCAGGGACGCAGGACATCGAACAGCCTGTGCTCTTCTTGATAGTCGTGGATCGTGCATCCATATGTCAGGATGCGTGGTGGGCGACAGCCACGGGTATTGCCGTAGAATAAGATTTCATTCCAAGAAGGAACGGAGCTTGCTATTAGGCGCTCAAGATGCCTATACAGTTTCTGGTGCTTGCCCGGGTGAAGATTATTGACGTATGAAGTGATCCGAACATCCAGGATGTCAGCATTATTGAACTGTACCTCACAGGGAAGCCACTGGAAGCGGTTCAACCAGCAGCTCTCCGGTCCTCCGTGACCAGGCCTGCGTTCCAAGCGACGGGGCCGGTGTCGAAGAAGATCCAGGGGATGGAGCCGAACCCGGGCACCTGAAGCGGGCCATCCCCGTTATTGGTAAGAGTTGCCATTGTTGGAGAAACTTTGATGGATAGTTCAGTGCGTTGTGGTCTTGTTTGCAGGAGATATGAGCCTCGTGACGATGGTTTAAATAAATAGTGTCAAATTGTATAGAATTCACTAGTGAGTAACCAGTTTAGCCGTGGCTATCGACCGAGCCGGAAGTAAGCCCTATGTTTCCCCCTTTCCTTGTTCGGGTTTCATCTCCGACTCCAGCACGCCTGATGGAAGATCATTTAGATGATTGTCGCGCGCCTCAGTGAGAATGTTGGTGGATTTGAAGAGAACCTTGGTGTGGGCGACTTTTTTGCCGAACATGCCATAGTCGTTGTATCTCTCGAATCCGCTATCCCTCATGGTTTGGGCGGGCTCTTGCAAGCCGTCGGGACTGGTCGTGTCTCCTATCGTGCCACCGTCCGTCATTTGGGTGGAAATAAATGGTTCCTGAATGCTCCTGATGAACTCCCAGACCGTACAAACAGTGCCCGCGGCGGGATAGCAAGTTTTACCCAGAGTTCGGCTGTCGGATTCATTGATGACCATATCGGCCAGTTAGCCATAATAGAGATAAATGGCCTTATAGCAATGGGCACGAGCGGAACCTCCGACCACTTGCGCACAAGCATACTCAGAAGAACAATTGTTATCCTCATTTTGAATGATACAACGAGAATCTACCTCGTCGAGACTGGGAAAGAAAAAGACAGAGTGAAGAAAGTTCGACTCGGCGTGATATACTCGCTCAACAGAACGTACTACTCACTCTATATAAGGCCCGGGAGAAACGGGTATTTGGGGGTTACAACCTGCGAGCTTGGCTCTTGGTCTCGCTCAGTGCAGGCTTTCCAATATTCCTGTAAGCATGTATCACTCATGTCCTGTTAGTATACGCCTAGCAGCAAGCTAAGGAACCGGACTCAGAGCCGGTGAGAGACGGAAATCAATACCTCAATTTAGATTGATACTAATTCAAAAGCCTAGCTACTATTACTGACTAACTAGGGTCTGGACACCTTTTTAGTGCAGCAGTAGAACCCCTACAACAAGTGCCCTATTTAACCTCAAGAAAATCCTACCTGGTTGTCTGGCTGACCTGCTCACCCATGCTCTTGATAACACCAAATCACCTGTCACCCTGTGAACTAGTGTTGCTCACCCATAAAGCAGCAAGCTTCAGAAGGCTCATCTTCCGGTTGGCTGTGTTTAATAGGTGTCCTAAGTACAGCTGAGCGGACGGGAAGCCCTGTTCTCCACACCCTGTGGTGGTATGTACTTGAAGCTATAAAAAGGTGGTTTATATAGAGTCTGTATTTGCAGAATAGACAGGGTGAGTGGTCTCCCGTAATCACCCACTGTCGCCCAGACACCCAATTAAATTCTCTATGACCTCGCGTGCAGGTAGAGGTGTAATACATGGCAGTACGCCTCTATCCAAATCCTTCCAAAGGCCATGCTTGCTTTCCAAGCTTAGCAGCTGCATCCGCATGCTTTGCAACCACCAGCACCACACTGATCCCCGCGATTGCAGTCGCTGACGCTTGCGCACCTGATCCAGTCTCCATATCCATTGTTTTGGGCGGTCCAGCACCATTCACCAGAGCCAGGCTGAGCGCACGACTTGTAGCAGTATCCGCTAGCACTGCAGCCGAGAGGGCTGCCAAACCAGCAGTCGCGCTTGTCGAGGCTCTTCTGAAAGATACCCTCCGGGTGCTCCTTGCATGTTCGAACGGCATTGGGATCGACACCCTCGGGGAGGTCGGTGACGTTCATAACGCCGAGGTCGCCACAGATATCCTCGGCCATGGTGTAGGAGAGTTTGGTGCCCGAGACGACGCTGACCAGGCCGAAGGCAGTGATGGCACTGATCAATGTGGTTGCCTTCATGTTGGTGTTCTTAGAGGAAACTCTGGGAGAGAAAGCAAAGAGGTGACTGTAGTTTGTTTTAAGGCTGCAGTTGTCTTGAGAGGCTTGGATGATGAGGGCTGAATGGCTGTTTATCCGCTGGGAGAAGAGAGAGCTTTATACTCGCAGTTTAGGTGGTCAGATGGCAATACCTGGTAGAGTAGACTCCGTGAGGCCGCATACTCAAGAGACCGGTATTGCTATTCCTGGAGCAGATGATCCCAGTCGGTTTTCTAAAGCTGGCTTACACAAAGCCCCAACTGTATCAATAAAACGGATGATAGATGTACAAACCAATAGGCCTAAAGTACCCCACCTCTACTCTTATGTCCGCCTGTCTCTTACAGCCCTACAGTAGATCACCCACTGAGATTACCCACTCATTCAAGTCGGCTCTGTCGTCCATGTATATGACCTACTGTCGGCTATCTGTGTGCTAGTCGGGTTTACAGCTTAATGGGCTTCGAAAAAGCTCGTTTTCAAAGGATACAGATGCGATGAGCGTCAGAGACAACTGATGTCTATTTTATCCATGGGTTGAGGGAAGGTGAACACTCCTTACAGTCTCTCTGGTCATCGACAAAACGCTGACTAGGGTAGAACTTGCTGCGGGCTCTCCATCGACCAAGAACTATGCCTGTCATCAGTAGGCTTTGACACCGATACGATCAACTTACTACATCGCCGAACAACTCCTCAGTAGGCAGCAGGCCGTTGTTGAGACGGTCAACGGACCGCAACTCGCCAATAGATGGTTCTAGACAGGCTAGCCTAGCTATTTGGATACTGGTTAAATTATATGAAGCTCATTAAATGACTCAGTGCCAGGGGTATTCAGCGACAGCAAACATCAGTCAATAATGGGTTCTTGCGGCGCAATCATGGTGCATGTCTACTTTCACAGAGTAAGACATAAGCTAGCATTATGCATGTCTCTCTTAGCTGTTCATATATTTCCCTCTAATAGGACTTAAGAAAGTGGGCCCTCAGAGTCCTCTTAGGGGTTTAAACATCCCTCATCACGAACAGGCTAATTTTACAGATACTGTGTATTTAGTAGAAGGAGCATAGCTTCTAGCACTTGGACCATCGTTCCCTGCTTAGCTGTCTGGTGGCGTAGCTATGTGGACAGGCCCTATGTATCCATTCTTGCTACCAGCGTGGTTGTGCCGTAGTCATCCCATCGTGTTAGTGTGCTTTTTCCTACAAATTAAGGATAACTTTTGTATCATAATAATAGGAGGGATAGAATGCAAATCTTGCCCCCGGAATAAACTAGGGTACAATACATGCTCTGTACTTGACTTCAGCGGCTGGTGTCCGAAGCTCCGAATAAAGCCTGCTATGGCAACTCCGGAGAATTGCCTTCTCCAGTCCCTTTATGCTCTTTCCTCTTCGCCTGCGAATAGGCCTCCCAACTCTGGTTCACGAGTCTCCGTCACTCCGCAGCCTCCTCATTGGTTGGGTTTGTCGGCAGGATTCCTGGCGCTGGATTGAATAGTGCTTCTTGACTTGTAACCTTTGTGCCATCCACGCCATAGAAATCCTCTTTTCGGGCCTGCTCGAAGGGCATAACGTCCAGAATCTTCTTGATCTGTTCCGGGTCAAGGCCGCGCGCATCAACAACCTCGTAGTCGCCTGAGATGGTACGCAATACACCATCCTTGCCGAGGTGGGTGAAACCCTTGCCAGAGGGATCGCGCTTCATGTGTTTCACGAAGTCGGGGAGTTTCTGGCCATTATCGTGTTAGCTCTGTGTACTGGGACACTGGGCCTGGCCGTGATGGAAGATGGCCGAGAGCTCCATGTATCGCGGTCCATGCATCTCTCTCAGACTATTGCTTACCCTGCAGCTCATGTTGAAGGTAGTATCAGTCGGTTTTGATGACCGACGTATCTCGACAAACGTCAAATGTCATTAATATATCAGTCTCAAGGACCCTCGCCAAGTGGGGGGGGGTGAGGGCCGAGCCGAAGCCCACTTCTTTGAGGCAAATTGAGGTTGGGTTCGGATTTTCGGCCCAAAGGGTTTTGGATCAATTAATAATTAAAAAGGTGCCTAGGGGACCTTTCTCAGAGCGTTTAGCGTCATTCTTGTCTTACTTCGGAAAGCAATCTCGTGCTTTGGGTGGGTAACAGCGCCCTGATGAAAGAATATCCTTACAGGCGGGTCCCATACTAACAAAGCCAGCGTTCCTGTGCCAGGATCAACATCATTCAAAGTAAGATGGGATGAGAAAAGCGTCTTCGGAATGTCCGGGCGAGACAGAAGAGTCCAAACCTCCCTCCGTATGGTAGTTATTGTAGTATATATATATATATCAGAGATCGTGTCTTGAAAACATAGTCTCAAACAACCTTTGAATCCATTCACTTCGTCTTAGCAACCTGATAGACCCTTATTTCTTTTCCCTTTCGTCTGGCCCTTTCTCTGCAGAGCACAATGAAGGTGCCATTCGCCGGCATTCTATTCGCAGCGTTGGCTGTCACCCCTTCCCTCGGGTCTCTTTTCGAGCACCAGAGCGACATAGTAGCTGCTATCAAGGTACGGCTTCATTTCCAGGTCCTTTTTCTGGGTTCTAGCAATTTGCTGACAATCGCCAACAAGAACCTTGCCAGAGACCCCGATTCTCGAGGCTGGATCCAGCTCAGCGATACCGAACACAGGATTCAGAGCGTTAACGGAAAGGGAGAAGTCCTGGACGAGATCCAGTTGACTGCTGCGCAGGACGCTGAACTCCGCAGCTCGTTCGCCGCACAGGTGGACCGGATTATGGCTCATTCAGATTCCTCACCCGCGTCCGCTAAGGAAGAGCGTTCTCTTCTCGACAAGAAAAGCCCCGGATGTGCGGACTGGGCTAGTCTCTGTGACGAAGCCTATGACTGCTACAAGTTTAACTGCGATGACTGTTTCAAGATCAATCCTGTTGGCGCTTGCTACAGCTACTCTTGAAACAGTTGCGGTACAGGGCCAGGAATAGCTGTCATCCAGTCACCAGCATCTCTCAGCTGCGGGAGGGAAGCTTGACTAGACTCTTTCCTGTGACCTTCGAGTTCGTATAGTGTCATTTAGAGCAGAGAACCGAAACAGGCAATATTGTACATGGCAAGGATTCTGGGACTTTCTACGATTGAATTGGATATACTGGTACACCGTATTATTATTGATCGAATGTAAGGCATCATTTTCCCGACTAAAATCCACCCGCATTGTAAGACAGCACCATCTCGACAAAAGGACCAATTCGAGGAATTTGCATGGCAATTGACTCGTCTAGCGTTGTCTCAACAGGGCCTTCTTCTCCTCTTCCATAGTCAGGCCACCCATGTGGCCAGCGACAATGACTCAACTCTGCAGAGTGAGGGACAGGATTTTGACCTATTGTTTGCTGTTCTTGAAATAGATACAGACCATGAACAAACATCGCCTGGGTCTTGACAGGGCTACCATAGACTATTGTGTGGAGGCCATAATGGAATAGTGACTGGCCTTGATTCAGTTGCCCACCAGAACAGATCACTGTTCCTAGGAGGGTTACAGTATAATTTTTAGTGGTGGTCACCCATGAAGTACCAAGTCTTCAAGGGCAGTCATGGAGAAGATTCAACCAGAGATGAACTCTCCCAACTCAGGCCAAGACATCGCCTTGCATAGAAGATGGCCAGGGGCCACTGCATAAACAAGCTACGAGATTCTAGACCTCAAGCGCGCCGGACGAGCTCCCGCTGAGCCTTCGAGAGGGCTATGGACAGTATACATGGATACCCTACCCTGGTGCGATGTGCGGATCTGGGGAAGAAGGGGAGTGAGGCGATGCTGGTGAACAGTAACAGGGAGGTGCCGTGAGTGCAGCTCAAACAGCAAAGCAGATCATAGAATACTGCTGAAAACACTGAAAAAATAAACATGAAAGCAAACCCTGTCTCGAAGATCGCTCTTTGTTGGATGAGAAATGTCGGTCTTGGCTTGATGGCGGTTGTTTGTCCAGAGAACAATAGGAACGTAGAAGGATAGGACAATACAATATCAGGCAGGGCTCGAGTCGGGTATAACTGACGATTTTCTTTGCAACTTTGATCTAATCCTAGAGTATAAGAGTTTTATGATCGCCTCTTTGCAATAGGCGACAATATCATGCAACAAAGCCTGTTCATTGGAATCAACGATGGCTAGAGTGGTGATAGTTGGCGCAGGTATCTTCATCCCCGGCCCCTGCTCTCACCCAGACTAATTGTACAGGACTCTACGGACTGATCGCTGCCAAAACCTACCTCCAAGTGACGGGGGCGTATGGCGCGACAGACTGTTCGGACAAGACCACACTTTATGCAGAACACCTCCCAGCATGCTTCGCCACCTCAAATCAAAATGCCACGAGATCCCAACCTGCTCTTCTCATCGTCGACTCGGCTTCAGGGCTCGGAGGTACCTGGACAAAGGAGCGGCTGTATCCTAACCTCCTGAGCCAGAACTCATACGGCGCGTTCGAGTACAGTGATCTGCCGCTCAAGTCGATTCTGCCAGCCGAGCAATCGGGAGAAAAGCAAAATCAGTTCATCACTGGTGCTCAAATCAATCAATATTTCCATGTGTGGAGCGAAAAGTGGGACTTGCAGAAGCATATGCGCTTCAACTGGAAGGTGGGCTATCTATACGGTGCTTCCATCTATCGACTAATGAATCTAGGTGACGAGGGTCAGTCGATTGCCGTCCAAGGAATGGAAACTGGAAATTGAAGTCACCTCCAGCATCCCATCGCGATCCGTCACTGTCATTTGCGACAAGCTCATCCTGGCTACTGGATTGACCTCCGTCCCGAACATGCCCGTCATTCCCCTTGCCAGCGGATCGATTACAACACCCACAGAGATCCATGCCAAAGAAGTGGGAGCATATTGCTGTGATCGTCTTGGTTACCGGCCGCTCAATAAAGAGGCTCAGCCAACTGGAATCAGACACCGTCAACCTCTTCGATCCGTCGCAGTCTACGGGGGCGCCAAATCATCCTTTGACTTTGTTCATCTGTTCGCCTCGATGCATCGCCACGCACAAGAATTTCAACTCGACCATACGCCGCCGGAGCCCGTGCAAGTCCACTGGATCATTCGCGATAAAGGCGCTGGCGCAGCGTGGATCGCGCCACCCGAATCCAGGCTATACAGCGGGGAGGTCACCGCGACAGACAGGACAGTGAGCACCAGATTGTCGGGACTCATGAATATCTGCGCCCATCCCATGTGGAAGCAGATTTCTCTCGTGCGCCAGCCGAACAGCTGGAAATGGAATCTCCGCGCTGAGGGCTCGTGGCTATACAGCCTTCTGTACGGCAACCCGCTTGGAAGGCTTGTAATTGAGAGAAACCGGAGATGGGCAGATCAGGGCCTATCAGAATATGTCGGATATGCTTCATCACCGAAGATGATGTTATTGCGTCCCACTAGTGGGTAGGTCGTCGAATCCTGCAGCGCGCGTATCTATTGAAGCTGAGCTAGATATAGTACTATCGAATGCACATCGCCCGTGGGGATAGCTAATCACTCGGACCTGTGGGACACCATCCAAGGATCAAATGTGCATATCCACCGCTCGAGCATCGCCGCGTATGCCGGAGATGAATCCAATGCAACACTGCGACTGGCAGATGGGACAGAGATACTATCAATTGACCTGATAATCCATGCAACCGGATGGAAACCTGTGGTGCCCATCGAGTTTGAGCCTCCAGGACTCCGTATGCAGCTTGGCCTGGCCCGTCCGCTTGAGAATACGCCAGACCCCAATAATGTCTCCAACGAAACATGCGATATGCTACCCGAATGGAATGATTCGGACACGATAGCGGAACAAAAGATGAGAAAGCACCTTCACCATGATCGCACCGATTACGATGTAGAAAAGCAGAGCTACACGCCCTACCGACTCTTTCGCCGCATGGTTGCGCCATCTTTAGTGGCCGAAGGAGACCGCTCCTTCGTCGCTTTAGGGGTTCTCCTGACCAACCAAATCGCCATAGTAGCGGAAGTTCAGGCACTGTGGGCTGCTGCATTCCTGACGGGAAAATTTGAGAACCACCCAGGACACTCAAATCGAACCAGATTGCTCTCGCTCAACGATTGCTCGTTGAAGGACCTGCAGACATCAGTATCAGAGGATGTCGTCTGGGGCCGCCTGAGCGGGTCAAATCTCTTTGTTGATACTCTTCAGGTAGGAGCTCACTCGCTAGAAACACGTACTGCACTATAGCTAACCTCGCAGTATAACGACATGTTGATGAGAGATCTCGGCTTGAATCCGAACCGTCTAGGAGGCGGTTTTTGGCAGGAGTTGACTGCTGTTTATGGACCCTCAGCATACGCGGGGATTGTGGAGGAGTGGCTGGAGATGCAAAAATAGACATGAGACTGTATAGTAGAACCGATAGCCAAAGGGACAGTCATATCACTGGCAGCATATAACAGTCTATCTGTTCCAGAAAACATTCTAATAGGTATGCACTCTGACCACGCAGAGAGACTGACCTTTCGTAGCCAATTTTCCAAGACGAAGCTGCACATCTCCTACAAAGAATCATAGGTCGTCAGGGAGCCGGGAGAACATCATTCGGGTTACACCGAGTCAGTCCATCCTGGCTCCAGAAAATGCCCGATGTCTCGGCACATTATGAGTTTGTCTCGGCAACATTAGCAAGCCCATAGGGGTAAGAGAAGGATATCATGTGAAACCGCGACTCTCTAAGAGCATGAGAGCAACACCTGACTAAGCTAAGGCAGCTGTCTCCCTCCATGACTCGTGCTGAGCCAAGAGCTGACCAATGGGATGCCAGAACAATTCGCCTAGACAATGAGCTAACTCCACTTCGGAAATACTCAACCTCCGTTAAAGGCCTGAGGCATCAACACTGCTTCCCCCTGGCGAGTTGACACTCTTGACTTAACAGCAGGGATGGTCTGGTTCATCAAATTATCCACTCGAAGACCTCAAATGTATCAAGTCTAGAAGCCTACTACCCCGTATGATTGCGCGCTCAGTCTCGAGAAAATGACGACGATGACTTGGCCATCTTGCGTGGCTAGATGCGTTGACCAAATGGGGAAACTGGTCTTTTTCTGGGCACATCTTGGAGGCATGGAAGACGGGACACACAAGCTGGAGGGTTTCATTTCTTCTTCGTCCTCTTGGGGATTACAATCCCCAAGCTGCAAGTGACTGATACCAAGTCGACACCTGCTTACTGCCGCGATGGACAGGGGTTCCCCACTGGTCATCGACTAACTACTACTATCAAAATCGCTGTTGATCAAACTCCTCCCAGGTAGAGAATCACAATATGCCGGTAGTATGAATCGTGGCTTGTGACTCGTGGTCAGCGTCATTGCAACGCCGTTTCTCATGCGATTTATCAAGTGGCTGTCTTGGCCCATGTGGAGTAATTGGGAGCATTTCAAGGTGATTTGTTCTGCTGTTGATGCTCCATCATATACACACTCCGCAGTGATGAATTATGGATACTGAACCACTCATGGCATTCCCGATCTGGCAGCCACTCTTGGTCGCTTGTATAAATAAGCTTGGCGACGGTGGGCAAACACAACTGGGACAAACTCCTGATCATGGAATGGGGAACGAGTGCGCACGAGCACTTCCCAAGTCCGACTTCCGTCGCATCCATTCGAGTCTTATCTTTATTCCTGCCATGTAACATTCTGTTCTGAGCGCTCCATTTTGTCCCTTTGCAAGACCATCTTGGACCTTCTCTCCACCGTGTCGGTCCGTCGTGCCCCAATGTCCTCTAGGACTTGGAATCCTACGTGTTTTCGCCGTCAACGGATTTTGAGGCTCCCGAATGCTGCTTCGGATTCGAAATCGCGGAGCAGATTCCCCTGCTTTCACGCTACTGCCGCCGGCGTCGTGGTCAGCCTTCTCTATCTCTTCTATGTCTTTGCCGTTCCCCAGCTGCTCAAGTTTCGGTTCCGACTCGATTTGAGCCCGTATGATCTGGGATTGTACGGCTTTGGCCCATCCCGAAGCTATAAATCTTTCGAGTATGAATCTCCTCTGGTAGAGATCACGGAATGGGGTGCGGGATGCGACCCGCGATACACCTTTCTTGCCCCTCGCGGCGACTCCGTCGCTTATCCTGGACCGTTGATACTCGATGCTGATGGCGAACTGGTTTGGACGAAATACAACTGGGCTACAACACAAGATTTCAAGATGCAACGATACAATGGGTCGGACTACTTGACGTATTGGCAAGGTACTGAGATTGAGAGTCGTGGCTACGGATCATGGTACATGGTTTGCTTGGCCTGTAGTCCTTGCGCAAGACCGTCGCGATAACTAACTCTTTCCGGTAGCTCGACTCGACCTACACCCAACGATATCAAATATCGCCCGTCGGCAACTTCGGAGGTGGAGACCTGCATGAATTCCACATCACAAAACAGGGAACAGCTTTAGTGACCGTGTACGATCCGGTTCCCGCGGATCTGACTTCCGTTGGCGGGCCGGAACTGGGCTGGATCCTTGATGGCGTCTTTCAGGAGATCGACATCGAAACCGGGGAACTGCTGTTTGACTGGCGCGCTTCGAAGCATTATCCTGTTAATAATACCTTTGAGAAATTCGGCGGCTCCGGAAGGGAAAAAACAGCTGCCTTCGATTTCTTCCATATCAACAGTGTCGAAAAAGACGAGCAAGGCAACTATCTTGTCTCTGCGAGGCATTTCCACACTGTCAGTTGTATAGACCGGATCACCGGCAATGTGTTGTGGACCCTCGGGGGCAAACTGAACGATTTCACGGATCTGTCGGATGGACGGGCAACGGACTTTGCTTGGCAGCATGATGCTAGATCTCACATCAACAACACCCTGACATTGTTCGACAACGCAGCGCACTCAAATTCCGACCCTGAGAGTGAAAGTCGCGGCGTAGTGGTCCAGCTCGATGTTGAGGGCCGCACGGTCGAAGTGCTCGCGGAGTACTACCATCCTCAGCGGATGAGATCGGTGTCTCAAGGCAATGTTCAGGCGCTGGATGAAAGCGGCAGAGTCCTTGTCGGCTGGGGCCACAGTGCCGCCTTCACGGAATTTACCGCCACTGGCGATCTGTTATGTGATGTTCACTTCGGCGCTTCTGCATTTTTCACCTTCGGCCGTATAGTGTCTTATCGTGCGTTCAAAGGCTCTTGGGTGGGCCGACCACAGACAATCCCTGACGCAGTGGTCTTGGGAGACCACGTCTATGTCAGCTGGAACGGCGCAACAGAGGTTGCAACCTGGAGACTAGAAGTCTGGGACGCGAACGATGTCGAGGTAAGCACCTTTAATGTTGTCGCGCATTTCGCAAAGTCTGGGTTCGAGACAGAGATTGGGGTTCCCGACGAGCTAGGTAGCCCTCTTTTTCGGCTTGCAGCGCTGGATGCGGAAAGCAATGTTCTGGGGTACACCGAAGTTCTGCAGACGGACCAAAGCGTTGACATCGATGCACGGCTTAATCTACAGAATTGCATATTGGCTGCTGCTTTCCTCATCGGAGGCGGTGGCCTGCTCTTCGGTTTGTATCGGTGCTGTGGTTGCTGCCGGCTCTTGCGCAAATGCCAACATCGGTCTAGTGAATACCAGCTGGTCGCTTATGGTGAAAACAACGAGCAGCAATCCGTATAAGCGCGTCATCTGCTCGCTCTTATCACCTCTACCCTACGGCCGTCATATACGCCCCTTGTGATTCTCTCGGGTAGAAACCACAACATCAGCACAACGCTCCAGACTCAATGTGGTCACTCGACTACATGGCCCATCGTGTTCAGAAAACTGTCCATATACCTATTCTGATGTTCATATGCATTCTTGCGTCTTTGTACATATGTCCCCATTATTATAATTACATATGGTTTTGCTCCATTTGAGTTTCGGGACACTGTGTCAATCCTGAGTTCTCCAAGACCCTTTTCCTTCCAGATTACAATTCACCTTAGCGTTAAAGCACCATGACCGCCTGATCCTGCGTTCTCTGCAAAGCTTGACTATTGCAAGCAGCTAGAGATGTCAGAAGAGCGAAATGCCTACTGAAATCACACTGATCTTCTCGCCGACTTCCCCACCCCGCTTTTAGCGGGGCTTCAACATGCTGCAAGTCTAATAATAAGGATAGTCAGTGTCGGAGTCAGAGATAACTCCCCTGAAATGCATTAGCCCCCTGCTAAAGCCAATAGATGCATCTGACGGGGCTCCCGGTTGCTTATCTCCGGTGCCTGAACGTCGCAAAGAATGCTAGCGAGAGTGGTGCATGTATTTGGACCCCACGACTGGGATATCCCCTGCAAAGACCCATGTTGCCTCATCTGAGAAACCACAACCATTTCCAAGTCTACATCTTAACATAGAAAGACTCGCAGGATGGGCGCAACAGAAAAACAATTCACCGTCGCCATCGTCGGCGGCGGCATCGGCGGCCTCACTCTCGCCGCGGGCCTTCTGCGCCGCAACGTCCCCGTGCAGATCTACGAAGCTGCGGCCGAGTTCAAGGAAGTTGGACTGGGCCTGACGATTGGCCCGGCCGCGCACCGCGCCATGCCCCTGCTCGATCCCCAGATCCGCGAGATCTATGACTCGCTCATCACGACGCACGCGGACAGTCCCGGGTACGAGCGGTTCCGTCAGACCTGGTTCGAGGTTGTGTGGGCGACGGGGTTGAAGGCCGGGGAGGTACTGATGGATCTGCAGGCTCTGCCGTCGGGGCAGACAACGGTGCGGAGAGCGGATTTCCTGGATGCGCTGGTGAGCTTGATTCCGGACGGGGTTGCGCACTTCGGGAAGAGGCTGGTGGAGCTTGTTGAGACGGCTGCTGGGGTAGAGCTGCGCTTTGGGGATGGGAGTGTGGCCACTGCAGATGTGGTGGTGGGCTGCGATGGAATCCACTCGAAAGTCAAGGAGTTCATGCTCCCGGAGGAGCATGAGATGGTTCGGCCGCGGTATAGTGGCATGTACGGGTACCGGGCAGTGTTGGACATGGAGACGATGGTTGAAGCGGTGGGGGACCATCGTGCTCGGGTTGCGACCATGTATGTCGGAGACGGGGCGTATGGGATCTCCTATCCGATCATGCGAGCAAAGAAGGTCAATGTTGGTCTGTATGTCCTGCGCGATCAATGGGATGACGAGGCTTGGGTCCGTCCGGCGAGCAAGGAAGACATGCGGAGGGACCTTGCGCATATGGGCGAGTATGTGAATCGGCTTGTCGAGGTAACATTGCAAAGCTTTCACTGTGATTTCCTGGGCCTCTGGCTGATATGATGGACAGCACATGCCGGACCCTTCGCAGTGGGCCATCTTCGAGCATCCGCATAGCTCCACGTACGCTCGATCGCGGGTTGTCATCCTGGGAGACGCGGCTCATGCATCAACGCCGCATCAGGGAGCGGGTGCTGGACAGGCGATTGAGGACTCACATGTCCTGGCTGAGCTTCTTGGAGATGCGAGTGTGGTGCAGGCGGAGGATGCCGTTGCAGCGCTTCAGGCTTATGACGCCGTGCGTCGGCCGCGGAGCCAGAGAGTCGTGGCGACTAGCAAAGAGAATGCATTCTTGCTTTGCTTACGGCTTACCGGAGTTGGAGGTGATGAAGAGAGACTGAAAGCAACGTTCCAGGAGCGACTGCGGTGGCTTTGGGACATTGATGTGCAAGATCAGGCAGAGAGGGCGCGGTCGATCATGCTGGAAGAGATGCAAAGGCGATGATAGGAGGCAGGCAACATGGAACAACCGACTTTATAAGATCTTTACTTCAGTAAAATGAGTGTCTAAGATGAAGACATCTCCCATTCGAACCTACTTCCAATCGTTCAGAGGCATCCGGCCAATGAGCGTGTATATGCCTGAGGAATCCGGCATCCACCCCCAAGGCATCGACGAGCGGCTATCCGCGGCGATTCTCCAGATTCCCCGCATGATGAACGAAACAACCACCAGCAGTGACGGCGCTGCGTATAAATCCAAATCACCCAGGGGGGGAAAGGGATCCTAGAGGCAATCATGTTTATTACTTCAATTTGACCCTCTCGCTGTCTGCTTCTACCTCCCCTTCTTTACCCCTTTCTCTAGCAGTGCAATTCATTGCTCATCCCAGCCATGGCATCTCTCCGCACCCCAGTGAAGAGGTTAATACGACAACCACCCTGCCGGCTGTATTCGGGAGCTCCTTCGTCGTCGGCACGGCTCAATTTGCCTATTGACTACAAGTCGACACCGTTACTGCATCACACTTCATCCTCGCTGGCGAGTGCACTAGAGCTTCCGGGTTCCACGACGACGAAATCGCTCAACCTATACCAGGCCATCAATTCGGCGCTGCGGACGGCCTTAGCGATGGATGATAGAGTCATGCTTTTCGGTGAAGATGTGGCGTTTGGTGGAGTCTTTCGGTGCTCGATGGATTTGCAGACCGAGTTTGGCTCGGAGCGTGTGTTCAATACCCCCTTGACGGAACAAGGGATTGCCGGATTCGCTATCGGAGCCGCGGCGCAGGGGATGAAGCCTGTGGCGGAAATTCAGTTCGCGGATTATGTCTTCCCGGCGTTTGATCAGATTGTCAATGAAGCGGCCAAGTTCAGATACCGAGAGGGTAATACGGGGATGAATGTGGGTGGCATGGTGGTCCGGATGCCCTGTGGCGCTGTCGGACATGGTGCCCTGTAGGTTGAATGATCTTCATGGTCGGTGGGCAATTGATTTGCTTTGATATGCTAATGCGACACCACAATTCAGTTATCACACACAGTCCCCCGAATCACTATTTGCCCACATCCCAGGCGTGCAGGTTGTCATCCCTCGATCACCGTCCCAGGCAAAGGGACTCCTTCTCAGCGCCATCTTCCAAAGCAATAACCCTGTCATTTTCATGGAACCCAAGATTCTCTACCGAGCAGCGGTGGAACATGTGCCGAACGAGTACTACACAATACCTCTTAGCAAAGCTGAAGTGGTTAAGCCTGGAACAGACGTGACCGTGATCTCTTATGGCCAGCCAATGTATCTCTGCTCCGCAGCGATCAGTGCTATCGAGAAAGCTACGGGCGCCAGTGTAGAGCTCATCGATCTGCGAACAATATACCCGTGGGACCGTCAAACGGTCCTGAACAGCGCGAAGAAAACCGGAAGGGCTATCGTGGTGCACGAAAGTATGGTCAACTACGGCGTCGGTGCTGAAGTCGCCGCCACCATCCAGGATGGCGCCTTTTTGCGCCTTGAAGCTCCGGTGAAACGAGTTGCTGGATGGAGTACTCACACGGGTCTCACTTATGAGAAATTGATATTGCCGGACGTTGCGAGTAAGTTGACTCCCGATCGTTAAGCCTCACCGTCCTCTTCACCTGCTGACTTGCTTTAGGGATATATGATGCCATCAAGCAGACACTCGAGTATTGAGGAATGCATTGATACGACGAGAGAAATAGAGCATGTGTGAGCAACTCATAGCACCTATCCAGTAGATAGATAGATCTTGACGGCTTATCCTCTTCTCGAAATAATGGGCCACGAAGCGTAATTCAGGGGCAACCGGAATATAGAGCCACCATTACTCATATACTACTCCCTTTGTACACCCTTACGTGGATGGCGTAAAGTAGATTGTGCCTCCAGATCAGAAGGCACTGAGTGTTTGGTCCTGTTTTGTCAGGCAACCCCTTGCGTGCCTCTGTGCCCCCCAAAGTCATGTGATGTGCACATACATGCCCGATCTGGAAAGCCGAGCTGGCCAATCAGCAACCAGCAGGGGGAAGCAAAAATGCTGCCACCGAATCTCGCTCATCTCGGCCTCCATGCCACACCACCATTTATCCTCTTACGGCAATTGCCATCAGATGCCGGCATCAGAGTAAGTATCGATCAGTTTCATCCTCTCGTCCAACCCGTCGCATAGTCCAATAGACTAATGGCTCTCCCTACCACAGGTTCATCCACATCTTCTACGATGTCGCAAAGGAGGAACGTGTGGATGCCGACATTGACTCCGGGGGTGTTGGCAACGAAATACCCCCCCAAATCCCTACATCCTTCACAGACGCAAGACGGCCCAGATGCCTCTCCCGACCATAATCATCTCTCGAGCACCTCTGCTACACCATCTCAAAGATCGTCTCGCCCGCCGTCGATCGTCCACAATCCCCCAATCCCACCCCCTGTCCAGACTCCGAACCATGGCCCCGTCCCTCCCCCAGTACCTCATGCGACTCGACCTAAAGTGCAGGAAGCGCGAAGGTCCCTTCCTATGATACAAGCCCCTCCACCCCATCAAGTAACCCAACAAGCACCGGCACCAATAGCCCAGACTTATCCAGGGTGGCCGAGTGCAACGCAGCAGCAACGGCAGAATGCACAACCGCCAGGGCGCCCTCCAGCGTCGAAAACGCTACCGGTGGCTCCTACGCGGCCTCCCGGAACAGGTGCGGTGTTTGAGATGGGGATGGTCTTCCCGTCCATGGAAGAAGCGCGCGAAGCTCTTCTGTGCCATACCATTGCCCTGCATGAATCCTATCGGGTCTACAAATCCGATGCAAGACGTTATATGACCCGATGTCGCAGCCAAAACTGCAGCTATATGGTCCGGATCAGTTGGAGGAAGAAACGCTGCGAAGCAGCGGTCTCGCTGTATAAACCGCATACGTGTAGTCCGGATACGCATGATAACTGGCGTCCGGCAGCCTCCATCAATTATCTTGTTCCCACATATCAGTCCCTGTTTGAAGGCACCAGTAGACCGACTGCTGCACAGATCCAGGAAATTGAGCGGCGCCGAGGTAATACAATCCAGTATCACCAGGGTTATCGAACGCTGAAGGCGATTGAGCGGAATCTCTACGGTGATGTAGCCGAATCGTTCAAGAGGCTGCCTGCGTTTTTGTCGCGCTTGGCTACAATCGACCACGGGGGATACTGGAAACTTGAGACGAAGAAGGATATTTTCAATCGCTGTTTCATTGCGCCTGCTGCGACGATCAACGCGTATACCCATTGCCGTCGGTTCCTGACCATCGACCGTGCGCCATGGAAGACCAAATGGCACTTTTCGCTCTTCGTTGCCGCCACCTTGGATGCGAACAATCAGGTGTTGCCCTTGGCCTGGGCCGTCGTGCCTAATGAGAGCGTTGAGGAATGGACTTTCTTTCTGCATCATCTTCACCTAGCGTTCCCGAAGCTCAATGACTCCCGTACAGCCATGCTGCTCAATCCCCGGCTGGAGGTCGATAGCGCTGTACATCAGGAGTTACCGGACGTAACGGTGATATATTGCTGCGAGTATCTATCCCAGACACTGATGGAGAAGTTTCGCCCTGAGGAGTGTGTCCGCAAGCAGTTCTGGCGAGCTGCCCGCGCGGAATCGGAACCTATATTCGAGCAGGCAATGGCCCAGATTATACATAAACGCGCCAAAGAATGGATACAGTCTATCCCACGAGGCAAATGGGTCAAGTATGCCTTACCTATACCCCGGTATGACCAAATGACCATGACTACGCTGGAGTCATTGAACTTCCTCTGGTTGAATACCCGGAACATGCCAATCCTTCGCACGCTGTACTCGGTCTGGCTCAACATTACCGACCGACTCCATCACTGCCGAGAACTCGCCTTCAAGCGCTCAAGTACCTTGACCGACTATGCGCAAGAATGGATCTTACGACAAAAACAGCTATGTCGCGCCTACCACGCCGTCGCCAGCTCCCAGGAGCAGTTCACCGTCTTCAAAAACGCCCTCGGCTACGTCGTCGACCTCAACGCCCACACCTGCAGCTGTCGCGACTGGCAAGACCTCCAGCTCCCCTGCCGGCACGCCCTCGCCGCCATCGCGACCACATCCCGCCCAATCAACGATCTCGTCCCCGCAGCCTATTCCATCGCCACATACAAGGAAACCTACTCCGGCGTCCTCATGCCGCTCGAGGTGCGCGACCTCGACAACTACGACAAGTGCATCGCCCCCGCAGCCAAACGCCGCGGCAGACCACCCATGAACCCACCCAAGCTACCCGCCCCGGACGACGGCGTCCAGCGCCACTGCTCCATCTGCAGACACCCCGGCCACTCCGGCCAAAGCGATATCTGCCCGGCCAACATGCGCGACCGCAATATCGTCATCGCAGATCTCCCAGATGGTACCCGCGTGTTTGAACACAAACCAGGACCCCCGCCGCCTGCCTCTAAATACCCCTCCGTCGCCGTCGTGGTGCCCGCTCTGCCGGACCGTAACTCGCACAAGCCTGACAGTGCCGGGAACCGCAGGAATCGGAGCAGCAGTAGCAGCAGTAGCACAAGCAGTAACAGCAGCGGTAGCAGCGACGGTGACGACGACGACGCAAACATGGCTACCAATGATAACATCAATGGCGATTCCCCCGACCCGGGATTCCGGGAGATACCAGCCTTGCCTAATTGGGCTCGGGTGCCTACGTCGCAGGACACAAATTCCAGGAATAGAACCACGGCGCCGGGAACGTCAGCCTTGGAGTTTGGAGTCGCCCCGGACGGTACTGGGCCGAGGTGGGACTGGGCGTTGAAGGCGAAGAGGAGACTCGATGCCGAGAAACAGTATATCTCAGCTGAGGAGCTGTGTCGGTTGCAGGCGCAGATCCTTGATGGGCTTTTGAGAGAGGATGTATAGTTAGTTGTATTGTTGTGAGAAAGGAGCAGTTGTATATTATCTAGAGACCACATGAAAGTAGGATCATGTGTTAGGGTTATATCCTTTATTCACAGATAATTATTGAGATAGGCCAATGCACTAAATCATCTTTGTCAATAACCACTAATTATTAACGATTTGGCATCATGCTATGATTCCCAAAGTCCCTAGACACAGGTCATAATGTATTAATGAGATGTAAACATTATTCCATCGAACCAAACATGGACGTATGCAAATGCAAAAAAAAGAAATCGCTCAAACGCAGGATATCTATCATCATATGAAAATGCCCCCGCCCAATGTACCATAGATTCCAAAGTATATCGTAAATTCTTTCTCTTAGAAGCTGAAAAGCCCACTCCGGCGCTTCCCCGTGGGATAAATAACGAGCGCCGCAATGAACAGCCCCACCGAGATCCCAATCGCCACCTGGATCATCCCGAACCCCAGGTTCGCGATTGAGGTGTCCTGGCTACTCGTGTCGGTGTTGTTGCTGCCCCCCTTCAGATTCTGGCGCACCTGGTTCGCATAGTCAATGCCGGCGATCAGGGAGCCGGACGAGGCGAGACCCGAGGGCACGAGGACAAAGATACCCGGGAGGATGGCGGCGGCGGCGTGGCCGTGCCAGAGGCGGCTGTAGAGGTTGCCGAGGACGCCGATGGTGAAGGCGCCGACGGTGTTGGCGACCTGGGAGCGGGAGCCGAGCTTGGTGGTGCTGAAGTAGTTGGTGATGTAGCCGCAGGTGGCGATGAAGATCATGACGGGGAACTGCTTCCAGCGGGCTTGGTTGATGATGGCGAGGCAGATGACAAAGACGGGGACGAAGATGAAGTGTTGGACGTATTTGCTGCCGTAGATGGAGAGGTTGGGGCAGGAGGTTTCGGAGGTGGCGTTTGGGTCGAGGAGGCCGTAGATGGTCGTGCCGACGGTGATGCCGTAGCCGAGGAAGAGGGAATAGATGATGGCGAAGACCATTCGGATAGAGCCTGCGATCATCTGGTGGGACTGAAGTTCTAAACTGCTGCAGAGAACCATGAAACCCGGGAGAATCAGAGCGATCGATGACTGGGCTAGCGCAGAGAAGCAGAAGAGAAACTGTTGCTCTCCGTTCACGGTGGTGCGGATGCTGCCGAACGCACGTGCGAGGAATGAGGTCAGCACGGCTGCTGTCACTTCGAACACGTTGGAATAGATACTCGACCGCGGGGCGATGATGCGCTGCATCAGTCCCACGAGCGATGAAAGGAGGAAGATGATAGGCATGTCGATGGGCCGGGCACTAAAGGCGAATGGGCCGACGGCGGCGCCGGCCAGACCATAGACCGGGACCAGGATCCATTTGCTGAAGCGAGATTTCCGCTTCATGACTTCATCAAGCTCCTGGATGGCTTCTTCCACCCCGATTAGGTCGTGGACGACGTTCTTGTAGACGCTGTGGACTTCCGCCAGGCGACCTAGGTCAACTCCCTGTGCAGAACGAACGAGCTTGACCTCCGCTGTTCGGGTAACAGGGTCGCCAAAAGACATGATCATACACCCTGGTAGGTACAGAAACTGTGCCTCGACCTCCAGGACGCGTGCTGTCATTGTCATGTATTCCTCTAGGCGATGTGTGGGGGCACCATAACGCATGAGTGCGCGACAGAGCTGCATGATATAGCGCTGCCGCGCAAGAATCTCTGCGATATGCACTGTCACACGAATTTCGTCCTCCAATCGGTGCTTCTGATATGGCTTCTTCCTCTTTCCCCTTTTCTGCTGGGTCACCGCCATAATGTCCGTGGAGGACGGCAGGGTAGCACGGCTCAAATTCATCGACGCTTCCACCAAAGAAGCTGTCGACTGGTGATGTGGCTTTTTGTACCATTTGAGCTTCTCCTTCTTCGGAGTGACAGCGCCGGACCTGGGGGTGGCTGATCCTGACTTAGGAGTCGCCGCTCCCGATGAAATGACGGACTCGTTGTCGGAATCATCGGTGGCCGAGAAAGTGTCCTTCTCATTCTGGCTTGCTTGTAACTTGAGCAATTGAGACAGAATACCGCCTCCGCTGAAGGAGAGAGGACGGGATGACCCGTACCACGAACTCGGCCGCTCGGGTGTACTCTGACCAGACCGCTGGTAAGCAGGCTTGGGCTTTCGGTGACGTACAATTTTGTTCTGAGTCACCCTCCGAACCAGACGGTGAGCCTCGGCGCTGGGGTTCGGTTGCCCCTCATCATCTGTGCTCTCGCCCATACCGATCCGCTGTTCGCTGTCAAAACGGCGCAATGGCATCCCCCAATCAAGTTCTTCGGGATTAAACGTGGTTCCCAGCGTTTCTCCGTCATCTGAAGGTCTGCCTAAGCGCTCTCCAAGCCGCATGGTCTTTTGTCGAATGAGGCGACTTGCTTCCTTCCATCGTTCCTTCGCTGATCTCGATCGGGTTGGTGTATGTTCCTTTGGGCTGGAAGCTTCAGGAGCGCGTTCTGGTGTAGACGGTGAATAGGGGGCACTGCTGTAGCCAGATCCATCGTATCTTGCGGTTATGTCCGAATCCTTGTCGAGTGGCTCCCCCCGCAGCATATCAGTGACATCAGTGGACCGTGGGGTGGGGTTCAGCAATGTGCGCGAGGAATTATTTGAGATGTTCGAAAACACCCTGTGGTTATCCACAAGATCTTCCGGCTCGCAATACTGACTGACCGATCGGAATCTCACTCGGTGTGGCCGTGAAAGGTCTCCCGAAAGCCCCAGATGGTGGCCATGGGGAGATTCCGCGTTCGTCGACTGCGGGAGGTTATCGTCATAACTGCTGCGATTTGCCGCGGTGTTCCTCTCTAGACTCGTCCGAGGGGTGAGCAGCTCGTAGCTTCCATTATCATGATGAGTATCCGACATTGGGAGGCGACGGCACCCGCGCTGAAGTAGACGCCAAGATAGGGCTGATTGATGAGGTTCGTCCCCTGTGTGTACGGTACGGAGTACAACGATCGAGTAATTGGATGAACGGTGGAGTGACGGATAGAGATTAAGAGAGACGAGAAGAACAGGAATATAGAGAGTGTAGGTCGCAATGAGATGATGAGTCCAGTATCGGATTACTTAGGAAGAAGACGAAATATAGCAGGAAACAGAAGTCATGGAACCGCGTGGAGAGAGGAACCAGAATTGAGAATGATGAGCTGAGGCGAACCAAGAATAAATGGAAGTCTAGAACAGACATTTAGCATTTTAGGGATGCAAGGGTCTGGTCGAGCCAGAGACATCGTCTTATCAAGTATAAAGATAGACGGATTGTCGTAGTGTCGTAGTGTCGTTGTTTCGGAAGATAAAACGAAGATGGAGCATGGCGATGATCTCATTCCATTTCATGGTGGAGGGCCACGATCTGCCTGTCACTGATCCTCATCACATTCACAACATTCACCACATTCATCAGCAACACCTCCCCATCTACATGGTATCTACGCGGTTCAATTGCAGTGGAAGAAGTTACACAGTGAGGCAAGTGGCAGCTCTGTCTGTCTCTATGATTTTAGGATCTCTCTATCACTGACTCTGGTGTTCTCTCCAGCGCCGTTGTCTATCACCAGCCCCAAGTGTCAAAGCTCAACCTCACTATGGAGACCTGACTCTGCATGTCAAACTCAATGTGACAATGGCAATGCAATCCACGCAATGCAGTGGAGGCTCCCCGAAAAAAAAAAAAGAAAAAAAAGAAAAAGAAAAAAGAAGATTTGAATGCTTGGCCGTGGGTCGAGCAGTGGCGAGGCCGAGAGAACCACAACGAATCAACCACTCTATGGGGGGGAAACGATCAAACCACTGAGAAATCTCTGGTTTTGCGTGGTCGCAGCCATGGCGCCGCAGGGGGGCAGATTATTGACCGACCGTCGTCCTGTCAGACTATCAGACATTCCAGAAATACGCCAGAGAGTCGATTTTAACCGCTGAAGATTGACGGTTTCTCCGACTTGTCCAGACTCTAGACTTCCAAGACTACGAAGGCTAGACTGGTGCCACTTTGTGTGGAACACTCGGAGCGGATCATCAACGAGGATCCAGGATGGAGTATTGCGCTCAAGGTGTTCTTTTTTTTCTGTGCTACACACTTGCTGAACAACGAGGGTGTGAACAATCGGCAGATTCCATGTGATGATTAACTAAAATTACAAAGTGCTGTCTGATATCTCAAATACTAAATCTATACCTATACACGGCTTCGGAGCATTTCATTAGGTCATAGATCATCGACCATCGCGATTCTCGAAATCCCACCCATTCAGCCATCCAACACTGGCGTTCAAGTACGTTGCAAAGCAGAGCCATCCCGCGTATGGCACCATCAGCCAGAAGGCAGTCCGATCCGTGTTCCACCATACCTCCATCAGTTTGCCGACCGTGCCTCCCAACACCACCATATTCGCCATGGCCCATCCAGGCTTCCTCAACCCGAAGAACAAGGGCATCCAAAGATAGTTGAGGACGAGCTGTGACGTATACAAGGTCTGGGAAGCATCTACTACTGCGGATGCGGGGGTGAGGAGGGTCGCGGTTGTGGTTGCGTGGTGGGCCGCGTAGCCCATCATTCCGTACAGGATGGTCCACACGGGCGCAAAGAGCCAGGCGGGGGGGCGCAGGGGTGGTTGGCGGAGACGCCCATAGAGCTGTTTCGTGTGGCCTTTTCCTGCAGATTCAAAACGGTTGTCAGTCTCATTTCGTAGAGCACGTCGTAGCTGTATCCTATCGATCGCACAACAAGGAAACGCGTACTGTTGACCAGGTATCCCACCAGCGAGCCGACTGTGATGGGAGTCGCCACGGCAAGGATGGGCGAGGTGAACACCTCTTGAGGGAAGGTGAACGACCACGGCATGCTGGAATATGTCCCGATGGGGAGCTGTGGCACTCTGCAGTAGATAGTATTCAACGATGAAATTGGGGAAGATGCGATGGATGAAGTCAAGGTGCAGCAGCTGTGGTGATGGCTTTATGTGTTGTCCTCAACTCCGAGTCCCTCGGCCCATCAAGCGATCGATCGATACTCTTCGACGTCATCGTCCGATGAGCTCCGCCTCTTGACAGAGTGAGTATTTTGACTGACATTACTATGAAGGGAGGAATTTAGTTTCGTTGATGTTCTCTTTTTCATATGTTCGGGTATCAAAGTGAAATATCAGCAAAAGACTGTGGAAGCATGTCGGAGGCACCCTGGTCTGAATATATATATATATATATAGAACTACGACTCTGACACCAGTACAGAGCATCATTCTCAACCGTACAACCTACAACGCCACGAGGCACAAGGAATGAACACAGCAAAATATGGCCGAATCACCGGGGATTTATGAATATGAGGTTACATGTAGCTTCCAGGGACAATGTCGTCGCAGCCAAGAAAAGAAGCCGATATGCGTCAAGGGGTCGGGTCGTTGTCTCGTTCGACAAAACCATGTCAAAGACGGCCTGGAAGATGGTATAAAACACTGAAGATATCTTCTGGCAAGCTTCTAGTCAGATAGGGACGGTGACTTTATCGAGAAGAGAGCCCAGGGACAATAAACACGTCGGACAGCTATAAAAATGCCACTCAAGCTGCTCTGTCTGCACGGTTGGGGCACCAACATCAAGGTTAGTAACACCGACTGCATACATCATGAACCGTTGCGCTGATATTCCAGAAGATCTTGCAGTCTCAATTGAGTAGGTTGCACAGCCCCTAACGCTGCTGCCTAACACTAATCATGCAGATGGCCTAATGACCGAACTCCAACGTGACAACACCGCAACATTGCACTTCGTTGAAGGTGATGTTGACTCGATTCCGGGGCCTGGAATTGCTGGCTTCTATGACGGCCCTTACTATAGCTACTACAAGTTCCCTCGGTCCTTTTCCGACCCAGATGGTAGCGAGGAGGAGTCCATGCTCGACGCCTACAACCTCCTCTACGATATTATCGATGATGAAGGGCCCTTCGATGGCATCCTGGGATTCTCTCACGGAGGAACCTTGGCCTCGGGCTTCCTAATTCACCATGCCAAGATGTTCCCGAATGAACCCCCTCTCGTTCGCTGCGCCATCTTCATCAATTCCCTCCCCCCGTTTCGCATGAACCCGGGCGAGAACCCGGTGGTCGACGCGGATCTCAACGGCTACATCAAGATCCCTACCGTCAACATTGCCGGTTCAAAGGATCCCTTGTTCAAGTACTCTCTCGCATTGCACAGGCTGTGTGATCCTACTAGATCCACGTGGGTGGTACACAGCAAGGGTCACGACATCCCCAACGATAAGAAGAATGTCGCTCTCATGTCTGCAGGCATCCGCAAGTTGGCCGTCGAGGCGTTGTCAATCTGGTGAATGGAAGAAACATCCTGTCTGGGTCCGTCCTACCTGCTACGGATTAGAATGTTTCGGGTCTTTCTTTTGCATTCATTGGTTGTGAAGCGCGTCTGGCTCAGTGTACAGGCGCGGAGCATTATCCCCGTTATGACTGGCTTGATATAGTAGTAGAATTAGAGGGCCGGAGATTATCCATCTTCCGTATATCTGACCGCTTCTTCTATGAATATGTAATTTCTTTGTGACTTAGACAGAGACCCTGTCGCGAGGATTACGTTGACAGTTGACATGCGTATTGTCCAATAATAGGATGCCATGATGACTGCCAATTCGTTCGAAGGACCTACCAATCCTGTTCCCCTGCCCCCCTCTACTCCCAATACCGACATGGAAGACGATATCCCAAACGTGGTGGGTGACGTTTCCATGCCCATCGCCATCATTGGTATGGGGTTCCGTGGACCAGCAGATGCCACAGACGTCGAAAGGCTCTGGAGAATGATCGTCGAAGGTCGAGAAGCATGGAGTCCGATTCCCGAATCGCGGTGGAATAGTGGTGCATTCTATCACCCAGACCATGCGAGACATGGCACGGTAAGATGTGATGTAATTGCGAAATGCGCTTTGTAATAATATCCCTCTCAGGTGAATGTTCAGGGGGGCCATTTCCTCGCCGAGGATGTGTCTCTTTTCGATGCACCTTTTTTCAACATGACAAGTGACGAGGCAGCGGTGTGTGCATTTGAATTGTAGCTTTTGTTTTTTTGAGTGCCTCGCAAAGCTCATCATGACATTTCCAGGCGATGGATCCCCAGCAGCGGCTGCTGCTTGAGGTAACATACGAAGGACTAGAGAACGGTTAGTCCCCTTGCCCGAAGAAAGCGCCTGTAATACTAACCTGGAGCAGCTGGTTTACCCTTATCGAAAATCATGGGAAGTCAAACATCCTGTTTCGTCGGATCCTTCAACGCAGATTACACAGATCTCCTGCTGCGTGACCCTGATGCTATTCCCATGTATCAATGTACCAACGCCGGTCAATCGCGGGCCATGATGTCGAATCGAGTATCGTACTTTTTCGATTTGAAAGGTCCCAGTGTTACAGTGGACACAGCGTGCTCAGGGAGTCTTGTAGCGCTGCACCTTGCGTGTCAAACTCTGCGGACCGGTGACGCTCAGATGGCCATTGCGGCAGGAGTGAACGTGATCCTCAGTCACGAGTTCATGTCCACCATGACTATGATGAAGTAAGCTTGGAGGGTACCTGCAGTGGGCTTCCTGAAATGGAATAACCGTTGTTAGATTCCTGTCGCCAGATGGACGCTGCCACACTTTCGACGAGAAGGCCAATGGATATGCTCGCGGGGAAGGAATCGGCTGCTTGATCCTGAAACCGTTGAAAGATGCTATCCGCGACAAGGATACCATCCGAGCTGTCATTCGAGGTTCCGGGTCAAATCAGGATGGAAGGACGCCAGGAATCACTCTACCAAACGGCGCGTCGCAGGAGGCACTGATCCGTCATGTGTATGCTATGGCAGGTCTCGAACCCCACGAAACGGATTTCGTTGAGACACACGGCACGGGAACTCAGGCAGGCGATCCCATTGAGACAGGGGCGTTGACAAAAGTGTTCTGTCCGAAGAGAAGCCCGGAGCAACCATTGCGCGTGGGATCGATCAAAACAAACGTGGGACACTTGGAGGGAACAAGTGGGGTGGCTGGAGTCATCAAGGCAGTGTTGATGCTCGAAAATCGCACATTTCTGCACAACCGCAACTTCTCGTCACTAAATCCTCGCATTCTGCTGGATGAATGGAAGCTCAAGGTAAGCTCCGTGGATGAAAGGGGTTGCTTCTAGTAGCTGAACATGTCCATGGTGGATCTAGATACAACTCCACCCAGAAGCCTGGGAAAGCACAAGACCTCGTCGTGTCTCGGTCAACAGCTTCGGATATGGCGGGAGCAATGCACACGTTATCGTCGAGGACGCGGAAGGATACCTATTATTGCATGGCCTCCAGGCTCTTGTTGGCAAGCAACCTACACTTTACGTCGAGAAACCCGCAGAGTCGAAAAGCAATGGCACCTGTGCCCATCCGACACAGCCCATCCGCACCCGGCTCTTTATTCTATCTGCTTTTGACGAATATTCCCTCACTAAACAGTTAGAAAATCTGGAGAGCTACCTACTCGCGAGGTGTAAGATAGCTGATGATCGATACTTGAATAATTTGGCATACACACTGAACCGACGACGTACCACCCTGATGTGCCGAGCAGCAATCATCGGTGATGATGCTATGAGTATCTCGGAAGCTCTCAAAGCCAATCTCAAGATAAGGAAGGCCACTAAGAAGCCTGTGGTTGGTTTCGTCTTCACCGGTCAGGGAGCACAGTGGTGTGGTATGGGAAGAGAGCTTCTGCGTGCCTACCCTGTTTTTCGGCAGTCGATGGAGCGTATTGATGCCCATATTACTCAAATTGGCTCATCATTTTCTGTCATAGGTATGGCCGAGACCGAATCTCCCACCAAATTACTTCCATGGAGTGCGAATTTTGCTAACCCGCGCGAACTTCAGATGAAATCCTAGAGAATCAGGACGCTTCGCGACTAAATCAGCCGCTTCATAGCCAAACAATATGCACTGCTTTACAAATCGCTCTCGTGGACCTCCTCGGATCGTGGGATATACACCCAGAGTCAGTCACCGGACATTCCAGTGGTGAGATTGCCGCTGCGTACGCCATCGGAGCATTGGGCCTAGAGGACGCAATGTCAGCGGCATACTACAGAGGGATTGCTGCCAGCAGACTGTCACAGAACGAGGAGGTGAGAGGAGCCATGCTCGCTGTGGGAATGCCTTCAGACAGTATCCAGCCATTCTTGGACTCGTTAAAGACAGGTAAAGCTGTTGTGGCGTGCATCAACAGTCCCACCAGTGTGACTGTCTCCGGAGATGTGACAGCTATTGGAGAGCTTGAAGGAGTACTTCGTGAGAGGGAAATCTTTCACCGACGTTTGATGGTCAATGTTGCCTATCATTCCCACCATATGGAGCTGGTCGGGGGCGAATACCTTGGATTGATTTCAAATATCACACCACAAGCCGGCGATCAAGTGCAGCAGAGTCGAAATAGGGTGGTCTCTTTCTTCTCTTCCGTGACGGGAGGAGAAGTTCAAGCCTCAGATTTGGGTTCACAGTATTGGACCCGGAATTTATTAGGTCAAGTGAAGTTCGTGGAATCCGTCAGGGCACTGTGCTACGGAACAAATAACACTACTAGACGTACCAAGCGAGTAGGAGGCATGCGCAAAGTGGGCGTGGATGTTCTACTCGAAGTTGGCCCCCATGCGGCGCTATCTGGGCCAATTCGACAGATCCTCAAGGAGGACAGCAAGCTGGATGCGGCCGGAGTACAATGTATCAGTATCCTCACCCGCAAGTCAAATTCAGTCACAACAGCCCTGGAAGCGGCAGGAACTCTTGCATGCCTGGGGTATCAGGTTAACTTCGAAGCAATCAACGACCCTTTGCAAAATATTGGAGACCCCCAGGTGCTTATCGACCTCCCGTGCTATGTGTGGAACCACAATAGATCATATTGGGCAGAGGCTCGCATGAGCAAGGCATACAGACAGCGCAAAAACCCACGAACAGATCTGCTGGGAGTTATCGACCGAATGTCATGTCCGTTTGAGCCTCGCTGGAGGAACCATCTGCGTGTCTCTGAACTTCCGTGGCTCAGAGACCACAAGATTCAGTCGAACATAGTCTACCCTGCAGCAGGGTATATTTCGATGGCTATCGAGGCTGTAAATCAACATATCTCAGACCCTGAGCCTCATCTCAACATTTCGGGCTTCGTCCTCCAGGACGTCTCTATACAAGCAGCATTGGTCATCCATGAAGGCTCATCTATTGAGGTGATGATCTCACTGAAAGCATGTCAGAGTGCCATGTCTAGCGCAGACCAGCTATTCGGGTTCCGCGTATACTCGGTCTCTGGTGAAAATCGCTGGACGGAGCATTGTCATGGGCTGATTGGCGCTCATACTACATCCGTTTATCCTGATTTTGAAGTCCCTCCACCCCAGCCCTCGAAAACCACCGACTTCTCCATCATAGACATGCCGGACTTTTACGAGAGACTTGCCACTATTGGTCTTGAATACGGACCCTGCTTCACGAATTTGACGCATGCTCATTGTGTGGACAACATATGCTTAGCGGAGGTCATAATCCCCGATACAGCGGCCGTTATGCCAATGAGTTTCCAGTATCCCTTTGTGGTTCATCCATGTGTCCTGGACAGTATCTTTCATTCCATCTTTGTTCATATGAAAAACGATGATGACCCAGCAATTCCTATCCACATAGATGAGTTATTTGTTTCACGCGGTGTGGAGCGTGAACCAGGCGCCAAAATGCATGTCAACACGGAGATCGAGAGGCGAACGAGGGACGGTATCTTGGCTTCCATCACTGTATCTGGTCGTGATGATTCCCTGGCTATTCGAGTCAAGGGCCTACAGTGCAAGAGTCTTGCGAATGGCTCTTTAAAAAATACCGGAAAGTCAATGGATCGCATTGGTTACATGGTGACTTGGAAACCGGACCCAGATCTACTTTCGAACAACGAGCTTTTTTCATTCCTCAAGGAGATCAACGCCCGCCCTGAGAATAACTGCAGCGATAGATCTTTGTTGGAAAGCTGCGCCTCCTATTTTGTTCACAAAGCCGTCGAGTACCTGGACAAGAGTGGCGAGTTACAGGCCCACCGAAGACGACAGCTCGACTTCATGCTCAGCAGAGCCGAGAAGAATCAGTTGGACATGCAATTCGATACGATCAATCCAAATCTGGACTATGTAAGTGCATCTGGAGCAGAAGGGAGGCTCCTTTGCGCATTGGGTGAAATTTTGCCCGCGACAATGCGAGATCAAGATCCCGCTCCAAGTCCGATAGACCCCTCAATCTGGAGCGCATACTGGGATGCTGTCCGCTCCGACCCAGTTTATGACAAAGTAGCAAGATATCTCGAGCTAATCAGCCATAAGAACCCGATGATCTCGATTCTCGAGGTGGAGGGTACGATTGGCGAGGCTTCATTGAGTTTCATTGAGCGCATGATGGGAATCGCTGGGCAAGCTCCTGGTTGCAGCGAGTATACCTTGACGCATCCCAACCTTTCGATTCCCGAGACACACAGCCAAAGGCTATCTGACATGAGCCAATGGCTGAGCTTGAAGAGGCTTGATGTCGAACAGACTCTAGAGACGCAAGGTTTCGACAAGTATCAGTATGATGTCGTTCTTGTGCCGTATGGTCTTTATATGGCTCGCTCAAAACGGCAAGCGCTAAGAAATCTTCGTGACCTTCTCAAACCACAAGGGCAGCTTATTATTGTCGATCCTGTATCCCAGTCTGACGGCCTGGTTAATTCTTTGATCTTCGCCGGTTTCTCAGCCTGCTGGTCAGGGGACCAATTTGGAACTTCACAGGATGATTGGAAGAAAGCCATCTTGGAGGCTGGCTTCTCTGATTTGAAGGACTTCAGTAACTCGTCAGAAGGACCTTTACTCATGGTCACACACCCACTCCAAGTGCATCCGCGATCGAAACCAGACATCCTGATTATTTCAGAGGAGGATGAGAATGGCGTCGACGTGCTTGCGCTTCAGAAACATCTCAGTTCAATATCTTCCACCATCGAGATCACCAACTTCGCTCATGCTGAGCCAGAAGAACGACTCTGCGTTCTTCTAAGCGGTCTAACATCACCACTGATGACGAATTTGGACAAAAGAGGACTGGAGATACTCCAGCAAATTCTCCTGCGAGCAACAGGTGTCTTGTGGGTAACTCGAGGTTCAACAATGAATGCCATGGATCCGAACGGTGCTATCACAACAGGATTCGCACGCACAGCACGCTCTGAGTCCGGAATTGAACGCATAGTCACTCTGGATTTGGATGGGCAGAATCCACTATCCAGCGATCGCGCTGCTGACATCATTTATACGATCGTCCATGAATGCATTATCGGCGGAAACGACAGAGTTGATATGGAGTATGCTGAACGAGACGGCGTGCTTCTTATCCCCCGAGTCGTCGAGAATAAGACCTTTAATGAATCTTTCGCATCATCGCGCGAGAGCAAGACTATATCGTATGAGAATTTCCATCAGACAAGCAAGCCAATCAAAGCAATGATTCCAGAAACAGCCGATGCAGATTCATTCTGCTTCGAGGAAGACTCCAGCATCGCCCATCTTCCGACAGACTATGTCCGTATACAAGTCCACGCAACCTGCGTAGACAAACAGAACGCTCAAGCCCTGAAAGGTTTGGGTATTTCATCAACAGAAGCATCTGGCTGCGGTATCAGTGGGGTTGTTGAAAAAGTAGGACAGTCGGTCCATGGGTTCCTCCCTGGTGATCGAGTGGCCTGCTTCGGATTTGAGACAGTCGCCAGTTATCATCAAGACGCGGCGTCGGCATTTCAGAAATTACCTTCAAATATGTCGGTTGAGTCAGCAGCGGCTCTGCCTGTGAGCTACTGTACTGCTCTCTATGCCACTCAGTATCTTGCGCGAGCTGGCTCTGCAGCTAGAATATTGATATATGGAGCTGCACGGGCAAACAGACAGGCATTCGCAGAGTTGTGTCAACACATAGGAGCCAATGCATTCTTCCTCGTCCGATCCGAGGCTGAGAAGAACTTCATAATATCAGAAGATATTATAGATTGTGACCAAATCGTCGATATTCGAGATCTCACTTATGTGCCAAGCTGCGGGCGAGCAGCGAAAGGCAAAGACTTCGACGTGATTATCAGTTGTGTGAGTCCAGACAATGGGACCCTGCGTCTTTTGTGGAAATCTATTGCCACATCTGGCACATTCATACAGCTTTGCAATCATGGTGACTCCGAGAAACGAACATGGACTATCCCACGTGTTAGCAGTGATGTGACATTTGCCACTTTCGACATTCATCAACTATGGCGGGACAAGCCAGTGCTGCTACATAAGATATGGAGTGAGGCAATGCGCCTGTTCAACGAAGGACGCATCCCTGTACCGAAGGCTAGTGCAGTGCATCGCGTCTCAGATATGATGGAGGCTTTGACAAAGCTGGAATCCGATGAGGATATGGATTTAATTACTCTTACAGCTCAACCAGGGGACGTTGTGAAGGTGAGTGTGGACCACGCATCGTTTGAGGCTTAAGCTAATAGGCCCACAGGTGGTCACACCCAAGCTACAGGGCAAACTCTTTCAACCAGATGTATCCTACATGTTAGTCGGTGGCTTGGGAGGGATTGGGCGCGCAACAGCCCTCTGGATGTCGGACAATGGGGCTCGAACGTTGATCTTCGTCAACAGAAGTGGGCTGACAACCGTTGCATCCCAAGGGACAGCGAAGGAGCTGGAAGAAAATGGAACCCGAGTGATAGTTCATGCCTGCGATATTTCCGACAGCACCCAAGTCGAAAATATGCTCAACGAACTTGCACACAACGCTCCTCCTATCCGAGGAGTCATCCAAGCCGCGATGGTCCTTCGGGTACGTTCATACCAACCAACCCAACACCAAACTCGTTAGCTAACCGCAGACAAGGATATCCATATCGAGAAAATGACCATCGAAGATTACCACGCCGCACTGCAGCCCAAGCACGCCGGTACCTGGAACCTGCACCGGTACCTGCCCTCCGAGCTCGACTGGTTCATAATGCTCTCCTCCATCAGCGGCATCATCGGCAACGCCACGCAAGCCGCCTACGCCGCCGGCTCAACCTTCCTAGACGCATTCGCCGCGTACCGCAACGCCCTCGGCCAGCCCGCAGTATCCCTCGATCTAGGCGCAATAACCGACGCAGGATACCTAGCCGATAACCGCGAGCTCGCGAGCAAGATGGCGCAGCAGGGCTTCCACGGGACCGACACCGCGACACTCATGTCCATCATCGAGACGGCGATCCGGACGCCCTTCGCCGCAGGCGCAAGTCCGCAGGTGATCACCGGCCTGGGCCACTGGAAAGCCGGCCAGTCGCTGAGCAACTTCGATGCCCCGCTGTTTGCGCACTTCCGGCGCCAGTTCCAGGAGAGAGGCGGAGGAGAGCATGCTGAGGAATTGAGCGGGAAGTTGCGTGAGAGTCTTCGCGAGATCAAGAGCTTGGAAGAAGCGTCGGGGATCATATACACTGCATTGAGTGAGAGGATCGCGTCTCACTTGTCTATGCTGGTGGAGAGTATCAGTCCTTCGAACGCGATCACGGAGTATGGCATCGACTCCCACATGGCGGTGGAGTTGAGGAACTGGGTTGCGAAGAATATGGAGAGTACTGTACCGATTCTGGATATCCTGGCAAGTAGCACGTTGTTGGACCTGGCGGGTAAGATTGCGTCAAAGTCTAATTTGGTGAATCTGGAGGAGTAGGAACGAGTGCGGTTCTTTTCTGTGCAGAATTAAATATAGTTTGTTCAAGCAAGTCTATTTGTACAAGATCTAAATTGTGATCGATACGCACCATAAAAGGAGCGCAAAACAGAATATTATCTAGGAGATATAGAAGAGAGAGTAGAACAGGATCACATGGATGGAAAGAAGGTGTGAGACCAGCAGCAAGGAAAAGGGTATGCGGCAACTTCACAAGAACGGATCGCACTTTAAAAAGTGCAAATGGACCATCTGCTCTATGAGAATATGAAAAAGCACAGAAGGCCAAGACGACTGACGATCAATCACTCCGCCTTCTTCGAAGCCTTGGTCCGGAGCTTCATCAGAACATAGACCATCGCATACGAAGAAAAGACGAAGATGCACACGATGGCCGAGTCGCGCCAGCCATAGTAGTAATCATTCAAGTTGATGGTGTAGAGGTAATCGCTTCCAACCCGATACTCGCAGACACGGCAGTCGGAGGTGGCCTCGGGATTGATGAGGTTCATGCGGGAGCCAATACCTTGCATAAAGGTGGAGAGGTAATTGGCGCAGGTGGTGCCGTTGGGTGTATCGAAGACGGCGTACTCGCTGTCCTTACACTTGACGGGGGTATCGAAGACGCCGAAGACCAGCATGCTGCCCATGAGGTAGTTGAAGGGGTTGAGCCAGTAGATCCAGTACCGCCAGAATGCTTGGATTTGTGCGTAGGGAACCAGGACACCGCAGAAGGAAACCAGGGTACCGATGACGAGGGGATTGGTCAACGCGGCGAAGGTAGCGTTGGGTGCATAGGCGGCGATAAATTGGCCGATTCCCTGTTCAGGTCAGTTACGGAAGGCTTGAATTACAGAGGGTGGGTTTACTCACCGTGTAGAGGAATTCGTAGCAAAGCATGACAAAGAACATCGCACCGGCCTTGTCAGACGCTGATGGGAATCCCACAGTGTAATACCAGCAGACAAAGTACATCACCGCGCAAATGCACAGGTATGGAAACTCGGATACAATGAGAGCTGTAACGAAGGCTTTCCACGAGTACATCTTGGACTTCTTTTCTCGAGTATCGTAAATATCGCGCCGCTCAATGAACAGGGGTTGAAGCTGGTTGATGACACCTGGAGCCACGAAAATGAAGTTAAAGATTGTGAAGAGTCGGAGTTGCATGGATGAGACGCTCTCGCTGATCATCCAGAATGAGAAGCCATTGAATAACGCTGAGCCAATATGAAGGGCGATTTTGTTCATGAGGTAGTCTAGGTTGCGGAAGAGTGAGATGCACATTCGCTTCGTGACGATCTTCATCTGGTCCATGATGGGCATAGCGAATTCATGCCCATCATCCACGGTGCCGGGTGGCTTGGATGCTGCCTCGCTGATCATATGATCCAGTTCCTGGACGGCGCGAGTGTGCTCCGGTGATTCAAGCCAGACCTGATTCCAATCACGTCCTTGCGACAGGTGGCCGGAGACCACGTCAATCATGTGCTCAGCCGGATTGACATTGGTAGGGCATGGAGCGCCGAAGCGAGCAAAATAATTCTTCACGGTTTGTCCGTTATCACCAATGTCGCCGAAATAGACCATCTTCCCTCCTTTAGCCAGAAGCAACAAGGTGTCAAATTCCGCAAATAGCTGCGCAGAGGGCTGATGGATGGTGACCAGAACCGCCTGACCGACATCGGCTAGCTTGCGCAAGAAACGGACGGTATTGTAGGCGGATTGACCGTCGAGACCGGAAGTGGGCTCATCCAAGAATATCAAGATGCTGGGCTTCGAAACAAGCTCAACGCCGATGGTGACTCTCTTGCGTTGTTCCACACTCAGGCCTGCGCCGACGCGACCAATCAAAGTGTTGGCAATATCGTGCAACTCTAGAAGGTCGATGATAGTGTCAACATATTTCAACTTTTCCTCACGGGGGATGTGACGTGGCTGGCGGAGCAAGGCAGAGAACTCGAGTGCTTCTCTCACAGTGGCAAATGGCTCGTGGACATCAAGCTGCTCGCAATATCCTGCCGACCGCTGGAAAGAGACAGGCAAAGGACGTCCATCCACCATGATGGAGCCGCGGATGGTGCCTTCTGTCTTGCGCTGAGCCAGGACATCCAAAAGAGTTGTTTTGCCGGCGCCCGAGGAACCCATCAGGGCGCCCAACATTCCAGGTTTCACCCAGCCATACACGTTGTCCAACAGAACACGGTCTCCGGATGGGGTTTTGACAGTGTAGGTCAAACCTTTCCATGTGAAAATTGAGGTGTTGCGAATGAGCTGTTTGTCGACTTCGCTTGGGTCCTGGGCGTTACCTTGGGCTTTGGGCCGGGCTTTCTCGTTGACTTGGGATTCTTCGTCCTTGAGAGCGAGACTCTGATGGTGTTCACGCAATGTCTCTCTAGGGATCAGCAGCATGTTACCTGCCTCCGATGCAGCCTTCCATCGTGTTGTAGCAACAATGGTGACGACAACGAAAAAAGCCCACAAAGCCCAGAGAATGCCGAAATTACGCCACACGTGTGAATGAGAGTAGCTCAGAGAGGCCAGGTATTGTTCACCAGTGACATAGGTCTGGCCTTGGACCGCACCACCAACACCGGCGCAGGCCTGGAAAGTGGTGTTCTCATATCCTGGGCCCATTGGAATCAGGTTATTCCCGACACATGGGATGATCTTGTTGTGGAACTCATTTGATAGCATCGCGTCGAAAGCATAAGCCAGAGGGTTGATCCAGTAAATCCAGCCAAGCCAGGGATGCATCTCGGGCTTGGTAATTTGATAGCCAGTGTACAAGATCAGGGCCATAATCAGGAAGCCAGACACCTTGGACGCCCCGTCAAATGTGCCGAAGAGGGCACCAACGGCACGGAACAACGCGGTCATCACCTAGGACGGAATGTTAGCTTACGGTGACCAGCCTTCAACTTGGGAGTGCGACTTACCATGGCGGTTACGAAGATCAAAACCCAGTAAGTGAAAAACGCAGATGCCGACATTGTAAGACCAACCATGAAGTATACGATGATTGCGAAGATACTGATTTGGAAGAAAAGAACGGGAATGTCGGCGGCGATCTGAGCAACGCAGAATGCGGCTGGGTGGAAAAAGGCGAAAGCTTTATGTTTGATCAAGACCGGTCGACCACTGAAGGAATCAGTGACCTCGGACATGGCCAAGAGACTGTGGTAAAGCAATGAGAAGAACAGAGCGCCTGATTTAACAAATAATCCGCCGGAGGTGTTGGGGGCGTTGTAGAAGAGGGAGCCAGCAATCAATGCCTGAAGCAAAGTAGAGATCTGCTTGATGGCCAAGGTAGCTTTGTCGGTCCAGATGATTTGATACTGGCGAACAATGCATGTTTTAACCTGCTGCATAAAATCGACAGTAAACGGACTGTGTTTGGGCAATTGTTTCGCTCGATCTTTGGCTATTGCAAGCTCAAACTCTTGAGTCCGCTCCCGCGCCGCAACCGTGTCAGGATAGTCATATTCTGCTGCCATCTGAGCACTGATGGGTGATTTTTGATAGGCAGCCAATAGCTCATCCGCATCGCGTGGGAATTTGCTCTCATACCCTGGTTGGATCTTGCGCTCAGTGGGGACGGTGACACCAGTCAGGAAATCTGCAACGTTTGATCCTTCACGACAGACAAATCCGAGGTCTTCCATGAAGGGCCGAGCCTGAGACATGGGGCCGTAATAGATCTGTTTGCCCTCATCCAAAACCAGGACTTTATCGAATAGGTCATAGATACCATTGCCTGCTTGGTAGAGAGTGACGATGGTGGCCAAGCCGTAGACATCGGTCATGGCGCGAACGGCTTTCGCCCAGTCGAGGGCAGTGCTGGCGTCGAGGCCTCGTGTGCTGTTGTCCCAACAGAAGACAGACCCGCGAGTGGCAAGACATTCGATAATTGACACACGTTTCCGTTCACCCCCAGAAACACCCCGCACGTACTCATTGCCCACGCGCGTGTCTGAGGTGTGAGAAATCCCCATTGACTTGAGGAGGAATTCTTGGGTTTCCTGCTGGTAAGCTTCCGGGGAGTTGAACCCGTCCGGGAGGTTGGAGGGAACCTTGAGTCGTGTTGCAAAATCCAGTGTTTGTCCTACAGTCAGCGTCGGAAAGAACAGCTCCTCCTCGGTATTCATCACAATCTGGCCTCGATACTTAGAGGCCTCGTCCGGGGTGAGAGAACCAAATCGCACATCACCCTGAACGCTCTTGTAACCAAGCCGATGGTTGGAAAGCATTTTGAGTAAGGTCGTACAACCGGAACCCGGACGGCCCAGGACAAGAAGCATCTCTCCCGGTTTGACGCAGCCATGGCTCTCATGGAGGATTGTCCGCAGTGCAGGTTTGTTGCGAGATTCCCGAATATGCTGAGGAATGTTGAACTGCGAGAAGAAGTTTTCATTGACCGCAGCGTCGGCGCTGACGACTTCGACACTGAGGTTCTTCCATGTGACGCCGAGCTCGCGGCGTTTGGATCCGGATGCAACATCCCGCTCGTGCTGTTTCTTGATCTCCGGCATCAAACCCCAATCCTCGGCGCGAGAGACATCGGCGGGACGGGGGGTTGGCGACGAATCTGGCTCATCAAGGATAGTAGATGTGCTATCGGTCTCATCTCGTTTGTTGAACACTGCCGGTTCAGAGAACGTCGGATGGCCGTTGTTCTCCATGGCTCGGGTGGGCGCCCACTACAGGCCGCAAGAGGATGACAGCGGTGTGGTTTTTCTTTTGAAAATTGAGAGCAGACCTGAGGGGGGGATAAGCAGGCATCAGAGGTATATATTCGACTAAGGGGTCGTCCAGTCGGGTGGGTCAGAACTTTGCACCATCCGACCCCGATGATCCAGGCGCATCAAGGACACATGTGGCATATGCGCCTCTGCCAATCACCGTCAAGAAAAACACATGCTCTATCCGATCGATGGTGACTTTTGATGATCCGGGAGGGGCGCTGCGCCGGTTCTTCGCTGTAGCCTGTGTGTATGATCACACTCTCACCACAGGCGTGGACCCTGGGGGCCCCAAAGCCGTGTCCGAAAATCCGAATTGCTCGGACATTCTCGTGTCCAAGCTCCGTGGGCGAGAATTTAGGGGTGAGCCTTATGCAAACCGAGCGAATCCCCATGAAGGTCTTCAATCTTGGTCTGGTTGGGATTGACATGATTGCTGTGGCTTGCGGTTGTGATTCGTGTAAAGAGAAGGAGTGACTGTTTTTGGCTGCTGGATCGGAACCGGCGCCGGAACTGCCAGAACGCCGCTGTCTTCCTCACTCCCGCTGAGTCATGCAACCTTTACCAATCATTGTGCTTTGTTGATCCGGCCAAGAAAGTGGCTGCTGCTCAGCTCCGCTGACTCAGCGGCAAGTCAGATTTTACGTTGGACACCTTAAGATTAAGACACCTTAAGACAGCTTCCATCGAGTCTATCGAAAAAAAGAAAAAGATCCCTGTTCGGGCTAAGGAAAGTTCAGTTTATTATTATTATTATTATTATTATTATTATTATTATTATTATTATCATTATTATTGGAAAGGAATTGCGAATTCTCAGATTCCCGCTGATGTGATTTAGATACAAGTCATCCAATTCTGCAAGATGCCAGTAGCATACGAGTCAGAGACCAGCGCAATACCTATCTCTGTATAGCAAGAGTGTACTTCCAGATATTCGTCACTTGCTATTTATTTGCAAGGACCGGTCGCTCGATGGACTTGATGACTTGATGACTTGATGACTTGATGACTTGATGACTTGATGACTTGATTACTTGATGACTTGATGACTTGATGACTTGAACTGAGGCCGACAGCTTTAATGAAAGAACCCCAAATATGAGCCGCCAATATCATTCAGCCAGAGCATCCCAATTTATAGCCCTCTTCAACCTTACCTCAGTTAGTGCTATGTACCACGCGCCTGTTCTTCCACGAATCCCCGGCGGTATCGTGGTCGTATTGCAGCGCTGCAGGCTGAGTCAGAGAGGCGTCGCTGAGCACATTTCCCTCTCGGCATTCGATAGCGATATCCAATGAGAGCTGGAGCCAAGTCTGGCCTCAATGGGACTGATTTGAGACACAAAGAAATGGAAGCAATCTATAACTAACTATGCATCAACTCTGGACATCTATCTCGTCAGTCCACCACCAAGTCAGCTACCTAGGTCTCAAGTATCAGTGATTCGGTCCTCGCCTATTAGCACCTACAAAACTCACAACGTCCCATTTGATTTGGGCTTCGGCTGCAATAGACAAGTCAGGAGCAAACAAGCGATGCCGGCGACCTAGTGTAACCTTAGCCCAATCTACTGCCATGGAGGTCCCTGTGTCAGGGAGATCAGGCCATTATATCTTGCTACTGCAGGGACTCTTTGTTTTAGGTGTCCCGGGTGTCCCTTGTAGTCTCCATCTGAGGGTAAGAATATTCTGGCGGGGGGGAATTGGATCAGCTCTCGTTGAAACTCGCATTGTGTGGGCGTAATATAGTATATTGTAGGGTAAGAGTGCCCCGTTCATAAGACTCCTCGAGGTTGTCGGATTGCTGTATGGCTCTTCTCATCCGTCCGAGATCTCTTTTCCATGCCACTTTTGGCCTGATTCCCTCTCAAGATACGGAATGAGATATGCTGCGTTGCAATACCTATGCGTTGCTTAGCGAAGATTGTCTGTAGGTAGAGACGGACTCCTTCTTTCATAAACCCAAATCATGGGCCACATAAGACAAAGGCAGAAGGAGAAGGAGGACTGAAGAGATCAAATGTGACAAAGGGCTCCAGAAAGGGATGCAAGGGTGAGTTGGAGGTAGGAGGTCTTAAAGATGAATACTGGAACTGTAGTAACCACAATCGCAGATAATCGGACCAGTATCAAAGCCATAGCAATGGAGAAAAGAAAATAATACTTTAGATGGGGGGATCGCTATAAACAAGGGTGACCAAGACGAATATATATATGGCCTGAAGGAAGCAAAAGACACTCTTCTCACGTGGTAGGCGCGTCTATCGAAAAGAAGAAGGTCGCGAGAACCTCCTGCAAATCCTCTAGAACGATTTATATCAGATTAATCAGATTAAGTAGACATATGCTTGTTTGAAGTGATATCGCACTTGTGGAAAGTGGGATTCCACTTCATGCCTATCTTTATATCCGACATGGCACTGGGCAGTTCGGGGGGGCCCGGGGCTTGCGCGTGGGGGGACGCAGCTCCACGCCCAATAACTTGATAATAACCGCGGCGAAACTTCGCTGGGCAATCTAGACTGCCTGTCTATTTAATGGCTACTGAAAAAGCCAGAGCTTTGAATAGATGAGTTGATGCTAGGTTCACTCTCGCGGCATGTCAACAGAATGTATTCGACGATCAACAAGCTCAGGACAGACAGTCGACAAAATCCAGAAGAGATAATGAATCCTGCGTTGCGCCTGATATATAATCTTTGAATCGAGACCATGACCCGCTGGAGACCGAGGAGTGATATACAAGACAGATCTAGATTGAGTGTCGAGAGGCAAAGTCTTCAAGACGCCAGAAGAGCCCATCATCCTCGAATCTCACCGCTGCTTCCCTTGATCCCATCGCGAGGCAAATCCAAGCGGAAGCGAGCTCCAAATAGCCCAGGATAGTCGGCCGACAAGTCTTGCCTGACTTGCTTGGCGATTCTACCCCCGCTCACCGTGGCTGGAAGAGATCGAGGAACCCAGGCGGAAGCTGCGGCCCCATGTCATGGCACCCAATGAAGCCCTAAGCGACGAATACTTGGGGCATTCGGCGGCAACTCGGCATCTATATACTCCAACTTCAGAGGCATGTTCCGAGCTTTATGGGATCCAAAATCCAGAGGAGAGGGAAGGCGGACGTCTCTCCGCCAAAGACGTGTCATGAGGTATCTATCGCGCAGTGAATTGTAATATCGCTAGCCCCTATCGCTCTGTGGGTTTTTATGTGCTCTTCAACCATAGACGGCTAGATGATTTATGTAGATTCAATGAGCATTACGGCATCTGCAGTTATGCTGAACCCCTATCACGCTTCGAGATGCAGCCATACGTGTTCATACATGTTGATGTTATCTGATAAGCACAACAGATCTTCACAAACCAGTCAGGTCTCAAAACTATCATTGATCTAAGTTGAAAGTAGTATTCCGGCCTCGTGTCTGGATACTTATCGCGGCAAAGGGGTCGTAGAGTTAACCGATACCCAGCTGGATTGCTACGGCCAAGAGATCAGACCATGGGACGATGGGGCCCATGGCTAGATTTCAACTACTGGAGACAGGCAGAGTCAGATAGATACTCTTAGCTTTCTATTCAAGCAGTGGGGTGCCGGGGGTGGCGTGTGGAAACTAACAATGAGTAGAGATAATACCGTTTCATACTTCGGATTGCTTGATCCTTGTGCTTTAACATATTGATGCGATGCTGACGGCGTGTAGCGTTCTTAAAGACCATATGCAGAGGAAGGAGCTAAGCTTCAGGGATCTCGTACCCCTCAACGCTCAACGGTCCAACTACCTGCGAATAAGGTCATATTCGAAGATCAACATCTGTTATCGAGTTGCTAACGCGCTGGGAAGACCGAGGTGAGGAACTTCCTTTCATCCTTTACTAACCGCGACCGGTGGAGACTGGAGACTGTTGCACTGGGTGGAAATCCACCGTGAATGACTATTGCGGAGGCTAAGAGAGCTCTCCTGAGTCCTGAACATAAAGTTCAATGCCGTGGTGGAACTGGCCCGGGTTACCTGTTTCGTGATAAGTCGTTGCCGGACATTCTCCGATCCCATGGCACTGACATCGCAGGACAGCTGACGCGAAGGAGGGTGACGAACATGACGGTATTACTAGCACAGACCTTGAAACGTGGGGGACACCGTCGTGGCCTTAGGAGGACTGTCTCACGGCACTACAAAGTAGTATCAAGACTAACGGCTGGCTTTAGGTAAGATGGAGCCAAGCCAGCCAAAGAAAACGCCCGTCTGCAACATTAGCCTATACTCTATTTCACTTCTGCCCATTGATTGGATGTCTCTCACATTTTTCCAGCCAGAACTAGGAATGATTGGTGCTTTGCCAAGAATGGGTAGCTAGTCCCCATCATCCCCGCATTTCCCCAGAAAAAGCCAAGCCAGAGCAAACTGGCAACTGGCAAGGTATCCCCGATTCCCCGTGTTTTGTCCCATGTCCAGCATCCGCCTCGACTCCGAGATTCGAGATCAAGCTCCATCGCAGTGTCTCCGATTGTGGGGGTTCTCCCCAGCCTATGACTGCATGGCTTGGACTATCATGTAGCACCAAAGGCACCTTGAGCTCCCCAGCATATAAAATGTGGCCGATCGCTCTGCTCCTCCACCTAATTTCCTCAGGGCAGTCTACCTTGCTTCTTTGAACTAAATCTCATCTTTGTCTGGATTCTTGTTATTGAGATCGGCTGGGTCGATCAGAATGGGTGAAATGATCACCAACAAAGACGTGATGGGGGAAAAGGCTGAGATGGCCCATGAGGAGGTCATCCAGATAGCCCAGCTCACCGAGGCCGAGAAGGTGATTGAGAAGAAGCTGCGGCGACGCATCGACTCTCTCATCATGCCGCTGGTAATCCTGGTCTATCTTATGAACTATATTGATCGGTACGTCAACCAGACTTTGCCTGGTGTCTCTTGTGATTAATACCTGGATCGTTCCCATCGTGTGTCCCCAAGTGACTGACTGACAGACCGACAGAAACAACTACCCTGCTGCTCGTTTACAAGGTCTCGAACGTGATCTTAACCTCAACGACTCCACTTATCAGACCGGTCTCAGCGTTCTCTTTATCGGTTATATTCTCGCCCAGATTCCGTCAAATTTGATATTGAACTATATGGGACGTCCATCGCTTTACCTGGGATTTTTCACAACCGTATGGGGTATGGTGTCGCTTCTGACCAGCCAGGTCAAGAGCTTCGGAGGAATTGTTGCCTGCCGATTTATCCTCGGCCTAGTCGAGGCGCCCTTCTTCGCTGGTGTGCTATTTTATCTCTCCAAGTGGTACACCAAGAAAGAACTCGCACTGCGCTCGAGCATCTTCTACGCCGGATCTCTGCTCAGCGGTGCATTCGGAAACCTGATCGCCGCAGGTATTCTTTCTGGCCTGAACGGACACAGAGGTCTGGCCGCCTGGCAATGGCTTTACATCATCGAGGGTGCTATCACCATGGCAGTCGGTATCTTGGTCTGCTTTCTTCTGCCCGACTTCCCTTCCACATGGAAGCTTCTATCTGAGGAGGAGAGACAGGTTGCAACTCGCCGTCTCGTGATTGAGGCTGCCGAGGCAGACGTCGACGAAGGCGGCAAGATGAGCCAGGTGAAAGGGTTGAAGATGGCGTTCAGCGATATCAAAACCTACGTCCTGGCTATTGCGTACCTGGCCATCACCGGTGCAAGTGGCTTCCAGAACTTCTTCCCCACCCTCACATCGACGCTCGGTTACGACCACACCATCTCACTCCTACTAGTCGCACCACCCTACATCTTCGTGGTGTTCTACAGCTTGGCTCACAACTACTTCTCGGATCGCTTCAGCATGCGCTTCTGGTTCTTCTTCTACCCGATCCCCATCACCATCGTCGGATTCATCATCTTCATGACCACCGATAGCTTCGGACCCAAGTACTTCTCCTTCTTCCTCATGAACATCATCTTCGCGCAGAACGGTACCATCTACTCCTGGATCGCCAACGCCATCCCCCGACCCCCCGCTAAGCGTGCCGCTGCCTATGCCTTCATTAACTCCATCGGCAATTCAGCCAGTATCTGGACCCCATACACCTACCGCAAGCAGGACGCTCCCCACTACCGGCCCGCGCTCGGTGTGTGCATTGGTCTGCAGGTGCTTGGTGGTCTGATGGCGATCTTCATGTACTTCCATATGCGCTCGCTGAACCACCGCTTGGAGCGTCTAGAGGATACGGAGGTGACACTGACGGACAAGGAGCTGCGGCAGTTGGAGCGGACGGCGGAAATTGAAGGTATTGACATTGCGGCTGCTCGTCGGATGCAGCAAGGATTCCGATATGTTCTGTAAGGGATGGAAATAGGTTACGATTAATAGTTAGCTGTGTTTAAAGAATACTGAATGAATGATATCCGTGTTCTATATTACCTCCGATGCATCGTTTCAGCAAAGCTGTGCCGTGCGGCAGGTGAAACGCTACTCTGAACATAGGTCGTTAATCTCAAACCCAAGTGTTACAGACCGCCATTGAGGTTTTTGCAGCTGGAATTTGACGGCCTTTGATTCATATGGCTTGCGAGTTGTGAGATACCTTGTCACGAAGGGGTGCCCTGTGGATGAGCCTAGCTGGGGCAGTAGGGACACTCCCATGAAAATGACATTCAAGTTCTCAAAGGAGAAAGACAACTCGTGCCTGACGTTTCACTCGATTGGGTCACCGGCTGTTTTTATCGAAGATGGTGATTTTACTTATCGGAGAGGCCTGGAATATTCGAATGACAGCGACAACTCCTCCCTAATATCTTACTTGATACAAAAAGGGGCTTTTATCGAAGATGATTATAATATACCTCAGTGAGCCTTGGAATACTTTAAAAGCCATTTTCTAGACTATGGAGAAGGTAGGTGAACGCTCTCCCTGACCGTCGAATTGCAGTAAATTGATTTTGCAGCGTTCTTATACTCCGACATGATCAAATCAAATGTGAAGAGATCAGAAGTTGAACTTTGCGTGTTCCTTGAGCTCCACGAGACCTCCAAGGATTTCTTTGACCAGATTTCCTATCTTCTTGGTCGTCTGTGAAGGGGCGGTGGCCACGATGTGCCTATACATCACGCCTTTCGACGAGGATAAAGCGAAAGGAATCCGTGCCGAAGAGAAAATATACTTGGCCGAATTCAAAGTTTTGCTCCACATTCTACAAGAAGACTATGTAGCACCTGGTCCTCCTTTGTGGGAGTACATCCAAGGGCATTCGGGCACTCGGATGAAGGAGCATCTTTTGTCTCATGGAGAGCTTGTCACTCTCGGTGCACTTTGTTCAATTCTTTGCCCAAGGATAGAAGAAACATAGTCTTTATTTTGTCTGGACCGTGCTATAAATATCCGAAGACCAATACCTTCTACTATGGTAGGTATATCAGTTGTTCCAGTCCCTCATGTGATTTGTTGACCCAGGAGATCAGTATAATAGCCCTAGTCTTTGTTGTTATCCTGATTGCTCTTTAATTGCCGCTTGTGGTTTGCTGAGCTGAATTGTGAGATTTACAGGAGAGATTCATACAATATTAACCATTGGTATTTCCTTTCAAATGCCCTCGATTGCGTCGTACCATGGAGACGGCCTCATGAAAACATCTGCCGCAATATACCTTGTAAGATCAATGAACAACATTCGACTTAGCTTAGCCTTATAAATTAGTCCTGAAAGACTTTGTCTACTTTTCGACACCGTATCTTGATCAATCCGGGCAGAATATGGGGGACTAACCAATCTATATGAGATATCGGCCGAATGGTTTATCAAGAAGCCCCAGACGAAGATGCTGCCACAAACATTTCAGGCCCCTGTTGCGATGAGAATCGTGATAGTCATAGGTCGGTAATCTGATGAGAGTGCTGAGGTTCTAAATGAAAAGCAATTGCTATCCTCAGAGGGCAACAGGCACAAACAATGGTTGAAATCTTGAGCTTGGAAACGATCCGCGGCCCGCTCGAGATACGAAAACCGAGTCAGGAAGCGATGACTCACTATCATCAATAAGACACTCGTATTTCCGCTGATATATAAACAGTTGCAAACCTCTCCTACGGCACTGCAGGATCACAAAATTCTTCAAGCCTGACAACTCCATCACAATGAGCACCTCGACGCCACCCCTCCCCAAGACATGGACAAAGGGCGCATACCACATCTCAACAGACTCCTCTCTCATCCCTCTCGAAACCTTCAACGAGTGGCTCGCCTCAGACGACTTCTACTGGGCCGGTGCACTGCCGCTGGATGTCCTGAAACAGACCCTCGAAAACTGCCTCTGCTTCGGCCTCTACTACACGCCAGAGCAGCAAGAAGAATCCGCAGTAAAACCCACTGCGGATTTTATCGGGATCGCCCGCTGCATCACAGATTACACTACTTTCATCTACATCACCGACGTCTATGTACACTCCAGTCACCAGGGCCAAGGGCTGGGGAGCTGGCTGATGGACTGTGTCGGCGAGGTCATTGACGCCATGCCGTATCTGCGGCGGAGTATGTTGTTTACAATGGACTGGGCGCGCTCGGTGCCGTTTTATGAGAAGATTCTGGGAATGAGCGTCACTGAATCTAAGAGTGGCGAGGGAATGGCGATGATGATGCGCAAGGGGAGAGGGTATCCTCAGACCATGGCAGGTTGAAGCAGGGCCGATTGAAACGATGCTCTCAATTTGACAGTGACGATATCTGAACAGACGAGGGGATAGGGTACATGGCTGGTTGGCTCGAGATTTATTCGCCGGGTAGAGTTCGATGGAAGTATGTTTTGTCTACTTACACAGGAACCGTTTCCAACCGAAGCAGGGGTTTAGAACCGGTGCGTTGTATGACCATAAATAGAGAGAGACAGATAGAGAGGAGGCAAGACTCGAACGATGGAGCAGCCGCGTTCAAAACAATAGGCGAAATATTGTCCAATAAAACCGAATACAATATATCTTCACCCTCCTAGGATCGGTTCGGGGTGTTCATCAGGGTACTTTCATCCGACCCCCTGTACACCCAGGGTCAGTGAAGTGAGGACTGCATGGCCCTAAGCCCAGAATTACCAGCCACAACGCCGGTATAATCAGGGAAAAGGCACTCATGATAATCACCTTCTCTGGCTGGCTATCCTATCCTTCCTCCGGTTGCCAATCAGTGCACAGAGCTTATCCCACTTTGCTGAATCTTTGCTGAATGGGACAGAATCACATCAGCGTTCGCTGGCGAAGATGGACGCAAGCGGATCCTGACCCTAATATTGCTTGTAGATGGACGTTCCGGCTTATAGGAAGTCACTCGGGGGACTACTCTCGTTGGAATAGGTCGGCAATGCCTGGGAAGTTACTCACTACGCGAAGGCGGATGCGTTCCCTTCAAGGAGGAAGTGTATTTCGACACACCCTCGGGGGTTATCCAGATGACAGTAACCATAACGACTCGGAGTGATCTGCTTGTGTTATTGCGTCCATCCTGACCGAGTTACCATCACCAAAGGACACATCTGCTGAGGTGGACAAGATGGGCTGTGCTACGGTTGAGCATGTGGGATATGATTGTCTCTTTTTCGACGAGGAGAGTTTCTTCCCACATAGTGTGACCCGGAGAAGATAGAGGTAGTAAGATAGAGCCAGCATATTGTCTTCCATCTCTATTACATCAGGTAGAGAAGACTATCTTGAAGCCATTCATTTATCAATATATGTCTGTTGTCCCAATAACAAGGGCAGCATTCCACCTTTTGATTTATCTCATAAGAGAAATCAACATGATTAGATCGTCAAAAGACGTTTCTCCGATTTATTCTGAAGAGCACACCCTTAAAAGACTTAACAAGCATATGAAAATGAATGCCGAGGTTCCCAGGGGCATTTCAGGCCCCGCATAGCTAAGTACTTGACTTATTCTTAGCGCGATCATCGTCCCTGAACTGCAGTCCTGACTTCCAAGGCTTTATTCAAGTCTACTTGACGTTCCTCTTCATGAATTTGCACCCTCCAGCTTCAGATATATCTCAAAATGGCAGCAAATATCTGGATGCCCCCTTTCCCCGGCCCACAACTGCTGCTGGGCACCCTACCTTTACTGGTGCTCTCGGAGTCTGGGTCTCGCTCCCATGCTGGAACGATGCTTTTCAAAATGCTCTCCTCAGTGGCGTTTATTCTCGGGCCGCTTCTCACAACCTCGACTGAATGGTCCCCGTATCGCCTTTCAATTACCACCGGTCTTTTCTTCTCCCTCGTTGGAGACTTCTTCTTGCTCCCTTCCCGCAGTGAATTTTACGATCCACCATCCCCAGACCAGAAGAAAGGGGAAGTTTCAATCTCCTTCCAACTGGGCGTCGTCGCATTCGCATTGGCTCATATTGCCTACATTGTCGCCTTTCTCCGAGCCAGTCAAGGCATCTCAGCAAACACCCTTGCAACCACATTCATCGCGACTATGGTCCTTGCAAAGTGGCTCGGTGTGATCTACCCTCCTGAATCTTCATCACCATGGAGCAACCTGCTCAGCCTCAGCATTGCGCCCGATATGAAGCCTCTGGTTCTGGTATATGCGTTGATCATTAGCGCGATGTTCGCCGTTGCACTGGCAACTACTTTGCCAATGTCAGCCAGCACTTGGCTGTCCCAACGCGCGTTTGGGGCGGCGATGTTCGTGATTAGCGACCTCTTTGTGGCCAAAGATGCATTTGGAAAATCGTCCGCTACTCGAAAGCGAGGCTGGCTTCAAATCGCAGTGGGATATGGGCTGTACTTCTGGGGGCAGATGGTCATAGCAGGGACGGTAGAAGGGGGTATAGTGTAGCGTCTGAGTTGCTTTCCTGCTTCTTTTTTTTTTATTTTCACTATTCTTCGACCGCAATCACGCTTTTGAGTGATTCCTCCCTCTAGAATGTATATGGTAGTCCCTGATGCATACAGTCTTTCGAGAGCGCAGAGAGTAAGCCGCCTCAAATGGACTGGGATGGCTGACTGTGCCTCAGCGGGGATCTTTTTGGAGACAACAGGATCCTACCGATTCAATGCCATCAATCATTCCTTCATTCCATCAACTGACAGAACAAATGTATTGAGATTTATATATTTATGGGCCAACAATGGAAGGTAGCACATCCAAATACACCATGATCTCCATCGGCACGCACCGTCTCTCCTTCTCCACCAGCGGTCCCCCACGCAGCCCATCCGAGCCCATCGTAGTCTTCATCCCCGGCGCAGGGGACGTCGCTTCATCGTACTGCGCCGTCGAACGTCTTGTCGCAGCTTTCTCCCCGCTATTCCTGTACGACCGCTCCGGCCTCGGTCGCAGCGAGGCCGGTCCCCATCCCCCATCAGCTACCACCGCAGCAAAGGAACTCCACGCGCTTCTGGACGCCGCCAAAATTCACCCACCCTTGATCCTGGTGGGCCATTCCTACGGCGCAATCATAGCCAGGGAGTACCTCCACCTCCATCCCACGGACGTAGCCAGCATGGTTCTAGCCGATGCCTCGACAGAACGAGTCCCAGGACTGTTCCGGGACCCGGATCTCGACATCGACGCTGTGCTAGGCGGTCTGAGCTTTGCCAAGGTCACGGGTCTACGGGATACGGCCCAGCTCTCGCGCGAGGAGTGGAGGGTTCGAGCGATGGATATTGCGCGGGGGAGAACGACGTGGCAGGCTGAAACCAAGGCTAGGGATGAAGTTTGTGCCACACTCGGAGAGAAGGAGCAGTATCGAACGCAGGCGCTCGGGGATCGACCGCTGAGTGTCATCCGGTGTCATGGGTCGCTGGACTATGGACGGGTGTATGAGAAGGGGGTCGAGGCGGGTAACGGCACGGCGGCGCAGCGCAGGGCACTCCGGGAGTTGTTGCATGGGTGGGATGAATTGGATCGTGAGATGCAGGAGGCGCAGCTGCAGCTGTCGAGGACGAGTAGGATTGTTTATTTACCCGATTGCGGTCACCATGTACATTTGATACGGCCGGATGTGGTGGCAGAGGAGGTTCGATGGGTGAAGGAGCAGATAACTTGTAGTTCGAGAAGTAGTCTTTGACCTTGCAACTATTGTCCATACTAGGGATTGTAGCAAATGCTACTGGCAGGGTCATTGTCTACAAGTCAGAAGTCGATGTGTTCACCCAAGCCTGGTTGTAAGTAGGAGCACCATTGCCAATCTATCTAATTTTGCCACTATTCCTAATTGAATGAAAAATGGGGACTATGCCACAATTCTTCAGGATGTCAATATGTACACCTTACATTTCGTCCGCAGAATGACACAGGAATGCATGTTCTCTACATATTATCCATTTCGGGAGGATACTTGCATCCGAAAGGCCTGGCAACTGCCATCACGAGAACCTGGGGTTGGGCCTACGTCGAGAAATAGGCAGGCAGACCGGAGCCGCATGCTTCTATTCGTACATCGAACACAGTTCCACAGCCCTTTGAGCCAATAGCACATACACCGAAGCTGAAGTTTGAGACATATGACCATACGATCACTGATGGCGTTGCAGTACTAGTGGATATCTTGAAGCCACACACTGCGCATCTAAAAACCACTTCCTTGGACTGCCCAAGGGCTCGGGCAGCGTTGTGAGTAATAGAGTGGTGCATTCCTTGCATGCATGCCGTGTGGGATGCCTCCCTCCAAGATGGCTATATGCGCGTATCGCATTGGACGGAAGCACTTTCCATTAGTTCCTGAACACCAATTAAAAAAAAAAAAGGTGTGTAACGCGCACACGCCGCGTCAATCCCAGGACCACAGGTAGCCGGCGTAAGGGTCATTGTTCTACAGGCTAAAAAGGAATGCGTCGACAGCCGTCATTGGGATGAATTGTAAGTATGCATGGATTCCATTGGAAATAGTTCTAAGCGACCACGCACAAGCGTGAGGTTCGTCCAGACTTGAGGCACACTGGGAGTGCCGATCTTCAACGTTTATTCTGACTCCACGCTAATGCGCGAACTTGATGAGGAAAGATTGCTGCACTTCTGTCGATGCCACTAGACGATCGTGGGTGCTGGCGATCCAATGGCTGTGACCATGTTGACCACCGTCCACTAGAATCAAGACTGAAATGATATCAGCTTATATCTCGTCCGAAGCCACCCAATTGCCCGGCATCATCAGCGATAGCGTGGTGCTGCCCCTCCCCCGTATCTTCTTGGATGACCGAATGGATGACCGAATGGGATCTCTGGTGACCAAGCGATTTACTTGAAAGGGCTGCCTGCATGCAGATGGTTGGCCCTGCAGAGGAAAGGAGTGGATGGCTACTGGCGCAAGGCCCAGCTTGGATTGTGCTCTGCAGCATTCTCTGTTCCCGAGCACGAGGGACTCTGGGTTCACCTTTCTCTCGTCAAAAGACTGCAGAATCCGTGGCAAACTTACTCCTGATATGGCTGGCTAGAGGCTGAGTACACCCTCCTGGTCCAGGAATGTGGTGTACAGTGTCAGTTTTGCCCTCGAGATTTCCAGCTGCGGCATGCCTGATTGACTGGCTGTAGACACGGCGAACAGCTACTGTGTGTCCTACTGGTGTTCGTATATGCAGCTGCCGTCAATCTCTACCAAATGTATTCCCAAAGATCCCACACAGCGTTGAACCAAAACGCTAGTTGCCTAGCCACCCAAACGCCTATCGCAGAGCAAGGAACGAATAGCCAGAGACCTGATGACTCGAGCCAGTCGAAACACGCCCCGAAGGCGTGATATTTAAGTTCCTGTCGCAACCCAAGTTCGCAGGTCTAGCACAACTTGGCACTCTCTAAACCATACTCATACTGAACACCTTGATTCACAAGCCCACCAATAACAAGACTTGTCAAGATGACCCTCCCCCAGCTCTTCTCCCCCAAGCTCTTCCTCGCCGAATGCGGCACGGACACCATGCTCGTCTACAAAGACAAGATCCCGCTCCCCTGCTTCTCCTCCCTGCCTCTTGTGAACACCGAGCCCGGCCGCAAGATCATTCTGCATTACTATAAGGTGTACATCGAAATCGCCACGGCCAACGGCACCGGTATCGTGCTGGATACGCGCACCTGGCGCGGCGCAGCGCCCTGGGCCCAGGCTCTCGGGCTCTCCGTCGCCCAGCTGCTCGAGCTCAACCGTGGCGCGGTGCGGCTGGCTAAAGAAGCGCGCCGCGCGGCAACTGTGCCTGTTGCAATCAGCGGGACCATGGGTCCGCTGCGGGATGCATACGAGGACACGACGGACCTCCTCACGCTGGAGGAGGCGAGGGCGGGATACCGCGAGCAGGTGTATGTGCTTGCTGATGCGGGCGTGGATCTGCTGACACTGCTAACGATGACGAATCTGTGTGAGATAATTGCGGTGGTGGAGTTGGCGAGGGAGGTGGGGTTGCCGGTTGTGGTGTCGTTTATGGTGCAGGAGGATGGGAGGATGCTGGGCGGGCAGAGTCTGGAGAGCGCGATAAGGACCGTCGATGACCGGACGGGTGGGTATGTCTCCTACTATGGGGTGAACTGCGTGCATCCGCTGCGTATTGTGAACGCACTGCGGGATATGCCGGAGGATGTGCGGAGTAGAATTGGAATGATCAAGGGGAATGCGAGCATGAAGAGCCATCATGAGCTGGATAACACCGATACTTTGGATCGGGGAGATATTGCTGTGTTTACGGCAGGGGTCGAGCAGGTCCTGGCGTATGTACCCAACCTTAGGGTTCTGGGGGGATGTTGTGGCACGGATGAAGAGCACCTCGAGGCTGTTGCCAAGCGGTGCATCAAATAGTTTGCTTGTACTCAGTGCAGTTGATGCAGTGTTCTCACGTCTTTTGATTGATTACCTACTCCAAATAGTCTCCGTTTGTCTCTTTATGAATAACATCGAACAATGGCTTTGCACTGAACCAACCAGCCCCCGGTGTCCCGACTACCTTGTATGAAAACGCCGCCTCGGCATCGCCAATCTTGATGGTTGAACCTCCTCGTCCGGCCGCTGCCGCATCGGCCAGCAACTGCGCATAGCAGCATTTCTCCAAGCTTACGAACCAAAACACCGTTTCCTCAACCGTCCGCCCAACAGTCAATAGCCCGTGGTTCTGCAGCAAAGCAGCCTTCTTGTCCTCCAGAGCTTGGGCGATATACTTCCCTTCTTCTTCAGCGAGGACAACACCGTTGAACTGCTTGTAGACAATGTGGTCCTGCCACTGTCAGTCGGGAGGCGAATACTAGAAGGGGGGAGCAGATCTCACATTGTAGAATGCACATGAGTCCTGCGTGATGATATCTAAAGGACGACCCAATGCGCAGAACGCCCTCCCATAGATGCTATGGCTGTGCGCCGCACAGAGGACATCGGGTCTTGCCGCATGGATGGCAGAGTGAATCATGAAGGCAGCTGCGTTGAGCAAGCGCACCTCGCCTCCGTCAATAACCTGGCCTTCGTGATTGACCCGGATCAGATCAGATGCCTTGATGAGCGAGAACGCAACGCCAAACGGGTTGACCCAGAAGGTATCTGGTTCAACTGGATCGCGCAGGGTGATATGGCCGGCCACACCTGACCCCGTCAACAATAGCATTCTCAGACTCGATACCAGTGGAGCATACCCTCATCGTATCCATTTTTGCCAAAGATGCGAAAGGCAGCGGCCAGACGGCCCTTGAGGTATTCGCGCTCCTTCATTTTGTCCTCGAAGACCGGCATTTGGGGCATGGCAAACTTGACCTTGGCTTTTTGCGCTCCGGCTTCCTGGGCTGACTGTGGGGTTTGGAGGGTGACATTGGCGGCGATGGTTTCGGTGGCAGTTGGAGGAGACATTTTGACAGGCACTTCACTTGATGTAACTATCTTCCTATCGGGAGTTGAAGGGAATAGTTGGGAGGCAAGTATAGAGGGATGTATAATGCTAGAAGATGAGACAAGGATCGCTGGATGATGGACGCGTGGAGTCATCAAGTCAGCCTGAGAATTCGGGCGGGGTAATGTAGGGGATGCGCGCTGCGACTGCCGACAACCACCGAGGTTGACACGCGTATCGGTCCTACATTCAAGAATCACCTTACTTGCTTGTTGATACCCCTTTTGTGATCCGAGGCGCATGCCCGATGGGCTTGTGGTATGGATTCCACGGAGTATCGAGCAGACCTCAGAAGGCATGACATGATTTTGACCGACTATATACATCAATCCCAACTGTTGCACACCGGCATTGACCACCTACATCGACGCATCAAGCCTCTGCACATTCTCCTCCTTCATCGCGTCAACCCACTTGTCCTTCCGTTTGCACCAAAGCTCCACCACCAGCTCCCCGCACTCTTGCCGATAGGGCTCATCCAGCGTGCCAGTCTTGATCACTATCCTTCCATGATCGCCGCTTGGCTCCGATGTAAAGTGCGCTCCGCAGTCCCCGCAGAACATGCGGGGAACGTCCAGGCCCTCATCCGACTTGTCGATGAAGAGTTTGGGCTGGCCCTTTGTCCAGTGCAGGCCAGATTTGGGGACAACGATGTTGGCGGAGAATCCGGAGCCCGTATATCGCTTACAGTTAATGCAGTGGCACAGAATGACCTGTCGTGAGCATGAAAGGTTAGCTCATTGGCTCACGGATGGCACCATGGTAGGGTGGCTGTGGATATTGGGCAATTAAGGTAAAAGGACCTTGGGAGTTGGCTCGGAAGCGGGGAGATCGATCCGATAGGTGATGGCGTTGCAGAGGCAAGTGCCGGTCATGGATTTTTGAGCCATGGTGTCGGATAGGTTTGAATAATATATGTGATTCGAATTTGAATTTGGATGAAGAGTCTCGCAGCATTTGACACGTTGAATGCTTGTCTTTGTTTTGACCAGAGGCAGAGGGATGATTATGTAAGCGAGCACCCCGCACCAACTAATTCCGAGCTGTTTCTCGATTCAATATACGGAGTATACCATCGCAGATCTCTCAGGACTTCAGAAAAGAGGCAGCCGCCTTTGCTTCATCGAACCCCAAAGCTGGATCCGATTTATCGATGCCTCATGAAGCGCACGATCACCGCGATCCAGCGTCTCAATCGTGCCCGACTCCCCGAGGAAAGGCTTCATCTCAGCACTGCACAGCGTTCCAACATCTGGCAATACTCCGCTCTGAAAGTATGCGCGAATGGCTTTGCTGACACACACCGATGGCGCAGCTAGGGTGGTATGCTATAATGGGTTAACCTTGTGATCTACGGTCGGGTCACAGAAAAAGGAGAATTTGACACTCACCCCTTCGGAATCTTGCTCGAGTACGACTGAACCGGGGAAGCCTTCAGACATCTTGTGCGCACTGTCCAACATCAATAACTGAGTCCAAGTGGTGAAAACTAGAGGACGTGGAGGTTATACCTTCGCAAAGGAGTTACAGGATCCAGGGTGTTGCTGACGAAAAGAATCGGGTGAGATGTATCGCCCGCATACGGTCCTGGTCCCAATTAGCAAAGGAACAATAGCTACGGCTTACTTGCCGACAAACCTTTCAACTGCCACTTTCCTTGTGGCTTGAACCCCACGCAGCCCAGCCCGATGGTAGCCCAATAGTCTCCCATCACAGCGCTCTGGTCTTTGAGGGATTTCCATAGCGTCTTGAAAGCTTCCTGATCCAATCCACGGAGATATCCCGCATCGGTACAGAGGATGGCAGACGTCGCGTACAGTTCATTGTCCCCTTGGTCCTGGCACTCAGGCGACCAAGGGCCAGCAGTCGCACATTGCTCGGACGGACACGAGGGTGAGCGTTGAAGCTGTTTGAAGCTTGCTATTGCGGATCCGTCACCTTCCGCCAGTGCCTTTGCGAACTGTGCCAGGATGGGAAATACCAGAAGCGGCTGGTACATGGAAATGCGCTGGATGATATTCAGATCTGTCCATGTGACGACTTCTGGTCCACGGCTGGCTGACGGCGCTACTGGCACCGACGCATTGTAAAGTGCGCTCTGGAGTTCTAGATATGCAGCTTTGATGGCGGCTGGGCCGCCCTGGGTGTAGAAAGGACAGCCATCCGACCCAACGGCATCGCAGTAGAGTGCGAACCGGTCGAAAATTGCATCGGCATCGACGATTGACTCTGGCCCCTTCCCCGTATAATACTTCTCTGAGTCGACCACGCCGTCCAACACGGCCCGCTCAATTCGATTTGGGAACATCGTGGCAAAAGTGGCACCGAGAACGGTCCCGTAGGAAAGGCCCCAGTACAAAAGTTTCTCTGCGCCTTTGTTCCATCTGCTGCGCGTCGCAATGGGCTGTTGCGGATCATACCCTTGCATTTGATCGTGTCTCTGTTGTTCCACCTGGCCCTGCTTTCCCCGCCATTCGCCATGCCGCTCTATAATCTCGAGCATATCCCTAGCGACCGGAGGTGTGTTGAGATGTTCACCAAGTGCTTCGTCGGATCCTTCCGGAACATATAACAGCGATTCAGAGCAAGCCGCATTGAGAGCAAGGGTGCGTTGCCAATTGCGCATCAGCGAGTGGTCCGAACTACCCAGCATACCTTCTGCTTCGAGCTGAAGCTCCCAATTCTTCCGAGAGAAAGAGTCTGGGAAGCAGCTGAAGCCCGGCGTGGTATTGTTGACACCCCGCGGATCAAAGCCGATGATATCGAAGTATCGATCGGAAGACTCCTCATATGCCGTAGATACTGTAGGGTTCGCTTCCGCATCAACTATGGTCTGCATGTCTCGGCCTATTAGAAGAGCTTGTCCAACCCCAGATCCCCCTGGACCGCCTGCATTGAATCGGTCACTAGCTGCTGCAGATACTTGTAAAAGGCGTCATACCAGGATTCACCAAGATTGGTCCACCATATCGCGAATCTGTCACCGGGACTTGCGCGGGTAAGCGGACAATAGCGATGGCCATCTGACGCCCTTGACCATCTGCACGGTGATAGTCCATAGGCACCTCCAGGCGGGCGCATTGAAACCCGTCGAAACAATCGTGGTATTCCAGCGATTTGGAAGGCGTGATCTACAGTTGAAGTTTAGAACATATAGATACCAGCATGTAGAACAAAAATTCTCCCAGAAATCATACACACCTTACTCCATTCAAAGCCACTTTCCGCAGAAGCCTGCGTCGTCGCTGGGTATTGATAGCTTCTCCCAGGAAACATCCACCACAGCGAACCCGCCAATCCCATCAGCGCCAGCGCGATGGGACAAGCCGTGTTCTGGCGCCGAGGAACCTCTGGCGACAGCGGGGAAGAACCATTCTGCTTTTCTGTAACCATGGGTGTGGGAGTATCACTATGAAGCTTGGTAATGTGTCACAGGGATGTGCAACAGCTGAATATGACAAGATGTGGGAAAAATCAAATCCCAGATAGTTAAAAGCTGACAGCGCACGGATGGAGTGCGGGAAACTCGGCGGACCGAGCGGAGCTGCAGCGATCTGCTCTGCTATGTATCTGCTTGTAAGGATCTCTAAGAGAGAGAGATGCCTTAGCTACCCAGTGCGCTACTATATAGGTCTGGATCCATGAGTTGTCTGGCAACTTGCGGTAATGTTGGTCTTTTAGCCTTATGGTCTGTTAGAATCTAGCTAGCATTCTTATAATTTACCGTGAGTTGCCGGTCACTAGGTAGTTAAGGGATTGATTCTTAGAGCTAGTGGTTAGAATAGATTTTCTAGCTTAGTGGTGCAGTATGACCTTATAGGCTTAGGATTAGATTACTTAATCACCTAGGGTGGCTAATAGGTAGTGGCTGCAAGGCTGCCCCTAGGGGCTAGATATATAGATGTTATAGCAGCTAAGGGCTAGAGGTGCCTAATAGGTATAAGACCTGCTCCCTAGGGATAGGCTTTAAGGTAAAGCCTTAAGAGGGGGAGGGTAGTTATAAGGATCTCTAAAAGAGAGAGATACCTTAGCTACCCAGTGTGCTACTATATAGGTCTAGATCTGTGAGTTATCTAGTAACTTATAGTAATGTTAGTTTTTTGGCCTTATAGTCTGTTAGAATCCAGCTAGCATTCTTATACTGCTTGCCCATTCACTAAATAATCTATATGAATTTTTTTAATTAAATATATAGGACCTTATGGTAGAAGCTTCTTTAGTTATATGATAAGTACTAGTAATAGCTTTATTAATACTTTAATCTATTTACACAGTGCTGTCTGAATGGTAATATCTATAAATAGATATAATAAGTATATTAGTTATTCTTAGCCCTAATAGCTCCACTATTAACATTAGTAGTAGTTCCTGAATTAAGTATTCCCCACAAAGTAAAAGATCCCTAGGTATATAAAGAAGGACACCCTTGATATAGATATCTTCTACATCTTATATTACTATTACTAGATATATTTGAGATTTTTCTATCACAGGAGCATAATTATTTAATTTACTATAGTGTAGCTCTAGTCTACTATTACTAGAATATAACTAGGTATACTACTTCCTTAGAAAGCTTTCTAAACTAGCTATAAGTTATCCCTAGGTAAACGTAAAGGTAAGTAGACTTTTTAGAGTGACCTTCCTAAATATATTTTAGCTAATAATCTTCCAGACTTAGTCTGCTTGTTAGGAACAGTGCCAGAGAATAGTTCTACTAAACAGGCTAGGCAAGGTACTAAGGCTGCACCCTGGCAAATAGTAGGGCTAACTTAGCATATGATGGCCTAGTGTAAAACCTCACTAGCAGAGGAAGATCCTATAGACTAGTGATTATTTCTCTTATTAATAGTAATATAATCTTATAATTTCTTTATGCTAATCTATTATTAACTTTTATTAGATGTTATACTAGTCTTATAGTTCTAATTACTTCCTAAAATCTAATTAGCCTACTAGGATACTATAAGAATACTAAATACTTATAGCTAATCTACTCTAGGACCCTCCCTCTAGTAAATACTAGACTAAAGAACCTAATATACTAAAGGAATACATTAAATTACTAAGGAGGTTACTAAGATAATAAAAATAACCCTAGATAGAAGAAGACAGCCTAAATCCTAAACCTAATAGAAATAGGATAATAGTAAATAGAATCTAAATAATTAGGTTAAGAAAGAAGATATCTAACCTCTCCTAGAAGAAGAATACTATCTAGAGCTAAAAATCTAGAGGATAGGAATTTAGTAATAGCTAAATAAGAAATAAGCTTAATTATAGGATTATATCTGTGAGAACACTAGGTCTCGTATGCGGAATATGACTAGTATGAAAGAATAAATACTGCATAGCTTGGGTTTCAAGAATTTAGGTAATTAAGTAGATTAATACGGATACTAGGTTAGGATTCTTCCTCTGTGAGGGAGAATTTACCTAACCCTCTGCTTAGTAAGGGCTAACTAAGAGATACCCTTACATAGGTAAGATAGATATCTTACCTATATTATTAGGAGGCCTTATAACTACCCCCCCCCCTTATAGGCCTTAGTCTCTTAAGGCCTTTATAGATGCAACCTTTATAATTAGTATTTAATACCTTATAGTCCTCCTAACCTATAAGCCCCCTCTGTATTGCATAGTATAGCTATTAAAAAATTATATAAAAGCCTAAAAACCTCTCTATAAGAGTAAAAATCATAGCTAATATAGGAAAAAGATTCTCTTACTACTTATAGAGGCCTAAAGTTAAAGACCTTATAGCCTATTTTTATTATATAGGTAGCTAGTTAAGATAGTTATATATCCCTCTCTTAAAAGATAATACTTCTAGCCTCTTATAATCTTCTTTTCTTCTCGTCTTAAGTTATTATCTATTATTTATTATCTATTATTAAAGATAAGTAGATTCTATCTATCTTTCTCCCTCTCTTTATAAGTAGGGATAACTATCTCCTTATATAATATCTTTATATCTATAAATAGTAATCTAAGTTACTTATAAGTAGTCTTCTCTTACCCCTTAATTATAGTAGAGCCCTTTAAGTAGAGTATTATTATAAGCTTATCTTATATAATATTCTTATCTTTAGGTTATTTCTATAGATTATAGATAAATAAATAAATCTCCATATACTCCTTCTTTAATAACTTTAGTTAACTTATAAATTTTATAGATATAGAATACTATATCTAGTACTACTAATACTCCTCCTCTCTCCTTACTTAGCTTATAGGTTATGAGATCTCTCTCCCCCTAGTAGTAATAGTAGCTACTTCTCTAGCCCCTACTAGGTCCTAGGTCTAGGTTCCTCCCCCCTTTTATTTAGCCCCTATATTAGGGTTCTATAACTCTAATATAGGTAGTCCCTTAGCTAGTGAACTAGATAAGCTACTCTATAACTACTCTCTATAGCTATATACTAATTATTCTAGTTAGGGGATTAATTTATTATTAATCCTCCCTCTATCCTAAGTAGCCTACTTATATAGGTAGCTTAGGATATACTACCTCTAGTAGCTATAATAATTAAGGAGTGGGCTTATACTTAATTTATTAAATATCTACCTAATATATAATTTAATCCTAGGACTATATAAATATCTATTATACTTTTAGGTCTTACCCTATAGATAGGTGCTGAGCCCCTATCTAGCTATAAATATTAATAGGTGTTCTTACTAATCTTAAGGTATATCTACTACTATATATTTACTCCTAGCTTAAGACTAGTAGTCTATATATTGGTATTACTGAGGGTAAGGTAGTATCACCAGGGGTGAAGAGAGATAGGCTGGGCTGATGCCTCTTCACTTACCTGGAGTAAGAACTTATATTTATATCTAGCTACTGGCTATCTATCCAAAAGATAAGTCATAGATATTGCAGAGATTTCTTAGGTTGACCTTAGTAACCCAGGGTCGACCTTAGTAACCCAGGGTTGACCTTGGTAACCTAGGGTCAACCTTAATAATCATTAATCTACTTATGATATTTACTCACTGATATCACATCCTCCCCTACTTAAGGTGAAGCCTATCCTTAGTAGGTTATCTGGCTCCTCACTAAAAGGTCCTCATATTCTAAGGGGGTAATATCATGCATAGTGAGTGGGATTAGATTCATACTTATTAAGTAATATTAGATTATATTTAGTAAGTAGCATCAGATTATACTTAATAAGTAGCATCAGATTATACTTAGTAAGTAGCATTAGATTATGCTTAATAAATAGTATTAGATCATACTTAGCAAGTAGTATTAAATTACTTAGTAAGTAGTATTAGATTACTTAGTAAGTAGTATTAGATTATGTATAGTAATTAGGGTTACTAGTATGGTTATTATAGTAGAGGTAAGATAAGGTTATATATTATTTATTTTAATTTTAAGTAACTCTACTTTTACCTTACTTATTCTCTTTTTATCTCTTATATTTCCCCTTCTCTTTTCTCCTCCTGTAAGTATCTTTCTTTTTATTATATTAATTATTATCTCTCTTTTAGTAAGTCTCTTTCTTTATATATTAGTCTTCTATATTCTTCTTATACTTAGTAAATATAAGTACTCTATAAAAGAAGAGTAAAGGCTATCTTATCTATTAGAAGAGTATAGTTACTTCTAGTAAGTTTAGTAAGTATTCTTTCTAGCTTCTATAATTACCTCTTATTAGTAGTAGAAGCTTATCTTAATAGGCCTAATAAAAGTATATTAAAGGTGATAGATATTATTCACCTAATTATCTAGAAGTTTAATAAGAAGGGGAAGCTAGATATAAAGGAATATACTTATTTAGGCTATATATTAGCTACTATTCTCTAGTAGTAAGGTGTATCTTATAACTATATATTAGCTTATAGTAATTATTTTTTAGATAAGGATTCCTTTAGAGGATATATCTCTACTCCTAGTTATAATAGATTTATATTCTTTTAGGGGTCCTGTGCTAACTATACTTAGAGTAACTAAGAATTAATATATTTATTCTATATATAGGGCCTTTATATATAAGATTTTAATACTCTTAATAAGTATATATTCTCCTTAGTAAATATTTCTTATTTATAATTACTAATCTTTCTTACTTTTATAGACTTATTATTTATACTAGTAGTCTTAGTTTCTTTATTAGTTATAGTAATAAGTTATATAATTAGCCTGTAGAGTTAGTAGTAGTAACTAATAATTATAATAAGGAGTTAGATAATAGTATTAATAAAGATTCTCTAGATAATAGTAAGTATATATAGTCTAGTATAAAAGATAATATTAATTCTCCTATAATAGAGGTAGATCCTTCTAGTATTTCTTATAGTAAAGGTTCTTCTTCTATAATTAAGATAGATCCTTCTAGTATTTCTTATAGTAAAGGCTCTTCTCCTATAGTAAAGAA